ACACGAAGAAGGCCAAGGAGATAACCTCAATCGCAAACGAAACAAACGTCCTCCGATAAGACCGCAGAAGCCTGGTAAGGCGCCCTCTCTGGCGCATCGTCCCGACAGGGGCGGGGGGGCGTGCGCGAGTCCTTGAGATACGCGACGCCCTTTCTGGCGCATCGCCCCGCTGGCGGCCGAAGGCCGCCGGGGAAGATGGGGCGTGGGCTAGTCCTTCAGTTACGCGGCCGTCTGTCTGGAGCATTTCCCCGCCCCCCTTGTACCCCGCGCCCCCCGCCCCCCTTATATAAGGTTACATGGTTGGGCACGGTCCGGGGGTGCGCTCTTCGTCGCAGGCTCGTTATATGGGTCCACAGTCGCGCAAGCGTTTAACCTTGTACAAGGGGGGCGGGGGGTGCGGCGGGCAAGATTGTCACGCGTCGCCCCCTCGTCCCTGGCGGGTAGAGGGTTTGCCCATGGTCTTCCCCGCCCTCAAGTCCTGAAGGCTGCGCCATCGGTTACGCTAAGAAAAAACCACACCGCAACACCGCCAAGCGCACCCCAGCCGCAGCTGCCAGCTGTCGCCCTCAAACACAGGGCGGAGCCAGTCCAAAGACTTCGCCCCGCTTGAGAGACACAGCACGGCGCACGCCAGCCGCGGCCACCGCGGCGCGCCCTCGAAGCACCGGGGGAGGAGAAAGGAAAGAGAGAGGAGCAGACAGCAGCGACATGCGAGCCAACCCGCGCAGAGCTTGCAGGGCTGGGCTCTCTGAAGAGCCAGCTGCCCCGGTTGTCGTCTTCCTCTGGCTCGTCTTCCTCTGGCTCCCTATCCCCTCTACGCTCCAGTCTCGCCTCCCTGCGATTCGAGGGCGCGCCGTGGTGGCTGCGGCTGAAGCATGGCCACGCACCGCCCAACGGCCTGAGGGCGTTCCTTCCCCCGTCTTTTCTGCTAAGTCGTTCCACCTGTTGTTTGGCCGCCATTCTCTTCTCTCTGTTCTGCCGTTCTGTCTGTTCCGTCGTCCTGGCTGTTTGGTCATGTTTCTGCCTCTTCTGTCGTTCTCTTTGCTTGGTCGTCTTGTCTGTTTTGATACTCTGTCCGTTCCGCTGGTCGTTCTGTCTGCTGCATCGTTCTGCCTGTTCGGCTGTCTTGTCTGTTCAGTCGCCGCGCCGATGTGCAAGCGGAGCAAAGTGGCGACGCACCTGCGCACCGCGACAAAGCAACGCGGTGGCGGGGTGCATAGTAACCCCGGAGGCTTGCGCGCTTGTGGCCTGTGCGCTCACTGTGGTGGGTGGCGAAGCGCGTCCAAAACCTCCAAGGCGGCGAAGGTTTTCCGGGTGCCGTTATCGGTTTCGCCTGGGTCGCTTATCCATCGGCTTCGACTTTTGAACACTTAGGGAGCAAGCCGGCCAAAAGGCGAGACACGCGGCGAGGCCTCACAGATGGGCAAGGGCCACAACGCAAAACACACACGCGGGAAAAAGGCCAAAAAACCGAAGACAAAACGCAAAAAGCTGCCGACCGCTTTGCAAGTCCCTCAGCGGTTTCGGCTTGCCTGAGCTCTGTCCCTTAACAGTTTCGAACTTCGTGCGGGTATCGGTTTCGAGTGGAGTGCCTGGGGAAAGTCCTGGACTTTTACACCCCAAAAGCTCCAGACTTGTAAGAGCGTCGCAGCCTGTCCGCGATAAGCCGAAAACAGCGGGCCCTTTGCAAGTCTGAAGCTGGTTCTCAGGTTATAAAAAAGCGCGAACTTTTAAACCCCAAAAATTCTAGACTTCGGAGAACGTGGCAGCCTGTCCGCGATAAGTCAACAAGCCGAAAACGGCTGGCGCCTTGTAGTTCTGAAATTCTCAGGGTTCGGAACATCGTGGATTTTTATACCATAAGGGCTTCAGATTTGTGAGAGCCTAGCAGCCTGCCCGCGACAAGCCGACAAGCCGAAAACGGCTGGCCCGTTGTAAGTCTGAAGCCCTCAGGATTTGAAAAGTCATGGACTCTTAAACCTTAAAAATTTCAGGTCTGTGAGAGCCTAGCAGCCTGCCCGCGATAAGTCGAGAAGCCGAAGGCAATCCGTGGACTTTTAAGCCCTAAAAATTTCAGATTTGTGAGAAGGGCCGCCACCGTTGGGGCCATCCGCTCGCCTTCTCTTCTCTGCGTCTGCTGCCACCGGTCAGCAACTGCCTGGAAAGCTCCGGCTTCCTCGCTGCAAGCACCTGATAGAAGCGAGAAAGCCGCGACTTTGGTGGAAACTAATGGAGAAAACCAATGCAAGCTTTTCCCTCTTAGTTTCCCGTAGGACGGCATAGAGGGTTTCGAAACCAAACGCGGCACACCGTAGAGAGTCCCCCCAATTTGGGGAGCGATTTCGAGAAGAACCCGACGAGCCCGCGCCCGCTCGCTCCCAAGTACTCCAACACCAACAAAAGGGCCTCGCCTGCCGCCACAGCAACGCGCCTGCCCGCGGTTCGGTGTACTGGCTCTGGAAGAGGACTAGGGCGACCACGCTCCCGCGCCAGCCGGTGCGGTGTCCATGGCCGTCGCCGAGTCCCCGCGCCCCTCCAGTATCCCCGGGCGCGTTTGCCGCTCGTGTGTGTTGTACTGGGTTTTGGAGGAGCGCGGGGACGCGGAGGCCCCGGTGGCTTGGCCGAAGCGTGCGCGCAAAAGTGCTCGAGTTCCCAGCCTGGGACTGGGTACCGTTTTGGCGTGCGTCGCGTCCGATTAACCCACAAGAGAACAGGCTACCCCAATTAGACTAAGCCATTTGCCAAGGGGTGGCATCTTATTGCATTTGGCGCGATAGCTTTCAGTATAGACTGAGGGCCCGGCGGCTCTATGATCATTTTTGCGCTTTTTTGGATTTATGAGAAAGTGAAAAGAAGGCCACCTAATGGACCTGGAAGTGTTTTAGTGGTGTTGCTGTCTGGCTGATAGCTTTGAACCGGGGCACCCCGTGAAAATTTTCGAAGAGTTTGAATCTTTTTAAACTCTTAAGGCCTTTGAGCTGTGAATGAGCGAAAGCCGAAATTGGGCCTGAACTGCATCGCAGCCTGTGGGGAGGCGCCGCACTTTAAAGCGACCGCGTGGGGGGGGCCACGCCTTCGCGCCTTCGTTGGAAACTGGCGGGGGGAGATTTCGAGGCAGCCTCGCCCCTTCTAGTGACGGACCGGCAAACCGATTGGCCTACGCTTCCCCTGCGGAGCCTACTCGAGATTGGCCCCGGTGCCCCGATAGGTTCCCGCCCTCCGAAAATCAATTTAGAAAGCTGCTAGGGATCGCGCCACAACTCCACTAGACCCCCGTCCGCGGCAAAGTGATAAGGCAGCTCCTGGCGTAGAGTGCGCCACCGTCCCGCCGGATTCCGCGGCTTCTTCTTTTGGCCTGATGCTCCAAGCCTGGCAGCCGGTTTGCGATGAGTCGACGACTTGCGCGGGCCCCCGTCGCCTGGCTTCGCCCCAACAGCGGTCGCCTATTGGTGTGCCTGCGGCCAAAACCCCTGGAACCCCGGGAAAAGAGAGCAAGCTTTCGAGCGAAGGACCACGAGCCCGCACCCGGGGGCCCTGCGTTTGGCCTGATGCTCCAAGCGTGGCAACCGGCCCGCGCGACGTCGATAAGTAGCGGGCCAGCCTCCTCTGGCTTCTGGCCAAAAAGAATCGACCTGTGGCAAGTGAGTGTGCGGGTGTGTCTGCTCTCAAAGAAGACCCAGGGAAGAGCCGAAGCTGGGGCAAAGGACATGGAGCCCGCACGCAAGGGCGCTGCTCCGGACGTGTTGCCCAAAGCCGGGAAGCCGGTCCGCGCTGGGTTGATGACCAGCGGGCCGCCTTTCCATGGCTTCGGCCCGACCGAAGTCGGCTTTTGGCAAGCTTCGGGGCATATCTTAAAGAAAACCAGGAAAAGGGCCGGACTCGGAGCAAAGGCCGCCCGCACCCTTTGCGCCGTTCTGTGCAGCGCCGCAACGGACAAACGGGCCCGACCCTCTTGCAGCTCTTCCGGCTAACTCTCTCTAGTGTCGAAGCTTTTCGCCTTACCGGGGGTCGAAGTCCCACCCCCGAGTGCACGCAGTTAGCTTTTTTTCCCGTAGGCCGCAATCGAGGGTGGTATAGCCACTCCTACCGATGCCCTGGGCGCAGGCGGCCGACCGGATACAGGCGGTGGCCTGAGGGTAGCGCCGCCCCCTCTGGAGGCCCGTGGGAAATCTACTGAAGGCCTCTTTCCCCCTCGGAAACTGGTGGGTATTGGCGCTCCCTTGCTCCAACTAGTCGCGACTCGGAAGCACGCGGGGATTGCCGTCCAATAGTTTCCCTGACGGCACGCCAAAACCCTTCGCCACCTGGTGGGCATCTTACTGAACCCATGGCTATGGGATCTCCCTCGCGATAAGTCGAGACCCCGCGGCCAGGCTTTCGCTTGCTTGCGCCCAAAAAAGTTCCACGGCAGGCGCGCTTTGTGGAATATTTTAAACAAAACCCGGAAAAAGAGTGAATCGGACGGGGAGCAAAGGACCATAGGCCCGGACGCTAGATCCCTGCCTTTGGCCTCACGCGCCTGGCGCAGGGCCCGCTTAGGGTCGACAACCTGCGGCGGGCTCTTTCGTTCGGCGAGGCGTCGGCCATTACCGGCAGGCTTTGCTGACCAGAGCTGGTGTGATAAACGGGTCCTCGCTTCCGATATTCAGTGCCACGTTCCCCGCGGTCACTGGTAGCTCAAGGAAGACATTACCTACCCCGCAACTGTGATAGGAGAAGAAATCGCGCCACTGAGTCAGCAGGAGGCCCCGTGCATACGGAAGCAGCGTCTCTCTCGTCGAGCAATGCACGCCGGCAGGAAACATGCAAAAAGGAGCAGGGCGTGCTGCATATCGTATGATGGGGCGATGTTAATGTTTTCTTGGAATGAGCCTTGGGCCGACTTGACGAATGCCTCGTTGTGAGAGTGCGAGAGACCAAGAGGGGAGTGTAACCGATCGGGCTGTAGCAATTCCTGTGAATTGACTAAAGTTGGGAACTCAAAAATGAGCAGATCGTTCCTTTAATCCTAGTCGGAAAAGCGTCATCGATTGTAGGAATGCGCGCCGTCAGTTTGTATCCACAACACAAGCCTTAGCTATTTTCTACTTTTCACGTCACTTAGTACTTCTCTAAACACATTCACAGCTTTCGCATTTATGATTTCTCATTTCAGCAAATACTCATTTTTTACAACTTTAAATCCGGCGTCGCGCATTCAGCAAGCAATTCATCGCGAAACAATGGTTATCATAGGGCTCCGTTCTTGTGTCGCTTTCTTCTTGAGTTTTGCATCCTGCTCTGGGGGCGCAACAGTGGAGAAAACCTCCGAGCGCCCAACTCGTGTACATGACCAAGTGCCTTGCGGGGAGGATCCTGCGACAGGTATGATAGAGTATTAATGTCACACATTAATCAGCGCACGTCAGCCTTTTTTCTGCAAGAAGGAAAAACAAGGCACGGGTAAGCGAAATACAAGATTAGTTAAAGAATCGCCCATTGCTAAATTTCATTTGATTTAGCTTTTTTCATCGACATGAAGTCGATGGCAGTCCCCTAATATATCTGACGCCGAGTGTGAGTTCTTCGGATACGCGAAAGAATTTGCGTCCGACATTTTCTCTTCATCGGATAGTAGCGGTTCTCGCCTTCCATCGGCTGTAGGCGGTGGATGGACGTCGCAGGTGGAGGCGCTTGTAGATGGTTTTTCCGAGCAGCAGGCAGCTTCGGGTGACGATGCCGGCAGGGCTGCGTCGTGGTCTCGTCCAGAGGAGGTGGCAACGCACGGGAGTGAAGCATTGCGAAGTTTGCTAAGTCGCATTGTCAAGCCGGGGCTGCTCGATTCTTCGGCTCCACTTTCCGGTACACTGAGTGCTGCACTGCGACTTCTTTCCCTGTTTCACACCAAAGTGGGCAACGCGCTTTCGCACGCACTCTTGGTTCAATCAGGCGCGCTTCCTGCCTCGGTCCTTCCCACGGTGCGCACCCCAACCACGGCGGGCGAGAACGCTACGACGGACAAAAGCTATTACGGGCATCATCAATTTGAAATTTACTCTTGAACAAAATTAACACAGAGCATTTGCGAATAAATGAAAATGGTGATACATCATGACGTTGGAAACCTGGTTCTATGCAGAGTAGTTGACGTGAGACCACGACACTAGTATTCGATATTGAATCCTTCGTCGAGGGCACTTGTTCATACTTCTGCTCCGTCATTCGCTTCGGAACGTGAGCGCGGATTGTTTCTCGCAGGATGCGAACACGCGGACGTTCTGGAACGCAGTCGCGCCTTCGCCCGGGCGAAGCAGACGCACTTTGCGGCGCTGTTGCAATCGCCCATAATGCAGATGGTATTTGCCAAGATGCGCAAGATACAAACTGTTGAGTTACAGATCGAACAGCGCTTCGAGTACACGGGGACAAATCTCAACCGGCAGTCCGATTACTGGATTACATCCCTCCCGGGTATGCACGAGCCAGCGCTGTCCGGGCATCCGTTGCTCAAGCATTAAGATTTTTTCATCCCTCATTCATCCTGATGAAAAGCTGCACTTCTCACCCTTTTGAATTTAAAGTGTGACTCCGCGGCCCAGAAGATACGAGTAGAAGAGGTCTAAAAACCATTGCGCAAAATAGGGCCACTTCTTTCACACCAGAATGAAGAACATGGTACTGATATCCCGTCCTATGAACTGGAAACACAAGCTCAGCCCGCTACCGTGGAAATCATGCACGCGGGGCGCACGTCAGGGCTTGCTGGATGTCATGCCGCCGGTCCTGCTGCGAAGTTCTGTGAGCTCCTTGCGCCTGAAGTGAAATCTTCGCAAGCGGACCAAGGCTTGGCGTTTGCGGAGGAGGCAACGACGTTTGTGTTTGAGCCTACTAAGTTACAACACTTTCAGCGAGGTCGCTGGACCGAGTTGCGTAGGTGTAGCAGCAACGCAGGTCTCCTAATCTTGTACAACGGCGGTAATTACACCATGGAAGTTGTTGTCCAGGACGCAGGGACCGAAACGAAAGTGCGACCGCAACGTGCAGTTCTTATGTTTCAGAAACATAGAAAAAGATCAAATAGGTGCAGAAGGTTCTTGGCGGCCGTCGCGACGCAGAACAAGAAGAATCTCGAGATCCCAAAAACTCACAGCAAAAATCCTCTCATGAATTAGTCTGGATTCATAAAAATAGTTTTTCTTCCATCAACTTTTAGCTTGTGTGTGTTCTCTTTTTCATTGGTCGTTTGTTGCATTAGAACTTTGCATTTACTTGCTGTTGTACGCGACTACACTCGTACAACATCTTACTGGCTTTTCTTTTTTCATGGCATTTCTGGACACATGTCGTCACCGACCAGCTGTGACAGTCGCTGAGGATTCGCCCGCATTGTTGATTCCGATTTGGCACCCGATGGTTCCTCCCCTGGAGCGACGCCGATTAGCAGCGCCGCTTCTTCGAGAGCGAATGCCAGAGAAGCAAGCACACGAAACGGGAGATCGAATTTTAGATGCAGGAGACAAGAATTGGGCCTCACTTGTCCGCGACCATTGGCGCCGTGCGGAAGCGGCCCACATACCGACTGTCTTCTTCGATCCGAACAAGAGAAATTCGAAGAAACCTCCTCGACAAGATTTGTAAGGTGAAATTATTCGTCTCCTTCCTTTTATACAGCGAGTAGGGAATCATGGATGTTGGTGTCTTGCACGACCATGCGAACCAACATGAAAAGTTTTTCATCTTATCGATACACGGACCGCTCTATATGTTTATTTTCTGGTGAGTGTGTTTTTGTCATACGATCTTTCTATTGCAAAAATCGGTTCGTATAGTATGTTTTATTTGCCGGTCGCACAAATCTTAGAGAAAATAGAGACCAAGAGCACTTCGCTGAGCGCAGCTTTATCTGTTTTTCCCGAGTTGTCGCGACGAGATTAAAGACGCGGACTCTATTGCTATCGCTGAGGGAGAGGACGTAAACAGACGAGTGTAACATTTCTAATTAGTTAGTGAATTTTCAGGAAGTCCTGAAATTTGGATGGAAGAGTAAAATTGTCAATATTCTCGGTATTGACGGATCGATGCATCGGTGGAGCCATCGAGCGACTGGTGTAACGAGGCAATTGATCCACTCATGTCTATGAAAATAGCTTTTCCCCTTAACACGACTTGGCAACAATTGCGTACTTGATATTATTGGTGCAGCAATTTCTTTTTTTGCGTTGGCCCGCGTGTTTTCATGTCCTCGAATGAAAACTTTTTTGCTCTAGCGTCATTACAAGGAGCTGTTGAATATCGACTCTATATCTTGGTGAAGCAGCTTTTTGTTTGTCGAACAGTTGGTCAAAATTTGGTTCTTTTTGCCTTGCTGATGATAGATTCCTTGTGATCCTCGTGACATTTTGATCATCATTTGCTTCCGAAGACTAAGCTGAAGATAAGTACGACTGTTAGAAGGTGAACCACAATTTTAGTATATAATGAGCGGTCGTAAGAAAGGTTATTCGCCCACCGTTACGGAGGTGAACTCGGTGGCGCGAGAGCTCGAGGGCTTGGGTTTGTCGGATACCTCCGATGAAGAGAGGATGGAGAGTTCACCGATTGCTGCAGATCTGAATGGTGGAGTGAGCAAACGTGGCGTAAACGCTGATACCGAGGACACGTCATTACGTAAGGTCCCGCTGCCGCTGCAGCGCGGCAAATTTGGGCGGCTAGTTGACGAACTAGCGACTGGGATCAATCCGGCGGTGGTTTTGCGCATGCGCTGTCTGGTGATCGGCAGCGCCGGCGCGGGCAAGACGTCGATTATCCGTCGTGCCCTGGGCATGAAAAATCACGACGGACGGACGTTTGGTAGTATTCCGAAATGCGAGGATCGGCCAAAGATCAAAAAGCGCGCTACACTGGATAAACAAAGCTATCTCCCGACGATGGGACTGCGGTGTAGCCTGGACGATGATAAAAATGCAACAGGGATGAAAAAGAATCAGCAACAAAGCTCTGATTTCTACACACAGCCGGGGGCCGTAGCAGTAGACCCGAAGACTGGCATGCACGTGTTTTCGGGTCCCGAAGCCACGGGTCCTTCCTGTTACACCATTCCTGTGCTCGTCGAAGAAGCTAATCTTTTGGTCGAACTCCACTGCTACGATTTGGGCGCCAGCTCAAACAGCATGGCCCAGTTTGACCATTTCTTTAAGGCTTTTTCGCTGACGCAATGCAACGCCGTGATTTGCGTGTGCGATTTGATGCAGCCCAAGAGCTTTGGCGTACAGAAAATGCTGGAGAAAATTCGCTTACCACAATTGCAACTTACGCCGAGTGGCGTAATACTCGGGAACAAACTGGATCAGCTCTACGATCCATCCGCAAAAAAGTTTACCACCGAAACGCCACCCGAGGTAAGGCAAGGGGCGGAGGCCGCAGGTTTTGGATACTTTGAAACGAGCATATTCGCGGAAGACGACAGTCTCTTGCGCCCCTTTCATTACCTCGCTGAAAATTATGCACGAAGATATCGAAAACGCGAAGAGGCTCTGAAAAATGTCAGATGATGATTGAGTTGCAAGACTGCTCTATTGACGACGACGACGAGGTGATGAAGAGGGCTGTTGTAGAGAAGTCGCCAAACTAAACATAAATGATGATCAGAATCATCTTCTGTTAGAGACGTAACAATTTTTCCGAGAAGGTTGATTAAATAGTCTTCGTATTGTCTGTAAATCCTGGGACGCTAATATGTAAGAAATTTCTACCTCGGAATTCTTCATCGCGTGAACAATATTCCAGACAGGTCTACCCAGAAATTCTACATCTAACTGACGCGAACAACATTATTGTGAAAATATGTGAAGAAATAATCATGAGAAAGCAGACGCGCATACCTTTACGATAAGCGAAGTCAGGTGTTCCTCAGATGTCCAGGACGCACCTGCAAACTCATATCCAACGAAAAAAGAACAGAAAATCGAAGAAGATGACATGACCTTCAGAGGCGGCTGAAGATACATCGAAAAACGAGTGATCGGTCCACCAGTTCAGCGTATTCACGTAGATGTCGAGTGTTGCTAAAAATAATCTGTGTCATTTCCACTCGTCCCTTGTTGTCGGGGAAACTGAATCTGAAACTATAGTAAGGAGTAGCGCTTTTACCGATATGCTTAGGCGTCTGTACCACGTTCTGCATAATTTTACGCAACGGAACGAGATACATAGGATGTTTGTATTTATTCTTCCAGTAACTACTTCGTGACCCGAGTGTTTAGTTGCTAAGAGGAAAGGCGAAGATGACAGAGAAAGGAGGGCAACACTGCTAGGGACTGGAAGAAATGCAGAGAAGGCTGGAGGACAAAGTGCTACAGCGGCCGCAAAGTGGCCGCCGCGGGACGCTCCTCGCGAGCAGGGCGCGGCACCGAATTTCTGCGCCGTTCAGTTTTTCCTGCATTTTGAGAGCCATTAAAAGGACAAAACGCGCACCGCGTGCGCGTGCGCGTTTTATCCCGTTAGCGCCTCGAAAGGCCCAAAGGGGAAAACACGCCAGCCCGCCCGCGGACAAGGACGCCGGCAGCGCTTCTACTCTGGGGGGGTTTCAAATTTCCCGGCCTGGGAACCTGCTCAGGGGAGTCACGCCGCCCGCCTTGCATGGCTTGCGGCCTTGTGGCGTGTTTCTTCTCGCCCTCCCTCGGCTGGCTCGTTCTGGCTGTTCGTGTTCCAAGCCTTGAGATGGGCAAACCTTGAGAGGGGCAAACCCTGAGGGGAGCAAACGAGCAAATCTGGAGAGGGGCAATCCCCGAGAGAGGCAAACCCCGAGAGAGGCAAACCCGGAGGACGCCGGTGGAGGTCTACCTTGGCCCGCTACAATTGAGATCGCAAAAATGAATCGCATAGCCCTGAGTTTTAAAGCCCTGAGGTGAAAAATGAGGAGGCAAACCCTGAGGCTGAAGCGCTGGGTTTTTTCCGCTGTTTGGTCTACCCTGAGAGCCAAAACTCTGGGAGCGGTCCAAGCCCTTGGCTTTTTTTCCGCGAGCGTGAACTGTCTCCACCTTAGCGGCTGCCCCACCGGCTCTGCTGCTCCTGGCTTTCCTTTCCTCGAAGCCCGGGGACTCTATTTGACACTCCTTAAAGCCCTGACTTTAGACCTCGACTTTTGCCGATTGTTATATGAGAGGAGGTGCTTACTCTTCCAGTAATTGTTTACCATTCCTGTAAATCATATCGTATCCGAGGCCGAATCAACTATACTTGTTAGCATCTTCTCGAGCCGTATTTTTTAACCTTTACCTTTGTTGGTTCTTATGACTATGTAATTAATTTGCGAGTAATTACTTTGACCTCGTGTAAGAAAATGTGTAAAATTCTCGGTACGCGCAACGAAGTAAAAGCAAAACAAAAGTCGAATTTTAGTCCAAACAAACGCGAGCATTTCTTTTTGCATCGTCATTTTATTCGAATCCAGATGAACACAGAAGGTTCTCGTTCTGCTGCGCGGACGACGCGCTGGTTTGTTCTTCTGGAACGAGATCTAATCTATTTTTAACAACATATGACTAGCAGTTGCTGGTAGAGTTGTAAAAAAAATTCAGCACTATCCAGTATGATACTGCCCGCGGTGTTGATGTTGCGTGTTTTTGCATCGTGCTCGCTCGTCACTGGCGACCTTCACCTAGTCAGCGGCTTGCGATCGGGACCGGAAAAAAAATATTCTAAGAAATACAACAAAGTGCCCTACGTTACTCCGACCGATCCACCATGCACCTCTTTCTCGGAAACACTCTTTGCCAAAGCGTTGCCTGAAGACGTTTCAACATATTTAAGTGGTAGTTCACCGCTGAAAGAGATTAAAAACGTGGAGAACAGGCGACTCACCAAAGCAGATATCGACAGCAGCACAAGCAGCTCCGGAGTTCTTCCTTTCACGAGCGATACAACGGCCTCGTGTGCTCATTACGACAGTGGCATGCTAGAAGGCACAACTACGACAAGCAGAAAACACAACACTAGCACTAGTCAGGGAATTTCCTATTGTGGTGTACTTGTACCAAAACTGCATGAAGGCAAAGATAAAGATCAAGCAGCGATCGAAGAAGTTACTGGTGGTTCGTCGTTGCTGGTTGTTCCGAAAGTGGTGTTTCGCCACCTGGTTTCTGGCAATGCGTATGCAGAAATCCCTATCGCGTCTCGCAAAGGAGGAAGCCTGCGTGCTCTGTGGAGATCAGCAAAGCCAGAGGATCCTGTTCGACTAGGACTTTTGATATGTCCACTGACTAGTACAGAGCCGCCTGTTATCATAGCACTTTTCCATTAATTTCTCCGATATTCAGTTTCAGTGAAAACGAGACGTCATTTTCAAGTAATACTGGATGGCGAAGATGGAGGAGGACTTCTTTCCAGGGAGTACAAGGAACAAGTCAATGTCACAATGGTGAAGAATGTCGTCAAATCGTGTTATTCATTGACTCCTGAGCTAGACCTCTAATTTGTAGAATCTTTGCACCCCGTGGCTGTACTACTGCGCGTGGCGCGGCGTGTAATCGACCCATGCGACTTTATCATAGTGGTACGCAACAGCCCTTGGATTTTGATGAAGTGCTGAAGGGAGACTCTGAAGTCGGCGTCGTGGATTTAACGCTTGCCGGCCATGCAGATCTGCCTTTGGCTCGACACTTGCGAACCCTGCGCTCGGATCTTGAGGCGTACATGAACAACGACGGCTCGCTTAAGCTTCCGCCTACAAGGCAAGAACGCCGGCAATTACCACAAGGAAGCGGGGATGAAGGTGGCCAGCACCAAGATCAAGTTATTCAGGACCAAGGTGGCTACCAAGAGCAAGTTAGTGACGAGCTCGAAGATGGTGATCTGCGTGAAACAAATTTCTATTTGGACGTGCTAGAATGGATTGCTCATCTGCGGGACCAAAGTTCGGGTTTTTTTTACGCTTACCGCGCGGGAGCGGCAGGCCAGGACGCCCGCGAGGGGCAAAGACAACAAAATCAACACCGCAGAGAACAGCAACAAGAGCAAAGTGATAATGAAGACGAAAATGATCATGCTGGTCTTCCTAAGAGAAACAACGGAGACCACCAAGACCAACCACTACCGTTCATGCTGTCTGCCGAGTCACAGGGCCTACTGCAAGTACAAGCGGAGGCGGTGCGGGAGGGCTGGGAGATCCAGATTGGTGATCCTTACCTCTCCACACGACACGGACAACGGTATGATATTCATCCCTTCTGGCACCGCCGAAGACTGCAGACGCCACGAAGAAGTGGAGAACTAGAAGAGCAAGAGAAGACGACGAACCGAGGCAGTTGCAGCACAGGAGGATACCCCGCAACAAGAACGTCAGCAAAGAGGGATCATAACGGTAGTACCGCTTCATCCAGCGACCCTAGCTGCAGTGGACCAACGACGGCAAGGACTACAATGAATGCTACCATAGCAGCCATAAGAGACAGCCTTTTCTCCCACCATTCCGCTCCGGTTCCAGGAGGGGGCGACTTCGTTAGCTTCTCAGGATATGACATCAGCCCAGACCATAAAACTCTTAGCGTAGTCCAAGATGGGGATCGGTGGGTGACATACGAATTTCAGCGGCCGAGCCGGCGACAGCGCCGCTTTTTGCCACCTCAACCACAGTTTGCTTGGAAGTGCACTCTTATTACTGTAGATCTAACCGGAAACGGAGCAATTTTTGCTCTGTCACAGCGGCTTGGGACGTAGACGCTTGAGATGCCACTCGTCAACATCACAAGCGGAACTAATTTATGCTGATGTCGACGGTTTGAAAATATTGAGATGTCGATGCAGTAAAAATTGGTTCAAGGAGCGCAGTGGCTCCGTGACCGGATTGAGTTGTTTTTAGATTTTAGTGAATGTGTAGAAAAGAATCATACATAATATCCACATAACCTTGCACAACATGTGAATGATATCCATATTAGCGCACTGTAGATAGTGTCCTTTTCTGTGGTTGTGAGTTTATTTGGTGAGCCGGTACCTCATTGCGAATAGACCTGTGCACGCAACCATAGAGCTGAGCACTTACTGGAGGCGTTGCGCAGGGCTCCGGTGTGCCTTCGAAGGTGAGCCCGCTGGGGCTGACAGGATCACGACAGCGCCGGCGCTTAGTTAGTAGTAGACAAGTACCTACCTGACTTTTCTTTTTTCGGTTTTTGTTTTTTCTAGTTAGGTCTGCTCCACCAACATATTAGCGTATTGTTGTAACAGCCACAATATGAGATTGCACGGTATATCATTGTGTCGGCACAAGTAGAGGCAAGTTTAGATGGGACTTATGATTCTACTTTGTGTTTTCTGCGAAAAGTCGAGCCCGGCATCTCCGCCCATCGTAGCATATGAGATCAGTCTTTGTCGACCAGACTCCTGTGAGGTGATGTCACGGGTCACAGAGTTTGGATCGAATCGACAGAGCTCGTTACAGTATTTCATGTCTGTGAGAATGTCAGCTACTGTGGACACGTCCTCTCAATGAGAGTTACATTCGAGGATCACTATCAGAAACAGAATCACGTGACACTCTCTTATGTGTTCGTCGCGCCCGTGGACTACCTTTGGTCGCGTCTGGAGAGGCTCTTCGCCTTCGCGGTACGCGAATGAAACACCCATAGCGGTTCTGCGCGTTCTGTCCAAAAAAGCTTTTCTCGGACACTGCTCAAGGAGCACTTCTGCGTGATCCTTGTATTGTCATTTTTTCGACTATAGCGTAGGTTGCCGTGGGAACTAGTTTCAAATGATGTTTGGAGAAATCGAGAGTCATCTACATCTACTTTGACATCGAAATGTTGAATTTATTGGCGGGGGCGATCATGATGGGCGGGTCCTCGTCTACTTCCAGGCAGGAAGTCGGAAAGCAAAACCCCACGCGCCGAGCCCTCCTAAGGATCACACTCCTGCTTGCCTGCGTGGATATTTGTATGCACCTAACACAACTGGTAGCAAAGAATAGTTCAAGCTCCTCGTTTGTGGAGGAAGCTTCGAATGCAAGGAGCTACGGGAATCGCTACCAGTGCGGAAATTCCTTTGGAGTGACGAGCCTGGTGGGCCGTAATCCTTTTCTAGAGCCCATTGGACGAAGTAGGAGTAGCTGCAATGGGTCTGAAACTTCCTCAACAGTAGATTCGCGTCAGTACTCTCTTCAAGACCAGCAATGCGTTGGTGGTGATGGTGCCCACAGCAGTTCTTCTTCAAACTCTGCTCTTGTGGTGTCTCCAGCAGGACCGCCAAGTACGCTGTTAGCGAACGCGCAACAGTTGCAGCAAATGCCTGAGGGACTCGCGCAACAGGACCCAGGACAGGGTGGCAACTGGCTCTTGGGGTCGTTCGTGGAGCACATGCACTGTGAGATGGCGGAAGAACAGGACGTCGAGTTCTGGCGTGATGTCCACAGACTGACAACGGCCTTGGACCCTTTGAACAGTGATAGTTTCGATGCGCGTGAGTACGAGCAGGTGCGCCACTCCGCTGGCCTACCGGACATCTCCTCGCCTGCGGCGCAAGCGGCACCTGGAGAGCACTTGTTTCAGCGATTAATGCACGTGCGTGGCCTCTTGGAGCATGTTTTGGTGCCGTACAAAGTCGTGGATCCCGTGTTTGCGCTAGAGTGTCCTCTCGGCACTGCGTCACTACTGCGCCAATTTGCGCGTTACTGCCTTCACCTGTTCCAAGAAAACTGCCGCGAGCGCGCTGTCCGGGTGCTGCAGCTCGCGAAGCTGATGACGCTGTTCAATTTTCCCGATTACTTACGGAGGAGGCTATTTTTAATATTCCATTTCCAGAGAAGATGACACAGAATGCCGGTCCAAGTATTTCTTCTACATTGAGATTTTTGAAGATGAGTACATATGGGCATGCCCTTCACCTTGTTTTTACAGGAAATGAATTGTTGAGTAGTGAAGCTCATGTTCTTCTAAGTCGTGGTACTATGATGCAGCAAAGCAAGTGGCGAGCAGACTTGGGAATGCTCAGTGGTCAGGTGTACGAACTGTATGGGCCAGACGCACAATTAGCTTCAGCAGCAGACATTGCGACGCGAAGGAGAGTCGCGGAAGGCTCAGACCTGCAGGCACCCTCAAAATTGTCAATCGGCATTGTTTCGTATTGCAATTACGGCAATAGCAGTTTTCCCTTGCCTGGGTGGAGTCGGCGCAACAAGGAGAGCTACGCAAAGCGCCACGGCTACGCTCTGTATCATTTGGAGAAACCGATCGTAAAGCAGTACCATCCGTGGATGAACAAGTTATTGGCAGTGCGGCACTTCTTGGGAAGCCACGACTGGATCATGTGGGCCGATTGCGACGCGTATTTCATGACGCCGGAGGAGCGCGTGGAGATGCTCTTGGTGGACAGTGCCACTGGCACCGTGGGTGAGGCCATGGATTTTGTGATAGCCGAAGACGGAAACATGTTCAATTCTGGAATTTTTCTGCTACGAAACAGTAACTGGGGCCGCAAGTTCTTGAACAACAGTATCGACTTGCTGGCTGCGCCGATGCCCTACAGCTTTCAGCACAACCAGTGGCACGAACAGAGCCCCTTTATGTATTTAGCGCTCGTTCCGTCCATTCTGGACATCAACACGTTGATGGATGCAGATGACACAGCGGCGCAAAAACGACAAGAGGAGCAAAAGAAAGCGGCACAAGAAGAGGTTTCAGCCACCGCATACGATCACGTCACTGCGGATTCTTTGCTACAACAGGCAGAAGCACGACGACATACGGCTTCGATGAAGGCGGATGAGCATCGGAAGTTGGGCTACGATCCACAGCATATCCGAGTGATCCCACAGAGTCTGATGAACAGTTATCCTCCAGAACTCGTCGAACGAACGGCACATGCTCTCCGGCATCACGCTTGGCGGCCAGGCGACTTCGTCATTTCCTTCAACGGGTGTGGGTCTGTGCTGGGAGGAGATATTTGTCTCCGGATTTTCGGCTCATACTTTGAACAAAGCATGCAGGGTGTTCAAGAATGATGGGTCACGTGCACGCGAAGTTGTACAATAAATGAGAAGTGAAGAGTCAAAACGTTGGTAATGTTAACGGTATCTAGTCAGTGATGGCATTGTATTCTGCGTTGTGACAAAGAAAGATCGCCACCTCATGTCGATCTTCGCGTACTAGTCAATTCCACTACAACTGGAAAAAGCCAGCGATCACCATCCATGTGATTTACATGGGTACTAGCAAGTAAGTAGACGTGTAGAACGCTCTTATGTCGTTGACGCAAGTGGAGTTTCGGCACACCATATTTGTTCTTCATAAGAGCTATCGCTAAATCGATAGCAATTTTCCGTTTCTGGTGGAGGCACAGTCATTGCTGTGACTTTTTTTACCATGAAGTTCTCTGTGTTCATCTCCATGCCCCATGCGTGCATGTGTCTCCTAAGTGACAGGAAGTGCTATGACACCGGCAGCATTCTTTGTAGAAGACGAGAATTTGAGGTTTTCTAAGTTTGTTACCCTACTACACATTCTGGAAAGGCATTTTTAGTTCACGGAAAAGGCAACGCGTTTAAGTACTTTAGATGATCGGATGTTTTTTTTGTTGAAAAACGAGGAATTCATTGAGAAAGGACTCCGACTCAACCTAAAATGTAGGTTCCTAATGATAGTGTGGTCGCTGGGAAAAGTTAGTCGAAGATACTCGTAGTGAAAATTATCGGTGCTCAAGAATTCATAGATAGAAAAAGTGGATTAGATTCGAATATTTAGGACGAATATTTGACGATAGAGGGTATAGTGGGATTGAATGATGGTCTATATTGAACGAAGTGGAAGAAGTAAGTATTTGAGACTACATGTGAAGAACAAATTGGAAGTTATAATCGAATAAAGATCGGAAATTTGATTCTGGAATTTTCTTGTCGGCAAATCAAAGGCAGTAGTCGAAGTTTTATACTCTTCCTTGGAAAATAAAATGGTGGGAAATAGTAGCTCAGGAAAACCTGTTTTTCCAACCGCTATGATTTTTGTGGTTGCCACCGCTTCTTTTTGCGGTATTGTGCTGGCCCTTCTACTGGGAAGTTTTCCAGTTGATGCTGTCACAGTAGTTTCTGGACGAACGGACCCGGCTAATGGGCCGGATGAACTTCCTCACGGCGTATCCGCAGAACGCTCTGAAGGCGTTGACGATGATGAAGGAGGGACAGATGCGCATGAGACGGAGGAGCTCAGGCGAGCGCTCGCTGCGCGTCTTACGGTTACGGACAGGAACGCGCGATACGAAGATATCACTGGTGTTTCCAACGTCGAGACTGCGTCCGACGAGGTAACAACTCCTGTCATGCCCCCCCTAAGTCTTGGGGAAAACAACAATACAACGAGACCGGTACTCGATCAAGAGCGGGAGCGCCAAGTAAACAAGGCGGTAGTCAATAATACAAGCCGCCCTGCTGAGGTCCCAGGCCAGTGTCCGTCTTCTTCTCTTTTTGACTGCTTGTCTCCTTTTGTAGTTCCTCAACCTATCCAGCGACAAAACCTTGGCGCACCAGGAAAGATATCTTGCGCGCTAAAAAGCCAGTTGAAAGAGCTGTTAGCCTTGGTCATGCAACTGCACACAGCGGTAAAAGGGAAAGAGGAGAAAGCTTATGATTGATAGAATCAGAAATAGCACGTCCTCACACGCTTGATAAATGATTTGCATAACTTACATGCATGGCAGCATCTAGATGCGGTTGATCTGATTTTTATGCCTAGGTCGTAGGGTTTGTATAGGGCTGCATTTGAAGTTCACAGTGCAATTTCATTTTTGTGTTCTACTTTTGATGTTTTTTCATAGACAGATTTGCGATTGGACGCAGAAGGACCTGATATGTGGAGAGACGATGAAGCAGGGCCCCCATCATGTCTGTTACCTGCGCAAGAGACAGACAGACGGTGCGGCAGCCGTTCTGGGATCAGGCGGCTTCGGGCGTGTGCACGATGCAATTCGAGTGACGGAAACGGGCAAACTGTGGCGTCGCAAAAGATTTTTATATAGATTATGGAAAAACTAGAAAAGAAGAATTTTCATCTGAAGGTGGTATAAAAGTTACTACATTTTTTTATTGCGCAGTATTATTTGTAATAATATTGTCCTTAGTCTAAGAAGGCTCCTCATAGATTTCAACGCCTGTTTGCATTTACCATTTCCCGGAGAATATGATGTAAAGAAGAGAAACAACCTGCTTCAGAAATACATGTACTACACCAACTGGGGGGCGCGTACTCAACCGCACTAGGTGGGTCTAAGTTTGTCTCAAACAGCAGTCAAAGACAGAAGAACTGGACAAGTGTCGTATCACCGAGTCGATTACCACGAAGCACGATTCGCGCCTCCTGCAGTGATCAAAGCCGTGCTCTCACATCAAGTCCCTGTAGCTGCTGCTACATCAAGTATAACGGAAGGGGCCAAGCGGAGAGTGTGGGAGGGAAAAGGTGTCCCGAACGATGGCGAGTTTGAATTTGAGCAGGCGAAGGTCTGGAACGAACTGGTGCAGCAGGATGGTCGACGATATGTCGCAGAGCATCCACACGAGGTAGTGCTGAAAGAATTGGTGGGGACGAGTCCTGATGCAGATGGAGTTCGGCGGACCGACCACGAAGAAAGGCGGAAACGTTCCATGCTTAAGGCTCATGATTTATAATGAGCTGTCTTATAGTCCTAATGGGCAGTCCCAGTCAGTCTTGTACTTGCTTAACTATTTTTGGGCTTTCGTACCTCGCCATCCAAAAAGAAAATGAATACAAGCGAGAGCTTTGAGTCCTCAGCTTCCTTCTGCGGAAATCATTTTAGGAACAAGATGTGCGGAAAATGTGAATCAAGAGCGTCCATAAATTCATTATTGAGTGGAGAGGTATTACTATGCCCTTTATTATTGGTGAATACTAGGTGAGACCTATGGGGCTGACAGGACGACGATAGCGCCGGCGCTTAGTTAGTTTTAGCAGTTAGCCGGATACTTGTTGATAGTTACCCTTTTCTCTTTTGTATCTTCCTCAGTTCTGTCTCTTTTCTAGTTAGGTCGGCTCCACCACAATTATTGAGTGGAGAGGTCTAATCTTTTGGCTGAAATTGACGTTTATAAGCAGCTTCGACGTGGCGCGCACTTTGGCGAAGGGCCTTTGCTGCCAGATGGCAGGCGGAAAGATAGATGTATACCGGCAGGCGCCCCTTTGCTACTTAGCAGAGGAGGAAATGTGGCGGCTGGTTCTTCTTCACTCTTATCAGGTGTAAGAGCTACAAATAATACTACTAGGAAATTGAATGAGCTTCATCAGCATGTTGACGTCGGACCATCAACGAATCTCACGAGAGTAAATCGAGAAGGATTAGATGAAGATGATCAACACAAAGCCAAAGTCGACTGCGCGGGTGATGCAGCTACGGCGGGTGAATTACGAGAATGGGGCCGCAAGTACATTGCACACATGCTCGATTACCACACACCGAGTCTTGGTCTTGTTCCAGGAAAAGGGCAAGTGAGTTTCGATGCAGCCGGAGACTCCAAAAAAGATTTTCTGATCCTGGAAAAGGCTGAGGGAAGGGATTTGCGCGGCGAAATTAACTCTGTTCTAGAGAATGGGTGGTACGAAAAAGAAGGTCTACCATCCGATTACGTGCGCGCAGCAGTCAGTAAGCTTGTATGAAGACGAAAATTTTTTTTTTGTTCATTCTCGTGCAAAGATCTTTTTGCAGCTGTGTTGTGCTACTTTTTAGCTTTTTCATCTTTAAAATGCCGTCCTCTCGCTCCCATCCCATCCAGTAAAAAGTGAGTTGAACTTTTTGGTTAACATACAGGTTCTTGAGTAACGTAGGTAAGTACATCATGTTGCACGAAGATCGATGAGCCTTCATACCTAGCTCTGGGCAGTTTTCGACAGCGGGAGCGGTTAGTGGCGAAGGTGATGCTTGCTCTGATGCGTGGCGTTGCTTTTATGCATCACCACGATGTGACGCACCGAGACTTGAAGCCGGAAAATATCAAGGTTGCTTTTTCTCCAGCTGATCCCGAAAACCCGGATGGCGAGGTCGAAGTGAAATCGTTGAAAATTTTTGATATGGACCTGGGAGTTCTGAATTCGCAGACGCCAGACAAGTGCAAGTCTGAACCGGAGCAGCTTGTCGGAACACACGGCTACATTTTATGACCACATCACCAGGACTGCTTGTTGTTGTTGCTTACATAGTCTACGTTATAGAAGAGAGTCACATAATACAAATATAGAAGAGTCAAGAATAAAGATATGAGAATTGAAATCCGTAATATTTTGGGTTAAAGAAACCCTAGAAACTGCGAGAGGGACAACATCGACTTCACTACTTCATATGGGCCGCCCGAGGTGTACAAATATGCGGGGCGCAAGCAATGGACCCTGTTGAAGATGCCGTTTGATCCTGTGGAGCGCAGTATGTATTTGAAACACCTCCCGAAGTTCGACATTTGGTCTGCCGGTCAGTTATTTTGGCAGTTGCTCTTTTTCACGCCTCGTTTCGAGCTTGGACCCGAGGCGTATGGTTTTGAGCCGCCTCTGAAAGAAGTGACCGAGCACAAAGATTGGGATTTCCTTCAGTGGGATCACGATGAATTCTCTTACGGACCGACACCACTGAAGCGATCTTCAGAAGAGCACATACGAGCTGTGACCAACATAAGCGAGGATCAAGATGTTCTTGAATCAGAACGGGAGGTATTTGCAGATGACATGCGAGTCGTGAACAACGTGACCGAGGATCAACATGTTCTTGAAGCAGAAGAAGAGCCCCATGAAAGAACGGTGCGCAAGTTGAGCCAGCTTCTCCGTTTTGTGCCGGAAGACCCAGAGGAAAGTTGGGACGCTAATCCAGACGTGAAAAGAGACCGCCGGTTACGTGTTCTGAAAAGGCCCATTAACGTAGAGCCAACACCCCAAATGGGTCGTAATGTTAAGAAAAGATTTGGTACTTAATCAGGAAGACTACTTGTTACAAGGTAAGTATTTATGGTTAAGTCAGGTTTTGGAATCGCTCCGACTAGTGTCAAGTCTCCGAGTGTTCAGTCAAGCTTCGAATCACGTCTACTTTCTGCCCAGTTGAACTCTTCCTGTATGGATGTTTGTGCTCTTTGTGTCTAGAAAAATGCAAAAGAAAGTTCGTAGCGAAGATTCCCCATTTCTTTTTTCATAGAAAACGGGGGAGTGGAACTTATCAAGAGCATGATGGACCCCAACCCTGCGAATCGGCCAAGCGCGATTGAAGTTGTGAGAATTTTAGAGGAATATTTGGACGAAACAGAACCGAAAAGACCGACACATGCCGCATCGTCTGATAATCTCTGAGACAAATATAAAGAAGCTGATACCGAATACGTAGGGATCGGAACAAAAAGCAAGGACAATTCCGATCGTATAATTTCAAAATAACAGATTGATAAGTGTAACGTAGTCTACTTGGATTCTGATTTTATAGATTAGCTTGACAATAAGGAACGCGGAGCAAGGAATAATCAACTAGACGTTGGAATCGGAAATTTGTGGACATTTTTTATGCGGCAGTTGTTATCGATTAGGCTCTCGAAGGACCGCAGGGGAGGAGTTGTCCGATTGCCACCGTGGTAGCTTCAACGCTAGGCACGGGCGGCAATGGTCCCAAAGGTGCGCCTCATCCTTCTGATGCCGATGTTTCGATTTTTCCGATATTCGTTGAGAAAGTTTGTAGATTGTTCCTTTGGTAGTTATGTTCGAATGCATTAGATATTTTATTTTTGCTTTCTTAATATACTCACTTTTATGACACTAGTCCGTGGTGATTAATTTTCCGGAGATGTATAAAGCAAGATATGTTTTTAGAACTACACATGAATGTTTTTATCAAGGTTTGTCCATTTGATCGACCTTAATAACGGCTGATAGGAAACAGTACAACGAGCGTATCAGGAGGAATGAAAACCGTGCTCTTCCTGATAACTGAATGAAAATCGGGCCGAACAATGATGGCAAGATGTTGCCAAAAAATGTAACGTTGACCTTTGCTATGTGATTTTTTTTCACCAACAGTCTGTCTGTGTATTCAGGTCCTTGCGCTTTCAATTAGATAATGGTTTGCTAGAGGATTTCTGCTCCTCGAAATGGTTACCTGAACTAGAAACATAGTCGTCGAGTTGTAATTGGAACTGCTGGAGGTGAATGCAAATTTTCAGCCTCATTCTGGCACGAAAGATTTTCCTTGAAATGGAAATGCGTTTACTGGGATATCGATATTGATGATGCCTGACAAAATCACATGCGTCTGATGAAAATGGAATCGCAATTCGCCGCCCGTTGGGCTTCAATGCCGTGGAATGATAATGGCGCCTAAAGCTGTTCGATTGTCTGTTCACGTAAACGCAATGAAGCACTATCCAGACCTCTACAGTTCTTGATCCTGAAACGGTCTTGTGGTACTCTGTAGTTGGATCATCCTCACTTGCCAAACATACTGGCTCTTAGTACACTACTGTACGTATCCATCGCATGAAATATGGACTAGTATGTTGGACGAACTTTGAGCTGTCTTTCTTATCTTCCTATTTCGTTCTTACATTCTCATTGAAGGCAGCGAAAGTGGATGAAGATGTGGATCTTGTTGATGTTTTTCTGTTTGAATTCCTAGAAGTAACGATAACTTTTTTTGGTTGTATTCACCTTGTTTTTCTTGTCCTGACGGATTTTTCCGACAGACCGCACTCTTCTCCTTGCGGTGATCTTCTACAACTTTTCTAGTTTGATTTTTGGTCTTTCTCTTTAGACAAAGATCAGCAAAAATGGCGTTGGTTTCCTCAGACAACGACAGCAGCGCTGACGAGCACGACCGCCCAATCGCTCCGGCGACCAAGAAACGGCTGGTGGCTGGCGGTGCCAAGGCTAGTTCGTTTGTATCCAAGAAGGTGAGGGAGGAACGTGAAGCGCAGGAAGTGCAGAAGCAAAAAGAAGAGCAGAAAAAGCGGGAAGTCGAAGCGACGCGCAAGCGAAAACAGTTTCTGCTGCAAGATCCACGTGATGCGGAGCGGAATCGTGAGCGCGCCGAGCGAGAGTATGCTCGTAAGCTGCGCGAGGAGGAGCGGCGGGCACGTGCGAATGGCAGCGCCGAAAACGGGAATGCCAATATGGTTCCCCTGGGCAACGGGACGAGCCATTCGACTTCAGGCGGCTCTTCCTCGAGTTCCAGCCGAGCAGCGACGTCCAGCGGCGCTATAAAAAACGTAGCAGCAGTCTCCTCCTTGAAAAATCTGGGTCTCTTGTCGAAAGAGAAATACGATCAAGTCTCGACTCAGGAGAAGGCGAACTCAAAATCGACATCTGTACCTTTACAATTCTCCTTTAGAATATTCAATTCAGAAAGTCAAAGTGTTCGCAGATTCTGCTGTACTCAATTTTGTATTTTACCAATGCGGAAAACGACTTAACGAATTATGACCAAATGTTGAAATAATTGATTGCACGTACTAAGTACTTACTTTGTTTCTAGAATTCTTTGTTTCTCATGGAAGGATACCATCTTTTTTTCTGAAACAAACATCAGATGTCTGCGCAGGAACTGTACATGGTAAAGAAACAGTATTTGGGTCTTCGCGACGAGCGTAGAAAACTGCAGAAACCCTCTGAAAAGTTTCGAAATATCTTCAACTTCGAGTGGGCTGCCGAAGACGACACTTTCAGGGGTGATTCAAACGAGCTCTATACAAAGCGACCCGAGCCCCAACTTCTCTATGGACGAGGCTACCGTGCAGGAATTGACGTCAGAGAACAGCGAAAAGCGAACAGCTTCTACGAGGAGATGGTCGCTGCGAGAGCGGAAGCAACAGGCGAAGATGTATTCATTTGATTTGTCGAATCTCGTTTTGAGTCGTAGAATAAGAACACTTGGATCCCACCCATTATGATTAATAATGCTTTTGAAAAGCTGATAGTTGTTGACGTAGTCTAGTTGTAACCATGTTTGTAATTTTTTCATCAACCATTCTTCATGCTTTGCGCTTACACGACCGCCTGACCGAAATTACAATAACCAGGTTTCCAACTTTTTGTCTTCACGCGAGGCTATCGCGCAGAAGAAAGAGAACGCGGGCAGAGAGGAGGACGGCCGTCACTGGACTGTCAAGTCTCTGGATGAGATGAAATCTCGCGATTGGATGATCTTCAGAGAGGATCATCAGATCAAACTGCAGGGTGGTCGCGTGCCACCTCCACTCCGAAATTGGCAGGAGGTACCATTGTTATGATGTTCAGTAGATTATATAGATGCTTTATATATTAGGACTAGAATCTTGCTAGTTTTTTTTGTAGGAGCATGCAGCCTAAGAGTCAAGAGATTCTGGTGCGTTTGTTACCATGTTGAAAGATGTGACGAAAACACCGATCAACCTCCTCAAACCCCAATCAACACAGGCACCGCTTCCGGTTGAGCTGCTAGAAGCAGTTTCGAGGTGTAACTACACAAAACCGATGCCAGTACAGATGCAAGCGATACCAGTTGCGTGTGCGCTGCGAGATCTCATCGCGGTCGCAGAAACCGGAAGTGGAAAGACCGCAGCCTACTCTCTTCCACTATTGAAGTACTTTACAACTTTTTTTAGGGTATCTAGGATAGTTCTTCGAGTCTTCGTTTACATCATGTGTATGGCAGAGTCGTACTTTTCCTGATAACTTTGTGAACTCTTTGGCACTCCTACTCACGAAAAAGTGCTCGCACAATCGTGCCCTGTGAATGCATCATTTTCTTTTTTTTCTGGTTTCAACATTGACTCATCACTACCGCCACCGTCTGCAGGTACTTGCATAATTTGCCGCAGCTGGACCACGAGTCAGCACAAAACGGGCCTTATGCCCTGATTCTGTGCCCGTCGCACGAATTGGCGTTTCAGATCGAAAAGGAAATGGACAAATTTAAGCATTTTATTCCCCACATTCGACGTGTGACCCTGGTCGGTGGCCAGGGAGGACGTGATGCGGAACGGCAAGCCTTCGATATTCGAAACGGCGTCGAGCTTATTATCGCCACTCCAGGTCGATTAGTCGATGCGATCAACAAGCGACACACGGTCTTACACCAGTGCAACTACGTTATCTTGGACGAGGCAGATCGAATGTTGGCGCCGGGTACAGTGATTTATGTTTCCTCTTCTTCTTATTACTTACTTTCTCTATTCCGTTGTTTTTACTTATCATTGATTTGTACAAGAACTGCATGAAACAGGCGTTGAACTTGAAGATGCAGACGTCAGACATCATTTTTCTTTTTGTTCGCATGCTAAGGTTTGCAGGAGTTTCTGTATCAAGCGTTGGATGCGATTCCGAGCACGAATCTGAAGGCTGAAAGCGAGGATCATGCCTATAAGCAGGAGTTGGAGGGACTTGCCGGCCATCGCTCCTTTCGCATTACCCAAATGTACGGCGCGACGATCAATGCCCCCATGGAACGGCTCGCCAAGAAGTACTGCCGCCACCCAGCCGTGATCCGTGTGGGCGATCCCAGTTCGGGCAATAAGAACATCGAACAGCGAGTGAAGATGATGCCAGAGGCTGATAAAAAGAAGGAACTCGAAAGCCTTATTGGCAGCGTAGAGATGGAGACGCCGTGTATGATCTTCGTGAATCAGAAGAAAGCAGCAGAGCTTCTGGCCAAGACGATCGATCAACTCGGGTACAAGGCAGCAACGATGCATAGTGGAAAGCTCTCGAGTGACAGGTACTGCGTCGATGATGATACACAAATTATAATATAATATGTATCCAATACTGGGTGAAACTCCATTGCTAATTTTATAGACAAGAGCCCCTTCTTCTTCTTGTTCTTTGACAACTACAACTGATGTTATACCTTGTATCGACGATTATTGTCGTCTATTGACGAATTTCCTAACATCAATGATTTTTCTTTATCATTATCAATTTCTTATCATGACAGGCAAGCCGCTCTGGAGAAGTTTCGTTCGGGTCAGTTGGATTTTTTGGTGGCGACAGACGTGGCCGCTCGTGGTATCGATATCGAGGGCTTGCCGCATGTTTTGAACTTCGACATGCCAACGGACTTCGCAGAATACAAGCAGCGCATTGGACGAACCGGTCGTGCTGGACGCAAGGGTGTCGCCACTACGTTCTTGACACCCGCAGACGAAACTCACTACTTCGAATTGAAGGAATACCTGATCGCTTGCGAAAAGCCGGTGCCGACAGAACTCTCGCTTCACGAGGCAAGCCGGTTCAAGCCCGGCACTATCACGGAAAGCGGCCACATGCAAGGACAGAAGAGCAACGTGGTTTACTCATCAACATACAAATGATGATAACGTGTGGGTGGAGCAATTGATTAACATGATTATGTCATGGTGATCCATTGCGACACGATTCAAAAACACGACAAGATTATACAGACACTCTCGAAGTCTGTGTGAAACCTTCATGCCTCATACCCTACATGACGGTTTTCCAAATTTTATAAACGCCGTCGTAAGTAGTATATTATCCCACACACCATGCCTCGTATCACCAAGAAGAGACATGCCAATCTCGGCTTGAGGAGACATGCTCTGAAGCGCGAAAAAAGACTGAGCGTTTGAGTCCGGTACCCCCCGCATATCTTTGAACCCAACACGAGAGTGTAAGAATTTTCCATGGTCCCCTTCAGCCCCTGAGCGCACAAACTACATCAAACCTTGGTAAGAAAAGTCTCCTCAACGTAGGTCATGGTGTTCAGCGTTTAAAGAGAGATGATAGAGGACAATCAATCAGTTATCAGATTTACTTTGACGAGTGAAGAATACAGCTTCCTTTTTATGTCTTGCTGCGAGGCGTGAATACTAGATTTATTTGACATTTCAAAACACGGAGAGGAGAGAGAAGTGTTTATCAAGACGTCGATCTTACCAAGTGATGCTCACAGCGCAGGAAATATGAGAGAAAGCCCCCATTTCGCAATGTCAAGAATACTTGCGCAGCAAGTTTGATTTCCAAAAATTTTTTGTTTACAATTACAATTTTTTCCCCGCGCCTCGCAAAAGGTTTCTCAAATGTTGCGCACATGAATTGCAATTGTTGAGCGAAAAGAAGTCCCCGTCTCTTCTTTGTTGCATTTCGATTTTAGCCGAGGTCTTGGTTCACTTTATCGATTGGTCGCCTAGATGGCAAATTCTCTGGTGTACTATATAGGAGACATTTCTTTCACGTCAAGCACATGATTGTAATAACTCCGAAGGTAGGAAGACCCGATCTCTTGTTTCTACGGGCCTGTCATAAATCTTGACGATTAAGTGAGTCTGTCGTCATGATTGACTAAGTAGTAGTCTACTAGATTCTCCCGGTGATGGAGATTATGTTAGACTGAGATGAGCACGCTTATTATGCTTGATGGCTGACTTAAATTCGCTACGAATATGGCCACCGTTTCGTCCCGCTCTCAACTGTGGGGACCACCGTCCGGGCTTCTCGGTCTTTCTGCTCCACTACTCGCACCACCAGCAGAAACGCTACCCAATGGGGCACCGCCTGCCACTTTTTCTGAAGCGCGACCGGTGTGGAGCGTGGTGAATGTTAAGACAGCTGTTCTTGGCATTTTTTATACCTAGTGAATTCCGAGTACTCTTTGTGTTATTCATCATGCAAGGGAACAACAGCGTAAAACCATGGCGAGAACCAATCTTGATCTTCATTCAATCAAACTTGTTTCAACAAAGATCTGAGACACAGATGACAATGTCAAAGATCCAAGATAGTACAGCAACATTTCCGAAAAGGGGAGAGGCAGTGAACTGATTTTTGTTGAATCCTTCGCTCTCCATCTAAGAAATGAAATTCCGGCCAGGAGCAAGGTGCACCGGATACGGCGGATAGCCCCTTCTCCACTCCGTCAGCATTTGGGGGGCGAGCCGGCACTGTCGGTCGTGGTTCCAGTTCACAAGTGTGGGAGACCGTCACAAGAGCCGATGTCAGTACGACGTTACCGCCACCAGCCTCAGAGCGGGATGCCAATAATTATCTGCTGTATCGAGTTCGCGACCCCGAGCCCGCAACGACGTCTGAGGTGCCATTAATATTGACAGACATGTTGTTGTTACAGAGAATAAATACATTCATCTACATCTACTAGAACACTTGAATGAAGAAACTGGTGGCTTAAAGATAGTCTAAGGCTAGCCAGGTCATAGTCAATACATCTGGGAGATCTTCTACAGTTGTAGACTCTCGTACTACAGCGACGATATAATGTAAATTCGTACTGGCGTTGATAGCTGATTTCAGTAAGAAAATCTATGATTTAGCTCCTATCTGTTGTAAGGCGTCTATTTCTTCTTTTTGTGGTCAACATCTCTGACTCTATACAACTACCAGATGATGATGGTGGCGTTGTGGAAGGGGTTTTGGATGTTTGTGGTTAGCTTCCTCCTCGTTGCGGTTTTTTATGTAGCTTTTGCAGTCGTTTTCCTCGAATCTGAGGATCTCTCACAGGATGCAATTTTGGATATGGGTGGCAAAAATTCGCCCTCTTCCAACATTTTGGGCGTGACAGATGAGAATTTTGGAGAGCCCGGTAGAGTCGGTCTACGCGTACCCTGACTCAATCATTCTTTTCGCAATTATTCCGCCGGCGCTAATCGACGATTGTGGTTTAACCCGCCTCTACGTTAGTCATCGATCCTCGAATCCCGCTGCTTTTTGACATGTCGTTAGTCCTGAAAACATCGTGATAATATTTCTCAGAAATTGAAGTTGGAGACGTTCTAATGTGTAGATTCTGTTTTCGATTTTCACTCGTTTGTTCTTGTGTTGGAAGACTGTTATAGTGCATCATTATGTATCAGATCGACTTTGTGAAATAATCATGACTATCGGAAACGTCATGGTTCTTCCGAAAAATGTTGGATCCATCCTTTGCGCATCTGCAGTTGGCTTTATGATTCGACGCCACAAAGATTCCTAGAATTGAGGTGGTGTTGAAGGAGAAGGATGAGGCTGATACACAGGTGTGCTCCAATATCCAATATTTATATAGAGGGTGATTATGTGCGATATATGTCGCGGTGCTTGCACGACGAGCTTTTCATTTTAAAGAAGCTGTACTCGGACAATTTTTTTGTAATGAAAATACAACTTGACACCTGCTGACCCTACCCCACCATAGCCGCCTATCTACGGATGACTCGAGTTACGCGTTTGTTTTCTGTTAATTTTGTGATACATCGTCACCACTTGGATTATTTAAATGGTGTGAACAATCAATTGATGATGCGATTGTTACTTAAGAAGCAGAAGGTACTCATTGTATTTTTGTGATTTTTCTTGGTCCTTTTTCCTGCTTTCCGCCGAATCGATGCTCCGAGGCTGAGAATTGAAATCGGAAAAGTTGGATTGTACTTATATATCTATACTTATCACATTCAGTTTCAGTCGTGCACTATGCGTCGTTGACGATATTTTTAACCTCTGCTCGGGCCTGTAGATTTGTGTATTTGATGCAAGAAGATCTAAAATTCGGATAACACAGAAAAGATATGGAAGAGATTCGCAATTGTACTGCTGTTTGCTAGTGAGTTGTTCGGCAAGTAGGCCGTAAAACAATACAGACACAACAGGGTTGGATATCCCGCTCATAGATAACAACTCGTGCAAGCCCATCGGGTGCGTGGCCATGTTCTGCGTTTTGTACTGCTTATGTTGGCAAGAACCGGCATGTGAACGCCAAAGAAGGTGCTGCAGACTCTATCATTATGGAATTATTGGACTGATCACCTGTAGCACTGATAAAAAATGAAGTCACAAATGTATAATCTTAATCTTTGCAGAAAAATAATTGCAGCATGCGGATCGTCAATTCTCACTTAGTACGATGATCCGCGATACCGCTCCCTCAAGACTAGCGCAAGTATGAGAATGCACATGCTTCTTTGCTGCAAAATGTACGTTTAGTTTTCATAGAGGTGTTGCGGCCATTTTGACTAGGGTATTTGTTTTCAGTTACAGCCATTGCATCAAGAATTGATCTACAGGAGGTGCCTCTACCACAACTACTACAACGATTCCCCTTACATTTTTTCTCGTTCTACCTCCATCTTCGACGTTTACTTCTTGACCCGTTTCCCTACGCATTTTCTATTTCTTGTTAGACCAAAATGAGTTTGCGCAGCGATGGCGGGAACGTCCGCGTCGAGGTCGGGAAGGCGTTCAACAAACGCAGGTCCGATTTTGCGACTGAAGAGGAGGCGGAGGATTATGCGGAATTGAAAGCGAAGTATGTCAGTTGGCTCAATGATCCTACAGCCACAATTCGTGTCACTCTCCGGTCTTCTGCGGATACCCTACCTACTTGGCGCGTCGTAGGCACTGAAGCAGACAGCATAGACCTGTACCATAGAGCATGGAGTGCGTTCGTGGAACCTGAAGAGCCGAGCACTTCTGGTGTTGCTGACTCATCCGCCTCCTCCTTCACCGACGAAATATCTTTTCGTAGTCGCTTTGAGCAAATTGGTGGCAGCAGTGGGAGTCAACAAGGAGAGTATTCAAAAGAGGAAATGGTCATCAAGGGAAAAATGCTTTGCAAGATGAAAGGGAAGGGCAAGAAAGGAAAAGAAGCCATGGCAGCAGTAAAAGGGAAGATGCAAGAGCTTTTTCCGAAAGATGGTACTGGAGATAAAGATACCACACCAGCAGAGGTGCCTCCTGTACTAGCAGGCATGGAGTCAGCGACAATTCGCGTTGCGGCAATAAAAGCTTTCCCACCTCACGAGCATGCGGCATCCGCCGCACGTACCGCACCAGCGGACGCAACAAGTGTGGTTATTACGCACGTGCAGCCGGGCAGCTTGTGCGACTACGCTGACGTGCGCGAGGGCTTCTGGTTACACTCGGTGCAATTCCAGGACACGCCGGCAGCCGCCGCAGATTTCGTTGCGAGCAATAATCTCGGCGTCGAAGCCGTGCGGCGACGGAACCTCTATCCGATTACGCTGAGTTTTCGCGCCAATCACGTGCTCTTGCTGGAGGAGCTGCAGCGCATGAAGCAAGTTATTCCCAGTCATCTTGGGGGTGGTAACATAATTAGACCAGGATATGGACCTATGATATGGGATGCAGCCGAGAAAGAGGAATTGTGGAAACGCCGGTTTTTGCGTATACAAAGATCTTCAAAGCAAGTAGATAGTTCGAAGATTGCTGCTACCTTGGGAGCGATTGAAGCCGGAGCAAATGCCAGTTCTGGTGGTGATAACGAAGACCAAGCTAAGAAACGAAAGCTCTCCGCTGATAAGTCACCTTCCGATCTTGAGGGAGGAAAGGGGGTCGAAAAGCAGGGGACGACGGGCAGCAGCTTCACTGAGCGGATGCTTCGGGAAGAACGCAGAAAAGTCTTGCAAATTCGGCGGGCGATTCAGGAAGGAGAAAGGATGCACACTCTTCTTGCACGGCCTTGGGAAGAACGGAGAAAAGCTGTGAATCCAAATCAGCACTTTTTCGACAATGTAGCGAAGGGCAACGGAGGCGCATCATCTTCAGCTAGCACAGGAATTCTGGGTAAAGGCAGTGATCCGCAACAAAGTGCAGCCGCTACCTACCAGCATCCCTTTCGACAAGAGCACGCATCTTTGCTGAGAAAGTACGCGCATTTCTCTGACGTGGACTTAGCCGGCGATGAGATGGACTTGCTTGCCACTACAGCACTAGCCAATAACGAGGAACTACAGAAAAAACTGACTCTCCAAAATGCAATGATGGCTGGAGGCTGCCGAGTCGACGATTGGCGCAAACGAGCTGAAAAACTCCTGCTCCCAAAATAATAACCCGAACTCCCTCCAGTGGCCCCGGAGCAGATTGTTTTCGCACTTATCTACTCTATCGTCCCGAATTTGTATTCCTATCAAACACATGCACAACTTAGTGTTGGAACCGAGATGACTCGTTCACTTTTTATAGTGCTCTGTTGTTTTATCGCTGATCTCCCCGCAGGCCTTTTTATTTTATCCAGCAGTTGTAAACAGCCAACAAAGCGCTTGGGTTACTGCTTCCACACTCAATTTTCACGGATGTACCCTAAAGTTCATGAAAAGGAAGGTTTTAGTTTCTGTATGCGATCAAGGTTATAGCCTTGACCGTGAAAATCGGAGTGGAATTTTCTCCGTTCAAGTAGGACTCGTGTTAAGTGTCAGCACTTATTCCAGATGTTGCTTGTTCAGTTAACTTAAACACAAGAAAAGAAAACTCACAAGAAGGGAAAGGTCATAGGAGAACCAAACTTATGTCGGTGCTAAGAAGGAACAATTATACAAGGAAACACAAGTTTAGTACACTTAAACACTTAGTAGGAAGATGGGACATATGAACGGAAAATAATTGTCATGCGGGAGGTGTTAAGAGTTGACGCTTATGAGACACGCCATGACTTTAATGCACTTAAACACAAAACAAGGATCAGGTGGAAATGATGCTTAATAGCAGATTGCATGCTCATGCCACTCAAATACTTACAGAAGGCACGCCACCACTCATTTACACCTTTATTACACATATCCACAGACGTGAGACAACTTGTTGAGACTTTCTTCCAGTTCTTTTACACCCACCACCAGCTTACTCTTGTTATTTTTCATCACCACCACCAGCACATTCTTATTTTTCTAGGACGGAAGAAAGGGAAGACACTTAGGCACGCGCACCAATTCTCATCGTCATTCATATTCGCCAAGACTTCCTTACACCACGGATTTCTTCATTACTTTCTTATTGCACGACCAGAGGAACACCTTTTTTCATTCAACTGCCATTTCAAACGTAATTTACTTATAGTAATTCTAGGCTTCTGATCTGTTTGTCTTGCGTTTCATAGTGTGCTTAGGTTGTTGTACATGTTGTACAGCACGTCTTAGAAAGACAGGGTGGAGGTTTAGAGTAGCATTCTTATCTAAGATGCCTGTTGGATCGGTCTAGAACTTTTTTTGTCATTGCGATCATGCTTGGCTAAAGAGTTGTTGAGAGCTGAGAGTACCCTTTTTCGTGCTTCTGGAACGCTGGATGACACGTAAAGACGCACAGGTAAAACTTCAATGGTAGGTCTTAACTCTGATGCGTGGAGCGCAAGGTCGAGTGCGCGCGCGCTTGGACAGCTAATCCGACTGTCATTTGCTTGCAAGACCTGTAATTTGTTCCTCTGGTCAATAATTGTAAAAATCCTTGCAGTATCAAAAGATCAAGGGGGTAATGTCGTTCTTGATGGCAGCGTGCCTTCGCAGTTTTCGTCAGCGACTGGCTGCAGCGTTGCTGACAAACCTGGAGTTCACGTCGTAACGCTTGGCACGCATGGTGTTTTCACGCAGACGCAGGATATCATTGATGGATCCTTCTACCATGCAGGTTTCAAGTCGCACACGCGCTGGCTCATGCAGTCAGAGCCAGGCGTTTGGGATGTGCCTGAGTCGGTGCCCGCACGCGACGAGCACTTCCCGTTACGCGCAGGCAAGCGTGTCCTGGACGCCGGTGGTGCGCTGGTTAGCGTCTCGGAAGTGCAACAAGGTCAGCCGTCTTCCATCAAGGGACAACAAGATCATGACAAGAAAGTTGATGCATTGTCGCGAACGTCTTCGGGATTCTGCTTTCATCCGGAGGTGTCCCATGACAGCGACGCACTTATTGCAGCAGTAGAGGATGACGGCCCAAAACCGCTGAGCGAAGCGGAACGTCGTGTCTACTTTCAGTTACGTCCTCGCAACCTTTGCCTTCGGCGCTCTGGCTGGTCCGCCTCGAGGGACAAATTTGATGAAATAAAGCCTAATCATGTTATTGTGTCGGAGAAAGAAATTGTGGTACACAATTGGTCTTCGCCAGAAAAAAACACGACCACGAATCTACTCGGTGATGATCAAGGCGTATCCATCGGCGATGAAGATGCAGAGCATAGGGACAACGTGAAGAACGATGAGGGGGACCGCTTTCTCGCTCGAACGCTGGACTTGTCAAAAACACTCTGGTGGCAGGAGAACAAGAACTTTTTTCGGTCTCTGACAGAAGATTACCGTCCACTGCGTGCATACTACTTGCGGCCTGTCTACATCTTCGAGGCATTGGTTATGCGCGAGACATTGCGCTTTCTTCCTGAGAACGATTTTCTGCTCCTCCAAGACCCAAACAAGTATGCAGGTATTTTTCCCGATGATCACGATGACCCGAGTCAGCAAGGGTCTCGGGCTCGCAACGACAGTTTTTTCCACGGTCTGAATTTATGAATCCAAAAGTTGTACTAGATGAAATCTCCATTCTGAAAACAGATCTTTGAGTGAGATTGTGCTTGCTCAGAAATCTTGGAAGAGGGTCGGTTTGATGAGGTTTGATGTCTTTTCCATTGGTTCGCGTTTTTCTAATCATTGCACGCGATGTCGATACTCTAGCTCAAGTGGCGTTGGAAGAGGGCGGTCCGATGCCTGGCATTTTCGGAACGCGCATGCCCGTTTCAGTGCACCGAGAATTCATCTCGGGGTTTTTCCGCAGTGCTTTCAGAGCTATGTATGAGGACATGTTTGGGAAGATTACAGAGCAGGCGTCAAAGGCGTTACGATTTGTGAAGCGAGCACTGAACGCTGTGTGGAACGGCGACGAGGGATACGACGCAACCGGACGAGGCGATTCTACGGCGGTTGCGGCGGCGCGCGCACAAGAGCTGCGCGACTACGTCGAAGATTCGACTGCGCGAAGGCCGCCTCTGAATCTGACGCATGCCTATTTGCCGCCAGGAGAAACGGGTAGAAAAGTTTTGGAAGCAGCGATGAAACGGCATCAGACGCGACAACGGGATGAGCAAAGCGGAGATGATAGGCACGACGAAGCCATGAATAGTTTTCGCGGTGCTGTTAAAGGAACTTACCAGCGATGGTTTTCACGTGGAGAGTTGCAGGAGGTAGCTAAGAAGTTCTTACGTGAGATCGACGTCAAGCGGGAGGTTCGTACTCATCCAAATGGTTCGCTTGCGTCCCTGGTACCAGCGCAGATTGACGCTGCCCTACCCATCGACCAACAACTCGGGACCGGCATATTGCCTGCACCAGATTTGACTGCCTTGACGCAGCCTGTTGAGGGTGACTTCGATTTAGACCTAAAGGGGATTTTCACTCGAGCCCTACGGCACTCCGATGAGCATGGCCGCGGACCTTTCTCGCTTGCGGACACGGACTGGCTGTTGCGCTATCGCAAGACGATATTGAAATTGCGCCGACTGGGCATTCACCCTGACCAGGACCCGGTGCACCTAGACTTCTACTGCATCGTGCGCGACATCATCAAGCGCCGTGACGAGTGGCGCCTGCTGGAAGCGGCGCGTCGAGACATCGACGAAAAAGGGTCAGGCGAGGGACGAGCCGCGAATGAGCATGCTTCCACTAAAATTGCGACGGAAGGGGAGCGCATTTTCCAGGCAGGTAACACTATGCTGTTGCAGCGGTTACGAGCATTGCGCAACGACGGCAGTGCACTTACGCCTCTGTCCTACAGCGAGGAGCCTCTACAAATCGAACCGCAAGACGCTTTTCGCAGCCTTTGTGTGGAAGCCGAGATGCGCGCGGCTGAGCTGAAGCAAAAAATTGCCCGAAAACGAGCGGCGGACACCACAAAATTCCAAAAGCTTCTTTTACGAACGAAGATGAAGAAGATGCCGCTGCACCAGCGCGAAGTAGCGAAGAAGGGAATGAAAACGACTTCACCAAGACGGAGATTGACCTCTTCCCGCTCAGCAAGACAAAGCCAACAACGAAGTCCGTCTTTCAGCTCCAGCAAGAACTCGAAACAACTAGACGATATGCTCTTTGCTGCGCATATACGCTGCGAGGCTTATTGGAGCAGCGAAGCACCTATGATCCAAGATACGTGGATGTTGATCCGCAACGACGAGTTGACACGAGAATTTCTGGAATTGTGGACCGATTTTCTTCTGGATCGCAAATTGCTTCTCCAAATGCCCTTCACAGACCAGACGGCGCTCGGACTGCTAGTCCGTGCGCTAGACCTGAAATCGGGCACTTTTCCTGGCATCTACGACACCCTGGAGCCCGGGCATCTGGCCTACGGCACTTGCCCGCGCGCGGCGGCTTCGGGTCTGTCTACTTCTAGGAGAGATGAGCTTGAGATTGAAAGTCAAGCTGCCCCAGAAAATTCGAGGTCAAAGCTCCAAGAACATCGTCTTGTGCAGCGCGCTCGTGACAAAACGAAAAGGAATAGGGCAGTTTGGAAGATCGTCCGTAGAAAGATGAGAGCAAAGACATCCAACGCTAGTGGCCAACAAGAAGAGATGATTTGTCCAGATGCCGAAGAAGTTAGACAGATAGAGCCACGGCTTCTGCGAGACGATGCTCCTCGCAACGAGTTTCATGAATCGAATACTATGGGAAAAAGTGAGTCAGTTACAACGGCATCAACTTGTCCAGTGCCTTACTGGGTCGCGGTGCGTCGGAACGAGGGGTTGCATGGCATCGGTAACCGTTTGAAGACGTTGGGAAAGCTGACACATGAAATAAGGCGAACTCGACGGCGCTTGGAGAGACGGCGGAACCGTATTTTCCACAAAGTTGACGAGCAGCATCAGATGAAAACCACATGGGCGAGTAAGACCAAGACTGATTCATCAGCGGGTCTAGGACGAGATCATGATGATGAAACGTATGTTCTAATAGACAATGAGGAGGAAGACGCAAGAGAAGGTGGTATGTACTTGACGTCATGGCGTGACACCAGTTCACAAGACATCAACTCAAAAACAGCAGGAAAATGGTGGATGTACGATTGACTCTGATGTTGATGAAGAAAATTCCGCTAAGAATCAAGTATACATAAGCATGACACTTCTTAGCAGATACACGAATGCCTGAAAGTGGGCAGCACTAGGTCTCGCTTCATGGTTCTCGTTCTCATCTGCGTGTTTCGATAGAAATGAGCCCGTTCAATCTCCAGAGACTCATTTGATGATTTGGGACGATCGGTTATAGTTAAAAGTAAAACATACAGTAGATCGATGAATTCAAATTTCGTTTGCCATCGGGGGATGCTCCCGGTTTTGCAGAAGATGGTAAGAAACAACTTCAGATCTCAGAAAAGAGAAAGATCTCAAGAAGTTTCATTTGGGGGACGTTAGTGTGACGCTGGTCTTGACTCAAATGGATCCGGTCTTTTCGCTTTTGATCTGTCTCCAACAAGTGAATTTATGACCACGTTTTTTGAAAAGCTGAATCTATCAGAGTATTGTGTTTTCTTTTTCCCCGACTTTTTTCATGCCTATCTTGTGTGTCACTAAGTGTAAAAAAGGCCTTCCTTCTTATCCTATTCAAATCGGCTGTTGAAGAACCAACGTTTTCATGAATGTTGTACGACCCAATTATCACGTCAACACGTGACCAGTATGTAGGACAAATCATTGTGTAAAAAGGGTATTAATCTTCTTGTGAAAAGAAATATTTTCTCTCTCAAATTTCTTCGTGAACGAATATTCGTTGTAGAGCTGAGAGGATGAGATTCTCGGGGCAAAACTCGTCTGTTGCCTCGCGAGGCGCTGCGGGAACTCATGCGGGATCCTGGCGCTTATTGGGCATGGCATTGCTGAGCGTTTTTTCCTGCATCGATAGTGGAACGAATTTCAGTGGCGTTTTCGTTGAAGGAGCGTCTGCGAGATTCGCAGGACCGGTGCTGAGAATTGGCGGAAAGCGTGTCCCGAACAATATGCGCCGGCATGGTGCTAGCAGAAGACCCCCAGGGCCCCTAGCTCGACTGCCTACAGAGCGACACTCAGGAGCTCATGCGCCTTCCGGCACTGGATCTCGTGTGCACTCTGCTGCGACGTCTAGATGTAGCTCTCCACACAGCAGTGCACACAGCAACATTTACGGAGGAGCGAACGGTAGTGCAGCATCTCCTTTTCTAAAGAGTGCTGGGGTTCGAATAGAAAATGCGGGACTTCCCGCGAGCAGCACAACACAGCCAGCTGCATTCACAAGTCAAGTAGTTGGCGGCTCCAAAGCCGATGATCCCGATGAATTTGGTGAACACTGGATCCACAGATCTGTGAGCATGGGAGACATGTCCGGGGATGCGATGATGCTCCTCGTGCCACAAGAATTAGTAGACAAGGATAATTCACGATCTGTCGTGGGTGAAGAAGACACCACAGCAGAGGCAGAACATTTCCAACAAGGCGTAGGGATTTCCTCAGCACTTCAGCAACTAAGCGAGGAGCCATCCTCGCAAGAAAAAGTTCCGCCCGAAGTCGTGTCGAAAATTTCTACTCCTGAACAAGTGCAACACGATTCTGTGGCTTCTATATCAGAAGCAGCATCTTCTTCGACTGAACCGAAACCGAAGACGGGTGCAAAGCTTCCGCGACGTGTACGTTCTACGCCGTCACGAAAAGAGCTGAGGCGTGTTTGTGATGCTTTTCATGCAGCGTTGACACTGAGTCCAGAAGAGGTTCCAAATTCCGTATCTGATTGTTCGTTTGATGATTTATTGCGGGAACGGCAAGGCAGACAAGGACTCCCGCATCAAGACCAGCTTCCAGATCTCACATCTGGTTCGATATTGCTTCCGACGGCGAAGCAGAAGGTATTTCACTCGCGGAACCTAAATCCACTGGCGGCTGCATCGAGCGGCGGTGCAGATGGTGTCGACGATGCTTCGTCAGATGGCTCGTTGCTCGACGGCGGGCTTCAGTTCACTGGAATGTATGACCCGACTAGAAGCGATTCACCTTCCATCGTCTCTTGTGACGGTCACGAGGGTACCAATGCTGATGCTTCTCGGCAGGCGGAGCATATAAAAAGGAGGTTGCTAGGCATGAAAGGAGATTTAGGTTCACCGTTGTTGGAAGGCGAGGTGTCGGCGTCTCTTCCTCGAACGCGCCCTAGCCCAAGAACGCCGTTGGGGCCCCTTGCGTCGTCCCCGTCCGATGACGATTTTATGCTGCCTCCTCCCGCAAAGCCAATTTAGAAATGACCAAAGACCAAGACGAAGCCAACTACTCTTTTGAAGACCTTCCTTGTTTTATATTTCATTTATGGGCAACGGCAAATGCGTAAGAACACGACTTGGGTTTTTCATCCCCTTAAGAATGTACGGCATGCACCCCAGTATGCGTGTCTGCTCTTGTTTCGCGAGAAGATGAGAATTGTGTCTCTGCATGTCCGTTGAAAAAACTTGTTTCGAAGTTTCTAGTGTAATAAAGATATCGTTGTAAAAACAATTCAAGATAATTATTGCATGGCAACAAGCTTCATTGAGTTGTTTCGTAACTAAACAACGATGAACTATAATGTTAGAATGATGTCGCTGACGCTCGTCGCGAGTGGCGGCATGAGCAACGTTCACATGTCATGACGTCGCTGACGGAATTCCCCGTAATTGACTGCGTTTTATTCGAATATGAAACTGGCTGCTCCAGTGGGTACTGAAACATAAAATGAAAATGAATTGATGAGCACGAGGCTAGTAGTGTCTTTGATGGAGCGGCAATATACTAGACACCAAGTCATGTTTTCAAGAAGGACAGCGTTTCTTAGGTATTTAGGTACGTCGAAGCCGAAGGGGATACCGTATCAGATTGCGCCTTATATATATATATACATCTCCCTCTGGTTTTTGTCTGACCGATGTTTAGTTCTTTGGATTCGGCAAAATCAACTGAGCAAATGTTTTCGACAACACTCGTTTCATTCGTAAGCACATGCATGACGAGTACTTATATTTATCCAAGGAGGATGAGGAACACGTAATTTTTTCGAGATAGGCATGAAGTGGGTCTATTGAAGAAACATTAACGACATGTTAACATGTGATTACCAAAAAGTCAACCTTGCATCTATTGAATCCTGCCGTCAGGATCAAAAAAGAACATCTATGGAGCATTCATTGGCGTAAACTCGCCTATCACTCTATTCAATGGATGCACAGTGGCAATGTAGACTCTCTCGGTTCTTAAAATTCATGATAGTCACCCTGGAGATTTAGACTTCGTGGAAAGTTATCGATCATAATGTCGAGGAACGGCGTTCCCCGACATAAAGCCAATGCTTTTCATGGCGGTCGTCTTCAAGGTAGCGTGTTTCCCTTGTCTGTGTTCAACTAATAACGATATCACGGACTTGGCGCGCTTTGCTTTGGTCACATGCTGTATGTGGCACGTTTTCTGTCGTGATCTAGAGGATGTAATACTGAAATGTTGATTTATTCCTGCGCAGATGATATTCCATAAGACTGCTCCCGGACCTCGTTTCCCACACGACAGGATTACGGTATGTCTTTGAAAATCGGTTTTTCATGCTACAAATATCCTACTTCCGCCTGTCAGAGCCACTGCTTCAGAGCAGGGCCGGACTTCGCTAGAGAAAAGGTGGTACACTGTCCATGTAAAGGACATCCGTGCATCATCAGGAGAGCTTCTGAAATTGTCGCTTGGTTGATTTATCCTTTGAATTTTAGGTCGATGGATCGTTGCATGGAATATCTTTAATGCAAAGACGTATACTTTCATTCGACGGAGTGGGAGATCCAGCGTGACTACTCTGCATATTTGTTTGAAGATGAGTAGACTTCTATTCTGTTCAAGCAGCAACACAGTGTTCGAAAAAATGAAGTCCATGATGCTTTTCGTTGCTGCTCTCGCGTTTCTCCCGTGCGTGGTGTGTGCTGTGGCGAGCGGGGTTTTTTTAGAGAGTCTTCAAAGCGAAGTTTTGTTTGCTACGCAGAACTTGATGGTCGCATTTTCGAAAAAGAACGACTACTTTGAAGAGTGCCGAAATCGTAAAAATAGGCTGCTAGCACTAGTGCTATCGTGTGTATGAGCACTCTCTTGTTTGACAGGTGAAAATTTTTTTTTGCTACAACAACTACAGGATCGTCTGTGGACATCGAGCGATGTTGGGGCCGCACAATATTCGAAGTCCTCACGCCTGAGTTCCAAATCATCGTTTCTTAGTGATCGCTCGATCACTCTGCGCGCGGAGGAAACCGATGCTACGCGTCGTGACAGAGCGCCACGGCATCCTGCTGGCACACTCGCCTTTTATCAAGGCCACGGATCGCCTGAGATCGTCGATCCGCGTCTCTTTCGAGGTGGGATAACGTCACCAGCAGGAGGGATGACGCTGTCGCCGCAGGGCTCTTCACAGGGTACACCTTTTTCGCATCCACACACGCCTCGGCATTCTGGCCATATGTTGAATGCTGTGCCACATCTAAGCCCCACGCATAGCGCATCATCACAAAATGCAGCTTTCGATGGAAGCTACGCTTGTGCACACTTTCACCAGTACGCTCCTCCCATGGCACACCAGTATCATGGTGTTCCGACGGCGCAGCAGTATCATGGTCTTCCGACGCCGCAGCAGTATCATAGTCTTCCCACGGCGGAGCAGTACAGTCCAATGCTGCATCCCCACAGCCCTGTGGCACATGCGTACAATCCTCAGGCCTCACCCCATGCAGTTTCGCCACATACCTCGTACGCCACACCAATGAATGTTGGAACGCCGCAAAGTAGTCTGCAGCATCCAACACCACTTACACCGCCTGGGCCCTTCCATTTTCAACAGTGCACTCACTCGGTCGCGTTGACCACGGGAGGGGTGCCGCACAGTTGCGCCAGCCACATCGAGGAGACGGAAGAAGACCAAAATATAGTAGAAGAAATGGAAGGAAGAAGCGTAGGGGACGATCAACATTTATCTGATGGAAAGCGATCGTCAGCGAGTTCAGGTTCCTCCGAGAATCAAGAAGCTGAAGCAAAATCGTCAGCCAATAAGAAATCTCCCCTTCTAAGTAGTAAAGGGCGTCCAAAGCCGCCACCGCTTGCAGAAGTTTTCAGCTCGACGGCGAAGCAAGAGTCTATTATGCATGCCGGTGACCGCAGGCACAGAACGCTGCCGGGTGGCAGTGATTTGAGCGATCATGGCTCTTCGTTGATCTCCTTCGCTTGGCAGGACGATCCGGGGAAAAGTGCAGCAGGGAAAGCGTCCCCTTCTAGAGCAGGTGTTTCACCGGCCAGCGGCAACATGATGTACGTTGCTACTAGCGCATGTTGGCCACCCGGCTATCCTTGCGTGAATCAGCAAGCTGGCTCTATGAGTGGACTTCGTGCAATGGCTTACCACTGCGGGACAATGCAGGGTGCGCCACTGGGCGACGGGTGGGCATGCGCTCCACCTTACGTGCCGCAGCAGGAGGCGGGGCAGCAACCGAGTGCGGGAGGTCTATGGGCAACGGGAGCGAGCACTTCGCGGAGTCCTAAGAGTGAAAGAAACACGGCGCGGCATCAAGCTGAAGGCGTTTCGCAGCATCGAGGTGGAAGTGCCACCGGTAAAGATGTAGAAGAGCCAGTTGTTGAGAACGATGCCACAGCGGGAGGAGCACCACATGCTGGTGGAGGGCGTCGCCACTATCAATTCAATGATTGTGTTTATCCCGCCTCAGCAATTCAAGGCATGGCTTGGTCTCTCGTGCATACTGGAGGGCAGTGTGGAGTTAACGGCACGACCTACATGGTGCAGCACATGACGGGGCCGTCAGCGACCGTGGAGCAGGCATGTGGATGGCCAGTGTACGGACAAGCAGAATACGCAGCGGCTTTGGCTTCCGAGGTGCTGGTTCCGGTACCGAGTTGTGGTAGCACGCCAGCTTCAACGTCTGCGCCTTTTGCACACGTGGCTGCCGGATCGTGTTTACAGGGAGACGAGCAGGTGACACAACATCCTCCAGGGTCAAATGCAGCAGCTTGCAGCCAGCCGGGAAGTGGTGCCTCCAGTTTTGGCTTCGGCTGGCCGGATACGCCAGATCGTGACCCGTCACCGGGTTTGCCGCCGCGAAGAATGGCAGGAGGAGCGTCTGCTGAAAATTGTTCCTGGATGAACACTTCTTTTGTTTATTATTCTCTATCACCAAACCACACAGCAGTTGGTGATGTACTAATTGGGCAGGCTGAACAACCAGCGGCAACTGTGGCGGCCTCGATCTCTTATGCAGCTGAAAAAGCAGCGGGGGCGAGAGGATCTGCTGATGCATCGAACCCAGCAGCTGCAGAGTCTCATCCCTCGGATGCTTCAAAACAGTCGGTCTTGCGCACGGGTGGGTTGACGCTCGAGGGTGATGGCATTGGACTGTGGCATATTGGACCCAATACACCACCTATGGCATTGTCCACGGGTTCGACTGTGATGCCGGATCCACGTGCTCATGTGCCTCCTGTAGCGCCTCCGGTGGCAGCGCCACCTGTGCTAGCGGCTCCCTGCGCGCCCTCTGCTCCGTTCTCTTGCGGCGTCTCTCCGACTGCCCAACAGATGCGCCAGGAGCAGGTACTGGCGCCGGCACTTATGGCTTATCCGGACGTCGTGCAGTGGGGAGGAGCCCCTGTGGCGTGTGGTGCACCCTCAAGTGGCTGTGGCGCTTGTTACATGCCCACGGCGTCTGGACCGCTTCATAGTGTAGTGGCTGCAGATGCGACAACGGGTGTCGCTGTACCGATTGCGCAGTATCCCGCGACGCTGATAAGCAACGCTCCCCATCAAGTGCAGCAGCACGCAGTGCCGCAAGTTATGTGCTACCCCAACCCTGCGCAACATCAGTGGTTCCACCAAACGGCACACCAACAACCAAGCATGTTTGATCAAGCTATACCAGGCGGAGGCACGGCGTACGGAACAGCCTGCGGCGCGGACGCAAGTTGCCGAGTAGTGCCACTGAATCCAAGAGGTTATAGCCTGCCATCTTTCATCCCGTCGCCTCAGACGGCGGGTAAACCTTCTTCCGGCATCAGAACGCCGAACATTGAAGACCTTGGAAAAGGTGGAGCCATGGAACGCGCAATCGCGATGGAGAGGCAGTGTGGAGCTCATTGCTCGGAACATGATCAGCAAGGCGCCGTCGCGGCTGCACAGCCACCGGCAGCTGCAACTTTTGATCCCAGTATTTCTGGGAGGGCTGCTGGAACTAGATCAGCAGGAGAGGTGAGCACTGGCGGTGAGAGTGCAGAAAGCCCTTTTGCTTTGAATAGGCGGCTGCAGCGCGAAAACAAGGAACTCGTCGAGCGGTTGCATCAGATGCGCGCGTACCAGATGCAGGTTACCAATACCATACGTCTTTCTGCTTACGAGTCCGCCTTTCTACAGCACTTCGTCGCCTGGCAGGTCGTTAGAGACTACGACTTGCTTAACATGAAAGAAGAGATTGGCATTTTGGTTCCCCGCGTGCATTCAAAGTGTCCTCATTTCCTCAGCGTGGAACTCTGCCAAGCGGCATTGATACACGTGTGGGCGTTGAAGGAGAGCCAAGAGGGGCCCGATGCGCCTCTGGCGGCGTCGGCAGAGGAGGCCATGTCTTCGGTGCGAAGGAGGAGGATGCGGGAGAGAGCTACCGCGCGTGAGGCCTACAACGTCGAAATGGCGCATGCAATCGGCCTACAGAATGCTGCTAGTATCGCACTTCAGCAACTACAGTCCTTTTGTCCGCCTCATATTCAAATTTGTCGAAAATCAGGCGTTAGTTCTGCAGGCGATCAAAGGCCACACCAGCAAGTAGCAGGCAGTGAGAGTAGCATCGCGTCCTCCGGACCAGGGGGACAAGGCGTGCTGTTACCGAGGGGAACGTTTTTGCCCTTTGCGGTCGGAGCAATAACCTACAGCATTCCAGGTCAGCAGCCGTCCGCGTTCGCGGCTGTCACTGTAGAAATCCGGGGTGACGACGGAAAGCCCTTGGACAAAGAAGCGGGGGAGGGACCGCGATGGCAATCGAGGCGCTCCTCGGAAGCGAGCGCGCCTTCGGGGCGTCAGTCGAGTTGTCAGTCTGCGGAATGGAGCTCCGAGGGCGCCTATTCTGCTTTTTCAGACTCATCGCAAATAGGAGTTTCGCAATCTGCTAGCGGCGTGTTAGCCAGTGCTCAAGCACAGCACGTGTCTTCATCGGATCATAGCGCACCACAGCTGCCCCCCCTCGGTACTCAACACCATCATTTTCAGCACGATCATAGTGCCGCTGTTGGTTCGTCTAGTGATGCGTCGAGCAGAAACGCCTCGGCGGAGCACATTCACATTCAGCTTGTTGTAACAGAGGAGCAGACAAAGGAGGTGTTGAAGTCACTGCATGAGGGGCAAATGATCGCCAAGGAGGGCCACATGCAAATGGAAAGGGCTCGGATGCAGCCGCATGTTCCTCGGCATAACCGGTACGTGGAGGATGTCGACCTGGGGCGTTTACCCGAAATGATAACTGATGCCTTCAAGAAGTGGCATAGTACAGGGCGCAACGCGGAGGCGCGCACCAAGATCATGAAGGATCAGCCATGGTTCCTCGGACCTGGTCGTCAAGTGCGTCAATTGTTAAGGTTAGTATTTCATGCCCCCACCACCTGAGGCGTCTATCCCGAGTGCTAACCCCTTCCTAAAAATAGTAAGGGGATGTTGTTGTTAAGCATAAGAGACAAAATTATAAGCCACTCACTAAAGGACGGAGAAAAAAAACTACCTCTAAAAAAAGTGCCAGAGGAGAGTAGCGTTGGAGAATGGGTATTACAGAAGCTGCCAGCAAGAAGTCGTCGGTCAGAGTGGTGGGAAAAGTATGGACTTCCAGGATGGGACAAAAAGTTGTCCTAAAGAGTAAGACTAGACGAACTACACGACACCAAGCTGCACTCCGTGTTTGTCATTGTTCTTTTGTTCTTAAGATTTTTTTTTCGTAGAGAGTCTAGCAATTGTTTGAATATGAAGTATTCAAATTTTATCTGTTGTAAAAGTTGAATTAGTACGTACACGAGATAGGGGGGTGGGCGCGAGCTATGAGACAACTGGTGGGTAAGGCGAGCATTCTTTTTGCTTCACGTAGGACGGTTTTGTATGTTGCAACTTGGCGACATACAATTTATCTTCGGGGCGTCTGTGTATGCGATGAGGATACAGTCTTTTCGTCGTCTTGGACCTGATTTACCTGCGATTTACGTGTTATTTGCGAATCTCACTTCCATTCAACCTATGATGCTGCATTCTTCTAGTGTGTTCATGTGAATTTGAGGATGCGTTATTTGTATGATAGTGTTGTCAATCTTTTTCACCTTCTATGTCTAACGTGGATCGTTACCTAACCCTGTAGAATAATATCACGTAGCACACACTACATGACAACGCTAATCACAACTTGTCAAAACGTGTGGTATGTGATTATGAACGTTGTTTGAAAAAGTGGCTGGGCCTTTTTTTTCGGATGTTTCGTTGACGGGTTGTTGAATGCATGTCCGCAGGCTGCGGCTGAATCAAGCCTGTGAGTGGAACGAGATGTAAGACAACTGAGCAGGCTGGAGCTGCAACGTAGTTTCGTAATGAGTGGGCTTACACAATAGCCATTCTGATGTTTTTTAGAACAACTCATGTGAATGGTGTTAGCAATATTTTTAAATATGAAAGCACTCGTCTTGAAGACTTGAACTCGAAGTAGTTATGATGATGTAAACGAAATTGTATCGATGAACATAGAACTACATTTGCGGCTTAGCTAAAGGAAGGCCTGAAATTTGATAACTAGGTTTTCCACAACTTGTTGTTTTTGCGAATAGCATAAGCATAAGGAAATGCGCTGCAGCTTGAGAAGAGATTTCGCTCAACTCGGCATAGCTGGCACACTTTTTTCAGTTACTGACACGACGGGGGAGCTCTTTGTATTTCTTGTACAAAAGAATTTCATTTTTTTTTGTAATTCTGGTTCACACTACTAACTTAGTGATGTAAAATTCGTCCGCAACTTCGAAGTAAAAAATAGAAACAACTCAACACATAGACCCCTTGAATACACATTCAATCTTCGAAATAGAAATGAAAGTAAAAAGTGAGAAAGCCCATTTAGTCCTGCTTCCGTCGCGGTTCTACCTCATTATTTGCTGCTGAGGTAGAGTCGACGATGTAGTCCTCATGACTCTCACAGGAATGCGAGTTAGCAAAATAGAGCCTTTAGAGTATGGGTGCATAGATATCTATGTGTTTTTATCAATCTTGTTCTGTGCTTCGATGTTTTTTTGACGACTCTCCATGTGGTTGATGCTAGTATCGATGAATATAGAGATGGCGTGTGAAGAGTATGTATTTCAGTTTTCTTCAATCGTCTCCGTCTAACTCTTCACAGTCGTAGAAGCGTGTGAGTTCCAGCAACGATTCCGTGAATTCGCTTATTCCATCCTGCCTTTCTTCTCGTTTGGAACGCCTAGATTGAATACGTGCGTATGGACTAATCTTCTTGAAAGAACGATTATAATTTGGGGAACAAATGCGAAGAGCCGTTTTTCAGTCTAGTGTGCAGCGCTTACTACTGCTCTGCGGCAAAGGGGAATGAACGCGATCCGCGCGACTTCGTCTTGGTCCCATCGTCATCATCGAAGACTTCCTGAGAAGTAACGACCAACACTATACTTCATCTCACTGAAAATAATTCCGGTCCTTTTCAGTTCGTACGTAGTTGAGACTTATAGCTAGTACATCGGAACGCAACGTGTATAAGTATAATGACTGTCACAATTACGTTCGCTGCTTAGCCCACCTTATGTTACAAAGACAAATGGCCGTGCCTGGATTCCACCGCCCACCTTCATTTCTCTGTGCCTGTCGCTTTGCTGTCCATTTCAAACTCATTTCTTCTGCGAAGTTCGGAATCTACTTAAAAAATTACGACTGATACATGATAATACAACGACGAGGGTGATCCTCGTCTGGGCTATTGACTTTGAGCTAAACTACCACGTTCTCCAACACACCATTTCGATTTCCGAAATGAAGGTCCGCTATTTATCTCTCACACAAGGAATAGTGGCTTTTTACATGCAGCCACGCATGTCCAGCCTCGTCAACTATTTTCAGAAGCTAGCAATCAACCCAGCAACATTGTGATGAATTTCCCTTGTTTCAAAAGATCCTGCCAAACTCAAATTCCTTGATCAAACGAAAAATTAGTGTATCTCTCACCTGCAGGACCTTTCATGAGAAAATTTCGAAGTATACACTTCTAGAACTACCCTGGTTTTATGGTTCCTAACTCACGGCGAGGTCGGAGCTTTGAACCGGATAACTCTGCCCGCATTTTTTTTCTCTCTCTAACATCAACGTCTGGTAGATTCCATAGCAAGAGTATGGAATGTTTTGCATGAAGCAGCTTATATCTAAATGAAAAACATTGAATGTTCAACAAAATCAGACGATGCTCACTGTTCATCTCGAGGACCACATCAGTATTAGCAGTTCTTCACATGATGAGAAAGCATTTATTTCCATATTTCTATGTATGCCTGAAGAGAATATTCTCATATTTCAGGACTTGGCGGTGCCTAAGCCAGTGCGGAGGGGGCGAATGATTGACGAGTCGCAGCATAGTACCCGACAAGTGCTGGGTCTGCCTGTCAGTTCCGCAGCAGTACTATGAAGACGAGCACGTGCAGGGCGAAGGAAGTCATACAACATAAGTATTTTTCCGATACAATATGTGATACTGTCTCATCCTTATAATTGATGAGAACAAAACTAACTTTGAAATTGAAATTGAAATCGGGTACCTCTGATGTCTTTTGAACCCTTTCAAGCAGATGTTAATTTCTACAAGAGGTCGGCCAAAGTAGCGCGAAACTCTCTGCGAACTAAACTGCTGAAAAAAGATATATTTATGAATCATATATAGGATGATGGAGGATCATGCAGGAGGTAACCCTAGAAAGCATAGCCCTGGTAGTACATAATCGATGTCGAGAAGCAGTATTTCAATGACTTGCAATGCAAATGAGTTCTTTTTCACTTTCTGTGCCCGAGTGGCGTCTGCATTCGATACTTTATCGCGAAGAAATATACATTTTTTCCGCAGGTCTCTTGCTCGCTCCTGTTGCAGGGACCTGTAGAGGCTAACAGTGATCGGATGTCTTTTGTTCTTTTTCCGACGTCTGTTACCCCTAGCAGTCGATGGTGTATTTGTTTCAGCGTCAGCGTCGACACAAAGGGATCATCGATTGTCTCTTGCAAGAAATTTTATCGGTTGTTGTTTGGAATTTAATGCTTAAATCGTATTCTCTCTCTCTTTTTCCGCGTGGCGATGAATGTCAAAGTGACGGCCTGTGTTTCTCCGATCCAAGTTAATCCTGCATCAGTGTCGAGATTTGCAACGAATGTGATCTTTGAAGCATATTTACTCGTCGGTTCTTCTTGTCATTTGCAGGTCGATCTTCATTTCGATGCAAGCAATAATTAAGTTAAAAGTCGCTTAAGCGTCAAAAGATACCTCCAGAACAGGTAAATGAATGAATGAATGACATGTAGTTGGTCCAAAGCATGAATTGAATCGGTCATGATGCCTTTTCAGACAAGGATCCTTCTACCATTGAATGCAATCGACTCGTCGCACCGAATTGCCCGACGACACATAGAAGAACTCCTCCACGTCGCCACTTGACTGACAACCTCTTTTCAACACTGTGATCCCTCCCGCACAACTAGTCTCTTTCGTCACCTAACTCACCACGCAGGAAATGTTTAGATTCATTAGTTGTTACAACGAGCATTAGACTTCTGGTAGTGGTCGTCTTTAACATACAATGAAATTGTTGAACAAGACTTACGAAGTTCGTCGTGATGTGAGCCTATCATATTGACATCATTTGTTCGTATGTACGAAGCATAGAAAGAATTCTTATTCCTATGAAAGTAATTTACCCTCCATGGTACTTTGTATAATTTGTAAAGAATTATGTTAATAACTGTCCAAGGGCCTCGCTGAGGCTGGGACGGGGTACATGAATGTTTGAGGACGACCTTATTGATGAACAACAAGCGGTGCTTCGCAGTTCAATGTCTACTCTTCGAAGCTGATGAACATGAAAACTTAGTACCCAACGTAGAGGAGCTGGAGCTTGGTTGCCTGATGGTTACTTCGTCCTTACAGATAGGGGGATTCTCATCCTTATTCAATGAATAGGGAGGACCAGCACCAGCAGTGTTTTTATGACTCAGAGCATTGTAGCGAAAATCAACGAACTACAACATAGACCTAGTTAGAGATTTCATCTGTCTTCACATACATAAGAGTCATACAACCTACATAGTGCCAACTTCATATATTCATCAATATATGAACCACTGACTTACGCTGAGGTAGAATATGGTCTTTTTTTCATTTGTGGATGCGAATCTATCGTTTTTTTTCGCTTCGCAGTTCGATGAAGAAGACAAGCCCTGGTTGACGTGATTTCTCAGTCTCGTGAGGAGGAGTTAGCTGAACAGAGCGGGGTCGCGTGGAGGCATACATGAACCACGACATGGACCTAGTCTTCTGCACGACATGAAACAAGATTACTTCATGATCTAGTAATTGTTGGATTTTTATTATGACAGCATGCTTCTATTTTCACTAGTTTAGTAGACAAGACGAGAAGCAACAACGATCTTCAAATAACTGTCCTGAAGTAGAAGAAAAAATATTTTTCCCGTCGTTCTTACCCTGCGCCACGAAGAAGAAGAAGTTTCGAAAGACGCAAGAAGTAGTCCACCCTCACCATTAGATCAGCAAGAAGGCGGGTAATAACCTCCAAGAGCAAGAAGAATATTAAAGAGTTCTATCTGCTGACGTCGTAATACAGTTGCCACAACAGCGTTTGCGTTACCCCCTCAGCATGACGAGCAAGCAAATAACAGTTTTTTTCTGATTTTACTATCGCGTGGAAGTCGATCTGGTGGAAGAAAAAAGGACATCTTCAACAAGGCGAAGCCTCATGGAGGTCGTCTTTGGAATAAGAGTATCTTCAAAGAACTAGAAGAGGCAACGATAACATCTTCTGATTACTAGCGACGACGACGACGGGAAAAGCGGTAGAACAAGACTAGAGTACGACTTCGGGGGTAGCAAGTTCTTTTACCTAGTAGAACCACGACACAAAGCTATCGAGACAAGCAGTCGCTATAACGAATTGCGACAATGGCGACCAGAGGATACCGAGAACGTGACGACCGTCGCGACGACCGTGGACGGGGTCACGGTGGCCTGGCTGCTAGGAGTGGAGCAGCGGCCATTGCAGATCTCTTCGGCAACAAGCGAGATATTGGCGAATGCCCTTTTTACTCAAAAATCGGAACTTGTCGCCACGGAACTCTGTGCTCGCGGAAACACGTAAAGTGCACAGAGTCACGGACAGTGCTGTTGGCCCACGTGTACTTGATTCAGCATTTTTCGAGATTCGTTGTTTCTACTTGATCCTTATTTTATATTGGTTTAGATGAACTCCGTGTTGTACTAGTAGAGGGCACCGGTGTAATTTAGGTATCACCCACTCTGTACGTACTACATCTACATCGTCTATCTCGAATCTCGTCCTCATTGGCGAATAGTATTTTTTTGAATTTGATGATGCGGCTTCTGATTTACTTCACAATGAACGAAAAAACCCTTAGCTTTGCGGACACATGGGAGACTTTGGCAATCTCAACAGACGATGGTCCGGAGGTGCCAGACGAAGTATACTGCACTGCGGTAAACCAGATAGAAGATTTTTACGAAGAAGTATTCTTTCAAATGGCGAAATACGGCGAAATTGAAGACCTTCTTCTCGTCGACAATATCTCGGAGCATGTACTACAACGAACTCTACTCGTGGTTGTAAGATTGGTTCCTCTTGATCAAACAAATTACAAGATTTTGAATGCCAATTTTTAGACTTAGGCATGGTTTTCAACTTCTGGAGATTTTCGTTTCGCAAGGAGTGTCATCATCCAATACCTGGGTTTTGACGGAGGTCTTTTTATCTTCAATCACAATCAATAACAGTCAATAAGGATTGTCGTCGTTAGATTTGTTACAACTTACATTGCCCCTTCCTCCTCAGATGTCCGGAAACGTGTATGTCAAGTTTTTTACGAAAGAAGCCGCGGCAAAAGCACTGGAATCCGTTCAAGGGAAGTTCTACAGTGGTCGCGTCATTAAAGCCGAACTTAGTCCCTGTGTTGAATTCCGGGACGCGAGATGTCGGGCATACACAGAAGGAAATTGCCCAAGAGGACAGTACTAAGTTTGTTTTTTTTGTTGTTCTTGCTTGCAGAAGCTTTTCTGAAATCTGGAACAACCGATGCAGCATGATAGACTTTGTATTTCATTATATAGGTCCAACATGTTGATTGATTATTTTGCTTTCTGAAAACAGGAATTGCAATTTCTTGCACATCCGGCATGTGCCTCGTGCACTCAAGCGTCAGTGCGTCTTGCAGATGTATGCGGACCATCCTGAGTACAAAGCGGCCAGAGAAGCAGCTGGAAAGCCTCTGGTCTACAAAAGCCTCCAGAAAATTGAGTACCTCCATTGAATTTTTTGGAATTACAGAACTGAGCACACATGGTACCACGAGTAGGGTTAAGATTTCTTCGTAATTAAGTTACAATGTCAGTTGTGCAAGTTAGAGATACATATTCTTTGTCTAAGGCAAGACAAGCCCACTGTCCCTTTATCATTTCCCTTTTCAGCTGGGATAACGACACAGAGGCACGCGAGGCATTCCAGGCCAGGTGGTGGGAAGCATACAATCAGAGACGGGAAAAGGAGCGAGCAGAGGCAACGCCCGCCAACAGGCCAGACCATAGAGAGCCCAGCACAAGACGCGCATCAGAAGTCAATGATGGTACTTCTACTTTTTGCTTGCATTCAAAATAAATGTTATAAAATCAAATGAAATGCGAGAAATGTAGATCCAGAAGCAAGCTGTGTTTACAGTTCGGAATTGCAATAACTTCTGCTAGGTGCATTTTTTGGCAAGCAGAAGTCGCCTTTTTCGCCTGACAAGGAGAACGAGGCGGGTGACGGAGAAAAGAAGAAGAAAAAGAAGAAGCGAAAGCATGACAGTACAGGCGGAGGCGATAATCCTAATAGTGGCGAGGTCGACAGTAGCGGGCCGGCCGCAAAGCGACTAGCACTAGGCGAGTTCATCTCGGGTCCGTTCGACAAGGTCCAAACGAGCCCCTTTGACGTGAAGAAGAAGGCTGGAATAGACCCAGAGGAGCAGGGCGACACCGCATTTGGCGCCCTTATCGGGCCCCCACCAGGCTTGCCATTGCCGGAAGTCGGAGCTGATAGTGGCATGGGCGGCTTCGGGGACACGCCCACGAGCATGGGAGAGTCCACGCGCACAGCGAATCCTAGTAGTCGGAAAAATAGTGCTAACATCTACGACAGCTTTGCGGTACACTCCACGCCAGTAGCGAGCAGTAGTTCTCTAGGTCTAGGGGAAGGAGGTGCAGTGTCAGGAGTAGACGTTGCAGCGCAGCTGCAGCAGAGCGAAGGACCCCGACGCGTCAGTGCCGATAGCTTCTCCGGGGGTTTCCCGAGTCCGCGGAGTGCGCAAGCGGGAGGAGCAACAGCGTCTTGCGCACCAGCTACACATTCAGCAAATAGTGGAGGGCCTGTCCTAGTTCCAGTGGGCGGACTGCCACCAGGTCATCCAGGTGCATTAGGCGCACTAGTTTTTCCAGGAGGAACGCCAGGCGGCGTGGGACTGCCACTTGGGAAAGGTGGTGCCCACATGCCACTGATGAAAGGCCCTCTTCCGTTTCTCGCTGTTCCTCCAGGCGGAAAAGTTGGCCCCTTTCCAAAGTCTGGCCCGCTGATAATGAAAGGACCTCCTGGCGCCATGATATTCTCGAACCTCCCACCCCCACCATCATCGTCTTAATCAGACGAAGATTAGTGCCCTGAATGTTCTTTCCAACCTCTCATGATATGAAATATTTTCAACTTGAATTTAAAGTCCATGTTTGTTTTGTCGTGGACGTCATACAACTTACTTATCCAATGCGATGACTTTGTACGTTTTTTCGTGTTTGTTCGTAATTATGTAAAATATTTTTTGTGACATATTCTGCTCTTACTTTCTTGCTCCAGACCTGTTTTATCATCATACCACCTTGTAAAGCGAAGCGTAAATTTTGCAAACATAATGAACAGATATGTTCTGTTCTTATTCTTGACCGCCATACATATGAGTAGCAGCTAAAAGGTACTATTACAGGAGTTGGCACTTCCTCGGTTCAAAAGCATTATTACAGGAGTGTTTATCAAATCATGTTCATGTTCTTATACTTGCTTACATGATCACTAATACAGCGGATGGACAAATAGAACATCTTCAAGACCACAGCATCGACATACTAGTAGACCACCTCTAGAATTTATCCAATTTCGTCAACTCAGTTTTGGACCATGTAGTTATCCACGGGCATGAAAGTGCTCGAGCACATCCATCACCGATGAGAACGTCATGTTTTTTCTAGCCCATCACTAGCATCGTTCCCCGACAATGTTAGCCTCTTCGCCCACCTTAGCCGACCTACTCTTTTGACCACCATTCATTAGATTTGTCGCGACAGCACAATCACATGATTCCCTATCACGTGATTCACGTATTTAAAGTTGTGTCCGCCTTCGCAGCATACTAAACCCTTTCTGTAGGCGAGACGTCAAGATTGATGGAGCCGTGGCAAATCATAATATGAGACAGAGCAGTGGCTCTACGAGAAGCGCGCGTAGCATAAGGCTCGAAATAGCAAAAGACGAAATACCAAAGAACAACAAGAATAACAACGTAGCAAGCAAAAATGAATACATTTCGTTGGCTGCGACAGTAGGCATGGCACGTTCGGCTGATCGTTCTTTGTCTCACATCTGAACCGAAAAAGCTACTGTGTTACAAAATTCGACATGGATGAAACATGATCAGAAAAGATCAGGATTTTCCAAATACGTGAACTTCAACATCACAAGGATCCACAGGTTCCAAGATCATAGTTCTTGTTTTGAAAGATCCCCAGTTGTAGTACTTGATGAAGTAGATCAGAATGGTCGAAAACATAAGCAAAGACCACGTGATCTCTCGTCAGTGATGATCACAACTGGTATACTAAGAGGTACCCTAATTCTTCTAGTGTCAAGTCATTATGGGAACTTAAACCGTTGGGAAGACAAGAAGATCAAGAGGACTCTCCTGCTCAAGTGAATAACGTTAAAACGCTTTTTATGAATCGTGATTGCGTATGCAGGAGGTGCGGAACTTTAGTATGACATACTACGCCATCACGTGATATGTGACGAAAGACTGGGATGGATATTTGTGTTTCATTCGCATTATTGTACTATTGGAGCATATGATTTCACTAGCAAGTACTTACAGTAGTTCATCTTACAACTGGCTGTCAAGTAGGTGTTCTTGTTCTATAATTGTTTTGCTAGTCGTTAAGTTTCTCCAAGATGAAAAAGCCAGCAAATGCAAAAAAGGGCTTGACGCTGGTGCGCAAACCGGCGAAGCAGAAGCCCGATACAGCCTCAGCGACCACTCAATCAACTTTGGTAGCTCCTGCGTCGAAGCCAACGACAAGGTCTAGTAACAAGGGTAAAGGCAAAGGAGCATCGAGCAAGGGCTCGTCTGACAGAACGAAGAGAAGCGAAGGAAAAGGAGGAAGCAATACAAAAGGCGCGAAAAAAGGTAAGGGAAAGAGTAAGAGTTCATCTGGAAAAAGCTCGTCGCAACAGCGCTTCTCCGAGTCTGAAGCACTTGCAACAACTAGCGGCTCCAGCACGAAACTAGGTGCAATCGCAGAACAGGATGATATTGAGGCCAAGAAAAAGAAGAAGGTTAAGCCTGGATCTTTCGAGAGCTTTTGTCTGCATCCGATCCTGAATCGTGCGATCATGAAGCTTGGCTACAAGATGCCAACACCGATTCAGCGAAAGTGCATTCCGCTTGTCATGAGCGGACGTGACGTCATTGGAATGGCCCGAACGGGAAGCGGAAAGGTATATTCTGACTGATCATAAGGTGTACTGTAGTCCTCGTTGACACAGAGATTTGTAAAAATAGATGAAGGTCATGTTGGACTATGGTGACCGCGAAAAGAAGTTGATTCAAAAAAACATAGACACGTACAGTTATTTGAATCCACATCACCACCAATTGAAATCCATCAAACAACCAACAGACTGCTGCTTTTCTACTGCCGACCTTGCATAAGCTGGAACTCGCGCACTCCACAACGGTGGGTGTGCGAGCTCTTGTCCTGTCGCCAACACGCGAACTCGCGATGCAGTCGTCAAAAGCCTGTAAGCAGCTCAACGCAAATGGTGGAGATCTCCGAATCTGCCTGCTTGTCGGTGGTCAAGCCATGGAGGCACAGTTTGATCGCCTTGCGCAGAATCCAGGTATTAGATATTATAGAAACATGTTAGATCATGCATCAGTTTTCAATTGTATCCTGTCGTGAATTGTCGGTATCTTGAGGAAATTGATGTAGGGCTACTACAACTGTTTTGGAATGTCTTCATCAAAAGCGTTCTAACGCATCTTGTTCATCGTTCTCCCCAATCGCCATCTCTTCAGATGTAATCTTCGCTACCCCTGGTCGTCTTGCCCACCACATGGTGGAAGCCGATCTCTCCCTGGGGCGCGTACAGACCTTGGTATTTGACGAAGCTGACCGACTTTTCGAATTGGGGTTTGCAGAGCAATTGAACAAGATCATGGAAGCGTGTCCGCAATCGCGACAGTGCTTGCTTTTTTCCGCGACCTTGCCGAGTCAGGTGTTCCAATTTTCGCGACTAGGCATGCGTGATCCAGAGGTCGTGCGGCTGGATGTGGAGACAAGCTTGTCAGAAAACTTGGAGCTAGAATTTCTTTACGTGCGCAAAGAGGAGAAGATCGCGGCAGCACTACACGTCCTGCGTCGCCATCTAAGCGGCGAGTACAAGGAAGACACGCCGTCTGATAATATTCAGCAAGCACTACCTGAAGGGGGGGACGAAGACTGTGAGGACCTCGTATTGGAGACCACAAACGCAACGGCTGGTAAGAAAGGTGGCAAGAAGGGTGCTGGAAAAAAGGGAAAGGGCGGAGCGACAGCTAAAGGCGGATCTGATGGCGGGCGCAAAAAGGCAAGGGGAGTAGTTTTCTTCGTCGCGACACGTCATCACGTCGAGTTCTTCGCGAGTCTCTTCCGTCGCGTCACTGGCGTACCAAATGTGTCCATTGTGTACGGAAATATGGACCAAGAGGCGCGAAACAGCGAGGTATCGCGGTTCCACAAACATCGAGGTGTCTTGATTACCACAGATGTCGCGGCGCGTGGTATCGATATTCCATTGCTGGACTCTGTTATCAATTACGACTTCCCAGCGTCCGCCAAGCTCTTCGTGCATCGCGCAGGGCGAACAGCCCGTGCAGAGGAGCAGGGTTTGTGTACAAGTCTGGTCGGCAAGGACGATTTGCCTTACTGCATGGAACTTTTGCTTTTTCTTGGTCGAAAAGTACGCATTCCTGGTATGGACGGCCAGGCGCTTGAGAGGATTGACGCGGACGGAGCATCTGCTTCAAAGGACGATGAGCGAGCAGACGGAAAAGCATCAGAAGATATCGTCTGCAAATCTGAAGTTGATACCGAGGACAAGAAAAGCAAAGTCTCTCGCAATGACGGCATCCTCGGATCTGTCCCTGAGCTGACCGTGGAGGTGGAGGAGGTGACGCGACTTTTCGACTCGAACGATCCCGGCAACGATTTGGGTACGCTTTCCCGTTCTATGCAGGCTTCGTACACGCAGTACTTTAAGACGCGAACTGCAGCTTCGAAGCAGTCCGTGCGACGTGCTCGGGATCTGCTCGCCGAGATTGGCGGCGCACAACGGATGCAATGCCTGACTCATCCGAGCTATTCGCATGGAGGAGATTCAATTCTAGGAGGTAATAGCCGAGGTGCGGGCGGCGGGAAGGGTGGCTCTCCATGTACTTCTTCAGCTTCCGGATTGGGCGGCCGAACCAACATTGACGATGTTACATCCAAGGTGCAGAGCTTAGTGCAGCGCGGGGCGGTCGTGTCTGGCAAGAAGAACAGCAAGAAAGCAAAAGCTTCAACATCGGTTGAGGTTACTGTCACTGAAACTAGTGCGGCGATGACAAAGGTGATTGCTGGTGGGGAGACCGTGGAAACCAGCATGACTTTGACACCGGCTATGACTGGGTCCTCGTCCTCGAGTAGTTCTGTCGCATTTATGTCGCAGCTGAAGCAGGGCATTCGTGAATTTCGTCCCGGTATGGCTCAGGAGCGAGGACAGAAAACGAGTCCGTACGCAGTGGTATCTGTCGGGGCTAGCGCGGCTATGAAGGGTCAGCTTGCGGAGCGAAAAGCCTTCGAGGACGGCTGCGTCAAGCTTAGAGAAAGCATGATCGAAACAGAAACGAGAGAGCGACAGCAAGAGGATGCCGAGCGGGAGGAGGCGCGGGCAGCAGACAATACGGAAGATTCTTCTAGCGAGGACGAAGACGACGAAGCACTTGACGGAGAGGGTGACGACGCCGACAAGAAGTCAGTAACAGCGGCAAGAAGTGTCAAGAAGAGCAAGAAGGACCGACACGTTCGAAAAGTGTCGAAGGCCGAAAGAAAGCGTCTGAAAGTGCGACGCACATCCAGCGCGACTGATGGAGATGACGCACAGACTCCAAGCTTGTCAAAAGCAACTGCCGCTGGTAACGAGGACGACTCATCCTCAGAGAGTGAGGACGACCAATTTCGTATCTCAGTAGCTGACTACCAAGTGGCCCCAGGAGAGAAAGCCTCTGGTGCGTCCTCCAAGAAGGCTCTTCCATCGCGGTCTTTGAGCGGAAAGACCAAAGCAAGCGCATCAACTGTAACTGGCGCAGGGGAAGACCTGTTCACACGCGCTGAGGCTAGCTGTCGCGACGAGGCGTTCTTCTTATCGACGGAGCGCACTATAGAGGAGGACGCTAGGGATCGCGGGCTCGATTTGGACCGTTACGAGTTGAACCTTATGGGCGACGACGGCCGCGACCTGCAGAAACAGCAGTACGTGCGAAGATGGGACGCCAAGAAGAAAAAATATCTGCATGTGAAATTGGGCCCCGACGGTCGCCCAGTGCGCGAGAAGAACCGCAAAAACGAAGCGGGCGCAAGGGTTTCCGGCGAGGCGAAGCGGACCGACTTGTACGCTAAGTGGTCCAAGAACGCGAAACAACGCATCCAGCAATTAGGCGAACTCGAACATGCCAACGCCGCGATGAACTTTCTTGCCAGCAAGGCCAAACCAAAAACTGCAGAAGGAGGTAGTGCCGCTTTTATCACATCAACTTGTAAAGATGATTCTGGTAATGTCGGACTTATTTCTAGTTTGCTTCAGGGATCTGTTTCGGTACTTGTCAACACACTGCTCTATCACTCATGCGTCGCTCTTTGATCTATGAAAATGTTGTGGTAATCGCTACAGCTCACATACTCTGTCTATTTCATTTCGTGCGAGAAGTCTATCTCCCTCTTTTATTCTGACATTAAACAGGTGAAGACGTGTCCGGCGATACCGGCGCGGTCGAATTCAACGAGGAAGGGCAGGCCGTGGAAAAGAAGCCCATAGTTCCATTCTTCGGAGAGGTCGACGCCAAATATTTGACGAACAAGCAGAAGAGACGGCTCGCGAAGCAGGAAAAGCAGCGCGCCAACCCGGTGACGCACGGAGGCGTGGGCTTGGCGGCCGGGACTCGGTCGGCCTCGGACATCAAGAAACTGCGAAAGGGACAAGAGAACATGCGCATGAAAAACGACAAGGAGTTCCGCAAAAAGCGACTCGCAGAAACGAAAGCGGCGTACTGGGAACGCCAGGAGGAGAAGATACGGGCAAGGCAGGCACGACCACGTACTTTCTCCGTCTGGGTGGGAGGCAAAAAGCCACTCACCAAGAAGGAGGAAAAGAAGAAGGGCAGAAGGGGTGGAAGAATGGTGCCGCTGTAAACACATCTGCTCTATTTGCGGCAAGCTCTTCTCTGATCTTGCGGCTCGGCGACAGCTCTATTTTGTTCCATCGAATAATTACTCGACTCTGAAAATATTGTTCCATCTTGCTTTCTCTCCTTGCTGTGAGAATTGTCCAATGCATCTTTGTGGACATGACCAAGATTCTCAATACCACAACAACTTCATCGAAAGAAGGCAGATGATCTTCAATGTAAAACTAGGATTTTACAGTGTTCAGAACGACCACTTTACATGGAGTGAGCAAAGACGATCATGATGCAACTAGGACCAAAAATCACGGTGCCACGGTCATGATGTGATTGAAACTAAAAGTCATCTTGTCCTCTGCCTGTTGTAATCCATCGGTGTGAAAATTGATAACTTTTTCAAAGTGAATACACACAGCACAGTAGAACAGACGATGCTATCGGCAAAATCCTTGCTCAAGGAATATTGTCTCTTAATATGTGGCGCCGTAACTGCGGTGAACCAAGCCGTGACTCTCTGCAAGCTATCTTATGAGGCTTCAGGATGTGAGCCAGCGGGTCTTTCTGATGAATCAATTGCACAGGTTGTTAATCCTCTACCCCTCGAACACATTCTTTCGCAAAATGCAGGATAATCAATTTTCACATCGGAAATCAAACGGCCTAGCCACGAAGTCAGCCTAATCACGAAAAAACTCATTCTCTCCTTAAATGCTCATGATATATGATTTCGTTCATAACAAGATATCACATGAATTACTTGTCTATCGCAGCGACGTTCACCGGTATTGTTTACCTCTCAGAAGTGTAATTCAGCCCAATATTTATCGGTAATACTTCTTGACTTTTTATTGAATTTTCACAACGATCGCTATCTGTTACATTAAACGAACCCTGTCGCTATCCCTATCCCTATACAAGAATGAAGGTCGACGTGATCAAAAAAGATGGCAAGATCATCTTCCTCGAGGCGGGGAATGACTTCGCGGACATGCTGGCCAACACCTTAAAAGCCTCTCTAGGTTCTATCGCGTCTCTGTCGGATGCTGGTGGCTTCGGCACCCTGGCTAAGTCGATCAGTGAGTTGCGAGACCCGGTTTTTCTGGAAGGCAACTCGTCGAATGCGAAAAAGGTGACATCGCTGGACATTTCGGAAGCTTTTTCCGATGCGGTCGATTGTTCTCAAATGCAGGTGCACCGCAATTCAAGCTGCACAGTGAGCAACGAATGGAAACGCGGAGGACAGATGGGATGCACCTTCACGAACAGTTCGTCGTCCTACTACTACGGAATTTGTTTTGACGAAGTCGCCGACTTCGAGCTCTCTGTGACAGTTTCGCAAAATGTCAATATGATGCTTGGCTTCTTCCCGGTACCAGCATTGCTGGCGAAAAATCTAGTCAAAGAGCCCAGCAAGCAGCATTCGGGTTTTTTTGTGCAGCCGAAGGATGGAGGGAACGTGACTGTGTATTCCCCGCAAGCTAATTCTGGGTCATATTCCTCGCAAAGCAAGGGGACATCAGTCTTCTGCCACAATGAAAACGGGAATGAATATGAGCTGCGCATTCGTGTCTCCACCAAAGGTTCGGGAAGTGGTATGCGCATATTTGAAGTGTCGAAGACTGCGGGCACAGATTGGACGCAGTTAGCTTTCTCGCAGAACCTTCCGACGAGTGACAAAAAAATTTCTCCAGCTGTTTTGTTTTGTGGGAGTGGGCAGTTCTTGAACGTAACACTGACACCGAAAAAGCCGAGCCTCTTTATGCATACTGTAACTAATTGGTTACTTCCATTTTCAGTAAGACCATGCGAATCTGCTGAGTAATATCACTCAATAATTCAGACGATGGTCTTGCAGGATGGAAAGAGCCACATTCATACTTCTGCAGGACCCTGTCTTTCACCCCTACTGCAAGTTTTTAATCAGCAACAGTCTAGCCACCTGTGAAAGCTCGTCGCTCAAGGCTTTCGAAATTCTGCGTCAGTGTGGCGCCAAGGATGCCGACTCCGTGCAGGTAACAACAGTTACTGTCACTAAGGAGATTCTCTGTCGCCTGATCGCACGCGCAATGTTGGGCAAATCTGATGTTCTCGAGTACGCCTTTGGTGGCGCTGCAGGCAGTGGCAGCCGTTCTATGAGTTTGGGTCGCGGCGGCGCCTAGAGAAAGTGCAACAGCGGCGCGATTGTTATAATATGCCGCAGAGATGACGATGACAGTAAAGAAGTATGAGCTTATTGAATTTTTCGATAGTACACATAAAAAAATGGGGAGGAAAGCAAGCAATATCTCTTGCCTGATCAAGGTATAATGTACTCGACTGACAAATCGCCATGAAGTAACACTTGAAGACTTTGAGCAGAGAGCTTCTATTTGTGAAAATCAGAAGAAAGTGAAAATTCAAATGATCCATCAATATCAGTGTAGTCATTAATCACAAGGCGGGTTACTGCTTAACCAGGTGGCTATTGAGATATTTTGACTTCAATGTTGTTTCGTGTGCGTGTGAGTGAATCAAGACATCTTACGCTACTGATAGGTGTGCGTCTTTCTCAGGGCACGTATAGTAAATTGTCTATCTTCACTACGAAGAAAAACGTAACGTCTAGGAAACGATGCTTCTTGTGTCATTTGTTTTCAATAAGCAGCTGGCTCATTACACAAAAGCAAAATCAGCAACGAACTACCGAAATATTTTTCTACAGATTTCTCACATTCCAGCGATGTTGAAGCTGACTCATTCCTTGAAATTTTTTTCCAAAGATAACTTCAGTCAAGATTTTGACTCGGGGGGTTGAACACAGCAACATTAACGCTGCTGTTCGATTTCCCTTGCAGGAGCACTTTCTTGTGGAGATGGGTCAGCGTTACGCAGAGTGATCAGAACCCTGAAGCGGATCAGTTGAGTTCCCGTTGCAAGGCTCGCAACCAAGATCCGGCTCCGGTTCAGAACTGAAACTAACTCGATCGTTTCTTGTGTGCAGACAAATTTATCAAAAAGTCAGTTCAAAGCAATTAGCATTTGGTTTACACCTGTTTTATTGGAGTTGTAACGCCAGCCTAATTCTTCGCTGTCCTGTAGTTTTCACAGTGATCTAGTCTAGTGAGCCCGAAAGTATGGCGCGTTCACCTGCACTTGCAATCCATGGCGCCAAGACTAAGGGCATTACTATCCTGCAGGCCGCACTTACAATTCTAGCCTGCGTCCAGTTTGGTTTGGCTAGCCGGTTTCTTTTTGTTTCGGGAAGAGCAGCGGCACCCCCGCACAAGACTTTTTCTCGACCATCTCCATCGCGAGATGCAGAAACCGCTGCCCGGGACCATCCGTTACAGCCAACGGAGGAGGACTCAAGCGATGCTAGCAATCCCTTTTTTCTGCAAGTCGACGTCGAAGTTTCGCACTCAGACGCCGAGGTGCCTTTCGAGTGGTATGGTCCGCACGACACTCATGTTTTTCAGGAATCAGTTGCAGCGCCGGGCAGTCCGGAGAGTTTTCTTTCCGCAGCGCAGGTCCGTGCGTTTGCAGCAGGCCCTTCTCCTGGAATAGTGCACCGGAGTGGGGGAGGACGTGCTGGCATTCATCGCTCAGTTTCTGGTTCACTAGGCTTGCAGACGCGAACCGCTTCCGTGCCCAGCGATATGCACCTAACTACCATCTACGAAGGAACTGGTGGCGTTGTCGAGCAGCAACATAGTGTTCACGCGGGAGACCCGCTTGCGCGGGGGTCTTTGGGCTCTGGTGGTTTGCGATCCGCGAGTGGGCGACTTCACTCTTCCGCAAACGACTTGCCACAGCGAGCAGCTGCTTCGGAACAATCTTTCTCCGTGTCCGCACCAGAAGAAGATGGCCTTTGCCTCAGTAGCCCTGCTTCGCCAAGCGCAGGGGCATTCGTCGGGAACTATTCGATGAGTGGCGCAAAGTCACTTCAGCAGAGACCCTTTTCTCGTGTGTCGTCCACTATGAGCACGCAGAGCGGAGATCACAATTACAGCGATGAACAAGACACGGACCACATTGCAGGTCGCCTCAGTGGGAGTCGGAGCAGTTCGCAGCACTCCATGACGGACTTTTTACGACTCAGTATCTCGCATGCAACCGAGGAAAGCGCGATCGTTGCGGACGAGGGGTCTCCCAGTGGCAGCGTAGCCGTTTCGGAAGATGATGAGTTTTATCACGATTGCAGAGAGTTGTTGAATTCTGATGCGTCCCCTCGTTCGTTTTTAACGAGGCACCTGCTTAATGAGGCGGCCAGCGGGAGCAGCCGCAGCGCCAGTCCAGCAAGCAGTTCGTACGCCTCTCCGTCGCAAACCCCGATCGACCCCTACACTGTCACCCGCGGACGCACAAGAGATAGTGGTGGTTCGTCTTCAGGCTTGAATGCGTATCCGGGGGGAGGGTCACGTGCTAGTTCTATATGCAGTGACTATAGCAGTCTTATAGACCACCCGCCATCATGTCGGGTCGCGCGCATGCCACGGCTTTCCCTTGGTCCAGCTTGGAGTAGGGAGGTATCCGGAGCAACGACGTCAGAAGATATTGGCATAGACTACTCGGATGGCAACTCGACCAGTTCCCGCACACGGCCACATTTCGCAAAATCTTCGCCTGAGGAGACTAGTCCAACAAGTGCTAGTAGTACTGACCCAGTGGAGACAGGCAGGAAGAAAGAGCGGCATCAACACGGGATTAAAGTCGGAGGTCCTCTTGCTTTTACGCGTTCGCGGGTGAACTCACTGTCTGATGAGAGTCCCCAGCAATGTGCTTCTTCGCCGTCCGAGCAGACGGACGAGGAAAGCAGTCGACGCAGTGCTCTCTCCAGCAACGCTGGTGCCCTTTTTTCAGTTCAGAGCCTCATTTCACGGCTCAAGGACTTCAGTCTTGGCACCTCCGCAGCAGGGGAATCCGCGAGTAGTAAGAAAATCGCAGATCTTCAATCAAAGGTGACCGAGCTGGCGGCGCGACTTCGCGATGCGAAGAATGTACTTGTACTGCTAGGTGCCGGGGCTTCGGCTGATTCGGGTATTTCTACTTTTCAGAACATCAAGACGCTGCTCTATTCCGCGGAAGTGCAGCCGATATCACAGGAAAAGGCGCCTGCAAGAAGAAGAAGAAGTCAATCTGAAAGAAAAAGAGGCAGCAGGCATTTGGACGAAACAAGTGATAGGAATGATTTGGATGCATACAACGAGGAAGTATTGACTACCTACGAGTTGGTCGAGACCGACAAGAAAACTTTTTTCAAGACCAAAAAGAGTCTGCACTTTCTCTACTCCTCTGCCATCGAACTACCTTCCGACCCTCCAATTTTCCGTCGTGCGAAGAAACACACATGGAGCGCAGACGCGCCCGGACCTTGTGCACCCATGAAAGCCTACGTAGGAGACATGGAGCAACAAGACGAACAAAGAACTGCAGGTGTAAACTGCCAGATGCCGCAAGTGTCGCTACAAAAGGCGCGCGGAAAAGAAAAACAAGAGAAACACCGATTGTGGGTCTCGTACGAAGACATGCTCACTGTTTACACCGACCTTGCGGAGTCACCCTTTCCGTTCGGATGGCACGAGTTTGAACAGTATCGCATAGTTTGCACCCTTTTTTTCGACAAAATGGTGCAAACTTACAAAACAGCAAAAGCGCATCTCGGCTATTTGCAGCTACAGGCCGTGCTCGCGGACTGGAAGAGTGATGACAATACGGCAAGATCAGGATCTCACGCAGCAGAGAAATCATTGATAGTCGCTACAACGAACTTGGATCAGCTGTCGCAGTCCGTCTTCGGCGAACTGGCGACTCGGGTTGTGCCGATGCACGGAAATATCGATCGAAAACGCTTTCACCGATACTTCGTTGGCAGTGAAGCATCTTCGTCGACCATTAATACAACAGCATTCGTTTCTGGGAGTGCGATACGGTTCGACCAGGATGGAACAAGGAAAAGCACGAAGCAAGATGATCGCAGAACAGCAGACTTGGGTGATTATCAGGACGTTTATGCGAACTACCGCAACTTACCTTTAGTATCGAAGCCAGAAGTCTTGCACTTTGCGGAGTCCTACACTCCACCTTTCACCAACTTTCTAGATCTACTTGCGAGCGGTGGAATGACAATGGGAATGAAACCGGCTTCCACGTCGTCGACCAGCCCAGTTCTTGCACCTACCACACTTTCTCGTTTACAACACAAGAGGCGCAGCAGCAACTCTCCTACTCCTGCACCTGGAGCAGAAGACGCAACCGCCCCTTTGCGCGTCGAGGCCGAGTCCCCGAATGTCGAAGATGTACTGGTGCTGGAAATTGGTTGTTCGGATCTGGTGCGGGTTGTCCCAAATATACGTCGAAAGCTCCTCGGCACCCGGAGCAAGGTAGCTGGCTACTTCCAGATTAACCCTGCAAGCAGTTCCTCTACGAGCACTTCGCCCCTCGGGTCTTCGGCTGCGCGGCTGTTGGGGTCGCGAAGCGGTGTCTCCCAGCTGACAAGGATACCGCTTTCCTTTCGCGATTTTGGCATGCAACTCTCGGAAACCTGGGGACTGGGGGGAAATCAACATCGGACAGAGCCGCGTACGGAGGAAGAAGAGGCTGTGGGCGGAGAAGAAGAAGACGACAGCAAAGCAATTATTTCGACGCTGTAGCCTCACGCGGTCTCACGCGCGACAGTTTTTTGTTTCTTTTAATGTCATCACGTACATTAGGTGGATTGAATCTGATTTTAGGCACTTTACATTAGGAGGGACATCGGCATGCTCGATACGAGAGTTCGCATCTCTCTGTACCAGTTTTGAAGGTAAATTCTACACATAAAGAACCCTGCCCACAAGCACCTTTTGCAATTGATTCTTTCCACTGTTTCCAAAATGCTTTGCTGGAGAAGGAACAAGAAAATCCTGTAAGAGTTTGCTTCATGATTGCACTACATAAAGATTTTTTGGCGCGATATATCCTTTCAGCCTTGCTGATGCTTTGTATTTAATTTTTTTTTCGTGGAGCGAGAAGCAACGGATGCTTGCTGGCGCTTAGCATTCTCTTAACCAACAGAGAGACAGAACATGGAGACTATTTGAAATATTGATATTCGTGCAGGAGTGATGCGTGAATATTGCTCGATATGGACAGCTCCGACTTGCATCGTTGCTTTAGTCTACTTTGATCGGGGTCGCGCAACAAGTTTCCCTTCGAAGTTTTTTTTTGCGTGTGTGTTTTTGGGCTACATGCTTTATTCCAAATATCATACAAGTTTTCTTTGTACATCGACGTCTTTGTTCAGGCGCCTGTTCCCAGCAAGTTCAAATTGATATTATTTAGAATTCAATTAGATCGAAGAAAATGGCGTTTCCGACCGTTGCTGCGGAACAGAGATGTGGCATTTTCTACAACATCGACAATGCGACATCACCCGCGAGCCCGTTTGTGTGTGATCATGTATCCGGAAGTGATCTGACACGCAGCACGGATGAGGGGCAGGCGAGGAGTAACGGTGTGCCGGCTGACAAGACAAGTGTCGGGGCGTTCGTAAACAGTCACAATCCTGGAGTAGGACCAACAGCTACTTGTGCTGTGGTGCCAGTAGCGGAAGGAAGGCAAGCGCAAGGGGTCGTTGTGAAGAGATTTCCTCTTCCCGTATTTCCTCCACCAAGCTTCAGCTCCGCGAAGCACATCATGCCCCGGTCCACGGTACAAGCGTCCGCGAGCAGCTCTTCCTTTAGCAATCGGAGTAACGCTCTGTCCTCTGGAGTCATGGCGCAGCCTTGCGGATTCAAATATAGTAACGTAAATATCTGTTAGCTTACTACACGATACTTGATTGTTTTGCAAATTAGAAGAATGCCTCCCAAGCTAGCAACAGCTCTTTTTTTTAAATTGGGGCATTTGAGGAGGCGGCTGCGCCCAGCACACGATATGTGAAGCTCTTTTCTACGAATGGGCAGAAGGTTTTGCATGAGCCGCTTGCAGCGGCTATTCGCCGTTTTGTGGCCGAGCGCAAGCGTTGTAGCAAGCCAGATAAGAACATCGGTGCGCGCGCTGGGCAACTACCAAACTGGCTGGCGAAGCACGGTGGATACGGTTCGTTTATGGGTCGCAAGATGGCGGAGAAAAATGCGAGAAAAGCACCGGGATCAAAAACGATGAAAGTGCTGGCGTTCGAACTGCTGGATTTGGTTGGCGCACTGAAGAGCGGGAAACAGTTTTGCGAAATCAACGGAATCAAGTTGGATGATGGTTGCAAAAAGAAGAGAAACTAACATGAAAAATAAGAACTTGAAGATGAAACAGGTGAACAAAACAAACTAAATCAACCAGCTAAGCTGCTAAGCTGCCGAAGGTCTCTTCGAACAAGCAGGGGCATTATTGATATCTTAATTGAAAATGCGCACTTGAAATATGTACGAGATTTCTATGATTTTTACTACAACACGGTCAGCCGACCTTCTCAAGCTTAATTGTAGTCCACCGGAAGTCGAATGGATAGAATCGTCAAGGCAAAGATGTTAAGAAAGACACCCAGAACAAACATCATGAACTATTCTTTTTGTGCTCTCTCTTCATCAAAAATATGTAAATAAAGAGAAAACCACATTCAGGGAAACGTGAACAAAACGTACGAAGGGATCATCTCCAGTTCCTTCTTTCGGTTATAGCACGACTGACCATAACCGATTGTTTCACGCGCAAGCCTCACGCTGACAGAAAGCTATTTGATTTGTCGTGTTCTTTACTAATATTCATATTCTGTTGAACGTCTACTTGAAAAGTATGTGTTCGTTCACTTCAGCTTCACGAAGTGTTAGGTTGTAGAGCCGCTCTGACGATCCTGATGATCACCTGCACTTAGCGTGAGAAAGAGAACTGTGTGAGATTGACGTCTTTGGTCTGATTCAAGAAGTTTGTAAATCCAGAATATCTGTCGATGTAATTCATCCGTGTTCTACCTGTCTGTCAGAGAGCGACCGAGAGATCAATTAGCTAACTATCTGTTGAGATTTCAGTGCATCCAGTCTGGTGAGAAAGCGCGCGGCGTGTTGCAATATGAAAAAGAGTTGTAGACTTTCTGTGACACGCGCAGGAGATTAATAGGAGAGATGAAGTAGTGATCATATGCATGAACTGTGGCTGAGAATTATCTCAATCAATCAGGACCGCTTGTTCAATGAATACTTGATGCATATTGTCCCGAAAGACTTACCCTCTTCCTCATGATCTCTAAGAAGGTCCATCCAAATTCGTTTTTTTTGGCAATGTGAGGATGTAGCCAGAAGTATCCCTGATTCATCGTTTAGTCGCAACGCATCATCAAGCACCATCAATGAATTCTTCTTGTATAACTTGCTAGCGTCAGACGCTGATATTTGATACAGTATCCTTTCAGGATGTGGTGTTTAGTTATCGATGATACATCTGCGGAAGGCGACTTGTCTTCTGAGATAGCCTATTTATGTACGAGTATGATAAGGTGGTATGTATGATGGGCGGTTCGTATAATAACGAATTGGGTTTTGAAAAGATAGAAATTGTTTCCGGTATCTGATGACTTCTACTTCCTCTTAAAGAGTCTTCACCGATCTTTTTAGGAGTACATGATGATCGCTTAAGAGATAGATTGCAACCTTAGAAGTATGGAACCTTCATTTTGGCTGTAGAGAACCGCAAGTAGCTCTTGCCCAATCTTTTCATCGAGGGAGATTCTCTTTGTCTGAGGAAAACTTCAGAGGACGTTAGAACTACCTCCAACCGTGGCAAGATGCCGCCGAAGAAAGCGAAGGTGATTCTCGATCGCTTCGAGGTGATCGAGGGAAAGAAGGGGTTTCTGGGGCAGGGATCTTTTTCCTCTGTGCAGAGGGGAACCGATCTTCAGACGGGACGCACTGTAGCGATCAAGACCTTCAAGATGGACGTGTGGAATCGGGATCCAAAGAAAAATTTAGCGCAATTCAAGAAGCAAATTGACATTATCAATCGATTGTTGGAACCAGTGGACCCATCTAAAATCAAGTACGAATTTCTGAAGCACCCTTTGTTTTGGCAGGTGGACCCCAGAAAAGCGTTTCTGGAGATGCACGCCTATAGCGTAGATGCGCAGGGGAACCCGGGTGTGGATCCCGTAGATGGCGTGGTTTATTTGATCACAGAAAAGGCCGATTACAGTATGAAGGATCTGGTGGAGGAACACCAGAAAAGCGGTGAACGCTTCACTCCGGAAACGGTAGCACAGATTAGCAAGGCGATGATTATCTCGATGGGCATCTTGCACGCTAAGAACCTCACGCATTTAGATATGAAGCCGGAGAATATCATGCGCAGCGGCGATACATGGAAGTTGATCGATGTCGATGGTTGTACTGAGATCGACTACAAATTATATCCTGGGGACTCCTCCGTCGCTTTCTCGCCCATCTACTGCTCGCCAGAATGGGCCAACTTCTGCGTGGACCCGCCAGGGGAATATTTGCCCATTGCTGATAAGTTAGATGTGTGGTCAACGGGCGCCTCTCTTGCCGAGCTCGTGATGCTGGATGTGTTGTTCAAGGGCGTCTTCAAAGAGATCCATAGGACGTGCGGCGACCCTGGACAAACGCAATTCCAATTCTTGAACTGGCTGGCGAACCCCGCCAACAAGGTGCCTTTTCCAGAAGTGATAATGGAATTTCACCCCTTGTATGTGGATTTGGTGGTGAACAACATGATGAACAAGCGGCCCAGTGGGCGCCCCTCGATGGCGCAGTGCATGCACCACGACTTCATCCGCGACGTGGAGGTCCCCGGACTCGACGTGCCTATGAACGGTGCGGCAGGCGAAGACCCCGCGCACCTGGGGGGGATGATGTCACAGACTATCAAAAAGAAGAGGGAGCAAAGGTTGATGGCAGATCGGGACGAAAAGCCGCCGATGATGCAGGGCGTCTTGTATAAACTGAACTCGGACGGAGATTTGATGACTGCCGCACACTGGCTGAAACGGGATTTCTGGCTCTCGGACAAGGGAAATCTCTGTTACTACTCCCACAAAGAAGGCAAGAGGCTCATCCTCTTGGATCGCGCGCATTTATCGACTGCCAACATATCCCCACTCCAACCTGGAGAGAGCTGCATGCAGTTCGCTTTTTTAGTGGATTCGATCACGAGTGGCACCGAACACGAACGACACTTTTTTGCGGTTGATACGCCAGAGGAGTACCAGCAGTGGGGTGGCGTTCTAGAATACGTGGTGCAAAATCCGCTTGTCACTGGCGCACTGGACCCCGCGTTCAAGGCGCAACTGGGTATCTACAAAGACTTCAAGGAGCTCCGAATGATGATCCGCAATCGGAGAGACAAAACAACGAACAAAGACGATTTCAGACCGGTATTTTTGAGAAAGATACTAGATCTACATCTTCTAGTTTTTGTAGTTTGTGTACGAGCATATTTCGTCGTAAACTTCTCATTCGCTGTTGTTCTTGGAAACTTGTGACATGATGTTTTGAAGTTTGCGCGTTTTGAGGAAGCACGCGAAGACAAAAAGAACGAAGACAAAACGAGAATGCGAAGAACAGAGCACGCAGGCCGTAAAAACGTCAACCGAACCCGGCCGCGCCTCACCGCCAGGCGCTACCTACGCGCAGTCGCCGCCGCCTGCAGCACACCGCGCCCGGCATGCCACAAAAGCCGCAGCTGGCGGGGACTGTGGCGACCAGGCGCACCATAGTCGACCGCAATGACGACCATAGCACAACACACACAGAGCACAAAGAAATCCGGCGGGATCGTACGCGTCGCCCGGAGCGCATCAAAACAAACAAACAAAGTTGGCGCGTTATTTGTTTTCAGTTTTGCAAAATTCATGTCTATGAATTGCATGTCAGGTTTACGAAGCCATGCTGTGGAAGTTGAACCAAGAGGGGGATCCCCACAAGGATCAGGACTGGAACCAGCGGCGCATGTGGCTAGCGAAAAACGGATCCTTCTGTTATCACTCCGCCAAAGAGAACAAGGATTTGATGTACTATCGGCCGGATGATGTGCGGCATCTGAAGTTTCGGAGGCTTTTTCCAGAGGAGAGTTCACGGAGGTTCTCGTTCGAGCTGACCCCAAGTCCTCTGGACGGAACTGAGTATGCACCAGGTGTTTTTGCCGCTGAAGAGGAGCAGGTCATGCTGATCATTCTAGGCTGCATCGAACGGTATCAACGAATCAAGCAAGAGAAGGAAAAGCGGAAGCGCTCCTGATGGAAATGGATCATACCCAATCAACTATAAAACATCTCGAAGAGAAATAAAAAACCATTAAAACGCTTCTACCTCATTGGAGAATATAAGAAACCACCAACGAGAGCACCAAAATGCTTTTTCTACGCCTCTTCCCCTGATTCCTTTGTATCTGTGTGATAATTAATGATCATGAACACCATAATGAGTATGTTCTTGGGTAGTTAGTGTTGACTAAGACACTTGATGGACCCGAATGAATTTTCTATTTCGAATTCACGCACTTGACGTGTTGAATTTTTCTTGATTTTTACTGACAATGACTGAAATGTCTTCAGAAGTCAACCCGCGGAGGAATATAGACATTCACCAAGCGAACACTTATACTTTGTAGCCTTCAGACACCATCTAGCACAAACATGCTCAAGGAAAAGACAGAAAAGAAGTGTACCTTTGTTCTCGGTGAGTGAGGTGATTTTTCAAGCCCTACTTGTTCGCACATCTTGCTAATATGTATTCGGTTGCTCGACTACGTGCAAGTTTTGCTCGGTTTTGAATCAGCGCTGTGAAATGCATTGTGAAAGACAATGCAAGGAGGTGAACCGCAATGGAAGGAGCATATCTTTGCATATTGCGGGAGGGGGAGGCACAAGAGTAAGTTTCTAAGATTGATACAATTTGTAAGCTCTTCACGACGTTTACCATCTCAACAAGGTAAGGCAAAGATCATGGCAAGCAGTGGTGAATGTTCTTCTTGCACCGCGAAATTCTGTTATTATAGCGGTTCGTACACGTTCGAACTGCGTCTCGGGATGTGTGGAGGTGATGGCACGCGATCACTGGAAGGAGCGTGCGAAATAAAGGGTATAGGCTTCAGTATTCGTGGAACCGCAGTCGGCGATGGGATCACGCCAAACCAACTAGACTATTCCTTATTCGAGGAAGGGTCATCATCATCTGCCTCAGCTGGCACGGTGGTTAAGAACGGTTGGTAGCTGTTGAGCAGACATTTCTTTCTTATTTTACTGGCATGCTTACTATGACGAGGTTGAGATTATTTCATCAGGCCTGAAACTGCTGCGACTGCGACAACAATGCTCACACTTACATAATTATGTTTCACACTTGGAGGGTACGAGTACGTAAAAGAATCGGAAACTAACTCTAATCGTACACCAACGGCGGTCGCCATTTTCACCGTGCGCGTGTCGCGACGAAACAGCTCTGGATACTCCGGCGAGTGGCGAAAGGGAGCCGGTGGGGCCGGCAACCCGTGTAGCCTCGTTCTGGAGCGGCTTCCAGGTCGAAACTTTAACATTTTTGAGCGTGGAGACCAGGTATGCTCGATTACTGGAGTGCGTGGCCGCATTACGCGTGTTTTCTACCACAATGTTCCGGACTACTTTTATGAGGTAGAAAAAGCCGGCAATGCTGGCTTTATCGAGATGAGCGAAAACAAATTGCGCTTCTTACCACCCTAGTCAAGGAAGAAATCCCGATGTTTCGTTTGTCGTTTTGTAATCGAGGCTTAGTGAATTTCATCGTTATAACATAAATAGTGTTTGCGCGCAATGCCGTGGTCTTTGTGCGAAGCTTAAGCCTTCGTCCTGAAGATATCTTGTTCAAGCGAAGAGATCATAGAACTACCAAAATTGCTCAATACAGATGAAGCCCGCTGCGGATGTACCTTTGCGTGAGGGCTCAACATAAGCTCGATTCCCCTCTGCCCAGCCTCTTGGGGATTTCGGAGTAGCTATCTGTTTGCAGATACAGGAAGCTAGACAGATCTGCCGGTCTGGAGCAAAGTGCTACATCGGTAAAATGTCTGAAGCGGCAGGTTATCTAATGCGGTAAAATCAAAATGCATATTCACGTCAATAAGATCGAGGACACGATGTTAGCAAATAGACGAGATTAAATCGGTCAGAAAGAAGGTACTTTGGTCTAGTTCTGTGTCATCGAAGGCTTCATCGGTTTCTTCGTAGATCTTTGAAGTGATATAAAGTGCCCCGCCCAATATACCGCCCCTTCCTCATTTACAATTTCATAGTATTCCACTTCCTTTCTGTCACTTCTTCTGAATCAAAGAAAGTTTTTAGCGACTTTGTATTCATTGGTAGTGGTAGATGATGCTTTTGTACGCTACATGTGTTCTTTTCTACTATGCATAACTTGTCACTAGTAATGCTGCATTTGCATCTAGCCTGACGGAAAAATTTGTCGACTTCCTTGACCAACTTTCTAACCAATGATGACAAAGTAGGACTCTTGACAACGTTTATCTTCAGTCCTAAGTAGAGAATTTCTCCATGTCATACCTTTCCCTTTGTGCTGATTGATACATGAGACATACATTCATTGAGAGCAAATGGATCGTTGACGAGCAACATTTGAAAAGTTACTTACACAGACATGAATACATGATGATGTTGTTATATGTTGACATGCCATGATGCTACGAACAAATAGAAGAAGTTCTGCTTTGCACCTTGGCGTGCTTCTGTGTTTTCACGCAGAGGACACAAGCGGCAGAGCGTTGCATCGACGAGCTTATCAAAGTGGTAGTGGGTCAGCCACAGGAGGAGCAGACAGCACGCCGTCGGAATTGAGCAATCATGGAGGTGAATACGATTCGCAGCAGGCTTTCGATGCGGCCGGTGAGCCATCTGCCTTCGTCGACCTGAGAAATCGGCGGAAGAGGAAGGCCGCTACGACGGACCTCCAAGGGGAAGCAGTCGAGAAGGCAGCTGACGCACGAGCAAAGCCGATTGATTCCGAAAATGAGGGGGTCGCCGGTGTCGAGAAGAACGTCCCTGCTGCCGACGTCAGTCCCGCATCAACGGAACCAGGCGACGAGCCAGGCGCAAATGGAGGAGGTGCTGGACTACAACAAAATGAGGATGCTTTGAATGACCAGCAAAGCAAGAAGCTTGCGGAAGAGGGACCTCAAGAACAAGCTGACACTGCGGCTGAGCAGGGAGTGGCGGACGAGGAAGACGATTTGGGCAGTGATGGAGGGAGTGGCTGCTGTGGCTATGGAGGAGAGGGAGAACTAGAAGAAGCGGGAGTAGGAGAGGAAACCGAGCACGATAAGGACGCAGCAGAAGGAGGTGACGAAGGTGGTATGAAGGATGATGTCAATAATACATTTGTTTCTTCTAGAATCCCAACAGAATATATTCCTCGGGTTCCCCTCAACTTTCGTTGTACTTCTTAATACTGGAATTTGAATCCTCTCTTAGACGACATTGACTTTGATGACTCTTGGAAATTTGTTGCAGCTGAGCTGTCCTCACGGTCACAATGAAGGGCGGTTGTATGAATCAAGAATGAGGGAGAACTCGTCTAAGCAGAGGAGTGGCGCATCAACAACGACGGTCGAAGCGCAGGAGAAACAGGAGGCAGCGACTGCGATCGCAGCGCAGAGTACGAAGCCAGCGCCAGGTGAGATCGTGGATAACGACCCGGAAAAGGCGGCAGACGAGGCAGAAGAGGCTGAAGACGCATCAGAGGATGCGGGTGGGGGTCGTTCCTGCGGAAGTTCATCCTGCGGCGGCGGAGGGGACGAACACTCCGGCGACGAGGATGAGGGCGATGTCAGTCCTGGGGAGGCCGCGGAGGCCGTGGAAGATGAGAAGGCCGTCGACGGAACTGCGTCAAAGGCATCAGCTCACCAACTAGAGCTGTTGGAGAGACAGCTCGACAATCCGAAGGCTCTAGAAAACGATGCTATACAGAAAATCATGGAGCGCGGAACGGATTCTGGCAATGATATCATGGTCAACCACTACGCTTGGCTAGACCATGCCTTAAAGAAGCGCCGCGCAGCTTGTGAAATGCTCGGTCGTGACTACGTTTTCCGCGGTCCGAACCACTGCTCAATGCCGCTCAACGGAGTACTATCATGATACACATAGGTAGGAGGTAGATAGATAGATATTACACCAGAGACGGCACAGTGAATAAAGACAAGCAAGAACAAAACCAACTTGCTGTACCAACACATCTCCTTTCAAAACTCTCAATTCTTTTCCCGTTTCCAGACTAGCGATCCGGTGTTTCAATCGAAGCTGGCTTCCAAGGCACTTCACTACGATCTGGACGTACTTCGAGAAGAGGGGTGGAACGACGTGGAGCGTTCCGACATTATGTTTCGTACGTGTGATGAACGAGGCGACGTATACAAGCATGTGATTGAACAGTGTAAAAAGCTGCAGCCCGGTGCTTCGGGTTCGGGGAGCACAGCCACGGTACTAAACACCAGATAGCATCTTCTCGTACAACTACGATGTTTGGTGATGCCGATGTGTGTTGATAGATTCATGGTTCTTCTGGAAACATACACCCATTACGCGAGGGAACTCATGTTTAGCTGTATCGATCTAGTTATTTCGTAGTATCTCGGGAAGGCAGTGACACGCTATCACTCCTGTAGAAATTGTTCGGGGTTTACTATTCGATCTCATTTCCAACTACTGTATCAAGGCGGGAGAGGTGCAGCAGTGGTCGGACGGCTGCCGTTTTGGTATTGAGAGTACACTGAAGCACTTGGACGGGGACGATGAGAGGCACTGTTCGCGACAGTGTGAAGCATCACCTCAGAGCAGCGGAAAATCCTGTGTCGCTGGCTGCAGAGCGATGTACGGTTGGAGCGCTCTGCCGGGTTGGGATACTTTAGTTGAGGACTCCTCGGCAATACTGACAGAAAAGACACCCTGGTGCCTGAATCACAGCGAATGCAAGGTCCCGCCTTTTTCCAAACTGATTTTTTGATGTGGGTACCTCTAGTGATGTCGATCTAGTTGTATTCTTCCTTTCCTCTTGGTAGGTGGCTCTGCCCTGCCAACATACTCATCCAAGAATAATCTTCAACTCTTTTAACCTTTGCTGATCAAATTCAGGTTCGACAGAAGCTGTTGGAGTGCTACGTCGAATTTGATGTGCAGAACCGTGGAGTTTTGCCACACGTCGTAGCGACTGAAAGCGAGAACGATGTGCAGGTAGACCTTCAAAGGCAGGAATTCATGGAGGAGTTTCAAACTACACGAAATGACATCAACGGGGAGCATGATGAGACGGGGGAGAAGCAGGTAACGCGAGATGACCAGGAGGCGCGGCGGTGGCTGTGGCGCTATGGCTGTCGCGCACGAGCGGCAGAGTTAGACTTCCGGGTACATCGGCATAAATTTATGGCAAGAATAGTCATCAGCAAAATATAAACTTACTTGTGACGCCACTCCAAACTGTGAAAATGAAGGATGGCAGGTATTTTGGAGCGGGAGAATCTATAATAATAAATTAGTTGGAACAATGTGTATACAGGTCTAGACGTGTTCTGGTGAGCAACAGTCGTGACTTTTTCCACTGAGGAAAACTAACCGTCCACGATCTCACAGGAAAGATAGTATGTGTTGGAGGAGTAAAATCAAGATGAATAGTATGATTCTTGTATGCTAACGAATATGTTGTGCGTTCTGGAGATGCTGTTGATACTGCGCAGCAGTTACAGACTTTCCTCTTCTAATGAAGATGGCGACGGACAAGAAGGGGTCGAAGATAAAGAGCGCGAGAAGGAGAAAGAGGGTGAGGGCAATCAGGGTGGATCATCCTTTTGTGAAGGCTCCTCGCCCTCCTCTTGTGGTGGGGGTGATGACGAAGAGGCAGAAGGAGACGCCACGGCGATGACAGAAGAAAACATTGCCCATTATGGCTTGCATGTTTGCCTATCTAAAAGCATATCTCCAGTGACTATATTTTCAACAAGAATCGGCGGAAATATGTGGGGTTTTAGATAGGTCAACTTCAGCCTCCTAAGAACAGATCCAAGCTGAGAGTAAGGAAGCCTGTCACCAGCTCTGCATGCACATGCCCTACACGGAGGCAGCCAGGCATTTTGGAGTGGTGCCACGTTTCTTGAAGGAGTGTCAGCTAGGGTGCGACCACTGTGACAACTGCTACAGCGAATGCGGGCCTGGTGATCTTCTTCAATCGGCGGATGACCGTGCCCTACGCCTTCATGTGAAAAACCTCGTTGTGGGTCCGCTTTGTGAAGGCAGCCAAAAATTCGGGTAATTAGTTTCCTCTCGGATGCTCATTTTTAATTGCCAACTGACCGCTAGTGGCTCTCCGAATCTCTACTGGCTCTTCGAATCGAACCAGTAGTGGTTCTGATATCGTGGTCGATCCTCAAAAGAGAAACGAATGAATTTCGTGTGTTGTGAAAATTCCTTCGTATTTTAGATATGATTATGAGATCTTCATCGATCATGAATCTTTTAAAATGAAAGAGAGGTGAAAAAAACTCACTTCCTCGTTGTTTCAAAGATAGACACTCTCTTACTATTTTTTATTCTCGAAAATCCATCAGGTGCAGTGATGGTCTTATGTGGTGCCATAATCATCACGGGCATTTCCGTCACGGCATGTGCTTTTTGAGCGCGTCCACTTTTGCCGGCGCCGTGTACGACAGTCTGACATACGTCACGCAGGGGAACTACCTGGAGGGGCGTCGTGAGGGGGTGTTCCCGTTCGCTGGAAACCCCTTGCTGCTGCAGCGGAGCGAATGTCTAAGTGGTGCCTTATCCGTGGCTCCCCACCGGCACATCAAGCCCTTGTATCCTTGGTTGCCGAATTTCGAGAGTTGTTATGCTCGTCAAGTTTGCCTCATCATCTTTTAGAGCTATCTCTCAGGGGTGCCTTGGACGTGGACCTTGCGTCCACATGCTAGATACATTGCATTAGGTACAAAGGAACAGTAACGGCGATCTAGAGAGCCACCATGAAATACAAGGGCAAAACAGCAGTGAGATGAACTTGAAATGAGCACAGCTTTTTCTAAGGTTTGAACCCGCTTGGGGCTCGACGCGTCGTGGAGGAGTTTTATGCGAGTCCGGGTGGCGCGCGGTACAGAGCCACTACGCCGGCTTGTCTTCTTCGATTGCAGGTTAAGGCGACGTGGTACTTGATTTCCACAGCTCGGTCTTATCCGTTTCCTTCTTAGGACTCGTCTGAAACGATATAGTTGGTATGTGTAGGACGAAGTGATTTACTTTGAGCTCCAATTTTTGGGATCAGAAGCCCTTTCGGACCGCTGTGGGCCCTTTAGTCGGTATTCGAGATGGATCGTTTGGACGCTACTGCGCTGCGCAGGGAGGCCATTTCATCGGCGGTGGAAAGCAAGCGGCAAAGCAAGTCTCCGTGTCCGCGAACGCTTTTCTTGCGGATGAGCCGCCGTCGGGAAGTTCTCCGCAGGCATCGTTTTTGGAACCTCATTTATGGCCTCCTCGCGTAAACAGTATATCCAGAGAGTAATTTTGAAGATGATGCTTATGCAAATTGGTCAAGGGCTTCAGGACGTTGCTCAAGATCATGGGTCATGGTGAGCTCTAATGAATTTCGCGCGCTTGTCGGCTGGATACGACAGAAAGGAGATGGCGATTCGGGATGAGACGTTCCAAAAAATGCGACTGAAACCGGATTCGAAAACCGTTAAGCCTCCTCAACTAACGACGGATCTAGCAAGCACATCAACAGAGGAAAGCGCACCAGTCCCGACAGAAGAAACATCAAAAGACTCTTCAAATACAGCACTGACCACGACATCTGCAGAAGGAGATGGAAGTGGGGGCCCACAATGGTGCTTACTTTCGGGGAGACACGCTTGGGTTTCAGGCATGAGCTGGAACTACGAGGAGATGAACTCAGGGTACAAAGAGTCGTTTCCGAAATTCGTAGAACAATGCAGGAAATTGGAGGGCACCGTGTTGCCAGACCTCCTGCTGCCGGATGGCAGTACGAAACCCGTTGCGGACGCGGATGTGGGATTTCTCGCAGGTTTTCAGTTAGGGAATCTTGTTGAAGTCTGTATTCAGAAAAAGCATCCTCGGAGGAAGCTTTTTCAAAGGGAAAATCAAAAACCTGGATTTTTGATCCCAGGAAAGTAGTCTAACCTTTGAGGGGCCAGCCGGTTACTGGGCGTCGATTGGAGGCTGCGGTGGTATCGATTTTCACCATCCAGACAACCGCCGCGAGCTGTCGGTGCAACGCCTTCTTCGGGATCACGGTACGGATGCGGTAGTCAACCTGAAGCGCGCGCCCTTCGTGCACTTTAACGGGGCTACGTGCCTCTGCGAAGAGAGCATGCCGCGAAAGAACCAGCCCTGCCTCACAGCAGACAACCTCTTCATTTTCACCTATCGATGCGATGCCTCGGGTGAAGACTGCCACTTTTCTTTTCGCGAAAACGGCAAGGGTGCGGAGGAGATCCGTTTTGGCAAGCAAGCATGGCATATTGTAGAAAATAAATATGGCGTAATGAAAGTGGACCTTCTGGCAGATGTACGCCATATGGCGCTTCGGGAGCAGCCAGGTTGGTCCTACACCTTCCGATGCAAAGAGCCTGACGACCAGTTGCTGCACTCGCGTGAGATCGAGACACCTGCAAATATCGAAGAACTCGCATACGAGTTGCGGACAAAGCGTCTCATCCTGGACGTCCCCCAGGGACCACCGAAGTCAGAGGAGATGGCGGAGGTGGCGACCCAGGTGGATACTGAGGTTGAAGCGGGAGAGGCCGAAAAGCAGAAGCTCGAGGCGGCACAGGCGGAGGCAGAGGAACCACGACCTGAATATGAGGCATTGCAAAAGGCAAATGAGGCGCAGGCGTCCCAGGATAAGCAAGAGCAGATACAGACGCCTCAGGATCAGCAGGAACCTAATCCGTCACATGGAAGGCGACCAAGTTCCGCCGAAAATCCGGAAGCGTCTGGAAACGCAGCCGGCCACGCGATAGGGCAGCAAGATAGCTCAGTTTCCGGGGTCAGAAAATCGCACACAGAACCCCCAAGATCGACGGCATCCAGCACGCCGCGCCCGCGTCGTGATTCCAGAATGTCGCCGCGCGGTCAGCCAGGCGCCCAAGGACCATCGACAGATCGTGTAATTAGCGCGCGCAAGACCTCCAAGGCCCCGACTAAGCCACGGTCGAAACGCCGACATCCGAGTACACCAAGAAAGGAAACAAGTTTCATGTCATTGCCAGAGCAGTTTGACAGCAGCGGTCACGAAAGTAGCTTCGTCATTCTCAGGCGCATGGGAGAAGCGGCGGCGACGGGTGCGAGCGGTTCCGCGAGTTCGCACACGCGTCCCACGACTCTTTACGGACCGGATAGCGTTCATTTGATGGCAAAAGCCCCAGGGGCCTTCTCGGAGTTGGAGCTACCGTTGATTGATGTTAATAACGGGTTTGCGGACGCTGTGACACGCCCCAGAGACTTTCGGGCAACCTTTTCTTTCGTGCGACAGAGCGAGCGCGATGCGTTTCCGGGCTCGCTGGTTTTGCGCTTGCTGCCCAAAGACGGTACTAATACGCAAGCACCTGGGCGTGCTTTTGACACACAGAGAGCATTGCAACAGCAAGATCATATGGCATTCATTCTTCTTATCTCCTTATCACGAATTCAAATATGAATGTTTACATCATCAATATGAATTATCTTGATTTTCTTGCATGATTGGACCAGAAGTGGGAGGGTACCGGTACCAGAAGGAACCCGACAAAGAAGGTAGGGACTCCGACAAAAAAGGTAGAAACCGGGGGAGGCCAAAAGGTATAAGCCTACAAAAATAAGAGCCAAAAAGGCCGAAGAATTGCCAGGAAAGGCAGAACCTGAAGCCGCGCAGGAGAAGAGGAGGACAGGAAAGCCCAGAAGACAGCCGCAGACGCGAACAGCCAGCAACCGACGAGAGAAAGAGAGAAGCGCAAAGAACCACGCCAAGCGACCCGAGGGCGCCCTCGGTGGCGGAACAATGACACTCCCACACGACACACCCAAAACCAATCCCAGCACCCCCCAAGCGGGACCAGACGAGAACCGATGGGGACAAACGACGCTGGCGACAGCGCGCGCGCAGGGCGCCGGGGTGTCACACACGCGACACACAATGCCGCGGCACCCCATATCTGAGGAACAGGCTCCAACTACGCGACGCCCGAGGGCTTTCGAAGCCCGCCGCAAAAGGCTGACGCACTTCAAAACGAAAGCGGCCCGCGGAGCGAAAAAGAAACGCAACACTGGGGGGGTCGGGGGGATCGCAAAAGGAGGAAGCGCGCTGCGAAGCTCCTGCTGCCTGGTTGTTGCCCGCGCGCCTACCTCTGGCGGGTGCGAGGTACTGCGGCAAGAGCGGGAGAACATAGAGAAACGAAAGGCGCAGCAGGATGCGGCAAGCCTGAGGGACCGGCTGCAGCTTGGTGGCAATCCTGCCAGGACACTGCGCGGCCAAGCGCGCGGCTCCCCACCGGGTCCGGGCGCGCATAGCGCAGGCCACCGGGGCGCTGCGCTGGCAGTGGAGTGGAGGGAGCAGCCGACAAGGAGGGCCAAGGTCAAGCCCCATATTTTCCGGGCCCCTTCTGATACCGCAGCCCCCGTTTTTCCCTGGACCACGTTGGCCCCAGTATTTCCAGGGACCCAACCAGAATTATACGGGGCTCCGCCGGAAAATATGGGCCCGGGATTTTTGCGGCCCCGGTCCGCTTGAAGGGGGAATAACATCGGGACCCTTATAACACAGGGAGGGGGCCCAGTTTTTCCGGTCCATGATCCTTTGACTTTTCAAAAATTTTAGGGAATGACGACAGTAAGCGGCTAAGTATGTGCGAAGCTGTCTGGGAAAGCCCGTATTATTGCGTTTTGCCGGCTTTGGCGAGTGCACCAAAGGAGGGAGTACCCGGCACAGGGCATGAGCAGTACATGATGCACGGGATTGGCAATGCTGCGCATGACTGCACGTCACGGCGTGAGGTGGGCACCAGCGAGTGCAACATTGGTGGAAATATTTGGTTTAAGGACCACGAGAGTACGGGCTGCACAGAGGCGGAAGCGGAGTTCGAACAACGCGTTTGCGTTCGTCGCGGATATCGCGGTGATGACGAAGAGGAGGAAGGAGACGAGGGAGGGGGCGAGACAGGAGGATCCTTTTGTGCCGGATGCTCCGACTGTTGTTGTTTTCTGACGTTCCTGGTGGTTATCTTATGAAGCTTTTTCGAAGTAAATCCATCTTGTTCCCAAGGAGCTTGCTCATTGATTTTTGGCGGAGTTTCTTCTTCGGCATATTAAGTACATAAATTAAGCAAAAAACCGAGATAGGTATAGGAGTATAACAACTTTTTCAAGGCATCCATGATAGTCGAGTTGATGAATAGAACTCGTTGAAGAAAACACGCGCTCTAATCCTGTTAATCGTTGCTCTTCCGATTATTGTACTTTACGTTGCGATGCCGGATTTCGTCTCCCGACTGATGGGTGTGACCGGGGGGCCGGCGGGGATGCAGCCCACCGAAATCGAAATCGAGGGGAGGAATCAGCGTCATGACGAGCGCGTGCACTTTGCTTCAGCCTTGCAGTCAACGCGCCAGTATGATGCCACTCCTGACGCTGCAACGGCAGGAAGCGCTGGCGGCAACAGCGCCGTCTACAGTTCCATAGGAGCAAGCTTTTACAACTCGATGAAATCAGGAGCTGCAGATCAGGAGCGGAACGAGGATGGCCTGTATGAAGAGGAAAGGCTGATGAGCACCTACATTGAAGCGCTCGAAGAAGGTGACACAGAAGCACTGGCTGGGGTGCCGCGGCTTTCTGGCTTGCAGGAGGAAGCGACGATGGACAAGGGATTCACACCCGCCTATGCGCCGGCTGGCGTGCAGGAAGCGACGCTGGACAAGGGATTCACACCCGCCTATGCGCCGGCGCATCAAACCTCCGGCCGCGACGGCAAGAGGGTACCCATACTGGTCAGCCCTCGCGCCACAGATTCTAATGTTGTAGCAGACGTTGACAAGCCTCTGAGTAGAGACACCAAGCGGACGCATAAGGAGCGTAGAAACCGCGCGGACGCTTCTGACACGGGCGGCGAGGCCGATACAGAGAAGGCACCTGGAGCCAACAGTTTTCAGGCGGACGCATCAGATCCGACGGAAGAGGCCCCTGCAGATGAACAGGCGTCGGAAAAGCATCACCACCATCACCACGATAGCAGCACTCGCGGGACGCGCGAAGACGGATCGGAGAGCCATCATTCCAGCAGCACTAAGAGAAAACGCGCAAAAGGATCAGGTTCAGTGAGACTTCACTTCAGCAGCACTCTTGGGACGCGTGAAGACGGACCAGAGAGACTTCACTCCAGCAGCACTCATGGGACGCGTGAAGACGGATCGGAGAGACATCACCCCAGCAGCAGTCATGGGACGCGTGAAGACGGATCGGAGAGACATCACTCCGGCAGCACTCATGGGATGCGCGAAGACGGATCGGAGAGACATCACCCCAGCAGCACTCATGGGACGCGTGAAGACGGATCGGAGAGACATCACTCCAGCAGCGCTCATGGGACGCGTGAAGGCGCATCAGAAGTGAAGAGCAAAGAGGCTAGTGTGTATCATGGCGCTCGCCTAGACGGGACGACCAGGTTGAGTGAAGGTTTTCGGGATGATCCCAGCAGGTTCACATTGGGGGATAATCCTGAACATCACGAGCCGGCTAGCGAAGGCCTAGGCGATGCTGAGCATGAGCCGGATGAGGAACATGGGGACGAAGAAAATGATGAAGAAGAAAACCCCGAAGAGCATGAGGCAGATGATGAGCTGAGGGAGGATCAGTCAATCGCTGATCATGTTGCTGACGGACACGGCTCAGAGGATGATGCTGGGGACGATGAGGGTTCTCAAGCTGAGTAAAGAAGCGCTGAGAGTGTCATATTGTTGCACGACAGATCATTTTTTCTAGGAAAGAAAGCATGCTTATCAAATTAAGATCTTCAATTTATCGACGCAGAATAATCATGACAGAGACACTTATCTATCATTTTTCTCTCATCAAACAGCTGATCATGGAAGAAAGATGCATCTACCGCAAGACATTCTTGACCGTATTTGTACATTACTTACCTTACCCTAAGCTATCGTGTTTTTGACTTATGAATCAAACTTTCGTGAAGCTCAGGCTTAACAGCGACGCATAAGGAATCCAACAAGCTAATGTTTTCTGAAAGCACGTATCCTTGACTGCGAGTGTCTTGTCAAGGATACGCGTGCATACTTATTTAGATAGGAGCTTTATTACAATCGGATGTAGATTGAAGAGTCTTGAACCACTATTTAATGTAAAATTAAAAATGATTTCATCATGACCATCTGAAGATCCGTATTAACAGTTGCTTATGTTTTCATCTATCAAGCGCAGCATCGCAAAATTGATTTCAATCACTTTTCGAAGAAGAAGGATAAGATTATTTGCATTTCGTGCACAGTGGCATCGTATCGACTAATATAATGGCGCTAAGTCAACTAAGAACTGCACAAAAACGGTCTTTATTGTCGCCTCCTCGTCCTGGAAGTGCTCCGCTTAGCGACTTTTGTAACTTGTTTTCTCTTGGTTTTTCTGTCGTTTGGTTTCGTTTCATGTGAGTCCCCGCGCCCCTCCAGAGTCCACCGCACCAGCCTGCAAATGTATGCTGGGGGATTCTGGAGGGGCGCGGGGATTTGGAGGGCGCCCGAGGTTCTTGGCTCGCAATTGGGTGAGGGTTTTCCAGAAGGGAGCGCAGTAGGCGGCGAGTGTTCTGCGGATTCGTATCATGCCCGAGAAGATTGAATTTTGTCCGGATTTTTGCAGTCCTTAGTTGAATTTTCTCCATTCTAACTCCACTTGTCTGTGGTCGAATTTTTCGCCATAATCGGAAAGGTTTGAGACACTCCGCCCGAGGTTCTTCGTTCTTGGGTCTTTTCATGTTGTTAAGTGTTGGACTTTTGACCACCCGGCGCCCCGAAGCTCTCGCGCCGGGTGGGATTAGTTACAAAGAGAAGCGACGCGCTGCCGCCTTCAAATGGTCAGACCACTCACGCGCGCCGCCGTTTGTGCGCAGATTGTCGGGGGGGTTTGCTGGCGTTGTTCGCACTCTTTTGAAGTATTTCAGCGGGGAAGTTTGCGGGGGTTTCGCCAGAATTGAATAAACCTCTCTATTGTTTGCCGCTTTCCTGCTCGCTAGGCCATTTTTGATGAAAAAAGTGAAAAGATGTCTTCAGATTTTTTTCCAAAAATGGCCTTGCGAGCAGGAAAGCGGCAAACAATAGAGAGGTTTATTCAATTTCGTGGCATTTCTCAAGAAGGGCTGGACCGGTTGCCGCTTGAGTTCCAAAGGGCTCGCGCCTCCTCTTTTTGTTAAGTTTCGATGGTGTGGCGTGCTCGCTGTGCCTCTGGTGCTTCCGCAGATGGCTGATTAGAATGGCGCTAAGTCAACTAAGAACTGCACAAAAACGGTCACTATTGTCGCCTCCTCGTCCTGGAAGTGCTCCGCTTAGCGGCTTTTGCAACTTGCTTCCTCTTGGTTTTTCTGTCTTTTGGTTTCGTTTCATGTGATTCCCCGCGCCCCTCCAGAGTCCACCGCACCAGCCTGCAAATGTATGCTGGGGGATTCTGGAGGGGCGCGGGGATTTGGAGGGCGCCCGAGGTTCTTGGCTCGCAATTGGGTGAGGGTTTTCCAGAAGGGAGCGCAGTAGGCGGCGAGTGTTCTGCGGATTCGTATCATGCCCGAGAAGATTGAACTTTGTCCGGATTTTTGCAGTCCTTAGTTGAATTTTCTCCAATATATAAATGGTTTAGCTAGCTGCAGCTTCCTGCGCTCCCCGTGATATTTATCTGTATAAGTATGTGCATCCCGCCTCTTTTTGCGACTGAAGGTCCCTCACCGCATCACAGGGACACCAATACCCCGCAATGATCCCCACAGCCTGCTAGTACTTAGTTTTCAAAGGCATTTTTGATTTCGATCAACCATCAATCATATACGAAGACGCAAGTCTTACAGAACTAATTGGTTTCCTCCACGTGGATCTTCATCACTTCTCCGTTTGGCGGACGCCTTTGTTTCTAGCGAACATGCATGGAGAGGGGCTGCGACTTAAATATGTGTGGTATTCCGTCACGATCGGGAAGCACAGCTCAGCGGGAGCAGCCTGTGGTCATGAAGAAAGCAATTAAGTCATGTAAGTTGTTGCTCAGTTGGCTGACACTCTGTTGTATAGACACAAATCGGAATCATGGATCACCAGCCAGGTCTCTAAAAGCAGTGCGCGATTGCGGTCTCATGATCACAGTCAGCTCTTGACGAGACACTGCAGAAAGGGCGGACCCGAGAGTCTAGTTCATCTTGATCTGAATTTCATCAGAGCATCGATCATGCGGGCAAAGATTTTCTCTGCTTTCTTTGTGGTATCATTTAATCTGGATGGATGCAACAAAGAAACGTAATGAAATGCCATACTTCGGTTTCATGCAGCAATTGTTTCAGGTTCAGAGTCTTTTAACGCAGAAAAAGACTGGGGTTATTTTTCTGTGTGTTAGTATCCAAGTTCACAAACCGACCAACCTTACTATTTTCATGTCCACCCTGAATATTGATATGAGCCGTTGCACCTGAGATAAGAGCCAGGCACCATAAAAATGGCGAATATAATAGGAAGAATGCAGGAGGCGCGTGGTCGCTTGGTTTCCTACGGTACTCATGGACAGTGTTTTTTCGAGTATGAACCTACACAACCAAGCGATCGTCGGTCGTGGCATGATGACGATGATCAACATCAAGGAGCACAAGAAGCAGCTTACGATGATTGCGATCACAGCAGTTTATGCATCCTATTACCAGGGCTGACAGACGGACTCCTCTCAATTCCTTGGTTTGGACCTTTGGCTCAGAGATTACTCGAATCTGCAAGTGCGTCAAAGAAAGGGAACAGCAAGAACTTGGACCGCTCTAGCACCAAAACCCGAATCCCTGGGACGTCAACCTCTAGCAGAACAAACGAGAATTGTCACAGAAGCACGGCCTGGCGTGTCATGCAACCGCTGCTCCGATCGAGCTATATGCAGTTTGGTGTTTGCAGTCTCGAAACCGACGTAGAAGATGTCGAAGAATTGCTCGCAGAAATACTCGTGGATCTCCAAGATAGTGCAACTGTTCAGCATTCCAATGGCACGGTTCTCCCTAAGAATGAGATAAAGAAACACAGAGAACTCGTCTTTGTCGGCCACAGCACTGGGTGTCAGATAGCCGTACGGTGGCTGCTGCATAGAGCGAACAGTAACAGCTTAGCTTCTTTGTTACCATTTACGCGGATCCGTCTGATATTGCAGGGGGCAGTGTCCGACCGAGAAGCGACAGAGCAAGAGATGCGTGACGCGGGACTAGAGAAAACACTTTGCGAACTTCAAGCACTCCTTTTTGACGAACGCCATGGTGAAGATAGAATGGCCGACGGCTTATTGCTCCCAGCGCGACTCGCACCATTCCTCTCTTACGGCCTTTTTGGCACAATTTCAAGATTTTCCGTCAGCCTCAGCGGTACTAGGTACTGGAAATATGAGTATTTTTAATACTTTTTCTATGTATACTATAGGTATAAGTATCTCCGACAAGGAGACAGAGGAACGAAGTGCATAAACGGATAATGCTATAGTACGATCGTTTCAAGATATAGCATAACATCGAGAATGCATATTCTAATTTGTCGGCGCTCCAGCGATCACGATTGGTCGCGCACGTAGTTTTCTTGGGCGTTTAACCGCTGACGATCTCTTTTCCACCGATCTTACCGCGGATGAGATTGCGGAAATATTTAGTCCAGTGCGAAAAGCGCTAGTTCTCCCCTCGTCGCATGTCGCGGCATCAAATGATTCGCCTTCAGCATCATTACAAGTAAACCTGCAGCTTTTGCTCAGTCCGAAAGATGAATACGCAATTCTGAAGAGCAAAGAAGGCTACGCAGACTTTCTTTCGCGGTACTGCATCGCAGCGACTGGCGGAGGTGCGAAATTTGAAGGCAGTTACGTGTGTGCGGACAGACGCTTTCGTGCTTCGTACAGTCTCTACGAGGGGTCCCACGGGGGCGCTGAGGTGAGCGACGTCCTCTCTGCGGCTGTGTTCGGTAGCATCGCGAACCCCCTGCAAGACACGAGTATGCTCGCGGAGGCCTTGCACTTCATGCGGGATCAGATTGGGGTTAACATTTCTAATCACGAGCACGGAACTGCAGGGCCTCAATTTGCTATCAAGTTTATAGGCATCGCTGGCATTCCTGGCGCTGGGAAGTCTACGCTAGCATCCATGATTCAGACCGCCTTGGGCGGCGCAGAGGTCGTGGCAATTCTTCCGATGGACGGCTGGCACATCCCACTGGCCAAATTACGAGAGAGCCAAGGTGAGCGCGGTGTGTATTGGCGAGGTGCGCCAGAAACCTTCGACGAGTCTGGCTTCGTGAAACGTCTGTCGGAAATCCGAAAGACTACTTGCTTGTTGACAAAAAGCGACAAAATGAAAATTGCAGATAATCAAGTGGAGAAGGTGGACTGCTCGGACTTGGACTCGGCAGAGCAAGGCTTCTTGTGGCCAAGTTTTGATCACGCCATTGGTGATCCTGACTTCAATGCGAGGGTGAAGATATCACCGCAACAGGGGACGCGCCTCGTTCTCGTCGAAGGCTTGTACGTCCTCCACTTTGCAGAGGCAGTAGAGCACTTAGACGGGGCCATTGCGCTTCATCGGCGCCTCTCGATTGATGAGGCAGTTGAGCGCCTAAAAGAGCGCAACAAGTGCATTCCTGGCTATTCCCCACAAGAAATTGAGAGGCGTTGTGACGACGTGGACCGTGGAAATGCTCAAATTGCGCTGAAGTCAATCGATCACGCACTTCTAGAATCCTCATCAAATCAGAACAAGAATATTAAGCTGCCGATCCTTGCACTCTAAGCATCCGCATGCCGAACCGCATGTTAAATGTTTCGTTCGAATCACTCTGATTTCATTAGATAGTCGACTCTTCTGTCGCTGACCTTGACGACCCGAGGCTGTGGCGGCACATGAATGATGGCTCTTCAATCATAAACAGCGATCATCTGCGTGTTTCCGAATAACAAAAATTAAGATTAGTTCTGTATTTGAGAATGTTAATCATGTTCCGATGTCGGTTGATCATCCCTATATTTCTCTATTTTCCGCTTGGAATGAATGGTATAAATCCAGAATGACTTTTGTAATAAATTAAACGGAGGTGGAGCGAGCCAACTGCTTTCTCGATGGAATCCGTATGGATGGTAGTTTTTAGACCATGTAAAAAGGCACAGCGTTTCAGACATAATGAATGTGTGGGCCCCTCTTCTGCGGTATCATGGGCAAGAAGAAAAATTAGTGACAATCGCCCTCAGGCAAGTTCAAAGAAAGATGCTCCTGTGGTCAACGATCAACTGGGTTTGGATGCATTTTTTAGATCCATGGCATGAAGGCGTAGGAGGTTTTAGGATCAACACCAGCGTTTCACAGGCCTTGTTGATTTAGGCAATGACTTGCTACTTCTACTAACTTCAAATAATGTAACTGAGACGTCTAGTTGTCTTTGTCAAGTAGGCTTCAGGAAACTACCTGTAAATTTGGAGTAACTAATGCCGAAAAACTCGCAGCAGCATGATTATACATAGGAAAGTCGAAAACTCACGAAGTGTTTTAGGGTTCTCTTTGCAAGCAGTAGCGAAAAATCAAACAAAAAGCCGCAAAAAATACAACTAATGAATCCTTGACGTCTCGGGAAGAATTCTATTGCATTGCAAACGTAGCCTCTCTGATTTCATCTCGTCTATGAATGTGGTTATGCTCATGGTAAGCATTTCACTTGGGATGGCGTTGCTGTAAAGATCTACATTTTCATGTTTATTATTAAGTACGCACGCCGCTGTGCAAAATAATAGAAAGTAGAAGTGCTTGGATTGAAAACATTTGAACAAGAACGAAGCCGTAGATCAATATGAAGGAACACAACAAATGCTGAAGAGCGGCATCGATTATACTGTACTAAAATACAAGACGGGAATATATTGGAAATGACCTTGAAGTTTTAACCTTTATTGACTCCCGTTGTACTGATTACACTCTCGTCAAATACTACTAATCTTCTGTGCCTTTCTTATTGTAAACTGTCTAATGTAATTCTCCTCAATCCCGTGCACTGTGCGCGTGGCTGATGACGAGCGAAGCCAGTTTTGTTGTTTCCAGATGCCTGAGAAAGACTTGCTTTTTCTACTTACGTCGGTTTAGCGCTGGCGGCTGCGATGCTCCATATGCGAGCTACTCCCCGCAGGTGTTATTTGCCGCAAAATATCGGTGTTTTTTTTGTGCTCCCCTAACAGGTCCCCTTGTTGTCAGTTTTTTCCTTTTCCCCCTTTCGTTGTTTTTGGATTGTTTTTGCGCGCGGGCCGGCGGCAGTCATGCGATCAAGCTCTCTACCGCCGATGATGGGAAACACGGGGTACGATTCGACATATTTTTTGCCGGTAGGAGGTCATGCCAATTTCGAGTGCGCAAAACGAGGATGGGGATTTGCGACCTGGAGAAGACGAGAGACCGAGGAGAAATTATAAGATGTTAGAGCTCACATTACCAACGTTTTTTGCGTCATGCTGTACTTAGGGCTTTAGGCCAGTAGTTGTCTATCTTGTCGCTCCCCACTTGTCAGTTGATTGCGCATTAGTCAGGAGTAGGCAGGGCTGGCGGCCCTGCCCTCGTGCCTTGTAGGCAGGCGCATAAGAGTGGGACGGTTGGCGGCCGGTCGCGGTTTATATAACACAACTAGCCCCCTCCTTTGCCCCTGGGTTTGATCAAATTAAAGCCGGCGGGCTCGTAGGCAATTAGTGCACGGTAGTAGAAGGAGGCTAATGGACTCCACCCGTCGCCGGCAGGCACGCCGGACATCACTGGGGTCACCCTTCCCGCGATCTTGGCCTACAAGAAGAAAAGTGGCTGCGGCGGGAAACCCGTGAGTCCCGAGTCACTGATCCACTTCCCTTTCCGTAGTTGCCGTCTCAAGTAGAAGATTGTTTAGAAGATGGTGGCGGTTTCGTCCTCAGCGGTGCAAGTGCTTGGGTCTCTATCCTCGCAACACCGTATCATGCGACAAAGGCTGCTTTCTTGGACTTGGCCTTGGTGCTTCTGTTTGATGATTTGTAGTTCGGAAGCGGTGCGCGTCACGTGGAGAAGCACCAATAAAGGCCCTGCGCTTGCGAACGTGAACGCCTGTAATTGCGCGTGCTTGTTTCCTTGGCCTTGTGGAAAGAGAGATCCAGGAGACTCGGAACCACGTGCGGCTGCCGATGGTTCAGGACATTCTCACGAATTGCAGGGTAGAGCCGGAACCGAGGAAGAGGTGGAGGTCCTCAGAGACGTTTTGAGGATCCGGCTCGCGCACGCACAAGAAAAAAAGGCGGAAGCTCGTTTAAAGAAGCTTGCCTGGCGAATATGGGAGCGGCGCATGCAAACTGGAGGCGTTGGGTGCGAGGACGGGGGTTTGAGTACCGGAGTTATGATTATTGAGGATTCACGTCCACCGAATTCTAATTTTCTCCGTGATTTTCCTCTTGGATTCTGAGAAGATGAACATCAAACGCGAATGATTCATTGAGAGCTTTAATCGAAAGAGTAGCAGGGCAACAAGACGAGCGGCGCGACGGATGTCCCGGCGTGCATTCAAAGAGTGGCTAAAACACGAGTCGACGGAGTCTACAGCCTCCCTGCTTGCAACATTTGAGGAGTCTGTGGCTGCGCAAAGTTGGGAGCAACAAAATCCATCTTGCCCTTTTCCTGCAAATTCCTATTCGTCATCTTCAACTTCTGCCAGAAATAGCGCGCTTCCAGTAGAGGACCGCGGAGCTGGAGAGGCAACCTGGTGGATTTCTCCTGCTGCATTTGCGATGCTTGACGAAACTCACGGAAACAAGGAATGTGACGTAGAGGACGAAGATGCTTTTGCCCCAAAATCCAATACGACCGATACCAGTGCCACTCCTGTAGATGCAGATCAAGAAGCATCCTCGTGCGTGTCAACAGGGTCCTCCTCGCGTGTTACGCTTGAAGACAAGTGGGGAACACCGGGAACCAGTACTCGCGATTTCCAGGACAATGGTACGAGCGTCTTTGAGTTTCATAACTCAGAAGCAGCCCCCGAGGTTGATGATCGAGATATTGATGCGCATGCGGCTTCTTCGGCAATAGTTTTGCCTCGCGACAGTCCTGCCACTGTTGTGACACCTAGTAAAGCACAGCGGGACAGTTCTTGGATTAATGCACGAGTTAAATGGCAAACTCCCGAGGCCAGTCCGAGATCACGAGAGAAGAGATCTTCTACTTCCTCGAGAGAGAACAGACGATTATCTCGCACAAAGGCTGGGGCATCTTCTTCCTCTACTTCGTGGAGAAACCGCGATGGCGCGCTTCGTGCGAGTCGATCGAATAGGGCACGAGGAGAGCATATAATTCGCAACGCAGGATCCTGGGACGAGTGGATGGAAGCTTCGGGTTTGGAAAGCCGCCACTATCTCACAGCTGTCTTAAGATACTTAAATCATAAGACATTCACAATAGAGAGTTGTACTTAGCTAGACTAGTCAATCAACCTCCACTCGCCATGGCCATACACGATAAGCACCCCATGAGATGAATAAGAACTCCATCTTCAGGAAATCAAGGGAAAATCGCATGTTTATACTGAATACGAAATCCATCTGGTTTGTTTTCTTAAGAAGCTCTAATCATGGTGGATACCTCACGTATTCCGCGGCCGCGCAGTCGCAGCAGTAGTTCAGGGCAGCAGCAATACTTAACAGGGGAGGACAGCTATAGCAGAAGTAGAAGTTCGTCTTGTTCTACAAGCAACACGTACTGCGGGACGAGTGAGAGCGCGTCCTCCTCCGCAAATCATGACGCTGACAGCAAAGCTGTGAGAGAGGGCGACTCAAGCGCGGCCACACCTGCCCGACCGACGCGAGTGCTACTGTCAATTTGATGGCTATTATTGTGCCGCGCGCAACTTTCAAACGGCAGCCGAGACTCAGAACAAGAGGCGCACAACTAGAGCAAGCTATAGTTAGAACCCCCTGGCAACAAGTAGCAAATCAAAAGCTTACTCGTCATTTTGTGTCAGGATCAATAGGAACCAACAGCCGCAAGACCACTGACAACCCAACAACAAGCTAGACGAGCGGGTAGGTGTCGCCCGGGAAATCCTAGGCAGGTTGCCAAATAGATTCCCAGGCTCAGCATCGTTGTGCTGACGATACAGCTCCATCATGTTAACGAGAAAGCATGCGCTTCTCGTCGATCATGTATAAACAGAAGACTCTTCTATAACTACTGGAATCACTTACCCAGCAAAGATCAACCTAGTTCAACGTCTTTGCGATTTTTATAATATATCCTACTTGGATGGGAAGGAGAACGTGAAATAACTACTGGTAAAGGGACGCTGATCACTAGCAAACAGTATAACGTTATCATTTGCGATGTAGACGATGGCAGTCATATTGTGCTCGTCCATCCGGCTTCTAGATGAACTCAGCACTTTTTTACGCCTCTTTCTGGGTCGTCGTTTTTCTTCTATTCTGATCGGGGAGCAGCGTAACGACCAAGATGATTTAATGATGCATTGAGATGAACACCTTCAACTCATGTTTTAAAAGGAGCAATCTAAATATAAGCACAAAAAACTGTACGCGCACGCTGGTGGAGACTCTGTCGGCCTTGACCGCTAGCCTAGACCTGCACACAACTCTAGACCTATCGACTTGGGGCCGAGTTGCTCCCTCACCCCATCCGGTAGGAGTATACTTACCTAAGGCTGACACAGTGATCCGTAATAAGATGTGTTAATCTGATGCTGGTTTGTTTGCCACGGAGCTGCACTGTGAGGAGATAATACTAGAGTGAACAAATCCAACGCTATACCTTGACCTTCTTGCCTAGCTGCAAGCTTAGTCAATAATGATCAACTTTCTCGATGACAATCAATGCAGTACGTGACCTTTGTATATGATAGAGCCCGAATTTCTTTTATGTTCGACCGCCTTACTCAGAGGGTGATCTATCGTCACGTGGTCCCATATTTATACGTGCCTATTGCTCGGGACGTGTTTCGGAGCTAATTTTCGTGACGGCATTTATCCTCAGACCATGGTGACTTCATTTTTTTCCTCGCTTGGAAGCAGAGAATGCATCGTCCAGCATCATCTTGCTGACAGTCTACAAGAGGCCTTCACCTTGTGACACCCAGTCTCCAGACGTGTTGATGTTGAGACACTATGATGTTATTATGAGTCGAGACAATTGCCCGAAGATCTTTGGCGATAAGCCCTCTTTTTCAGAACCTAGGCTTTTGGGATCGTCTGTCTTTTTGGACCGCGCTTTCTTGTGCGTGTATTTGTGTGTTCGTGATCATTTGTCTTATCGGTCCTGCGTTGGGAGCTATGAATAGCTCATAAGTACATTTCCATTGGAGGATTGATGATAAGTTGTAAGGAAGAGCAAGAGATATCACGACGCGTATAGAGACGGACCAAGCTGGATGTCCGAGAGCAATACGGGAGTTTGCTGTTGCACTGACTATTTATACAGGACAAACTTCGAAAGTGTATTAATTGGTAAGATTTGGTGATGTTAAAGTTCCTCGCACCGCACGTAAAGCTTATTCATATTTGCCAACAACAAGTTTGACTTTCAATTTTATCTTCGAATATTCATTCTCGTAAGTGGCTTTTCTGGAAATGTCGCATCGGAGTTGCTTGAGTATTTCGCCATGTCGACTGAGCAAGGGTACTTCTAGTATCAGATGTACGAGAACTTCTAAGGAGGCTGTTGTTTGCAATGCGACATCGTTTCCGCGATTGCAGTATGGCGGGTCGACCTCCTCGTGGCAGACTCCGGTCTCAGCAGCGGTGATGAGAAGTGCAACCAATGTTTATGGGATGAGCCCGTCACGTGCAACTTCTAGTTCCATCGTCTACGGGAGCTTCAAACTGTGCCCGCTCGAGCAACTAGAAAAAAAGCTTTATGGCCTTTCGTCCGCGTTGCGCTTTTTCTCCAGCACGGGGAATGCACCACGCGGTAGTGACGAAGAATGTTCTAGAGAAGGCGACCAGGAAGACCATGATGGGGTGAACGATGAGCAGACTGCTCTGTCATTCAGTGTCGAGGCAGAAGAAGGAACTGAAGATGACCCTGACGAGGCTGGTTTGGCGCGTCTGTGTGTGCACGCTGGGGACCGTGTGCAGGCGGCTCTGCTGGTTGAGAGGCTGCCGACGCAGTGGGTGGAGCCCCCGTGGATGCGGCGCTGGCGACGCTTCCGACAGGACTGGTTACAGCGTACTGGCAATGCGCTCGATATCGCTGACGGTGTCGCGTACATGCATTTTCCAACCCAGTTTCTGGACAAAGCGGACGAGGAAGCGCTGATGCGTGAGCAAGACAAAAGCGACGAGGCCGAGGCCGAACAGGTGCGCAGTGAAGCGGACGAGTTGTTTGCGGCACCAACAAATATAGAGAGCTTGCTGAAGAATGGTTCTTCCAGATCCACAAGTTCCAGACCAGGACTGATGCTCCCAGACGAGCCGTCATCTTCAGTTAGTGCACAAGCTTTCGAATCCGGACAGCAGGCTTCTCGCAGAGGACGCAGACAGAAGTCTTCAAATAATCACTCATCGCAGGGCAGTGAACTGAGCGAATCTCCAGGGAACAAGAACAGGAGAGGGAAAGAGGTGTTCTCCGCTGAGAACCAGACTGCGCTCAACACTTCCGGACAAAGCGGTCGTGTACCCACAAAAGACGCGAGCAGTAGCAGCCGGCGTTCCAGAAAACGAGCCGGTGGGCCCGTAGAGATAGAGCTCGACACCTCACTTCAATCAGTGACCAAGGATCCAACGGAGACGCTTTATTTGCTAGTGCAATACCGCGGTGTGGAAGGGAAGTGGACAGTTCCACGATCCAGCGTTCTTCCTGATATGAGCATGCGCGAAACGCTGGAAGCCCTGTCATTAGAGCAGCTGGGGATGGAGCCGCACCTTGTGGGTCGCTGTCCGGCAGCGTTCGAGCGCTTCAGCAGTAGTCGTAAAGTCTTCTACTACAGAGGCAGAATTACGGGAGTGAACGCAGGGCGGCTGGATATTGCAGAGACCAGTCCAGTGGCAGATTACGCGTGGGTGCCGCAGAGTAAACTGTCGCAATTTCTCAGCAAAAGGGCACTGCGCACACTCAGCCCTCTCTTGGTAGACTGGGGCTAGCCATTACCTCGAACTTGAGTCAATACATCGACATGCCTAGACCTAGTACCCTAGAAGATGTTATATATAGATAATGTTAGAAGACGAGCAGGTCCGCTGATCTCAACTCCAGACAATCATTCGGCATGATTTCTTCTTGTGGGTCACATGGTTGTTCTGCTGGTGGTCCGTGAATCGTTGCTCTGTTCGTCTTTCGGAAGTTCATCTTCATTATTTTGTTTGTCACGTAAAGTTATATACTCGGCTCGATGTTTGTCGTCTCGCTAGTTCGATTTCAGGTTGACGCGAATCATCTACTTAATTCTCCGTCCGCTTTGTTACAACAGCTATTGCCATCGTCGAAAAATAATACGGCATAGCATGTGATCCTTGAATATATGTTTAGGGCAACGACATGGAGCTGGTTCATGCGAAGCAGAAGGTTAGCTGAAGAAAGCAGTATGATTTATTTGCATTCATAAGAGGAACACGATGGGGATTCATATTTATACAGGTGCAATTTTATAGTCTCGTTGAACAAGAACAAAAATATGGGGACGACAAGTGAGCACGTTATAGACGCCTTTGCGGGCCGCAACCCGCATTGGCATGACTCGGAGGCATACTTGCATAGTGGAGAAAATGATGCCGAGAGTCAACACAGCGTGGCGGTAAACGACTGGAGTTGTGTCGGCGGTAAGCCAATGAAGGTTTTTCCAGATTTTCTCGGAATGTCAATGCCTGGCTATCGGTACGGAATAACGGGCGCTACCCGACCCCTCATGATTGTCAAGCCCTGTGCATGTCCGGGCGGTGTTTTGCAGCCACCGATGGAGTACGACTACGGCGTGCGGGACTCGGATGGCCTGTGGCACGTGAAAAGCGACAAAAAGTTTATGGGCTTCTACAGCGCACACCAAGCTGGTGCACATTTTGAAGAAAAAAGTGGTAGCGTGGGCACCAAGAGACGACGAATTCACCTTCCTGAACCACTAGATGGCGGAATGACGCAAATTCTTACTGCAAAGCAGGTCAGCCCGAATCACCTCGTCGTAAGTGGCAGTCCCCTAGTACCTGTCGACGACCCTGAGTTTTTCGAAGGAGTTGGTAAGTCAGCACGTCCAACCAACTCGTCCCGGCGAAGAAATAGTTTCACCATAGGAGAATGGTTGATCGATGTTTTTCGATCTGGACTCTCTTCTGTAGCCAAGACGTACCAGGGAAGTGACGACCTGAAAAATCGTTTTCAACGAGAAGGGGAAACGTTCTTCCACATCGGAAAGCGACAATGCTTCGAAGTGGTCCGTGATCGTGACGATGGTCATGAGAACGAAGACAGCAATCGCTCAACAGAAGTCCCAGATAACAAGCTTGGAAGTAGTAGATGCGATAAGGTTCTTGGAAGTAGTACAACGGCTTTTTTCGGAGCAAGCACCGGATCGGAACCCTATTCGGCGGACTACGGGTGTGTGGCGGGACCCCAAACGAGGGGAGAGGACGCTGGTAAGCGCATGGGTCAGTTTTGGAGCACTGTAATTGCTGAAACGGACTGCCCCTGCGACGATGAGTTTAGCATGATAGCGAACAAGGTGAAGCGGCCTACCGTAGATGTCGTACTGAATCCGGCGACGCTGCAAACGGTACGACAAATTTTGAGGCTAGATTTTCCTCTCGAGCAGATTCCGGAAGACTACCTCGAAGTCCACCAGTTTTTAGATGCGAAGGCACGCAAGGGAGCGCTGCAGGTGTATTTTCAGCCACAAGGACATACTTGGGTCTTCCATGGATTCAGCGAAAAAGGGGAGAAAGAAGCAGTCGGCGAAACTGTACAGAAGATGCATCAATTTTCTGACGGGTTCTACTAACCTTCCACGATTATCACTCAACTTCTACGAAAGTCAACATGTGAGTTATTAGCATATAACGTAGACGTACAACCAGTCGGTCTTTCTAGTGCATTGAAGTAGGGATCAATTTCTTCAGATTTTTTTCACCGTTACAATAAACTCCATGCATACAACAGCTGTTGTAAACATGCTTAGCAACAACTGGCTTATTAAGTGAAACGACTAAGTACAGTCATGCAAAGTGAAAACAAGTTACGCTAACGAGCAGCGAACGTGAATGCATTTCGTAATAGCTTTTCTCCTCAACCTCGGCTCGGCGTCACAAATTTTCTCCTCCATGCTATCGAGCTAAATGCTGTCCCATTATCGCACTTGCATCCTGATCGTGGGAGCCTGATGCGTCGTTGCGAGAGGGGTTGCCATCGACTCGAGAGACGCCACGTAGAAATCGAGACGGCGTGGATGCCGTCAGAAATTGATCTCGCGAAAAATACTTATTCCAAGTCTTTAAATTGATCGCGCACACTCTCGCTCAGAAATTCCCCACCGCAATCTTGGTAGCCCCAGCAGTTGCACTTGCACAAACAAACAAAATGCCGTACTACAACTACATGTAGTATGTTGACAAAAGCGAACTTTCACAGTTGACCAGAAAACAAGACCTCTCTTTAATACGATGATGTTCGAGAAAAGCACAGCGCATCATCTGCTTACTCTTACACATATGATTAAGTTTATGAGGATCGAATAGAAAGATTCACATTTTTGTTGATTGTGCATAGAAGAACTGTGAAGCTGAAGATGAGAGGACTCTTCCGACGTACGTCTTTAGGCGGAAAGAAGCCCGACAAGTATGTTACGAATGATCCAGCATTGACGGATAATAAAGATCCCGTAAATCTGGAGGATACGAAATTCGAGTTTCTGCCAGGTACTAGTCTGCGCTTTGTGGTCCACGAGTGGATACTAAACGGGCACTATCTGGTGGTGGACATGAATTCGTGATATTATACTGAATTTGAGTGCGGAGTGTCAACATCTATCTCAATTGACCTGTTGTAACGGACCATTGAAATTCATTCACAGGGATCACGCCTCGATCGCCCGACGATTACAATGCGGCGCCTGTGCCTCGAAATTCGGTTACAGAGGTAGAGCTAAATGCTGTGGCTCCGCCAAGGCCACTAGAAAATCCACCACTCGCCTTTCTCCAGAGCAATAGGTCACGAGCGCAGAGAAAGCGTACCGGTGCGCACTTCTCAGATTTGTCGCGGGTGCCGACACTCGCTATTGCCGAAAGCGCTGGCGGACGGGACAGCCCTCTGGACGATGACGACGACGGTAGTGGGTACAACAATACGAGTATTCACAATAGCTCGTTCGGCGGTGCAGGGCCAACACCTGGGAGCACGACGTCGATGAGCGGTGTATCGCTGATGTCCAAGGAGCGGGAAGGAGAAACGATAGTTGATTTGACAGCGTCGACTGCCAGCGGGACGGAGGGCGGCGGATCGACGCGGCCGCCCAGCGCTACTTCATCGTCCAGCTCAAGCTCTCGACGCGAATCTTCGATTCTAGGGCGCCTGAGCCGACGCGAGCGCGACAGCAGTCGGACCCGAGACGCCAGTCGGCGTGGTCGCGACGAGTCAGTGGGGCGCGGCAGAGAACGGGACACCTCAGTGAGCCGACGACCGGGTCTTATCACGCGCATATTCTCTGCCAAAGGCAGGCGGAAGGATGATCGCGTAGTCAAGTTGGAGAATAGCGAAGCAGGAGACAATAATACGACGGACAATTCCGCAAGAAGCAACGAGATCACATCGGCAAGATCGAACGACAAATCGGCGAGGTCGACAAAAACAGACGAGGAAGACGCCGAAACGTACCTGCAGTATGCGATTTACCTCCTGTCCACCGATAGCAGCAACCAAGTATCGCGCGAGTATGTCGAAGCTGAGCTGAAGCGGGTGCCTGAGGTACTAGCCAGCGGTTTGAAATCTTCAGTCGTGATGGAAGGGAAGGTAGAAGACATGCGTAGCTATGACGTGAGTTCATGACATCAAGAAGAGTTTTGTTGCTCAATGAAGGTTCTCGTTGATTTGAGATTGGAATGTCTTGTCAGCTCCTCCTCCTGTTTAACTCAAAACGAAATCTTCTCCTCCAAAACATTGATGCAGATATCATGGTTAGTCAAATGTGCGTTGCAAGCGCCACTTCCAGCATGTTGGACGCTGTATACACCAAAAGGGACCGACAAGACGCCGTATTTCTGCTTTGGATAATTTCATAAACTGAAAAGTTTTAAGAAAGTTGTCCAGTAGAATTAGGATTACGAACATGGTTTCGGTTTCGCTTGAACAAGTACAAGTTGGCGTCTTCTTCGTAGGTAGGAGTAACATGGATTCTGATGATTTGTCTCTTTCTCCTTTTGAAGATTTGTCCTCTGCTTCCCTTCATTCAGATACTACGCGAACTCTTTCACTCACGAGTCAGCATGGACGCATCCTAGCGATTCCACCTTCAAATCGCTAATCGGAATCCTTCAGCGAGGTTATGATATCCGCGGGCAGCTGAAAAGTAGATATTTTTAGTTTCGGTATCTTCGTATGATCGATACAATGTATGTTGTATTCCTTTGCTTTTCATCCATCGGTTATTTCCAGGCAGATGGACGTCTTCTCCATTTTCAATCTTTTTTTTTGTACCAACATCAGAAATAGTGACCGAAAAACCCCCTCTGCGACCAGGTATCTATACTTCAGTCTTGCAAAGCGCGGAGCAGTTGAGCACGCAATGGCAGGGACCGTATTACGAAAATGAGAAGTCTTACTACCATCATATCCATTCGAATCGCTCAGTTTGGCAGGACCCGTTCGCGAATAGTCACTACCTTGCGGAGATATGTACTTGTTCTATTTGTGGCCTCGTTCTGGATTCGTAATGTCCAGGATCAAGATGATGATTTATCCTTTGCCTAGACTAGAGTAGACGTTTACCATTAGTAACCGAAATTCTAAAATATTGAAATACATCTGCCCTCTCATTTCAATCTTTTTCAGGTGTAAAATTGTTGGGAATCTTCGCTTCCCGTGCTGACATTTTAGAGGCTGCCGGCGGTTTTGCCAAGAGAAAAGAGGCACTGCGTCAGGCGCGTTCACGGCTGGAAGCAGAGGTCGGCGCGCTTGGGTCGCAGGATCTTGCGTATCTTTATCAGAACTCGTTGCCAGGTGCTGTGATGGATAGCGTTCCCGGAAGCGTGCCGCCAGGTGGTGGCACAGTCCCTCCGCATGGTTCTATTGGACCACCAGGCGCAGGACACCATCCTGCAGTGGGGTCGCAACATTCAGCGCAAGGAGGCATGTACAACCCGCATCAATCGCAGCAGCTGGCGCCACATCACGCACCTGGTGGCGTTCCCCCAGGTATGTACAACCCAGCGGCACAACAGCATCCGAACATGATGTACAATCCGGGCGTAGCGGCGGGATACCCTGGTGCGCCAGGCGGACCGGGAGCCTTGCCAGCATATGCTTACGGGGCTGCACCGATGGGTGGGCCGCATCAAATGCCTGGGGTACATCCTGGCGCAGCAGCCTATTCTCATCCTGGTGCGCACCCTGGGATGTATAATCAGGGAACGTTGCCACCCTATAGTTTCAACGCCGGCGTGCCAGGCGTGCCTGGGCATCCTGCCATGGCACCATACGGTGGCGGAATACCTGGTGGCTACGCGCTCCCAGGCCAACCTGGCAGTCCGCACAAGCAACCGCATCATTCAGCAGCACATCACAGCGGCTATCACCCTGGTATAGACCAGCATCACCCAGGAGGTGTCGTCGGTGGTGGCGTAGGCGGAATGGCACCAGCCGCATCGTCGGGTGTTCCAGGGAGTGAGCGCGGAAGCGAGTGGTTCAACAACGACAGAAATCTCGTGCGGTGCAACAGCCGTGGGAAGCAGAGACGAGAGCGCAGCCGCTCAAAGAGCAAAGAGCCAGAGTTGCGCAAGCTCGTGCGCATCAATAGCCGCGACAGCCTCCCGAAAGATATGCGACTCCCCTCGCCGTTCTCTCACGGCTATACCGGTCCAGTCGGCGCGCAAGCGAGTGGTGGCGGTGCAGAGGGAGCGGAGGCCGAGCATTACGTCCGGACCAATGCTTCCATCGGAAGACATGCGAGTCCAGCACCGAGAGCTGCACCTTCTTCCAGCATGGAGGATCTAATGCGGCAGTCGAGGGACTACGCTGATATGAAGATCGGCAACAAATCAGCAAGCAAGGTAAGCGAAGGCTCCGAAATTGCTATGGTACTTTTGAAAGAGATCAAAATTTGATTGCCGCTGTTTTAGTCTACTTGGGGTCCCGTCCGTCTTGTTGAGGTTGTACGAGGTGGACTTGCTCACCATTCTATATATAAAGATTACGCTGATCTTTGGGCTCGTTAACCCATTCGAGTCAAATTTTGTTCCTCACCAGGTTTACAGTGACGATAGCGAAGGTGGGAGCGTACCACCACGACCGATCCAGTTTCCAAAGCCCGAAATCTTGTACTAGAGAACCAACTGAGTATGGCGCTTTGTCTTGGGAGCACGACATTACGAATTATATTTACCTTCGACACACGCCCGAGCGAACACCTATCCGATTACCCCCAACACGACCAAGAAACATAACTATTCGGACTGCTACCCGCAACAACCAATTTCCATTTTGAACAGTGTTTAGCCTTTTGAATAGAACCGCTTACCACCGTGTAGTTATAGTAGAAAGATGACGAACTTATTTATTATTTCTTTTTTGCCTCTTGTACTTGTTGTAGTAATTTCATTCTCCACCGAGTTCTTTGTAAACTTGTAATTCCATTATTAGTTCTTGCAGTAGTTCTGGTTTTATCGTGACCGACGTCTGAATACTCATCATCTCTCTGGGTGAAAATTTTTTCTGATTTATATATATAAATATTTGTGTTTGTGACTTCATCGAAGAATCTTTCCCGTATGTCAGTAGACTCTGATATCTTTTCACAATAATCCAGCAGGTTCGCATAGCTGAAGATCAAAATTGCGTTAACACCTCACTTACAGTAGTACAAGTTGTAAAATGACAATCAACACCAAGAAATGTACGTAGGTAATTTTTTGGTGTGTTTGTCTGATAAGACAGACCAAAGGCATAATTCTAGACTTGCATGGTAAATCATCGCCCGTAGAGCTCCGTTTTATCCTAGTCGTGTCTTTTCCAAGGAAAGGCGTTCTTGCGTCTGTCGTTGTGGCGTCTGTCGTTGCTGTTCGAAGAACAGTTCGTTGTGATCACAAGTCAGGTAGGTGGTCGTGGGAAAGCCTGAAGCTTTCTCTTTCTTGCGGATTTGAGTCCGCGTTCATGACGATTTCGGTTTCTTACTGTGCTTTCGCGAAGATCCCTAGAATCAATTTTGAGTGAGTTCGTAGAACACAGTAGCAAAATCACGCGAACTGTGGATCCTTTTGCCATGGTTGTATCACTGTGATCCACTGCGAAAGCGATCCGATATCCATGCATAAGGATCCGAACGTCAACGATCTTTCTCAGCAGCTGCAGCGGCACCTTCCTAATTGTTATCACTGATTTCGTTAAATATGCATATGCTTTCGATAAGAAAGGGGATGGAGGCTGCGGCGCAACGTATGCTATGGCTCGTCTATCCACATCACATGAGCTTGCCGGCCAACGTGAAGGCACAGTTCGAGTCGTTCCATGCGGCTCTCGGGGGAGAGGTGCACGCTAGGAGCTGAAAGATAGGATGCCAAACGCAGATTGCGGCCACTAGTAGGATGGAGTGGTTCGCATGTGAATGAACACGAGTCCCTCTCTTTTCCTTTCGTATAAAAAGGATATGACGTTGAAGTGTGGGTCTCTCGTTCGGACAGTATCCGCCCGACACTGAGCTCTTAGGCCCTTCGAGCATTCCGCTTGTCGATATTCGCGCAGCAAGCGGGCCATGCTTCCTCCAGATTTTAACGAGTATGCAGATGAAATTGCGCATCTTCCGGACAATGAACGCGACGGGTATCCGACGGCGTTTGGGCGTTGTCTGCTACCGACAGCGTTCCTCGAAACAGAGTCCCAAAGAAAAACGACAGACACGGCCTTTTCGAAGCTTAAGCAGACTTACAGATTCGGCTATTCGAAAATCTTCATCTATTTACATGCTGATCTTTAATTTTGATTTGATATTTTGAAAACTATGCGCAGTAAATCCACAATAGAAGACGAACGATATTACAGCTCGGAGATGAAAATTTGAACGACGCCATTTCTATCTCAGGACTACCTACACCTACGGTTCATGAAGAACTGCCTGAGGAGAGGAGAGCTGCCCATGTAGGTTCTGGGTACAGAATTTGCCTAGGCAGAAGACTGCTACTTTCATCTACCGCTCAGCGAAAACGAAGAAATTCCAGTTCGAACGATGTCAAACGCCGCCGATAAACCGCTCCTTGTTCGTCGGGATCGTTTTTACGCAAGCCGTGATCCAGAAGACCTGAGGGGCTTATTACCCGAAGGATTAGCCCTTCGCGTCAGGATGAGAGATCCTCTGCGCTACGAAACGGTCCGAATTGTCCGCTACAGGAACCATGGCTGGGATTATGAGGTCACTCACTTATTTCATGACGATGTTGTATAGATATCCAAGAACTTGGTAGTCACGGTCATCTCCTTGATCCATCATCATCATGTTTGATTCGGGTGTGAGGTTTTGAGATCCCGCGCTAGCTCTTCTACAAAGCAGGCTCCGCCCCTGTTGTCTCTTAGTTCGTAGGTACGGGCCACGTCCCCGATTCAAGTCCACGAAGGTAAATGTTTGTGAATTTTTAGTAGACAAGTACGCAACCAAAAAATAAGGTCATTATACCCCCGGGGTGCTGCGGAATCGAGGAGGAACGTCGTGTCAACATGGCTATCAACGAGGACAATTATAGCCCCGAAGAGCCAACATTGTCACAATCTTCCTGCTGCGGTGACTCGTAGTGCAAATGCAGTTTTTGTCGAGATCGGGCTGTCCATGACTACCAGTTTTTTGAAAAACGAGCCGAACATCAGTTAGAGACATCGAATCAGAAGAATCCACAATTTTGCCGACGGCAAGAGTAATATGTTCACGCCTTTCTTGCAGGTAAGTTGAACATGTGCCTTGTTTTTGAGTTGACCTTCATGAAGCTGTCGATGTTGAGCTGTACTTTTAACTAAGATTATCTCGATGTTGAGTTGTACCTTAGAGCTTTTCGCTCCTCTTCAAGTCTGAGGTCGTAAAGGCGTTCTTTTGCTATCCTCATTCTAACGAACTAGCTCAAGTAGAATAGGCTGAGGGTTAAGATTCTGTTTGCAGCCGTCCTCTTCTACTATAAGATGTTTGAGTTTGAGAACAAACTGTAGGTTTGTCTGTTGAGAGAAACAGACGACAGAAAGTCCACTCGGTTCAGAAAGGAGGTAAGATGAGTAGAAGAAGCTCTGGTGTGGTGCTGCTGTCTGCGAATCTACTTAAGTTCCATGAGTCTTTCTGTCTGGAGGTGATAGTCCTGTCCTTTCCGAGTGGATCAAGTAATTTTCGACGTTATCCGAGCGAGTTGATACTTATAGATTTCATTCCATCATCAAGAAGAAAAATTACCCGCAGGCGTTGCAGCTTTCTAGTCAAGCGTTTCAATGATTCCTTTCATGTATTATCACAATCTACCCAATTCTCATCGAAGCCTCCGCCCCTCAACGAATACTTAAGAAATTTTTATTCATGGATGTTGCAAATGACTTCCTGTGAGTACCTGTGACGATGTAGTTTATTTGATTTGGTGGGATTCATTGTTTTATCACCTGAAATCTCCGCCCTGCTTTTCTCTGTAATTGCACCAAACTTGGTGTCGCGTCCTCCCTTCTTCCAAGGCGCACAACTAACTTTGAGGTTTTTTGCCTACTACTTGCATAGTTGATCTTCACAGTTGGTGTGAAAGACAGAATGGGTCGTAATTCGGCGTATGGTCCTAATGTTGTACAGGCTTTGAGTGAATCTCATCGTCCTGCAACATGTGCAAATTCTGGATTCGGGCAAACAAGTTGCACCAGGGATGGCGCTCGAGGCCGATCCTTCTCTCCCCTCCCGCCACACGCCCCACTGGCCGGCCTTAAGGAAGAAAATGGATATCATGCGCAAGACCGATTTAGGTCACCATTGCCTCCTCACAGCGGATCGATGCTTCATTTCGGATCTGAATCCGATTTGGAGAGGGATGAATCATTGGCTCTTTGCTCTCGAGGAACTGAACACGAAGGCGAAACACGAACTTCAGAAGTTGTACATGTAGATCCTGATCATGATGATGACCAGGAACTACAAGGTCGAGACTTCGATCTTCGATCGCGATCGCCGTCGCCTCTGCCGCCACATGCTGCCGTTGCGTTCAGTTCAGACGAGGAGGTTGGGCTTCCTAGCGTCGCACGGCCGAGATCGCGATCGCCAGGGTTTCATTTTTATGAGGATAGAAAGACGCCTCTCGTCGTGGCCGATGTCGTGAACAGCACTTCTACTGCTCTACTCGGGGGCGCCGAAAGGATCCACCTCGGAAGCGATCCGAAGCGCAGCGTAGATGGCAACGGCAAGCAGCGCAGAGATCAAAACCAGAGCAGAAACGACATCGTTGGTAAGAAATTTATAATTGGCGAAAATGTGCTTGATGAAAATTCGAGAACGGGGTTGGAGAATAATCCGCTGACGCGGTCATCATTTGCTGTTGGAGGTGCGAAAGACTACTCCACTGGCTTTTCATCGTCTGTCGCGAATACCTCTAGCAGCGTAGGAGCTGGTAATTACCTGGAGCCGCCCCTTGTGCCTTCGTCGGCCTTGACTGAAAAGAAAGCGCAGATCAAGCTGCTGAAACCTCGGCCGCAGCCGCGGGCATCTTTTGTCTGGGCTGATGGGAATACCAGTGGAAAAGGGACCAATGACATCACAGAGAAAGAACAACTTCCGGAAGAGGTGGTGCGCCACGAAGAACAATTATTGTCTCCCTCGTACTCCTCGCCACAAAAGAGACAGGAGAGAGAAGATGGCGCACTAGCTGGTGTGCGATCTCCCTCGCCTGAGCAGGGCAAGGGTCGCCGAAGTCCGACATTTGAGGAAGAGCTTGCTCTAGCCGAGTCTACCCGATTTGTTTCCAGCTATCGCAAACAGTACGCGTGGTCTGACGGGTTGCAGCCGACCTCCCTGCGGGAACTCACTGACAAGCACAGAATCGTATCTGTAGACAAAATCGCGAACACAAAGGTGGAAGAACATCTAAGACAGCTTCCTGAAGAGATTCTTACCAGGTACCCGGGAGACAAACTTCTTCTAACATCGAACAAAACGCAAAAATCGAATTCATCACAGAAAGGAGATCAACAAGAGCTAGTAGAGGGCCATCCGCGTTCGTACTTGCCTTACGTAGACAATCCAGAGTCGGATTCACGACTGGAAGCCAGAGATCGATCGGAAAGTCGACGACCAGAGGACGTGGAGGACGTCATCGCGCGATCCGAAGCAAGGCGACAATCCATTTCACCTGATAATTCTATGATCGACATGTCGCCAATCGCATATCCGGTGAAGGCGAATTCGAAGGGTACTTGTGATGTTTTCATGCAAATGTACTGTTACATAAGTTAGTAGCTAGAACTCTTCTTGATAAGTAGGAGATACCCAGCACAATGCTGCAACTGCAATATCATGTGCAATTAGCACTTGTGTGAAAGGTCTTTTGTATCGGTAACTTTGAGTTGAGATGATGGTAGACTTTTGCTTTTCTACCGATTTGGAATTACGATTCTTGGAGTTACAATCCTAGGACTGCACCGTAATTGTGTTTCATGATCATGCAGGTGAGCTTCCTGAAGCGCATGCACGGCGTGGGTCCCACGTTTTAGTTCGACATCTGAATACGTTGGCAAGCGCTGCGTTGAAGGGGTGTGAGGTAGTGGAAGAAACGAAGAGGAACTACTTGCGCAGCGTATCACCCTTGCCGCTCGAGGATCCAACCCCAGCACAGAAAACGGCGCAACTGCAACGAGCTTACGCTGACTTCGCGGAGGAGCATCATGAGCGCGCCCAGAGAGCTTCAGCGCATCTACACGCCAATTTTCGGCCCGACCGTTGTCCGCTTCAGCGGGACCGGGGCGAACTTGGAGAGGGGTCGCCTTCTAGAACCAGCCAAGCGACAGCACAGTCGCCGCCAGATAATGTCATGCGGGATTGGCGATCGCAAAATCGATACTCGATGGATACGTACTTTAAATTACGTTTTGAACATCTTTCTTCCTCTATATGGCCTACGCGAAGTCTAATTAATGATAATCGTCCTTTTAGGGTTGAGTCAACCAATTACACCACGACTGATTTTTTCCCTCTCTTTAATGCAGGCATAATCGGCAACAAATGGAGCTTGCGAGGGAGTTGAATCACGCACGGAAGTATAGAGTAGTGAACGTGAAGCCCTATAGATCCTCGAAGGTTCGCTCACCTCGGAATTCACCGCGTGCGGAAAATATTAACAGCAGGCCCGATCTTCTATTTCCCACGTGGAGAGACGCAGAGGAAGGCTGCAAGCCTAAATTGCTGTTCGACCATGCGATTCCAGGGAAAGATGACTTAGATTTGAGTCCCTATCAGCGCATGCGAAAACGTATTCTTTTCTAACATGATTGCACCATAATTTTAATTTGTGAAACTAATGCATGGCTATGGCTTCCGCAAAATTTCTAGGGTCGTTGAGTATCAAACTTTCCCACTGTTTGTCTCACAAAAATGAACAGGTCAACACAGCTTGGCACCAAAGGTCACGGACCCGGTAGCGGGCGGATCTCCGAGTGGTAGGTTTGCAGAAAAGCGAGCGAGAAGTGTGATGGTTGAGCGTAAGCGGCTTGATTTCGAGGAAAGCACCTTGGCTCGTGCCCCGCAACCAGGATCAAAATTGAGCACACTCGATGCGCCACTAGAAGGCGTGGTGCGATTGCTTTCCGAGGGGCCAGTTTTGAATCCGGTTCGGATGTATCGGAGACCGAATCCACTGGCAGATGCCGAACCAGCGGAAAGGACAACTAAAGACAGCGAACTGAGTGCAGACGCGGCGCAGGTGTACGAGGACGCGGTGGAGGACCACGTTGGAAAATTGATTTTCGGTCGCAAAACTCTCTCTGACATAGAGTTGAAAAAGTTCGAGGACCGCACGAAAGTAGGTGGATCGTATATCTCTCAGCATATTGCCGCGAAAAGCACCGGAGATAATGCGAAGAGCAGTATTGCGACTGGTCCAAAGAACGACGCACCGGCTACATCTTCTACCAGTCAAGAGACTACTAGAGACGAACCGCCACTGCCCACTATTCCCAGCTACAGCACCTCTTCGCCCCGCTTAATGGCGTTGTCTTCAAGAATCACAGACGGTTTTCGTGCGCGAGATGAAGTGGGGCCCAAGCCGCGCCACACGAAGCACGTACCGCAAAGAAAGCTGCGCGGCCCATCGGAAGAAGACGTAGTCTTGGCAAGACGAATATCCACGGAAATCGCTCTTAAGGAATCGGAGAAGCGTGCACCTTCGCAGGAGGATCTAGAATTGGCACGCCGATTATCAAGATCCATCAACATTTCCTCCAAAGACCCTGGGCCGTCTCAAAATCTTTTTCGTTCAGGGACTACGACTGAGACAGGATCGTCGATTAGCAGGCCCGCAGCCGGCGCAGCTATAGCTGTCACACAGCAAGGGGCGGAATTAGCGGAATGTTGGGTTCGTGGCGATCGCTCTCTTCGGCGCAGCGATGTGCTTGAGGTATTTGTGCCGTCGAGCGGACGCGCACGTATATCGCGCGAAGAGGTGGCAAAGCGTGGGGGAGCCGGTCTGCAGACGGATGCACGCCCGAGTAATATGCGGAGGCCGTTGTGTCCAAGTGCAGACTTTTACACCAGCGGACACGCTGGCCTCTCTCTTGAGCCTGTTGCCACACAGAACGGCGAGGAAAGTGGAGTAAGACCACTGCGGCAAAGTAGCAACACGTTCGCGTCGCGAAAACGGTCACTGTCACCGGCCGAAGAGGCTGCGTGCATACCAGTGGCTGGCCGACTTTCGGATGTGCACAACAATATAGGGACAGAGCACCCACGAAGCTCGATTTCTCCTCGTCATCAAGCGCTTTTGCAGACTGGAGAAAATTGGTTCAATGGAAACTACGGTGAGTTTACAAACGGGGGACTCACAAGTACTTTTTGCTAGCGATGAGTTTTAATTCTCCAATTTGTTCTATCACTTTATCGACAATTCACGATGTGTGATTTGAATCTATCAATCTTAACATATCTATGTATCACTCTGTTTCATTTTTCCTATGTACAAACTCGTTCAGGCGCCACTGTCGGAGACCACCACCACGGGATCCACCGCGACATTTCTCCCTTACTGCTGAAGCGCGATCCTAATGCTGTCGGGGCCAGGCTGAGCGGCATTGCGCCTCCCATGCACGTGCGAGGCACAACCACCTCAAGAAGTGGGAGCAAGCACAGCGGCTATGCGGGTGCTGCTTCCCGCTCGTTGCAAGAGCGCACTGCGGGAGGAGAAGGGTGGGGCATGCAGAGCGTTTCTCCATCGCGAATGTCGCATGCAAGACGCGCAGAGAGACGCGACGTCGAACTCAACATTGCAGGGGCTGCACGGGCTCGAATTTTTGGCGAATATGATCAAGCTGTATTAGAAGCAGGAGATGCTCGAGAAAGTGGACGAGGACGTCAAGAAGATACACCCGTTTCAGCTGATCTTTCTTCCTCCTTCGCCTTCACAACAACGTCTTCTGGTAATCCTAACAATGTGCCTGGGGTTTATCAAGGACCTACGACAATTACGCGGTCTCCTTCGCGACTACGTCAACGAGTCTCCTCGAAAATTGGCACGCAATCAGCAGTTCCACAAGAAAATGTAGGAGAAATTCAGCCAGCGGGAAGCCCTTCCCCACAACTTGCACGGATGCACCGACTTTTTTGATCATTATGTGCGCACGCAAGTAGTTTATAACATCAATTACTTCTTTGTATAATTCAACACTGTCGCACTCTTCATATTGGAACAAGACCGAATAGAATCCGGATGATTCGCCATATTGAATATTTCATCGTCTGTTGATTCATCCTTTAGATTTTCCAACCCGTAATACTTCGCTTGATAAGACTGGTCTCTGGTGCATAGAAACTCGAAAACTTGTCGAGGCTTTTGGAGGCAGAGTATATTTCAAAAGTCATCAGACACCTAATCCTACTCCTAGAATCTGATAAGCCTAAAATGTACTCAAATTTATTTTCTTGTTCTAGACTCCAACTCTTTGCAACTCGAGGTTGAGACGATAAGAACTACCGATGTGTAGTATCCCTTGTTACACAACGCTGATAACGAAGGATTGCGAGAAGGACTTATCCATTACATTCGTTGGCACAACTGGTCCTGTTGGCAAGGATTGGTTTTGGGATAAGAAATTTTTTGTGTTCGTCGGAACATGGGTTGTTCTTTGCAGTCTAGTTATTGATTATGTATTGCATTTTTGTGATGATCACCCGCGATGGCAATGAATCTTTGCACTTCTGACAAGATCCTTGTGTGACGATTCCAGCTTTTCGTCGGTGCTGTATCTCAGTCTACTTTGTCATAGCGGCATCAATCTTGTCGATGGTGCCATAGAAAATATTTCTGATTCATAGCTGCATGGTGATCGTATTAATGACGCCGCAGTCGCGCTGTGAATCTTGATGATGTCCTGCAGCTGGTCTGTTCTTCTTTAACAACATGTCCATGTGTTTCAGGCGCTGGAGGCAAAAGCGATCTCGTTCATCTGTTGATGACGATGGAGATCCCTTGGCTTTACATGCTTTATTTTGGTCATCCTCCTAGGTTTCTCGTGGCTGTCAAAAAAACTTGAATGAAGTTGGATAGGACTACTTGTTGAGTTTGATTACCTTCTAGTATTCCATCCATTGCCTTAGTTTTCTCCTTAGAGTGAGCACAGAAGTATTTCGATTCATTTAGTCTCGACAAAAAATGGGTGCCCAGTGGAGTAGTATCGTTCACGGTCTGGCCCTCGAGGACTACCTGCCGCCGGAGACTGCAGATGCTCTCGCCATTAGTACATTCTTTCAACCTATGGATTGTATCTCTGATTTCACCCTTCTAAGTTGGACCTGGAACTCAATTTTTAAGTCCAATTGAAGTTTACTAGATAGATCACTAGCTACACCTACAAAATAAGTTTGATGCATTGATTTTCAAAATTTCAGTGTACTTCAAGACGAAGCGAGTGTTCCGTACGGCTTACTGGCTCGGCGGACAAACCTGCTGGATCATGAGTACAGGCCTTCTAGTCCTAGTCGCGCCGGCCTTGGCAGAATTTGATAGGGAGTGTTCGCATTTCGAGCTTACCGCTGCACTTCAGGCGGCACAAATGCAGCAGCAACAAATGGGCGCTCCTATGTAGGACGTGTGCTGTCGTCTGGCTCGGTTCTGCGTGGAGAACGAACAAGCTGAACGACATATATCCAGAACCAAGGACATCACTGTACCTTTTGGAGCAAAATCAGCTGCCAGCACGAAGACGTGGAAACCCCACTAAACGCTGCGGTTTTTTCATACAACTGTTCTCTGACATTCTTGATTCTCGTCGACTGTCCCTCACAGCATCTTCTCCGGAGAAGGAACCCTCTGCGTTGAAGATGAAAATCTGAATGAGCAAGCCTTTGCGCACCTGCGGTTAAAAAAACATGGGTGGTACGATGACTTAACTGCGCTCGTTGAGGCAAACGGAAAATTGACGATAGTTACACGGCTCACTGTCGCGAAAAACTTTCTTCAGTTTCTTGATTAATATTCTTATGCTGCAAGCAAACACGTAAGTAGAATCAATCCGCCTGATTTGCTGAGGCTGAATGAAATTCAAGCCTTGTTCCGAGGACTTGGTCGTGCATGTTGATGCAGTTTGGATAGTTTCGCGGAGTGACCATAGCGCCACGCATTTTCATGGATCCGTCTACCCACATCAACAACAAGTTTTCGTCTACCCACGACTTCTGTTGTACAAGCACAGAGACTAAGACAAGTAGAACATCGGTCGGAAAGGGGACAAACCTACTGCATGCGCAGGAAAAATTGCAATATGCTATGTATCTCCGATTATGCAATGGAAATGGCTGAGGTTCTCTGATCATATGGGTCGCTTAGGAAAGCACGTTAAGTTTTGTGAGATTTTTCGGTCAATGCTTGAGTTTGGGAGGATTCTTATCCTCCATTAGAGGGGCGCAGAACGAAGTACGATTTTTGATGTACAGTAAAGATTGTTGGTCTGTTGTAGTGATTCCGACTCGGGCTCCTAAATGAGTTGGAGTTGCTTGCATGAGACATGGATTAGCTTACCTTTAATATTTGGGTCTTGTCCCTCTCCGTAGTGGGAATTGTGAGCTGTTAATGTTTGAGCATTTCAGTGAAGAGTGTTTCTGTTTGAACGTGATGTAGTAACTTTCTCAAATTATTCTCGTATGTGTAACTTGTTGTAAATACAGCGGATTACATCTAGCGACTACGAGTTTCATATCCATTGCGCATAGTCTCCATAGATACCAGACTAAAAATGTTCGGCGCGACTGCTTCTTCTTCGTCTGCGGTAGTGAAGCCGCGCTTCGAGTACAAACTCGAGGCACGTAAGTATCGGAATCCGGAGTTTGGGGAGATGGGAACGCAATATTGTCATCTGTACAGGAACTTCGCATTAATTTGATAGCATACTAAGTTTTCATCCAATAGCTGCAGCTGCGATTTCAGTTGTAGTTGTTTCGGATTTCTTCAGATGATGATAAAAATGTGATCGTGATCATTTGTTTTGCGAGTGGGGAAGGATGTTGCCGTCCGTCTCGATTCCATGTGTCTATTGTCTCACGCTCACCAGGTACCATGTTCGATTACACGAACTGAAGCCATCTCTATTGGCTGCCGTCGAAAAGAAATGGCCAGGTGTGAAGGTGCTATCAAATATCGCACTGGTGAACCTTGCGGATTGCAAGATAGGCGACAGTTATGTCGTTCTCGGCACGCTCATGAAGAAATTCAAGAAGCGGGAGAGTGTGTACTCATGGGCTTTTTTGTGGTCCGTTTATTAAGACAGTTGTCGATGTATGAAATTTTTATTGTTCACTTAGTGACATGGCATCATAGACCGGTAGAAGATCTCACCTTAAACAAACTGCCTCCAACATTCTCAGGTTTGAGAAAGGAAAGCTGAAGGAAGTGATATCCGAGTTGACAGATCGAACAGAGAAGTGGGCCTCGCCAGAGGATATATTGGTATCATTCTAATATGGGATAAAAATTTTTCCTGCAACGATAATAACTAAAGCGGGTGAAGCAAGATAATCGACACGATTAAACGAGAACATGATAATAGGTCGCTGGAGCTTAATATGTTTCTCGCATTCATTTTCAATGATCAGAGTATCCACGACGACACGAGTTCGATTCATCTATGCGGGACCGTGGATCCTGGCGAGTTCGTAACGGGCCTGGTCGTGGCCGTGAAAGGGCACAAGAGCTCGAAGACCTCGCCATTTCACGTGGAGGACACGTGTTTACCTGGCTCCCCATCCGTCTACAAGTCTACTGAACAGGCTGGTGGCTCCGCTTCCTCAACCGGTGCAGGACCTATGGATATAGATGGTGAGACAGCAGCGGCCCCTTCAGGAATAGCTGGCGACAAGAGCACTGGTCTTGTTCCACTACCCTTTCGAAGTCAAATGCGATCTGATGGGGTCTATTGCGCCTTCGTGTCGGGACCACTGTTAGCAAGAAAAGAAGCGCTAGGAGTGCTTTTCGAGCGGCTGAGTAGTGATCCTAAGATTGCTCACTTGGTGCTAGCGGGGAATACGGTATAAAAATTTATGATTATATTTATTTGCCCTCGATAGTATTCGTAGCTAGGTCAGCAAGTTGACAACCTTGTTAGTACTGTACGACATTAGAAGAGGACTTAAAATGAATTTGTTTGATGGAAAAGTTTCATCACCTCCATCTTAAAAAAAGTGAGTTAAAGTACAATCGACCTCCACTACTGCAATTCTTCTCTTTTTCAGTACTCGAACACGCTGTCGAAAATCAAGAAAGCAGATGGTATCTTTGCCGCTTTCGGGAAGTTGCTTTCAGTGGATATTCTACCCGGTTTCCGCGACACTCACGTGGTTTCGTTCCCGTTGGAGCGGCCGGCGCCGATGCTCTTTCCTGAGAGTTCGCAGAACGCGAACATACAAGGTGTTCCGTCACCATACGATGCACTTTTGGGGAGTGTACGCGTCCTTGGACACGCAGGCGAACCGACAGAGGATATCCAGAGATGCAGCGCTATCGCTGATACGCTTGATGCGCTAAAACTCTGTCTCGAGTCACGGCATATCGCGCCAACTTGTCCCGACACGCTGAATTGCGCTAGCTTCAAGGACGTAGATCCGCTGTTGATGCAGGACGCTCCGCAATTGTTTTTTGCCGGTGGCCAGTCGACGGCGCGAGCAGCACGTTACCGGGACCAGACGACGCTGCTGTGCATCCCGGACATCCGGAAGCAGGCAGCCCTCGTCCTGGTGAACATTAATGACGCGACAGATGTTGTGTGCGAACTACTGGAATTCAATTGACTAGACGGTGAAGAAGCGCATCCGCCGAAAAAAAGGAAGACTGGTGCAAGTGACTAAAGTGTCAGGACGACCTACGCACCTAACATTTTGGGGAGGGGTCGCGCACGAGGTGCACATGCGCAGTTGTGCAAACTAATAAATTGCAGCTTGGTCATCTTGTTTCAAGATGGGACACTGTGTCATTACTTTTCTTTTTGCGAGGCACTTTGCGCATATCATTTTCGAATCATAGAACCAAAGTCAATCGATCAAAACATTCCATACACCGAGAAAGAAGGTAGATAGCTGGCGGCCTATCTCAACAGCCATTGCTGGCGTCGTGGTTCTTTGCGTTGCAAACAAGGAACGAAGACAAAATGATTCTGGTGCTAGCTACACGGGAGTAGAAAAGATTTTCTGTCACGCTCTTTTGGAATGCGGATAAGGGAGACGTATGAGACAAGGGCAACACATGAGAGTATATTGCCGTGCTATGAGCTATATTAAGAAAAAGACTTATTTCATCTGATCGGTCATGTGAGTCTAAGAAAAGAGAGCAGTATGTCTAGCGAACGTACAAATACCGCGTTTCATGTTCTTTGTACAAAATGAAAACCCCTGTCCTTCATACGAAGAAAACAAAATCTTGATCTACATCTTCTAGCCTCAGCAGAGAGCACAGAGACACACAACACCCCGAGGTCCGCGCGCGATTGAGTGTCGCGTTGCGGAGCCCGATGAACGAGGCGTTTTGTACCTAGCCTCACGCTATGTGGAAATGAAGCGTAGACCAGCCGCTTGCTTTTCCCAGTCATCCGCGATGTCGTTGCGGGGTGCGCTTCTCTCCGCTGGGCTCTGCGGATTTGTTGCAGGGCTGCGCTTCAACCTTCACGAAGCAGCCACTCAGACTGCGGTGCAAGAGGAAAAGACGGTCGAGGACATTCTGAACTCGCTACTGGACGTGAAAGAAGCCAGTACTAAGGATTTTTGACTCCCAGAATTTGAATTCTGCACATCGATCAAACCTGCTTGCGATTACTGATTGTTCTAAATTTGTTTTTCACTAAGCTGCTAGGTCAGAGAGTCCAATACATTCATTAGCCGACACCAACACCAAGTCCCGAAATTCGAGGTTTTTCTTTTCACGAGAAGCAGAAAGAGGTCTATGAGCGGAAGAAGCAACGCTGTGCGAAAAACCTACCTGCTCTGAAAGCCGGCCTTGTCGAAGCGGAAGAAAAACTTGGGTCTGTCAAGTCTCTCATTCGAGATTTTCGGAAGCAGCGTAAACACTGGGGCAAATTTCTGACGAAGCTCAACGAGAAAATTCAGACGCAGGAACGGAGAATCAAGCAACAGAAGCGGAATAATGAAGCTAAGCTGCGAGAGGTGGACGTTGTGGAGAGCGAACAGAAGACCTCCATGTCGGAGCTTTTACGCGCGCAGAGAGTTTTGCGGCGGGGCGGTATGACATCTTCGACAGCGACGGGTGAAGCCTCGCAAATACTCCAGCGGCTGCGGTTCGAGGATACTTCTCTATGACACGGACGAATGAGTAGATGACGCTTCACATTAACCAAGTAGAAGTTTCCATCACTTAGGCCTGCGCCATTTGCAATTATCAGAAGAATTTTCACCGCATCTAGCGGAACAACGTTCTTCTTTGGATTGACTTTGACTTTTCGTGCCTACAATTATGTATTTTCATTTTTTAGCGAACTGGGTCTGGGAATAGCAGAGCAATCAAGTCTAAAAATATATTTGTTAGGATTTCATCTCTGACAAGTCTCTTTTCTAAGGATTCCGCAGAAGGTTGGACAGTATCTTGCCGAAGCCGAGGCGAACCTGGATGGGACGCGCGCGCGGAAGAAGAAAATGTCTGAGGAAGCGAAAGGCGCGCTAGCTCATGCAACGCAGGTTCAGGAGAACCTTCTGCAGGAAAAGGATGCAGCCAAGAGCAAGTCCAGCAGTTTGAAGGAACGAATGGCGAGTGCGCGCGACGACCGCCGACTCGTAGAAAAGGAATTGAAGGGTCTCCTGAAGAACCTCGAAGGCCAGGAGGTGTTGTGTGGTGTCGTACAGTACGAGTGGGAGCAATCGCTACGAGCTTTTGGCCAAGAGATGAAGGACTTCTATTTCGCTGAGGAAATGCTGGGTAAAGATCATGAAGAACTCAAAAGCTTCCTCGAGGTGCAAGCGGAAGAGGCAAGGATGAACTTGATGAATCAAAAGGTTACTAGTGGAAGTTCTAAACCTAAGGAACAATCATCTTCATCATCCGCAGTAGAGCCATATCCACTTCCACCATCTGACGACAGTTCGACCGTGAGCGGATCATTCGTCGGCGACGCTTCGTGGGACCTTAGCGATGAAGATGAGGACGAAGATGACGCCGACGAGGTTGATGAGGCCAAGGGTGTCTCCAAATTGTCTGGAGGGCAATCAAATAGTATAAGTACTATTGGCTCTTCGTCTGCCGCGACACAACTCACTTCACAAGAAAATGCTGTACAACCTGCGCCAACTACTAGCAACCACATCGCGGAACAGATGAAAGACTCGACCTCGCCTCGGGCAGGTACAGCCAGCCAGTCCGTACTACCTTGGGTTCAGGGCAACGCGCCTGATTCTTCGACACAGGAGTTCTTCAGTACACACGCTGTCATGCCGTGGCTGCTGCGCGGAGATGTGACACCGTTGCCGAAGACGCGAGCTGTATCGCCGGTCGCCGGGAAGGACCACAAAGCTGCTCTAGTGGATCAGGAAGATTTGTCGCATGGTCAATCGAGTACTTCACCCTCAACACGACAGTCTGCGGACTCGCAAGCAACTACAATGCAGGACGCCAATTCCGCTGGTCTGCTTTTGACTGGAAACGCTCTAATGGACCGGGCATTTGATATCATCGATGGCGTTGTCAATGGCCCCCTGGACAAACCTATTTTCGGGAGCACGGCCATCCCCTACACGGCTGTAGGGAATCAACAACAACATGCTGATGCGGATACAAGAGCTTCTCAGGCATCTACTTCGGTAGATCGCAGTAACGTCAACACTGCGTCTACAACTACAGTATCGTTTCTGCAGGTTGGAACCGCTGCTGTCAAAGTGGATAATCTTGGAGCCAAACGGCAGACACGAACGTCAGTTCGCGATCTGGCCACAGCTGCACTGGGTGCGCTTTCATCATGGTCCGCTTCTTCCGCCTCCTTGCTGAGCATCGCAGAACAAGAACGCAGTGTCGTTGACCGCGAAGTGGCAGCGCTTATGGCTGACGTGCCTTCGCCCGACCAAGAGCGAGATGCAATGCGCAAGCAGATCGAAGCTCAAGAAAAGACGGACGCTTCACTTCTCCAGTTACCATCGGATGGCGCCGAAGAAGCCACTAGTCATGCTACTCTGAGCGGCGAGTTTCGTGCTGCTGTAGATGTGTCTACTTCTACGCATATCAATGATGTAGATGAAGTCAAAACTCTTGGCACCACGACGGGTAGCAAGGATAACAAGAAAACATTAACTTCTGTTCCTGCATCCGGTCTAAACGAGGATGATGTGACACTTCTTCAGCTTTCACGCGCTGCGGATAGTTTGGGACTACTGCAGATGGCGTTGAAAGCTGGTCCCCTGGATAAGGTGAAGCGTATGATTTCGGACATGATCACGCGTGTTCAAAGCGATATGGCAGCGGCGAAGGGTAAGCGCGAGATGTGTGCGAGCGAAGATGGCAAGAACCGAGAGCAACGTCAAAAACTGAACCACCAACTGCGCTCCATCGATGAGCAGATGGCTCTGGTCGATGAAACTCTAGGAACCAATGCGAAAGAGCAGGAGCACAACCGGGAGCGCGGCCTTGCTGCTGACAAAGCGGCCCAAGAAGCGACCGGAGAACGGGATGTGGACAAAAAACTAGCGACTGAATTGCTGCAGAGTGGTCGCAAACATCTAGCGAAGCTCGACACGCTTGTCGCGGATCTGCGCGGAATCTACGAACGTGAACTGGACAAAGTCAACCTCGCAAAGGAAGTTCGTGACGCTGACGACAGCTTGCGAGAAAACTACATTGCGCGTGAGCGTGTTGCGGACGTCGGCTTGCTTTCGTCTTCTGGAATTGTTTCGTCTACCTCTTCTACAACTTCTAGGGAGGATGCAAACGTCGACAATGCGCGTCTGCGAGAGGAACCGGTGGTGCTGCGGTCGGGACAGGTCAGCAGTGCCGAACCGAATGCCGTAGTCTCCAACTCGAACGCCCGCAGCGCGTTTGTTGAACAAGTGCCTGTGGCTTCGAGCGCATCCACTGAAAAACGTGCAGGTCCTTCGCCAACCGAGTCAATGGAGAAAGCAAGTGGAGCATCGGGACGGCCTGGTGCCACAAAGAACGAGGTTGCACCCGTGCGTCCTTCGACACTGGCCTCCGCTGTTCAGCAATCGGAAATAGAGGGCATTCGGCCACTGTCTGTGCCGACCATTCCGCATCTCAGTCCCCTGGCGCGATCGCTGCCGGAACCTCGCCTAAGTACCCGCGATCTGTCTGCATTTACCGACCTCGACGCACAGAAACTTCTGGACGTGTCAGGAAAGTTGTTACAGTTTTCCTCTTTTCTCGAGGTTGCAAGCGGGACCAGCAATAGTCCTAAAACTGCTCAAGCTGAGTCCTTGGCAAGAACATCTCAGACATCTGGCCCTATGTTGCAAGCGACCTCAGTTCATTCGGATACAAGAATACATCCTGGCACACTTGTTGATGCACGGGCGCGCGAACTGAGGCAGCGTGTGGACACTGCGGTTGAGACCGAGGAAAACGAGCTCGACAATGCGACATCAAGTCTCCTGCATGGTTCTTCTAGTGTTTCTACAGCGGCCGAGGTCCAAAGCGCCCTGTCCTCCTTTGTTCTCACTCGCAGGGCGGGCGAGCCTAGCGTAGCTCCAATCACACTCGACAGCTGGCGCCGCGCGCTCGATCTAGTACAGAAAGTAGCCGAAAATGAGATGCTGAAGCTGTTCGTGGTACGTGGTGCCGACGTGCGGGATCGGTCACTCCACGAAAAATTCCTCACAGAAATGCAACTACTCAAAGCCGATGCGGAAAAAAGTAATGCTTTTCTCCTCCAGCGAATGCAGAAACAGAAGACACTGCTCGGCAATTTAAACACCGACAGAAGCGAAAAGTTGAATTATGACCCTCGTCAGTCCAATTATAGGAGCTCAAGAATAACTTTCTGCCTTTTTTCTTCAAGGAAAATGATCATCGCTTTCACTACTTAATACCCAAGCGATATGGTAAGTAGTACTAGAAGTAGCTCTCCGTCTCCTCATGCTTTTAGCAATACTATGGAGGGAGTATGAAAGTCAAAGTTCTTCTTTTTCGCAAGAATCCTCTAAGGATAGGAGTTGGACTACGTGGAGAAATACGCGCAGGAGCTTGCGAGCACATGTGCTGGTCCGACGGCTGAGGATGCTCGGGCTCGACGACAAAAGGAGGTCAATGGTCTAAAGGATGCTTTGACCATCCTGACTGGAGAGGAGGCCTAGGAGGTCCTCTACGACTCCTTATGCGATCGAAAATAGATCCTGATGAAAATGCAAATAGTGAAGTTGAAGAGTATTGAATAGAGGATCGTGATCGCGACATTATTTTTTTCCAAAATATTTGAATTGTAATCAAGTTGTTGATAGATGCAGAGACATCGTTGTTGCAGAAAATGAGAAATCGCAGTGCATAGTAGATCCCAATACCTCGTCGAGCTGCGCATCGTGGAGAACAAAAGATTCCACATGCAAATGATTTTCCTTACTTGAAAGTTGTGTTCGATCTCGTGTGGACACTACGAGATGTTCTTGCTGATAGTTAGAGAACTAAGAATCAGATGACTTTTCTCAGCTCTGATGAAGGCATTCAGCTTTGATATGAACATCCATCCACTCTTCAACAACTTTTGATAACATGGCACTGATCCAAAGGAACAAAGCGTTCAACCCAAGGATGAAAAGATCTTATTGGGGCACTCAGCGGTGGCGATAGAACTTTATATGCCGATGATCGTGCTATATCACCCAACTTGGATCCCTTGATTCATATCAAGGCGCTTGGAGGTGGATCTGGACTCGAAGGTGAAATCATGAATCACGCCGCTCTGGATCAGTTTCTGTGATATTTCATCCTGCAGCTGTGACCTGCTGGCTCCCATCTTCCTTTTCTTACCCTTGACGTTTTCTACTTTTGGAGTCCATCAGGCTGACGAAATTGTTTCGTTTATGTCACCAACACTTGCATAACCACAATTCCAATACTGGTTGTCGTTGCCCACTTAGTTTCCGCATTTACTGTGAGTAGAGGACTATTTGTTGCATTCAATTTGCTTTTATAAGGTATAGTAATTCAGTACAACCTGAAACTTTGTTTTTTGTTCCGAGAACTACATTAGACAAAATGGCCGTGCTTCCTGGTGCAAGCGAACTTCCGGACGATGAACGGAATATGTTCAAGCGTAATAAGGAGCCCCGATTCTACGAAAATGATGTCCCCGAGGTTAACTCTCTTGTCATGGTGAAAGTTCTGCGCGTCGCAGAAACTAGTGCTTACGTCATGTGCCTCGAATACTCCGGTAAAAAGATGATTAAGATCGTGAGGAACGTTCTCATGTTTTCTTTTTCATTCCTTATCACGACCATGAAACTGTCCTCCTGTCCTCTATGTAGACGTAGAAGGAACTCTTTGGTGCTTCATTCTTAAGAGTAGAAAAGTTATGATTTTGATTTTTTCTCGTGCCCAAACGACTTCAGGTCTCGAGGGTATGATCCTCTTCTCCGAGGTGTCGACAAGACGTATTCGATCGATGTTGAAAGAAATTCGAGCGGGTCAGTTTTGCGTTTGCATGGTGTTGCGTGTAGACAAGGAAAAAGGTAATATATAAGACGTTATAGATTTCGTAGTTCTCAGTCTTTCCTCGGACTGACTAAGGCCGTAGAGACCATATTTTGCGATTTCATCTCAGTATCCGATTCAAATACCACCGAGGTCCAAACATCAATGAATAATCATTGTCGAATATCTCGAAAAATTAGGTCATTTGGACTTGTCACGTCGGCGTGTGAATGCGGATGATCGTGCAGGCTTCTTGCAGAAGTACGCGAAGTCAAAGCTTGTCCACTCAACGATGCGTCAGCTGTCAGCAGTGCACTCTCTCAACTGCGAAGAACTCTGCTCGAAAATCGCATGGCCACTCTACAAGCGATTTCCTCACGCAATCGACGCCTTCAAACAGTACTTACGAAGGAGTGTTTTGTTCTACTAGGAAGAATAAGCACGTTTATTTTGACAATTTTTTGGTATTTTCCGCAGAACAATCATAAAGACCAATCTCCACATTGTCTCTGTAAGTCAATATGTTGCTCCAAATAATTGAATTTCTTCTGCAATTACGCGACTTCGACGACGCATCACAGGTACATCAACACAAGAGACGACAGTATTTTTAAGGAGATGGACGTACCAGAAAAAGTGAAAACAGATATGCTTGCGATCATCGAAAAGAAGCTCACACCCCAGGCGATCAAGCTCAAAGCAAAGATCGAGGTATTGATTATGATAGAAGTTGATAAGTAAGCAGAGAAAAATAGTGCTAGACGAAGTCGAGCACAAAGAGAATGAAAACCTCGTTGCTCAATGATGAATCCCCTTTTTTCTGTTCAATGAAACAAAATCTTTACTTTACATCGCGAATACAGGTATCATGCTATGAGATCGAGGGTATTGACGCAGTGAAGGCAGCACTCATGGCTGGTTTGGATGATAAGGAGCATAGGGAGGACGACGGACCTATGGGAAAGATCGTTATTAAGGTTGTCGCGCCACCACACTATGATGTCACTACGCAGTCAGTCGGCAAGGAGGCAGGCATGCAGGCTATCGAAGCTGCACTCGGGAGAATCGAGGCCAAAATTAAGGAGAAGGAGGGTATTTTTCAAGACAAACAATTTTATAATAAGAATAATTTTTTTATCGAATGTTGGATAGAGCTGCGCTTCCTAAGAAAGGACTCCTTTTGTAGTAGAATTTTGATATTATGCTACGAATGATCATTTTCTTCTCGGTATACAGGTAACTTTACTGTGCGATCGAAGCCAGAAGTTCAGGAGGGCGGAGACGACGAAATTCTGGAGCGGGATGTCGCGTCTGACGCCGAGCGCGATGATGACGACGACGACGATGATGACGATCAGGATGAGACCATGGGCAATGTTGACCTCGGTGACTTCGAGAAAAAGTAAAGGAAAAGTTAATACCGTTGCTCATGCTTGTTTCACGACCAATATAGAAGTAGTGTACTTAGGTAATTTTTACAAGAGGGAAAGAACAAGATGAACATCAACATACTTGATCCACCATGAAGCGATTGATGGTGTTGAACGGCTGCTAGTACGGACATGGTTGTCGGACGAAGGCCGTAGAAGTTCTGGTCGCCATACCATTGCTCAACATCTTGCTCATGGACATGCAACCCGGGCACACTGCGCACTCTTTTGTCGAGTGTTGGTGTTACGAAAAACATAGCAGGAGTGTTTCAACGCAGTGCTGGTGCACGAATGGGTTGCCTTCGAATTTGTTTCATCACGCTGATGCTCATCATACCAATCTGATTTCACAACCCAATCACTCTCATTTGCTAACTCCTGTGTACGAGGACAGATATGATTTTTCACACTCCTGGTGGCGTCTCATTTTCAGAACGCCTCATTATACTCGCAAAGTAGAACTGCAATAGAACGGATTTATTAAAGCGCATTATTTGTAGTCGAAAAGAAGCCTCAAAGTGCGCGCCAGCTGCTTCTTGAGAGGCAGAAGGCAAAGGAAGCAATCTCCTCAGGGCCTAGGCCCCACCTCGCGGCACACCATTCGGTGAAGTAACAAGAGAGAGTTCGCCGTGAAAATAGGTCGAACGATGGAAACAAATTTAGATTATGTATATAGATATGCAAATGCGAATCGATGTTCATGTTCTTCGAAAAACAAAATCTTCGCACCGCGGAAGAGAGCAGCGACATGTGATTCAAACAGAAGAAACAATCTTTCCATATCACCGCGCTTCATCACATTTCATTGATCTGCTTGCTCCTATGGTGTGCCACTACAACAAGATCTATGAACAAGTCGAGAACATGAAAATCAAATAAGCAAGATCCGTAAGGTCCTCATCACAAGAGCGGACGTTTCCCGTCTTGAGATCCATCACCTCAACCTCGAAGACAAATCATAATGAATAGTGCAGCTGCATGCACTGCCTAGGTATATGACTATTCACTCAGGCGGCCCATCAATCAATAAATCAAATAGGCGATTATTATTCATCACTAATGGCACCACTCCCGACAAGACGAACACGAATCTATCGCTATCACAAATATGAAAAAACAGAATTATATATGTAGCAATTTCTCGTGTGTAATTGTTCGGAAAGCAGGGTGGTGGTCAGTTCAGCTAGGACGAACTTCTCAGAAAAGTTGGCGTTTTTCATTTTTTTGTCTTTTTGTGGAGTAAGCTACGTACTGATGTCTTTAAAGTAGCAATCGATTCTGCGTCTGTGTGAACATTGTCGCATATTCTTTGTATGACATCAAGATTGAGTAGTTTACGCGTAACGTTTCTTGGTAAAGTTTGAATGAACAACAAGCAAGAGATAGTCAAGGTCAACGTCAAAAGTGCCTGCCCCTACGAAGTCGCAATTTAGATAAACGCAAGTCTATCTAGTAATTGGCTGTCTAATGTCCGACTCGCCCGATGTCTAATTTCAAAATTCGCCAGTCTGTTTGATGTCCAATGTTCACAATGTCCTCGTTTCCTATCACCACGACCGCGTCCTGTACCCTTCTGGGTAATCTTGTGGACGCCCCGTTTACAGCCCCAGCTAGTTTTTCCGCTTACATCCACGCAAAAATCAGATTTACGCGGCACGCCTTTTGACCCACTCCCCTTCTGCCGTTTTCGCGCAAGTAGAACTCTCGCATCCATGCATGCAATGACGCTGTAAGGAAAGTAGCTACAGAGGACCTCCAGGAGGTCTCGGTCGAGATCATTCGTCAGCCCAGAAACTACGACGCATAGAATACAACCCAAGAAGAAGGCTGTTTCAAGTACAACTCTCAGCCCAAGCTTTTTTGAGACATCCGCTGGTTGTTGTTCGTTCTTTTTAACAAACATGTTGTAACTTTTGCCGTGCACCACTGCGAGCGACGGTGTCTTCTCTATAGCACGTGGCACTATTAAACCAAAAACAAGAACATCGACGCGGTGATTAACGTACCGCATCAACAAGCGCCACCAGTGGCTGTTCCCTTGGTGAAAAGATTCATGTGCTTTCGTAGTGACCACCTCCTCTCCGCGCAACGAATTTTGGCCTGAAAGAGCAGGTGGAGAATGTCAGTGCCTCTACCCAAGGACCCGCTCCAGGCACTGGAGATATGCCTTTCGCAGGTGCCGCATTACCATAATGCCCAAAGATTGCAGCAAGACATCACTTTCTTGTTCACTCAGATGCGGAGTGCGCTCAAGCCCCAAGTCCGTGAATTCGTCTCCCCTACTGGCGACCAAGTCAAGCTCTTCTTTCTTGGCGGCACCATACCCATATCATATCGAAGTACTACTCTTCATTACTCCCAGTACTGCATTGGCATATTGACATGGAAAAGTTTGAAAAACATACAGAATGATGTGGAACTCTTTTCTCCCGGCTTCGATCTCGTCTCTAAATACAAAGACATACTCATACATTTATAATCAGGATCGATAGATTGTACTTATACAAAGAAATGTCGATAATGTTTTGTCTACTTGCAGCTCTTCACACGGATACTCAAAACAGATACCCGCTACAACATCCCGTTAACGATTTACTTCGACCCACCTTACCCGGCTCAACCACCGCGATGTTTTGTGACGCCGACAAACGACATGAAGATAAAAGATCGACACCAGCATGTCGACCGTACTGGTATGGTCTACCTGCCCTACCTTCACTCGTGGAATGCATACGGAAGCACCATAACAGATCTCGTGGGGCATATGCAACAGGTATACTCTCCGACGCGCAACAAGTTAAGTAGCAAGATTGACAGACGTTCAGGTTTTTTTATGTGAAGATTGACAGACGCCGTTTCTTAGGGACCACTTCAACTTCTCGCGTTTGGCTCTTCATCGTGTAATTTTTTCCTTCATTTTTCGCGTCCATCATCAGGTGTTTTCGGAAGTGCCACCGGTAGTGGCCACCGCGAAGCCACAGGGACAGGGATTGAATAACCAGATGGATATTACATTGGGGGGCGGTAGCTATCCCTCAAGTGAAACGAGCCAGACTGGCATGTCCACGCAGTATGGCGCTGGCATGAACAAGAACATCTGGTCAGGCACCGAGTCTGCCGCGCCAAAAGCACCAAACGCTAGTAGCCATCACAGTTTCTCCGGCTACAGTCAGAATACGACGATGCCTTCAGGCATGTTCGCGAACATGCAGTCCACCCCAAGCATGTCATCAACACCACAAATGCAGCCTGGGAGCGTGCAGAACGGGCAGATGATGCAACAGAATCCCGGTCAGATGATGCAGCAGGGAGGTATGATGCAGCCAGGCATGCAGCAGCCAGGTATGCAGCAGCCGGGTATGCAGCAGCCTGGTGGAATGATGAATGCACAGCAGGGAATGCAGCAACCAGGCATGCAACAAGCAGGCATGCAACAACCCGGCATGCAACAACCAGGCATGCAGCAGCCAGGGATGCAGCAACCAGGGATGCAGCAACCAGGGATGCAGCAACCCGGCATGCAGCAACTAGGGATGCAGCAGCCGGGGATGCAACAGCCGGGTATGCATCCGGGAATGGGTCAGCAGCCTCTTGCACCAGGTGGAGCCGCAGGCGGGCCATCATCCGCGCACTCAACACCTCATATAACAGCGCAAAGTGCGCCTCCTTCTAATGTAACACCAATACAGCCAGCGAGCCACACACAACAGCAGCAGCTTGCGGCCAAGGTTACAGCACGTGCGATCCAAGAACTGCCGGGAATGCTGAGACCCGTCATGGAGAGCATTCAAGAGCAGCTAGATGTGAGCGAGCAACTCGCGCAGCATGGGCGCCTCTGTGAGGACACCGAGAAAAGCATGTCACTTGAAATCGAAAAACAAGACCGCATACTCCAAGAGCTCCGCGACACGAAGGCTGCGCTCGAGAACGTATTTCTATTGACCGATTTTTGTACTTAGTTCCCTCTTCATGACGAGCTCTTTCTTTAACTTATGCTTGGCGTTGCATCCCTTTGGCTGACAATCTTCTCCGTTTAACATACATCGTGGCTTTTCCCTCTTGTCTTGACGATCAGTTAATTACATGTTGTCACTGGTGCCTTCCTCCGAACATCTACACAGGAAATCCATAAGGCAGAACAGGACAAGGAGCTAGATGTGAATGAGTTTTTGGAGCCACGGGACGTTTTGAGCCGACAATTGTTGGATTTGATAGCAGAGGAGGCGGCTCTCGATGACATGATCTTGCATCTCGAAGACTGCTTAAAGGAGAAGCTTCTGCCTGCTGATGCATGGATGCAAGAGGTGCGGGACACCGTGAGACGGCAGTTCTACGTTCGCGAATTGAAGAAGAAAGTGATTCGGGCAGTGCGCGCACGCAAAGTGAAAGTCAGCCTTGCGACGAGTCCACGAGAAGACGCTCTGAACAGCATGCGTGCAGGAACTATTGCGAGCTAAGTGTTCCTCCTGAAGAAACCCTTGAACAATAACATCCATCACTACCACCTTCTAGTACAGCAACTACTCACAACAACACCTTCTACAGACCATCTACAACAAAGTCTTAACTTACTTACTTACTTACGCTGGCAGGACGAGCGGAACAGGGGAAGCCTCCCTATGTATAAGGAAAAACCTACTGCAGCAATGAGGCAACCCTTAATCACAACGCGACCTCATGATCATTCTGCATGATTATTCCTTCCTTGAAGCCAAACTCAAGCAGCCAATGCCCTCGATTGACGAGGACCCAAGTCTGGGAGCCACACACGGAAGCGCCCTTGATGTGATGCTTACAACATACTGGTTATACATCGATGTACCACGGCGAAGCATCTGAGTCTGCCTTTCATCTAGGCCGCGGTGGAAAATGGATCACACCGATAAAAATTTTTGCTCAGTAGCTAAAGACTGCAGCAGCACAAATCGTAAGGTGCATCATCTGCATAGGTCGACATGAGGGACGAAAATTGCTGAACAGCCGCCGTCTCTGCCTTTTGGAGCAAGCTCATGCATGTGAAATAAATGCGTTGCTTCCGGATTTTAAATGAAAGAATGCTTTATCGTCCTGACAGCAATATTTCATTACTTCATGTCGGTCCATCAGCATACTACATCCTGAACATCCATCATTGTCTAGCTTAAATGGTTCTGTTTGCTTTGACCGAAAAACAATTGAGGCATCAGGTGTCGAGCACGAAGACTCATATGTTGGAGCACAGTAGCTTACTCCTGCACCTGCACATAAGTAAGAAGTATAAGAAATCACACAATTGACTGGTGCACATGCATTGTCATCGTGTTTTTCCATTACCAGTACATTGCTTTTCATGGTTAGTTTTTCTAGTGTCCAGCATCCGATAAAAATTTAGAATTGTCTTGGCACCAGCATATTGTTGTCAAGCAAGGAAGAAAACAAGACTTTAATATGGGAGGGCGCTACGTGTTCATGTCCTCTCATCTCAACAGAAGTTGACTACAGTTTTTTTTCTCTGTTATTCTCGAAGATGACTCCGATAAGGCCTGTGAAAGAGAGCATCTGAACAACGTAAACCCGATCTTGTTTCGGTCTCATTTTCACATGAGCGTCTGTCTTTTTGTCTTGCAGAATGGAAACCTGTTGACGACGACATGCCACCCGGAGGTCCTTCCTAAAACGATCGGGCTTTTTTTTTCCAATCAACGCATGCAGTTTATGTGAGTTATAATTTTTTGGACCTTTATTCTTTCAATTGTGAAAGTAAGAAAAAGAATGATCCGCCAGTTGCATCTTTTTTCTTCAGAGGAAGCAAAATATTGGTCTGAAGACTCATCTACTTGATAGATCCATGGCTATCTACAATCTAGTCATTTTTCCTGCCCTTGCAGCGTCACTCATGCTCATCACAGAATTGAATTAGAGATAAAAGCACAAAAATCTTTAGTCTTGAAAGAAGACGGACAAATATGATTTCGTGGCGAAGATCTTCTCTAAATTAATAACTTTTGATGTTGCAGATGCAGTTACAGTACGAGTCCAACGGGATCTTACTCTCGTGAGGCTATACATTCATAAGCTCCGCCCGATCGGAGGTCATATTAAGTAGTTTTATTCTGCGGCTTTTATGGTGAAAAATTACGTCAGTCAAAAGCCCATGCCCGATCAAAACTTCTAGTAGCTAGTGGAGATGTGTGAAAAGAGTGAGTGAGAATCCCCGATTTTTCGTTTTTTTTTTGAGCTAAAAAGACAAGATATCAGACGTTGGTAAGAATCATTCGTGCAAGCACTGACAGTTGTTGAACGATCAGATTTGTTTGCTCATGATTTTGAGTCTTAATAAGGTATCGCAATAATTTCGTAAATTTCGTAGTTGCACTAGAAACCTGCATTTTGTATGACTTACGAATCCGAGCTTGATAAAAAATTGATTTCCTGCTCCGTCAAAACTGACTAGCCCCCTGGAGAGGTTCCCCAGGGAGAGGAGTCGAAGGGAAGACGAGACACCCGCTAGAGGGTGAACGTCGAGGGCATGCAAAGAAGTGCCCTAACTTTCAAAATTCATGTATTAACTTTCAAAATTCATGCCCTAACTTTCAAAATTCATGTCCTAACTTTCAAAATTCATGCCCTAACTTTCAAAATTCATGTCCTAACTTTCAGAATTCATGTCCCAAAACGTAAGCACCGAACTCAAAACGTAAATTCAAAATGTAAGCTCAAAACTCAAAATGTAAGCTCAAAATATAAAAAGAAAAATCAAAATTCAAAATGTAAATTCAAAATTCAAAAAGAGAATTCAAAATCAAAAAAGAAAAATCAAAATCAAAAAAGAAAAATCAAAATCAAAAAAAAAAAATCAAAATCAAAAAAGAAAAATCAAAATCAAAAAAGAAAAATCAAAAAAGAAAAATCAAAATCAAAAATAAGAAAAGAAAACAAAGGCAAAACTTTATAAGTAAATAGATTTTTTTGAGACCCACATAACTAAGCTGCAAGGGATTTTCAATCTCTTAGCAGTACATCTAAATATTGATCTAACTTTTTTCTTCATGTTCGTGAGCATATTTGAATTTATTTTTTTGTATTGATTGTTGTAGATAAGATAAAATGAACCTATCTATGGTTTTTTAACAACGAACATGATGTGAACGCTTGTAACAGAATGGTTCATGACTTTTCCTGTTGATGATCTAGTACGGAGCAACAGCATGGAGAGGCAGGCTACCACACTAGTGTCACAAGCCCCAGAAAGCAGGAGGTAGTCAAAATATGGCTTCTTTGTCATCCTTGTTTTCGAGAAGTGAGGAGGGCTTCAGCGTAAAGGTGCTTACAGGTGTTGGCTGTGCCTTGTTTGCAGCCGCAGCAGTGCTCATAGCGCATTGGGAGGATGCTGCGACCAGGGAGGAGGAGCCACAGCGGCGGCGAAAGCCAGTAGATTTCCGACAATTCACAGATGCCACTTTCGTGGCGCCACAAAGTGAAAACGCATTTTCGGAAAACCCCAAAAGCGAAGCTCACCAAGAGGGCACCATGAAGGATAATGCTTTCGAGTCTTCACTTTTACGCCGCTACAACAAATTGACAATGCATTTGGATTTTTGTTTTTTAGACAGGTACAGGTTATAATTACAAACATGCTTTTGGACACTTATATTTTTCTCTACTTGTTGTTCCAGAGAAAGGAACGGAATCCATGAGACGTTCTGTGTAATACGATTTCATTAGGTAGTTAGTTTTCTTTGCTGTCTCACTCTCATATATGAAAAGTAAATTACCCCATCAGAAAAGTGAAGTAGACCTCATCTAACGCTTTTGCTGCCTTGGCAAGGAGAAGATCAGGAATTTCCCGATTCACAAGGCTTCGACCCTGCAGCAGTACAGGACACAATGTTTTTGGGTGGTTGTTTATGTCCACATGTGGGACAGAGCAGTGGCGGTGGATCGATTGAGATGAACGCAGGCAGCGGAAATTTGGCATCTGCGGCAAGAGCATCTCTCGTCAAGGAGGGAGGTGCATGCGATGGTACGCCGTCGACAAGAGCATCCTTGCTCCACAATGGTGGCACACCAGGATCCCCGCGAACCAGCCACGGACCCGAGGGGCGACCCGAGTCCGACTGTAGCACAAAACGTATGAAGAAGGGCTTGTGACTACACATCAAACACAAATAATGAATAGATAAGAATATTCATCATGTTGTCGCAATCACTGGTTCCTGGTGTCGTTGGCGTAGGTAACCGTAATCAAATTGCAAGCAGGCGAATTCATTTGATGACGGATTCAATGGGTAATTGCTTGTTCAGTTTGCTTTGTTTTCACACCTATCGAGCGGCTAGTACTTCTAATGCTGCCTGAGCTTCTTGACTGACATAAATGATAAATGTCGAAGATTATATTGCTACTCGAAAACATAAACATCTTTCTAGATATGAGAACATCAACATTTGAATTATGCGCTTTCATTCTCGTACGACGAGCAGGGCCGATATATCGCCAGGTTTTTACACCGACACAAGACTACCAGGTGGTGCCGGAGGGAGCAGTGGTGCCAGCTGGGCTGGACATCCGCATGAATTTCGAAGCGGGTACCACGGAAGCGCGACTCCCTGGAGGAGGGTGAAACAACTACCCAATGCTCTTGTCGGGAAGGAATTGGTTTTAACTAAGGAGCATCAAGTAGAGCTTACTTGAACCAAAGACGCTGTGAGAGGGACTTCAGTCATTTTCATTCCACTACATCATACTTTGAATTTCAAACCCTGAAAAAACTTGGTTACCTCGTTACCCCACATACTTCTCCCACGACTTTATGGTTCCTTCACATGATTTTCGTTAGTACTTCACCTAGCGTGCTCGTGGCCATGATAGAAGCAGATGCTCACTGTCAATTAGTAGTAGATGAAGTACATGTTCGTGGTCGAGGTCAACGATCAATAGAGAGGATTGATTCTATTCTTATATAGAGCAGCAGCAAAATTGCAATAACATCGATTCTCTACTTTGACGTGGTTTCGATCATGATGAGCTTCATCAACCTGTTGCAGATGACTCTTGTAAAACTGAATGTTACTGTACTTGAATTGCTCGCTCGGCTCGGTGTCAGTATTTCATACGAGAGCCAGCGGCAAGGCAACCATCCATGTAAGTAAAAGTGCAAAGTCTGTTGAGTATCAATTGATAATATTCTTTGTTGAAAACTGTACGCATTCGAGTAAAAACTACAACTAGTACAATATTTCTTTCCATTCCGTGCTTGTAGTACTTTAGCTGATGTCAACGTTAAGTTATATTTCACACAGGAGGTTGTGGTCCGTCGTTCTTCTTCATTGACTAGTGCCTCGCATACTTCGATCTTTCTCCTGAGATCTCTCCCCGGATGATATTGATCAAGCGCTGAATCAATGACAATTATCCTTCATCCTCTTGTGCGCCGCTCCTTCTTCACAAGCGGAAGCGAGTCACATTTATAACATTACTTCCTTGTAATGAGTATGAGTATGTGTCCACCACCAGTGAGACGTTCATCCAGCTGCTGCTAGGTCCTCGTAAGTCTTTCCATCCAGTGTAGTGTAACCCATTATTATCGGCAGGCTCGATCGCGCAATCGAACCGTCGGAAAAGTCACGCCTCCTTGCAGTAGTTATTTCGTAAGCCTGATCTTATAGAGACCACCTTCGCAGCCAAAAGAGATTTTCTCTTGACAGGAAACACAAACATGAAAAAAGAAACCACAGATCATATACATAGCTTCCAGCCGATGTGGAATTTTTTATTGAATCCATTTTGAAATTGAAGTGGTTCAACGGCTCCGAAAGAATGGGAATGAACGATGATCACGCGGGAAAGTAGAGATCCTCATTGTAATTTTACTTTTGTCCTTTACAACAGTTGGATCCTGGTTCTTTCTTTCCTACATGTAATTGAATATTGCAAATGGAGATCTTTGAGGATCTACAACGACGATCATCAGTAGATCTTCATGGTGTTGGAAGACATCAAACAGGGACCCAAAACGCCTATGCTAGTGAGATTTGTGTATTCCTGGCCCTTGCCGAGATCACAACATGGGTCAGCCAGATTTTTCGAGCAACTCGTTTGGATCAGTGTGGGACGGATGGAGAGAATAGATCACAATTCCATAGCCAGTGCCAGCCCGCGATTTAAGTAATTTCTCTGGCTGAGTAAGGTGTTTTCAGTAAGGATTAGTGAGCGTGAGAAGCTCCAAAATAGAAATTGATAAGTATTTATTTACTCGTTATTTAATCGCATTCGCGTTCAGGTCGCACCTGGTGTAGTGCAAGAGACACATCACAAGGCTTAGTTATTTGAGTTCTATCTACATGGAAACAAACATTTTTCTCTGTACATCTTCTTAGTAGCATTCTTTTTTGCATCTGCTTAACTAAAGAAAATGGTGGAGATGAAGAAGAAGTCAATTCTCGAGCTCGCGGCTGCGAGAGAACTAGAACAAGATAGTAGAGTGGAGCAGCAGCGAGACGACGGTGCTGCCGCCAAACCTGCAGTAAAAAGCATGAAAAAGAAGGCGATGAAGAAGGAGAGCGACTCGCAGAAGCAAGAGAGAGTCATGACTTCAAAAAAGGATCAGCCAGATGTTGAGGTTGAGGCTTCCGCGACCGATAGTGCGCCGAAAAAACCGGACGCACCTGCGGAGGGGTCGAAGGCGGGCAAGCGTAACCGTCAGAAAAAAACGGACTGGACCGCAGCACGGTTGAGCCCGAAAGACTATCAGTTTCGTGCAATCAAGAAGTATGAAAATGCTGACGAGGCAGGCAAGAAAAGAATAGTGGAAGAGAATGAGAAGAAATACCACATGATCCGCTTTTTCGAAAGGTATGTTTGTTTTCCTTGTTGAGTTGGATATCAGGTCGATGCTCACTATCCTCGTTTACAACAAGATGAAGAACACAGATTTATTGAAATTGATGAGCATTGTTTCGCAGATTGCCTAGTATCACCGTCTTCTTTTTACTTTTTATAAGAGATGACCATCCTTTATATAAATATAAGTCTCCGTCAAGACTAACACTAACTGTAACTTTTCGTTTTACAGGAAGCGGGTCGAAAAGAACTTGGACCGTGCACGAAAGCAAGTTGTAGAAGCCATGAAGAAGCCTGAGAAAGATCAAGACCAAGAAGACCAGGCACGCGATGGTACTTCATCTAGCTTGGATTTTATTTGCATAGTACAAAGGTCGATGGGCTAATTTTGAGGGTTCATGTTTCTCATGATAAATGAATCAAGCTTTTCTTGTTCCACCTAATGCATGGCAAATAATCATCATGTATGAGCAAGCAATAAAGATAAATCAGTCTTCACCTCGTCTCCCATATATCCAAAACCAGTTCTGCAGCAATGTGAGGCTGACAAACGATACGTGACGAAGTTTCCCGCCTATCTTCCATACTTGAGTTTATTTCCGAAGCAGGATTCGCCTGAAAGTTCGGCGCGACGAGAATACATGCGGGAGTACATCGACAACATAATATCAGAAAAGCGAGCCAAGTTTGACGAAGAGACAAGTAAATTTCTGAGTGAAAAAGAGCAGAAGAAGGGGTCAAAAGGAGGCAAGAAAGGCGCCAAGTTGGGTGATGGAAAAGGTAGCGGAAAAGGAGCTGCGGCGAAGGGAACCGAGGCAGGCAAGGGTGAAGCCGATAGTGAGGCGAGTACTTCATCCAAAGGCGGTAAAAAGGGAGCGGGCCAAAAGGGCAAAGGCAAAGGCAAAAAAGGAAAGGGTGAGACGCGCACTTCTCCCGAGAATGCAGCTGTCGCGGACACTAAGGATAGCGAGGCAAAGGCCGATGCTGTCTCTTCTAGCGAAGTCATGGAGAGCGTCAAGAAGAGTAAGGAGCGGCTTCGCAACGAGGAGGCGGGCGAGCAGAAGTCCTCTTCCGTTTCAAATGGTAATCTTGCTGCATGTCGTGATGTAGCTCTTGAAGAAGATGTGGACGTAGAAACAAAGAAGAAAAAGAAGAAGCTGCAGAAATCCGCTGAAACCGCAGCGACGACAAATGATGAAAAAACAGAGTCGGCTGTCCAAAATAAGTCGGCCCCCTCAGGCAGCACTGTTTCTTCCAAAAAGAAAATGAAGCCAAACACAACGACTGCTCAAGCTCAGCCGTCTCCAGTTGAGTCCGCTGCAACTAATTGTGGAGTTGCCGAAGGAGCAAAAACTAGCGACAAACGAAAGGCGCCAGAAGTCGTCGGTGCCTCAGCGAAAAAACAGAAGAAGCAGGACAAAACACCAAACACTCACGGAACCCACGAGTCCTTCCTAGCATCCCAGGCGCCGCATCGTCAAGGCGCCATTGTACAAGCAAACAACAAAAAAATGACTTTTGACTCTGATTCTGACTAAAAACGAAGATGATCATCTGGTGGACGAAAAGCATCTCAGTGCATCAACATCGTAGAAAACATTTGTTATTTACCAAATACAAATTACAGCCCAGAATTTATGCCCATCGGATCATCTCTACTGTAGAAAACAGAGTCCCCGAAATATTATGTTCATGTTCGGGTTTCCGTCGTCTGAAAAATTGACGAACAAAGATCTTATTTCTAACTTTGATTGTAGAGTGAAACTGAGATGATGAAAATAGAAGCGTGTTGAGAAGCAACTCAATAAGTCACTACGATGAAGAGAAGCAACTCAATTTCTGAATGTACTTCTCCATTGCTTGGACTCTGTATCTGTAGAAGTCTCTTGCAGGTGCACCTTAGTTCTGTAACTATGACAAGAGTGGTGAAAGCGAAACTTCTCTACGGTTTGTCAGCTTCTGTACGGTGGATCTGTCTTAGAACGTTCGGCTGGATTTCTTGAGGTGTCTGTCTGAGTAACAATGATTCTGGTGAGTGTGAAAATCCGCGACATCCGTGCTGAAAAATCTGTGATCCGAGCGCGCCAAGTCTCTTGTTGTCTCCAGGTGAGAAGTGTTGTGCTAATTCATGTATATCGTGATACCAAAGCGCCTGAGCTCACGGGTGTTTGCGTTTGCCTTCTTGCAGATCTTGATGGCGAATTTCCTTTATCGACTAGGTCACTCTGTAAGTGTTTACTTTTTTGCATTTCATTCAAAATCAACACTAGGATGCAACCTCAGAACTAATGTGAATGCAGTATGCCTGCTTATCCAGTGGATCAATTTTTAGAAACAAAGTGTATAATAAGTAACAGAAAAGGAAAATAGCCGGTAGATGAATTGTTGTCGACTCTGAGAATTTTGGTAAAATTCGTATTTACTGCTCTCTTCTCGACGTCGTGTTGTAGTATGTTGTTGCAATGGGAAAGTCTTCTATGTATGATGTTTTTGTCTATAACTATTTTCTTGTGTGGTCCAGTGCTGGCGCCTTAGCATGCAGTTTGCATATGTTGTCGACTCTCAATATCTTCAATAGCTATAGCGTATAAAATCGCACTCGTAACAGCATTGCCGTGGTAGGTTCTATTGTTTCGTATTTGTTTTGGTTTTTCGTTCAGTGTAACGTCAAAATGGGGAACGAACAGTCCGGTGAGGGTGGCGGACCAGCCCCCGGGGAAGCTGGTGGCGCTCCTGGAGCTCCACCAGCGCCTCCGCAGGGCGCAGGAGGTGTTACCGATTCGACTTGGTCTTCGGAGTCTGAACCGAGTGCACCTGGTAGTGCCCGTGGATCGACGTCGAAGGTGGCGAGACCTTCCGGGGGCCTCATGAAAAGCCAGGTGGCAGGAGCTGAGAAGTTGGCGCAGTTACGACGTTCGACCGCTTCTGCTGGTGGCGCACCTGCGGCCGGAGCTACTGCTGCGCCGGGCAGAGCAAAAAAGGGACTCGGGAAGGGCCCTCACCACCAGGCTAGACGTGAAGGCTCACGAGGGGCTGGCGTGGATCTCGGTTCTTTTCTGGACCCCGAGGATGCCGGTGAAGTGCCACCCAATCCGCGGGAAGCGACACCACCTCCACCGCAGGAAGCGAGACCACCTCCACGACAGCATGGTCAAAATAACAATAACCTGACTGGCGTAGGTGCCCAGAGTAAGGTCCCGGACCAGCCTGGCGTCGCGGTGATGGTACGCGTGTGGAAAGAAGACGGCGCGCACTTGTATGAGGTGCGGCCCACGTGGGTGTACGAACCGCGGTCGAACAAGTGGGTGGCAGAGCTGCGCTCCAGCATAAGCGCGTCGGACTACACATACCATCGCAATTTGGAAAGGACTGGTGGACGCGCGGGCGAAAACGGACCGCCTGACAAGCTCGTAGAACTGAAGGACCGGCGGCGGCTTGCGGAGTCCGACTGGGCGCATGTTGGCCGTGGCGGCCGCGCGGGGCAGGTGCAAGACGCCACGATCCATCGGCGGCGGGTGGAAGGCGAAAGCGCACCCCAAACGCATACGTTTGCCGACTACATGCAGGGCAGAGGTGTGCTCGAGAAAGGCATCGACGCGGACGATGATATTGTGCCACGCCAGGACCTCGAATTCGCTATCGGGATGAATGTCGAGAATGCGCAGTCAACTCCGCTGTTAATGAGTAGGGGCATTGATCCAGCGCTCTTCCGCAGCCAGACCACTGCCGGCGGACCCACGTTGCAGGGGAATTTTGATGCGGTCGAGGAATTCCGAGAGCAGATGGCGCTTCAAAATCTGAGTATCAGAAGCGCTCTCGCCCCCGGCCTCCAACAAGCACAACCGCAGCATAATGCGGCCAACGCGTACACGCCTGAAAGAGCTGACTACCTGCGCTTCGTAGCTGCCCGCGATACCATGCTGCGTGCTGCGGGACAGAAAATAAGACCGAAAAAGAACCATGATGGCAGCCACCGTTCTGAACTATTGAAGATGATGGACAGCTACAACCATCCCGACGCCGACGCCGGTCGCAGAGGGCTGCGCGAGGCGCAGAAGATGTCGCACAAAAAAAAGGCGAAAGAACAAGCAGAGTTTCGGTTCAACGCCTCGGCGAGACAACAACATGACCCCTACGCACGTGCTGGCAGGGGTGGAGGTATTCAAACGTCTTCTGGACGTGCGCATGCTGCCGGAATGGGAGCGTTCGCTCCGCCACGGCGCACGTAGTTAAAGAAGGGCATACTTATGAACCATGAATAGGGATTAACTCTAAGATTAAGAAATGGAGCTTAAGTCGATGTCAATAATGACGCAATCCAAGTGCTATCTCTTGCTTTCTGAATATTGGGACGTGCATGGCTTTATGCTGCGGCACCTGCAGCGATTATAGAGTGGTTGTATTTTTCGGCGATGCACAAGAGCCGCTTCATTATTCTGAATATTTGCAGATGCAGACACGCTCCTGAGGAATTGGAATCAATTTGCAATCAGTTTACGAAAGATCATGAGAAATCAATGTATGAAGTGCAGGACAACCTGAAGACACAGAGGTACGTCCATGGGAAGGGCTGGGAATGGATCAGGATCCGTGCGGTTTTCTGTTCAGCGCATATGCCTGGAAGTGGAAAATGACTGAGACTGGTGGACCATGATAGAGGCACTTCATCATACTTATTCATCCTGAAGTGCTGAATGGACACGTAATTTACTGCCGTGCAACTACAAGTAGTGCTTCCTCGGAGTTTTATACGTGTCTTGCTACTAGGAGGAGTTAATTATATATATAATCGTTGAACAAGAATTGATGTCGGTCAACACATGAATGATGAACATCCAACAGTTCCTACTACACTTTCCAGATGAGAGGCAAAGGAGAGTAGATCTCTTTTCGATCTCTTCTGACTGATGAGCGGTGTTATGGCTCGTCCCCAACGAGAATGCAAACATGTTTTGTACCACCAATGAGGCTGGGAAGTAGAGAGTCACATCAAGTTCTACGCGCGTGGTACGCAACGATCTTGTCGGCGTACAAAGACCCATGTTGAAGAAGCGACTTGCAGGAAGTTCCTGTTTCTTTCTGCTAGTGCCCACCAACAAGAGGCTACAACAACTACTTCCTTGGCAATCATATTCTGAACGAACGCATCTGAAGATGAGTTCGTATTTCCCGACCCAACCCCATTTCTCCGGTATGCGTTTTGCTAAATTTTCCTCATGTTGAAGTTTTAGGAAACCTGTTGCAAGAAGAAGAACGTGAAATGAAATGGTCGTTTCTAGAACTGTTGAACAATTATCCATTTTTGATTTTCGGAGATTGAAGATTTCTCTTCGTCTGAGCACAGACAGGCAGGAATGTTTATTAGTCATCGGTATTCATCGATGAGTATATTTTATCATAACAAGCACTGGCATTCAAAATGCTATGCATGAGGAAAATACTATATATGAGGCACTTGTTGTTTTTTCCTCCTTAATCGCAGGATTTCTTATGCTATTGTTGTTCTAGTTACGCTTACGTGATGAAGAAAGCAAAGCAGTTTGATAGTTATTCAAAGTGGATGTATGCTACTCTTCAAATATATATCCCTCCGTACTAACTTTATTTGGCAAACTAGTACAAGAACTGGAATAAGATGGCCTCTTCATCGTCTAGTGGTCCCGTTGCGCGTAAGCGAATAAATGGTAAAGTGATCGTTGCTGGTGCCGCAAACACGGGTAAAACGTGTCTCATTGAGAGGTTCGTACGCAACGTCTTCATAGCGGACGACCCGTCCCATGGACCGACTCTCGGCTGCGACTGTCTCCAAAAATCGGTTTTCGTTGACGACACCGAAGTCTACCTTTTTCTCTACGACACAGCTGGCCAGGAAAGGTTCGCGGATATGGCAGCCAGCTACTACCGCTGTGGTGACGTGTGCCTCCTCGTCTTCGACCTCGCAAACCTCGCAAGCTTCGACCATATAAAGTGGTGGCAGAAAAAGGTACCCAAGTTAGTACTAAAATAAAATATGACAGCACAGAACCGAAGTACTTACTTAGAAGTTGGCTCTTCTAGTAGTTCTATTTATTAGGCAGGTTCACATCTTGATATTTGGGTAAAGTAGGGTCATGATCCATCCTTATTCTTCTTGGACTTTATAAAGATTATATCTTGTTCACTTTTCTTCACTAGGTGTGCGAGTACAATCCGCGGTGTAGTTTTGTGCTAGTCGGTTGTAAGGAGGACTTGATCGCAGAGCAGGTGGACAATGGGTCGAGTGGAAATGAGAGGTTTGGCATAATGAGCCGTTGGGCCGAGTCGGCGGGGATGCCTTTTTTCACCACTAGTGCGAAACGCGGCGGCAGTCAAATACAGTTTCTCTTCTATAGTGTAGCGGAGAAGTGCATTCGTCAAACGAGGGAGAAGCAATTACAGCAGGAAGAAGCCTTGAAGAGTAGTCAAGACCGCGACGGCGACGGGAGGATACTTTCCGCCTTCGGAAATCCGCAACTCGATGCTGAGGATATGCGCGCGAATTGCTCTGGCTGCTTAAGCAGCTGACATTTGTTGCGGACAAATCAATCGTTTTGTTTCTGCCATGATTGTGATTCCAAATTCATTTACAACCATCAACAGGAGGAATAGATACGTAGTATTTTTGTGATGTTTTTCTGAACCTATGATCTGATGCGCTCATTTCTGACCACCTCTCCCACCCTGTATATCCACCAAACCCCATTCCCTCGTCTACGCAGTTCCTCCCCCTTTATCATGCATGTGGTTGATAATCTTTCCATGCTTCTGCATGCAAAGTGAGTAGACCAAGACTGTAAGAATTAATAAGAACTCATACAAAATTGAGTATGACCAAAGCCAAGCGAAGTCTATTGTTAAGCGCGATGTGTTTTTCTGCTTATGCGATGGGTTCGCGGGGTTGTTTGAATCTTGTGCATTGCATTTGCAACTCGCAAACCCTCATTATTCTTGATTTGATCACAAATCTTGATTGTTTGAGGCAAAATTTCGGGAATGATTCTGAAACGTTTCATGTTCATAGCTAAACCTGCACCGCTCAACAATAGTGCTGCAGGCAGTTACTATCAGATCATGGCTGGCCGTCACTTTGGATCCTTGCTAGAACGGACGATAGGTATGTTGGAATGCTTTTCTACGTACTTCATTTCCAATATCCCACTGGCGTGTATGAGATTTAGGTGGAGGATCTCTTTTCGCACATATGGTAGATGATACATCATATCATGTTGTACTACTTGTAGTTTATCTTTTTGAAGTAAAATGGCAGACGTCACAGTTGCATCTTCTAAAGCGGGCATCAATGATTGGGGTGCGCTAACCTCGCATCTGTTGGCTACACATTCTCCCTACGCCGAACACGAAACATATCGAGATAATTTTCCTTTTTTGCGCGAAGAATGCCGGGTCTTAGTAATCGGGGCGGGCGGTCTGGGCTGCGAATTGCTGAAAGACCTGGCATATTCTGGGTTTTTCAGTATCGACGTAATCGACCTGGACACTATCGATGTGTCAAATTTGAACCGGCAATTTCTCTTCCGGCAAGAACACGTCGGTCGCGCAAAAGCAGAAGTTGCCGCGGAGACAATCAACGCGCGAATGAGACAAAAGGTGGTGACACCGCACTTCGGGAAGATCCAGGACAAGAGCGCCGCATGGTACCAGGGATTCAATATGGTGATCGCGGGATTGGACAACATAGATGCGCGACGCTGGATCAATAGCCTTCTCCATACACTCGTTCAAAGAGACGAAAACGGCGAAGTGGACCCGGGCAGCTGCATTCCACTCCTAGACGGCGGCACTGAAGGTGAAATATTTATCAGGATCATCATCAATAGGGCTTTGCTATGTGGCTCTCACGATATTATACTTGAAAAATAATCTCGTGGAACGCAACTATCACGACGGACACCATAAACGCACTAACATCCCCGTCTCCTTGTTCAGGTCTCAAAGGTCAAGCACGTGTGATCATCCCCGGGCAAACTAGCTGTTTCGAGTGCGGACTCGACATGCTTCCTCCACAAGTGAACTTTCCGATTTGTACGATCGCGGAGACACCGCGCCTCCCAGAGCATTGTGTAGAATACGCTCTTGTGCTCCTGTGGTTAAGGCCAACGTTATCGACTTGTAGAACATCTTTCTTTAACTTTCATACTAGCTTGGAGCGTCCGATGACATCCCTCCCACTAGGATCCCCCTCCTCCCCAAAATAAGAAAGTAAGCACGGCAAAGATGTGAGCGATATGCGTTTTCAAATTTCGAAAATTTTCCACGTTTTGCCATCGTTTGAGGATTGAATCTCGTGCGTTTGAAGTGCTAAGATCCCAAAACTTTTTGAGTTTAAGCCCCTCCCATTCCCTGCGGTTTAATTTCTTGGATTTGCATTCTTCAAATTTCGAAAATTTTCCACATTTTGGCGCCGTTTTGGGATTGAATTTTGTGCGTTTGAAGCGCTAAAGTCCCAAAATTTTTGATTTTAAGCCCTTTCCATGGAGCTCAATCTCTTGGATTTGCATTTTTCAAATTTCGAAAATTTTCCGCATTTTGTCGCCGTTTTGGGATTGAATTCCGTGCGTTTGAAGTGCTAAAGTCCCAAGATTTTTGATTTTAAGCCCTTTCCCTGAGATTCAATCTCTTGGCTTCGCGTTTTTCGAATTTCGATAATTTTCCACGTTTTTCGTCGTTGTGAGATTGAACCTCGTGAGTAGTGCTAAGATCCCAAAACTTTTGATTTTAAGCCCTTTCCCTGAAATTCAATCCCATGGCTTCGTGGTTTCCTGGTTTCTTGATCCTGGTTTCATGAAGTTTCATGGTTTCGTGGTTTCATGGTTTCCCGGTTTCATGGTTTCATGGTTTCATCTCGTGGCTTCGTGGTTTCATCTCGTGGCTTCATGGTTTCGCGGTTTCATGGTTTCATGGTTTCTTTCACGGTTTCATGGTTTCCTGGTTTCGTGGTTTCATGGTTTCATCTTATGGCTTCATGGTTTCATCTCATGGTTTCAGGGGTTTAAGGGTTTATGGGTTTGGGGTTTGTTTGTTTTTGTGTCGGAGGTTGCGGGTTTGGGTGTTGGAGGTTGAGGTTTCGGAGGGGAAGTGTTTGCAAAGTTTTATTGCTCTTAATATTCCCGTCGTGCTCGTAGCTCTGGGGATTGCTCCTACTTCTCCAAAAACGTTCAGAGCAAAAATGACGAAAAAGATACTTACATAATGGGGATCCCTAGCGTTATGACAGACAGCTCTAATGTGGGACAAATTTTTCGGGGAGAATGCACAGGAAAAGGAGCAACGCAGCTCTGGAGCAGGTTCAGGCGCTGACAAGAGGCGGAACATCGAAGGCGGAGAAGCAGGTATGTCAACACCGCAGGACGATGAAGACCAGGACACCGAGGACCTTGAAGTTGCGGAAGAGAGACTTGAAGAAGCGGCTCTCGATGCCGAGATAGAAGACTTGAGGCAAGCCATCTTAGCCGGTGACGAAAGCGTCGTTGTAAACAAGAACACGGCCTCCTCGTCCTCTTCCTCACAGAAGCCGGTCGTGGGGCAAAGTTTCTATGGTAGCGGTAACGGTAAAAAGCCGGTGTCTTCAAGTAGATCATCTGGTGCCGCGCGACTGCACGACGACCGCGGCGACAACTCGCAGAGTCCTGAGAATGCACCCTTTCCGCCCTCGCGACGGACGAGTGGAAGTTACCAGCAACCTTCGCGACCTGCAACAGGCTACAGTGCTGGAGTTGTTACAGCTACCAGTGAGGACGTCGCAGGAGGCAAGGCAATAAATGTGAAAAGCTCAGCCGCTTCCAGGAGTGCTATAGAAGTAGAGTCGAGTCAAGGGACCACGAATCGCAGTGCTGTCGAATCGAAGGTCCCGAAAGATAGTGCCAGCACGAGCGGTTCTCCTGCGAAGCACAACGCAGTGGCGCTGAATAAGGACAGCCCTGTGCATATGCAGTGGCTCTTCAAGCAGGCACTTCGGAGGGCGCGACACTTTGGAATCCAGGGAGTGACGTATCAGCTCACCATGGGAGTAGTGAAGCGGATCATTCCCGCTGTGGCCTCGACGAATGCAGTGATCGCTGCGCAGTTGGCGCAGCTCGCGTTGAAGGTGATGCTCTATTGCGGCCCCGTGAACCACAATTACTTTATGTTCATGGGGCACGACGGCTGTTACTCCCACACCTTCACGCTAGAGAAGAAACCGGACTGCCTGGTGTGCGGGGACCGGAGGGACACAGTAGACGTCGTGTTACCGCGTGAAAAGACCCTACAAGACCTGCTTGATCACTTGGCAACGGCGCCTAAATTGCAACTGAAGAAACCTAGCATCACTTCGGCAGCTGGCGTCGTATTTCTTCAGAATCCGCCGAGTTTGCGAAAAGCGCACGAGTACAAATTGCCCCAGGGTCTCGGCCAATTAGTGGACTTTTTATGGCTCCTCTCGGTAATACATTTTCTCACCGCAGCCAGGGATCTTCTTAAGCTAATTCATCAGCATGAAATTCAGCGATAAAGATGAACCTCAAGCTGCAGTTTGTCGACAAAAGAAGGTATTAACGAGACGAGCGTTGCTAAGATTTGGCGTGTTTCAGCAGGGTGAGCCTCTCCTTGTAACCGATCCTCTGTGTTTACCTAGCAGCAGCACTCTCAGAATACGAATACGATTCTCCTCGCCAACAAGTGTGGACACAGCTAATGACCAATAGCGCCAATAAAGTACGATCTTGGTTTTTTTACACTGTTCCACACCTTCTGCTAATCAATAAAACAAGAAGTAGTTCGAAATCGAACTGGAAGTGCCTACTTACTTACGTGGACACAGCACGATCAAACATAGGGATCGCTTGTGTTCCTGTCCACGTTGCGCGTCTTTGTCAAAATGTGCCGGAAAACTATCGAGGAAAGCGTTCTACTACGTTCGTCGGGATTACTTCTCTCTTCGATCATCCGTTTCAATCTTCAGAAAATAATTGATTACCGTTAACAAGAACTGGTCTTAGTGTGAGTTCATTTTGGCGCAAGATGATTAAATACTGCTAATAGAATCAAATTAATGCAGCGATGAAGATGATAGGATTCGTCTTTCTTGCAAAGTTCGTTGTGAATACATCCACCACGGATAAATCAGTCTGAGCACTGAAGAAATGTGAGAATCAAGATTTGAATGTGTCGCGGCTAAGAATGGATAGGAGAATAGTGTCTTTGTGATGCATGATTTTTTCAGGATTTGTGATCCCTCGATGACTTTTTTTTTGCATCGATAATGTGAGGATCCCAAATGCTAAGACCAATATTCCGCAATCAACTTATTGCCAGAGCCAGCTACGGGACAATGAGTAAGTGAAAATGTGGTTTTTTTTATGTCAAGAAAACGAATTGCTGGGTAGGTCGATGGTAGAGTTTTGGCTATGGACGAAAGAAGATGTTGGCATCCTCTGAGAACTTGACAAGAGTAAGTAAGTTTCCTCGTCGCTATTTATTTTAGTTGCAAGAGTATCAAAGCCAGGAGAGGTTGAACTCGAAAAGTCAAAAATAGTAAGAAAAATGACGTTTGTTCCCGGAGTGAATCAGCAAGGCTTAAAGGCCGAGCAGGAAAAGATCCTGCAGGAAGGCTTTTGGGGCTTTAGCTGGCCCGCAACGGGGTTCGGGCGGGAGATGAAGCGACTCGCAGAATCTGGAGAACCGTCTGGGCAGCACAACCTTGTCTCGAACGACGAGAGCTTCGAAGAAGTGCGCTGGCAGATGTACCAAAACATTGCGAAAGCGGGTTCTGTGCAAGCGGCTGCAGCGCAGAACCAAGCGTACTGGGTGGAACTCCATAAAAATTGTCTAGAACGGTATTCAGTAGTTTTCGGCCAGGATTTAGTGGCGAGAACGTTTGGACACAAGCTGCGTGCGAGTGGGGGAGCGGAGTTACGAGAGGATAGCCTATTTACACAACTGATGCGACATGCAGGAATGCTAGGTCCCGGAATCGCGACAGGGAGAAACGCGGCTAGCACCTCTGTCAATCCTTCTACGTTTGGCGGCGCCGTCGCGAAAGCGAGTCCCTTTGCCAATATAAATTTTGGAGCTGGCGGTGGAGGTGGCGCAGCGCCAGCTGCAAATAATCCCTTTGGTGCAAAGCCAGTTGCGCAACAAGGCGGTCTTTTCGCGGGTGCACAGCCGGGTGGAGCGGCACCAAGTGCTCCGGCATTCGGCAGCGGCATTGCACCAGCGGTAGCGGCAAACCCGAGCCCTTTTGGCCAGCAGCCAGCGGCAGCGAATTCGAGCGCTTTTGGGCAGCAGCCGGGGGCAGCGAATCCGAGCCCATTCGGATTGCAACCTAGTCAAGGTGGCGGTGGTTTATTTGGACAGTCGGCAGCAGCAGCAGCAGCCAATCCGAGTCCCTTTGGGCAACCATCAGCACCACATGGAGCAAACCCCTTTGGGCAAAAACCGGCTACCACGACTCTGTTTAGTCAGCAACCACAAGTGGCAGGAGCAGCAGCAACTAACACTTCTAGCGTGTTTGGAGGGCCACATGCCACAACGACAACACCGCTAATTCGACAGCCTCCTGGAGGAGCAGAAGCAACCCAAGGATTATTTAGAGGCGGCCAGGCACGTGGTGCTGTAGCACCGGCCGCAAACCCCTTTGGTCAAGTTTCAGCTGGCGTAGCAGCAGTACCAGCAGCTGCGACGAATCCATTTGGAGGTGGAGTCCCGCAACAGCAGTCGGGTGCCGTCCTTTCGCACGTGGGCACATTTGGACAGGGAAGCGCACCGGTTGCCGCAGGTGCTAGTGTGTCTTTCGCACCACAAGTCGCTGCACCGCAACCCGCGCAACCCTTCGGCGGAGGACAAGCATTTGGTGGATTCGGTGCAGGTTCGTCGCAGCAGGGTGTCTTTTCTGGACAAGGTGCAGTGCCTGGAAGCACTCCTGGAGGAGGTGCATTCGGCATGTTAGGCGGCGGCCAGCAGCAGGCCGGCGTCTTCGGTGTACCACAGCAACAGGCACTGCGAACCTCGGCTTTTCCAAACTCTGGCTTTGGTGCCGGTAACCCGGTCGTCGCAGGAAATCCAATGGCAAGCGCTTTTGGTCTCGCGCGAGATGCAAACTCGACCTTCGGACAGGGACAGGCAAACACTACTTCAGGAAATCCCTTCGGCAACCAGAAAAAGAAAGCTGAGGTAGCTAAAGCGACCCAGGATCTTCTAGGAGGTGACGACGACGACGATGAGCCACCAACTGCAGCACCCAAGAATGTGGCATCAGGTGGAGGACCCGCAGGCGATCTTTTTGGCGGACTACCAGGCGCACCAGCAGGTGACGGAGCACCACCCGGCGCACACGCGCAGCAGTTAAATGCCGCAGCAGCCACGGCAGCAGCCCAAGAAGGGGATGAAGCACAGAAACAGGCGATTCGGGCTCTTTTCTTTTCTGCGGCGTTTGATGACTGGAAGATACCACTAGAACCACCTCCGGTATGGCTTCGGCGTGAGTGGGGGTGTGAGGTCGACAAGGAGCACTGCATCTACGCAATTTGAGTTGCAGTGCTAGCATTCTCGAAAAGTGAACCATGATTGGTGAAGTGCCCTCTTCTATTTTACCATAGCCGTTGTTTTTCCACCCATCTGTTCTAGCCTTTTCCTTGTGAGGAAAGTGCTCTCCTGAACCCCAATCGCCGTGATAATACCAATCGACCCCGATTCAAGTCACGTAAGTAAATGTTTGTGCACTTGTAGACAAGAAGTAGGCAACAAAAAATATAAAGACGAATGCCCTCTCTTGCGCAATGAAAAGTGACGCCATAATGTTTCCTCCATTTCCAAACGATGTGATAAGGCAGAGGCGGGAGGTCGTTTAAGCTATCAGTTGAACAAAATCTCGCATGTACAGTAGTATCTGTGTATACTTATTGACCGTTGCTGCAGTTTTTGGTCACATTCAATGATGCCGATTGGGCTCGTCGGTTATGATGTGAGTGAAACCAGTCAAAAATTTGCGATGTTTGCTACTCCGAGAAACATACACGTACATCATCATCGTAATCTTCATCTCAGTGACGCAAAAAGTTGTGAGTTTGAGCAACGGAACAAGCACGCATACTCTGTATGAAAAAGGTAAGACTTCGCTTCGTGCTAGAAGCACAGCTAAAACGATAATGTTAGTGAAGAAATATGCACAGACGCCTCAAAAACTAGCTGTGTCCAAGTGATAAGCTCACGGCCAGGGGCAAGCATGACAGAAAATGTGTTAGCGTTTTGTTTTCTGTAGATGATATGCATCGATTCATGCAGTATCAATCTTTAGCATTGACATGATCAGACTTTTACTTTCGTAAGTTTCCAGTTTTTTTTTGATCTGGCCGACCACTGTGTGAACGAGGATACGTATATATCAGAAGGTTTAGTCCACCGGTGTGACTGTGACCACAGCGACCTCTACGAAAAAATGAGATGCATAAACAGTGAAGCGTCTGCAATTTTGGCGAGGCGAGGCGCCAGCAGGAACCACGCTTCAAGGGAGCTCTTTCGCAGATCTATTCTAGGTCTAGATGCGTGTACGTCTGGAGGCGCATGGACCCCAAATAGGCGGTTTATCTGCAGTCGATCAGCTTCTCGATTAGAAAAAATGTTGTTCGCGAAGTCACATGAGTGGTTCCGCGTAGCCGACGACAAAAAAAGTGGTAGAAGAACAGGCCTTTCCATACGGTCTTTCTCTTAAATGAAGATACTGGACCGACTTGCAGAAGCTATCTTTCTCTCTGTTTCTTTTGTTTTAATTGCAAATACGCTGGGATGAAACAGCCACACGAATTTTTGTATACAACATACAGTGACGATTGGCGTGTCTGACTTCGCGCAGAAGGAATTGGGCAAGATAGTCTACGTGGATATGCCGGAACCGGGACATCACGTTCCGGCTAGCGACTCGGTAGCAGCGATTGAGTTATGGAACAATATTACAACTTAAGCTTATTACTGCGTGCGTTGCTTCTTCTACATCCTAGACTTCAGAGAGGACTGCAACAAAGAGTAGATAGTAGACAACATTTACATTAGAAGCTTTATTTTTTTAGCTTTAAAAGAGTGCGGGGATGGCAAAGCGGTAGGAGAGGTCTACACACCCGCAGACTGTGACGTGGAAGAGGTGAACGAACAACTGACGGAAGAGCCAGGAATTATTAACGCGGATTGCTATGGCAACGGATGGATTGTCAAGGTTCATCAGGAAAGAATTTTCTTCACTTTTTTTTTCCGAAGTTGTTTGTTTCTAAAGCACGCTATTCTCTGTGCTTGCAACGAACTAAGAGAGCTCATTCGTTACTGAGCCATCGCTTTATGGGTCTGCTTCCGATACGACTTTTAGATCTCATCTCTTTTCTCTCAATACGAATGAATGTTTAATAAGTATTTCTCCATCTTTCTATCAAAGAGAGTATTAATATCCATTGTGGTTCTCCTTATCAGGCCAAGTTCGCCGACGAGTTTGACGGAGCGGACTTGATGGATGAGGCGGCGTACTTGAAATACCTCGAAACATGTGAATCGCATCATTAGGCTCTACGTGCGCAAAAGCGAAAACAACAAAAGTCTTCAGATACGACTGTGCACAATCACAGTCCTCTTAACTCCTCCTTTTTTCCTTGCAATACCATCGACCCCGTGATTACGCAATTTTTTTGGAATGCGACCCTGTACTCATACTAAGTAATCGCAAACTCGCACTCCATGGTCTGATGCCAGCTTACCCTTACGCATTGCGCGCTTATCTGCCTAGCGAGTCTCTTCGCTATAGCAAAATGAGTTTGCCTGCTTCTTGTTCATCTGAGCTCTGTCTTACAGTCCGTTGCCCTTTTCCTACCCTTCTTGATTTCGTACGTCAAGACGGCGCGGCCACTCAACTCACGACGATGTTTTTTTGAAATGATCGGCGTTCGTTGATGCAGGTCGTGCTGGACCTGTTTGCAGTTTTGTCTTAAGGATGTGAGTTTGTTAATTATGCGTGCCTGCAACTGCATTGATTGGGAGTTTGCTATTTTCCCTCTATCGGAAGATATCGCAGAATTAATTCAATCACAAGTCTAATCCTGCTTGATCCTACGTTATTTTGCTGCGCCCTTTAGAAGATGATCGTCATGCTCGTGTGTGTGTGTGATGATCACGTTTCGACTATTTTCAATGTCCTCAAGCAAAATGAAAATTTATATTTCACGTCCACGCTTATAATTTCTCTAGCAATTCTTCTTCTTGTTCCCAGGTGCAGGTCACACTGTGGACGGCGAACCACCTCCTATCCTATCCTATCCTTCCCAGAGGCGAGCGCTAAGATATTCTGTTCGCGAGAGATTCCGATTCGAGCAATGACTGAGACGCGTGTATTCGATTGCTTATCCATCGGTTCACTGAGCATTCTGCTTAGCGGTATACATTCATAGCATTCTGATCGAGTGAAGGTATCATGCTGTTTTGTATAATTCTTGTCCTCGAGTCATCTGAGTTCTAGCTGTGACTTGTGTTGAGCGATCTTAGATTCCTCGCGTACTATAATAACATTGTAAAACTTCGCATTTTCTTAGACGAGAGAAAATGAAAAAAGAGAGGGAGTGCCCAAAATAGAGGACTGCGACACCCCGGTTGATCATTAACCCGCTTTGCTTGGACATGAGACCCGTGTGACTTGATATTACCTGTCACCTTTTACGCATACAACAAAGTTTTAGCCACTTCAGGAGCAGTAATAAGGAATCTTGATTGTATGCATGGACCAGAACTGGGAGGGTACCGGTACTAGAAGGGGTGGGAAAGTAAGGGTTTCGACAAAAAAGGTAGAATTATCGATAAAAAAGGTAGAAGTAGAGGAAACGCAAAAGGTAGAAATCGAGAAAAGTAGGAGCCTTAGAGAACCAAAAAAGGTGGAAAAAAGGTAGAAAAAGACGCAAAAGGGGCTTGGCAGGAGGTCGCAGCAAAAGGACGAAGGGCAACTTCTACAGAAAGAAGGGCTTGTCCATCTTACTTGCATATGCACGCACACTGGGGGGGGGCGGGGGGATCGCAAAGGGAGGGAGCGCGCCGCAAAGCTCCTGCTGCGGGGGGGGGGGGCGGGGGGGGCGCAAATGGCGGAAGCGCGCCGCGAAGCTCCTGCTGCCTGGCAGTTGCCCGCGCGCCTGCCTCTGGCGGGTGCGAGGTACTGCGGCAAGAGCGGGAGAACATAGAGAAACGGAAGGTGCAGCAAGATGCGCCAAGCCTGAGGGACCGGCCGCAGCTTGGTGGCAATCCTGCCAGGACACTGCGCGGCCAAGCGCGCGCGGCTTCCCACCGGGCCCGGGCGCGCATTGCACAAGCCACCGGGGCGCTGCGTTGGCAGTGAGTGGGGTGGAAGGAGCAGCCTACAAGAAGGGCCAAGGTGAGGCCCCCTATTTTCCGGGCCCCTTCTGATACCGCGGCCCCAGTTTTTCCCGGGGCCATGTTGGCCCCAGTATTTCCGGGGACCCCGCCAGAACTATAAGGAACCCCGCGGAAAAATAAGGACCCGGGATTTTTGCGGCCCCGGTCCGATTAAAGGGGGAAAAGCACCGGGGCCCTTATAATACAGGGGGCCCAGTTTTTCCGGTCCATGTGCATGCACTCGGGGTCTTGTGAGGCTATTCTCCATTCGTCCCACTTCTCAATCTTTGTCGAATTTCATTCTTTGTGTTCAGCACGAATTTATGTATTGCGATTATAATTTCTCTTTGCAATCACTTATATACATACTTAACTGTCACACACCACCAGGCGACCAGTTAGAGCCAATCTATGGCCCTACTGGCGTTCCCCCGCTGTGGTTCGCGCAAAAAAATACAGTATAACGTGAAAACTGTTTGGCCTTGTCCTCTTGGAGATTAAGAAAGCTCGTTTGCAACATTAGGATCAACATTATCTCGGTTATTTGATCTCTTGTCGTATAGCCACACGACAGCGCACTCGACCAGTTAGAGCCAGGATACGGCACTACTGGCGTTCGCTCACTGTAGTTCGTATATATACGGTATCACGTCGGGTCAAAGATTTTGTACCCTTGTAGTTATGCTGGAAATTTGGAATGTAGATAACCTAAGTAAAATGTAGATGAACTTTTCCTCGTTCCCGCGTGGAGCGATTTACTACTTGGCCACCCGGTGCGGATGCATGAGACCCTAAGGCTTCGCTCGCAGAATCGTTGGAGTTCTTGTCAAGTAATGTATTACATTTTTTCATAAACAACTACAAAAAAGTTTCGGAATTTTGATCTTCAGGGAGACTGACCGTAACCATGAACAACAAAGTGTGACGTGATATTGAACATTCAGTATGCTCTACATAAGGATTTATTTTTTTCAATCAACTCTAACCTAGGGCTTCCTTTTTTCTTGAAAAGTAATACCAGATTCTGTTCGAAGATAGGATCAGAGGGACTAACATGACATTAGGTGACAATCAATGTACATCTAGTGGTAGTGGCCTCGTGCTGGCCGTCCCCATTCCATCTGCTGTTTTCATCATTCCTCGCACTCGTACTTGTGGTGAAAAAGTAGAGCAAGGATGATGGGACTTGGATGGCTGCGAGCTAGTGTGACAACACCCTAAAATATTAGTAAGGCTAGGTACTACGGTGAGCATGCACCCCGAGGCGTAGTACCTGATGCCTGTCCTACCTTAGTGTGAGCACTCTTATTTCTGGGCACTTCCCCCAAAGAGACCCCACGCGCAGAAGCAGATAACCCCTAAGTAAAGCGATAAAATAATTTTGAATAATTGAGACACTTCAACAATCATCCATACTTAAGTAGACTGATAATTGTTTTTCCAAAAATGATTGCTACCGGCCGTGTTAATCCGATCGAGGTTTTCACAACGATTGCCGTCGTGCTTAATCGTTTGCGTAGTTTAAGATGCCTGGCCGTCGTGCTTCAGGCTTCTCGCGGGGTGGAAGTATATAAGTATACGAGAATAGTAGACCCAGGTAGCAAAAAAGAAAAGCCGCGTTGGTGGCAGCGTGAATGAAGGAATAAATATGATCTTAGGAAGATGACACTCAAATCACCGCACAAATCATGGCGCATCATCTGATCTGTCATGAGCTCTCCGATTTTCCTCACCCGTATGATTGTCATGGCCTTTTCTTCACTCAGTGTTGCGCTTGCTTGAAGTGTTGTAGTTTTAGGTTCCCTTAGAGTAGATCTATCGTTACCTCAAGTTGAGCAGGCTATTTGTACTTTAATTCTTTTCGCAGATTCTTTTTTTGGTACATGTAGCACGCAAGTAACTACGTACTGGTAATATAAGCGGAAGTTGTCCTCCAGGCGCAAGAACTACGACGACGTTCTGTGTTCTTCCGAGCAAACAACGAGAGTTCTTACTCCAAGAATGATGTGGCGTGTTCTTCAGAGACAATGAGAGCGCTTCAACTAAGATGTCGAAGAAATTTCGGCGATATCTTTCTGCATGTTGACGTTTGTTATCGTATCTCTCGGTCGCGAGTTACTGCTGAGAGAGCATTTGTTTCGCCTCAACTTCTCGGTGTCCGTTGCAATCGTTCTCCTTTTACATTTTTGCCCACCATATTTAGATTCAGCGGAAAATAAGCGTGCACCGCGCATCCGACGTGGACTGTGATTCCGAGCAGATCTGCACTATAACTCTCGTGAAGTCGGTGCACAGTTGTAGTTTTTTGACCGTTGTGATACGGTTTCCTTGCTCCCCCGGTATGTAAGTTTTTAAGTGGGGTTATTTAAGTATTTGAATGGGAGGCAGCATGTAGTCCTATGGAAAAAAAAAATATGGAAAAAAAAACACATGGCATTCTGTTTCTGACATGATCGAGGTCCCTGAACTTGAACTTCAACTTGTGCACATTCGTGCGAGCATTGGTTGAGCCTTGAATGTGTTTGGTGTAATATTCTCTCTGAGTCAGTGTTCGTTTGCGACGAGAGTGAGGTTGAGGGATTGAGTGTCTTTGCTGTTGTATGTCGAGGTTAGGCATTAATAAGAATGTTTCCCTTCCTCGCTTCCCCACTCATCCCGCTCATCTCTGCACTTCTGCTATCATGATCATGAGCTTCTATATGAAATCAATTTCCATATCCAGGACGACAAGACTGTGTGTTCTTTCAGCTTTCCCTACTCTAGAATCCTTTGCTCTAACTAAGCATGTCGTGATTCTCGAGCCATTCGTTCTTGATAGCTGTAGTATTGTTGCGTAAGCGTGAAAGGGCGTAAACCTCGTTTATCTCGAGTTTTGACTGTTGAATGCAAGCGAAGCCCAGCAAACTACTAAACGAACTTGATATTTATTACACCATTGTATTAGGGTGTAGGTACATGATTACAATTTCCTCCTGGGAGAAGATAGCTGGAATACATATATGATTCCCGCCAGAGCAGCAGCAGTAAAACACCTTCATTACAGGATTTGATAATTATTAGTATGTGATAATGTAATATACTTTTCCTCTTCTTTTGCCACGGTTCGCAAATAACCTGTTCTCATCCCCAAATATTGTAGACTCATCCGAAAATATCCTCGACATCTATACAACATCAAGAGCAACAGTAGATTGGTAATATTTTGATATCGTCAAGAACGTCATCATCTTCTTTTGTTGCAAGAAATGCCGTCTGTCTTGAGCACGTTGCGTCAGCAATCTGCTACATCGAAAAAGCTACAACAACGCCTGGTCGCGAATGTTCACTCCTTACCAGGATCAGCAGGAGGAGCAACGCCTGCTGCAGGAGCAGGCCTTCGCTCCACCAATGCCGCAACTGTCGTTCCTGCTTTCTACCATGGCCACCACTCGAGGCGAGGAGTCACCACGACCTCCGGCAGTGGAGGCTCTGGTAGCTCCTCACCGCGGTCGTCCGCGGTGGTAACCTCCCTCACGGGTTCGACTCGAAGTGCCTCATCCGCGGCAGCAGTGAATACAAGCAATGTAGTTCTCGAAGCGGGAGTAGTAGAAGCAGACTCTGCGCCAGCCCTTCGAACGGGAACTGGCTCTGCAGTTGCTTTTTCCCTCTCCTCGATGCTGTCCACGACATCCGCTGATCTGGCTTTTACTGACCAGTTTCCGGATAGGTAAAGTGAATACCTTGTCTGCATATAATCTGATGGATATTTTTTATGTAGTTCTAAATCTAATCTGCTGCTCTTGCAAGAAGAGCTTTTGAGCCGTTGAAAGAACGGACGTCGGTCGTACAACCTTATACATAGATCCATAGATTTGCAGATAATTTCAGAGACACCAGATGACAGACTCAGGCTGGACAAATATTTGTGAAGCATAAATATAAATCAGGCACATCGGACCTTCTGACGCAGAAATCGCAGCTATGTGCAACGCAATCGGAGTGGCAGATATGGACGAGTTGATGGAGCAGGCAATTCCCCCGCATATTAGGCGTAGTTTGACGGAAGCTCAGCTAGCCGCTCCGGCAACCCGCAGCGAAACCGAAGTACTGCAGATACTCAAAGACGTGATGTCGCAAAATCAGTCGCGCAAGAATTTCCTGGGTCAAGGATACCATGGCACGCTGACGCCCGCTTGCATCTTGCGAAATCTTCTGGAAAACCCCGCGTGGTACAACATTTTTACTAGAACTTCTAGGAATTCTTTATACATGAACGTGGTAGGTAGTAAAGGCAACATCATCCTCACCGTCTTTTTCTACCTGAGGAGGTGGTAGACTGTCAATCATACTCACAACGCATAAGAACCACCGATGCATACCACAGGTATACGGCATACACGCCATACCAGGCAGAGATTTCGCAGGGGCGGATGGAGTCGCTCGTGAATTACCAAACGCTGGTGACCGAACTGACGAAGATGGAGGTGTCAAATGCGTCTCTTTTGGACGAGGGCTCTGCTGCGGCCGAAGCACTCTCTATGCTGCTACGGGTTAGCAATTTGAAGAAGAAGGATACCTTTTTCATCAGCGACAGTGTACATCCGCAGACAATTCAGACGGTACAGAGCCGTGCCAAGTACATGAATGTGAACATTCTAGTAGCAAAGACGGAGGATTTTGATTTTTCCCGCGAGAATTTGATCGGCGCACTGGTCCAGTACCCGGATACGTTCGGTCACCTCCAGGACTTCTCCAGTGTCGCGGAAACGCTGCACGCGCACAAGGGCCACCTGGTGGTTGCGGCGGACCCGCTAGCGCTGATGGTGTGCAAGCCGCCGGGCGAGATGGGTGCAGACGTAGTGGTCGGAAACATGCAGCGCTTCGGTGTGCCCATGTTCTCCGGGGGACCCTCCGCGGCCTTTTTCGCCACGCACATGAAGAATCTGCGCAAGGTGCCGGGCCGTATCATCGGGGTGAGCCGCGACGCGGAGGGGACGGAGGCCTTCAGACTCACGCTGCAAACCCGAGAACAGCACATTCGCTACGAAAAGGCGACCAGCAACGTGTGCACGAGTCAGGTTTTACTCGCGAACACCAGCGCAATGTACGCGGTCTATCACCAGAAGTCTGGGTTGCAAAAGATAGCCAAACGTGTGCACGGCCTCACCACATTGTTTGCGGATGAGCTTCCGCGGCTGATCGGCGACGCGGCCGTGGTAGACACGTCGCGCCCCTTTTTCGACTCAGTCGTGGTGAACACGCTACCGCGATCCGCAAATGAGGCAGCCGCCCTCATGGCAGAAGCGCATGCCACTAATGTCCGCATTCTTGGTCCCTCGCGAATCTCCGTCTCCTTCGACGAATCGCACAGTCAAGCAGACGTACTGGACCTTGCAAGCCAGCTAGCAGCGATCATCCAGGCACCGTCACACACTACCACCACACTCAATGCGGTCAAGTCGCTTGGTAGCGCCTCGTCGCCGCTGCACTCTAGTGCCGATCTGTTGCGAGCCTTGGAGGCCAGGCACGCGACATTTTCTTCGCCAAGGAGCTCTGGCACAGAAGCATCCATGCACGAGAGCAGCAACTACATGATGGAGATGGAAGGAGAGGCACCAGTCAGGGCGCTACAGAGTTGCATCCCGGAGTCGCTGCAGCGGGACGCCGCCAAGTTTTTGAACCAAAAGATTTTCAACACCATCAATAGCGAAACGGAGATGATGCGCTATCTGCACCGTCTGCAGTCGAAGGACCTGTCCCTTTGCCATAGCATGATTTCGCTCGGCAGCTGCACAATGAAGCTGAACAGCGCTAGCAGCTTGATGCCAATCAGCTGGGACACCGTGGCAAATGTGCATCCCTTTTCGCCAGCTGATAGCGTGCCGGGCTACGCGCGCATGCTGCATGAACTAGAGCAGTTTCTGTGCCGCATCACCGCGTTTGAGGCTTGCTCACTGCAGCCCGCCAGCGGCGCTATGGGCGAGTACGCGGGCTTGATGGCCATTCGTCGCTACCACGAGTCGCGCGGCGACGCGCAGCGCAACGTCTGCATTATTCCGCGATCGGCGCACGGAACCAACCCAGCCTCCGCCGCCATGATCGGGATGGAGGTCAAGTGGATTGATGATTCCAAGGGCACCCTGGACGTCGAGGAGCTCACCGCACTGGCCGCGGAGTACAAGGACCGCTTGGCCGCACTGATGATCACGTATCCGAGCACTCAGGGCGTCTTCGAGGAGGAAATTGTGCGGATCTGCAGCGCGATTCACAACAACGGTGGCATGGTCTATATGGACGGAGCAAACATGAACGCTCACCTAGGCCTCACGGCGCCGGGAGTCATCGGGGCCGACGTTTGTCATCTAAACTTACACAAAACCTTCTCGATTCCTCATGGCGGTGGAGGACCAGGTAATATAATAACTCTACTTTTCTCTTGAAATTTTTACTTCAATCAATCAATGTTGACCTCAGTGTCAGTGCATGACTCGTTGTACAACTATCTGCGTCTGCAGTTTTTCAAATTCGAAGATACTGCAGCTCATTCGTAATCTAATCTTGTATAATCTTTACTGACCACCTACTCCTACCTAGGTATGGGACCGATCTGCTGCAACAGCAAATTGGCACCGTTCTTGCCGGGACATTTCAAGCTAGGCGATGCGGAAGGGGCGGTCCAGAATGCTCCGTATGGACAAGCTGGAATCGCTGCAATTCCGTGGATGTTTATTGCGATGCTGGGTGCACAAGGGCTCCGTCGGTCTGCCGAGGTTTCCATTTTGAACGCCAACTACCTGAAGGAGAAGCTCGCGGCGCACTACCAGATTGCGAAGAGCAACAAAAATGACCGCTGCTCGCACGAGTTTATCCTGGACGTGGGGGACTTGAAAAAGAAGACGGGCATAACGGAGGAAGACATTGCGAAGCGCCTGCAAGATTACGGTTACCACGCGCCGACCATGAGCTGGCCGAAGCCGCACTCCCTGATGATCGAGCCCACGGAAAGCGAGGACCAGAGGGAGCTGGATCGGTTTCTGGAAGCGCTGATCCAGATCCGAGAGGAGATTCGCAAAGTCGAGTCCGGTGATTGGAGCATTGAGGACAACCCCTTGAAGAACGCGCCGCACCCGCAGAGCCGAGTTTGCGCCTCCGAATGGCACCACGGCTACACGCGAGAAACAGCGGCTTTCCCACTTCCCTACATCGCAGAGAGGGGAAAAATTTGGCCGGCCTGTGGCCGGGTCTCAAACTCCTATGGAGATAAGAATATCAAGGTTACGCATACACAATGAGCAGAACGAGAATTTGGAGAAAGGCAAGATTAAAAGCAGGAGAAAAAGTAGAAGGCTGACCCTGCTGTCGTCCTAATCTGTATGAAAGAAATTCATATGATTAGTTAAGTATACTTGCAGGTCGAAAAGATACAAGGTTTGTTCAATGCAATAGCGATTAATTATACCATAGATTTCACAACGACAACATTCGACACAACTAAAACCGATTGATGCACAGCAGTAGTTTAGAATTCTAAAATATACAAATACATGTGATTCATTATGTGATGCCACGGCTCCTCATCCTAGAGAATGTTGAGACTGGTTTCGCCAGCTTCCGTTCTATAAGGGAAGGGGGCTCAATTTCGGGTAAGATTAGTTATAAGCACTTCCTTGCACGTGCTTCAGCTTGTTTCATTGGGCTCCATTTTTGATGGTAATAAATAGTTAGCATCCATTAGTTGGATCACTCAGACGTGCCTAGAATTACCAAGTTCTTCGACATAGATTGTAGTAAAATGAAACGGAAGAAATTGAATTCACGCTGTCGATCTGACGTAAGATTTTGTATGAACTTCTTTTTCATTATCATTCGCAATGTGCAGGAGACAAGAAAGTTAGCACGCGAAGACAAAGAGAACGAAGGCAAAACGAGAACGCGAAGAACAGAGCACGCAGGTCGTAAAAACGTCAACCAAACCCGGCCGCGCCTCACCGCCAGGCGCTACCTACGCACAGTCGCCGCCTCCTGCACACCTCGCCCGACATGCCATAAAAGCTGGCGGAGACTGTGGCGACTAGACACGCCATAGTCGACCGCAATGACGCCCATAGCATAACACACACGGAGCACAAAGAAACCCGGCGGGATCGTACGCGTCGCCCGGAGCGCATCGAAACAAACAAACAAAAAAGATCTTTTATTATTTCGTTGGTTTTACAAGAAGTAGAAGCAAGTCTGTGCGTAGTCTCTGTAATGAATGAAAGAGATAAACTCGTCTCAGGGCACTAAGCTAAGTCGGACCCCTTCCAGAACTTACTTCTACCTCTTAGGAGGATGCACAGTAGAAGTAGCATCCTTCCAGAATTACGACGTTGTAAGTATCCATGATGACGTGCCTTCGCCCCGTCCAGCGAACATGATAGCGCCTGACTTTTTATCGTCCAGATCGGAAGTCACTGTAACTCTCTGTCTAAGACTCTTATATATAATATGCTGAACTCAACTTTTTTCAATAATGACTCACACTTAATATTTCGCTGCTACCATCATGTTTGCTTGTTATCGTCTGTGTAGTGGTTGTGAATATATTGTATATAATAGATTGTTCGGTCAGACGCTTTTCAACCAGAGCTCCGAGTGGAGACCAACGCACAAAAACCCGCCGAGCTCGCAGGCTTTGTCCGGACCGCTTCGAAACAAACAAACAAGTAACGCTGAGAAAGTAAAAGAGAACTACTATATGCGATTTATTGTCCTCGTCAACAGCATGATGAGCATGTCATGACGTAGTCGCTTCGGATACTGACTCTGCTGGTCGTGCGCTTCGTCGCTGATTAGCGTCGTGTCTATGTTGCGGATATATCTGCTGTACAGGTTAGACTTAGAGTTCTGAGGTTGTCTGTGAGTTCATCACTCATTTTCCCATTCCACCTCGAGTAGTCGATCAAACAATTGGTTAGCAATGTCCCGATTATGAACGGACTTTCATTCATTTCTTCTCCTAAAGATAATATATTCAAAGATATGTGATATGATTAAAGATGAGCTGTTTTTTTCTTATCTTAATTAATAGCAAGAAACCACCTAAGAACTAGAGTATTAACAATCCTCACAAAAGAACGAAAATGAACACTGAACGGATTAGAAGAACAAGACAAAGAACTGTGACTCGTCACTGAGTGACTGACACTGACGCCAGGCAGGGGGTCGTTGGCTTCGTCAGTGGGATTTTCCGACTGAGCTGTATCCATTGATTACGCAATCGCGATATGTCTTTTTGGGATCTTTCCGTCGTTTCGAGTACACACTTTTATGCTGTGGTACTGGTAGAAATTCTAGTATCCACACAAGTTATAATGAAGGATTTGCGTTGCTGATCCTAATTCGTCGTGAAATAGATGAAGATGTTTTGGTACCAACTTTACATAGCATGAAAAGCGTGTGTAGACGATTACGGGAGACGTAGCTGCTATATCTATGTACCAGTTCCTTCTGAAATTATTCTTACTTGTGCCATGCCTGTGTATGTCTTGAGTACTTCGTTCATCCTCATCTATAAGCTTGCTTGAGACAAGAATTGTCTTCGCAGAGATGCCTGTATGCTAATCGAGTTATCGTCTTTATATCGACCCTCTCATTGTTGATAACAAATACTATCATCAAGAGTAATATCCGAATTTTCATCTGGATGACGCCAGAGTGATTACCTTGGTCATAGTTACAAGAGCGAATTCGACCGAAACACGGAAGATACATCGCACATCGCATCTTTTCGCTCCCGTTCACGGCTTAACTTTGATTTTTTGTGTCAACACGAAGTAAACAAACGAATTCAAGCAAAGAACAAAAATAACATGACAACTACCGAAGTGATTATCATGACCTCTCTGAAAATCGAAGATCCAGAACCGATGACAGGGGTTCTAAAGATTGCCATTCCGCTTCTCATGAATCGACTTCCTCCGCCGGCGAGAAAGAGGTGTTCTCTCTGTGTGTTCCTGCTTGTTCTTCGATTCGGAATCAAAATGATGCTCCGCTTGTGACATGAGGACAGCAATTGTCCCAATTGTCTATCCTTGACCATTATGATGTCTTTACCTTTAGGCTCTCTTAATTTTAGCGTCCTGCAGCTGAAGACCTCGCGCCGCTTGAATAAAAACATGTTTGATTCAATTTCCTGCTTCAGTTCTTGTCATTCATTTCTACCCTTGACGGCGCACAAGACAGTCTATGACGTCTTTGGAAATCTCCAAGCATTGCTGTTGCAGTTGAAGTTCCTAACTCAGACAATCCATAGGTGCGCTAGTGCCTAATCATCGAACCTCAAGGTGTTTAAAGAATTGATTGGTTTCACAGTACCATGAAGAGAGACGAAATTTATGATTTTTTCGATTTGACATCAAGAATTCTTGATTTGAGCTTGAGGTAACTAAAAGCCATTTCACCAAGTGTAAACAGAACCAAGTTGTTCTTATTTATAAGTACTGCAAGACCGAACTATTGTTATACACTTCGCGTCGTAAATCAGGACCTGTGAAGATTCATTCATCATTCTTTCATTCGCGATATTATAAGTTGCTCATAATCTTCGTCAAGATGGACGAGCAGGCAGCACACGGTAGCGACAACAACGGCTACGCCGATGTTGTCGGCCTGGTGGAGAAGAATCATCGCTGGTGGGCGGCGCAGATGGAGCGACAGAAGGCACGCGAAGCATCAAGGAAAGTTCTGAAAAACCTGGGAAGTTCTGACGTGCTCGATTACATCTTATCGGTCGAGGAGCTCGAACTGTTTGGCTTCTTGACAGCTGAAACAAGCGGTCATGCTTGCCAGGTTGTAAAGGACGACTTTAGAAAATGTGTAGAGAAATATCGGCTTCTTTCGTTGTCGTGTCGGTTCGATGGCGACAGCTGTAACGAAGGTCGTTTTGTTTTGGTCGAACCAGAAAAGCTAGAGGTGGTTTACGACACCCTCTTCTTCGTTAATGAAGATTCTTCAGCTGATGGCGATTCCGCGAGTTTTGCTGGTGCCCACGAAGAAGAACCTGGATTGAGTGTCAACAACTCGTCGACGAAAACACTCGCGCAAATCAGACGCGACTTGCGAGACCTCTTTGTCGGCCCTGAAACAATTCTTTGCGGCCACAATTTTGGTAGTGCTTTCCGGGCTTTGAAATTAATGGAGGACGACGTGACTTTTGCCGCCTTGCCGATATTGCCAAGGATCATCGATACCATCGCTCTGTTTCCGCATCCGCTTGGTCTACCAGCGCGGAAGTCGTTGGAGGAGATATCAGCTCATGCACTACATCGCGCTCTTCCTGCGGGAGACAAAGGTGTGTGCGAAGCTCGCGCAGTCATGGAAATCGTCCTACGGAAAGTCGCCAGTCGTACCGGCAAATTGGTTGCGACTGCGTCCTCAGATGAGTTTAAAAACGAGAATATTCCCACAATCGACGGAACAAGCTTCAATCTTGATGCGACCGAAGGGCTGGTCGTACTCAAAGATGCGACGACTAACATTGGACAAGAGGAACATGCCACTACTTTATCTGACAAGGTAGAACATGAAAAGCAAAAGCCGCGACCCGTTCTACTCGGGAATGAGGCGCCGCAACTCGAGGATCTTCTCGAAACTTTGGGTTTGCCCTCAGACCTGGTTCGGTGCGTCTACTTGCGTGGGTCACGCGCGGTTGGCACTGCCGGTACTGGAAAACTGAAATCCGATGGAAGCGTTGAAGACCTGGTGTCCGATTGGGACTTTGTTGTGGTATTAGACGACGATCAACGCAAAATTGACAACCTCTCTGCCTCTTGCAAGAGGTTGGCGTCTCCTGCCTTCTTTGATGCACGCGCGGAAAAAACCTGTCTGTTTTTGGGTCGTAGTTCTTCTAATGATTATAATCACGATGTTGATGACGGTGAACAGTTATGTGGTCATGGACATACATCGACCCTTGATGTTCCGTTCAGGATCGAAGACCAAGTTCTCACGTGTGGCAACATCGATGCTTGTTTGTATGACGTAACGAGCTTCGCAATGCTGTGTCGCGAGAATGCGATGCAGGCGGCCGAGGCGATTTGGAGTCCTGTCGTTTTGAAAGAGGACATCGATTTTCGTGCACTTTTCGACGTGGACGCGACTCGTTTGCGAGCCTCTGTGCGCTATGAAGTCCAGCTGTGCCAGCGACAGGCCTTCCGGCGTGCAAAGCATGAGAACAACCTGTATCAAACGGCAAAAAAGATCTTCGTCGCTTCACGCTTCTTGGAGTACGGTCGTCAATTATTGGAATTCGGGGAGATCCGGGACTATCATGCTGCGAACGGATTGTGGGAGGAAATCAAGGCAAATCCACTCGACACGTATGAATCGTACATTGAGCGGTATCTACCGCGTTTACGAGCGAAAGAGTTGGACTTTCTTGCGGCTGCACCATGGGAGCAGGCGGATCATGATGACCTCTATGATCTTATGGCCACTCGTTGTTCTGCAGGGGAAGCCTTCCTCAATGCTCGCGGAAACGAATCTGATAGAAGCTGGTGGGCGAATGACATGAATATCATATTTAACAATGGTGGCGCACCAGTGGAGAAAGAGATTGAGGTTGCGCTTGCTATAGCGGCTACAGGGGATCATGTTCACGGTACGTCATCTAAGCCTAACAATCATGAAAACGAGGACAGCGTGACTACCGCATCGGGTGGTCCGTCTACCACTACTGCCGTTGACGTGGATCCTGACTGCTCGACAGTACTCTCGGGCTGCTCCGAAAGCGCTACTGTCGATCATAAGAAAATAGACCAATTGGGGCATCGCCATGTGTTGGAAACAGTCAATTATATGCGCAGGTTCGTTCCCGTGAACAGTTGCAATGCCACTGTTGAAGATAAAGACGCGGGCAATTCTGATGACCCTGGTTTTTCTGAGGACGCAAGTACTACCAAGGACGACGTGCCGAATGATACGTCCAGTAAGAAAGCCTTGACTCGGGTAAAGCTTGCTGAAATGTGCCGTCTTTTTGGGCTGCAGACGAGACGGCACCGCGACCATCCGAACTTGGTGCACTTCCACTACGTTAGTAGTGCAGCCGCCGACTCGAACTCGACTCCGTCGTTCTTCTCAAAGTCGGAAAATAGATCTTCGCGTGGTGCGAAGAAAAAAGTGTTTGATGCGCACATCCACGCAAGTCGGATAGCACAGGAGTGCAGAGGACTGATTCTGGACGAAGACGACGACTGGAATGTGGTAGCCTTCCCCTACGTGAAATTTCTGGACTATGGCGATCGTGGGGAAGCAGTTAACGTAATCCGCAAAAACATGGATGCGCGCTTGCGGCGGATGAGAAGCGATCTGCCAGATCCTTGTTCAAATCCTCCCACTGCGAGTGTAAACCGCATCCAAGGAATGGCACCTTCTTCGATGAACGTAAAGGTCTACCCAAAGCTGGACGGGAGCATCGCTACGTTGTACTGGTATAAAGACAATTGGCACGTCGCCTCTGCAGGGCTGCCCGACGGAAGTGGGGGCATGCGGCCGAAAGGAATAACTTTCGCGGAGCTTTTCTGGAAAATTTGGGCAGAGAAGAGCTACGAATGGCCCAAGGTCCCGCGGGAAGTAGACTCTCGCAGCAAAGCTGCTCACACAGATTACGCTCACGACCACGACGACAATCCACTGTCTTGTTACGTTTTCGAAATGATTAGCGTCGACAATCTAAATGTGGTTACCTATGCCGAAAACGATCTGGTTTTGCATGGTGTGCGACGTTTATCTGGTAAGAAATGGCTGGAGGAAGAGTCTCCGGAGGTTGCGGGGGAAAAATTTGGTTGGAATTACGTAAAGCCGCTATCACTGAAGGATCTCATGGAAATAGAGGAGAAGAAAACGAACGATGTTGCTCTGCTGAAAGTGGAAAATGCGAGCAGCTGCTGCGCAAAAAAAGATGAAGAGACCATGACCCTGGACCGGTTGTGCAAAATTTGCAACGAAAACTGCGGGCCTCCGTCAGTCCACGAAGGCTTCGTGCTCTGCGACGAGAATTTCAGCCGGCTCAAGGTGAAGTCGAGTGCCTACGTGCGCATGTCGTGGTTGCTGAATGGTTTGGACGAGGTTAGCAACGATAGGAGGGCTCTTAAGACGAGAGGCCACGATGGGAAACTACGCAGAGGTCTTGGGCTGCATGCTCAGATTCAGGGCCGCTCCTGCGATTTGACGGACCGCAAGATGCTGCACATCATTCGCGCAGGACAGATGCACAATTTTTTGGCCTACTGTCCGGAATTCACGCCGCATTTTCGGAGATTGGAGGAACGCTTTCGGCTGTTGTGCAAGCATGTGGACAGAGAATTTTGGCGAAATTTTGTGCGCACTGCTGGCTGTCGCGCGGTCTTAAAGAAGCGACACGCTTTCAGTGCCGTGCTACAGCGCCGTAAATACAGTCGAGAGATGACTGCGACGATGTGGGCTATGCGCGAAGCGAATTTCTGGCTGTGCAACGGTCATGACGAATGGGACTACGATCCTGAGGAATTCTACGATCCCTATCTAGAATACGATGACTTCGTTTGCGGGCAACCAAGAGACACTGGTAGAAATAATACTGGCGCACTCACTTCTGGTGCAGGAGCTGGAAGTGCTTCGAGAGGTGGAGGATCACGAGGTGGAGCAGAGGAAGGACCACCCAGATTCGAGGACGCCTCAGAGCAGGAAGAACCTTCCACTCCTGAAGATGACGGTGAGGACAACAAACGCGAGCGGGATGCGGACGAGAGGCATGAAGGTGATGGAATGACCGGTGATGCTGAGTCGTGCGACGAGACGGGAGACTCTGAAGCTGGATCCTGCACAAGCAACACGAAGTCCATGAATAGTGAGGGTGACGAAAAGCCTGGTCTCGAGCAGGTGGATCACGCTTCAGATGTTCTCTCCGTTTTTTCTCCTAACGACGCTGAAGGAACCGAGGACAGCTACGTGATGCTCTCTTCGCATCCAAGCCTTGCTATGGTGGGAGACTCTGGCAGCGTTGCTGCTTTAATAGCGCCTTCGACAGAGTCAGGAGCCCAGTCTTTCCCGCTTTCGTTGGGGGGTCTCACATGCAGTTCGATCGAGACTGAAGAAATCCTTATTGTCAATGGTCCTCACCCGGATGCTCCACAGCAGGAGGGAAACGCAGTAGCTTCATCACCAATTCTGACGCCGTGTTCATCCAAGAACTCTGGCAGTCCTGTTCTTTTCGATACACCGGGGAGCTGCTCCTTGATCGAAATTGAGGGTGTCTTCGAAGTCGATTCTTCATCGGAAGCTGAACAAGGGTCGCCGACGCCGACTCCATCGGCGCGGAGCGAGACGCCATCATCTTCGGTTCCAAGCAACGACCTGCGCGGATCTGGCATGCGTAATCTCGCATGGCAAAACGCGTGTGCGTTTCGGCGTTCACGTTCTGTTGGCAGGAGCAGTTCTATCGCTACAAAGAAGAAGAACACTACGACAAGGTGCAAGAAGCACAAGAAATCGAGGAAGATGCAGAGCAAGAAGTGGTTGCGGAAGCTTGGCCGTGGGCGTGGTACAAAGGCCTTCGTCGTTTATCGGATGCGCAAGCCCAAAAATAAGCTGAAGCTGCGTGCTCGCACCGTGTGTGCCCGCAGAGTTGCCGCGGGAAAGGATAAGCGATTGCGGCACGCGCATGATGTCAAAAGGTTCCCGAAGGAAAAGGAACTCGACCTGATATCGGTTGCGGATTCGAGGAATCCCGAACCAGACAGAGCAGAGGAAGGACCGCTGCGCGGCCAGGAGTATTTCAGGAACGTGTTTTGGCGTTCGTGGCATCCAAGAACCAGACGTCTGATCATGGATGCAGAGGCCTATTTGAGCCGCAGGGCCCTCATCCGCGACGTCGAAAGGTTGCTGGCGTCTGAATTGGCTGCCTACATGAACCTCAGAGACCCAGGAGCTGCGCGACACCTTGAAATGTTGAACAACCGCACGGATGATTTTATCTGGTCGGAAAATAGTACGTCGGCACACGTTCCAGGATTACCGTCGGATTGCCGTCCGCCTATGACTGACTCCGTTGCAGCAGTCGTTCGGTCCACAGAAGAATTACTTCTAGGGGGAGACGAGGCGAACGACACTGGTGAAGATAGAGATGGGGTGAAAAGGCCTGAAAACACAACTGCACTGGAAGATGACCATCGTGTAGCCGATCATACTTTGGATACTATCACAGATGCTACTCCTCCAGATCCCACGAAAGATGAAAAAAATCTGCTGGACGATGAGGTCAAGGGCGACAACAAGTCCGCAAGTGGAGTCTCCTTTGCAGTGGCGCCGCATCATAGTCGTAGAAACAACCAACCCGACAGTCGCGCGAATTATTCTCCTTTTATGCTGCACAACAGGCGACCTAGATCGCGCATTCATATGCACCAGCGCAAAATCTTCGAAACGGTGATGGCTATTCAGGACGAGGAGAATGCGAGAAGTGCTGACAATCGGAGCGCTTTTCTCGATGATGACGCTGAACTTAAAAAAGATGACAAGGACGAAACAACAGCAACAAAACGTGATAACAAGGACGACCTTGCACACGATGGTTTGATGTTGAGACCCTCCATGTTCGACAATGTGGTGAATCGGCATGCGCAAGGGTCGTGCCACGCATTGGACCTGTTCGAAAATGCTTTGGAGACGAATCGTCCGCCTTTTTTTCTGCCGAAGCGTCTCAAGCTGGATATTCAGAGGCATTTGAGACCTCATTTCGAGCGCACGTACTTTAGTTGCTACGGTTGTTGTCGGGAGATCGTTGACGAGCCTCCTCACCCCGTGTACCTGTACTCGTGTCAGCGCTGCGGAGAGAAATTCGAGCGCAACAGGCACCTTTCGCGGGACTTGAGCGGTCACGTGGCACTAGTCACTGGTGGGCGCACGAAACTGGGCCACCAGTGCGCACTGAAGCTTCTCCGCGCTGGCGCGACGGTGGTAGCAACGACGCGCAACAAAAAAGGTGCAGAGGAGCTCTTCAGCGGTTACCGCGATTTCCCCGTCTTCGCAAAGCGGCTTGTCATAGTGGACTGCGATTTCGATACTCCGAACCTTAGGGGCGAGTTTGAGACAATGAGAGACACCATGATGAAAAGTCATGGTATCCACAGACTAGATATTTTGATCAATTGCGCGGCGCAGACTATCAGGGCGCGTGACAAAGCGGACGATGTGTTGAAAAAATGTGCAGAAAACTCTTCGACGGAAATCACAGCAGAACGTCTACCTGTGGGTTCAGATGCGTTGACTATGCGCATGCTCTTTGGTTTGCTTTTTGCGCACATCCGCGTTTCATGTTGCCTCTATTTTGCCTCGATGTTGGGGCATTTGCGGAAAGTGCTTTGCCGCTTTTTTTCCTTGACATCCAAGCGCACCACTGAAACAACGACATCTCACGTTTCACCAGGAGAACATGATGTGAACGAAAAAGTGCTGCGATTTAATGGGCAGGAAGAGAAGATGGGAAACAACAGATACGGCGACAGTAAATTCGTGTCTAATTCGTGTACCAACAGCTGGCAAATGCGCTTGGCCGACATGGAGCAGGGCGAGATGGAGGAAGTGCTGAGAATCAATGCTGTTGCGCCAGTTTTGTTGGTGCAAACGTTTATGGACATGCTGCAAGCGTCAGCAGAGACGCCGTTTATTATCAATGTGCACGCAAGAGAAGGACTACTCGAAGTACACAAGGATGATCTCCACCTACACACGAACATGGCGAAGGCAGCGCTGCACATGGTCACTAAGTGCCTGGCGCAGTGCAGCCGCCAGTCTCGTGTGCCCACTGAAGACAGCGCCGCGTCTAAAAACGAATTCTTGAACTCAAGAACGGTGCTGCGGACTGATAGGAAGAAGATAACGGAAGCGGAAGACGCAATGGACACGTCGATGTCTTGTTCATCAAATTCTGGTTCTTGTGCGGCCTGGAACAGTACTGGAATGCCCGTTTTGGAGAACAATGTTAAACTTACGTCGAAGCCCTTTTCTGTCCATGGGGTAGATCCCGGATGGATCTCGGTTGACGAGTATTATGAGGATTCGCGCCCCTGGGTGGTGCCGCCGCTTGATGAGGTCGACGGAGCCGCGAGAATTTTGTATCCTGTTTGGAAGAAGTTGCCAAGCCAGGAGAGAACACGCAGGCACTTTGACCACCAGTTGCTCTACTGAATCGGTGTGGTGAACTTTCTTGTGAATATTGAACGGCAAATTATTATTTTTATTGTTGTGTAAGTAAGAAAATGAGGATAGGATCATACAATGAAAAGACTTGCATTGCTTTAAAAGAGGCACCATGACATGACATAGGACTTTTTTCGCTAGGAAATAAGAGGGTCGTCCATCCCATGCGGGGATATCTATATCAAAAATGTTGTAAAGATTCATTTTTCGAATTCACGTTGTAGATGTAATTGTACGTAAATGATCGTGATGAAGATTCTCAACCGTTCTTGTTCTTGCTGTCATAATTCTTGATTGATATGCACAGGGTGGATCAAAGAGACTCAATCCAACGCCACGAACTGAATCTGTATACAGTTTAATGAACACCTAGAAACTTCTGCAGCTGCACTCAGCATCGTTAATATGAGTTTCGAACTAAATGTAAAAATCAATGATCCTCAACTAAACAGAGTAAGTAGAATGTAAATTTACAATCGAATTACGTGTAGCCCATAATTCTGAATTGGTATGTTATACATAGTTTTCTTTCGGAAATGGATATCAAGTGCACTGGGGGCCGTCGATACTGCAAGCAAAAGAATGCCAATAATGTTATCTCTCTTAATCGATTTTGATATTGATGAATGAATGATAATCGGCGGTTAATATCGTTTCACTGGATCTTGCTATGCATTATCATCACGATTGATGAAAGTCATTGCTCCTCCTTGCTCGAAAGTATCTGTTGTTAGCCTTACTAATAAATAGAAGTGCGAGGCGGTAGGGTCGCGCGCGAACATAATAAGTATAATGATAACAAGATAGTTTTTTTGGATAAACTTTGATTAGCTTTTTCACTGACTTTGATTAGCTTTTTCGTCGAACGATTATGCAATCTAGGTGTGTAGTGCCTAAGTATATGAAATACAGAGTCGAAACATGAATTTTACGCGACAAGAGCCTGTTTTCGACGTACACCGACGTGGCCACAATAAGCTCGTAAAACTGTAGTAAGAAAGCTACGACATCAACGACGCTGAAGTGCAATTGGATGATGTCGGAGGAGACCAGTTCTTTGATGTGGTCCTTGATTTCCCATCTCAGAGCCTCCTTAGAAACCTTTTCTTCCTTGTTGTGGTTTACTAAAAACCTTTCTCTGCTCGCTGTGCGTAGCAATAAAGTGGTCACGTTGTTGCTACTTTCTATTGATGACGCAGTTTGTAAACTTGATAGAAAATATGACAGCGAAACACGAACAAATGGCCGCGCAAGCGGCTGGGAATGTTCGCAATCTTTGGAATGACGCATGAGGGCGAGAGAAACGGCTTGGGGTGCAACCAAGACTGGTCGGCAAATCAAAAAGGGGTGCTCGAGTTTGAGAAAAACAAGCTGTACTTCCTAGAGGTCAAAAATAGAGTGAGATCTTGCCTCGCACGTTGTGCGGTACGTGAAAAGTTTCTGTAACAACTAACGGGCTTCGATATTTAAGCTATCAACAGCGCAAGATCCACCAGTTTTATTTGGAGTCCCTTGTGTTGAGCGAAATAATTGATTTTGCACCTGCTCTGTTGGCTACCTCCGTCTGCGATCAGTTGTGGATTAAGTACTCTGGTGAGCATGCACCTCTAGGCTAAGTACTTTCTGCTTGTCCCAACTGATGCGAGCACTCTTTGATAAGGGCGCCACTCCAAAGAGACCCTAGAGGCAGAAGCAGACTCTAACATGACTAAAACAAATTTATCGACGTGAGTACATTAACACATTCGGCCATGAGCCTGCATACTACAATCCTACGCCACGAGCCTGCATACTTCAGCCCACTGATGCCTTAGGATGATGCTCAATTGATCTCATCTGAATCTGCTCATGATGCAATGCCTGAATTCTCAACTTTTTAAGTCCTGATCCCTCCCCATAGTACAAAAAATAGTATTCTACTTGATAAGGTATTATTTGTCACTATGTGCTTTGTTTTGAGTTGCTGTTCTCAACGTTACCTCAAGTAGTGCATACTGCTATTTGGAGTTCAATCGCCAAAGAAGCGAGCTCTTACTTTGCGAGTTTTATTACGAGTAGAATACCTACAACGAATCGCTAAGATGTCGGACGTCACGGAAACGGATACTGTGCCCACTGGCCTGCGTGAGCGAAGATACAGCAACAACTGGGCCTCGTATGATTACCATTGGTATGGGTCGTTATCTAGCAGCCGCAATTAAGTTGAGCCTCGATTCCGTCGCTGGCCGTGCACAAGGAATGGCCAAAGCAGCTATAGCGCTTGGGACAGTCACGCACTCCAGGAATTCGATCCAGTGCCGAAGAGGAGAAGCGACTTCGGAAGCGATGCCGCAGCTGAGGCAGAGTGGGGCCAGATGATCAGCTTCGAAAGATATTCCAAGCTGACCTATCTTGGGATGAAGATCATGGAAGCTGCGCAGATGAAAGAGAAACAGAATAAAACGAAGCAGGTGGTGGATGAAGAAAGGACTCCTAAAAATATAACTACCAGTGACAGCGTCAATGCCTCGCCCAGATGTAGTGGCACCACCTCAACAACGACGAGAACGAGCGACGGTGGTTGTAGTGAAAGCGAAAAGGAAATTCAACGCGGCTGGGAGCAGCGTGATTTCGTGGAAGTGGGAACTTCTTAATACGATAGTTTGGCGCAGTGCTGTTTTCCGCAGCGGCCAGGCGATGCCTCCTCTGCAAGATACTTGACAGGTACGAGCGGGCCGTATGTCACTTGTGAATTCTTGGGGACTCCTTCCGCGCGGAGTGTCTCTATCGAGGTGATACCGGAGAATCTCGAGCAATTGCCGACGTATCCAAATCTGGTCAAGCTTTGCTGCGCCGTGAAAGGGCAAGAGCGTTCCCTTGCGGCAGAACGGAGACTGGAAAAACTGAAGGAGGACTTCCTGAAAGACCGCGTCGTGGTCTACTGGCGAAAATAATGCAACTGGTTCCCAAAGAACTGCGAATCAGACAATCGCTCACTTGTTCAGCAAAAAGATATCGACAGCGAAGAATTCCAGTCGTGGCTGGCTGAACAAGAGTAGGGACATCATCAACAACGTGACTTCTTCTCGGGAGCCGCAGTAGAGTCGCCAGCATCTTCAGCTTCAGCATCACTCCTTGAAATTAGCAGCGTTGAAACGGAAGTGGTAACTCCGGACAGTACAAAAAGAGTGACGAGCCTTGGTTTCCATTCGACACCACTTACGACACCTGGGTCAGCATCTTCGTCTTCTTCGATCACTAGCGAAGAAGAGTCTATTCCTAATGCACAGCCTGCAGTTGCTCCAGGTGACAGCACCTTGTTGGTGGGGCCTGTTGGTGTGCGCTGCCCCTTTAGTTCCTTCCCATACGCGGACGCTGTGGAGAAGTGGAGAGAGCAAATTGGTGAGGAAGACAAGGCCGCAGTCTACCTGTACGGCCTTGACCGGAACGTGATGCAGAGATTGAAAAGCGCGAAGAACCGTGCTGAGCAATGTGAATACCGCGGCAGGCGGCACTGCTTGGATTGTACTTACAAATCTTGGCGGAAAAGTTCTGCTTCTGAGCTGCTCCTCCTTGAACAAGCCCGTAGAATGCATGCTAAAACGCTTGCACGCTTCAAAAATGCTGTATCTCTACAAGCGCTGACCGGTTCCGAGTTTTACATTGTCCGAGATCCTTCTGAATCCCGGAACGACAGCAGCAACAGGAGAAGAAGATCGCACTTTTTATCGGCAACATAGGAGCAGAATCGTCTGCCTCGACTTGCTCAAATTGGATATCGAGGGTAGCGACGTGGACGCGATATGGGAGTTAACACGGAATTCCTTCGATGTCTTGGGCCTAATCTGCATGCCGAGGGTGATAGTCTTCGAAGGGAACCCCAAAACTTGGCACGAAGCACACGGCGCATTGGGGCACCTCTGCGAGTTTTACGGCTACGAAATCGTGGATACCGTGCCCTGGTCGAAGAAAAATTGCCATCCGAAAACAGAGGGAATAGTCTTCGACGTCGCAGTGACACTGCGGGACGAAGTGGCAGAGGCCAGAAAGAAGCTCTGCGACGACGTCTTCGGCCTGTTGGAGTCAAGAAGGGCAAGGCGTCGAGACAAAATAATGGAGTGACATTAAAGTTAAAGCTTAAACTTCATTAACTATGTCAGCTGAGCAACAGAGTCCTTACCTCTACATCAACATTAATTTAACTCTTCCTATTGTGCTTATATATACTATTCAATAGATACATCTTCATCTTTTTTTTATTTTCTCGGACGGCAGTTGCTACTTCAATCAACACCGTTTTACACTTTTGGCTGCTGGGACTACGTCTCCTCGCAGGAAGATTCATAGATACACGATCTTCTGGGTCTTCATTTATCTTAGTGTTAGTGTTGCGCCGATCCCTTCACCGATTTCGCTTGAGCCCGTTGCTTAGTTTAGAAAGTTCTCTGATAATGTTCATGTCTCCTAGATCCATCATGGTTGTTTCGCGCATAGATAGGAAGTTCTGAGAACTCGCCATAGATTTTCTACAAGGCAGGCCACGCCCCTGTCTTCTCTTAGAATTCGTAAGTCCGGGCCACGCCCCCGAATCAAGCCACGGAAATAAATGCTGGTGGACTTGTAGACAAGTAGGCAAAAGAAAAAGACCAACTTGATAGCGTAGGGCATCAACTGAAAAAGATTAATAGATATTTACTTTTCTACTAACTGTAACTTGGTAGAAGATCGAGCTGTGAAGATGTCTGACTCTTCGTAGGTGTTCATCTTCCGAGAATATATTCTTATAGCTCTTCCTGAGTTTTTAGACACATAGAGCACAATGTACCTGGTAGCTAACGTCCGGGGGTTCCTGGTCCCCCATGGTCCCGTCGAAGAAAGCGCGAGCCTAATAGTTATTCTTATTTCAAATTCATCATCAATGGCAGTGGTGCCTGGAGTATCAATCTCGTTTGATTGCAGTGCTGGAATATCAATGTTAACGAGTACGAGTGGCCATGGTGTTCCACCGATGAGGCGAAAGATGAGAGAGCAACAAAGGAGCAGGACCACCGATGTTATGTTCGAATGCTTTCAATGGCTGCAAGGTCATACAGTTTTACGGAAATTGCATAACCTGCGTCGGGAGGTGGATCAGAGTCGGGAACCGAACGCAAGAGGAAAATTATATGACTAGTCAATTTGAGTTTTTAACCATCTAAGTACTTTGATGATGAAATAATCTTGTGAAAGAATCCTAGGTGAGAAAAACCACTGGCAGAACCCGCTTCCTTTCCAGGCTTGGGATTCCAAGAGAAACACTTACCCTGAGATTGGGTACATCTATGTATCTATCTAGGATAGTTAAACACTTGTAGTAACGCTAAAATCGGCACTGCAACGAGCAATGCTGGTAATGCAGGTTAATTCCGACAGCTTGGCTAGCGAGTTGGTAAGGCCTGCTACAGGCTCTACTATTCAAAAGTGGTTGCACATAGAAGGTGTTCTAGATCAAGCAGAGGACGTGGGCGGTGAGAAACCTGTATCTTCCCTTGCTGCTTGTGAATGTAAAACAAAGCATGATGAACCTGGAGGTACTATTCACCTCGGCAAAAGTTATAACGGTCAGCCTCAGCGTGTGCGTGAACAAGAAGCTGTGGTCGGACGTCAGGACGCATGTCCCGCTGGAGCCAGCGAGCCGCGAAGCGCACATGCTGTTAACCGCGAAGATACGAAAATGGGGAGTAGCCAACCAGAGAGATCGAGCGAAAGTGGGTGGTATTACATGGATCCCAAAGCCAAAGGCAATACGCAGGGCCCATTCTCGGCACCAAAGATGAAGGTGTGGTATGAAATAGGCTACATTGGACCGGATCTACCGATACAGTATCGCGATTCGAAGCCGTCCCATTTTGTTCCTTTCGCTAAACTTTTCCCAAAGGGAACGGAACCGTTTGGGACTGCTTATTCGCTCACGTGACGGACCACCAGTGCATTGCACTTCGAAGAACGTCACGAACCACCAACGAACTACTTTAAGAAGAAAGGAAAAATTAAGATTATTTTTTACCAATATTGAAGATTTTTACGATTCTCAGCACGTGAATGATCACTATACGAGTGCAATTACAATTACAATGCCTGAAAACGCAATATGAGTGAATAACATGATTTTGTTTGTCTACCTTGTCTGCGGCTTTGGCTTTGCAGAAAATGAAAGAAATTATCTTGATACAGCCAGGCGATGGATAGGGGCAAAATGTAGAGATGAGGCAGAGGGATCTCGAAATAATCGAGGTCGAAGTTTCGCAAAAACTTTAAAACTACGCTGGAGCAGCAAATTCCAGCACTCTTCCTGAACTTCATTTCTCTCTTGTTCGTAATTGTTCTGCTCCGTCGTAGGTGTGTACTCTAGGCAGTTGTCTGAAGGTAAGTTCCTCCTTTGGTCGTGGCTCGCAGGAATAGTCTTGTTGTAAATGAGTGCAGTGAGTGACTCGTCGCGACGTGGACAATGAATGTCACGCCTCATAGAATGGGAGTTGGCTGGTGATCTGTACCCTATGCATCTGTTGCGAAGATAAATTGGCGGTGGAATATCCCGATCAAAATCGTGAACCTCTGGAATCGGTATCATAATCCATTCTTTTATCTGACTGTATGTGAGAGCCTCTAACTCGATGTTTCCCTCATTTCGCTTTCGTGCGGTGCGATGATGATGTGTAGCGATATTGTGGTCCGCGCAAGTGACTGGGAATGAGTGAGAAAAAAATCTGTGATTAAAGCGTGAGCATTGCTTGAAATTGTTGTGGTGACTGTATACGAGGTCGAGCTGCTTATGCCAATTCATTTTGGCCAACGCGAAGTTACTTAACCAATGATGAACAAGTAAATGTAAAATTCTTGACGTGTCGACGTAAACGTATTGATTGATCGCCTGATGAATCTAGGCCAAGCAGCAACTGCTAGTAAATAACAAGCATACATTTATACGAAGTTGCTTCGCATATGTTCCTTCACCGACAATTATCTTTCAATTCAATAGGGAAAAATCCTCGGTCTAGGGGCGCGGCTGTGAGAGGTAGGGGTGTAGGTGGCATTCCGGGGCAGCAGATTCATGTCGCTAGCTTCATCTTCCCTCCGAAAACCGTAATCAGATGATTATGGCGCTGCGTTGTTCCTTCGAGCTCCTATCGCTGGCAAGTCTTGGGTCTCAATTGCAAAACCACTGACCACATTACTGCGCTAAGATTTCAACCTGGAATTGGCAGTCGCGTTTCACCCTATCCGCCTTGTGGTAGGCGGCCATGACTGCTTTTGATTGGAGCGGATGGAGTGCAACCCGAGACGGAGGGCGGCGGCGCGGCGCGGGCGGCGGCGACGGTGTGGACCTGAAAAGCTTATTCTCCAACGACCGGTGGCGCGCTCAGAACCGCATCCGCACGCGCGATCTGTCGGAAGAGATCTTCGGAAGAGGGAACAAACACTCAGCAGCTGTAGTCGTCAGGTCCCATGAGCCACAGCACCTGACACAATCAGCTGGCCCCAAGCTCCGACGTGGTGGTGGTGCAGAGGTTCCTGGCGCATTCGCAGGCGACTATGCTGCGGACGCAAGCTTTCTCCATATGGTCGGGGGTGCTTTCAACCAGGATGCTTTTTTAGATCATGGCTTTGGTGCCGGAACGTCGCGTTCAATTTTTGGCGGAAGTAGTCGTACGCTCGTGCGGGGACATCGCGGCATATTATCCAATGTGGACGCGATTCAACGCAAATATTTCTTCGTCTCTTCACAGCGAAACTTGGCAACGGGCGAACAACACGCTTCGCAACAAGGTGCTCGGACGAGGTTTGAGTCTGCCGCTGATCGCTTTGACGCAGAAGTCTTCACAACACCTGGAATTTTAGGCGTTAAGGAGGCTTTTCCTATCGAGGAATCGTTTATCAAATCACAGCATGCAAAAGCGCCAGATAGTAGCTCCGCCGACGAGTGGGAGTGCTTTCATGATGGCCATATCAAAGACATAGTCGCTGAAATGTTTGAGCGCCCACGTCAAGGTCTGATGGAATGGAGTGCTTTTGGCGAAGGTGATCCACGCGGCCTCAAAGATGGGCATGACCAAATAGGGGACACCGACACGACTCCAGCATTTGACAGAGCCGTGCGTGCTGCAGGTACTCCCGCTTGTTGGGAAGACAGCGCAGAGCATGCAGGAAACTCCTCGACATTGAGTGCAGACCCTCGACGACCTCCTCCTGCGTCGGAACAAGGCAACAAATTGGCAGCGTTTTTAACGAAAAAGCCGCCTCTTCCATCAAAAAAGCGGCTTGCCACGACAGTTCGCGCAAAAAGTTCGGCCAGGCCGCCTCCGCGTTCTCTTGGGACTGTTCAAAGTCTAGGCCTAGTACGCAAGAGCGAGGATCAGGCGTCCACGGTATTTCGGACAGAGTGTTGATCTATCGTTGGTACATTTGCTCCAAGAAATATATTCAAATTGTACAACATAGGATCTATCAAGGGGGTATTCACCTACTTGTCACACTTTTTGTTTTTATAAATATCTACCTAGGAATATTTGCGATTCTGGGGTCGTTGCGCACAGAGATTCGGGCGCTTGAGATGGAAGATTGTTGATGCATGGCGCTGTCATGCTGACATCAAATCCCAACTTTCAACTTGCCGGAGAGAGTTGAATTGCTTTTTGCAGACTGCAGCGACAGTAACTGGTGACGGAAAGACGCCGACCGACGTCGCTGCCAGGCAGGATTTTCCGCAGGGAAGCCATCAGAAAAAAGGTGATATTAAACAGAACGTCGGCAGAAAATGCTTGCTTCCTGTAATTATCGCTTACGCTTATTATATGATAGGATGTGGATGAGCAGATGAACTACTTCTAGTTCTACTTTATCACACGGGCACCAGCCACAGTAAAAACTGTATTAACTAGTTTTCTAACTACTCACTACAACTACAGAAGCATTATTCTATCATATGTCAGGTTTTTCGTCAAGACAAGCAGGGATTTCATTCCGCGACAGCGACATTGAATTCATCCCAACCGAACAACCATCGTATCGGGGAGTTGAGGATGATCGGGATCTCCTGCCGATCAACCTTGATCGGCTGTTGTCAGAGGATGCGCGTCTGCACTTGGAACGTCAGCAGGATCAGAACGACGCCCCGTTTTTCCGCGACCGCAGTCCTGCGAGCACCCTGAATTTTTCCGAGCTTGCGCTCGCGGCAGCGGACTACGACGCACAACAACAGAATCAGGACGGTGTCATACCGTCTTTCGGAGAGGCTTCCGACTTGCGGTACTTCTTGGGCACACGGGGAGTGCCCGGGGAACCCGCCGTGGAAGTGGCGCGGGCTGTGAGCACTCCTCTCTTCGGGTCCACAGATATGCAGCAAGGATCTCAGGCAGCGGCCGTAACGAGAAGTACTGCTCGAAATGCAGAGGAGGATCGTCTGCAAATGCCGGGTCATCGGCCACCAAAAGGGACGTCCTCCGATGTTGGACATGCGCGAAGAGGTGGAACCGGTCAGCCCGGCTTTAGTACGACTTTCGGTGCAGGCGGCTTGCCGCGTGCGAATCCTGGAGGTGATCCGGATGTCGGTGCAGGATACAATACTGACATTCAGGCGCTTCCCTACGGAGCATCGAATGGCAGCATCTTCTCCACAAGCAATCAACCCCCGTCAAGTTCTTACCGCGCAGGAAACAACGCTACTACACCGCACTACAATTTCACCCAACAGCAGATAGTCGCTGCGTCTTCTGGTCAGCACCAGCCCCTTTCCATCCCAGAACATGGAGCAAACGCGCAAGACCGAGAACAAGACTTTTGGGAACAACCGCGCCTTGACCAGGAGCATGTCGAACAGCTGCCTTTGGTAACGGCAGCAATGGCGATTCCGGAGCAGGCCTTTGTGCTCGAGCGGTTCGGGGATATTATGGTACCAAGCCCGAAGTCCCATACACGGTCGTCGTCTCTAGAGAATAAACAAATGCTTTTGGCAGGACGAGCGTTTGGGATCACTACATCACAAAATAATGCACAGCTCTTGCCACATGGGTCCTCCGCTCAAAAAAGTCCTGCCGACGGAATGGGTGCTCCGAATTCTGTTGGCCACGAACAATTACAGGATGCTCGCCTGCAACGCGAAGCATTGCTCCCTTTCACTAAGGAAGATGAACGAGCCGTCGTCCCTGGCTCAGCGACGCATGGTGGATTCCCGGGTGATGAAGGTGTTGACGGTGTGGCTGCTGTGAGACAAGCACCAGATGAGCCCGTGGAGCGACTTATGGAGCGCGCCAAGCGAGAAGGCTGCGATGGACCGGTGATAGGGATTTTGCAGTCGAGTGACGTACGAGAGGTGCGTGCTTTCCTTAACGAGCTTGCCCTGGCTGTGGCCCCGTCCACGCAAAGCGATTCGGAGCAGACGAAAACTAAGCAGCTTCGAGAGCAAATTACGCCAGCGGTTGCAGCCGTTTCTCTCGCGTTGGTTCGGGAGCATCTTGGCGCGCTCGAGAAACTGCGTGACGTGCGGCACGCACTAAGTAAAGCGCTGCGAACGCGCAATGTCCAGCAGCTGCGCGACGCGCTCGCATTGGCAGAACGACTGGGCAAAGCTTCATCAGAACCACTTGCAGAAGAAGTGGTGAAGGTCCGTGCGGCACTGGGCACTGAGGAGATCCACGAGTCGGCAGTGGCAAACCTGAAGTCACTGGTCGCGGAAGCCCGCGAACAGTTTCTGGACGCTGCACAACGTCTGCCCGCGGAGGAGCTGCAGGCCTTGTCTGAAAGGCTCCAACTCGGCGTCGATTTCTCCATTATCCATATCGTGGACGATGCGGGCAACGACATTTCGGCGGCACGGGAACTGCTATGCCAAGTGGACGCGACGGTGGACCTGCGTGCTGCACTGGCGCGTCTTGAGGATGCTGTTGCTGAAGCCGACTCGGCGGCCGCAGATCAGGATGGAGCGACAGTAGTAGACGCGACTCTTGAGTCTTTTCCGGCTCTTGGCCCTGGAGGCGTCTTGATTGGCTCGCAGCCATCCGCACCCTCTAACAGGCCTGCGGGCGCCATGAGCTTTCGCCAGCAGAAGCTCCAGGCCATGAACGAGAGCCGAATGCCACCACAGCCAGACAAACGACAACAGGCTCTGCGCGCTGTCTCGCACTTGATAGCATGTGCGGAAGCAGAATACCCGGGTAAAAAGGTGCCGCCTGGCGAAATCGATGCGGCAAAGGCTGTCGTGAGGGGAATACAGGACAAAATGTTACAGAACATCACGAACAGTCTAAAAGCGTCGAGCGGTGTAATAGAGACATCGGCGGATCGAAAAGCCGGAGATGAGTACTACTTCTTTGTATTTTCACAGATATTTTCTCAATTGGGTGATCCACCTTGGTATGTAAATATAGTTGTGATACTCGATGCTGTTGTTGTAAATGTAAGTTATTAATAAAAATTAGTACCTCCACTTTCCTATTCATTGATTATGATCCATCGTGATCACAATCACGCCCATTAGTGTATGAAATCGGTATTCTCCCAGGGGCGATAACGTAGTCGCAGCGGCTTCTCGTAATAATGAGCCAACTTCGGTCGTGGGCGAGCGCTTGACGCGCAAAAACGCCAGAGACCTCGCAAGGAAGCGAGACAGTCTCGTTGCGAAAGGAGGGGCGTTGAGCGCAGGCGATCGAATGCTGTTGGGAGAGGTGTTGATGATGCTTGAGCAGTTTGAAAGGTCAAGAACGCGCCATCGAGAGGAGCTGCGCAGCCTTCTGTCAAAAAGAAGTATTAGCAAAAACCGCTTGCAGGAGATCGTGGACGGAGATGAGATCAGCAGTATGGAGTCCGTCATAGTTGCGGCGCGTGGCGTACTGGCGTCGACGGAAATGTCCGCGAATGAGCGGCCGAATATTAACTTTATGACGACCCAAACTGCGGGATCAGCCCTGATGCCGGAAACGAACGCCGCCGCTGGAGAAGGGCCCCTGCTCGTGTCTTCGATAGAAAAGGCTACAAGAGATGCAGCCGCTGCGACAGATAACGCTAGAGCACCGGAACAAGAGGTAGCAGGGCCCGGCTCTGCAGGTGTTGCCACACAAAAGTCTGCATTTACAGAGGACGTTTTAGATGACGGCGAATGGCGCCCTCTAAATGAAAACGATGGTCCGGCGAAGGCTGCAGAACAGGTTGTAGATGCTCAAGGCGAAGATGCGTCGATGGAAGGGCGGCCCCCTCCTGGTACAAGCCCACCACCAGTCGCTGCGATGGGGTCCACGCTTTCAGTCGATCCGGGATCCAGCCCTTCAAAGCGCATCCAGCATTTCTTCCTAACGCCGAATATGCCAGAAGATGGAGCATCGCAACGCTTTGAGTCTTCAGTTGGTCGTGAATATGATCTGATGACCTACTCGCCGTCACCCGGAGGCGGAAGCGGAACTAGCAATCAGGCACAAGGAGAACCGTCCGCGTCATCGCTTGAGCGTGCATTTTCGCCTCATGGAGGTTACCCCGCAGGGTACGCAATGCCGACGCGGCTTTTTCCGGTTGCTGAGGAAAGTCCTGGCCTGCAGATGTCCAAAACGACGGAGCGCGTACCAGAAATAACGGCAGAAACGCCGTTGGTTGCTGAACCTGTTGCAAGGTCCTTACCCCCTGACGCGAGCGTGAGCCAAACTAAGGCACCTGCTCCTGCAGTCGAAACAGGCCAAACTAAGGCACCTGCTCCTGTAGTCGACGATCCGCCTTCTGAAGCACAACAAGCACCAGAGGTACAACCCGATCCAGAGACCAAAACTGAAGTGAGAGTTCGAGAAACCGCTGCCTCAGGGGTAGCTCCTCGTGTTAGTTGTGTTACTGAGAACAAGGAGGCCGAGATTGTTGATGCCTCAAAAACTGCTAAAGATGCATTAGACGTAGCACCAGCGTCATTGTCTTATGTGGATCCAAGTTTTCTCGGGAATGGCGTGCTGCAGAAAGATGCTGGCATAAAAAGAGAACAGGCAGCACCTTTTCCGGCCACAGCTGATGCGGAAGAATTAGCAGCTCCACTGTCGACAAGCATGTTTTTGAAACCACCAACGCCGAGTGCCTTTGATACGAAAGCAGGTGGCGCAGAGCGCCATCCAGCCGCGGCAACAACACCGCTGAAAGAATATTCTCTTTTCAACCAGGCCAAGCGGATTGTGGGTGTGCCCGACAGTGCGTCTGTCAGTGTCGACGCGAGCCCCGAAAAGGGGGAATTGCCACAGGGCCCGCTTTCGTTGATGCTGAATCAACAGTCAGTTGCTGCGGCTGCAGCCTCGCGGATTCCACCCGCGGATACGGGCGCGAATAAAGCACACGTGGTCCTCGGAGGAGTGCAACCAATCGGAGCAGCAGTTATTGTGCGCGATGAAGTCAGCAGTGTAGCCGCATCGCAACTAAGCTCATCGGCGGATGCAGAGGTGCGGAATGAACGACATGGTTCGAAGGAACAACCGATGGAGAAAAGAGGACCTGTTCTTGACGATGTCACGGAAGACTCAAACATGATGCTGAGAACGAACGTGCAGTCACAAGCGGTGCCGCCGGTCACTTCGAGCCCAGCAGGTGATGACCAAGCGAATACCTTCAAGATCAATGAGCAGGAGCCCAATAGCAATCTTGCGCCATTTTTCGCTCCAGCTTCTGAAGAAGAGCCTGCTTTCATCAGTATCTCGGACAAAACGGTGGAAAAGACTACGAAACAACAAAATCAAGACATTTCTGAAGGCATCAAGCCTGTCGTTGTAGAGAAGGACCGCGCGCCAGAACCATTTGTTATGGTGTCACCCTCTAGCAGTATTCCAGAGAAGCAGGAAGCTGTCCACCAAAACACCTCTCCGGCTGCGCAGGTGGTTGAATCAGCCGTCGCGTCCGTTCTGTACGTACCTGTTCCTTTTGTGGAAACTCCTGTGGAGGACGAGCACGTTGAGAAGACTTTTGTTCCAAGTGTGGGAGTTCTTCAGGCGGCTGTCGGGACCGTTGCCGATCAAACTGACGAGCCTGTTTCGAGATCGTCTTCAGGAGGAAATCGCTTGGAAGAAAAAATGGGTGTTAGTTTGGCTGAGGACCAACAAGAACAAAAGGCATGGCAGCAAGATGCTGCTTTTGTGCCAGATACCGCTGCTCTTACCAGCGACACCGCAGCGGACCCTCGTGACCAAGAAACTTCATCTAGCAAGGTTGATCTTGTTACGCTTCCTGAAATGAAGATCGCAGACGATGCTGAGGCTGGATCTTCGTACTCTGACAAAAGAAGGATGGCTGTTGGTGCTTTTGCTTCACCAAATGAAGATCTGAACGCCATCCAGACGGACACCATGATCCTCCAGGGACGAAATGATGTGTCGCTCAGCTCGGCACTGGACCTTGGAATCTCCAAAACTGACGCGCTTTTAAAAAGCCTCCCTCGGCCGAATGAATTGGCAGCTCCTCAAAAAACGGAAGCGGAAGAGACACTTTCTGCGCCTGGGGACGGACGGCCTTCGGATGATTTCAGAACTCTGCAGTTTTCGGAATATCCAGGTTTCTCCACATCCGCATATGGTTACGAGGGACGATTCTTCGAGGTCGACGAGGGAGATCATTCGAATCGTCGCGAGCTTGCGTCTCTGAACTCAGTATTGGACCAAGATCTGGCAAAGACAGACGCTCTTCTGAAAAGTCTGCGGGCAATTTCCACGCGACTCGAGGTGGTGTTGGAAGACGTAGACGAGGAAAGGCAGGAAGAAGAGCAACTCGCCGCACGAGCGGGAAGAGCAGTGCAAGCTTCGATCTCCGGAGCAGTTGGGGTGGATCAGGAAGCGGAGGGGGCACCACTTGACGTGGATGTTGACGAGCTTCACACAGCACTGCAGAGAAACACCCAGTTGGCACAGTCACTTTTTGCGCAGTTTTCCGAGGAGTTGCGACGTGCGCAGGAGCAAGGCCTGGCAGTCGAGCCATCAGTGCTGGCTCTATACTCCCGCGCTTCAAAAAAGGCGTCGGTCGCAACAATCATCGGTACGCCAGGCGAGGCTCCGGAGGAGGGCTCCGTTCTGCATGATAGAGCGCGAGTAGGTGCAGTAGAAGGACCTTCCGAATTCAAAGCCAACGCAGCTGACAATTCCGTTTCGCAACCGCGAGAGGTGTCTTACGTTCCACGCGATTCGGACCCGGCGTTTCGTGGTGATAGTGATGTTATGCATCAAGAAATCAAGAAATCGCCAGACCACAGGGACGCAGCATTGGCAGACCGCGGAGAAGCGGCATCACCAGAGGATGAGGACCCAGCAGTGATGGAGGAAAGGATGCGCAACGGCTACCGAGAAGAGCTGCTGCGCGCGATTGAGGTACGCGATATCCTGGAAATCGAGCGCACTCTCATTGCGTTCACTGCTGTTACGCGCATTAATGCCTTTGTTGGAGGACTGGTGAGCAGCCCGGAGCAAGAGGACGGAGCTACTATGGACCTGGTGGCACCGAGCTCCAAGACTAGCAGCATGCCGTCGCCGAGTAGCCCCTGTGACAGTTCGCTACTTCTCGGCTACGCAAGCGCGACCGAGCGCGCGATGAATGCTGCACTGTTGACGGAGGACGACAAACTTGTTGTTCTCGGGCACGATGTGCTGCGTACGGCTTGCGAGGAGCACGCAAGTCTTGTGCTAGGCGTCGAGCTGCCGCCACGGAGCCTCGAGGGACGGCGCCGGCTGATGCAGGCCTTGGGCTGGCCGCTGCATTTGAGTCGGTGCTTCTCGGTGCTCGATGACGAGGGTAAGCAGAGCTTCTTTGGCCGCATTCTTTCTGGCGGCCGGGAGCGGAAACAGCAGATCGTGGAGAAGCACGCGCTGTGCGCGATGCAGCACAGCGAGTTTCAGACAGCGGCCAGCCTTTTCCGCACGCAAGTATCGTCCTGCGACTGGGAGGGCCTTTGGCGCGAGCTCATTGTCGAAAAAGCACGTCCTGTGGTGGTCGCGCACGGCGAGGATCAGTCGCGTCGAGAACTGCTGGGTGCGTTTGACCCATTCGGACTCGAGACGTTTGTTGCAGTGGAAACCCTGTTTCAAGTGATGGCTGCGGAGCAGCCAGAGCTGTTTTCTGCTGAAGAGGTACGGCAGTTGCTTGACTTCGTGCGCGAGCACTTGCAACCCACACCTGCTTCTTCTGGCTCGGCTTTTATCGGCGATCAAAAGTTGAAGACTCCACTGGTGTTTTTGGAAGACCTATCTTGCTTGCCCACATCCGCGGAAAGCCCCGACTTCTGGATTCACTGCAGTCACGGAGAACTCTCCAAACCTGGTGAGATTGCTTTCTCGCTGAGCATACCGTGGGAGCTGCACCTCTATCTTACGTCGGTGGCTGACGGGCGAACGCGCGAGCAAGTACATTCGGGTGAGTTTCTCAACAAGCGATTCGCGCAGAATCTGGGCACCCTCACTGAGCGGCTACTGTCCCCAAGAGCACAGAATCGTCGCCAGCAGCAACGGAGATTGCGTTACGTGCGTCAAGCTCTCCAGAAGTTCGTATTGGACCATGTGGTCCTCTTAGAAGATCCTACTACAGATTCGAGAGAGCGCCTACATCAAGAGCAACATCAATCAACATCAACACCTGACTTCTTGCAGGTGGATGACTCTACTCCTGGAAGCCCGAAGAACGCACCAGAAGGGCTCACGACGAGCCAGTGCCGACTGCTGCGAGGAGAATTCCAGGCACTGACTGAGGCGTGCGCACCGACCCGAAAACAAAGAGAGGATGACGAAGCGCTCGTGCAACTCGCAACTGCCGTAGGGAAGAGGCTAGCAGGAGCGGACCGCGCCCGATCTCTTCTGCTAGATGAGAAATCATTTCTCACAGTAGAAGTGGCCAATGATGAGGAGGTAGTGGTAGATGCAGATGATGCGGACATATTTTTGACGATAGCAGAGGAGGTAGATCAGACGGGGATTGGCGTGGGCGCAGGGCAGGCACCAACCAACATGCAGCTGAAGTCACGCGTAGTGATCCTAGATTTGCAGGGTTACTCCCTTCCCGAGCCAGAGGAGGTCGATGTGGCGACCGCAACGCGTCCACTGGTATTACCGTCAAATTATGCCGAAGCACTCTACGTGGAGAAGCTGCGTTTGAAAACTGAGGTGGCCCGGAGATTGCTACTACAGCCCACAACTTTCAAGGTGATAAACATGAGTAAGCAGAAGTTTTTGTACCAGATTCCGGAGGGAGACGCCAACTTGGTGGAGAAGACTCGTGTGCAGGTGACAGAGGTGGAAATGATGACGGTTCCTTTGGAGCGAGCGCTGGCATCCGAATCTTTACCGGAGTTAGAGCGAGCGATTGGAGGGTTTCCTCCACCGGACAAGAAGCAGTTGCGTTCGCGACTTCCACCTGGCACCCTGCATTTGCTTTCTCGATGCGAAGCTAAGCGTAATTCCATGGCGTTGCAGAGGCGATTGAACCAGCAAGTCGAGAACGCGCGTGCGGAAGCGGCAAGCGGTATGATCTATGGCGCTAAGGTTTCCCGTGTATCCCAGACCAGGAGCTCCAGTGCCGAAGCGGGTGCGCCTGGCATTGCCGGTTTGAGTTCACAACGTGGAGAACATGCGGTTGCGGAGGCGTCCGTGATTTCACCAGCGATTCTGGCTGGAGGCACCTTTAGCCCGGAGAAGGCGGCTGGCCCAGCTGTGCCTGCACCTGTGCTCGCGACAGCTTTTGCAGGGCAGCAAGATGAAGCGTCGGGTCTGGTACCTTTTGCAGAATTAGATGCGAAGTACGAAAAACAGGAGGGAAGAACGCAAACCCTCGCCAGCGACCATGACATATCACAACGCGTAGCCAGCACCGCTGATCGAGTCGCGTCTTCCTTTTCATACAAAGAGGCGCACGACGCTAAAAGTGGCGTTAGTGTACCGGGAGGACTCGATTCGGCGCGGAATCTTTTGCAGGTGAGCGTTGGCGACAACGTGGAGGTGGCCTCCTCATCCTGCTCCTCGTCCATGCCGCCACCAGGGAGACACCCACTCGACAAGCAAGAGGCCAAGCGACTGCAAGTTGTGAAAGAGTATCGAAGACAGATGAGTTTTCTTCTGCAGAGGCGAGATGTGGATGGGCTGCGGGCGCTGGAGCGAGAGGTGCCAACGCAGGAGGCGTTGACTTTCACCAGGTTTGATGAGGAAGTGCGAACCGCCTTGCGCACGCTCATGGCCGCTTCCTCTCTGTTGCAAGTGACAAACAGCCTCGGTGTCGACCGAGAAGCCGAGAATCTTGTGAGGCTTACTGCGGCGAAGGGCACACGGCAGCAGACGCTGACTGATACCGCTGTACCGAATTATGGTGCAACGACCTACAACAATTTCGATACCGCAGCGGCGAGTGATCCTACTGTTTCGATTTCGTCAAACGCCATGTCGAAAAATGTGGAGTTAAATGCCAGCACCGCTGCCGATGAAGGAGTTGCCTCGTCAAGCACCGATGTCGTACGCAGTCCGGGTGGAACTGTGTATCCTCTGAATTATCCGCCGGAAGTAGTGGCCATGTGCGAGCGTGCGCAGCGCAACCTTTTTGTGGTACGCAAAAACGAGGAAAAGGATGCTCGCATGCTTGAGTTGGCTCACATTCGTGACACCTACAAGAGGGAAAGCGTTTTCACGTCACGTGCGGACGCGAGCAGCGTATTCTCTAATACAACCGGCGCTGGTACTTCCTCAACACTTGGAGCTGCGGGGATGAGCGCGAGTTCAAGCACGAGTGCAGTGCGCGTGCCCCCTGCGGGGAGCACAGCTTCGTCAAATAAGAAGGGCTTGGAACGCTTTCTACGCTTGGAGCAGGAGAAAATGCAGGATCTACGAAGCTTTCTGCGGCATCTGCGGAGGGCTTTGAACCGAAATGGCAGCTCGTCAGGCGATTTGCAGCAACTGGGGAATAATTATCTTGATGGAATGGATCAAACAGGGGTCGGCTTGTTAGACCAAGGACTTCAACAGCCGGTTGCGGCTCCTTCACTAGCAGGTAGTGGAACAACGGACTTGAGTCGAGCTGCATTCGACGACGAGCGGCGGGTCCGCACAGGCGAGAAGTCATTGTTACGCAAGGTGGTAGATCTCGAGGGACAGCTGACGAACTACAGCAAGTACACTTCAACACTATCAAGCCTGCTGAAGGACGTGCGAGAGAAGGCAATGACCAATGACGTGAAGGAACTCGAGAGAATGCTGCACCGCCTCGAAAAGCAAGTCCTACTTTGCGATAGCAATCCAATGTTTGGTGGCAACGGTCCGATCGCAGGTTCTAGTTCTACGGCGGACAATGCACTGGATGAGCCGCCAGCAATAAGCCCAACCGGAGGTGTGGAATCTTTATTGGAAAGTGCACAGGTGCCTGCGGCGCTCACGCCCTTGCCACCAGCGGGTGGAACTACCCGCGGGCCTCCATCTGGGAGAGGTCCTCTTTTTTACGCGGATTCGGGCACTGAAATGGACTTGACGTCGACGATGAACCTGCAGTCCTTTCATCCAGCGTCTCCTAGCGGAAACAGCGTGACTCCAGCTGCTCATGTTGTATATCGGGAGGCCCAACACGAGGCGCCTGCCACCGAAGACGACCTACGGCCAAGTAGCGGACAAGGCGCTTCCCCGGCAGCGCAGTATCAGGCTGGCGTCACCTCCTCGGTGGGTAATCGGGAACCCATTTCCGACCTGGGCACGAACCCGCAGACTCAAAGGGCGATGTCGGTCGTCAAACGGAGCTCCCATCCTTTGCTTTTGGAGGCCGGCGACGCTTTGGCCATGCTAAAGCAAAAGATTTACCTGGTAACACTGATGAATAAGGGAGATAGCCTGCGGGTACAAGCGTTGCTGGACGAGCAAAGTGTGCCGGCCGACGATCTGCCACGGGCAAAAGCGTTTCTGCAGAAACAAAAGCTCGTCCAAGACTCGAAAGCGTTGGATCAGCGGGTCATGCGAAAGTTGGAGAACGCGATGGCTCGCCAGGATGCCGCGACAGTGACGGTTCTCATCGGGAGTAAAATAAAATTGAAGCCCGTGGACTTGATTGTGGCGAACAATTTCCTGCGCAAGCACACTTCTGCTGCACAGCGACTACTGTCTCATGTTGAAAGCGAACTTGGGGAAGAAGTTGAACAACTGGCACAGAAACTTGCGGCGACTGAAAGCTCACTAGAATCGATTCAAGAAAGCGCTCCATCTACTGCCAATGAAGAGACTGACGAAATTTCTCTGGGGACACATGCTCCGGCTGCGCGCGAGGCGGCGTTGTTGGGCCAGATAGAAGAGTGTTTGACGTTTCTAAAGCGTGACACCCTTCTGCGGCATGCAGGGGCAGTGAAAGACGCTGCTGCACGAGCACGCAGCTTGCATGTTTTGCCGACAGGCCCGTCCAGTTCCACTTCTTCGGGAGCTGCAGGAACCGATGCAAATGGTGTGTCTGATGAAGACCTGGATCTTGATGTGTTGCTGGGATTGCCACGTGTGTCTGAAAGACCGCCGGCCTTTGCGGATTCAACGCGCCTGGCGAAGGCAATTGATTCCTTGGAGCTGCAGATCGCTTCTATGGAACAGCGAAGGGTGGAGCTCACAGTGTGGCAATCGGAGTTGCAAGAAACGCAAGTGGAACAGAACCGGCAGGATCAAGGATTGGGGCCGGCACCGATCGCAGAAGGGGCTACCAGCACTACCCCACACCACGATAGTGCTTTCGTGACGGAGGAGCAACCAAGTAAAAAAGGCGGAGACTCAGGCGCAGCTTCTGGCCCGTCAAGATTTGATGTAAAGGCTGATGCTTCACAGGCTGCAGCTGCATCATTTTCACCGCCGACTCGTGGCGCAGCTGATGTACCTCTAGAGCTCCGGCAGTCTGATCTCATTTGGCAATTTTCGTCTCTGCCTTCCCGTAGTGCGTCAGACCTTGTAACTATCTCCCCGGGTGGTGTCCAGGTGGCGAGCGACAAACCGTCTACTTCAGCCGTGATGCCACCTGAAATAGGAGGGGATGGTGAAAAGGATAAAGCAGGAGAGGTTGTTGCATCTGCGGAGTCGGCAGAGCAGAGCGCGGATGCGGATTCTGTTGCAATTGGCCCGGGAAAATCCCCTGCGGTTGGCTCTGTATTGTCGGATGGTAGCCTCTTTGAGCTGTCTCCCGCTGCAACGTCGGCAGCCTTCCGGTCGGCAGACCGCTATGAAAACTTAATTGGTGAAAAGCTGGCTTTCGTTGCAATGTCGCAAACGGCTTCAAACGACGGACTGGAAGGCGATAACGGACCAGTAAAGGTTCCAGAGGAACTGCGACGCGCGGTTTTGCCAGCCACGGCGCAAGCTTGCACGAAATCCTCTCCGGCAACCAGCAGGGTCGCACGAGGGGGCGATGCGAATGTGAATGCATCCGATGTTGCACAGGGAGACGACCTTGACGAGCCCATGGCTCGTAGTAAAGATGCGCTTCTTCATGTAAACTCGGGGGAAAACGAAAAGGCCAGAGCCGTTGAGGGGGCGGCGGCAAGCGCTGCAGGAAATCAAATGCAGGTTGACCAGGCATTGCAACAAGCAGTCGCGAAAAACGGTTCGGCGGCGTCGCCATTCCCACACTCCGATGCAGCGGGTGCTTCGCCGAGCACAGACCACGACTTCGGCGGAACCCCGACTGCGCAGAGTCCGGTGGAGTTTGGGTCTGCTGTTGGTGCAGACAGTCAAAAGCGCGCCGTTGACGTTGTTGCCGATGGCGGATTGCCAGCTGAAGAAGAAGAGGAGTCCTTTTCCCTGGAATTTGATGATGACGAAGATCCCAGTTCAGACCATAGAATATTCAGTAATGATTCCGGAGCGGAGCCGGGTGAAGATCAATCTATGGAGCGAGGTGGCGAGGAGCAAGGAATTAAGAGGGAGCTACCAGAAGAGCAAACAGCTTTTGGAGTGGGGGATGCAGCAGGCTCCAAGGAGATGCCGCGCATGACTAAGGATTCGCCGCGTACCACTCTGGAAAAGGTGATTCTCTTTCTGACGACGGCTGCCGACGCAACAGATCTGAATGTAGCGGCTGGACAAGACATTATCAACCTCTACGACTTCCAGTTACCCACGAATATGCAGGTCCTAGACGCGGATATTGAGCGGCTGAGAACTTGCCTCGCATCTTACAAAACACGCGAGTCTTCGGTGACCAGCGGTGACGCAGATTTAAGCAACATTCCAGTTTTTCGGGTCCGAGCGGAGAATGTAGACCCTCACCTTCCGCCAGAAACATTTTCATGGCCGCCCGGTAGTGGATCTGCGACGTCATCGAAACCATCCTGTGAAGATGCATCAGAAGGAGAGTGGGTCATATTAGGAGCAGAGGCAACGCCAAATGCAGGGGGAGAGAAATCTGTCGTTGATGCGGGAGAGGCAAAAGAAGCCGCGATAAACCAACGCGTACCCGCTGCAACCAATCGAGGAGGTTCAGACGAAGCAGAGGCGTCGTCAGCGTGCCTACCTGATAAAACTTCCGATATCGAGGCCGTGAGCGAAGAGGGAGAGATAGACAAGGACGTCCCTGTAGGAGACAACGATAGTGAGGTAGGCTTGCCTGTCGCAGGCATGGCACAAGACGAGGTGAGTTCCCCCGAGTCGAATGTACTGAGCAGCATGTCGGGTCACAACTATGCGGGCCTAGGTTCTTCGCCCGGCGGAGGCGCTTCTCCTGCACTCGAAGCCGGCAGCGCTGCAAGCCCTGACTCCTTGTTTAAAGGGTTACCTGAAGACGAAGCAGGGGGTGGAACGAGCGCTGAAGTGAGAGGTTCACTGACAGTGTCAGCTGAGATCGACGGTGCAGAGGAGCCGGTGCAACCGACGCCGTCCCCTGATTACGATGTGCTGCCATCGCCGTATGTTAAGGATGGTTTGGGCACGAACCACGAAAATCGCAACATTCTAGAAGCCTCATCGTCAGCGGTCAGTCCTGTAGAGGATGGTGAGACGCATGAAAACGATGCTTTCGCGCGACACGCTGAGGACGATCCGGAAGATGCTGTGCAACGGAAACACGACGATCCACGTACACTAGCACACGGGGAAGCGAGGTCTGTGATGGAGTTTGTCGACGGAGTAGACGAGACGAAGATTCCCACAGCAAATCGGTCATTCTCGCACACTTCCTCGGTCGCTAGAGCAGACGCGGAAGATGTGATAATTCTGCAGGCACTAGAGGAAAGGGAAGACGCAGATCGCGGCCAAGTTGGCTCGGTTCTGTCATCGCTGCGCGAATCCTTGAAGCAAACTAACGCGGAAAAACTGCGGCAGTCGATCGAGGACTTGAACCATTTGCCGGACAGTGCGAAGAAAGAGATTCCAGCCGCACGCCAGGCGGGCTACAAAAAAAAGTTACGTCGTATCCAGACCGCGGAATCTCTACGGTACTCGATGGAGCAAGAGCAAGTGCACATCATGGCTTTGCAAACGGCTATATTGATGGCGGAGCGCAACAAGCTAGACGAGGACACGCTCGTCGCTGCCAAACGCATTCTGCGTCTGGCGGAAGCGCTCAAAGACGAGAATCCGCGACTAGTGCAACGGTATTTGGCGGAAGGTGATGTGTCGAACACACACGTCGTCGCGCAAGCCGAAGCTTTTTTGGCTAGGTCCAGTCCGCCCGTTGCGGCAGTTTCTCCAGTGCCACCAGCAGCGGCAGAACGACGCGCGCAGCCTGAAGAGGTCGCAACCGAGAGCTCGCCGCTCGATTCGAGGCAGGAAGAGAGCGGGACAGCGCCCGTTGCGGAACAAACTGAAACTTCCGTCAACGACGAAACTTCGCCTGCTGACGAGATGACGGGTCCAGAACACATGGTACTGATGTCTTTTATTTTCGTCGATACTAAAAAAGATAAAGAAGATGTTACCTGTACTACTTGCTGCACATCATTTTTTGGTGCTTACATCGACAAAGACTCTTGACTAAAAGTTATCGCTTATACACGCTAGAGCGCACGTAATTTTAGCACCAGGAGATGTGTTTCCGTCTACTGGAACGTCTTGTCTCCTACTACGGCGGTCTGGTCTCTTGTCAGAAGTATCGAGCATGTGCTGTTTCAGTGAACGAGAGTCACAACACAATAATTTCATCAGAAGCCGATGGATCTTTTTGTTCACTGTTAGATCGCTTAGTAAAGTCGCGTTGCAAAATTCCCGAGCGTTATTGGCACCGGTCTAGCGTGTTCTCAATTTCTATCAATGTTGATCGAAGAAAAACACTGTCCGCAGCGTCTGCGATGTCGGTCGTTAGGATGTTGTCATAAGCTTTGTCTGTAAGTGAAGCACAGTATTAAATAGTCCCGTCGACAGTTTCTGGGCAGCATTCCACTCCGTTTGTCTGCGTGTGCCTCGTTCGGATCTCCTGAATTTACCGCAAGCCTGTAATACAGCTACATACCTACCTCTACCATCAAGAACTGCATCGGGAGTCTCAGCGTTTATGTCCTCAGGGTTTTGACGTTCTTTAGAACTCCCCTGTTCGGGCAGAGTCGGCCGGAAGGGTCACTGTTGATAAACGCATTCTTTTTGATGGTAAAAGTAGGTTGTACTGTATTCGTAGTAGTCTCAATCATGTTTAGAGATTGACTTCACTATCCACCAGTAGTGGTAGTCACTCGTATGGTTGTTGCACTCCTCGGTAGGTCATCCTACTATCACAGGCTGCGGTGGCGCAAACGCTAACCCGTGGACGCATGCGGCTGTGGCGAGCTCGATATCACTCCCAGTGGACCGCGAGTCTGCAATTCAAACAAATGTCAGCAATTCTATATTATAAGCACTGTTGTCCCTCTCAAGAACAAAAGCATTCCTCCCTGTTTTTCTCGCTCTGCCTTTCTTCAAGACCTAGAGCTTTGAGATGAAAAGGGGCTGAATCATGATCTAACTGGCACGTGCTCTTTCAGACCTGTTTCAGTTGTTATCATAACTCAGGTGTGGACGTGTGCGTATTGCAGTTATGAAAACCTCGCACTGTTGGCAACGTGTGATATGTGTGGGCAGCGAAGAACCCCTGGGCAGTCACTGCGTCCAATGCCAAGACGCGACGAGCAGGTAGTACTACATGTTTTGCTAGGTTAGTAGTACATTGTCATGCAGAGTAGGTATCCTTTTCGCCAAATCGAATCTACATGCTAGTATAGATACGCTGCATATTTCGACAACTACAAATCTTGATGGGAGTTTCGTAAGGAGTAAACAAAGAACCACAAGGTCATTGACGCTGTGGCGTTTTGGCCTGTGTTTTTCAGTTTGAAAGAAACGGATTTTGATTCTGTTTTCCGAATCATATCGCACTGACACTGACTAGGTATTCATTTCGCAGAATATTGGAGCACCAGATGATCGAGAAGACGGCGAAACGCAGCAACAAATGGTGCATTCAATGCCAGTCTCGGATGGCCGAGTAAGAGGCGCTACGCCGCATTTGAGTGTGTCGTCTCCGGTGGCACGCAACTTCATCGTCTGCCCGATGTGTGGCACGCAAAACCCCCGTGGCGTAGAGAGCTGTGTCGCGTGCACGTTCGATCTCAGAGAGCAAAGTGCAATACTCGAAAACTTGGAGCAGTTCGATGCCGTGAACGCTGCGCAGCAGACTCCGAGTCGCAGGTACTCTCTACTAAGCACTAGCACTAGGAGATGAATGATGTTTTTAATAACGCTACTAGACGACTCCTCTGTCTCACATTCTGCGCTCATTTTGAGGACCTTCTCCCTGCCAAGAGCCAAACCTCATCTTCGCTGAAATAGATGTTTCTCGCATGTTTTGTGATATCTCGAAACAAAATATACAGCTCCGCGCGGCCGCCTCCCGGACGAACGGGCAGCCAGTTAGTCATGTCGCGACCTGTACCGGGTCATGAGCCTCCTCCTTTCCACCCGAATCAGACTGTTATCGCCAGAGAGAAAATGAAATGGACGAAGCGGTTGATGCAGATGAGCCCGGTCGGGACAGGAAGTCACTTCAAGGTACTTGCTGTTGCTCTTGCATGTGAAGTGTGAGGACTTCATAAACCCGCTTATGCAGAGGCACAAGATGATCCTTCTTTTCGCGCACGTGAACAGCATTTTTTTTGAAAGAGTACGCGCATGACATACGAAATACTCACACCTATTTGCTTGCCAGCACATTTGACTCAAGATTTGAGTTTAAGTAGATCCATCATGATGCTGTCCGTCGATGTTATGCATCCTTGTCGGAGTTACTTATTATAGGCTTCATCCCTCCTCGCTCAAGATCACCATCGTATGATTTGGCTCAATGCTTTACCAGGTAGAACGCGGCACAATTGGACGCGTCACGAGTTTGCATCCGTTGCGTGTGGTATGGCGACTGGAAGGGGGTAGGGACACTCCAGCTGGACACGTAATGCAGCATCAGATCGAGGATGCTGCAACAAGCGCTATTTCGCAAGATTCAGCTGCGAAGAAACGGCGTAAGCTGTTTGGGGTTTTTTGACGATCGGAAGGGGGCTTTGCGGACAAGTAGTTTTTGGAGCGGGGCCTTGATAATTAGAAAGCTCGATGTTCAGTTTTTTACCTTTTCTCCCGTGTTATTGAAAGTGCATGCCGCAGTGAATTTTTATTGGCGTTTATTACTTCGTGTTCCTGATGAGTCGGAAATTTCCTTTTTTATTTTTATGTTCCGGCTTCGAAGTGACATTATAATAAATTGTCCAAAGTTGTATTGATTTTTAGCTGCATCTTCGGGGTTGAGGATGCTGTGAACCGCTGGCTAAAAATGATATCAACGCAAAGGATGAATTTCGCGATGTTTCTTCTGTCTGTCTTTGCGCAAGTTGATTCTTTTCTGATAGATTGATTGATGGCAATGTGGGTCATGTTCACCGCGTGAGAGTTTCCTGTCTCAGATTTTATCTTTTTGGTCCAAATACTAGGTGCTCATAAAGATTTTCGTCGCCCCTTTCTTGCCGGGGAAAGAGGAGCCGTTCGCTTTGCTGCGGCAGTCCCATCAGAGAGATGATTTCTCGGCTCAGTCTGTGTTTTGTGACAAATCTTGGAAAATTTTCCCCGCGGCTCTGTGTGCACGAGCCCGATCATGCTGTCCGAACATATGATGATCCGTTTGTTAGAAACCAGGATGACAGATGGGGAGTCTGGTAATTATGTATCGCGGAGGCCGGAGCGAAAGCATTTACTCCTAACAAACAAGACAGGTTGTAGGCAATGCGTTCGAAATAGTAGGAAGGTAATATCGACAGTATTTAGTTGAAGTTTCTATCCATCGTGCCATCATGGAATTACGATGACTAGGTGGGCAAATATACGCTAACGGTTCTGACTTCACATTCAGCGCTTATTGTACCGTCTGCATAACAGAGAATATTGTGATGAAGAAAACGATGCCCCTCCGAAACTCGGTAGAAGATGGAAAAACCACGTGTGTCGTCCAACGGACCTTGCGCTAAGCTCGCAGCGGATCAAGGTCATGGACATCGTGACTTCGAAGATTTCAGCTCAAGCGAGGATGAGCTGGATTTCGACGATGTTGAAGACGTGGAACCTGTGACAAAACGACAGAGGACGTATGATTCGATATACAGTACCGGACTGGAAGAACACGACTTGTTCTCGTCGCACTTGGTGGACCTACCCGCGGGGGAACAAGAAGACATCGAGGATGCCAGCGTCGTGGCTCAGCTACGCCTCGGTCGCGATGCAGAGGGACCCGATAAAACTGCATCTGCAGCGGTTGCAAATTCCTCTAGTGTCGGAGGCAGAGGCACCAGACCGCAAGTTTCCAGGCACCAGTCTCTGGGCACATACGAAGAGGGGCAAAAAGTTGGCGCCTCGACTTCCTCCGAGCGAGGAGGCAAGGGGCGACACCAAACTGTCAAACGTCAAGTGTTCCATCTCCCGCTCGTGGAAAAGACCCGTCTTCTACACGTTCAGCAAGCTATAGTGGTTTTCTTAGTAGGTCGCGCGCGCCAGTTGTCCAACTTGGCGAACCATCCCGCAGTGCAGGCTTTCGCCCTTTCGCTCTTTGGCAAAGCCGGTTCGCCAAGCGGCAATGGTCATCAAACAGGAACGTCGCTGGAAGTTCTTCGCTCGTCCAAAAGCATTCCCGCCGACGCCTGTGGTCATACGCATCAAGGAGGTTCTTCCTCAGCGGTATCATCGACGTCATCCGCGGGGTCAAAGACAAAGCTTATGGAGCAAGTTGTAATAGAGCTCTCTGATGACGATGCTGCGGAGAATCCGATTGGTAAAGATGGCAAGCCTGGCGCGCGCAATGTGATAAAAACAGCAGGAAAAGTAAAGCACGTGGGTGGAAGCGCAAGTCAAAAATCAGAACCGGTTGCAAGGGGCAGCGGAAACGCGACGAGCGCAGGTGGGCGAGGTACTGCTTCTTCGCTATCACTTGCGTCTGGAGTCGGAGATAGTTCGACGGACACCTCGGCGCAGTGCAAGTGTCCGCCGCACGTGGCAGTGGCTCGTCCTGTCACCGCGGCCCATCTACTGAAGGGTATCTTGCGTGCGACACTAGCAGGTGGTCATTTCTCGCGTGAGCTTTGCATCGTTGACACGGTACCTTGTGCTTCGGTTATGGACGTTCTTAGCGTGCGTACGCCTATGGCTTGGCTCGTGTTGCAGCTCTCTTACCAGCGATTTTACGCGAAAAAGGCACCGGTTCTCTGGGCGGCGTCAACAGTGCCGCACTTTAAAGCGCTTCAGGTGCGAATACACCACGACGGACTGTTTTCAGCAGAGGCCATCCTAGTCGCACAAAAGGAAGTTGAGACGCAGCAAAAGTTGCAAAAGTATCGTAGGCAGTTGCAACATCAGCAAGCCCGAGTGGTGAAGTCAAGTTCGCGATTAGGTTCAAGTGCTTCTACTTCATCATCAACAGCACCAGCAACGTCCTATTTCTACAGTAACAGTTTCACGCCGGATCGGTTTCTCTTCGCGCTTGGCGATGAGAAAGGACCTTGGGGCTACTGCGCGCGCTTTGTAGACGTCGCAGCCGAGGGCGGGCCCTTGCAATTTGTCGGACGCAAGTGCGTGGGAAACTCTCAGGATCCGGTGCCCTCCGGCGCCAAGACGTATTCCGCTGTGGTTTTAGGCGCAAATCTGGGGGTCCAAGTTATCCTCGATCCGACCGCGGCTCCCTTCAAAAAATGGCACTATACTGTGGGCTGGGACAAGCGCCAGAACTTCCTAGATGGTTTGCGGCTTTCGCAGATGCCCTGCGTGCTCAAGCGCTGGTGGCTGGAGCTGCGAAGGCAGCGACTGCGCGTAAAAGACCCGTTTCCGAAAACCAAGGAGGACTTTCGCCATTCCTTGGTTTACTGCCTGGCATCGGAGTTCCAAAACAGTAAGACTCAGGCATTGCATCCGAGTGCGAGCATGCAGGGCTTGTTCAAGGGTGTGGAGCGCATTTACAGCCGCACCGACGTTTACCCGCTACGGACCGCGGACGACTGGCGCAAGCGCGGACGCCGTATCCGTGTGAATGAGCGCGGCGTGGAGCGAAAAACACCGCTAGTAGGCGGCAGCGAAATCCTCTTCGCCGTGTGGCAGACGGAAGAGCGTCCCGCAGTCGACTTACATGCGAACATGGTTCTGTTGCGAAAAGAAATCCGTTACAACTCGGCAGCCGAGCGGACACTGCATGCAGCGAGCCTTCGCGACGCAAGGAACCAGTACGGCCACTGGAATTGCAATTTGATCGCGTTTCAGCGGCAGCTGCAACACCTTGCTGCCCAAAGTCCTGCTGTTGCCGTAACAACAAGCGGAAGTGGTTTGTTGTCCTCAATTTTACCTTCACGTAGTCCTACTAGTAGAGGTGAAGGAGCTAACGGGATGGTCGAGAGCGTGGCATTCCTGAACACAATCGTGTTGGGAACACTGCAGGACGAAACTGTTTGGCTGGCAACGGAGGAAGAGGAAGCGGCAAGCAGCACCTCTGCTGATAGCAACCAAGTACAAGAAGGTGGAAATACAAACGGTGGGCAGACCGCGGCCTCTCTGCGACCGCCTTTTGGCAGTACTAGTATGCTTGTAGTTGGAGCGACATCAACAGTCGAAGAGATACCACTGTTCGCGGATTCAGAAGGTACCATCCCATTACCCTCGGTCGACGACCTGAAGAAAATGGTTTACCAACGAACAATGGCAGGCTCTGATCATGTTGGGGCCTCTTCTTCCTCATCTAGTACCGCAGGCAAGAGCAAAGCTAAGGCAGCAAGTAGAGGAAGGGGTAAAAGCCAAAGTACTACATCAACTAGCACTCGTTGTGGAACAGGACATTCTAATGTTGCGCAAGGTACTTTTTCAGATATGAGAGAACCACTACAAATACCGGTGCTGTATTTTTCATCAAATATTCCACGTAATTGCGCGTGGGTGTCGCTTCCACTCGCAAAGGAGGTGTGCCGAAGGCATGGCTTAGAATACATCGAGGCTGCTTCTGGTTGGACGAAGCAAGCGGATCGCGCAGTGCGGACCTTTTCTGGGGTCCTCCTCCTGGCCCGAAACGCAGTTCGGGTATGGCTCGAAGCAGCGAGTCTCGCTGCCAGTCGACAGGCAAAACGCGATAAAAAGGACGAAGATGAGCTACGCCATACCTGGCTGGAACTGTGTCGCAAAATTCTCGTGGAAAAATACATGGCGAACAAAAAACGAGGAGCACCAGGGACGCAAAAAAAGTGAGCATTCGTTTATCGAGACATCAACACTTCACCACGCATATGGATTTCACTTAAAGAGTTGTGCTCGCAACGCACTGCTTTTTAGAAAGACAGACAACTTTTTAGCTTCACTGTAGACGTAATCGTAAGCTGGAAAGACTGCGACGCGAACGAAGAATTGATGAGTACATCATTGTCGAAAGTGTGCTGGTCCTGTGCCTCTTCAGATCATCTGGTTTGGAGTCGATCCTTGTGCACAAACTGAAGATTGTCGTTTGTGGTCCTGTGTACGTGCTCCTATTTTTTTAGTATGATACTGCTCTCAGCGGGCTTCGAGATGCTTGCTTGCGGGGATCTGACACGTTCGGTGTGATCGGTGTTGACAGAGGAAGTTAACTTACAAATTACTGGTTTGTTGTTATGGAGGTACCGAGCGGTAACTAGCAAGTACTGACACAGGACGAACATGATCATGATGTGCAGCACTGATCATTGTCTGACGAGAGATCTGTAGAGGAGAGAAACTGAGAGTGCCTCAATGACTTACATCGAGTTTCTGTACTCGTTCTGCATCTACGCCACGAGCTGCATCTGTGTGAACTGAGACATCAACGTGAGCTTTTGAATGTAGAAGAAGAATCTTCGTTCATCGCCTTTCTTCCATGGTGTATTCGGTATCGGTCACCTTCCTCCATCATTTGTTGTGTGCACACCGACCATGATAATTTACGAGTCGTCAGTTGTCTGACTGAGAACGAGAACGAGATCTGCGATGCCTATCGGCCCACACATCATGAGATCCCTTGACCTACACCGACAAACACACACCGCCTCACCTCTCACGACTGTCCTCTTCGTTTTTCGCACAGTATGTAAATACGAAACAATAAGTAAGCTTAAAATGGATTACGATAGATGAGCATGAGTGAGTAGTATCTATTATGATAGACAACATAAACATATTGCAGGTACTAGTCTTGAACATGGTTGTACTGGATCGTTATATTGTAAAGATGCATACGCGGATCGTTATTTATGATCATTATTCAATTTCTCCAAAACTTCTCCATGATTATGACACCAGTCTCTCTTGAAACCTCACATCCCAAAATAGAAATCCGTAGGTGTTAGTAGAAGAGTGTTAGGTTGCATTTTTGTGCGTCTTGTTCGGTCGTCTTTCAACATCGATTTGTTCCGCACCACAAGTTAGTAGCAGATTTTTCTGTTTTTAAAGGAGCTTGCTTCGTCATTACCGCGTCATCGTCAATAGTCCATTGATACTGATTTTGAAAAATTGTGTTTCCGTATTTTTTGCTCTACAACGTCAACTAATTTTGACGGAAAGCATTTCATCAGGCGGAATCAATCAATTCAACTTTCGACGGGTCAATCGGACCGGAACAGAAGAATTTGTCAGATTCTTTCATTTCACCTCGAAGAGCACTTCTCCGCATCAAGCTCACAAGCAATTCCGCACGGCTCTTGCGACATCCTCTGCAAAATCGAGACGTTTTATCGAGCATCGACGGTCTGCTAGTTGAGTCCGACAAAGAAATACAACGACAATGATGCAACAAAAGGGTGGACCGCTGAAGATGGTATTCTTTAGTTCTTTTTGTTTTCAACAAGAACATTTTCATTTGAGTACATATATTGAAAGTATATGAGCTGAGACAGCCATAAACCATCGATATGCCAGCGTTGGAACATCGTCTTTCACGACATGTCGATCCGCAGAGATAGCTTGATCCATACGAGTACAACAAGATTTTTCATACACCAATCATGAAATTAACACCAGAACTACCCGGTGATGGCACCCCCGGCAGGAAAGGGTGGAAAGGGAACTAGAGGACAGAACCCCCGTCCGAAATCGGTGTACAAATATGTTCCTGGTGATTGGATTTGCCCGACGTGTGAAGATTTGCAATTTCGCCGCAATCAGAGTTGCCGAATCTGCGGAACGATGAATCCTATGGTAATTTGTGCCATTTTGTTTATTTGGGATAGGTTCGTCTACTTGCAACTAGAACTACATGATATGCATATTCATTCCAGCACCCATTCTAAGTCCAATACTATTTTTGTCTGTGACATCATTGACAATGTTGAATGTTTTTGTTCATGAGGTCCTGGCTCAGGAATTAGCTATTGCAGCGGGAAAGTCCCTTTCTGGAATGCCGTTCGCGCAAGCTAGCAAAGAGACCGTTATGAGTATGAAGGGTCTGGAGGAGATGCACAAGGGAAAAGGAAAGGGTACTTCTACCTAAAAATAATAGATATAACTTTCGATTACTTGGGTCACGGAAGAAATCAGTTTGGATCATCGTGCTGTTCGACTGGAAGTATGAGGTAAAGAACGTCGCCCGTCTTCTACCTCGGAGTGAAAAAACTGAAACAGGATGAAAACAAAGCTACTTCACACAATATCTAAACTGACCTTCTACTGCTAGGTATGCCGGGTTCGGGTGACGTTTCTGTGCATAGCATTGGAAGTGCTCCTGGTGTGACGAGTGGAAAATTCAATCCCAACGTGCCTGCACCACCACTCGCGACCTCTACCCCGTACCTTGCTGGTCAAAGCGGGCCGCAGCCTTTCGACGTGATGCCCCCGAACGTATCCATGCCGCAACAGCCTCTCTCCGCAGGCGGAGCACCGTACAACTTCGGTAATCCGATGCTGCTCGCTTCGCCCGATTACCTCCCGCCACCGGGTTTCGCACACCCGAATGTTCTCGCGGCCGCACTCCAGCACCCGTTCCCCATGGTGCAACCGAGTATGCAGCCGACAGTTCGTACTAAAGTTCTATGGATGTAGTTTATGATTCAAACGATTATCTTCAACCAGTTCTTCCGCGGACGTAAAGAAAAAGTAAACCTTCAAAGTACACAACAAGAAGATGAACAAGAAGTAGTAGACCCATCTTTCTTGATCAGGCGTTAGTTTTGACTGTTATATCTTTGCTTCCCTCGTCCTGCTCCCTAATTCAACTTTGATTCAATCCCAAATCGATGTCAACCCCCAGCCGGAAGCTTGTACCCATACGGCACGGATCTTTCGGATGGTCTCTTGGGTCCTCTCGTATTCCACTTGGATGACGGACGCCAGAGGGTAGACGATATTTTGTTAAGCTGTTTTCAAAAATACGAACTCTACTAGTAGGTCATGATGCCTCGTCTGATCGATGTACTTGTGGTTTCTTTTTTTGACATGATTGTTTCTATGTTCAACGTTCATCCACCCCTACTGCAACACAAATGGACATTACGTAGCAGCTGCGTCTGCTGCAATTATTTTCTTAATATATAACGCACACATGCAACACTCTACTACAGGAAATGGACCAAAGCGGACCTTTTCTGGGCAGTTACAGCGGATACTAATTCTGCTGACGAATAAGAACAATATTGGGATATCTGCTGAGTGCGGACGAGGAACTCATCTTCTGAGAAGATCATTCAGCAAAGAGAAAAATGCAATCTACCATCACTTTCGCTAAAATACTGCGTACTTACATGTTGTAAGTGGAACCAATGACGCCTGAGGAGGTAATTTTCATGAAATTGAAATACAAGTGGTTTTTCTTTTCGATATCAGTTATAGAGTTGTCGTAAGATTCAATAGGATATGGTCCTCATACAAAGAACTACACGCAGAGTCTCAGGTTTCCTAGGAATGCATGGGATATCATGGGGGTCGTTCCAGTCAGTGATAAGAATAGTTTTCATTTTGTGGCATATGCCTACGGCTACGTAAGAAAGCATGTGATACATGTTTGAAAATGTTCTTGCACTGTTGTATGCAGCGCGAGGATCAAAGCCTAGATGTAAATTTACTTTCTGTAATGTTGAAGAACGACTTCCATAGTAGATAATCCATGCATGCAAAGATTCATCAAGATCTCAAAACACATAATTTACGTAGAAGGATAGACCCCATCTTCAGTATCTTTACCTTCATGAACATGAACATGAACACGATCATTAAGATTAAGACCTCCATAGTGATAGAAATAAGTTTATGTTCCCATTGCCTGCTGATGACACGTAATTTTGATTTGAGTTTCAGATTCGCAGTATTATGACGAGAAATATTATTCTGAATAATTTATTTGTAGTTCTAGTTTTTGAATTTGTGGGAGAGGGAGGGCGAAATTGAAGTAACTTCTGGTTCGTGAATCTCTTGAAGTCAGCCTCCAGGAAAGTGTTTCGAAGTGCAATGGGCGGGACAGGCTTTTCTTGTAATTTGCGGGTGGCGAAGATGAAGTTATTTCAAACCGCCATGGTTAATTTCAATGACTTGAAATTATGAAGTTGCGTTCATGTGCTTACCGCATTGAGATTTATCTTGGATGTTTTTCCAAAAAGTGGGTGGGATAAAAGATATTGGAGGAAGCTTGCGGGCGCTTTTTGGGGTCCAGTATTTCCTTGTGGAGCGGCAGGAAGAGCTCATGATCACTCAGTAGCTAGGGGGGTATCGCTCACGGGTGGGTCTAATATACTGGGAGTCTGCTTATTTTTACGAATTTGAAAAGATCGACATCAGGGGAAGGGGTGTTTATCTATCACAATGTTTCTCACGAGCAGGTCCGTCTGCTCGATTGACTCATTCATTGGCAGACTTATCATTCTGAGAACTGCGTACCAAACATAATCATACCAGATAAAGTATTGGATGAAGCTGACCCTAGTTCGTGAGTACTTAAAAATATTCGATTAGTAGGGCGGAATCGGAAAAGACCAAGACGCAAGAAATTACCAAAGCAACTCGTCTAGTTGTTAGTAGGCTGCATGGATTGTACGCTTGTCTGATGTGCTTAGGTATTGGTTGCAGCTTGCTGTAGGCATTGAGGCTGCAGGACCGGAAGATGCTTAACATTTAGGTAAAGAGCGATGTTTCTTCAGTGCTTACCGCGGTTCTTCATCCAGTTTTCCTTTGTGAGAAAAGATCGGGTGGCCCGAACGGGTCGAGTATAATTGTCTAGGATTAATACCAGTTGCTCATATTCATATCAACATTCATCGAAAAAACATATTTTGACTAGAGCTTAGACTTACATAAAGTTATGCATAGACGAGCATGAACAAGCATCACAATTAGAAACAGATAGGAACCATTTGTAGAATCTTCATAAAGAACATTTCTTGCATAGAAATTGAAATAGTAGGTATTTTTAGTTACAGCTTAGAAGTACATGTCCCGCATAGATATAGATTGAAATGGTTGTTTCGAATGACCATCCTTGTGCTACGCTTCATCGGAATTCAAGGCAAACAGATGAATGAATGAATCAAAAAATTTCAATGCAGCAGGTAGTGAGGACCTGAGTTTCGCACCTCCCCGGCAGTGACCGCTCAATTGCGGACATACGTTGTTCCAAGAAGCGAGACGCGAGGAATCATCATCCTGACGATCTAAGAAACTACAGGAACACGAAGACAGATCGAAACAGACCCCCACCCATTTGTTGAGATCATTCATGAATCCACGAAGTCGAAGCAAGGATCTCCATAAGGATCCTCATACATGCATCGATCTCTTGCGAAAAGGAAAGGGAAAGTCACAGCGTCATATGCAATAAGACCAACACCAGAGATCCTGATAGAGTGTAGTAATCATAATTTTTGGTACACAACGCCTTGTGGTTGTACAGGGAAGTACTTATATCTTCATCCAAGATCGATCGCATTTTTTCTAAATTTGCATGAAGATACTTAAACAGTGGGTCCAAAAATCCCGAAATTTTGAAAGATCTAAAAGTAAGATCCTGAACATGTGAGACTACGATCATGAGGCGACCATCACGTGAGGATCCGGAAGCAAATTCATACAACTGGTGGAGAGTTTAGTAGTTCGTTTAGTAATAGTACAACATCTCGTGTTGCTGTAATACCACACCAAGGTCAATGGGTAACAATGGTGTGTCAAGACCATTATCTTCAATCATGAAGTAGGGATACTGTTTTCGACATCGACTAGAAGGCCATTCGGCTGTAACTTGTACCACTTGCAAAATCATGAGCAATATCGTTCCTGGTATCGGAAGTGTTTCAATATCTTTTCAACCGACTAGAGAGTCGTTCTCACGAAGTTTACTACTTGTACTCCTCCATTTCGCTCCTCAGGCTCGCAGGCTTTTGAAAGATTTCCTAGCTAAGTAGATTTTTTATAAGCGATTCACTGTGAGTTCTTTTAATTTGACACTATAATTTTTTTCATGTGAAAGATTTTCGTCGTACCTGCAGTGAGACGAGCTTTGACTCATTGTATGGCGCTGGTTATATATATGATTTGCGTGGTTGTTCATTTATGTGATGTTTTGTTATGCCTCTAAGATATTTTATCCCTCGTATAATTGTTTTGTTTTGGATTTGAAATTGAATGGCCTACACTGATTACATTGCTAAAATCATGTTTGTCTGACTACAACTATGTGGTTTTATTCCGTGATGCAAATCCTAGATGGGGAAGATGTGAAAGAGACAACTTGTTTTCGTCGCCTCATCGCTTAAAGCGTGCACATGCTAACACGTAGCTAACAAAGAACTTATTGCAGGGAGACATTTTGGAGTTAGCATAAAAACCAGACTTACTCTTACTACTACAACAGTACTACTACTAGAAGTATACTCAGCACTTCAAAACAAGAAGGACTTCTGTATTAGAATTTAGTTGGTTCTTGAAGGTGCATAACCGAATTTCTACTATATGTCATAGCAGTTCTCTGCAAACCTTGTTCTCGTGGTTGTACAGAAAATATCGTAGTGGTGTGACGCAATGATGCAGAGAAACCAGCAAGGTGCTTCTGCAGGAACCATGCGACATCAGTGGAACAGCGGCCTGACTAGCACTTCCTCCGGGTTATTGTCCACGAGCACTTCTGGGGGAAATTCTTTCTACGGTCTTTTTTCACGACCGGCAATGTCTGGGGAAACTGAAGATAGCAACAGCTCGTCTAGCAGAAAGCAGTCGAGGGAATTTACGCAGCAGCAATCGACCGCCAGCACGACGCAGACTACAGCAAACCTTACCAGTACAAGTGGTTGCAGTCCGAAAAATGATGCTTGCAATATGAACATCACAACAAGGGGTCACGTGTTGTTCTCGACGATGCCGCAGCAGCAGCAGCAGCAGCAGCAGCAGCAGGACCAATCTTCAACGGCAACGGGGCGCCACCAGGTGCCTATAGTTACAGGGCCATCGTTTGGGGAAAGCAATATTAACATCTCAGGAGGCTCGTGGAGAAGAGGGTCGATGGACCACAACTTTTCAACTACGTCGGTGCGTGACAACGGAGAAAGAGCCGTGCTGCGAGGATCGTTTTTAGCTGGTCCGTCATCTCCGACACTTCATCTTTCAGGAACACCATCAAGGAAGGGAAGGCATGAAAAATACAGTCACGAGAACCTGAATCGAATTCAGTGCAGCTACGCGCACTCAACGAGGGCCGCAAATACCACACCCTCAAATGCGTCTACGCGGCATCAGGTTCAACACCTTCAACATCAGCAAGGTGGCTCCTCTTCGACTCCCGCTTCTTCGTCTTCTTGGGCTATGCAACACAAGCCAAACGCTCCAGCAGCGTCCTCGGGGACTAAGTACTATGCTAATGGGAACGCCACGGCCACTCCACATAATACAATACTGACAACGCCATGGACGGCCGGCCGTGGATCTGCAGCAAGTGACTCGGCCAATAGGGGCGCGGGGTGGAAATGGAATGTTGGCGGGAGAAGCGGCAGTTTGTCCGGAAAGAGCTGCAGCATGGTGTCGTGGCGTCGAGAGGATGCAGCTTCAACTGGGGAGCATGAGAACGGTTCTATCCACGAACGCGGTCACGCTTCTTCTTCGGCCTCAACATCGTCTTCGATAATTATTTCTAACGGATCAAATAGAGGCGCTTCCGCTGCTGGATCTGCGAAGACGCCAAACAAGGGCAGTCGGAAGTCCGCAGCCATGATGAAGAGTGCAGGAGCAAGTGGAGGTGTCGCTGGAACGACTGGCACATCAGGCGCAGCAACACCTACACCCGCTACTTCAAGAGAAGCTGGTGTTGGGGCTGGGGCTGGTGGTCCGAATGATGGTAACAACGACGAAGAGGTAACATTTTATCCTACTTTTTCCCTCACCTCGAGCGCATCTTCGAACGACACGCAGCAAGACGGAGCGCATTGTCTAGCTTCTCACAGACTCGATAGCGAAACACCACATAGTCAGCTCAGCGTCGATAATCACCTGAGTACGACATCCAGCTTCCCCGCGATGGAAAGTGAACAACAGGTAGCTCCTCTGAATTTTGCGATTATGATATATTTATAACTTGCAGGGACTTTAATACAAAAACAAAAGAAGAGCCATGTCTTCCAGCAGCAAACCGCCTCTCTTTCCTGTGATCAGGATTTTTTTCATCTCAAGTGGAATATGTTTTTTGACTATCTAAGGTTCGAAAGCATATAACTTGCAATCGCCGGCATGTGGATAAGTCGCACAGAATAAATGAAAGCGTTATCAATCAAGTAGAAGATGAAGATAGATAAAAGTGAAATCGCAAGCCAAATTTTTTATCACTAACATGAAACTACTTCTAACACCAGTATCAGTAACTGGAGTATCATGTTTCACCCATGTTGTCACTGTTTCTATGCTTCGATCGAGATGGAGATTGTTTTATCACTACATTACTGAGGAGATCCCCTGCGGCAACTCGACTCAGGTCACATTTCAAGCGGACGACGACCCGCGTCGTAATATACGTCCACCACTTCACGCCTGGAAGTGCTTGTACGTTGCGAATGGCTCAACTCCCTCTGCTTCGTCATCTGGTGAACAACAAGTTAGCTATCAGGCTGGTGGTGGAGGCAATGATGTATACGCAACTATGTCGGCGCGCTTTCCGTATGGCCTGACGCTAAAAAGCTTGCCCAGAGTGCTGGACGAGTCGGTTATCGAGGAACTGACACGGCCGCTCTACAGCAATGGCATCTCAACCGGTTGGGCTCTGATGGATCCGCCACGTCTACGACCTGGTAAGCAAAAACACATAAAGCGTTGCGCTATACTTCTCTGCGAGAGTGTTGAAGTCCAGCAGCGCGCGCTAAGCGCCTACAACACTCTTTCGCAGGAGGACCGCTCGGTGCACAACCGATTCGGAGTTTACCCGGAGAGTGAGGCGGCGCGCAACGCATTTGTGCGGCTTGTGCGTGCGTTGCCGAGCCAAAAAAGATCATCCTCCCGAACGCAACCGCAAACGCATGGACTTGTCTCTTTCGACGCTGATCAGTGCAGTGAGAAAACAGTCACTTTGTTGAAAGAGTACCGAGTTGTGGGCAGAGTAGCGTATTGCCCGATCCTGCGCACTATGGCGTGTTGGCAAGGTGAGGGTACGGAAGTCTTCGAATTCGACAGATGGCAGCTTCAAGAGGAAAGCAAGGACAAAGAGGCTCTACTGTTGACGTTTCGCAGACATTTCACGGTACTACGAATTCTACTAGAAGTACTGGACACCCATTCTATGGACACGTTCTGCTAGTTGTAGATGTAGTATTCAATTCTGATTTTTTATCCTCAACATGCAAGATCAAAAAGCTAAGCTGTGTGCATTAATCACGACTTTCAGGATGAACCTTTCTCTAACCGAGTAAGTATGAAGCATTTCATGAAACTCAAGAAATGAAGAAAGTTGATTTTATTCTATCAGCCCCTTATGTTAGAGAGGCTGAGGCGTAGTTGTAGAAGCGTTGCCGGATGGTGCCCATCTTTTAGGTGGCGTACTTGTACTATTCGTATGAAGAGCCGACGGTGTACTCATTGCAAGAATTGATTCAATGTCTGAAAAGCAGGTACACGATTTTGCGCCGGACGCAAAACAAGGTGGAAAGATAAAAGCGGAAAAGAACAGCCAACCGTCGAGTGCGTGCGCGTCTGGGTCATTTTCCAGTACTGCCTTTTTTTTCCATGATAGGCATAGATATGAATCATAATGCAATAGAGTGGAAATGAGCAGTCTCTCAATAACAAGAACATTACTGACTTTCGCTTTGTAAAGCTGCAAATTAATAAGTATCCAGATTTCCTGTTTAAACTATAACAATAACAGATCTTCGAACTTCCGGAAAGAACAGCAGCGACAAATCTCAGAGACCAAAAAGCTCGAGGCCTGTGTCGAAGAGAAGCGAAAGTATCGAGACAGAGAGGGTGTCCAGTGCGACTTGTTCTCTAATAGCGGCAATGACCACGCTTGATCACGATCAGGTGGCCGAGGCTGTAGAGAAAGCGGCTGCCGCAACGAAATCGAAGGTTGATGCATCAATGACGAGTGGCGGATTATTGTCTGCAGCTGTGTCAGCGGAGCAGCCCGAAGAGCAGCACAAAGAAGACAAAAATACTCACGTGTTGAGGAAGTGTGTAGTTGAACAGCAACCTAGCTGCGAAGGCGAAAGCGAACCTTCAAAGGACACAATCCGCCTAGCCTCAGTCGAAAGCGCGATTGCGCAAGAAGGAGACTGCGCGTGGCCAGAAAAAAAAGAGGAAGAACGTGAGGAGACGCTTGCTGCTTCTAACGTAGAATCAGGCGACGACAACATGAAAAATAGAAGTGCTCAACAAGGTGCAGCACTACTAGGCCTAGATGAGGCCTCATGTTCTTCGGTAGCGGGCGGTGCTGGGCTCTCAAACAATATTTGTGGAGCCGGTGAAGATGTTGAGCCTGCTGAGCAAGCAGGAGCGGAGGATGAGAGTCCCATGCGCGTTGAAACGCTGTCAAGTCGAATGGGAATTCAAACACCGTATCGTTGGGTCCGACGTACGACTCTCGGAGGCAGAGACCTGGCCACCGAGCGCGATGCCATTGCTGAGGAATCGGTTGAGGGAGACAGCACGCGCACAAGCTCGTGTTCCGGTAGCGCTGCTGGAGCAGCAGCGCGCACCCTGACCCTACCCGCCGTTGCAGGCTTCACGGAAATCAAGAATGAAGAATCTCCCACAGAATCTGCTGGACAAATGGGTATAACTGCGACGAAGGCCACTGAGTCAACATCCTGTTCGCACCAGTCTGACGAGGCGTCATCTGCGGATGCAGCACAACACGAGGGCCAAGCTGTTCTGGAACAAACCGCTGTCCCTGACGCAGCAGTTGGACAGCCGGAAACCGTGACCTCCGAAGGGGAAATGTCGAGCTCTACAGCAGCATCTCCAAGTAGTATGAACGATACAAGCGACGCGCTAATCCAATACCTGCTCAGCAAGAAGAAGCTAGAACAACAAGCGGAGTTGCAGCAACAAGAAGTCTCTCTCTCGCGACAAACAACAGAAGATGGTGGACAGGCTGTTGGAGCAGCCGCTGGAGGGCCGACGCAACAACCTGTCGTAGGAACAACAGCTACAGCAAGTGCGCCGTCGTTTGGTCAACTGCAGGATAATTCTTCTAACATCATTGATATAGACTCGGCGCGACAAAGCCGGTCGCGAATGTTTTACGGATCTTCTAGCTCGCTATGCTGTCCACACGACGACGTGCAGGTGGCTTCCCGCGAATTTCGATCGGCGAGCAGCGGGCAATCGTTTCTGGACCCGGTGCAGCAGCAGGTCCAAGGCGTTTTCGAAGTAACGGTTGCTTCGCGTCGTTGCTCCGTGGCGCCGTCGGCCGCTCCGCTGAAACGGTCCTCGGACCCGATTCCGCAGATGCCTCCACTGGAACCTGGCGCGCTCATGTTGCCCGACTCCACTTCAGCACCTCCAGCGAGCGGCTTTTTGGTGCACCAAGGGTCGGGCAGTTCCCTCGCGACCAGCGCTTCCGGGACGCTGCAGCTTCCAGACTCACTGATTTCGAATTCGTTCAGTTCGGGGCCAACAATCGCACCCCAACAGCTGAGCCAGCTCTCTGCTCTCGGATCTTCAGGTACAAAGTGCTGGATGCCAGAGCAACAGCAAGGGAGGAATATAGGCTCCTCCTGCGTCATGACAGATGTTCTTAGTGCTGCGGGAAGTTCGGCACCTGCCTCAGGGACCCTTCTTGGCGACGATTCCTCAATAGCAGCGGCCCCTGCTGTTCTGGATGACGGCTCTTCTTGCTTGGACTTTCTGGGAACAGGACTGCCCTCATCATGGACGCCGCAGCCATTTGGCATGGATGGTGTGGGAGGCGGATTTGCGAACATGCAAGGCCTGTCGGCAACACTCGGTGGAGGAAGTCTGAGTTCTGATGTCGGCACGGCATCCTTGATGTCGCAGCAGATGATGCATTCAGGCACGCAACCAGGTGAGCAGCAACAGCAAGGGCTCGATGAATGGAGGGAACAGCAAACCGTTGGAACGTCGCAAGGCACTCTTACTCATAGCAACGGTTTGGTTTTCGGTGTAGGGCCATCGGCTATCGCTGCCGCGGGAGGCTTTTTGTCAGCTGCGGCACAACCTTTTACCCCATCCACAGCCGCATCGGCTGAAGCATCTTCGGTATCTCCGTGGTTTCCCGACTGCAGCACTCAAAAGGAGCAGCTGGAGCAGCAAACACAAATACAACAGAATTGGGACGACTCGAGTCTCAATACGACGTTTTACGCGCCAGCCACGTCTGGAGCGGAGGCCAGTGCGATAGGCACGACAGCGGTAGATCAACTCCATGTCGCAGCGACAGATGTCGCTACGGGTTATCACGCTTGCGTTCCAGGAGAACACTCGGTGACACAAACGGATCAAGTGTACGTTTCCGAATGGGGCAACACGGACACTTCAGGGGCGCAACAAATGAACAATCCGTATATGGTTCAAGGAGACGACGGAACCACTGCAGCAATGGGTACCACGACTCTCCACGGTGTTGTTTCGGTTGATCAGGTAGAGCAGGAAATGTTGACAGGAGGACATCAACAGCAGCAGACTGCGACGTCAGCACAAGACGCTTCGACTGCGTGTGCTCAGCAGCACTACTCCAGCTGCATGATGGGCGCGATGGTTATGCCGAGCGCAGTTGCGAACGACGTGAACGCGGCTGCGCTGGACGCAGAGGCAACCGTCCCCGCGCCAGCCGCTGTGGCGTCTACTGCTATGACGAGTGGCTGGGAGCCTGGACAACCATTCACGCCAGCAGCTTGTGCGCAGCAGGACGGATCGACTGCGGCTTGCCGAAAGAGTGTCCACAGCAGCTACTCGCGCAAGACATCCGAGGTGAAAGCACTTGGAGAGCTCGCCGACGAGATTATTGCGTCCAGCCGAGGAACCGACCGGCAACCGCCTTCGCGATCGAGCACGATTCCGCCGGAGTCGTGGATGAGCGCTCCTTCTCGGAGTACCACCGTTTTGGACGCCAACGCTGCACCTTTCGTTATTGGATGCGCAGCTATGGGCGCAGAGAACAATGGTACTCTACTTGAGACAGCATCTTCACGGCCAGCACAAAACTACCCTTCGACCGCAACATCTACAACCTTTGGCACGGGTTTCGGTCGAAGTAAGAAAGCAGTGCTGTCATACGGTGTTTTTTCCAAAGAGGCGGCAGGCTTATCTTCTACGAAAGGTACTACCGCTGCCAACGCTGATCAGACGGCAAAGACAGGTACCAGCTCGAACGGTGACGGGGCAAGTGATGGGTTTCGATATTCAGTGGAAAACTACAATACTAGCGACACGACCAGCGGTGCAGCCGATGGAGTGGGCTTGCGTGACACTTCGAGCGACCCCGCTTCTACTCCCGCCGCTCCAGCAACGGCAGTAGCACACGGTAAGAGTCCGAAGAACAGCATTTACTCACTGTTTTCTGCACCCAAGAAGGCAAAGAGCGGTGCTGCGTCGCAAGGAGCCGCCAGTAAGAAGAAGAACAAGAAGAGAAGTAGAAAGCAGGAGAGACTCGATGATGAAATAGCTATGATGAGCACGGTTGTACAACCGGAAGAGGCAGCTAAAGGCGCTTCGCAACTGAACAGCTTTGGTAATTTCGCCGCTAATGCAGAGAATATTCTTGAAGAACATGAACGACTCTACGGCAACGGCGCTGAACAACAGCAATCCTCGGTATTGCAAGGCAAAAAATACGGTGGGGGTATAAAAAAGGGCCAGTCAAGCCAGGGCAAGGGCGGCGTCGAACACGGAGTTGGACAAGAAGATCGACAAGAATTGTTGGGTTCGAAGAAGGGTAGTGGGCAGAAATCCTTGGGCGGAAAAGACCGAAAGGAGAAATCTGCAGAATCGCAGAAGCGGGCCACATCTCACCTGAATGAACAAGATACTCACTACTTGGCTGACAGCACCCGAAGAAGCAAGAGCGGCAATGGCAAGAAAGAGAGCAGCTTGCAAGAGAGCCCTCTGCAACGACAGCAGAGCGGAAAAGGTGAAGCATATTATGTTGCGAGAAAGGGTAATTATAGTCTGCAGCACAGTCAGGGCGACAAGTCGAGCCACAGCTCCTACGATATCACACTGGTTGGTGGTGCTTCTAGCTACACTGGTGTCAGCAAAAGTCTACAATATCAAGAGCGAACTCGGAGCTACGCCCAGGGTAGCACCACGACTGGGGATCAGTACCGCGCGGTTGGAACCTTAGCAGATACGGCGCAGAGTGCACACTACCAGCACGACGACTACTATCAAACCGACGTTGTAGAGTACGACCAGCGAGAATGGTCAGCATACAGTACGTCGACGTCTATGTACGCACCCTACGCGCACAGCCACTTCGGAGGCATGACAAGGGGCGACGCTTTTCCGTCCTCCACCTGGAGTGCTGCGGCTTCCACACACGGACGCGCCGCTTCACGTGTACGCTCGGATGGCGCGGCTTTGGTCGCTACGCAGCAGCGAACACGTTACTGCAGAACGCTCATGTCGAAAGTCCCTCACTATCCAAGTCACGGGCGTGGTGGCGCTTCTGCCGATCCAGTGAGCGCAGCCGCACCAGAGACTTCAGTTATGGCGGGAACGCCGATTTGCAGCGGTGCGACGCCAATGAATGGCGCAGCACAGCGTGCTGTGCCGAGCCACGACGCTTCTACTCCATTAACGGGGGCAGCCGGCGCCACCCCGCTAGCTGCAGCAGCCTCGACTCCACGTATCAACTTCGACGCAATGTCTCAGCGGTCACTCTCCGTTACCGCGCGACCATTCACGCCCACGGCTCATCAGTTTGTGCCTTCCTTCTCTGCGACTACCCCAGCAGCGCGAAGCGGAAGCGTTTCACCGGTTCCTGGTTTTCTCTGGGATTACTCTGCGGGACCCTCGAACTATGCTTCACCGAACAATCATGGTACTATTTATTTAATATTATCATTTTTAGCAGAGCAGCAGCAACAAGCGTTACCGGCCTACTTAAAGATTGTGGCCTTCTATTTATCCCAGTTCCACAGAAGTTCATGGTAAGAACATAATACAAATGAAATGGTTTTTTCCCCGATGGGTCTCTTCCCTACTCGGTATCGGTTGCGGAAGTCTGCTTAAGACCGGAGGCATCCTTGCAGGGGGCGCTTAAGAGGATGTCCCGGGCCCCCTTCCGCTCGGTCTGTTTCTTTCTATTTTTTCTTGTTTTTTTTGAGAGAACCCGTGTGTCCCCTAAAACAAACATAAGTGTCTGCAGAATGTTAAGGCGGTTTTACTGATAATTCTAATAGGGTAGGTACTATCGTACAGCTGGTACTGTACAAAAGATAGTGCAACGTGATCATACGATAGGTAAGAAACAGTACTACTGCCTGTAATTCTCGGCTCTTATCTCACGCTTACCAGTTATTATCATGTTTTTCTATCATCTCATTTTTTTGAAAAGTTTTTTCTGAGAGTACCCTTCCCATACTAGTAGTCGTAGTCTGGTACATTCCGTTTCACATGTTAAGGCTTGCTCTCACCTGATTAATCTACTGCGTTTAGGTGGTGCTATCATACAGCTTCAAGCGGTGTCTAAGAATAGCACACTGTGATCATTCTAGAGTATAGAAACTAGATCTTCTCTCGTATTTCCCGGCTCTTCTCTCACGCTTACCAGTTACTATCTATCATCTGTTGTCCTAAAGAAGTCAGCTCTTTTTTTGGCTAAGGTCTACCTGATTACTATCTATCATCTTCTATCACCAGCGTCAACATGTATCGGGCAATGTAATTGTAAATGCATGGAACTAAGTAAAGCGATCCGTCGTTGGAGATAGTGATAAATTTAGATTAATAGAAGAAGCTTTTTATTATGGGACGCCAAGGGCTGTAGCATCTTACTAGCTGGTGGGTTTTCTTAATCGTGTTAAATAGGTCTAATTAACTCTTACTATAATAGTAGCTAGGGCCCTCCTCTCTGGTTGTGGGTTTATTTGGTGAACCGGTGCCCCATAGCGAATAACCCTGCGCGCACAGCCAGAGAGCTGAGCACTCACCGGAGGCGTTGCACAGGGCTCCGGCCTGCCTTCGAAGGTGAGACCTATGGGGCTGACAGGACGACGATAGCGCCGGCGCTTGCTTAGTTTTAGCAGATAGGAGGATGCTTGAAGATGATAGTGACCCTCTTCCGTTTTCTATCTTCCTCTGGTCTTTCTTTTTTCTTCTTCATCAAGAAAGATCAGGGACCTCTACGGACAACTTTCTCAACACATATTAAGCTAGTACTTTAGACATGAATGTTGCGATGAAAATCATTTTGGATTTGCGTGAGCGTGTAGTGCTCTATGTATATCTATTGAGGTTTAGTTTATCTAGAAGTAAGTAAAAAAATTCAGGTTTCTTTGAAACACAAGAAAATCTATATCGATCGTTTCTCAGGTTCCACCCCCTCTTCTTGTGTGGTAGGCAACACTGGTGCTACTGCGTCGACGAACAACGTGTCCTTGGAAGAAGCTGAGGAAGGAAACCCCGAATTGGCGACTTCAGGGGAAGGTGATGACGCTATTTCTCGATTTTTGCGCAACACCTCAAAGCAGTGCTCCTCGTCCGCAGCTAGCAGCAACAATCAGTCCAACACGACTGGCAACAATACCACTCCCTCTACTTCGTTGGTCTTGAACAACAGTCATGAACAAAAAGGTAACAACCTTCTCGTTCTCAGTGGTGGTCCTAGTACACCCACAGGGGCAAGAGTGCAGCAACATCTTCATCATCAAGAAACCACTGACCAAAGAATAACAGCTGTGAACAGTGGAGGTTCTACTTGTGATTTGGCGGCGAGTTCTTCCTGTGCCAGACAAGGATCTGCTACACCGGCTACGACTGGTAGTGCGAGCACCACAACATCGCCATCCACGGGTTCAGAGGGCGATCGACCCACGCTTGACCAAACCTTGGAGCGTACCGGTTCCAGAGCACGGGGAGCTAGTGAAGATTTGGAGGAGCTTTTCAGACCAATGATGAGCAGCGCAACGCAACGCAACTTGTCGTGAGCAAGAAACAGGTTGTCATCACCAAGACGTAACCACAACAAGTAGTGTAAGATTTTTCTAGCTCTGCAAAAGACTGAAAGTTTGTCATATTTCATGCTCCTGATTGAAGAAAATGCAAGATCAAGTCTATTCTCTTTGTTGATGCTGTTTGAAGATCTTAGCTACTTATGCAGATCCTGCAGCATCATTCAACGCCTGTAATCTTTTATCGTTTTTTTTCCTTAAACGAAGTAGACACATTTGTTTTCATTATGTAACATCAGAATACCAATTTACTTTTACCTAATTATCGAAAATGATAATGAAGAAAATTGCGACAGTACTAGGAGTAGATGGACGATAAGTAGTAGGATAACCCAGAATATCAGTTTTTTTACATGCAACGACCCCCCACCGTGGCGCGCGCGCGAAAGGCAACTGATGACTGTATCCATCCCATTCGTATGGTGAACCATAACGGAGAGCAGTAAACGTAGAGGCGGTCCGCAACGTCAACGAAGCTGGATGGGAGGTGGATGTCTTCGCGTTTTGATCTTTTTTTTCCCATGCGAATGCTTGCTATCTAGGAATTATTCACCAACTACCTAGTAAGTACATTTGTTTGATGAAAAATGAAATGCAACCTACCAATATTAATATCTTCAACTGCGCACATATTTTGTTGTTCTTGTGATGAGCGATAACTGAACGTAATAATGAGGAAGATGGAGATCGTGGTTCGTGTATCTTCATCTGGAGCAGGAATTCTTGGGGACGAACCAGTATACTATTTAGGGTTGGAGATTGACGATCTATCGAATTACATAGTACTACCACAGATTATATATATTTGCGTTCGTTGGGACAAGGTGAATAAGAACCTAGAAATGGTGTATTAAGATCTGATGGATAAGATTGTACAGGGTAGTAAAGTTGTTTGGGAATGACGTCCACCTGAACGTGACTCCCATACAAAGGCATAGGCGTACAATACATGATAGTTATCTTCTCATTCTCAACCTCCTAATAGTAATGGTTTTCATATTATGTGGCTCTTGTTTTGTGAAGATCTACCATTTTTTTCCGACGTACTAGTTCGGGTGAGTGACACGAGCTGAATGAAGAAAATGTACAACCATCATGCGTGGCGTGATGATCATGCCTGCAACCTGCGCGTTGGCATGCTCTGCGTGCTGATGCAGCCTCGCAAACACCCAGTACCATCGAAATTTAGGCTAGCGTCGTTCCGGCGAGCTGGATATGCATAAGGAGACTGACGTCATTATTATTTGTTCTTCTGCTTGTAGTCTTTTTACGCGTAGTCGTACCTCCCGCTTTATCTGTGCGACTAGTACTGCTGGGACGCTTCACTGAAAACATTTTCGAACCACATTCGGAAGATCAGTCATCATTTATAAAGAACTACTCCATCTAGTTCCAATTATTTGCATGATCATCTACTACTACTACAAGTACAAGAACAAGAACATGTACAAGAACATGTACAAGAACATGTACAAGAACATGTACAAGAACATGTACAAGAACATGTACAAGAACATGTACAAGAACATGTACAAGAACATGTACAAGAACATGTACAAGAACATGTACAAGAACATGTACAAGAACATGTACAAGTACATGTACATCTGCATTATGATCGTATCTATTCGAGTGTGTAACATGATATAATTGGACATCAAATACCAGACCTATTAGTCGCTATTTTAGACGAATTGTGGTGTCCAGGAGTTCACTTCGTCTCGCTTATTGCTACAGTTTACATATATAATCCGCTTCTGAGGAAATGGCGTTGCTGGTTCCCCGACCTCCTTGCCGGCCTCGGATCGGGGCAGCACCCCGCAAAAACCTCGTAATAGTACAACCCGCAAGGCTGACCATAATCGTCATCGACGGTGGTTGGCAACATCTAACGATCAAAGCGTGCAAAGTTTTTTCTTTTTGATTACACAACTGATTGTTTGGTCGCGGTTGCCAACTCGAAGAATTCAGTGGATTCCTTCAAGACCAGTTGTTCATGTTACATATGAGAAAGATGATTCTCCACCAACAGCAACGTTTCCTGTTTAAGTATTCTAGACATGGGAGGACGTAAGAATTCTATAGTGCATCTGAAAAAGATTATGGAGGGGGAAACATGTCTGACGAGGTCGTTCTCCAGAGAAGCACAATCTCAATCTGTCCCTTCAAAACTCTCAGTTGTTTCTTTAGTAGGAATGGGACTGTCACATGTCAAACGTTGGTCAGTACTATCGGTCGTGTCTGAAAAGTAACTGAGAGCGTCGTGATGCGGTCCAAATGCGACATGTGGATGCCCATATCCCAACCCACAAGCTTAGATTGTTGTCTCTGGAAATTGTTGTCTCAAATTGTATCCCGATTAGTCAATGGGTAAACTACATGACGCTGCCTTCAGATTCTGGGGATTATGAGCCTGATACAACATGAAGATATGTCTCAATGTCGAAATAGTCCAAGACATATATAAAGAGCAAGAAGATCTATGAATCGACAAACGAGTAAGTAGAGATATGTGTTGTAGTTATGACAAGAAAGCAGAGATTACATTTACAATGAGTGCTTCCGCGACGTATGTGTGGCAGTGCCCGCAAGGACATCCCTTGGTACCGCAAGAAAGCTTGGAGAAGTTAGCTGCACTCTGTGGGGGGCGGCGCTATATCCGCGGGGTTCGTTGCGATCTGTGCGGAGTGTCCAGTCGTCACCGCGCACCAGCAATAGAGGATGGGGAGCAAATGGCAGCAAATCAATTTTCGCGTGGTCACTCCTCTTCTAGCAGTAGCAGTTCAACTGTCCATCACGGAGCAGGACCACTCGAACCCAAACGCGATCATAACATCACATCAGGAGATGCAGCACTTTCAACATCCACCTCAACATCGTCCTCATCTTCCTTGCTCTGTTGGAATATTGACGATGTCTCAAGTTTTCACTGTCAGTTGTGCGAGTACGATCTCTGTGTTCCCTGTGCGAGAGAGGAAATGGGTCTAGAGCGGTACGGGTCTTCCCAGCACGCGGCTAAGCGGACGGCGATGAAAAAACGGAGGAGCGACGTCGGATTGCCGGATGAACACGAGAGGCAATCGCGGAACGTAGGCGGAGCACTCAAAAGTGCCGATACCTCTTCGAAAGGGAGAACAAGAGACGAAGCTGCACGAGCAAATCGTCAGGGTAGTGCTACGACGGCGCTAGGAGAAGCTGAATCTTCAACTACGGGTACCTTTGGTGAGAGGGTCGCCTGTAATTTTCCTAATGTTATGGTACGCGCGGATCTGAAAGAGGTGACACGTCGTTTACCACTTTCAAATACAGCATCGAATCGGTCACGACCAAACCTTAACAAGGAGGTGGATGACCTTGTACCAAGAAGGCGGCGACGTAAACGAAAATATCTCGTTCTTCAAGTCTGGAGTGGCTCTACAAGCGAAAGCGAAGAGGACAATTTGTCTGCGGACGCGACTACAGCAGTATCTTCATCCAGCGCTTCGTCCGCATCCTCTTCCTCATCTGCTTCCTCTTCATTTTCCAGTAGCTGTAGAGTGCCATGCACATCTCGTTCGATCGAGGAAGTACACGAGGATCAGGATGACGAGGAAGTAACGCTGACTATTATTAGCGGTACTGCACTTACATCAGCAGCTACGTCAAAGGGTGTTCCGATTATCGTGCCAGAAAGGCTTCTTCTGCCGTCAAGGAATACCGATGCTGAGGGTCGCCAGTCAAGAGGCGGAAGAGCAGAAGAGTTTTCGTTTTTGAGGAGCAACGCAATTAGTGGAGTTCAGGGCGATAATAATCTTCTGCTAGGACGACGAAGCGCAGGTTGCCATCCTCGTCGCGCGGTGTCGCCTGAAACTGAAGAACAGATGCTTGCCGGCTATCGAAAGTCATGGATTCTCGAAGAAACAAGTGAAGGTCGAGCTTCGAGATTGCACGACCAACAAGCTGATCAAGAACCACCTGCGTCGTCCGAGCGAGCGCGCTTTCGCTTTGTCCGCGAGTGCACACCTGCCGATTTTTTGTCAGCTGCGAGAATGAAGAAACCACTACCTGTACAGCAAGCTGGTGAAGCTACGACAACAAATGTCACAACGCTTCAAGATTGGCTAAATGTAGATCAGGTCGGGCGAAGTACTTCCGAACCCCTCAGCCCCACTGAAAGTAACGACACTCATGACGGCCACGCTGTTGCTGTGCCTGGATGTGTCAAAAATGAGTCCACTGATAGTAGTGTTCCTGGTGGTGCATCTTCCTCTTCATCTGCTAGTACGAGATCATCAAGAAGTAGTAGAATCGCTGAACTCGCAAATCGTGTCCTTGATCTTGATGGTGTGCGCAGTGCGATTCTGTGGGGCGCCGCTGATTTTGCAAGGCCTTTACCTTTTCTATTGCTCAATGCGTCGTTGTGGAGTCGTGATCTTCAACGGATGGTGCGAGATGACGGAATCTTGTGGCGCCGTGCAGCACTACATCTTTTCCCAACTGTGAACCCCATGCTACAGCGGATTGGTTCACTAGCATACGTGCGCCGCCGCACACAGGCGTCTGGATTACCGGGAATGGCCACAACTACTAGCGGGTCTGCTCAGAACTACTACACTACTGGTGCAGCGTCTTCTAGCGGGGCAAATGCAACTGCAAATCATAATGCTTTTCTAGGCCTAGGACCAACGGTGCAAACGCGACGTCAGCCTGGGATAGGGATGGCAGAAGATCATAGTAGAAGAGACTCGAGGAGCGGTCGGATCCTAAGAAGGTGTGATGCAGTGGGTTGTGCGAATTTGCCACTTTGCTTACCACGCATTCAACATCAAGCACGTCGGCCGACTACTTCCCCTCACCAGCCGGGACATGTGATAGAGGGTTGCGATGACGTGAAGTGTCCCATGGCGTGGGAGGCGCTGAAGTACCAGAGTCGAGAAAGCGAGCACATGCGCGTCTGCCAGCGTTGTAGAACCGATGTTTTCTTTTGTGAGGACATTGAAAATTTAGGGGAGCATCTGCGTAGGGGTCACAAATACGTCGCGGGCAATGCGAAGGATCGCTACGTGGACGGCATATCCAAATGCTGTCGGGGACAGATGCGACAGGTCGTCGCAGGACTTCACGCGCCACATCAGAGGCTGTAGCTTCATAAAAACCCTAAATAGATTTTTGAACTTAAAACGTGCTGGCGATGGAGCTAATAAGTTAGCTTTTGTTCTCTGCTCAAACTAAATACCTTCAGGAAGATATGAAGATGTTGTTGACCATGAGAGGCAAGGTCCATCGTCCATCCTGTCTTCTTGGAATTTTTCAAACTGGGAAAGGAATGATGTAGAGAGATGACGAGATTACCAGGGGATACTAGTTCTACGGCTACCCACAGAGAGTGAGCGTGCGGGTGCGGATCTGGATGAGAGAGACTTCAAATAGGCAGCATCTCTAACGGTGACTGTTTGTCAAACCACGACGAGTGCTATTCTTATGGCTTGACTCAGAAAGATCAAGATGCTTCTCGTGTGTATTTTGTTTTGTTCCACCTTGGACCACAAACGCTGATTTTGTTTTTGACAACCGACTCACGTCAATGAGTGTCGTGTCTCACTTCCATTTACACTTGTTTGTTCAGTTTGTTGAGACCTATGAAGGAAGAACAAGGTGGATTGAGAAAATCAATGATGACAACGATTCTTCACAGATCAGGGTTCTTTAATTCTTTTGTCCGATATTGATAGCCTGCTACAAATACTAGTTCAAGTTGTTCTTCTCTTGTTCTTGTTGTTTTTCTGGACCGTTGAGTTACGCGTTTGTATGCAAATTATTCGCGTGACAACATGTTGTTGTTGATAGAGACTTCTTGGATTAAATAACTATATATGTTCCAGGGCTCAGGGCGGGAGGCCCCCCCCCCCGATCCAACTTCTTGAAGGGGGGGGGGCCTCCGTAAGAGTCAGCGAACGCCCCCCGCGGATCGTCACGCGTCACGCCTCTAGCGTGACGCGTATGAACCTCGGGGGGATTGGGTGTTTTTTCGCCAGGCGTGCTCTAGCGTGACGCGTAGGAATATCGGGGGGATTGGGTGCTTTTTGACGATGAGCGCTCTAGCGTGACGCGTGGGAATCTCATCGGGGTCGGATGTCTTTCCCGCGTGCGTTCTTTAGTGTGACGCATGGGAATCCAATGCAGACCGGGCGCCCCTTTGCCAGTGTGTAAGCGTGACGCTGGCCGAAGTTCTCCCTTGAGGGTCCTCAGCCTCATGATCGGAAAGACTTCGGCTGAGTGTCCTCTATTCAGATTGAGGGCTCTCCTTTGAAGGTCCTCATGATCGGAAGGGCTTCATCTGCGAGCCCTCTCAGAGCAGAGCGAGGGCTCTCCCTTGAGGGTCCTCATGATCGGAAAGGCTTCAGCTGAGTGTCCTCTATTCTTTCAGTTTCAGACTGAGGGCTCTCCCTTGAAGGTCCTCATGATCGGAAGGACTTCATCTGCGAGCCCTCTCAGAGTGAGGGCTCTCCCTTGAGGGTCCTCATGATCGGAAAGACTTCAGCTGAGTGTCCTCGATTCAGATTGAGGGCTCTCCCTTGAAGGTCCTCATGATCGGAAGAGCTTCATCGGCGAGCCCTCTCAGAGGGAGGGCGCTCCCTTGAAGGTCCTCCCTCATGCTCGGAAGAGCTTCATCTGAGGGCCCCCTCAGAGTGAGGGTTCTCCCTTGAAGGTCCTCGCTCATGATCGGAAGAGCTTCATCGGGGGGCCCTCTCAGATTCGACTGAGGGTGGACTCTCCCTTGGGCGTCATCTGAGTGTCTTCTATTCAGAGTGAGGGTGGGTTCTCCCTTGAAGGTCCTCGCTCATGATCGGAAGTGCTTCATTTGGGGACCCTTTCAGAGTGAGGGTTCTCCCTTGAGGGTCCTCATGATCGGAAAGACTTCAGCTGGGTGCTCTCTATTCAGATTGAGGGCTCTCCCTTGAAGGTCCTCATGATCGGAAGGACTTCAGCTGAGTGCCCTCTATTCAGATTGAGGGCTCTCCCTTGAAGGTCCTCATGATCGGAAGGACTTCAGCTGAGTGCCCTCTTCAGATTGAGGGCTCTCCCTTGAAGGTCCTCACGATCGGAAGGACTTCATCAGCGAGCCCTCTCAGAGTGAGGGTTCTCCCTTGGGGGTCCTCTCTCATGATCGGAAAGACTTCAGCTGAGGGCCCGAAGGTCCTCATGATCTGAAGGCGGGGCCTTCATCTGCAGGCCCTTTCTTGAGCGTCACGCGAAGAGCGTGACGCCTTGTCTCTAGTAAGTCTGTAGGGTACATGCAACAAAAGCGTCACGCTTTTCGCGTGACGCGTCACGCTTTTCGCGTGACGCTCGAACCAAGATGGGGCAAGCTCTCAGTAGTATACCAGAGGGGGGAAGGCGTGGCGTCTTATGTAGGACCGCGGGGGGCGTTCGCTGACCCTTACGGGGGGCCTCCCCGCCCCGGCCCCTCTTTTCGAGGGGCTGCCGGGGGGGAAGGCCTCAAAGCGCCCACTTCTGACCCCTTCCCGCTTCTTGCCTGTACGCTACAGACCTGGCAAAGGTGGCAAAGGCTGGGCCCTCTTGTCGTGTTGCGTGTGCCCAACCCTACGCCAAGGGGGTGGGTTCCCGCCTTTGCCCCCTTTGCCAGGTCTGTAGGGTACATGCAACAAGGCAGCGGGGCCCGGCCTTGGCCACCTTTGCCAGGTCTGTAGGGTACACGCAACAAGGCAGCGGGGCCCTGCCTTTGCCCCCTTTGCCAGGTCTGTAGGGTACACGCAACAAGGCAGCGGGGCCCTGCCTTTGCCCCCTTTGCCAGGTCTGTAGGGTACACGCAACAAGGCAGCGGGGCCCTGCCTTTGCCCCCTTTGCCAGGTCTGTAGGGTACACGCAACAAGGCAGCGGGGCCCTGCCTTTGCCCCCTTTGCCAGGTCTGTAGGGTACACGCAACAAGGCAGCGGGGCCCTGCCTTTGCCCCCTTTGCCGGGTCGGTGGATACATGCAACAAGGCAGCGGGGCCCGGCCTTTGCCACCTTTGCCAGGTCTGTCGGGTACATGCAACAAGCCAGCGGGGCCCTGCCTTTGCCAGGTCTGTAGGGTACATGCAAGAAGCGGGAAGGGGTCAGAAGTGGGCGCTTTGAGGCCTTCCCGCCCGGCAGCCCCTCGACAGGCCTGGCCAATAAGGTGGCAAGGCTGGACCCCTCTGGCGTGGTCCACCCCAGATCCATCCACAGGGGGGGGGAGGGGGCCTCCCTCCCTGGTACATATATAAGTCATCAACATTGACGGTTTCATACATTAGATCTTGATTACTAGAATTTCCATTACTAGTACTACAATATCGTGTCTAGGATGTCTCCTGTCGAATAGAGGTCTTGACACGGTGGAACATGCAAGCCGCAGGGCCGGATCAAGATGTCCATTTGGCTGACAAGACCGCCCAAGGCCAGAGTAAGACATCACCAAGGATGACGCCGGTTGCTTCGGAAGTATCTACTAAGGTCGCGGCACAAGATTCGCCGTCCGCTTCTAGCAGTTGCAGCCCCATCGCCGAAGTCCAAAGCAGTCCGGAAGCGAGTCCAACGGGACAATCACCAGCAATAGCGGACTCCGAATATTTCGTGACAGGTGGCACGAAGATAATCTGCTCCTCCAGTGCTTCCCCAGACCCGTCTTTGCGGGAAGCATCGATTGAAGAACCTCCACGTAGTGCGGCTCAACAAGGTAGACTTGCTAAAAGCAGTACAACTGCAGGAGGTAATACAACGCCGGGCGAGGAAAAGGAGACGTCCAGCAATAGGAATATGGCAATACAACAAGGTACTAGGCTGGTGCCGCAAGCAGAAGGCGAGGCTCTGTTAGAGCCGTTCGCACTTTACAGTAACCTCGCGGATGCTAAGAATCGCCCTGCGTCACCGCTCGAGCTCTCGTTTTGTGGTACGTCTTCTAACCAGACCGTCATAGGTAAACAGTTTCCAGCTGCAAATAAACAGACAGCAGGCAGTTTTCCAGTTCCAAAGACACAGCTGGGCGCACCACAGATGAGGGGAGGCGCATCTTCAACCGCACAAACAGGTTTAGCAACGGCGCCTCAATACCAAGACGGATCAGCTGCGCCGGTCATCCCAGAAGATGGTGTGCGCGCGGATCGTCGTCGTATTCCTCCTCCACAACCGACCCTTGCGAAGGCCATGCTCTCAGGAAAAACCGTTCCCTACTCAGGTGCAGCCGGCCTAAGCTATCCTTCGTCTACTGCTCCAGGTGCGCCGCAACTACACCAGCGAGCTCGGGCGAAACAGCAAGGGGGGCAGCAACCGACACAGCAGCGTCAGCCATCGCCTCCGCAGCCGACGCAACAACACCAACCATCACCGGTTTCTGCCTCAGGAGGACCAGGATCAGGGCCTGCTGCAGCGCCAGGGCAGCGTATGCAATCTGCACCCGAACAGGCCGCGGCCGGCAAGAGTCCCACTATTTCGGATGCGTCCGGGGCCGAGTACTATCAGCGTCTGCACGCGTACTACCAAAAGCAGTACTACGGCGACGACGGGTCCGACAGCGTGCCTGAGGAACCGCTCTTGGATACAAGTTCGGCGCAGAATCGTGCCAAGCTGCGTGAAAAGCGCCAGAATGCAGGCCTTTTTTCAAACCATCTGTACGACGCGAACGGCAATTATATCGGCGCAGACCCGAGCTTGCTGGGGACGCCGCGTGAGGAAGGTGCTGTCCGAAAGAGGGGAACAAGCGGCTCCTCGTCGAAGAAACGGAAGAAGACAATGCTAGAATACCTCCTACGAAAAATGCAGAAACCGGAAGTCGTTCTCCTCTCTGTCTGGTGGGCGATTATGTTCGCTCTTCTGCTGTTCTTAGCGGATCTGTGGAGCATACTGGTGCTAATTTGGAAACCTCTCCTCTTCTTAGTGTCCGTTCCCGTTGTCTGCTTCCTCATCGTGCTGGTCGTAACACTGTGAGGACACCCGAGGAGATGCGACTCTGGCTTTCTGCATGCTATTGCTGCTGCATGCATCGTATTAAGTTTAAGTTAGTAGTAATTGATACAATATTTATTTTATTAGCATTCTCATGTCAATGGTTTTTAGTCCAGGGTTTAGTTTCCTCTACGACCTACAATCTAGTCCTCTCATTATTAGCATTCTCATGTTTATTTTCTTTGCTACCGGGTGTTGAGTAAGTAGAAACAGTTTGATGAGTAGTTTCGTATCTACTGTGAGGCAATCTCTTCTTAAGTTTCAGACTTGACGCTATGCTTGGATGAAGTGGATAGTAATTATCCATAATGTTCGACCGTGCTGTATTCGTTAAGGTCTTCGAGGTGTGATAAGGTGTTTTTCGTCAGGAAAGCCAAAGCTTGGATCTTCTTCTTTTCTTCGATTACCTATGTAGCACGTTCTTGGTATTCTTGGTATACTCATAGGGTCACGATAAAAGGAGGCGGAGGTGGCCCTCCAGTTGTAGCGCGTGAACTCTCAAGCACGACTAGCCCAGACCAAGTGGGTGCCCAGTGTCCCATCGTTTCTCCCGCCAGCAAGATTTCACCCAAAAAGAATAACTACGTACGGTACTGTATACTGTATGCTGCACGCATTTAACTTTAAGCAGGTGAATATCGCCGCTCCATCAAATGACCTAAGTTAGTGTACGCGAAGCCATTTAAGTATGGGAAGCCAAAATGAGCGAAAAGCTGTCATCTTCTTGTTCACTCCGAAGTGATTTGACTCAGCGTGAGAAAACATTGCTTGCCCGGTTGACGCTAGTGGCGCCGAGCCGTCCTGTCTGAGATCTGGTCGCCGATTCTAGTAAGTGCTATAATTGGCGCCGCAATGCGGGTCCCCCGATGATCCACGCTCGTGGCGCCGAGCCGTCCTGTCTGAGATCTGGTCGCCGATTCTAGTAAGTGCTATAATTGGCGCCGCAATGCGGGTCCCCCGATGATCCATTTCCCCTCGCGGTGTCTCGACTTTGTTCCTCTCTCAGCGTTAAAAGCAAACTCTCGTCGGTCTTAGAGCAATACTGCGAAAAATGTGAAATTAAATGCCCTAGTTGGAATTGTAGCCGAGGGAATATTTGAATGTTTATGCGACAATAAAAGAGATGGAAGTTCGATTTTTCTATTTCAGTTTCTTCTAGTTCTGATGTAACTGCGCTCCTTTTTAGTTCCATAATGTATCATTTTTTATGTTTAAACAGTTGCAGGTGGGTTACAGCTTTCTTTCAGGAATATTCGAAGTTTAGTGAGGATTGATGGTTTCGTCTTGTCTGAGAGAAGCCTGCTGAGCAGAATACAACATGGTTTTTAAATGAATCTCATGAACTGTGAAGATTATCACTGGATGGATTTATCATGGTATTCGTTGTTATTCATTTTATAATAATGATTTCAACCTGCATCTGCTAGCATGTTGACCGTCACTTATAGCGACAACAAAAATGAAGTTGTTTTGCTCAGACGACGGCCTTGGTGGCAGCGAACAGATTGGTGGATCCGAGAGCAGCAGCCGTCCAGCACGGCGGCCGTCAGGGAGTGTACGCGACCTCTTTCGGCGTTCCAGGAAAGGTTCAAGGGAAGGGCGAAACGCGGACGAGTCTGAGGCGCGCGAGGATGATAGACAGGATGAGACGAGCTCAACCTCAAGAACTGGATCTTCATCCTATGGTGGGGGTAGCAGTGCAGAGTCGCTTACGGGGCGACTTCTGCGGCGACTCGAGCGGTCAGAAAGTCGGATACCACGGTTTTTGATTCCGTCCGATGTGCGCCGCGTGGTCGAGCAGGAAATAACGGCTGAAAATTTTCCAGATCTTTCACGCGAACAACTTTTGATGACTAAGTACACTTGGGCCGCAAAGCTGAGCCACTTCCAAAAGTACGGTGCCTTCTCGCGTGGTAACCACATTGATATTTTAGAAACAGGCGATGTTGGCTTTCCCCGCATGCTCGATGCGATCAAGACTGCGAAGAAGCGTGTGTGGCTGGAAAGCTACATTGTGGACGACTCAGCGATTGCAGAACGATTCGTGGACGCTCTATGCCATGCGAAGACCGTAAATGGAGTGCCTGAGGTCGTTATGGTGCTGGACGGGATCGGCGGGCGTGAGATGTCACGAAGTCAGATAACCCGACTGCAGGAAGCAGGCGTAAAAGTTGTGGTATTCAATGCGCCAGGCGTGCGATCTGTCTTGTTGGGAGCGGGGACTGCCGCGGAAGACACCGATGTAGCCTCAAGCGTACAGCCGACGGCTTCTACTAGTGCAGGTGCAGTCGGCTCTGCGTCTGCGAGTGAAAATACAGGTAAGAGTGCTGCCGTAGTGGAAGAATCGACGTCATTTTTCTCGGCAGTCCTTCAGCCATGGCCTTTGCGAGACCATCGAAAAATCCTGATTTGCGACGACATAGGATTTTGTGGCTCTCTGAATGTTATGCGCGAAGACTGTGGCCCCGAACTAGGAGGCATCGGCGGTTTCTACGACGTCCACTGTCAGATCCAAGGACCCGCGGTAAAAGATCTTGGAGACGTGTTTCTCGATTCGCTCATTGAAGCGGGTGAAGAAGAATTTGCAGACTCTCTGCAGCCGACACAACTGCAACCGTATCTTAGCAGGGGTACCAAGACCAAGGATGCTCTCAGTGTCAATCAGAAGCAGGACGAAGATGAAAAAGGCGGTAGTTATGTCCAAGTTGTCCGATCGAATATGCGCTTGAGGGGCCGCAATCGAAGCTTGCAAAAAGTGCTAACTAAGGCGATGTACGGTGCGCAACATTCACTTCACATCACGACGCCGTACTTCTTTCCACCGCTTTTCCTACGGCGCTCGCTGTGGCGGCAATTGCGAAAGCCAGAGAGTCGCGTCCGAATGAGCTTCTTGCTATCTGGTGTGTCGGACGTCAGTCCCATCCCTTACGATACTCTGGGCCAAAAGCACGTGATCCGCAAATTACTCGTGGAAGAGCGAAAGCGCAAGCAGCGCGCCGCTGCGGCGAGAGCGGCCGAAATGGCGAGCATGTTGTTAGATGATCAAGAAGGACAAGAAGATGCGCATGCGCAAGAACAAGATGCTGCCTCTGCGGCAGGTAGTGCGCAGAGCAAAAATGAGCCTGATCGGGAAGTAGGAGAAGAAGACGAGGATCACGTCGCTATCTATTTGTCAGAGGGCGAGCATATGCACGCAAAAATTGTCGTTGTCGACAGTCTTTTTGCGACAATTGGAAGCTTTAACTTTGACTGGTTCTCGGGACGCCGCAACCTCGAGGTGGGTCTCTGTATTTTCGATCATCGGCTGGCTAAAAAGCTAGAGCAGCTGCACAAAGGAAAAATCGTCTTCCAACAGCAACGGGAAAATAGCGCATCTTCTACTCCTGACCGCAGCCAGCACCTGCAACATGTGAGAACAAATTCTAGTGGGTCCGAAAATCATCCCAACAAGTCTACCTCAAAGAATCCCCTCTTGCACACGTGGTTCGGCGTGCCACTAGTTGGTGCCGACGGACGCGGGATGAACACTGTGCGTCGGCAGCACCTCGACCAGTGGGAGTACGCAAATATTTTCCCTCGCGCCGTGAGCTTCTGGGCCTATAACTCGGTCTGGTTTGCAAGTTGCAACCTGTGGGACGGACTTGACCATGTGTCATCGCTGAAGCGCCGCATGAAGCAAGCAAAAGATGACCTCATTGCTCGAAAAACATATAGGACGAGCAGAGATCATGAAAGCTACAATTACAAGTTCCTCCCTCACCTTACCTTCCCTTCTTCGTCCTCCAGTTCGTTCCCATTCTACGAAAGATCCTTACGCGATGATCTAGGCTTCCTACGACAAGAGGCAGATCGAAGGGTACGAGCAGATGAGCGGATGGCATTCAGCCAGATGGCTGCACAGGTTCTTTACTAAGCGCTGAGAAGTGCTTTCGATGGACTGAAATATCTCGAAACTGAGCTTCTTTTTATGACACGCATTAGTTCTTAGGAGAATCTTTGACGCCCTTTCCAGTACTATTCTCTAAAAGAACCTGGACTCTTTTTCTCTGGTGTAAATCACGTTGAGCCCGTAAAAGAGAGCGAGTGCGGAAGTCACGAAAACATGTTAATCTGTATGAGAAAAAAGCATGAAAAATCGTCGACCCCGACGAGCGAATCGCGTATCCAAAAATCTGTGAAAGAGCGCATACAAGAAGTGCAGAGGTCCTCCTTGGCGGGAGTCGACACTTCTTTCCGCCACCTCATCGCCTTAATATACACCAGGTCTGTCTCTGTGAGATTTTTGAGGGCATCAAGATGAAGATCAAGATCAAGATTTCTAACTATGAGAGCTACAAAAGACTACTGAGCAAAGTTCCGTCAGAGACGTTAAGTTGCAAACGTGTAGTAATAGAAGATGGCCGCTATAATCCTTGGCACTTAATTATGAAGCTCGTGACCGAACGAGAGCAGGCATGTACGTACCTACCCGAACCCACCCCGCGCATTTCCCGTTTTTGAATTTTTACCACTTATTCGTAATCCCATACATGATGATACTGATAAAGTGTGGTACAGTAGATACATAACGACGACCCCTCAAATTTGTTTTCTTTGAAGACATGCCAGATATTTTTTTATGGCCTCACTACCTCAATGAGCGGAGTCAGCGCATCCTTCCGTGTATTCGACTTTCGTCTTTGCACACGCTCGCCAGAAACATCCCAGACTGACATCATTGATCATAGGATGTTTTGCTCCGGAAGAACTTCAACATGATAAATACGTCGTGGAGAAGGTACACCGTATGCTTTGGGTAGCATAATAACAAAGCAGGAAAATAGAGGTCATTTTGAACACAAAATGAGGGATGCTATTGCTAAAGGTCTGGAGCCTGACACAGGCGCGCAGCGGGCTAGTACGGGGACAGCGTCAGCGGAAGAAGACAACACGAGATGGGTGCCACGAGACGGAGAAGTTTCTTTCATGAAATTAGACCTTGAGAAAAGCATGGTGTCTTCTACAAGAGAAAAGGACAACTGCTCACAGCCGCCAACCGCCCGTGTTCTTCCGCCCAACGAATTGCTGTCCGCGCGCGTAGAGGAATTCGCAGTCGCTGGAGGCTCTGCGCGGGCTCTTGAGGAAGTCGACGACGAGGGTCTAGTCCTTGGTGATGAACAACAGCAGCTGAAAAAATTGGGGGGTCAGCACTCGGTAAACGAAAAGCATTTCTTAAGACCACAAGGAGAGGGAGAAGACAGTGAGAGTAAGAATTCACTCGTTCTGGTGCGAGAGGTTGAGGGTCGAGAAACGATGCGATCCCAGGCTGAAGATGGCACCTCACGAGCCTTTGTATCTACAACTTTCTCCGAGCAAGACGAGCAGTTCCAAAGCGGCGACGAGAAAGACCCAGAACGATTCCCGTCAAGGAGAGGCTCTCCTTCAAGCAAGTCTGCGACAATCTCTTCCAGCGTGCAAATCATCAACACGCAAAATGTCGACGCTGTAGATGTTGCAAATGACGTTCTTCAGAACCGTGCTAGATCAAATGGAAGCAAGAAGGGCAATAAGAAGTATCACGGTGGCAAACAACAGGACTCCACGAGCGAGGAGGAGCAGGAAAAAAGTTTCTCTGTTACGTTTGGCTCTGGAGCTGGTCGCGCAATGGCTGAAATGCTCGTGGAAGAGGACTTGTTGAGCACTGCAGGTACGTCAAAAATGAAATCCTCAATAGGAAGTGCGCATGCACCAGAGGTCGTAAATGAAAATGTGTGTCAAGGATTACAGGGTACTACAATCTATAATACGGCGTTCCATCCACGACGCGGCAATAAAGATGGAAAAAGGAAATCAACAGGAACAGGAGCAGACGAATCACGATCGGATTTAGAGATGGGAAACAGCATGTCACTTTCTAGAAGCCTAATTCAGAAGGGCTCTGATAAGCATAAAAATATATATATTCAAATGCATCGGGGCGACGAGCAAGCGACTGGTTCGTCTCCGCTACGGTCTAGTTCAGACGTCTTTACAAGTGTGTATGGTGCAACAAGCGTAACAGAACCTAACGACACCGCACCACCACCACCCGAGAATGGTAGCACTCCTAAGGAGGAAATACTACGAGAAGGTCGGGTAAGCGCTGCGGGGGAGAGTCGTTCAGAGTACGAGCAGAGGAATACAAGGACAAGTTATGCTACTTCTGCAGGGTATTATCGTGATAATCCATCTTCCGTAAGCAGCGGCACGCCGTCCCCCTCGGCGAGTTTGGGCCTGTCTCTTAGCCCTGCAACGACTCCGGGTGTTTCCCCTGCTCCGGGTGTTTCCCCTGCAGGAGCAACAAATGTTGGGAAGCTTTCCGAAGCAAACATAAAGATGCACCAGAGCAGTAAAAGCGCAAGCTTTGGAGAGTCTAAGCACGGTGCTGGCATCCGAATAGCTTCCACACATGGAAGTCCAAATCCTGATAAGAGCATGATGCGTGTTTCGAATGAGGTCAAGAATTACAACACGACAGTGCCAGATCAGCCTGTAGTGACCGGTGGATCCCATGCGAGCCAGTATCCACACAGTACCACTGCAGAGCAGCTTCAAGAGGCCGCAGCGTACGCAGCCGCCTACCAGGAATACTATCAGGCCCGACTACAGAGCGTGAGTCAGTTTTTGGGCGATTTGAATACTGTCGAAGAACAAGAGGCACTCATAACGTCACGCCCAGAATTTTCCCAAAATCGTGCCCGACACAGAGGTCGCGCCATCGGCTCCATGAATACCTCAAGTTTAGCGTTTGATACGAGGACCACTTCTCCAACAGACGGCTCTCGCCGTGGGCGACGAAAAACGCCACTGGAGAGGCTGTTGCGCCAGTTACGGAGGCCCGAGATTCTGCTCCTCGCAGGTTGGTGGCTTATCATGTTCGTGCTGCTGCTCGTCATCGCTGACATGTGGGTTCTGGTAGTGGATATTTGGAAGCCCCTTGCTTTTCTTCTTGGTTTGCCTACTGCGAGTCTCGTTATTTTGCTTGTGGTCACGTTGTGACGATCTTTTTCTTCTTTGATGGAGTTGATACCTAGGCCCTATCATCGTAATGCTTTAGCATGATGAAAGGAGCTTGCAACATTAATAGGTGAGATAGCGGCTTCCCCGACTTCGGTGACTGTAATAAAACTTTGAGGGTGAGAACAAACAAATGGCGAAAGAAGGATACTTGCTCCATTGCACTAAAAGTAGAAAACTAAAGTAGGGAGGCAACGGGAATTCTTGCAGATCACGCGCTTGAGAGAACGCTAGTAGGGCATTCAAGTGAGCGCGTCATCGGTTATCATAATGAGAGAGCAGAGAGATTCCGCATCCCAGGCTGTCTGAGCGTGCTCTTGTAGCAAGACTGGTCTGGACCACCGGACGAAGAGAGACATTACGATTACTTACCTTTTTTACCTTTTGAATTTCTGTCGATTCCTGAGTCTCATCATGATGCAAGGCAACATTTCGGTTTGGATGAGGGACAGCTTGATGGTGTTCATCAGGGCAGAGTGGAGAGGTTGAGGTTTCATTATTCTGTCCATCTGATCATTTTCACTCGTCATTCTATCTGATAGATTCATTGTATCTTTCAACCGTCAGTCTTCCTTGTTGTTTTATTCAGTACCACTTCAACCCATAATCCCCTTGAGCTTGATTCATGAAATTATCTCTCGATTACTCCCCTACCCGACGTTTCCTTCAAAATTGATGATAATTGCAGATTATTTTGCATGATTGTGCACGTATTAAAATTCTTACTTTCCCTTTTTTTCTCTCTACTGCAGTCGAGTTTGGTCATAGATTGATAAGGTCGTTGTATGCAAAGAAGATTTTGAGATCAAGATCTATCAGCAGCATTAATTTTCTTGTTACGACCTCTCGGCCACTCATAAAAAGGGCATAGCGCACTTACAAGAGGTTCCTGTCCGTCCTACTCCTACTTTGCTTGCTACGACACTGCCGACTGCTACTCCCGCTAAGCCTCTGATTTGCGACAATGGATCGACAACAGCCTTCCGCCGCGGAGCTGAAGCTCCGCGAGGGCATGATGGTGGTATCGAAGCAGATGGAGCACTGGGACATGCGTCGCCTGAAACACAAAAAAGAATACGATCGACGAACTAATAGGTGGCTTTCAGATACGTGTGCTCAGGTTGCTGGTAGTCATCTTGCCGGAGGAGAAACGGAGACAACTAAATTTTTGCGCGACCGAGAAGAGCGCAAGCAGGCGCAAGAAAGAGCGGAAAGCTTTTTGAATCCAGGGGGGAATAAAAGTATAACGAGCTTCTTCTAACAGAACTTCTATATTTTTCTAACTTAGGGCGGCGGGTTAGGTTCATCATCTTCATTCCTGAAGATAGAGTAGAATTTTCAGCCCATTAGTCGTTCTATCCGACTATCTAAGTAGCGAGGAGACTGAGTCCGCAGCTAAATCATTGTGTTCGTTGCGTATGTGTATTTTGATCGATAAGCGTAAAAAAAAAGGTCATCAAACGTCTTCTACGAACTCGTCCTCCTCCAGGTGGAGCTAAGCCTATGACGCCTGCAGACGACGAAAACGGCGAGGCTGCAGCCCAGACACCAGCAACGAAAGCAACGACTCCAGCAAGCCTTCCGCCTTTGGTCAATAGTAGTCCTTCGTCACCTACTGCTGGTGCTGGAGGACTGCTAGCATCTCCAAGTCCAACAGGATCACATGTGGACTCAACGATGCCGTTTGATGAGCACGGTTTTCCAACCGATTGGTTTGTCAGAGAGCAGTGGGTCGTGAGGCAGAGCAAAAGCAAGTGGAAGGCAAAAACCCTAACTCAGTTGGAAACCTTGAAGATAGGACCAATCAACTTGGTGGAGAAAGCAAATCCCCAGTTGCAAGTCTCTGTTAACCCGTACTCCTACTACGAGACCTCCGAAAGCAAGAAAGTCATTGGCGGAGACAAGGTACGGTTTCTAGTACAAATAACTAAGTAAATACGCACTACTATCATATTTTTCCTTCACGCAAGAAGATGAACATCCGACTACACACAGCGCAAAAAGGTAACGATAACAAACCCACATGGCCGTATTTGATTTCAAGACGAACTCATCTTTGTGGTCCTCGTCCTCCTACATTTTACCAATTCATTGCGTTTCAGGTTCCTTTGTCGAAGGTCGCACTGTCACAATCCCGCGACAGCACCACGAGCTACCGATTGCAGAACCAGAAGCGGCCCCAGATGAATAGTGGCAAAACTGCAGCGTTCATGCGTGGGGGCACGAAAGGGTTCATCATCGAGCCTAGTTGGGAACCTGCCAAGCATCTAGAGACGATCGGGACCGTTCAACTGGCCGAAAGCCAGGACATCCTTGGTCCCCGGTACAAGTACCGCACGTCTTTCTTGCAGCCCTGGCGACTGGGTCCACAGCGCATTCGCGGGACGCAATTGAACGCGGACGAAGCGGCGCTTCTGGCGGCAGAACTGCGTGCCTATGACGTGGACATCGAGAAAGCAGCAAAAATATCATCGGAAGTGCGCAATTGGGCATCTCAGAGGTCCAAATTCGAAACCACCAGGTTCAAGGAACTCAGAACGATGATGCGTGAAAATCCCGTCGAAGAAAACGGAGCCGAGATGATGGATGAGACCGAAAACCAAGACGACTGAAGAGAGGTCGTGGTAAAGGCTTAAGGACGATCTTTGTTGAAGGAGCACAGGCCACACCTTCAAAGAAGTAAGTAAGTAGGTAGAAGTGTTCCGTAATCGTAAAAATGCTTAATATGGCATAATTGACATATGTTGCAGCTGCAAAATTCTTGATGCTTGATGAAATTTAAAACGCAATGAAAATTAATGATCAAGAACATCTGGATCTGTACAGCAATCCTAAAGAAAATTCGCGTAGCGATTGAAGTACTTAGAGGTTTGTTAATAGCAACATTGGCACAATCCAAATGTCACTGCAGATTTTTCTGGTAGTACCTTTAAATTTCTCGATATTAATAATTATGAACAGATATATTATAGGTATAGTGAACGCTTGTCACCGTGGCATGGTTGCCGTGGTGACTGGCACATAATATTCATGAGAATCGCGATTCTCATTATAGCATTAAGAGATTCGTTCTCAATTTTCAATTTCATATGAAGTAAGACTATAAGCTGTAGAAAAACTTTATCGTAACTATCAGAAAACGGGAAGATCAAGATGGTCATTCAGACCAAATGCGAAAGCATTCATGTGTGTTCCCCAACCATCCGGGAGAACTGAATTTGTTACCACAACTAGAAAAGAACAATCAGAATCATGATGTTGGAGATTGGAAGGGCGAGGTAGAAAGAGTGTCAATATCCTATTGTTTTAGAAGATGCGTCAATCAAGAGGAGGCGAGTTGGAGAGAAAATAGAGATTCCTATCTTCCGCATTACGAATATCAGTATCGGTTTCAGGCACTAAAAATTTAATAACCAAGTACCCAATAGACTAAGCTTGCTATCGCTGTCAATCTATCTCGATTTTGTCGTCGTTATTATTGTCGCTAGTCTCACCCCGTGTGTGCATCTTCGTTACCTTCCGCTCTTCCTCTTTGTTAATACTCTGCTTCAACATTGCCCCTACTTATGTAGGAGGTAGCCGTCCAGTTTTTGTTTTTCTTTGCTTTCTTATTTTTTGTTTCGCGCGAACACGATTGCAACATCTGCGGAGCAGACCATGGGAGCGACGACGGAACGCTTTGGGGTGAGGAGGAACGAAGAAAGAAGTAAAAGTAGGTAGTGGTAGGCTTTACCAAGATGAATTTCTAGCACTTATTGCCAGTGATTTTTTCACCAGGCCGCGAACCTCAATGTTCTAGCTCTCGCGCTGCGGATGACATGACCGGTGAGGCGTGTGACTTCACTGGTCGAGATCAAACAGCTACTACTTTCTTCCGATGATCTCTGCGCTTAACCTTAGCACAGGCCTGCTTATTTGACTTAGTGGCTCTGAGTCTGAGTCTTCTGCAATTCTTTAACGAAGGAAGACATTCAATTGGGGTAAGCCAGTAAATCAACCATCAGCTTCAGCTTTGCGGCGTGTCATACCCTTGCAGGTGTGTCGACTTGCTCACAGGGCCCCGCTTTGTCGGGTTGCCCCTTAGGTTTTCCACAAGGGTCGACTGTGTGGCTCTTCCGATAGGAGTAGACTTGTTGGCCGATTGTGCGGCCTTATGCTCCCCCAGTATGTAACTGTGTAATAGATTTAAGTGATTGCTCTTTTAGTTTAAAAGGGAGGCAGCATATAGTCTTAACGAAAAAAATAGGAGTCAGTTAGAAGGTAACTGTTTAATTGTTTATGCGAAGTGTTTAATTGATTAAAAGGGAGGCAGCATATAGTCCTAACGCAAAAAGAGAAACCACACGTCAGATCTTTTGTGAGCACTTGGTTGACTGATTGATTGATTCCAGAAAAAGTTCACAGTTTGAGGACGATAGTGAGGACAAGACAATTTGAGACTGCATTCTTTGTCGTTTGTTGAAATGGCGAAAAATCAAAATGCTATTCCGTCGTGACTAGCTGTCTAAGCTGCACAATCGGATTGAATGATTGAAAGAGCAACGCCCATTGAGCAATCATATAGCATGCGATTGTCGCGAGAAGATTAGGTTTTGCCGCCCCCGTTGGCAACCAACACAGAACTATACTTACTACGGGGCGGTCAGCGGCGGGTCATCACTTGGATTCACTAAGTAGCACCATCTCTCATGTTCATGATTTGCCGCAGCTGCCGACGTGCACAGTGAATCACGTTTCATCAGATTCATTTCAAGGTCCAAGAACCTCCTCTTCGACCAGTTGTACTGAGCTGCCTTCAAAAAAGCGGTCACGATGGCGAAGCAAAAGGGATTGTTCGCATGGTGCTGCTCTTTCCGGCCTATGACGCAGTTTTGCTGCGGCTGCAGCCTGGAGTTCGGCGCGAAATTCATTATTGTGGGGAACTTCTTCATCTCACTTTTCTACATCGCGGCGGCAGTCAGCTCCATGATTCTGAACGTCCCAATAGTAGGTTTCGGCGGTGACATGGGCCACCAAGTCTTCAATGCGGCGTACCACATTAACGACTAGTAGTTTTAGTAAGTAGGTGTAGTACTACTCTAAACGAGGTAGGAGAAAGAGCATAATAAAGCTAATGGATGCTTTGATATTAATCGTGAGAATGGCTCGACGTCGGTTTCGATGTGTACTTTGTAATACGTCCCTTCATCCTGCTCGCGAATACATAACACTTAGGTATTGCCTTTTCGGGATGCCTTTCATCGTTGCGGCTATGTACGGGGTTATCTACCGGCAAGAACCGCATTTGCGGTTGTACCTGACGTACTTGACATTCAGCTTTTTCCTCGATTTCTGCTACGTCATTTACTACCTTTTTATCAACGATGCGTGCTCGATGATGCCCAGCAGCCTGAAAAGCCAGGGGGCAGCTTTTGCATGCGGCATTACCCGATCCTTCGTTATCCTATTCTCGATCACACTATTCGTATTTTATCTATAATATATCAGTCTTTTGTCGTATGATCAGCATCCATTCATCCTGTTTTCTTCACCGTTAATATTCTACTGTGAGCATATGACTAGTTGTAGTGTTGAAGATTTACTTTAGTACCCGGATGTTTGTTCCTTACTCGACCTGCTCGGGCTCTACAACTACAAGACGACCAGGGACAACGACGGACATCGCTCTTACTTACATTAAGTACCCGGATGAACTTATCGTGAGTCGTTGGAAGCAACAAGGTAGCCAGTCGGCAAATTGAATCTCTCCAGATTTTCCAAGCATACTGCATCCACATTATCTGGTCAATGTGCGAGGATATTCGCGTTGGTGGCGGCGCTACTGGTTTCGCTGATCTTCTCGAGAGCTCGAAGAACAACAAAAGCGTTGTCGGAGAAGGTACTAGGTGAAACTCAGGTGAAGATTTTTGTGCACTCTTTTGGAAGGAACTACAGCACATAAGAGAACCATGCATGTTTCTATTTTTGATTTCGCCTACAACTAGATACTACATCATGATCATAATGAGTTGAGCAAAGCGAATGTGATGGCAACTCGCATCATGAAGCAGGTTATCTGGCGGCCTACGCGAGCAGTTCGACGCTGGAACAGCAGCCCTTGAACTATGGTTCGCTCTCAACACCGGGAATCGGCGGCGGCGTTAACTTCTTCGGTGGAACGCGTCATGACGTGAGTTACCCACCACAGTCTCAATAGCTCTCGGCCTCGATGTATAGCCAAAGGTGTGACTGTGAGTAAGTATCCAAATCCAAGAAAGTTTGCGAATTGTGATTACTTGCATAGATTTGGCTGTTATGTAGCTTGACACCGTTGACTACTATATGAATCCAGTACTCGTCTCATCATCGCAATATTGCCTAGTATGGTAGAGTGTGCGGTGGAAAACGAAAAGCAGGGGCCAGCATAGCAAATGAATTCACAAGATGAACAGAACGTTCAGGACTCAGGTTACGGCTCATCTCGTTGAGCTTCATGCATAGGGGACGAACAAGCGCAAGAAGACACCCGCGGGAACATGCAAAGCATACGTTGACATCTCGATCTCTTTTTTCCGTGTGATACAGTCATTTTGAAATGCATATTACTATTGATGTATTGGTTGTTATTCGCTGAACAACGGGAAGCCATCTTGTACCGACTTGATGTACAGCTTTCTGGCAAGTAGACTGACAAGTCCATAGACGAGCGAGAAAGGAGGCCGTGTTCAAACGATACGAGCAACGAGCTTTAGTCCTCTACTAGCTATGAAATGCATTACAAGTGGAAAAATAGATGTTCTCTCGTTACCTCAAGTTGAGCATGCTATTATTACAAATGGAAAAATAGCGTATAAGTGACAGTCTTGAAAATACTAGCGTAAAATGTGCGTCCTCGAGGTGGAGTCTGTTTGGTGCTTACTGAAAATAACGCAAATAGAGCCTCAGCTGTTGCTGGAAATTTGGGATAAAAAAAAGATGAAAGTGTTTCAGCTTGATTCATCAGGAGAAGATGAGTCCCCCATGCTTATTAAGGCTCTCCGTGTCCAGAATAGAAACATAGTAAGAGTATTCAGAGTGTGAAGCGCAGAAAACAGAGGCGCTCCGTACCCCAAGGTAGAAGGTTTCTTTCGAAGAGTGCTTCCTTTTGAGTAGAGTTTTTGAAGAGAGTGTTGAACTTGAAGTTGAAGGTGCGACCAGATATTTTATTCCTCCCCTCGAATTTTGTTTTTCCTATTCAGCACAGCCACCATGCATCCACGTTGATGCGTGAAAATTACAGTTGTTTTGGCCCGGAAAACCTGCTGCACACTGCAGGCACGTGATCAATTTAATTTTCTGCATGGAAATCGCTCATTCTAATTGTTTCAAGACGGCGTTTATACTTAGTATAGATACATAGGTTGATAGTGATACACGCACGACGGTAACGGTCATCTCCACTCGGCCGAAATGTCATTCCTAACTCGATTTGTAACACCTGCGAGAGCGGGAGTTGCAGCAGGTGTGGGCGGTTATGGACTCTACCAAACTGCTGGCTCGTCGTCGTCGACTACCCGGAGCGTCCCAGTGGAGCAAGATGCGCGAAACTCACAACCGCACCAATCCCGTTTCAACATGATGAACAGCAGCCCGTTCTGGAACGCAAACAGGAGGCGATCAGTGCTGTGTGACGACGGAAAGTCGCCTTTCGACATGGCCGAAATGCAAGGAAAGCTTCTAGGAATGGTCGGCAAGCCAGAGTGGATCACGCCAGACACAATGAAACCGCTTACAGGAGGTACGCGAAGATGAATCATCAATTAATATCAGCAAGTACTAGTACAACTACTACGTGAGATTCTCATCATTTCGATTTCGTAGATTCTTCGGTGAACGAGATGAAGATGGTTCCATTTGCTAGGATAATCGCAACAGTTACAGGTCGTTACCTCTGAAAGCAACCGACTTTGCATTGAAAAATTTTATTTAAGTAGACAACCTCCTGCTTGGTGATTCCTAAATGCAGGTCTCACTTTCGGTGGCGCCACGGGTTTGGCAGCTGGTTATGCGTGCAAGAAAGCGGGGAAAGTACTTGCCGTTGGAGTCGGCTCTCTTTACTGCCTCTTTCAAGTGGCTGCTAGCTACGGATATGTCACCATCAATTGGAAAAAGGTATCAGATCGTGAGAAATTATAAGCATGAAAGACCAAGGTCAAGCATCAGCATCCTGTTAATAACTGGTCCACCATTATTCTTATTCGCAGAGTAGTTTATAGCACGCATGGTGCATGGAGTCCATGGAGTAGCATGGAGTGGGAGCGCAGAGCTTTAAGGGGCGCAAGAAGCTCCTCCTTTAGCTCCATGCTACTCCATGTGATCCATGCACTCCATGCCATGCGAGCTGTGAAACCTTATAAATTTTTCTGTTATTGTGCTTCTCAGTTGTACAACAACTACCCTTCTGGTGTCGTTTCGCATTGATATCTATTTATTTGCTGCTCCGATAGGGGGATACGTTCCGGTGTAAAAACAAACTGGAGAGCACTGTAGACGTTTCCGGTGCGAGATATAGTGAGTTACATAGTTGGTTTTGGCTATCCATCTACTGGCAAGGCTATCCCTTGTTCTTAATTGATCGCAAAAATCTAGTCAGCTCATCATTATTGCCAACCACGCCACAGCGTATCTATGTCATTACTCACAGGTAGAGAAAGACTGCATGAATATCCTGGACACGAACGGAGATGGGAAGCTAGATGAAAAGGATGCAGGAGTTTGGCTTCAAAAAGCCCTCAATGTTCTTGCAACCGACGAACTCGAAGGTACAACTATCGTTCACAATTATAATTTCTCTTCACTTTCCTGGTGTATTGTTCGATACAACTGGCGCTGCATCGAAGCGATCAAAAAGTATCAATGATGAATACCTCGAACAAGTGAAGAATAGTTCTTAGGGTCAAGAGCTTATCTTTTTCCTTCCACCAAGGCATTGCTTACTGATTTTTAAGAATGCGGGGCCACAAGCGCGACAATGTCAACGAAGATGGCGTCGATACTGAGATTTGATTCGTCCTGCTGAGCTGAAGAACTGTTCGTACTTGTTGTTAGGTACCGCCGCAAAGAATACGGCAACCGGCGCGTTTGCCGGCACTTTTCTTCTCGGTCTTCGGCGCGGTTAAACGGATTTTTTCTCCATTTTTATAATTAGGTAACGCAGCGAAAGGTGCAGCAACGGGCTCTTTCGCAATGATGTACCTTTACGGTTTTCGAATGGGCTAGAAGATGAAATAGAGATTCTCGGATGCGGCAAAAAATGTGTTACCTTTGTAGCTTTATTTACTCCTGGAGTAAAGTCGACGCTCCTTCTGGTGCTACTGATTCGCCCTCGTTCTCGTTTGTTAGAAAACAAGGTGACTCTGACTTCGAAGGCGCTGCGTTATTTTGCCAGACGATTGAAACCCACGAAGCCCTCCACAACCCACGGCAATCTCACGACCCGCTGTCAATCCTGCTGTGTCTACATGATTTCACCTAATGGAAAAATAGACAGAGAGAATCAAATAAAGTGTAGAAAGTTGTCAACAAACATTGTCAAAAATGGATTTTTCATCATGTTGATTATTTTCGGTCACAATCATCTTCGAGTTCGACTTTTCACTCGGAAACAACATCACCTGTGACTGTCCGGCCGCTTCCCTAAAATTACCAGAAATTTCGTTTTACACCCCCCAACTACTGTGGCATCTATTTTCCTCCTTAAGGCTTACTCGCGAAATAATGAACCGAAACCCTTCTAATTGAAAAAGTACATCATTGTCATACACATACAACTACACAATGGAAGATGAAGCATCGTGCACAGGATACCATTACCTAGAAAATGAGGGAGAATAGATAAAATTATCATAATTAAGAACTACGCATAATATGACTATGTCAGTCAACATCGACTTTTTTTGTCCCATGAAGATCAAACTCAGAGACGCAAACTACATGCAAGGATTTTGGCTAGATGAAGCAAGAGGTCACTGTGCTTCCGGCCACTAGAGCATGAGACTCAACACTTTGTTAAACATGGACCCAAAATGATCTGCGAGTGCCCTGGATACCATAATGTATGTAATGATACTCTATCTATGTTGATCGCCTCTGCATCTGGAGGCCTTCCATCTGCATCGATGTGCAGTAAAAAAGTAGGACGTTGCTCCTTCTTTATTCCGCCGTCTCTTCGTGGTCTTTCAAGGACGCGGCTCTTCTAGTACGCAAGGCATATGTGGCTACGCGGCGCCTCTGTTCGTTACCTGAGACAGTCAGCAATTCTTAAGAATGAAATGCGTGGGGGTGGTGCGACGCGTGCGCGACCCGCACAATCAGACTGCCTCTCGCTTGACAGACACGAGAGAGTAAACTAAACGCATGGCAGGGTCCTGCGAGTTCATCAATCCCCAAAAGCGGAGATCAGAGTTATGAGTAACGATGTGAAAATACATGGGTCCTAGTCCTTATGTAGGATTGAAAAAAGCATTATCGTGCCCCCAACCAGAACCCGGGTTTGCTTTCATTTTTTCTCACGAGGAAGATGAAGAAGAGAGTTCTGCAAGCGATAATTAGCATTCTTTTGATTAATCAGACGAGTGCGTCTAGCGTTGTTCGTATCACTTGATCATGTGCAGTTTAGTGCATTTACAAAATGGTGCATGATTGAGGGAGAGTGCTGAGAGAGATCGTTTTTCACCTTGATGAAGGTATTTTACGAGGAATAATTATGATTTTTGTGATGTTGTCTGGTTTCCGCCCATATGATCTGTACGTCTTTCTGTTTTTGGCGCAATAGTTCATTTCACGATGATCCATGTGGTGCTTCTACGCGACGGGCGTCAACATCATGAGAGTGAGAAGACCGAGGGAAAAGACCACTGAACGAGAACTTGCTGTTGTACATTGAGTTCAGTGAAGTGGGCTTTTTGTCTTTTTTCACCCAAACGACCAATCTTCCCCTGGTTGCGACTTGGATATTTTTTATTGCTGATTGTCTTGTGGATATAAATATATTGCTGGTACTACTTCGTTTCTATTGGTGGTTTTCTGCTTTTCCAGTAGCAGTAAGCTTGTACATTATTGAAAAGATAATGAAGGCGGCCAATTTCATGTCTTTCTCTTTTCGTGCAAGTAGTTGATTTTGGTACGTGATAGGTCCAGGCATACCCATGTCTACTTCATCTCTTTTAAAGAAATGTGCAACTACTATCACTTCCAAGTAGTACCTAGAAGTAGAACATCATCACGACAAGTTAGCCGTAACTAGGACCCATTAATCCTTTGTATTGAGGCAAAGAAGCAACAGATTCATTGGTATTAGAATAGTTGGCGGTGCATCTTAATTCGTTTAATACAGTTCTCATGCAGCAGCGAGGAACTTCAAAACGAACTTCGAGGTGATTTACATTGCTGTCGAATTGCATTGTTGTATTTTTCCCGGTGATATCAAGGAATATCCCGTGAAACGCTCGCTTTTGTTGGAAGCGTTGCTTGATTCCGGCGCTGTTTCTCGCATACATTAGAGACATAAGACCAAGTGATCCTCCTTTTCTCTATAAGTCTTGACTTTTGAACATAATGTTGGTTCGTGTGGTGCACAACTGTGCCGGGCAACACGGCAGTGTTTTGGGGCGACAGTTTTTCAGCCGGGTTCCCGCAACCTCCGCTGCCGCAAGTGCAACCGGAGCGACTGCTCATTCCGTTCGTATGTACACGACTGGAAGTGGATCCTCTTCTAGCAGCAATTCGGCAGAGGTACGCGGTGGTAATCAGCAAAGAAGAGCCTCTTCAACGAGTGCCTCTGCAGCAACGGCCTTATCTGCCACGAACAGGCCTCCAGACGTACTACCTGGAACTTCCGCATCCTCTTGCAGCTCATCTGCGCCATCGACTACAGGTGATGTTGCCACTGCACCAGCAAAGACATACACGGCCCCGCGAGGCAAACCGAAAATGCGACTACCCGAGTATGCGAAAATGCAAAGTATTCATCGCTCGCCAGAAGCAACCGAAGCATTTAGCGAAACGAAAGCGACACTAAAGTTAAGACAAGCGCTTCACACTGAATATTGCTATTTTTATCCTTCGCATTCTTTGACTTTGCGTATGCGTTGATTTACACACGGATTGCACCTTCTAGTACTAGCAGTGCAAAGTGTCTGCATGAAAGTGAGACACATCATTGTTAGAAATTTTTACGTCCTTGTCCTTTCTTTTGTGTCTTCTTCTAACCAAAGAGCTCGGCCTAGCGACCGTCTGTCAGTCAGCGAAATGCCCGAACTTGAATGAGTGTTGGGGTGGTGGGACGGCCACCATCATGATTTTAGGTGATACATGCACACGCGCCTGCCGTTTTTGCAGTGTGAAGACCAGCAAACGACCGGAAGGCATCGGTGAGGGCTCGAAACTACACGACGAACCCGCAAAAGTAGCAGAAGCAATATCAAAATGGGACCATTTGAGGTACTTTTGTTTTACTAAGAAAATTCAGATTCAATTGATGATTGTCATGATTTTGTGATTATGATTTTTTTCAGATGCCACTGGTTCTGGTATTCCTCTTCCTCTTGTCTTGGTGAATCACTTATAAATATCAATTGCAAGGTAACAAGTAGAATCAAGCAGCGTAAGCATAGCCACCAGTAGATAAGCACGACCAGTAGTTTACATTTTTTACGTGTACAACTCAACTCAACCCTCTCAATAAGGTATGTGGTGATCACATGCGTCGACCGCGATGATCTGATGGATTTTGGCGCTGTTCACATAAAGCGCACTGTGCAGAATGTGAAGAAGATTCGTCGACGTCGAATAGTGCCGGAGGATGTAGCGCACTTGCTCGACTCCCCGACTGCGTTAGAAGGGCCTGTGCCCTCTGGGTCACTATCGCGCGAAGATTTGCTAGGAGGTGGTGCAACATTGTCAGGACATGATAATCCCTTGTCGCCATCTTCATCTACTTCAACTGGTGCTGCAGCGCGCATTGATGGTGCAACTGCGGCTGACGAGGAAGTTTTGGTTGAAACCTTGCTCGGCGATTTTCGTGGCGAATTGAAACTCGTAGATATTGTCCTCGACGGAAACATGGACGTTTTTGCGCACAACATCGAGACTGTTGATCGACTGAACTCGCTTGTCCGTGACCGTCGAGCCAATTACAAGCAAAGTTTATCTGTATTGGAGCACGTGGCGAACCAGAACGACAAGCGACTGCGACAAGGGAAGAACGCGATCATCACAAAGAGCTCCATCATTGTGGGTCTCGGAGAAACAGACCAGGAAATCGAACAGACAATTAAGGCTCGAGTCAACACGATATTGATCTTTCGTTCCCATAACTATGAAGTAATGCTAGCTTTGTCTCAATTTGAAATGTCCCAAAAAATCGCATTAGTATACCGTAGTACGTAAGGACTTGCGTAGAAGAAGGAACGCAAACCGAGACTTGCGTAGAATAAGGACTTGCGTCAAATGAATGGTGGAAACCCAAACTGAGAGTCGTTGATAAGACAGAATCAAGTTGGAATAATATGAAGAGCTCTAAGAAAATGCGGGACCTGCATTCTGCGGGTTGTCGGGCGGTTACACTTGGTCAATACCTCCAGCCCACGAAGGGGCACATGCGGGTCGACCGGTATTTTTAATTTTTCTCGAATTTTTTCATGAAAGAATGATAATAATAAAATTTTATTCTTTCTCGGCCTGTCTCATGGCACTCGCAACCTTGTACTTGGATAACGCGTAAACGTATCATCATGCACTAGCTATGAAGTGGGAGTACTCGTTTGCGTTTCCATTTGCAGGTTTGCTTCGAAAGATAAATTTGACGAGTATGGAGACCTTGCGCGCAGCATTGGTTTTGACATGGTGGCAAGTGGTCCGATGGTTCGTAGCAGTTATAAGGCAGGCGAGCTATACCTCACACGAATGATCGAAAAGGACCGCAGAAGCCTCGCTCAAGCTTTGTGAAGTCTGGAAATTATCTATTTGCTACATCCTTGTCCAGTTTATTTTTTTTGAAAATGAAGCAAAAGTATCAACGAACAGGAACAACTGCATCATGAAGATCAACACAGAAAGACTTCCTCGTCAAGTAGCAAGGATACTGATGTAGTTCCACAAACACTAGTGTACCTGGCCACCAAGCCCCTGTAAGTCCTCCACGAAGGTGGAAGTACTCACTTAGTTGCATCTGATCGCGTCGTCGACGCGTGAAGATCCCTGACCTCGAGATATGTAAAGTAAAAAGATATGATTTACGGAGTGACCGAGGCTACTGCGGCATTTTCCCTCTTCTCTTCGAATGGGATGAAGAACTCAGCTGGAAAGTTTCTGCTGCTCTTAGGTCGACCTGCAACATGGAAACTACATCGATCCTGCAGGCCAGAGTGGACAAAGTCAAGGCAAAGATAAGACAGAGAGAGTGCGAGTGCGCAGTATGAGAGAGATGTGTGTATGAGAGACATTATGACAGAATCACATCTAGCGTGTAGCCCTTCAAAGAACATTATGACAGAATCACATTCATCCTTGTATCTAAATATAAATCACAGTCATAGCATGGTGTCGACAAGATACAAATCTTGATGAAAATGCACAAACTGCATGATTGAAGGTTGTGCGGTAATTCGAGCTGTCGAGTTGCTCCTGTTCGCTGAGGAGCTTTTGTGAAGTTGTTTGTGTGGAGCAAGTGTGTGAGCAGCAGGTCGGAACGAGAAGAGTGACCCGAGGAGCGTCATCGACCAGACGAAGTGGAGAAGAGATACAAGTGTTTTTTCTTGAGGAGCGAAAAGAACGACGAGATGACAGAGACGAAAATCGAATTTATTGATTTATGAAAGCGTGCTGGAGACAGATGTTCAATATTTTTCTGACGAGCGAGTCGTGAGCAAAATTTCTTTGTTGATAAACGGGGGTGTCAATTCTGTAAAACATAATCGAAATAGAGAAGATGATTGGGATTTTTTCCCAATCAATGAAATGTAATGTTGATGGAAAGTGAAGTCCACCTTTCATTTTCATTATTTCCATCTTCATTCACGAAACTCGAGGAAGAAAATAGCTCGTGTTCATCGTCTGTATGAGAATCCTCTGTAAAAGCGTGTGTAGTTTTGTTTCTCATCGAGTTCGAGTTGGAGGTCTTGAGATTTGATATTTTTCTAGAAGAGGATCGCCAAGCGTGTGAAAATCTAGTGTGTATCCTAAGCCAGTGTAATTCAATGAATTAAATAAATAAAATCTTCCCATGCAGCTGAGAATTGAAGAAATTATATGTAATTCATTGCTTGGCCTTTTTACCTAACGCGGTGGCCTATTGGAGGTGCGAGCACCCACCCCCCCCAGCGCTCTTCCACCTTTCGAGCCTGGGGTGTGGGACACCAAGGGCGGAGGCATCCTGCTGGCGCTTTATTTATCTATTTGTTTTTTGATTATACGCTGCACGATAGATACCCCCCCCTGTGGTAGCGCCTGTGGTGGCGCGCGCGCGCGCTTTTCCGCGATGACTTTCGCGGATTCTAGTGGTGGAAGGCGTCAAAGCTTGGCGCGGGCGTTCCCTTGCGCCTCGCTCTCTGCGTGTTCCTCCGTGGCCTCCTGGCCTCTGCTGACCCTCGCCGGCGAGAGGTCTCCGGGGTAAAAGGCGGCCACGGTCGCAAGACCCAGCAACCCGATGACCAAGGGCCCGGAGGGTACAGGCCGCCCGGCTCAGGGGGTCCAGCCCCTCGCCTTTCGCCGCGTTCGGAGGCCTTCCATAACCGGCGCATTGCTGCGGCGGCGAAGCATATCGGAGGCACTTAGAGCACAGGCAGGCACCTGTAAGGGGGCGCAGGCGGTCCTTTGGGCCCCTTTTGAAGCCTCCCAGCTATGTCGGAAGCCTCTAGGGGACAGCCAGGCAGCTGGAAGGGAGCGGAGGAGGCCACTTGGCCCCCTTTTGAGGCTTTCCACCTACCTCGGAAGCCTCTAGGGGACAACCAAGCACCTGAAAAGGAAGCAGAGGCGGCCCCTTGGGCCCCTCTTGATGCCTTCCATCTACGTCGGAGGCCTCTAGGGGACAGCCAAGCACCTGGAAGGGAGCGGAGGAGGCCACTTGGCGCCCTTTTGCGGCCTTCCACCCCCGGCAGACGCCTCCAAAAGGGGTCCGCGGCTACCGGTGCCCCCCCTACGCTAGGGGGGGGCGCCGTATCCCCAAGCCTTGGCGCATATATTTACTTAAATCATAGGAATAGAAATCGATGCTGTCAGCGTGGCGGGCCTCAGATCAGCGTGAGCACCCCCCCCCCCCCCAGCGCCCTCCGCCGTGGGGCCTGGGGGGTGGGACGCTAGAGGCAGAAGCACATACTTTGGGGGTCTTGGTAATAGCTAGTTAGTCACATTATTTCTTGTTCTTCATCTTCAAGGCGATAACGCGGAGCGGTCGATCACTTCGTGCTGCACTGCATCTGGACCACTTCGTGTTGCACTGCATCTGGACCACTTCAGGCCCGAGTGCACCATCTGGGACAACTAGGACAACTCTCCATACTCTATATTTATTTAAATATACTATACCTGTGCGAGCTCGTCTTTGCCTTTCTTACGACTAGTTCGACACGAGTGTTGAGGGTGAGAGCAGCGCCCTTAGTTCTAATCCTCGTGCGCAACATTCCCTTCAAGCTCAAAAAGCATACAGATCAGGGAAACCCTTGGAGCACTAAGTTATCACTCAGAAATTCAAAGATGGGCTTTCCCGTTTCTTGCTTATGCGTCTATCTTCACGACATTCATCAATCCCTCCAGCATGGCAATATTCATGTAATATCATCTCTAATTTGAAACCGGGGAAGGGGAATTGGAATTCAACAGGAAGGGTGAGGGTAGTGTAACCACTCCCTGTTTTGTGAAAGTGTGTTTCGGTAGCTTCTAAGTCCAAGAGAAAGTCCAAGTTTTCATGTCCACATCAGTAATTCTAGTTAGCTAGAGCAGTAAGTACTTTTAGGAATTACGTTTTCGACCACTCTAGATCCTTGTTGTTGTTAGCTGTTGGTCCAGTTTCAAGTTGCATTCACTTCTTCCGAAGTCCAATTTTCAAACAAGAAAGTATTCATCTGCGACAATAATCTGGTCCCGTGTGTCTTCATCTATCATAAGTCTACTAGTCATAGTGTTATTTATCCTAGAAAAGGCTTCTCGCTCTCTCCAGTCAGACAAAGACTCTGAGTCGAATTCTTCCTTTACAGTTATGTGTCGTGTATGATAAATGAACGGGAGATAATTAATTGTAACTACTACTAATATCTAAGCGTACCTCGTCTTTTCCTTTTGTCTGTGGGGACTTTGGCTTTTTTCTGTGGCCTTCCCGTGTCAGAGTCTTCGCCGGGTTCTTTGGCTTATACGAGACAAGGCAGCCCAACTTAATAAACTTGACAGCTGCAGCGCAGGGATGTCGTCATCCCTGCCCTGCGGCATCCCTGCGCTAGCTTGTGATATTGTAACTACTACTACTGTCTACGCCCCCGTAAGCTTTTTATTTTGGCAGGAAGTAAGTAATACAATCGATCTCGTGTTGTAGTTCTTCTAGTACTCGTTTGTTCAAGGAACTACTTTCGGCAGTGTTGGCATTAGCAAGTAGAGCACCAGGTAATGATTTGTTGAAAAAGATTAGATTGAAGAAGGAGCTATTTATTATCTCTCATAAGATAATCTTTCTCCACAACTCCATAAGGAGTAACAATAATTTGCTATATTTTCGATCCAGAACGTATATTCAGTACTACAATCGACTAAATAGAGGATATTAATACTTTATCGAACGAAGAAGGAAAAATAGACTATGAAGAGAACTCTGTGATCTTCAAGCCAGGCGTTCTCATTTCTGCGATCCACGGAAAATCCAGGATCGCGTGTTTCCAGAGTCCTCGTTGAATGTGCCGGAGCTCATCAACCAAAATAATATTTTTGAAGGTTGTGTGCTACTAACGGTTAATAGTTTCTTTATTTCTTTTCATCTTTTACCTGTGGTGAACTGCAGGGCGTAAAACGGGGGTCCTCGTTGATCAAGTGTTGGATTTTCTGGTGGTCAAGGACAAAGTTCCTTGGTGCCTTTCATCTAGAAGTACTAAATCTTTTCTGCTCGTCGTAATTGTCGTGGTTGGCTGCGAGCACCTCGGAGTTGTTGAGGAAGTCTTCGGATCAGACGTGTGCATTTACTTTGACGGTTTCTACTCCTGCGAGAATTTCTGACCGATCTGATCTCCCCCTCAATATCAACATCAAGTTGTAAGGTGTCCTGCAACCCAAGAGCGAGAACCACTTTCCACCCGTTTGTGCAAGAAATAAATGGTTCGTCCACGTGCAGGTGCAAAACAATAATCCTGGCCGAACATCTCTTCATCCTCGCTGGTTGTAGAAGTGGCTGCAAACACACTGATACTTTTTTATCCTCTAAAAGACACTTTTTTCAGGCGTCGTGAAGAGTAATCCATACGTTATCCTGGACGACCAAAAGCACGGCGAGTGAAGTCTGATACCTGTAATTCGTGTATCATGATGATGAATAGACAGAGAGGATAGTTTTAAGCAAAAGTTATTCTCTCACAGCTGGTGCTAGTTGAGTACTTATCATGCTTATTGATATCCAGTCATCGAAGGAATCGATAAACTATCCTTGTTGAAGTTAGGAGAGCCACTAGTAGAACAGGTACCAGCGTAGTCGGTGATCGATCCTCGTGTTTGTGGCTCTATTGTCTCTTGAAGCTTGGATTCTTTGATCCTTGACCTTGAGTCTCTATCTCTTGGGATACTGTCACAACTCGAGTCGTGTCCATTAATCGATAAAACCACTCAAATTTCAATTTGTAGAATCATCTTCATCATCAAGAACAAGCTCCATCTAGGGCCGTTAGTTCTTCTTCTACTAAACTTGGTTATCTTACCATAAAAACTGCAGTTGAAGATTGTTGTTGTGTGTGGACGAGAAAAGCCAGCAGTTCCATTGAGACTAAAAAAAGTAGTTAGAGTGACCACAACCCAAAAGGTTTCTTATTAACAACTGCAAGGAGGAAAGCGATTGATTGTAACAGAACGCCCATATCAGATTGGTGAACCGTTCTAGCTTCGTATCCATCGAAAAGAACGTATGACCCAAAGTCCAAGTCCTAGATGAGTTTCGTGATCTATTCTAGTTTCAAAAAAGCTAGATAGAAAATATTTTCTCTTCGTTCAGATTTTATAGTATCTCGCATAAGCTAAAACGAAAAGCGAAGTTCGTTGGTCTGACCTCTTGCAGCACGGACCGCGGCAAAGGCTTGGCGGTAACGTGGCGCTGCGTTCTCGGGTCTGTCTCTGTTCTTCGTCTTGCGCCCATCTAAGGGCCGCGACGTTTTTTTGTTGGACTTTGAAGACCACAACAAGAAAAAACCCACAAGAAAAAACAAAGAAACGACGCTGCGCGGCGCGGCGTAAGCCATCTCACGCTCCTGCCTTTGCGCGGGTTTATGGTGGTACGTGCGATGGGTTCGCCGTTGCGGTGCGTGGCGCGAACATGACGAGTGCGTCTCTGTGCTTTATTTTATCTTGAGACCACTCACTGAAGGCCCCAGCGTGGGCGCCATCGCTTTCCAAAATTCTGCGAGCACAGACATCCGTAGGGGCTTAGGCCTACCCCACGCGCCAAACCTCCCAGACCAGCTGCGAACGCGCTCGCACGTGACTCCCTGGCCGCTCCGCTCGGGGGCCTTGGCTGCCTGGCCTCTGCGTTGGCCTCTGCGAGAGTCATGACCAGCACGCGGCCGCAGGACTTGCGCCCTTGTCTCCTTATTTGTCTCGCTGTTCCTTGGCTGTTCGCTCTTGCCTTCGCTTTCCTCACACCTGACCTCGGCGCCCTTTGTTTTCTGCGGGGCGAAGGGGATAGACCAGCCAGAAACCTGCCCGTGCGCACGGCGTTCGGCTTCAGGCTCAGCCCGCCGGCGCCAAGTATGTAACCATGGAGCAAGCAGCGCGCGCTCACTGCTGGTCTGAGTGTCTCGCTCATTACCCCTCGGTCTCTGCTGCGTTGATCTAATTGCGCTAACACCGAAGAAGGGGGCGCCTGCGCTGTCTGTTATGTACCCCCAGCCCATAGGGATAGGCGCACGCCAGTGAATAGATATGCGCCGCGGCAGGCACCCCGCTGGTCAGCGTGGGGCCTGGCGCTGCTCTTGAGTAGCCGCCCTGCTGCTCTTCGTGGCGCCCCGGCTAGCTTACGCGTGGGTGTGTGGCTTAGATGGCGCTGGCGGCGCCTGCAGGCGGGTCGGTGCTTGGTGGCTTGCTTGGTGGGGGGTAGTGGTAGTCTCAAAGCTGACCCACGCCACACGGCGTGAAGCACACCGCGAGCAGGGGCGCCCGATCCTAAATGTCGTGGGGCAAACTATCCAACAAAGTAAGAAAAACCGAGAGCGCAACATGTAGGCGCGCGCCTCTTGTCTAAGCGATGTAGCAAGCCTGCCTTGACTTCGCCTCCTCTGCCCCGGCAGTTTCTTCTGAAAAGCCACCGCCAGCCTAGTGCAGCCACTTGGCAGTTAAGGTTTGGTGGTGTTTTCTTCACACCGATCCAGGACCAGGCCAGCCTCTGCGCCCTCTCCTCGTTTCTCTTGGTGTTTTTGTGTCGTCCTTTGTTTCTTTGCTTTTCAGCTCTGCCCCTCTCTGCGGCGTTGTGTGCTTTTTGGCTCTGGTCTATTACCTTCTTGCGACGTAGCCAGCCTTGGCCAAGTTCTTCGGCTTCTTTATATGAGTGAGAGGACAGGGCGAGCATGCTTAAGCTTGACAAATTCAAAAGCTTCACTCCTGTCTCTGTCAGTCTGTTCTTCTCTGTGCCCTTCGCCTGGCCTCTGTCTGAGGTGGTCCCACTTTCTTTGCAGGCTGGCGCGCCCCCCTGCGCTTGCCGTGCTTCAATTCTGAGAGGCTGTTCTGGTTCTCCCGCGGGCGCTGGGCTCCGCTCCCCCGCTGGGTTTTGGCGGCGCTTTTGTCGCGCCCGTGCGCTCTCACTCTGCCTCGCCGCCCTCCTTTTGTGTCGTTTGCCTTTCTGCTCTTTCTGTGTGTTGCGTGTGAGTGAGAGTGTGTGTGCCTGTTGGCTCTGGTCTCTTTGACTCTCTTGCGCCAAAGCCTTGGCCAGGTTCTTCGACTTATATGAGACAAAACGGGCGCACTTAATGAACTTAACATCAGCAGCGCAGGGGTGGCGCCATCCTCATCCTTGCGCTAGCCTGTGATAATTAACTAGTACTAGAAGTCGGGAGATGTTTGTCGTAGCCGTTGTCAACGAACAAGCACAAGGCCCATTTGGATCAACCTAGAAGTAGTTAAGCTAATTTGATAGATAGATTTGTTGTTTGTGGCTTATTTACGCTGGGGTTAGTTCGCTAGTATAGAGATGATCAATTAAGTAAAAGTAGTACTAGTAGAAAGATCAAGAACACGTTGATGGTGACCGCTGGATTTCAAAGGTGGAACCAAGACCAGCTTCTTGGTAAGAGCGGTCGGCGCAAACTAGACAAGACCTGGAATTTCTGCGCGTACAGCAGTGATCACTCAAGCAGCTTTGGGTGTGGAAGGAGACCCAGCAACAAGAACTAGAAGTTCATTGTAAGAAGATCGGCAAGCGGAGAACTAGTACAACATACAAGAAGCGCCTCACCGTGCCTACTAGTCGTGAAATACAAAATATTTTCCAAGGAGAAACATTTTCCTCTGCGTCTCGGACATAAAGTAGAGCACCGAAGATGAGGGGAATGCACCTTCAGCAGTACAAGCCCACGGCGCAGTACAGCAACGCGGACCTCGGAGGACTTCCGCCCGGCATGTCGTTCAAGCCGGATCGCCGCGCGGGCGGTGGAGGATCCAATCGCGCTCTGAATGCTGCTCCGGGACCTTCTAGTGGCGGACATTCTCCCAGGGGAGTTGGACGTAATCATTATGCCAGTTTTTTCGACGATGAGCAACACCAGTACCAGCAACAAGCGCGATCTTACGGTGGAGGCGCGGGCCGTCGCGGCCCTGGCCCCAGCGGCAGCTCCTTCGAATACAGCTTTACCGATAATATGAATATGGTGCCGCGTGGTGTCAGAGGACGTGGCACCGGAGACAGCGATGAGTTCTACGAGAGCGACGGCAACCTGTTCCACAGCGGCAGCCCTGTGCAGATTCGGCTGACCGGAGGTGGCGGGTTCAATGTCTACGACGGCTCCGGAGGCCAGCGCAACGGGGTTGGCGCGCCAATGACACCGCAGTATTACCATTTGAACGTGAACGGACGCGACCATCACATGGCCTACAATAACAGTAACAACCGCAATGACCACGCTGCGCACTCGTTTGACGACAACAAGGACAAAGGCTACATCAATGGCAACGTCGGGATGAATAACGGCTACAACAATGGCGGTGCTCGTGGCCCGCCGCCGATGAAAAACAACTACCACAACGGTGCCGTAAACCACGGCGCCGGAAGCCGCTACAACAACGATGTGACCCCGTCGCGGCCGCAGAACAACAACGGCCGCGGTGGAGGACAACAAGGTTATAGTGGTGGAATGAACGAATACAACGGCGGTGGCCGCGAAAATGGCTACAATAACGGTGGCCGCCGCGGTGGGCAGCAAAACATGAACGAGAAAGGCAACGGCCGCAGCGGCCCCCCTCGCGACGATGCCCACAAAGGCGGCAAGAAGGGCGCTGGAAAGAAAGGAAAGGGACGCGGCAAGCGCGACAACAATGGCAATGATAAAAATGGAACCGACGTTTCTCCGCCGATGAAGAACGGTGGTGGCCGCAACGGCAAGTCTGGAAAGGGCAACAATAAAGGTAGTCGTACTTGGTCTTTAGATAGATGAATAAGAAAAAGAAAAGCGCGTGATTTCAACAGTTTTCGCTTTTGCAGTTTTCATTATGGAGATTTTTCCTTGTTCGTTGTATCTGTCGTCTTACTGCTTCATGCTTGTGGTCCTTGATATCCTTTTTCATGATTCATTCCTCCCAGGTAGTAAGAGCGGTGGGAAGAAATCAGGAAGCAATACCACTAAGGGAAAGCTTTCGGGTTCGAGTTATCACCAACGCCTCGAGGATGCCGAAGGAGCCAAGCGACGACGCGCCCCGTGCTGCCCAGTAAGCACTTAAACGAATGAGCACAAAGACAAATGAATGATCTTCCGTCTTAATGAATATCACATAATTAGCAGCGCCGCAGTTGGTATTGAATGCTCAAGAATTGTAAATTACTCATTTTTTGAACTTCCTGTAAGCACCTGAATAAGCGATTTCGATACCTCTACCTTTTCCCAGGAATTGGCTGCGTGGCGTGAAACTCGTGACTTGCAATTTGCGGTTATCGTGGATGCTGGAGAGGAAGTGCTCCTGGAATTCTGCAAAGACCCGGAAGCGCACGTCGAAATTGCCGATGCTTTGAAGGATGAAGCCTACCTGGTGGAAACTCGTCGTCAAGCCGTCGACATGCTTGCAAAGATGCTGGTGTGTTTCATTAGTGAATTTTCAAAGAAGCACGACCACCAGGTGAACTGCTTGTCATCTATAATCATGGAAAAATATTTGTATTTCAAAAGAGATTTTTCTTTTTGGGAGTGAAGGTAGTTACTCCCGCTGGTAAACTTTGTGAATCATGTTGTTACGCACGGAAATTTATCAGGTGACTCTCTCGAACGATATGTTCGGACACAATGTCGCGCTGACACTCTTCGAAGGCAATATCGGAACAGGAATGGCTCCACTTGAAGTCCGCAGCAAGTTGGTGGATGCTCTGGCTGGCAGGGTAACTGCAACATTACAATCAGAAATCTCTTGCCGGCACGAGATTCTCATTTCTGAAGTTTTGCATCATCAAGAGGACGCATGGACCGACCGGAAAAACTGGGCCCCCTGTATTATAAGGGCCCCGATGTTGTTCTCCCTTCACGCGGACCGGGGCCGCAAAAATCCCGGGCTCTTATTTTCCGGCGGGGCCCTTGTTATTCTGGTTGGGTCCCTGGAAGAACTGGGGCCAACATGGTCCCGGGAAAAACCGGGGCTGCGGTATCAGAAGGGGCCCGGAAAATAGGGGGCTTGACCTTCGCCCTCCTTGCAGGCTGCTCCCTCCACTCTACTGCCAGCGCAGCGCCCCGGTGGCCTGTGTTATGCGCGCCCGGGCCCATGGGGGAGCCGCGTGCGCTTGCCCGCGCAGTGTCCTGGAGGGCTTGCCACCAAGCTGCGGCTGGTTCTTGAGGCTTCCTTGGCGCATCCTGCTGCGCCTTTCGTTTCTCTATGTTCTCCCGCTCTTGCCGCACGACCTCGCTCCCGCCAAAGGTAGGCGCGCGGGCAACAGCCAGGCAGCAGGAGCTTCGCGGCGCGCCTCCTCCTTTTGCGATCCCCCCGCCCCCCCCGTGTTGCGTTTTTTTTTTCGCTCCGCGGGCCGCTTTCGTTTTGAAGTGCGTCAGCCTTTTGCGGCGGCCTTCGAAGGCCCTCGGGTGTCGCGTCGCTGCAGCTTGTTCCTCGGGGATGGTGTGCGACGGCTCTTTGTGTCGCGTGTGCTGCACCCTGGGGCTTTGCGTGCACGCGCTGTCGCCGACATCGTTCGGCCCCGTCGATTCTCGTCTGGTCCCGCTGGGGGTGCTGGGGTTGGTTTTGGGTCTGTCGTGTGGGATTGTCAGTGCTCAGTCACCGCGGGCGCCCTCGGGTCACTTGGCATGTGGTTCTCTCCTTTGCGCTTCTCTCTTTCTCTCGTTGGTTGCATGCTGGCTGTCCGTTGGCTGTCTTCTGGGCTTTCTTGTCTTACTCTTATCCTGCGCGGCTTCAGGTTCTACCTTTTCTGGCAATTCTTCAGCCCCTTTGGCTCTTATTTTTGTAAGCTTATACCTTTTGGCCCCCCGCTGTTTCTACTTTTTTTGTCGGAGTCGGTCCCTACCTTTTTTGTTTGGGTTCTTTCTATTCCCACCTCTTCTGGTACCGCTACCCTCCCAGTTCTGGCCCATGCGTATGATTTTGGATGAACATCAAGATCAACGATCTACACGTATTTCAATACCCCCGATGACATAAAGTTGATGTGTTGCACTGACCTTTTTAGCTCGATGTGCAGGATCCATAACCCAACCTAACCTAGGTCTACTTACATGATGTTTACGATTGTTCATGTTCAACTTCTATGTAGGTTTTCGAAATTGCGACCCACGAAACCGGTTGCCGTACTTTGCAACATGTGCTGGAAACCCTAAACGTCGATCTGCAAGTGCGCGTCGCTCTCGATTTGAAGGGTAAAATCTTGGAAGCTGTTGAAGATCAAAACGGTAACCACGTGTTGCAAAAACTCTTCGAGCGCATGCCGACTCGCAAGGTATGCGCGACTAACTTGTTTCATATTTTTTTCACTTCGGGTGAACTAATAACTAGCAGCTTCCTCTACTTGCAACGAAGAAATCGAAAAAGCTACTAAACGAAAATATTAAGTAGATGTTTAAGGTTCCTTTGCTAGTTCCTCTACTCGTTGTCGTTCTACCAGTGGAGATGATGATTATGATACTCAGCACCAAAAGGAAATCTTCAACCGGTTCTAATTCAGGTCCAGTTTATCATTAATGCGTTCCGAGGGGAAGTTCGTCGCATGGCTACGCACTGCTACGGCAGTCGTGTTCTGCAGCGCATCATTGAGTACTGTGATCCGGAGCAAGTGGCGCAGATCTACGACGAGATCCATGACAACAATCTCAGTGTCTTCATCCACGACTCGTACGGCAACTACGTGATCCAGAACATGGTCGAGTACGGACGCCCAAGTGACCGACAGGCCGTTTTTGAAATCGTGAACAACTACCTGGCAACCATGGCTTGCCACAAATTCGCCTCGAATATCGTTGAAAAGAGTATTCAACAGGGCAACAAGGCGGAACGCAAACACTTCTTGGACGTGGCGCTTGGTAAAGTCAAGCTGCCGAAGAAGAGCTCCAGCGCCCACGATGAGAAAAAAGCAGGCGAAGCTGGAGATGAGACGCCAGCCGCGGCAGCGGATGACAAGAATGTGGAAAAGGACCCGCCAATTGTGACCATGATGAAGGACAAGTACGGAAATTACGTTGTGCAGAAGTTGATGCAGGTGGCCGAAGGCGCAGATCGAGACGAGATCGTGGAGCGCATGAAGAACCACTTGGGCCATCTGGAGAAGCTGCCCTATGGCCGCCATGTCTTGTTCGCGCTGCGTGAGGGCGAGTACGGCCTGGAAGGACAAACTACGCAGGAACAGTCAGGTGGAGCCACCAATATGTCCTCCTCATCCGGCGGAGATTCTTCGTCGGGGTCAGTATCTGCTGCAGCAGTTGCGGAAGAGCAAGAAGAGTAATAAAGATATAGAAATTGATGTCACTCCTGAGCTGCATCGACGACGACGTTGCAGTAGGGCAAAAAGACGCGAGCTTTTTACATTTTCTTACAGCAGAGCAGACGTCGCAAATGCACCAGGAGCCACGAGAAATGTATCTATAATTCTCTCGCACACCCGTGTCGATGTTGTCGGACAATCTTCGAAAATGCTCGTAGATGGGTAGATGTAGAGATCGGGATGATTGAAGATGAAGACACGCAGTTCATAATTTTCAATCATCATGTATAGGTGCAATCATCATCATCATCATCATCATCATCAATGCCAGTTCCAGTTCCTCACAGCCCGGCGCATCACTCCCAATCTTCAATCAGACAACATACGACACCAGCGCGCTGGCCTTGTCCAATAACTGCTCTTGAGAAGATGCTAGTGGAGTCCTAGTCGTTTTTGTGGATGAGGATCGGGCAGGTTTTTCCTTTGTATGTTCGTGTTGGGAAGGTTGTCTTTCTGGTGAATGATGTACGAGCTTTTGGGGTCGCTAAACAGCTGCTGTTGATGTTGATCATATTCTTACTTTTGATTGTTGTGTGCAGGGTTTTCGCTTTCTTCGATGGACTGCTTGCGCATCCTGACTTATTGATCTACTCGACATGGAAACATAATAGACAAGCTTTGTTTGTGTTACCCGGGCAGATTGCATGTTACACAAAAAGGGCTTCGCTTGATGTAATAAAGAAAGACTGTATGCGGAGGACTCCCTCTGCGGCTGATTACGAAGGATGGCCTTCGATCGTAACCAGAAAACTAATCAATTATAGTGCTTCGCTTTTGATGCAACAAACTCGGAAATGAATATTAGTGAACAAAAAGAAGACAAACCATATTTCAGGTATGCTTTTCAGTGGGACTAGTACTAGAATTTATGCTTTGGTGGTGTACTGTGGCTGTGGTTTTCAGTAGGAGATCTGCGGTTGATCGTTGAACTCGATCATCACCACACATCGGCGTGCGCACCTCCGAACAAACGCATCATGTCACCCAAAAATGGACTCAAAATTTGGCCTAATCTTTAGTCCATAAAGAACAACACGCACAAGTAGTATCTATTGAGTGTAGTCTAGCCCTTCGCCAGGCACATAAATTTCAATTTATCAACATAGAATCGACTTACTTAGTTACTTAAAAAGGTAAGAGACGGCGTCGAATCAGGATGACATTGGGAATATATTGGGTCACAACTGCTACTGGCCAATGTCCATTTGAGTCATCCTTTTACGCGCCGCGTCTGGGCGTAAATGAGCGAAGTAGCAACAGTGTGCAAATTTGCAGCTTCTGCTTGTTTGATGAATTGATGGGTGATTAGGATAAGTTTTTCCAGCAGAGAAGTTAGAGTTTCTATCAGGATTTAAGAAAGTGCTACTATTATAACAAGCAGAGCCTAACATGTTCGGTTGACTTGCTTTGTTCGAACTAGCCTCGTGTATTTTGTAGGAGCCATTGTCTCAACCCTGTTCCACCTGATGACTCTTACGCGTCAAGGAGCTAAAAACGTCGAGGACAAAACCTCCCCCTTCCTCTAGCTACTTTCTGAACTTACCCCCTGAATGGGTAAACTACTACTACTTTCTTGCTCACTCGCTTCGGTGTTTGAACAGGGAGACTCCGACTAAAAAGCACCCTTTGATGCTAAAAATAATTTTCGTTCGGGGGGTTGTGTTGTGATGTTGCAGAGGAGGCTCTGCTCTTCCACATATGCAGCCCCCTTCCCTTGTTACTGATTGATGAGAACTGAAACCCATTGAAAAGAGCAAGGTAGTGCTAAACCAGCTTGAAGAATAACATGAACGAATTGAAGATGAGGACCCCAGTAAATACTTCGGATTCTGACATAAATTATGGCTTTGCGTGTAAAGTGATAGAAGAAGCAAACGGAAGTACAGCGATGCGGTTGAATATCTTAGTAGATGCGGGTGCGCATGGGCATGCCCATGCAAATAATTTCTTAGAATAAGGAACGCCTAATCCTGAAAAAATCGAGCAATTTTCTTTTTCATAGGAGCTGCTCGCTCATCCAAATATAATTGAGCCATTAATAGTTCAAGATGCTGACCATAATTGCACTGAGATTGAATATAGCCATGAGTTAGCCTTTTGCTGTCGACGTCTAGTCGTGCAGTAGCTTTTGCGTGCGCCTTATCTCTCTAATGGTGATGGTATTACTGATAAAAGATAAAGAAGCGGTGGAAAAATAGCAGTGACGACACGTGGATCAGTCGCGAGTCGTACTCTGGAAACAACCATCGTAGGACAATCATCTTTCAACGCCACCCATAGGAAAACAAAGATAAAAGCGAAAATGGCGCCTCTCCGTAAGTATAGTGAAAGCTATCCTTGCTCTTCTCTGCTGTTGCAGCTTATTCTGAGTTCTAGGCTCAGAGCGATTCTATTTGTTTAGGAAAGATATCAAGTTCTTTGGTATTCCTAGGTCCGCCTGATCATACCTATTCATATTTAGCAATTTAATTTGTGGCCGTGAAGGTGGAGAGGGTGTGGCACTGTTGCTGCGCCGGCAGTTGCTTGACAGCGAGCAGCGTCATAATAAACCAGCATTGGCTTGTTTCTTTCGCGAACACCTTGCTCGACATCTTTTCCCCGTGTGGAGTTCAATGTGATGGGCGATGGTGCTAGCCTGAAGATGCGAGGGCGCATCCTCTATCCTTAGGAGTTCTGGATTAACCAAGAATCTATTTGGAGTACTTTTTAGCCATTTTCGATCCATGTAGTTGCGGTGTGCTCATGCATCGGAAGATCGAATTTGATACCGACGTCCTACTTGCCTGCTTTAAAGAATCAAGCCATATTTATAACGTTTCAACGGAATTTCGTTTAGATTTAGGGTCGAGAACGACCATAACAAAATTCGTCTTTAAAAGACCTCTTAGAATGAAATATTCTAACACGACCTTCAAGAACTGATCATGGAGAGGTTTGTAGCAGCAGTAGTTCTGGACCCAATCGTATAATTTAAATTAATACCTCATGCTGACCTCGACGCAAAATTGAGATTTTCTTTGTCACCTCTGGAAATCATGAGCACGACTACAAGCCAGGAGCTGAGAGAATCATAGTCAAGTTAGTCCTAGTTCGAACTTGCTCGCTGCATATTTTTTGTGTGGGATGTGCATTCGCCTGCTTGTTGTCTTGTAATACTACTCCAGTCCTGCTATTTCCAGGGCACATCAAGAATCACCCGCAGTATATCTTTTTCTTTCCTTTCCTCCTTTCCTCCACTGTTGCGATCACAGAAACGACCACTGGTTTTGGATATTTGTGACCACAATGGAAATTCAATAGTGAATAAGGGACTGCCATTGGATTCGTTAGCAGTCTAGGACGGAGGAATGGGCGTGTGCAGTTTTTTCTAGAAAAGATAGGGGCTGATTTGACGATTCTAGAGAGGGTTTTTTCCAACATGAGTTAGTGTGCCAGTCATCCGTATGCTCGTTGGAAACTACAAACCGACATGGCATTTTTCAGGAGTAAGTCGAAACAACGAAATTATGTATGATCGTCTGCGATGGTAGCAGGGAGTGGGCGAGGTTTAGTTATCGGGAAGTGAGTGAGACTCAAAAATGTGCGGTGCGGATGAGCACCACCCTTTGACTTTGCCTGCATCAGAGTGTGGATTTGGGCCCTGTGGCAGACAGAGATATGATATAGCTCAGAGCTACACAGTATTGAACCTCAAATAGATGGAATTTCGTTTATTATGTGAATCGAAAATTCATGGCAGCAGTCAAAGATTTACAAAAACGTTGTGAGATCTTCAACAAAGCACAACGAATATTATCTCCGTGTTTCTGGTCCCTTGTGGTCAGCATGCAAATCATACATGATAATGATCTTTACTTAAATGTGAAGGACGAATGAAAAACCGCACAGTCGGCCGATCCTTTATTTTTGACACAAACAAACGATCGCTTACCTGGATCTCTTGTTCGAGAATGTAAAAAGAAGTGTTCACCAACTACCATAATCCCACGGCTAAGATTCAGGATCTAATAAAGAACGAAGTCTCCACAGATGAGAAGATATGACCGGAACGAACAGGCCACGGAGGTTGTGATCCTACCAAGATCTAAACTGCAGCTTTTGCTTTTCCCGAGTCCAAACGTGCAAGGATCTACAAACAAGCGGCATGATCTAAGGGAGGTTCTGGTCTAGGTGATACAGATCATCGAAAGACGAGCATTGGTTTTTGGTTGTGGAGACAACATGGTCTCCGAGTTTTTGTCATTCAAAATAGAATAAGAGATCCACCCCCATTTCGGTAAAAGAGTAGGCACGATTAGGATCCTAAGGAACTAAACCTAAATACATGGTTTAGACTAAACCTAAATACATGGTTTAGTTCTTTCATCATGACACAAAAAAGTTCCTTTTGGCGCTAGGAAGATCATCTCCATGGATCAGTGTAGCGCTACGCTGAATCAAGAAATTGTAAGATCTGGTGCTTTGCCTTGGGAAAGCCGGATTTCGTATCAATCTACTCTACTTGAGGTCATTCCTCTTATTGCGTCACCATCAACTGATTTATTTTGTGTTGTAAAATTCTAAACGCAGGGAAAAGAAGGAACTCGACGCGTGTCGGAGTTGAGAATCTCACTTTTGTAGTTCGTACAAGACAAAATGCCGTTCGTCAAGGTGCAGAAGAATAAGGCGTACTACAAACGTCTCCAGACGAAGTACCGCCGTCGTCGTGAGGGAAAGACGGACTACCACGCCCGCCGCAAGATGGTGGCTCAGGACAAGAACAAGTACATTTTTTTAGATTTAAGTTATTGTTTTTGTTAGGGTTTAGACTGTTGCTACGTTTGGCAAGCACTCGAACCTTAAAATGAGTATAGAAAGTCCCTTTAGATCGAGATGTATGTCTTGTGTTACTGTTCGTAGAGGTTGAATGCACCCTGACGGAACATAATTTTGTGCCGCCACCTAAACATTGGCACCACGCGCTGGCTGCAATTCCTGTGTAGCCAGGAATCAAAATGGAACGCTTTTTTTTCAAATACGGAAACGTCTTACTTTTCTTGATCTACTCACAGGTACAACACTCCGAAGTACCGTCTGGTCTGCCGTAAGACCAACAAGAAGGCTATTTGCCAGATCGTTTACTCCACGATCTTGGGAGATAAGGTCTTGTGTCAGGCTCAGAGCACGGAGCTCGAGAAATACGGTGTCCCGGCCGGCTTCACGAACTATGCCGCTTGCTACGCTACCGGACTCTTGGTCGCTCGCCGCGCCCTCGATATCGTCGGTATGGCCGATGCCATCACTGGCGCTGAGGAAGCCACTGGTGAAGAATTCCACGTCGAGGAAGAGGTATACTTGCTTGTCATTCGATCTTGCTATTTCGCAGAATCCGGAAAGCTAGTGTAGAACACTGCAGTGCCTTCCATGTGTATCCATTTCCCAAACACGGGAAAGTTTCCAGAGATTTGAAGATTTCGTGACAAACATGAAGTGATATACAACAACAGCACCTTGTTCTCCATCAAACCAAAATTTAGGAGAACGAGCGTCGTCCGTTCAAGTGCATCTTGGATGTCGGTTTGACCCGCACTATCGCTGGATGTCGCGCATTCGCTATGCTGAAGGGAGCCGTTGACGGTGGACTTCACGTTCCGCACAGCGTCAAGAAGTTTCCGGGTTTCAAGGAAGCTGACGAGAAAGGTGGCGACTACGAGTATGATGCCGCTGCGCACCTCGAGCGTATCCTCGGAACTCACGTCCAGGAATATATGGAGATGTTGCAAGAGGAGGATCCGGAACGTACACAATTAGAAAGATGAATCGCAAAGCTTGGTTGCCGGTTTCGTGATATGCTAAAGAATTCTTTTCGGTTTCAATCTAATGAAGTGCCGTTGCACCCTCATCGTATTGCTAGCCTTTTTGGGAAGGCTTGTATTCATCCAGCTCGGTAATCATGCGTTTCCGTCCAAACAAATCTTGACATCGTGTCTGGGGACTCACCCTCTCCGATTCTCCTATCATACATTTCTACCAACTCCAACCGTCTACATCACAGGTTACAAGGTCGCTTTCTCCAAGTTCATCGAGAACGGCATCGAGCCGGATGGCTTGGAAGATATGTACAAGGAGTGCCACTCCAAGATCCGCGAAGACCCGAAGTTCGTCAAGAAAGAGGCTTCCGGTATTAAGAACACTGTCACCGGAAACTTGGTCACCACTTCCCAGGGAAACACCTACACGCGCTTGGTGAAGAAGTCTCTCGCTCAGCGTAAGGACCGCGTCCGCCAGAAGCTCGCCACCGCTCGCGCTAAGCTCCTCGCGGCTATGGGTGACGCCGAGGAGGAAGAAGAAGAGTAGACAGCGACTTCACAAGCTTCTGCATTTCTTGTTAAGCGCGGCGATGACCAGCTTAGTAAACGAACCGAAGAAGAGGTGCGGAAAGTGTCGGGAGGGTTGACTCGGGCCCATGGGGGAGAAGAAGGACGAAGATACCACGCAGTATTGAACTGATGTTCCTTACACTTGATGTTCCTCGACGACTTAAGCCTGAGCTGGCGACGAAAACTTTGTGCGATGAACTGCAGCAAAAAGTGAGAATTCCAAAAAACACATGGTGTAAGCAAACACCTGTGACTACGCGGACACTAGGTGGGAGGCACCTGGGCAGTGTTCTTTTGTGCTCCTCGGGAACACAAATTTCTCTCGTCATTATACTTGTACTACATCAATCTGTACGCCGCCCTTTCACTAGGATTGCAAGAGATAAGCATTAGCTTTGAGTGTGCGTTCGGAGAGATGAAGAATATGTAAGGCCATTCGGATCTTCCTGATCCTCTCTTGCCAAAAAAACATTTGCGAAATACAAACTGATGAAGAGCGTTTTCTACGACTAGCAAAGCGTATCGCTAAGTCGAAAAATGTGTGAGAAATTATAACTGACAACAACGACGTAATCCGAAGATCCCAGCAGGTCGTCTCCAAAATCGTCTATTTCCATAATTCGGGTAAGCCCAAATCAAAAGTGGATATTCGGTAGCGTAAAATAAACATAATGCCTCTGCTCAACTTGTCGAATGAGCCGAGTCAAGCACCTCTGAATGCCAGGTTTCTTCACTAACCTAGTCAAAAGAGGGGGTGATATTAAGTTCCTAGCTGGAGTCGACAGTGTCGGTGGAGTAGCACTCTTTCGTGCATCCTATATTTTGATGTTGATCGTCTGACTTGCTTGGTTTGGTCGACGAAGCTCTTGTGTGACCGTGGGCACACTCAAAAACACATGGAAAACGTCCGATGATTGAGCGCAACGGGAGGAGCTTAAGTAGCTGCTTCAGAATTAGACAATCGCAACAATACCCCGTCCGTTCGCAACAACTTTCCACGCACCAGCTTCTGGTTGGCGCGTCCTGTTTGCCTGACGACTAGACACGAGCTCGAACGGCCTCAGGTCGAAAATTAGGTGGTGTTAATCTTGGTCCCTAGTAGAACTCCAGGTCGAACGCGAATGGCTATAACGCTAACGTCTCGACGAAGCACACGCTCGCGACGGAGCGGGGTCTAGAACCCTTCTTGGTGTGTAGCAATCAGGCAGAAGAACTTACCGCGTGCGTACCTGTTGCGGAGCCCTCCCTTGATATAGTCCCTGTCCTCGCGCTCGAGAGGACAAAGCCTTCCCTGGTACAAGTCGGTCAGCGGAATGGCGACTACCGCGGCAGGAAGCTCGTCGTCGACGGCTTCGCGAGTCATTGTGTTTGACTTTGATCAGACGATATCGACACATCATGTCTTCAAATGTCTTGCGGGCTACATACGCAAGGGCCACGGGAACTTTCTAGCTCCACCTTATGCTCTGTCGGAGCGAGGTCAAATACGGAAGTGTTTTGACGCCGACAAGGAAATGAAAGGTATTGATTACCGGTATTTTCACACGTGTGTACCTGCGTGTCAGCGTCGATGTCACACTCGAACTGAGTCTACCTTCAGTGGTGATCCCACTAGATGGAATAACTTTAGTGTCTCCTCAGCAAACAAATATGCCATTTTGATCAGAGACTTCTCAGTCGGCCACATGAAAAATTGCATCTGTTTCAAAACGATCAGGCCGGTTCTTTCCGTTTTGTCTTGGGAGTGAGCAAAGAGTGGCGCAGCTGGACAAGGCATTCGGGGACCTGAGGCAGAGAGGATGTCAGCTCTTTGTTTGCTCGAAAGGACTCGTGGCACCGATACGCCTCATATTGGAAACGACAAATCTCCTCCACCACTTCTCTGAGGTCTATGGGAGAATAGAAGACTACGAGGTTGAGAACAACGACTACGATGACGAAGCAGCAACGTATCCATCCATAATGATGACAAAAGCTGAATTTTGATATCTATCGCTCTCGTGACGTCGAATGCAACTTGAAATAGGGAGTATTGGCACTATTCTGTGCCATTACAATTTTTTCCTTAGGTTTGCTCTCGAGTTCTTGCAAGTCGTGAATTCATAAATAATGTTTATTTTATATTAGATTTAGATTATATATAATATAAGAACTCGCATTCGCATCTGATCTGTTTTTGGCTCGACTGAAACCTAACCTCCTTTTACATCTCCAGGCTGACGTTCCCGCCTGGAATTGAAAGGCATATCGGACGGCGCGAGTGCGCAGAATGGAGTAGAAAAGCAGAATTATGCCACCGCCTAGCCGGTGCCAGGCCTTGTGTGCTTGTCGAGGATGACCGGGATGAAATATCGAAGGCCAAAAAAGCGCAGCTCGGCACGTGTTTTGTCGAGAAACGTCAAGGGGTCGGCGAAAAGGAGATCTCCGACCTGCTTGCGTGGGCAGAACAAGGACAGAAGTAGTAGCGAAGTTGCAATAGTGAACTTCTTCTAGCACTCGTTCTTGTAAATGTACTTAGCTGAACGTGAAGCCCTACAGCTGCAGCTTTCGATGAAACACGAGCGACATCTTCAATTAGGCTTACTTGCGCGAAGGGTTTCGAACAACAGGGTCTTTATCATCATTACGATCTCTACAACTAACACCGATGGATGAGATCTAGGACGCTTCTAGTTGCAGTTGCTACAGATTAAAACGAGCAGCGAACGAAGGTCGCCTATTCTCGCGGTGTTCATAATTTTCGCAGGTGCAGCTTCATGAGCAGGTGTGATTTCTGGTTGTGCTTTTGTTTCGTAGACGACAATTCAAAAAATTTCTTCTTTGCTTGCTTGGCTAAGGCGTCCTGGCTGGCAAGTGGAAACTACTGGATCAATACCGATGAAGTTCAAGTTGGTGTCCGTCCCAGGTGGAGTAACATTAGCAATTTTTTTCCGGGCAAACAAAGGGGCATTTAGGCATACGTCGGCACTTGCGCGTTTTGTTTGTAAGACATGCGCAAGGACACGACTGAGCTCCTCCAGTGCTGGGCAGAGCTCTGGTCGTCCGTCCATAGAGGGCACTGCGCCAGAACTAGTTACAGTAGCAGTAGAGCACGATGATCGATATAATTTGACCTCTACGAAAGTGAATGGGAATGCGCTTACGAAAAAAATGCAGATGAAGCAGTTAATGAGTAACAAAGAGAAGCGCTACCGAATTACATTATCTTCAAAACGAAGTCGAAGTACGAGAGTTGTCATTCCGCCTTTGTTCGGACGAGAAAACAATTCTTGGTGTAGCAGCAGTGTTGTCAAGAAGTAGGGTGTACGTGTAGCAGCAGTGTTGTCAAGAAGCAGGAGCTTCCAGCATGATGAAGACTTCTTGGAGTACAAGTGGAGAAGTAGAACTAACTAGTTCGGCAGCTAGAAGGTGGTGCAGATGCAGATCGTTTATTCGCATACATGTGTCTCGCATGGCATGAGGGCTACAGCACAAATATGTCTTCTCAACGAGGACAACTTGATCGAACTTGTAGCTCTAGTCGTTGGAGGACGGGGCAGTAGAAGAAGATTCATCAAGAAGCTAGTACCCTCCTTTTCTGCCAGAGCCGAATAATCCTTTGCGGCCCTGCTGCAGCAACTTGGCTGTGACTTTCGTCACGCGGGGAAGAGAAAGCAAACTTCGGGCGCAATAAGAATAGCGCACGGTCATGTTGCTGATCCTGGTGACAGGTCATGCACTCAATTGTGCTGCGACATCATCTCTCCTTTGTTGTTGAAGCCGATAAATTTTTGGGTTGGTCTGGACGCACCTGCGGATTGCCGAAGGAAGCGTTTTTTGAGCTGGTCTACAAGCGCGTCATCGTTCAACAAGTCCTGACCACTTCGAGGATATGGGGGCCACGGCGATAACTCCAGCATCACTCACTGTCTCTCGTAAAATCGCAATGCGAAAATTTTCTACTGCACTCCAGCATGACAACTTTTCTACAAAGAAACTCGAACTTGAACTGGGGACCTGCGCCCCCTCGCATAACATCATTTTTTTTTTATAATCACCGGAACTTAGAAGTTCCAGTAGATCCTAAAAATGTTCTTGTCAACATCATAGTTGCTGTATCCAGCCGCGGCATAAATCCATCGCCCACCTGAGAGAGCAAAATGTTTGTTAAATTTTGATTTTGTACAACGAGCACTGACTTCGTCCTAAGAATTCTACGTAGAGACTGCCGTAATGATGATGAAGTTTGGATGTTGCAGCTGCAAATGCAGAATTGTCCCTGTCCCTGTTTTCGAACAATAATTGACTCGTTGTTGTTGAGCACTGGCTTCAAAGGAAGGCTTCTGCTTCATGGCGCATCAAAAATGTGTTAGTTGTATGCTATGCGATTTGTTGCATGCAACAGCATCAGCATTTTCCGCAGTCTGCTCGATGTTCCATCCTGCAGCAACCGACGAGATTACGTCGAAAATCTTGTAATGACGGATCTAGTACATCAAGAAATTGACAAAGAGAATACACTCTTGATGTCGCGTTGTTCTTGTTGCAGCATTATACTTTCTGAGGATCGCTGTGTCGTGCAAATAAGTATCTGGTTCTGGAGGATCAACTTTTACTAGAAGTATTTTCGATGTTGTGCTGCTGACACCAAAATCTTTCAGCAGCTTGTTGTTGAAGACTTCTACTTATGATGCCAAATAATTAAGGCAGCCGCAACAAGTTCCGTCCTCTGGCTTGCTTTGTCGAAGAATCCGCATGCTCTTCTTCTATTTTCACCACCGGTGTTTATTGAATCGAGCTGCCAGCAGGTGTGGTACGAGTAACTTGTCTGAAATAAATAAGCTTCTTCGATGAATACTATGCGATCTTCGTAGGCTTGAGAAAATTATGGTAGTACTGGGGGCATGAAAAATTTAGATATATGCAGCGGTCCAGGGTGGATCTGGTTCAGGCTGGAACGCTCGCAATTTTTTAACTTGTTTTCGCTCCGATCCCACCCTGGCCCAGGTTTTTCCAAATGTAGCATTTTACTCCGCCCCAAACCGGTCCAGGGCCAGGGGGGGAATTCTCCCACCCTGAACCAAGTCGCGGCCGCGATAATTATGCCAAAGGCTGCGAATGTTATGCGCCTACGTGGTGATAGACAGGAGACGGGCAACCCTCTCGAGGGAAAGCGCAAGCTTGGGGAGCCTTTTGTTTAGGCACCTGGTACCCCGGCAGGCTTGTCACGGTTGTGCCTTGAAGTCGGGGCGGCAGTGCCAAGGGAAGCGACTGGGCGCAGGCTCCATCCTTGGCCGGGGGCGAGCAGTCTGGGGCGGCAAGCAGACACAGACGAGCACCGCTCGGCGGCGCTGGTCTGCGGCCGCTGGGCAAGTTGTTGCGCCGTGTGGTCTTTGCTGTCTCGCTCGCTCTTCCACCAAGACCCAAGCTCCAGCAATGAGGACGCGCCCCAAGCGATGGAGGAAGTGTCTGCGCTTGAGGTTTGTCAGTCGCTCGGCGGTGGCTTCGCTGCGTGTGGCATTCCAACCATCACAGACGGCCGCGCACTGTCGATCTCAGAGCGAGGGGGCGGGCCTCTGCTCTTCGTTGTCATGCTCATAGGGGTGCGGCCGCTTGTGGCCTTCCCTTGGGCAACTCTGCCGACCAGAAGAGCCTTGCCGCGTCCTTGAGATCGCCCCCCTTTTTGCAAGGGCAGCGTGGCGCAAGTAGATTATCGCCTTGAGATCTGCGACCAGCGTGCCGCTTGCGTGTCTCTGCCGTCTTTGCTTGCCTCTGGCTTCGCTTCTTTCTCGCGTTTAGTTTTGTCCGCGCTCGCCCTTTTCTTGGTTCCTCCACCCTCCCATCCCTCGGGCCCTTTCGCTTCTGGCGCCCCCCTCTTCTTCTTCTCATCTCCCCTGCCTCTCCCGTCTTTCATCCCCTCCCCTGCTCTTCCGGCACTTCCCCCTTGTCCCCTTTTCTCCTTCGTCCACCGTTCTCGATCGCCTTGTCTGCCACCCATCCCCTCGTCTGATCTCGGCGGGCTTTCCACTCTGGCCCATCCGGGACCGCTATCCCACCCTTGGCCACTCCGTATATTCGTCCTAGTTCGCTGATAGAAGCAAGGAAGAGCCGATTTCGCTTTCAACAACATTGCTTGATGTAGGAGCGCAGTCGATTTCGAGTCCTTAAAATCCATCAAAAAATCATTATTCTTCTTGATCTTGGCCGAATCAATGAGACAGTAATTTACTCAGGACAATCTGTTTTCAATCATCCAAATGTAGTATCGTTCATCTGAACATACTTCTATTTTTACGTAGTCCAAGTGCCCTCATATTGCAGTTGTTGGTGTCTGTCAAATTGTAGCTCCTCGTGTTGCTGTAGCGAAATGAATGATTTTGAAACGACAATCGCAACGTGTCAACATCGGTTAGAAGTCTAAGTACAAGCACAACTTGATTTCCGCTCTGATGATTGATACCTGAGTTCCATCTGTGTGTTGACGCCTCACACATGTTGTTTTGATTTCAACTAAGAACATAGCACGACATTCTTCCAACACCAATTTAATCATTTTGTAGTCTAAAATATTCTTCTCACTCTGAAGACGAGCAAAAATATACCCTGATTCAGTCGTACATGTTTTCTGTTGCCGATGACCTGAAAAAACGCGGAAGAGACAAACGCACCTTGGTTTTGCGCTGCCCCTAGCTTGGAGCAGTATCAACAAAGCGTACTTGTGGAAACAAGGTATCCCACTCTACACGCCTAGGTAGGCTAGCTAGTAGCCTACCACACCACTAAGTGCTTTTTTCTTTCATGTGTGCTGGGCCTGGGAGTGTCTTCGCGACCTTCCACCCTTTCGTAGCGAGTTCAATTTTTGAATTTTTTTCTTCGAGAACAGTCCCCAGTTTTTAATTTTGTTAATTATGTTGTAACAGCCATGTTTGAGTGATTAAAAGGGCGACAGCATATAGTCCTAAGTCAAAAAGAAAGCCGGCCCGAGGTCCGGGGCGACATCAGGGAGAGCCGTCAATATCAATATCAATGAATCAGATGAGCTACCGCCGAGGGCGTGGTGGCCGGGAAGACGAACACGACTGGGAAGAGCCGTACAGCAAGCGACACAAGGGAAAGGGCGCCGCCGGGGCTTACCCACCGCATCACGCGATGACGTCGTAAGATCCTTTATCTATTTCTGGCCGCTTAGATGTGAAAAAGTAGTACTAAAGAAACCACTGCAAGCAACAAAGCATTACCCATGCATGCTCCCTGTCGTTGTACAACCACCTGCGACTGTCTCCGCATCTTGTATCATGCAAATATACTTTCTTGTTAACTTAATCTCCTCCTACAACAAGAACAACCCCTAACAGAAACGGTATGTCCCCGCCGGGTCCTGAGGTCGAAAATTTCGATCCGGCTATGGCACAGGGAATGCCGAACTCACTTCGGATCTTGGTTCCAGAGAAAAGCACGAAAAAAGTCATAGGTACTATTTTTACTGCTCCTCCTAATAACATCCACCTTGTCAAAGAAGATGTTACACGAATGAACTGCGCGCGTTGACGAGGAAGACCCTGGAACATGTTCAAGATCGTTCAACCACGACTACTAGGTCAGTCGGGCGAAAATGTGAGACGCATTGGGAGCCAAGCTGGATGCTTCATTCACGTCTCTTCCCGCGCATTCAACACGAGAGACGCATGTACCGATCACATCGTTTCCATTTCACCACGAAATAAGCAATCCTCCGAAACGTGGGCGCATGCCATCGAGCAGTGCTCGTTTGCGATGAAGGCGGTAATGCTTTTAATTCAATGAATACTAGTATGATCTACACCTAGGAATTATTTGAATTAAGTATATATTATTATCATGCACGAACCTCATCCCATAGCAGGACTTATTCCCCTTTGTTCTCTTTTCAAGGTGTGCTGCAAATCTTGATTGGCTTTCACCCTTTGGTGAAGGTTTAGGCCCTGCGGCGCTCAAAGCACTAAGTAAAACAACCGGTTAGTTTTCACCTTGATCACCAACGTAGACTTATCCCGTGCAACAAAATATTATCATGCACGAAGACGAAGGAAGACCATGCGCAAATTTGACATTGACAGCCAACATGTGGATACTCCCTTTAGTACTGTGTCCAATTGTCCTAAATAAGGTAATGCGAGAAGCGTTTCAATCTATTGGCGAAGGGGATCCATTCAAATGTATTTTTCTGGCACCCGCACACTGCGCGGGACTAATCATCGGAAACCGTGGGGACCGAGTTGGTCACATCCGTCGCGTTTTCGACGTCGATATACAACTATCGAAGCCACCGCACGGCCAATTCGACGAGGAAGTCACCTTTACCGGTAAAGTTTGTCGTTGAAATTATTAGCTGGTTTTGGTATGATTGTATCACAGGATCAGGAGATGACGGCGACCGATCTTGTGAAAACATCTACAAACTATCCTAGCTACTTACTTATTAATATTAAGATTTTTCAATGATGATGATCTCAGGGGGTCGTGATGAGAATGGTTTCCTTTCTCTTAGAATCAAACAAGTTCCTGAAAAGCATTAGTCGTGTATTCACATATTGAATTTGAAGGTAAACTTGACCAAGTGGAGCAAGTGGTGAATATGATGAACGATGTTTTTCAAGTCTACTGGCCAAATGTCTCTGAGGATGAACAAAGAATGGCACAAATCGAGCAAGCGCGTCGAGACAAGGAATTCGAGCGCCGTGGCATGGCACCAGGTACCGGTACTGCTTCTTTTATCTAGATCTTTTGTAACTGTTGCAGTGTGAAGGAGTTTTGAGATATTCTTACCAAGAATAGACATCTGTATAATTATAATAGAGTAGTTTATAGACGCTGGGCGGCCTCGCTGGGCACGCTGGGCGGCAACGCGGAGCACGCTGGGCGGCAACGCTGGGCGGGCGATTGGATAGCGGACTTGGGGGCCATACATTGGGCATGCCGAGCCTGCGCGGCCGATGGATTTACTTGCGCCGCGGGGACGCGGTGCAGCGCGTCCCGTGAGGACAAACAAAGGCGGCGCGCCGCCCTCAAGGTTCAGGGCAGCGCTGGCGCAGTGCTGCGCCAGTTTGCGCAGTAGCGGGCTGCGCGGCGCCTGCTCTGTTCAGGCTTGCGCTGCGCGATGCGTGCAATGCTGCGCCGCTCTGGTGCACAGCGGTAAACTCGCCAGCGTCGTTAGCCTTGGCCTACGCTAGGCTAGCGCTGCTGGTGGGGTTCTCAAGCGGGCGCCCGAAGGGCGCCCCGCAATTGGAGACGCCCAGCGTCACGCTGGGCGCAGAATTCGGCAGATCTGGCACATTTGGGTCGCCCAGCGTGCCCAGCCCAGCCATGTTGGGAACCCTTATAAACTGTTCTAGTATTCACATTTAGGCACTTGAAGTCAGTATTGTGCTTATAATAGATGATCACTGGTACTAGAGAGTTTTTTTCGTCCAGGTTCATCACCGACAATGGGCGGCAAGCCCGGTCCCCGAGGCATGCCGCCACGTCCCGGAGGATACGGTGGTCCACCACCGATGGGACCTAGTTATGGACCACCACCGACTCCTGGGCCTCACCATGGACCGAGTGCAAACGGTGGAGCGGGAATGCCCCCAAGAAGCGCTCCGGCACCGGGACAGTCTCCTGCGCAGTCCCCGGCCATTCAACACGGACTGGCGCCACCAGTGGTAGCGGCGTCACAGCTCACTTCCGTATGCGACCACATTCCGATCACAGAGCAGAAAACTAGAGCACTGCGACTCGAGATCCCAGAGAGTGTCACGCCAGAAGAAATTCTCGGCCGAAATGGATACTTCACCAGGGTATTTTTTTCGTGTGTCGAATATTGCAGTTCAATATTTCAATTATTTCTAAAGATGCGACGTCGCGGACGCACTACTCCAACTGAATCAAGTAATTGGAATTGCGTTTCTCCTAATTGGAATTCGCTTGGAGTAAGGTTTGGAAAGAAACATATTTTTAGAATTGATTCCAAAAGCAAATTCTAAAAAGTGGAAATTACTTACTTACTTCCAGGATATCCGGGCTAAGGTCGAGCAGAGCAAACTTGGAAATCTAACCGATATTGCGGTTGAGGAAGATGGAGTCATCACGGTTCGAGCTACCGAGGGTGTGCTGCCGTACATCGCGGCCCAGCTGATGGAGAAATTTCGCCAAGCGGAAGGCTAGAAGATGTCTTCGACCCGATCATTCTCTAGTACTCGACATTTCTTACATCAAGGAGAACCTGAGGTTAGTAGTTGTAGAAACGATAAGGAACAAGTTGAACTTGAAGTTCTATCCACCAGAATAGTAGAAGAAATCGAAAATGTTAGTTCTTCTTCTCTAGTAGCAGTACCACCTGGAAGAGAAAGACAAAGAAGCTCCACAAGCAGCCAGAGCGCCGCGAAGAACCACTGGTGTTAATCCTCTAGATCGACAGTCGCAACAGTTCCTCCCAGCTGTAGTCGCCATGAGGGTTTGCCTACCTCCTCACTTGTTGGAGCCGGTGTGAGGACGCCTGAATTAAAAAGGAGACACGACGAACACACATTGAAGTAGAAGCGATGCTTATGGTTGTCTACGCCACGAAATAGTATCTGTGCAGCTTGAGCTTATGAAACCTTCGCTCTTTAGCACATACTTGGATGTACGCTACCCCTACAGCTGGGAGCTCTGCTGATGGTCTTTCGGATGAGGCGTACTAGAAGTACTACAAGAGCATCAGCCCAATAGATTCATGTCATCACCTGGATGAAATACCGAGTAGCGCTGATAAGAATCGTGGAGCCCACGCAATGTCAGATGTAACCCAATTTCTTACATTGATGGTGTAACGACGTACATTATTAGAGGACCATTTCTAATAATTCATGGTGTGCCTATCGCAGTCACATGCTTACACTTTAGTTTAGCTTGTTTTCGGTCACGTCAGCTTCGCCACGTGGCTGTAATATTTCTAAGTCCTGACTCACACGCTATTTATTGCAAATCGTAATGCTATATATTGTAATAATCAATGCTGGTTCTCTACAATTTCGAACTCATTTCGTCTACTTTCTAATTTTGAAGATTTCCCAATCCCAATTAGAAACGCTCCTTCGTTCTGGCTCTGGGTTGGATGTTTTCTTTTACGGAAAACAGAGGGTGAAAAATTCACTTTGTATGTATGTTCCAGGGCTCAGAGCTGAAGGCCTCCCCGATCTAACTTCTTGCCCGGACCCCCTTTTCGAGGGGCTGCCGGGCGGGAAGGCCTCAAAGCGCCCACCTCTGACCCCTACCCGCTTCTTGCCTGTACCCTAGAGCGTCACCAAACCGGAGGGCGTTGAAGGAGGCAAGGGAGGACCCCGCTGGCTTTTTGCCTGTACCCTACAGACCTGGCAAAGGTGGCAAAGGCTGGGCCCTCTTGTCGTGTTGCAGGTACCCGACAGAGCTGGCAGAGGAGGCAAGGCGAGACACACCCCCTTGGCGTGCTGCATGTACCCGACAGACCTGGCAAAGGTGGCAAGGCTGGACCCCTCTGGCGTGTTGCACGTGCCCAACCCTACAGACCTGGCAAAGGTGGCAAGGCTGGACCCCTCTGGCGTGTTGCATGTGCCCAACCCTACAGACCGGGCAAAGGTGGCAAGGCTGGGCCCCTCTGGCGTGGTCCACCCCAGACCCATCCACAGGGGGGGCCTCCCTCCCTGGTACATGTATGCATTTGTAATTGGTTTCACGAAAATGTTATTGATACCGCCCAATAGGGCGATCTCTGACTCCTTCGCAAAACACCACTCTTATATTCAATAGGAATCTGAAAGATTGAGTCAGGGAAATCTTAGGCAGATTGCCGAATAGATTCGCGTCGTCATGAATCTGAAGCATCGCCCACCATCGCTAGTCATTTTGCCGCGGATGGCTCACAGCCTGAGCCGAAGCTATTTCTCACGGTTATGGTAAAGTAGTGAGATGTCAATCTGAAAATAAGAGTCGTTCCTTCGTGATGTTTTTGTTGATGCTAAAGTCAGAGATAGACAAATAATGAGTAGTCCGCGTTTACCACTTTATTTAAAAAACTTCTACAATGTGTGAAAGTGAAACCCAGCAAAACTATTTATTGACAAGAGGGACGAGTGATAGGATGACAACGAGCGCATCGAGGTTGATGTTGTAGTAACGAAGATCAATCTTGAAAATGCCCTACAACGATGTTGTCGAGACCAAACGCCCCACGAACAAGGTATGGTAGAAACTAGTAGGTCGCGCTTTGACTTCCCTCCCGGCGCGCTCATGGGTTGTATAATTTACTGGTAGACGTTTCAGGAACAGATCAAAATGAAGAAGACAAACACGGCGTCGAGCATTCGATATGCGCCCCGCAGTAATTGGATCTGCTACCAACCCGTGTTGAGAAGTTTTCTCACTGATCATAAGCAAATGTGGAGATTTCGGTGGAGCTTGCCTTAGATGAAGTTCAGCGTTGAGCGAAAGAGTTGTTTTCGAGAGATGTGTTGGCGCACTAAGTAACCTTGATGAGAAAAGACATGAGGATATTAAGGAACAAAAATATATTTTTTGTCAATGCTAAGTAGTAATAAATGATGGAACTGGAAGGTTTTTCGTAGATGAAAACGTAGAGGCACGAGCAACTACATTAGAAACTACTGCACATCATAGCAACCTCAATCAAGAAAGGATGCCAGGCGATATCGCATCTTTCGTGCTGAATCACTTGGCTCGGTTTCGCAGCGCAGGAGGTGGAAGTCTGCAGAAGACGAGTCGATCCAGCGCAGCTCAGTTGCCACTTGAGCGGGGAAAGTCCGCGTTTGTAAAAATTACGGTTTAAGTATGTTTTTCCTTATCCACCCACCTGTCGTGTCGTGTTCAATGAGAAGCGAGGCTTGGAATCGATCCTAGGTACTTAGTTAGTAGAATCCATACAGGTTTTTAGCTGGATGACGAGAATCTCCTGCTAAGAATCAGCTTTCCGAACGGTCGGACGCTGCAAGGTCAATGTGGCGAGTTCCAGAGAGAAAAGCGAATTCGTGCATTATTCATACTTACTAATCCTTCTGCGTCAGGTGAAGTCGCCGGACTTCATATCTAGTCGGTGCTCCTACGAAAACCTGGCGAGGATGTGGCCGAGACATTATGTACTTTTTACGTCAAATAAACACAGCTTTGACGTCTTAACCTCGGAAATTGAAAAAGTAGAGCAGCATTCAGCAACACTTCACTGGTGTATTATTAATATCATTGTATTTTTAGAATCTTGATAACGCTCGTCAAAGCACTAAATAAAACAACCGGTTAGTTTTTACCTCTAAACCTTAGGTTTATCCCATGAAGCAAAATATTAATATCTTGAATAGAGTTAGGTGACGTCGCTTCGTTCTGGCTCGGCCGATCTATCTCATTTTCACGCTTGATCATGATCAGTAGCATTGGTGATTCTTCCAGGTTCGAACTTGGGTCTAGTCGTAGCGCCGACCCAATTCTTCTGGTTTACGGAGCACCGCACAAATTGAGGTGACGAGATGAACTGATGCGGAAGTGCGGTGATGTGTGAAAAAGGAACAAAAAAGCGGAGTCGAGCAGCGGCCTCCATGCCTTCCTCAACCGAGATTACATTATCTCTTGTTAGTGGTCAATATAAGCCTAGTACTGGTTATGATTTCTTGCTCCCCTTGATGGGTCTCTATTTTGAGTTTGTGCGCCCCTGCGAGACCACGAAGATTCAGGTCCTCCAAATGGAATGTTCCGCTTGATGAGGCTCGATGCCCCGATAAAGAAAGACAGAATGAAGGTGAAATGTTCTTGATTTAAGGGTAAGGCATAGCAGGAACAGAAGCGTCCTCGAGTCTTTCGACGTGATCATACACTTGAAAGATACAGAAACCATCACTCTCCTGCGCTGTTCGTTGAGGAGGTTGCGGAACATGAAACTAGACCTCGATCCGAACAACTACACCATGAGAAGTTCATCATTTTTCTCTCACTCTCTGGAACTTCGCAAAAAATATCTCGAATTAGCGAGAAAACAATCAGAGCAGACGCAACACACCTGAGCAGGAGAAAATGACGGAATGTCTTTTCTCAATAACATTAACGAGTTAAGTCAACAGAAGATCGAAGAAATCTTCGGATGAAGAATGCAATTGGAAAACTAATACCCAAGTTGTGCTTGCGGACAGTCGTACTTAAGTACTTACGTCTGGTTTTTTCCTGTTGCTTTCATGTACATCGAAATTGCATGTAGTATCCCAGTTCCTCACGAATCCAGGACAGGACAGGAAGAATGAAAAGAGGGGCAATAAAGCATAAGTAAGCCTCCATTGCCTACTATCCTTCTTTTTAGCGACGGGGTGGAAACGCACGTGAAATTCCATAACAACTATCATTTATTTTTCTGCATTTCTATTTCGATCATATCGTTGAAAAAGGTGAACTTTCAAACTATTTGTACAACTATCTACTTAGAGAAAGGGTGTTTCGTATTGCTCGTCTTCTTAGTATCATAATAGATCGCATTACGACGTTTCTTCTACTTTCATCTAAAATGTTGGTTATTCGCCGTTTCTGTAGCGAGCCCTTCTTGATGAAGATATCGAAATTGAATCATAGTGAAGTGCAAGTATATGAATGTGTAGTGTTGTGAAATGGAGAGTGGTCTTCGTTCTAAAAAAAATTCACTCGGATCGATAAGAAGGAGCTACAAATATTGAACATTGCGAGAAATCTACTAGGTAGTTGTTGTCATCTTTACAAAATCGTGTGTGAAAAATGGCCGCTCGTTTCTGCATGCTTACCTCTGGGCTCGTGGTATCCGCCGCGCACGGGGTTTTCTCTAGCGATGCGGTTAAAAAACATGAGAACCAAGACTCACAGTTAACGTCAGCTGATGGTGCTCAGGGCGGTCTCGCCGGTGCTTTTCACAATGTTCATGTAGATGCGTCACAACTCCGGTCCCTTCCTCCTCGGGAAAAAAGTATTGCTAGCCCCTCTGCATGTTCGGATATGGTGGATACGCCAACCCTTGGAAACGATGGCGCAGATAGCCATAGCGCGTCCACGGCAGCGAGCAGCCCGGGAACCTCGCCAACTTTGAAATCTGAGAAAGATCCGCAGGAACACAACGCTGAGGAGGAGGATCCTCACGCTGAACAGAGTCCTCAACTCGAACCGTCATGGTGCGTCTGGATCGGAAGTATGTTCTCATTCTCTGATATATTCAGTCTCGGTTCGGATGATCAGGCAGCTGCGGAGAGTACCTCCATCAACTCAACAACACCCTCATCTAGCCTGGACGACCAACTCGCACAGCGTATGAAATCTCTACACCTCAGTAGCTCCTTGCCAACAGAGGGCTTTGCCTTGGAGGAAGAAGCAAGAGCTTGGGTCTTGGACCAACTGAGTCACATGGACGTCGAAAAACCAAATGAAAAAAAATATCCAAACCACGACAAGGCTGAAATCCAGGGTGGCGCAAGGCTCTATACGAATAAGGTGAAGGAAATCGCGTTGCTTCTCGCGCCATTAATGAAGGAGCAGAGGGAGAAGCAGGTAGAAAACAAAACCAAACTCAAAAAAGCAGCTTCACAACCTTCTTCAGATCCGGAGATGATCGTGGACGATCAAGACTTAGCAGTTCTAGAAGACGTCGCGAATACTGTCCAACTCAACAAAACAACGCCTAATGATCACTTTGTCCAGGGGGATGGCGGGTCATGCTCTGTGGCAGTGCACTCACTCTCACAACATGAAGGCCAAGCAGGTGAAGAACACGGTGCTGCATCTTCAAGTAGTAATGTCAGTGCTGTTGATGCAAAGCACGAGGAAGATGAGGAGGAGCAGGAGGACGGCCTGTCCCGTTACTGCACCTGGAATCGGGAGGATCACACCACACTTCAGCGGGGACGTGCACTTCCGTCACACCTGCTTCACCAAGCGATGCAGGCCGGCGGTACTGGCATTTCGTATGCAGATGTGCCGCTGACACCCCAGGCGAAAAAGAATGCAAGCTCAGAATTAAAAGTCTTTGAAGCTGCTCCTGGCTCCTTCCTCGCAGCATCGCCAATCATGAAAGCTCGAGCAACGCCAGCGTTGACTGCACCACCCGGACAAGCTGGTATCGCAGCTGCCGCTGCGCCGGGTGCTCCTCCCTCGGTTGCAAGAGGAGATCCAATAGTCGCTGCTTCGTCGTCCGCGTCATCTTTTTCTGGAGAGGTCCAGAAGACCAACAGCGAAAGCACTTCTACAACTGCGAACCTCGAGGACGATGCCATTCGAATCCACGCATGGGATGTTGTTGACTACGTGGAGACGAAGCTGTCCTTGAGCGTCATTTTAGAACAACAAGAGGAGGCGACTACAACTAGTGCGGGAATGGGCAGCAGCAGGCCGCTCCCTTCGGATTGGATGCGGTGTGGGTCACTACGGAACTTTCTCTTGGATCCAAATCGGCGAACAAGCCCTCTTGCATCAGAGAACGTCTGGATTTGGGCTTACCGCTGTCAGCCGGGGCAAGACGAAAAGGACGCGCTGCGGGTAGCTAGCAAAAATTTTCGTGCTCGATTAGACGCGCTGCGAAGAAAATGGAGCGCTCGGCTTCTTAAGTTTCAGGAGAAGATCGCAAACCCCATCTCCGACGCGGACATCGACACGGACTCGCTTGTGCAAGCGGAAAGTGATCCAGAGAAGAGAGAACAACTTCGCGCCGTCGTCTGCGATCGAGCTCGTGTCTCCGCAACAAATCTACACGGGCGCGTGCGGGACACCGTGGAGGAGATGACAGGTCTTATTGAGGATTTGATGAGTGAAGCAGACCACGACCAGCAGGCATTGCGGAAGCGCTTTGGCCAAGCACAGGACTACTGCGGTGTGCAGTCGGTGACGCGACCGGCGGCGAAAGCGAGCAATGCAGACAAGGCACGCATAGCTTTCCTGAAGAGCTTCGAATCCGTCATCATGGATCACAGACTGGAGGATGCTTACGATCTTGAACAAGGTGCCGCGGATGCTATCAAGCACAGGCTTTCACTGCGTGTCAAGAAGGCTCTACAAGACGCACGAAACGCGGAAAACAAGTTCGAGACCAAATATGAAGTGTCTCGACAAGATCGAATGGCAAATAGTTAGTTCTTCACTTGCCGGAAAAGCTTACTTAACTTACTTAATATGAATCTATAATATGAAATATCTATCAAAAATGAATAACGTTCAGCACAGCACATGCTGAGTTCGTGAATAGGTCATTGTTGAGTATTTTCCCTACACCATCGCCTGATTCTTACAACAACTTCGAAGATCGTGTCTATACGTATTTGTACCAGTTAATTCTTGTGATGATTCACGACTGGGAGAAATATGTTTAATGCGATCACTGAAGTACTAGAGAAGTTGTGCAACTTCTATTGAAAAATTGCTCTTCCTAGCATATTAGCTTCGCTACGTTTATTAACCTATCATTTATCAAAATGTTTGCACAAATGTCAACGAGAATTACGTTTCATAATTTCAACACACGAAGGGCGTTAGTACCCTTCAGGTGAAGCTGAAGCGAATGAAAATCCGCATTCCACCACTAAGAAGAATGGAACACAACCAACGTGAAAATATTGCAAAAATGCATCACGATAGTTTTGGATCTAGCAGCGCCCGTGCTGTCGTGTGAGACTCGCACACAGAGCGAGCGGGATGCCACCTGGTGTCTCTTAGAAACTAGGCCTGGCATCTTGAAAGACGCACAGCGATTCAGGCTGTGCTTGAGGGAAGGAACTCGCGGGAACTGTGGCGATGTGTGTGCATAATGAACATGGAGGTGTAATTTCAATCCAATTCCCAGAGATGATAGCGAGCATCACGAGAGCGACAATAGGCGCGCAGCACAGGGGATAACAGAGAAGACGCAAAAATCGGTAGGACACGGATAATCAGGCATCGGTCGTTGCTTTTGTATGTCTGACCAGGCTCAGCTGTGTCTTTTCTCTGTTAGATGCGGACTGTTGGAAATACTTTTTAAGTAAGTACATGTGTGTGAACTTGTAGACAAGTAGGCAACAAAAAAAACGCATCAAGTGCTGAGACCCACCCGAGAAGCGCAAATTCTGACTGTTCCTGACCTGTAACTGGAATTAAACCAAAACTTTTTTGTTTTTCAAAAAATGCGCTTATTGACTCCGAGCGCTACGGCTACGTGCAAACGTGATGGCGGATCAGGAGTGTTTTCAAGTGATGGTAGAGCTCTAGCTTGTTTAGCTTTTGTGCCTGTAAAAGTAGATATCGTTGGAGGGAGCATAAACAACTACTTGTGAAGAGTGTTGCTGTTTGTTCATGATCCAAGAACAAAATGGCTCTTAGTCAGCGTGCACCTGGTTCGTCTCTTCTCTTGTTTGAGAAGTCAGCAGCTGGTGCCGTGTTCTTAGGTTCAGGTAGGACACCCAGCCATTCCTCAGATTGGCCATGCGCGAAACAGAAACTGGCATGGGTCAAGCAGGGAGCTGTGAATTCGTCAGCCTGTGAGCACCTCTCAAAAAATGGTGGAGATGGCGCGTCGTCTTGCTTGCGCACACGAGAATACCTGAGGTGTTTACAAGCTGGACATCACCCAAGATTACAGCGGAAAGGGCACGGCCTAGTACACCAGCCGTCTGATGAAGCCGCACGAGCACGGCCTTGTGCGACCAGTGGAGGAAAAAACATCGGCCTTGACACGAAATTTGCGATGTATCAAATGCGTGCTATGACGACGAAGAATGTCGCGCCAGGCCTTAGTGCAGACATGACCACTCCAAAGGGGCATACGCATAAGGAAAACCGAAATCGGATGGCAGGCAGCGGATACTTCAATATGCAGGGCGCCGCATTCACGGTACTACAAAAAATGAGAGAAGGCGCGGCAAGGTATAGAGGACGTGGCCAATGACAAGTTATGTACTCAATATTTGTCCACCTAGTGCGGCTGCGGTCATCACCATCGCGTCTTACACTCACTCTTCCTGGAACAGTACTGACTCGATAAGGCAGGCGTGCTTAACAATTTAATAATTCGAGATGGACAGTTACTCTTACTCCTGACTGTTTTTGTTTTGAATTTTCAGTTTGTCGGGGGATTGGGATTGTACTGGTTTCTGGACTACATGTCGAAGAACATGGCGAGAAGACAGCGTGCGGCCATTGTAGAGCAGGAGAGCATTGGAACACCGAAATTGGGCGGCCCGTGGTCCCTCTACGACAGAAATGGGAATCTGGTATTTAATGAACAACGAGCGCATTATGGGTTAGAGCAACGCTTCTTGGTTAATGCTGAGGAGCGTCTTTTTTTGGATACGTAATGGCTTCTCTAGTAGCTACTATGTAGAGTGCTTTGTACCTAAGTCAGCAAAGCCGTGTGTCCTGTTCCATAGTTCAATGTCACAACGACCCCCAATGCTGAGGCAGACTTTGATTTTTGACTACTTCAATAGAGATCGATGAAGAATCAAGAGCGATCTTGCGCGGGCACGAGCGAAAACTGAAAAATATAAACCATGCTCTGTCCGGTTCTCTAGGTAACGGACCATGACTTTCGTGGGAAGTATCAGCTGATTTATTTCGGATTTTCGTTTTGTCCTGATATATGCCCAGAGGAGATGGAGAAACAGGGCATGGTGATCGAGAAGCTTGACAAAATGTTTGGAAAAGATATAGTAGAGCCCATATTCATAACCGTGGATCCAGCACGCGACACTGTCGCGCAGGTACAAACTTTTTACCTAAATCAGAGGAGTTTATAGAACGCATGGTGCATGGAGTAGCATGGAGGGGATGGAGCGCAGACCTCTAGGGGACGCAAGAAGCGCCCCCTTTAGCTCCATGCACTCCATGCCGTGCGAGCTGGCAAACCTTGTGGATTACTCTGCTACGTATCCGTTTTCGTTTTTCCCTGTCGTGAAGGTAATGAACAGCGCTAAAGCTGCCGCACATTACGATTTAGATCTGATAAATCGAGGAATTCGTGGATACAGGATCCGGGCGCAATGTTTATAGGCCAGGCTTTGTTTGGGCGGTCAAGCATGCAGACAACTCACATCCCTGGGGAAATTTTTTTTTTGTGATCCGTAAACGCACAAATACTAGGTTGACAGTTACTGCAGTGAATTTCACCCGCGGCTTCGGGGTTTGACCGGCACTCCAGAGCAAGTGAAAAAGGTGACACGCGCATTCCGCGTGTACTACAACGAAGGTATTAGGGCAGACGGCGACGACTACCTTGTAGACCATAGTATCATTCAGTACTTCATGGACAGGAACGGGAATTTTGTTGACTTCTTTGGAAAAAATATGACTGTTGGCGAAATCGTCTCCAAAATAGCGGCAAAAATTCAAACGGACGAAGGAAAGTTGCAGAACAAGAAATACTCCGCGGGGTAGAAGCGGGAGCAGGTGGCTATTTAGATTATCGTTCGAAGATATCGACCCCACATTTGTAACTAGTAACTTTTGTTTACGTATGCTCTTGCGTACTAAAGCAATTTTCAACTTGCTTCATTACCACCATGAGTGTAAGTTCTACTTCTACACACGATCCATTTTCTAAATATTCCTCTCGCGAATCTTTGACTGAAATTAGACTGCACTACTTTTGATCCACTGTCTGAGCGTCAATAAATCAAAGTCGAATTGGAGATCTTGGCTCATCATGATAAAGCAATTGACAGCATGAAGTTCCAAAGTGAGATCTAAATTAGGTAGTGACAGCGATGCGATCAGGACCCAATTCTACTTAAAAATGACACTAAGATAAAGATTTTGAAGCAGAGCTGCATAACAAACAGTGCTCTTTGGTGAGAGATCCAACCACTACCATCTGTTCCCTACTGACATTGATTCCCTAGTGACTACGAGATCGGCGTCATATTTTCTGCGCTGCGGACGCTAAATTTAAAATAATCTACAGACCCTTGATCCCGTGAAGACACCGATTGAGCTGTGAGTCATCTGATCCGAACGGAAACGGAAAGGAAAAGAAAAACTAAAGAAGGCGGATCTCACGTCCATTGGAGATCCCGAAAGTTTAATCTAAATGGATCTGCACACTTTTGAAGTAGATTCAAGATCTCTGCGCGTACGTCCCATGTCATTCACTTTGACGTCCTCACTCATTTTGTTGATGTGATAATTTTTTTCCAGGGAACAACGAGATTGTGTGGTTTAGGACGTCTCGGCAGACTCCTTCGTTTGTAGTAGAAAGACACTACTACCACAAAAATGGTACGGGTTAACCAGATCAAGCTCAACCAGGTGGTCTCCAAGGCCAAGTCCGTCCGAAAGGCGGGCAAGAACAAACCGATGAAGCTCCGAAAGAGCCTTACCCCGGGAACCATCGCAATTGCACTTACCGGTCAGTTCCGTGGCTCCCGTGTTGTCGTGCTCAAGCAGCTCGAGAAGAGCGGTAAAATCTTAATTTAGAAATGATAGAGCCATTCCCTATCGAATGATCTAAGCGTACCTGCATGGCATAGTCAAGGACGGACTGGTGACTGCAAATTTTTCAACTCTAAGAGATGAATTCGCGCAATATCTAGGTATTCAATTGTCCCTCATAAAATCTGAGCAGAGCCAAGTTGTTTATTCACAGACAAACCACTCATAACTCCGCTACAACAGGTCTCTTGCTCGTCACCGGACCGTTCAAGGTCAACGGTGTCCCGCTCCGCCGCATGAACGCTCGATATGTCATCGCTACTTCTACCAAGATCGATGTCTCCAGTGTCGACACCAAGAAGTTTACCGATGAGTACTTCGCTCGCGCTGACAAGGCCAAGGGAAAGAAGGGTACTAACTGGCCTAAACGAACATACGTTTTGCTTGCATATATCGTGTACGACTGTCTAGCTTTGTGCGAAGTGTCTTCTAGGTCGCACAAGAATTGGTAAATTTCTGTGTGTTGGAAAATTGCACGGAAATTTACGAGAAGTCTAAAATCTCTAGATTCTATTTTCTACAGTAGGATCGTTCACTTCGCCTCCTTTTTACACTCGTTCAGGTGCCCCTTCCTTCCTCGACAAGGAAAAGAAGCCGGAATTGAGCGCCGCTCGCAAGGCCGACCAGGCTGCCGTTGACAGCAAGCTGTTGGCGAAGATCGATGCCGTTACCAAGAAGTATTTGAAGAGCAAGTTCGCTCTCTCCAACGGCGACATGGCTCACGAGCTCAAGTTCTAAGTACCTCTAGTTGAGTGGAGATCATCATAGAACAAAACATCCGAAGAAACAGTGCTTCACGGGAGAGTGAAGCCTAAGTGCCGAGCTGGAGGCCCTGGGTAGTTGCGAATTGCGGTCGGGGCGTACTCAGAAATGATGGGTCATGATTGATCTAGCACGTAAAACTGCGAAGGAAGGTTGTGATCTCAGAAGTTTCTCTCATGTGCTCTCATGTAAATCCGGCTACTGCCGAGAAGAAGCCACAATAAACATCGCGCCCGCCAAGGCGGGGCTTTCTAACGACCGTGCTTTTTCCTAGAACGACGCGTGTCCACCGCTGGTGTACGTCCCACGAGAAGCGTGAAAGTATATTCGATGCGTGCTAAAAGGCTCGATCGAGAGATTCTAAGAGCGACGTACGAGTACATCAAACTTCAGAAGCAGGTTCGGTCACCGGACAAATTGCGGTCGGTCCAGCGGTTGACAAAATGACAGGAAATCAGTGTGAGAGCCACCAAACTCAGGGGCGCAACTTGTGCAGAATGTCCTTTCGATCGGTTAAAAGTTTTTTGTCAGTTACTACAGGGGAAATGAGAGAGTTCGTGTAGTACGATCGCTTCCAGTTACGTCACGGTCCGGTAGTTCCATTATCGTGATCGACCAGTGGGTCTATTGTTGCAACGCTGCACATTTTATGAAAGATCTGGCTTCATCCATGTTGAACATGCTCGGCCTCTAACTGCAGTTGTTCCTCGCTTTCCTCAAGAAATGTGATAGTATGGCAGTTGATCATTAAGCGATGGAACATGATAAGTATTTATGCAAATTCAGTAGTGCTTGAAGATTTTATGGTCTGAAGAGTCGTTGCGGAAGAGGAGCCGTGGACATCGATTTTGCGCGGTGGGTGTACGTAACCTTTAAACGATGTTGAGGCGGACGGCGATAAGGTGTCGCCATTGGCAATACGAGGGCGTCAACCCAGGAAATGCCTACGAACGAGTTCCATTTAACCTGTATTATTACTAGGCTGTATTTGCGATTCGTTGCGTGTATGATAGACTTCTGTCCGATAAGCCAATGAGCACCTGCTGATCTTCCAGTGCCGAACGTGATCTGTGTTTGTCTCGCCGAGGTCAAGATAACTAGTACTTCTATTTTTATGCGCTAGATTTGTTCAAAATATATGCGAAAAATTTCCATCTTTTGATTGAGAAGAGTTTGATCGCTCCTGTCAGGCATAATGGAGCAGTGGTTGCCCCCATGTGGCCAAAGAAGGTGTGGGCGTGGGAACAAGCAAATGGCAGAAAATTGCGTGGTAGCGGATTGTGGGGTCCGGAGCAGGAAGAAGTGATGAAACTGACATTGTACCAGCCATCACATTATATTTCCGAAACTGCATTGCGTGAAGGATACTTTATGCTGCTAGTACCCGTTCCTTTAAAATGATGAGAATGATTCGGGGGACTACTAAATGAAAGGCGAGGACGAGGAATAAGTACACATCTTTAACCGAGCTTTTATATTTTCTTAGGTACAACCGGGTCAAGCACATGAAACCGCAACGCCAAATGCCATCTCTAGCTGAGGAACAGGAGGAGTACGAGATGGATGTCGCCTGTATGTGGCTGACGAGTATCGGCTGTGTTGCTGGTATGTTCATGTACATGCGCGGATGGTGCGTAAAGTATCAATCAGTACACGATGCTTATCCATGGAACACCGCTCGTATGGACGGCACACGTGGTTCGGGTAACACGCTGTGGTTCTTGGAGTAACTGCTTTTTTGCCTCAGATTCTGGGATCATCGAGTTGTTATGATGGTAGGTGTCTGTTTCAGGATCAGGACTCCTGCTCCTGAGGTGAACAGCCTACTACGTACAGTGGAAGATTGCGAAAGATATCACTACAGAGAAAATCCCTTACTTGCAACTTTTCGCTCCTTTTTGGACCCTTGCTCCGCGCGCGGGAACCTTAGCACGTGCAGAGTTCGTTTCTGGCTGTGCGACAAGCTGCACTTCGTGTTCATCTTTTAGCTGTTCACGTGACATACTGAAGGGTGATCGTAGCCGATGCAAGATCGAATCGGACCTGAAAAATCGCCAAACCAACGTTGCGCCCGAAGTTCCCGAAGATCAGCGAACAAGAAATGCACCACATAGGTCTGATCTGGACTAGCTTATGTTGATCATGGATCCATCGTGTTTGTCTTTTGTTCACGCTTGTTTCACTTGATACATCCCATAGTGTCTCAGTAATTGAATGATGGCACCACGACCGGCACCACCTGCGCCACATGTACAAATATAACCAGGAGCGCTCATAGTCTAGATCAGTGATATCGTATGATGACATCGGTGATAGAGGTCGATACGCCAAGTCCGTTTTAGCGTACCTGCTATCCTAAGCATGAGGAGCTGCTAGTGAATTTTCATTGCTAATGTTCTTCGTGGTGTGCTTGTCGTGTATCACCAGCAAGAACACATCATTGTAGTTTCATCATAAGTTGACACACTTTATTTTGATTCCACCATATCGATATCGCCCATGTTGGATCGCCGTATAGACCAGTTTTCTAGTACAATATAGATACCATGACTCTGTGCTCGCTTTTCTATCGCGCAGCAGTGAAGAGCGTCGCGGCACCGCTCCTGCTCGCGTGTGTCTGGGCGGTAACAGTATCCGGGACTACGAGCTCAGCGGCCGCACTTCTCTGTGTTGGATGGGCCTTGGTGGCACGGGCGTTCTTGGTAACAAGAGTTTTAGGAGGTGAAATTGATGTCTCGTCTAGTATTCGTATTCCTTCCTCAGGGTCAGGGTTTTCTTCATGCATTGACACATGGAACAGCTTTTTTTGTGATGACGTTTGGGCGTGTAGTTTTACGGTAGTCAACTTTCCTTTTCGTGAAGACCGTCAACAAGAAGATAAATTCTGAACGATAAAAAAACAGTTGCAAACCCGACCTGAGTTTCATTGTTCTTCCGTGCTTTTGTGGGTAGAACGAATCAGCTGGAAGCAGGTTGTCATCGCATTCGGATCAGTTGTAATATTCGCTTGTATTGACGATGATGCACTCGTGTCAGCATCATTTTGGGTATACCCTAGCACGGTGACTGGCTTCTATTCTGCATCTTCCTATGGTGCAACTGGGGCAGCAAGTAAAGTAAAGCACCCTGGTAGTTTTTCCTCGAGCAGCAAGTCCGGCAGTGTCAATAGCGTTCTGCTAGATCCCGCGTCGAACTTCGCGTACTTCGCCTTTCCAGTAGCAAAAGGCGACCAAAGTAGCGAAGCTGAGCATGAAGCTGCTCTGCCGCTGTCAGAAGCAGATCGCCGACTCGCGGCGCTGGCTAATCCGAGCCTCTCTCGGCCGGCGACTGATACCGCTGCAACAAAAGGAGCCACTCCCGCGTTGAGCAATACTGCAGAAGCAAGGCGGACAAGCTATCTCGGACATCACACTACATCACTGATCGACCTATTTTTTCGTTTTCTTTCCCCCACCTTCTTCCTCGCAGTCTTGTGCTCCATGAACATTTTCTTGTGGGCAGCAGGGCTGCACCTTCTCTTTCGGTTCGTTGGGAATCAGCAATATGTGTTGAAGTTTGGAACGAAGCCCGCCTTCTTTAGTCGACTGCGGAGAGAACTTCCGGATATTCTCGTATCTTGCGCCAAGCTGGCGATAACCGCGGGCCTGTTGGCCCGGGATGGGTGGAGGTACCATTATTGACGTGATATCGTTATGCAAGTTCTATAAAATCTTGTGCTGACTTATCTGCCTTGGACTATCACGATGGTAAAATTCAGTCTGAACTACCACTTGAGGTTTCCCCATCGATCACGCAATTTCCATCAATTATATTTACAATATAGGATCCCAGCTGTCTTCTGTCTTCTCTTCGTTTTCGAAGTGGAAGCAATTGCTTTGCACGAGTCTGGTGATATTGCCCGGAATGTTGTGGGCTTCATACCGACAATCCAATTGCAAGAGAGGTTGGCGCAGAGTCTTTCCTACCCAACCGGAAGCCTTGAAGTCGAGCTTAGTTTTGTGTTCGTAGCACAGATCAGTAGGTGTGGGCGAAGAGAGTGGACGGAAACGCTCTTTCGGGAACGAGGCATCTTGTCGCAGTTTTTCGTACATGCAGGTGCTGCCGCTGAGGCTGGCGCAAGAAGGGCGATAGACAGTGACTATGTAGGCTTTTTTGAAAACGAATGTGCTTTGCGCTTCGGAATACGAGCTCTGGGAGACTGGGTTGCGCTAAGTAAGCGTTTGGACGGACGTGGAGGACTTGTGCTTCTAGCAGAGCCAATAGCCGCTTTAGCCGTACTCTGCGATGCAGTGACTCCGGCTGTTCAGCAGTTTCCAGTGGGGACAGCCTCGACGTTGCGCCTGTACTCTGGCAAAAACAACAAGGCTTTAGAGAATGGCGATCATGGAAGAAGTGGTGGAAACTTTGTAGGTGGAGGCGGTGTTGAGCAAAGTACTAGACCAGGAGCGCCACAGCCAGCATCTCTTTCATTTGTTGGCTCCCTGCATGCTCTGACAGAGAGAATCCGACTCACGCTGTTTAGACCTCAAAATTATGCTTCGAACTACAGTGAACCAGCCCGCTTAGTCTCTGATTCACGAGGAAGCTACATGCAAAAGTCGACCGTTTCTCCCGACTTTCCTGCACCAAATGAAGCGAGGGGGAATGCCTACATCAGTTCAGAAGCTGAGCACACTGCAATTTTGGTTTCATCAGAGAGCACTGCTGGAGCTGAAATTTTACAGGCTATGGAGAGAATAATCGCGGAAGCGCATTTGTCCCTGACTCAATGGATCGAGTTGTTCGGAGAAGTCACGATTCGTGACCACTGGCCACGAAAGCATGGCCGATTACTGTCGGTCCTACTTGGAGAGACGGAGCATCCGATGTCCATGTTCAATCTGCAGCGAGACGCCGGGAGAAGCGCTGTTGTGAGTGCAACCCTGGTTGGAGGTTCGAGAGGATGCCTGGCAGGCGGGAATTTTTTGTCGGGCAGTAGCAGTTCTTCAAGCGGTGTAAAAAGAGGGCCTTCAATAGCGGCGTCGTCAAGTAGTGCAGCATTGGGCGCGCCGCGCACAGGTGTGTCAAGGGGTCGAAATGTGAAGTACACAAATTCTGTTCAACCAGGCATCGCTGGATCAGGCGGACGCGGCAGTTTGTTCGGAGCATCCTACAGTCACGCTAACGCGGCAACTCCATTTGATACTGGGCGGAGCCAGCGTAGAGTAAATCAAGGCACCACAACTGGCAGTACTGTCGGGCACCAGTCTCCGCAACGCATCCGAACAAATGACAAGCACACACCTAGCGCGTCATTCATTGGTCCAGGGAATGACCCCGACCGGTCCGCAAGCGCCAGTGCTAGGGGGGCAGCCTTCAGCGGTAGTAAATATTTCCTTTTTGGTCAGTCATCTTCATCACCCGACGAATCAGCGACGGGACCAAGCTTTGGGCACGCTGCGGCAACTCATGCACCACCTGGTACACGGAAGCCCTCTGGCTTTAGGCAAAGAGTGAAACAGGCGAGCTTTTTCTAACTGGCAACACCTGCTGCTTTGAGAATAGTTTCAACAGGGGACGTTACCCGACTAGATGAAGAGATTTGCGAGTGGTTACAACCTATGAATCGAAAAATTAACTTCGACGTCTCGAAGAAGAACGAGGAGAAGAGATAATAAAGGGAGACACCCAGCAGCTGTAGCGTGGAGATTAGGATTACTTGGTGTGAATTTTAAAAGCTGGGTATCGACGGCGCATTGGCCTTTCCCTTCTGCAAGAAAAGATAGACATTCGTAACAAACTAACAGGGGAGCGTTGGTTCTTTTTCAAGTGGTTATTTGTGAATCTGAACAGCATATTATGGACTCGGTGAAAATTTAGGACGCACTGAACGCAAACGATTATACTAAAGATCGATCATGCCCATACTGTAGCCTAATCTAGACTCCTTACCTGCTTGCGCCTGCAGGTGAGGACCCAGCAGTTCAAGTTTTGATTGTAGTTCGCGAAAACCACCTGTGCAAGCATAAGCAAGCATACGGCTCCAACGTTCTCCCCTCTCTTTCGCAGTAATCGTCTGTTCAGAAGATAAGCTCTGAAAGATCATGCCTGAGATCATCAAGAGATCTAGATATAACAGTGAGCTGCAGAAGTTCACGAAATAGCGAAATGCTACCGAAAGCAAAAGATAAAGGTTTGGTGAATGATCATACAAGACATCGAAGGAGGAAGCTACATCAAAACCGAAAACGGTAGTAGCTGCTGAAGGCGAGCATCAACGAATTCTAAAAAACCCATAAATAGATGGTCGAAAGTTTCGCGGTCCATCATCGATCTTGTGCCTTTGGAAATCAGTGATCCTAAAAGACTAAAAGAGACTCCAGAAAATGTAGTAAGCTGGGCGTTGATCACGACAACGAACCCTAATGGTCCCAAGCTTGCTCGCAAGAGGGAAATGTGGTGCCAATCTCTAAAGTCGAAACGGATCCTCGTGCTCGTTCAAAAGATCAACATATTCACGCTTTGATCCCCAACGAATTTTAGATCTTAAAGAGGAGAGGACGTACATCTGAAGATTACTCATTCGAGGATCAACATCGATGTGCGCCGATGCGGTTTTCCGCTTCCAGAAAAATTATGGTTTTTCTGAGAACTCGTACTATTTTCTATCTAAATCTTTTTTTTTGTCCTCTATCATCTCAATCCAACCTTTCTTTTGAAAAAACAGGGAAACGAGAACAACCTTATTTAAGGTTCTAAACTCTGGGTTTTAATCACATCCACCAAAATGGCTCGTGGTCCGAAGAGACATATGAAGCGCATGGCTGCGCCCAGCCACTGGATGCTGGATAAGCTTACCGGTATCTATTCTAAATTTCTAATATCTTCGTGATTTGAATCAGGATTGATATCGTGTGTGGATCAAGTCTGATAGATTTTTCTACTCGATATCTTAGGCTAGTTAAGTTTGAAAAAATGTTGACCAAGGAACTCAAGATGTTCCCAAACTATTGTGTCAAGTTTCGCACAGTCGAGAATTCCGAAAGACTCTCCCAAATTTCCGAAAACAAACCAGGTGTGTGGGCCCCGAAGCCGAGCAGTGGCCCGCACAAGCAGCGTGAGTGCTTGCCGCTCATCGTCTTGTTGCGTAACCGCCTGAAATACGCTTTGAACTACCGTGAGGCCAAGATGATCCTCATCCAGCGTCTCGTCCGCGTTGACGGAAAGATCCGCACCGACCACACCTACCCGGGTACTGCTAAACCTTGCTGGGCTGTGATAGATTACAGCAGTCTTGTTTAGAATTTGCCCTATTCCCGAGATTTCATCCTCATGTGTCAGATTTAAGACTGCTGGAGTTGATTGCGCTTACCTTTTCTACCCAAATACGGACTCTCACATTGCCATCACCAAAACGAAAAAAAGCATCTACTATGAAATATTTGTATATGACCTTTCCAAAAACCCCAAAAAACAGCCGGCTTCATGGATGTCGTTGCTCTTGAAAAGACCAAGGAAAACTTCCGTTTGTTGTACGATACCAAGGGACGCTTCGTTATTCACAAGATCACTCCGGAAGAGGCCAGCTACAAGTTGTGCCGCGTCAAGGCCGTCGAAAAGGGAACCAAGGGCGTCAACCACGTCGTCACCCATGACGGCCGCACCGTCCGCTTCCCGGATCCGGATGTCAAGACCAACGATTCTATCCGCCTCGACATCGCCTCCGGAAAGATCCTCGATCACTGCAAGTTCGAACACGGTACTTGATAATCTAAATTCTTTCACGATGCTGCGTGGTTCCCGCTTCTCGCACCCACAAAAGTGTAGTCGTTAACATGAGATCCAGAACAGGATTTAGATACTCATTTGTCACGTTTCGGCTGCTGCTGACCTAATTTTGTTTTTCCATAAATAATTTATTCAGGCAACGTGTGCATGATCACCGGTGGAAACTCGATCGGTCGTGTCGGTGTCATCACTCACCGTGAGAAGCATCCGGGATCCTTTGAAATCGTCCACTTGAAGGACGCCCAGGATCACCACTTCGCTACTCGTCTGCAGAACGTGATGGTCATCGGCAAGGAGAACAAGCCGTGGATCTCGTTGCCGAAGGGCAACGGAGTCAAGCTCTCCATCCTGGACGATCGTCGCAAACGCATGGAGAAGAACTAAGTATCCTCTTCTGCTTCAAGAATATGGAGTCTTCGATAGTTGTATGCTAGAAGGAGACAAAATATGAAGTTGCGGCTGCAGGAAGAGTGCGGTGGGCGGTCTTTCTGTGGAGCTGGAAATGGGACACAACATGCGCATTTGACGAAGGCATTCGCTCGTAGTCTTTATCTTCCAGTAGAGCGGACGATGACATCTAAACAAGAACGGCACTCACTCAGTATTAGAATCCTGATCTTCCTGTCAGAGCCATGTAGCACGAGGGCTCACAGTCGCACGGTTCGCCTGATTTGATTGGGCTTCTGCAAGTGCGACAAGGGCAGAAATTTTAGTCTGCTGACGTTGACAGAAGATCTGCTCATATTGCGAAGAAAACAATGCCGAGGAGGAGTCGAAACTGCGCGTCTACTAACTCAATTTTTTAATGTTCGTTACCATTGCTCCACTGTCTTCATCGGGAAGCGGTCGGGTATGTCTCACCCTTGTGGCCGCGCAGTTTTAGAGAGGCAGAAGCGGGCAAAATTTCAGTGGTTGGTGGCGGTCTTCCTTGTTGTACAAAGATGATCATGCTGGAAGTGATGAGATTCGGCGAAGGTGTGCGTTTTTCTAGAGATGTCTTGGCATACGGACATTGTGGAAGAGAGTGAACCGATACCCAAAGCGAAAAAAATAGCTACGTGCGCCGTTCAAGCGCACCGGCACTCGACCGTTGTGTTCCACCTATCCATCATTTTGACCGGGGCATGTCAACGAGATCAAAAATCTAAATATGCAATGAAATTTTGAAATTCCCACGGATCCTAAAATTTAGAAATTTGACAGCCGGCAGTAGACGGTATAGATCAGGATAGCTTCGTTATGAATTGCAAGAAACAGATCTTTAGGTTCACGAAGACCACCGGAAGAACTACGAAATCCGGGCTGATCGCTTCTACAAAGTCAAAGTTCCTGCAGCAATGGAATTCCAAGATCCCGCTTAGATAAATCAGTGTTGCACACCAAGATCTAAAGATCACGGAGGAAGACAGATTTAAATTAACTTACATAATTAGATTCTGAAACGAGATCGGTCGGAACAGTACTGGAAGATGAAGGATTAAGTGTCAGTCCCGAACCTCGTTGAGACTATATTTAAGGCAATGTTCGAAAGTAAATGCATCCGGTTCTGCTTTTGAATTTTCATCAGGGAAACGAGAAAAACTACTTGACAGAAGTAGTGTGCGTCCGTTATCTAAGAGTTGTCAACATGCAGTTGTTCCTTCGCGGAGTTAACGGCTCCACGGCCACCCGTGTCGTGGAGCAGACCACCACGGTCGCTGAGCTGAAGGAATCGCTCGATCTTGCCACCGGATTCCACCTTTCCTACGCTGGTAAGTCGATACCCTTATGCTTTCTTTATGAACTTCTTGTCTTCAGAAAATGCCACTTCTAGGAGGTCTATATATTGATGCATACCAATGCGTTTTGAGACTTAGCTTGCGCTACCAACACTTGTGCTGCAAAATTTCCTAAGCTTAACGACAAACGACGATCGATCCGTTCATTCCCTACAATGACCACCTTCGTAGGTAAGGACTGCCCGGAATCCCTCACTTGCGGAGCTCTCTTTGCTGATGAGTGCACCATTGATGTCAACGCGGATTTGTTGGGTGCCGGTAAGAAGAGAAAGAAGAAGCAGTACACCAAACCGAAGAAGATCAAGCACAAGCACAAGAAGGTCAAGCTCGGAGTCCTCAAGTTCTACAAGGTATTTCGGACCAGCTCATTTGTATGACTATTTTAGAACTGGTGTCACTAAAAATGAAGGCCCCTCGAGAAGGCGGTTGAAAGTTTGAACATCATCTGTACTGCACTTTCGGCCCACTATCCTCCCCATTCAATATCTAGGTCGACGGAAGCGATAAGATCACCCGCTTGCGCAAGGACTGCCCGAACTGCGGAAACGGCGTCTTCATGGCTATGCACCACAACCGCTACTATTGCGGAAAGTGCACCCTGACTTACGTCTTTAGCGAGGGTGACGAGGCCTAATGCGGCTCTGGATCAATTTTACAAGAGAGAAGATGAGGGGAAGCCTGACAATTTCGCCGGGAACAAGCAGTCATGTTGCGACGTTTGGGAACGAAACAAGGGACGCATTCACAAGGGGAAACGAGCAAGCGTGCTTTTCCGAGAGACTGCGCCGAAATCGTCATAGTTCTAGTCGTCTACGCCTGTTTCGGGAGCAGATAAATTGGTCTTGGGGGAGCTTGTGAAGACAAAGCTCCATTTCGTAAGACTGCTAGTATGGCCTTATTCGTGAAGGAATTGATATGACTTCCCGGATGGCGATGCAATTGACATAACTCTTAGAGAAGAAGACGAAGAGATCCGAACGGTATGAGGCAGGATCCCCACTGCGCGCGTCTCGGACCCAATCGGCAGGCCCTTTGTTCGTGTTCGTCCGCCCTCATTAAGGAAAAGCTCTGGTGGCAGACCCCGTCCTCATCCAAAGCTCTCAAGATTGTCGCTGAACTATGAAGGACTATGACGTAATTCAGGATGGTGTGAAAAGAACCCAAAATGACGGGTGATCGGTTGTTGTGGCAATATGCTAGGACTGTAATGGTTCTGTTTCTGAGAAGGATAGATGCTGTACAACGTTGCTAATGATGAATTCTGTCGAGTAAGTAGAAACAAGCAAATCTGACATGAGATGACACGAAAAAAGACAACTTTCTGTGTCTCGAACTTTCTGTCGAGCGTTCTACAAATATTAGACTGTGAGAAAATACGGCGAGAGCTATTCTGATGCTTCGCTTGAGCGACAACACCCTCCGGCTCATATTGCAGCTTCATCAAAATACTGTGTACTCTTATTTGTAATCTATTCAGGATTTCTCCACCTCTTTCCCCCCAAATCTCAAGCACAAGCGCGGAGATGATCTCTCTTTTGTTAACGCGTATGGACGAGTGTTGTAGATGAGATCAAAGTAGTTAAGAACGTGGGCATTCATATTTGGCCACATTATGTCCGTGGTCGTAGAAATTGGTGGATTATCGCGACATCGATATGTTTTGGGCTGGATTTTTTGGCTAACAAGTCACCCTCCAGACGGTGGGTTGTTTGTCCCTATGATTCAATATTCTAGGTCTTGATTGATGGTCGTGTTGGGCTATCATTTATGCTTGCTAGGCGTAACTGAGCCCGCGGTTCATTTTCGTTCACTGACTTGCATTTCATAATGGAGGCGTTCCCATCTGGCGATACAGTGCAGCCGACCGAGACGGAGCAGGAAGCCGAAGCGACTTCTGTGCGCCAGTCGCGAGTTTTGGGTCGTGGTCGTGTCGACTTGCCTGAACGATCAAGTTCGATATCGATGCATACTAACAAGAGAGAGGTTTCGTGTACGGGTGCTGCTTCATCACCTGGTATCCAACACCGTTCCGATCGTAGCAGCAAGGAGCATGGTGAAGTGCCTTCAGCTTCTGGTCGTTGTGCAGCTGGATCAGCCGAGCAAGAATGCGCCGAGGATCATTCGAGGGGTGCGGGATTTGCAGAGGAGCAAGAGTCTTCTCTTGGGGCTGCAAGTAACGACCTGATTAAAAGTTCATCTGATTCAGATACTGATGAAGAAGCCTCCCAGCTCGCTGTGCGACGTGACATGATATCAAGACAGGAGAGACGGCCCGCATTCGCCAACCATGGCCGCTACATGAGTTCTGGCTATCACAGTGCCCATTACACTGCATTCTATCCTGCAGCAGATTTGCAAGAGCATAATTTCCGAATTGTGGCGGTTTCTCATCATGATGGAGGCAAGAGATCGACGCATGGTGAAAATGCAGCAGCAGCAGCAGCATCGCGCGACGCACCCCAGGCAAAGAGACGGAATACAAGTCTGGTGCGAGGTCCTGTCGACGAGGAGGACGCCCGCGAGCTGATGCTTGCTGAAGGCGACCACAACCCTGAGTGGAATTACGCGACGAATACGTCAGCAGCTTCCGTTGGCCAAATTGGCGGAGACTTAGCAGTACACTGTCGCACGTCTATGCAGGAGGATGAAGCTATGGCATTACAGACTGGGGCACGTCGGATAATAGCAGGAGGAAGCCCCGGGAGAGGTGAGAGCGAGGGCCTACCTGGTGCGGTGAATTCCAGTGCTGCGCAGACGCCCTTTTCCGAAGGAAGCGAAGACGGAGATGTCGCTCTGGGGAGGTACGACCCACTCGTTCCAGTGGCGGTCTCGGCGAGAATCCAGCGTCGAGTCCCACGAGACCCCATGGAACTTCGCAAGACGGAGAGATCGACATTGAAAAAACGCAGTGTAAATCCTTCATTGCCTAGATTCGCGACTGGGTCTATCGCCTTTCGTGACGGTGGTGCGGCAGGATTTCCCGCTGGATCAGTTGCCTTTCGCGACGGTGGTGGAGTAGGATTTTCCGCTGGTTCAGTGGCTTTCCGCGACACTGGTGCGGCAGGATTTCCCGCTGGCTCAGTGGCCTTGCGCGACAGTGGTGCGGCAGGATTTCCCTCTGGTTCAGTTGCCTTTCGCGGCAGTGGTTCGGCAGGATTCCCCGCTGGCTCAGTGGCCTTTCGCGACAGTGGTGCGGCAGGATTTTCCGCTGGCTCAGTGGGCTTTCGCGACAGTGGTGCGGCAGGATTTTCCGCTGGCTCAGTTGCTTTCCGCGACACGGCTGCCTCCCGAGAACTTGGCAGTGGCTCAGTGAGTGCTTCGCTGCCAACTCAGGATGACATGTCTGCATCTGCGCTAAGGAGGCCCTCGGGCGCTTCCGCAAGAGAGTCCTCGGGAGTCAGCGGATCATTTGGTAGTGGCGAGTCGCCGGCTTATGAGGAGCAGTATGAGAAACCGATGACGGTAGAAATCAGCAACGCACGCTTTGACTCACAGTTTGATTCGTTCCTGCGTGAAAGCCAACGTGCTTCGGTGCAATCAAGTCAGTTAAAGACAAACGCGTCGCGGCGTGCTTCGTTAGAGGCAAAGAACTCGATGATGGCGCCTCCTATGCCTAACTTTCCACAAGCAGAATTTCACAGCGTCGGAGATGATCAGGACGCTCAGGACAGCATGCGCAATTCTTCACAAGAACAAAGAGTTTCGTACGTTAACAACACGCAAGCGAGCAAGAAGCCAGTTTCTGTGGTGGTCCGTCCGCTAGGTTCCATGGAGGGATTTGTGTATGATGATGAAGAGTACGCCCACAAGAGTTCAAGAACGCAGCATCAGCCTGACTTTACAGATGAGCAGGACGCGAAACGTGAGGCCCAGAGGCGTAGCGAATGGCCAGCTCACGGGGGCACACAAATGATCGCTGATCCTTCGCGGAGGACGGGGGGATCATCGAAATTAAGCGTAGCCTCAGCGGGAGCCAGGCAGCGAACTGTTGTTGCTGCTGCAACAAGTAGGTCGACTGCACAAGGTAAGAGCTCAACAGCTTCGATGATGATGCTTCCTAGGGATTCAGCAGAGGCATTTGAAAATGAGTACATGGAACGATTCGCGTCGTTGCGTAGCGATCGGGATGCGCGCTCACAAATCGCGGACTCCACTTGGAGGACAGGAGGACCATCGACGAAAGTAAGCGTAGCCTCACCGCGATCGCGCTCGCCTAGTACAATCGGTGCATCCATGCGGGAAGCTTCTGGAGCTAGGTCGACCGCACAAAATAGCTCAACACCTTCGATAATGATGCTTCCCAGGGATTCAGCAGAGGCATTTGAAGACGAGTACCTGGAGCGGTTCGCGTCGTGGCGTAGCGATAGGGATGCGCACTCACAAGTTACGGGTTCTTCGCGGAGAACAGGTACGGGAGGACCATCGAAACCGAGCGTAGCCTCACTGCGATCGCGCTCGCCTACAACTGGAGCATCCACGCGAGAAACTGCTGCAGCTAGGTCCACCGCACAGAGTAAGGGCTCAACAGCCTCGATGATGATGCTTCCAACGGATGCAGCTGGAGCATATGAAAATGAATACACGGAGCGGCTCGCGTCGTGGCGTAGCGAGAGGGATGCGCACTCACAATTTACGGATTCTCCGCGGAGGACAGGCACGGGGGGAGGACCATCGAAACCGAGCGTAGCCTCACTGCGATCGCGCTCACCTACAACTGGTGCATCCACGCGAGAAACTGCTGCAGCTAGGGCCACCGCACAGAATAAGAGCTCTACAGCCTCGATGGTGATGCTTCCAACGGATGCAGCTGGAGCACATGAAAATGAATACACGGAGCGGTTCGCGTCGTGGCGTAGCGATAGGGATGCGCTCTCACAAGTTACGGATTCTTCGCGGAGGACAGGCACGGGAGGACCATCGAAACCGAGCGTAGCCTCACTGCGATCGCGCTCGCCTACAACTGGTGCATCCACGCGAGAAACTGCTGCAGCTAGGTCCACCGCGCAGAATAAGAACTCCAGCGCAACAGCTTCGATGGCGATGCTTCCAACGGATGCAGCAGAAGCATATGAGAATGAGTACGCGGAGCGATTCGCGTCATGGAATAGTGAGAGGGATGCTCACTCACAAATCGCGGACTCCACTCGGAGGACAGGAGGACCATCGACGAAAATAAGCGTAGCTGCAAGTCTTCGATCGCCAACTGCTGGATCCAGACGAGAAACGACGATGCAGCGTAGCTCCAGAACGTCGGACAGGCACAAGCGTTCAAAAATTTCGGCAGGGGATCCGAGGGAGGGGTTGGACAGCAAGCAGGAGAAAGCCGAAGTGCTGCGGGCTCAACCACAGCGTTCATCTGATGCCGTGGGAATGGATCCACGTGCGACCCAGTCGATAAGGACCAGCGAGGACGCTTCTGTAGCAGAGGTCGTGAGCGTAGCTTTGTCAGCGCGATCACGGTCTCCATCTGCATCCAGTCTGCGCTCAACAAGGCACAGCTCTAATCGAGCCAAGCAAACAGTTCACTTTACTGAAGACGTTCGAGCTACGACAAGTGCTGGTGCTGCACAGCGTGAAATGAACGCTGGTTTGCGGAACAGCGACAAACACGTCAACGTTGCAAGCGTGCAGCATCCCCAACAAGTCACGTCGACTGAAGGACGTGGGCGTGCGAGTTCCGCACCCAATCAGCGCCAAGAGCGAAAACGACCAGCACCCCTGCTTCCTGTTTTTGCGGAGTCGCCGTTCGCCTCCGACACCGAGCCTCAAGACCCTATTTTTGTCGATGGACGAAAAGATGAGTCTGGCATGCAACAGAGAACAGATAGTACGACGCGGCTTGCTTCATCGGGGCAGGCGTTTGGCATGCCTTCAATGAAAATCAGCATGCGATCAAACCCGCCGCTTCTTTCTAGGCAGGGAAGTGCTATTTCTCCTTTGGGCGCTTCCGTAAACCTCCGTTTTCGCGACCAAGGAACAGTGCCTGCCTCTGGCGCTCCTTCTGTGAATATTCCATCTCGCGACGAACCAACAACAGCGCCTGCATCGCTTCTTTCTAGGCAGGGAACTGCCATTCCTCCTTTCGGCGCTTCCGTAAACCTACCGTTTCGCGACCAATCCACAGTGCCTGCCTTCGGGGCTCCTTCTGCGAATATTCCAGTGCCTGCATTCGGCGCTTCTGTGAATTATTCATCGCGATCTCGCAGCCTTCCGAGAGGCACCACGTCCCCGGCCCCTCCGCTCGGGGCCTCACTAGTGCTTTCCGGGTCCCCACGTGGGAATAATGGGAGCCGTTCAAACCATGAGTACGCGTCTTCAAGAGCGACCTTTTGTTCGTCGCCGGGGGCACAGAGGGCACGGCAAAGGAGTAGCAGGGATAGTTCTCTGACCAGAAGTATCAGGCGTAGTCAAGGACTGCGCGAAGCGACGCTTGCAATGATAGAGGAAAAAGTGAGGCTGAAATCGCAAGGGCTGGACGAACAGGTTGAAGATGTCAGGAGAGAGCAAGGCGCATTGGTAAGACTTGTCTGCTCCACCTGCTTGCTTTACTTCTTATTTGGTAGAAGACACTTCCTAAATAGATATATGTTCGAGGGCTCAGGGCGGGAGGCCCCCCCCCGATCTAACTTTTTGAGGGGGGGGCCTCCCCGCCCCGGCCCCTCTTTTCGAGGGGCTGCCGGGCGGGAAGGCCTCAAAGCGCCCACTTCTGACCCCTTCCCGCTTCTTGCATGTACCCCACAGACCTGGCAAAGGTGGCAAAGGCTGGGGCCTCTTGTCGTGTTGCGTGTACCCGACAGAGCTGGCAGACGAGGCAAGGCGGGAACCCACCCCCTTGGCGTAGGGTTGGGCACATGCAACGCGCCAGAGGGGTCCACCCTTGCCACCTTTGCCAGGTCTGTCGGGTACATGCAGCACGCCAAGGGGGTGGGTTCCCGCCTTGCCTCGTCTGCCAGCTCTGTCGGGTACACGCAACACGACAAGAGGGCCCAGCCTTTGCCACCTTTGCCCGGTCTGCAGGGTACAGCAAAAAGCGGGAAGGGGTCAGAAGTGGGCGCTTTGAGGCCTTCCCGCCCGGCAGCCCCTCGACAGACCTGGCCAATAAGGTGGCAAGGCTGGACCCCTCTGGCGGGGTCCACCCCCGATCCATCCACAGGGGGGGGGCCTCCCTCCCTGGTACATATATAAATGTTATACGACGTTATTTTCATTTAGAGGCGGGCCTGCCCAGAATAAAGATAATAAAAATACCAACTACCGCCATATGCTGCTCATGCATCATAAATTTAGTCCTTGCAAGTCTAAATCTAATATGATGTTTCATTTTCCTCTCCAGGTGGAGTTTTTGGAGCAAGAGGAGCCCACAGAGGAAGAGAAACTTGTGTTGGAAAAGAGACTGTCCGCGTTTGAGGAGTTGGAAGATTCTCTGTTGCAGAATTTGGAGGCAAATGGAGCAATGTTTCAGGAATTGGAGGCTTTGCTGACCGCAGAAAATGCAAGATTGATGGAGTTGGGTCGGACAAGCCATTTGCAGTCTAGAGTGCGAGGAACGCTGTCGCGCCTCGTCGACTCGGGGGTGTGCGACGAGGAAGATATTGCTGCGCTAGAGGAAACGGCACAAGAGCATGCTCGGCAGAGCCACGGCCTGGCGGAAATGTTCGCGGAACAGCTGGCGGCAGGGGTATCTTCGCAACAGGTGGGTGACTCTTCAGCGCCAGAAGAGATTTTGAGAGAAGTTAGAGAAGGCGTAGCGAAGCTGGAGGAAGATATTCGCGCGCGTCTTGACGCGCTTGAGCAGAGAGCGCCGAAAGAGGCGGATGAACTGCTGACGTCAAGGGTTTACGAAATCGTAGATGCACATTCCGCGGACGTCGTCGAGTCCTTAGCTACAACCCTGGCGGAGACAATCGTCGGTACGGTGGAGAAAGCAGTGCAGGCGGAAATGCAAGTGGTGCGTGACAAGTTCGCACAGATCCGTCTCGCCCTGAAAAGAGGACACGGCTCCCTTAGTGCGAGGGATCAACTACTCCAGGTCCAGCAATGGCGCGTGAACGCGGGAGATGGGACCCCAGGAGATCCTCGTCAAGACCAGGAAGATGGAGATCAAACAGAATCAGCAAACGATCCAAGCACCAATGCTTTAAGTGAGCAGGAGATGGAGAATCAACCGACCAGAGCGTCTCTATCGAAAAACCAGATGAAGGGTAGCAGGACTAGGAGGGTCACAGCTGCCCAGGATCTTGTGCTGAGGAGTACAAACAAGAAGAAAAGGAAACTGCGTCTGAAGCGTTCTCGTTCCGGGTCGCCCGCGTCGACTTTCGGCTCATCCTACAATTACACTAGTCCGATCCGCACATCCACAGGATCTCAATTGAAGAAAATGCTATCTGTGTTGCAGGGGGAGCCCGATGCCAGTCCGACGGAGCGAGTTGCGCTGGAAGAACTGAAAGACGTGGGGAACAAGCTGTATCTACAGGCAGAATTTGAGATGGCATCAGAATTTTTCACCAAAGCCATTGCCGTTCTAGAGTCGCGTTTCTATGAGAATTGTCCGACTGATCAAGCCTCGAAGACCATTTTGGCAGTGCTCTACGGGAACCGGAGCCAGTGTTATCTCATGATGGCTAAAGAAGCAGCGGCACTCGCTGAACAAGCATCTACATCTGGGGATGACAACGGGCAGGAGAAAGAGAAACGCCGGCGCAGGCGAGTGTCGAACAAGAATAGAAGGGGAGTTGCCGAAGATAGTAGTAGTGCATCTTCATCGTCGAATGAAAATGAAATTGCGAAACGTGAGTCCGTTCTCACGACGATTCTCAATCGGCCAGAGGTGCGATACTACGCGCTTCGCGCGAATCGAGACGCCGCTATCGCGCATAATCTGGATCGTAGTAACGCACGACATTTCCATCGACGTGGACAAGCCTTGTTGTTGCTCTCACCTCTGCCGCAACGAACGAAGCTAGCCAAGAACTGCTTTCTAGCGGCAGTTGCGCTCGGAAATCTCCCACCACAAGTAGTACAGGAGACGCGCGCTTGGCTCAAATTTGCGCGTGCACTGAAAGAGGCGGATACGACAAGAGACGAGTTACTTTTGCCTACTCCAGGAATGATCCAAGATGAAGCAGGCGCATCTGCTTCGAGAACGTTGATAAAAGCGAAAAGATCTAATCAAGACGAGGCTCGTCTTTTGGTAGCACAAAGATCTACGAAACAAGACCAGGCAGATGATTCTTCTAGGTTGTTGGACTCTACTTTCAGTTTCGCTGCCGCTTCAAAGCTCTCGCACACTAACGCTGGATTAGCAGACCATGTGGCTTCGAAGAGAGGTGCGTCGATGGAGTCACAACATTCGATTACAGGAGACGCCCCCAAGATGGGTACTGTAGAAGTAGGAGAAGAAGAAGAGCAGGATCATGAGACAGACTTTCCAGGACGTGAAGAAGCTGCAGAAGATGATCATGATCGGGAGGAAGAAGATGACCAAACGGCAGCAGGGCTTGCTGAGGATCGTGCTGCTGATAGTGCGACTCTAGTAGGGCAGCTGAAGAATCTGATTGCCGCGGAGGCAGAAGGACTAGAGGTGGAAAGTATCCTCGAGGAAACTATTCCTGGGATGGAAGAGCTGTTGCCAGAAGAAGCGGACGTTGTAAAGGAACTGCGTTTGGAGCTATCTGGGGTTGTCAACGATGACCTCGCGGAGTTACTAATCAAGCAAGCCGTCCTGAAGGTGAACCAAGAGCGCCTTGGCGACTCGACAAAGAATTCTTCAGGCTCGAATACGGATATACCCCAAGGTAGCACCAGCGACGATGAACACGAAAATAGAAGAACGCGTGGTGGTGGCCCGAGTGCCGATGAACAAGATGGACCTGACCGGGCTGGCCACATTACAACTCTTCATGAGGCGGGCATGGCGATCGCGCGGGATGAAGATTTGCGAGGACAGAGATTTCGGCAATATCGTCCCGCTGGTGAAAAAGGACTAGACCCGCAAGTGGTGCTCAGACGCGGACGTATGGAAGGAAGTACGTTTCATGACGATTTTTTGGATGATCTTGTACATGAAGAGGGAGGAGACTGTGTGGTAGACGCGACTGTGGCAGCGGTAGCTGCAGAAATAAAAAGCGGCGGCTCGGTGCGTGATCGAAAGATGGCTTTTATGGCGGAAGTGCAGCGGCATTTGACGGGCGGAAAAACCGACGATCGCAAACAAGGCACGGAGACGAGGCCGCAGGGTAATATCCACGCTGCTTGGAAGGCGGCGGCGCAACGGCCGGAGAAGCCGCAAGCGGCACCAGGCTCGCGGCCGCCACTCCATGCTTCCGTTTTCGTGGGTGGCACCCGGCCTAGTGCTGCGTTCGTCGGCGTGCAGCATCGCACGAAGGCTTTGCAAGCCGCCGGCAGTGCGCCAGCATCTCCTTCTTCGCGGCCGGTTCCAGCGTCTGTGGCAGCTCTCGCTGCACACCAAGGACAAACTTACGAAAAAGCGCAGGAGATTGTGTCAGCAGTTGAAGCTATCCGCACCCCGGAAATAAGTAGTCCTCGTGAATCAGTCACGGCGCTTGCTGCACATGAAGGCTTCTACAGGAGAGGACCGAGCCCCGCAGAGGTCAGGGCCCAAACGCGGATGAAAGTGCAGCAGTTACTCCAACAGGGCGAAAGGGACATGCCCGATGTTTCTCGGAATTTTGAGATAAAGAAGAAACCCAGGACGGATCCTACTCCTGCGCCCGCGTCCATCTCCGTAGTGGGAGTAAAACCGGGGACCCCACGGCGTGGCTTGCAGCCTAGTAAAAAAGTCTCGAACTCTGGCTCGTTTGGAACATCTTCAGTATCGTCAATGGCTTCAGGACCATTGTCGGGTAGGAATGCGAGCGGCAAGCGGTCTATGGCCGATGCACTCATCCGCGGTGCGGGTCTTGCATCCTCAGCGTCGCAAGGCGGATCACTGGCTCCGATACGCGAATCCACAGAGTACCAAAACGACGTTCGAAAATTATCTACACTGTCTTCGACATCGACGGAGTCTTCGATGCAGAAGCCCGAAGTTCGCGGCACCATCGAGACGTCGCGACAGCAACTTATGCACGCTGCTGCCCCTGTAAGCAACGCAGTTGCGTCACGTCTTAATCATGTAATAAAAGAAGGGGACGAACATGAGGAGCAGGTGCTGAAGCGCTCCTCGGGACCTCGCGGAAATGAGCTTCAAAAGAACTCGCAGGAACAAGGTAAGTCGCTCGGACAGGCGCCAGGATCCGCCGGATGGACTCGCGTCAAACCAGCTGCTCAAAAGATCTTCGAGAGGAAGGTAGAAGATGAGCAGCCTGGTCTTGCTGGAACGGAAAATTCACCTCGACCTGCACGGCCTTCCTTGGTCGCGGCGGCCGAAGCGAGACGCGGCGCCAATTTTCTTGAGGCAGTACAAAAGGCACGTGACGCGGGGGCGCCCCGATCGTACCATCTCGCAGACGCCCAAGTGGGCGATGGTGTACGAAACCGGCAGAAGGCTCTCGTAACTGCGGTCGCCAAAACTGAGACGAGTGCCGAAAAAGGAGTACGAAAGTCGGCAAAGGAGGCGTCGGACGGCGTCGGTGGAGTCGCCGATCGGCTTGAGTTTCTAAAAGGTACGGGGGCCATGGACGGCATTCTTGGTAGCATGCAGAAACAGCAAAACAAAGCTGCGGGCCTCGACGACTGAAGTACTCGATGCCTCCCTGACCTGACTGGACATGCAAGCCGTCGCGATAAATAATCGTGATAATGACGGCCGCGCTGATAGCTCAGTGTCAAAAGTTACAGTGTTTTTCGCTCTGTTTACAACTACTTACATTATGATTATTGAATAATCGGCAGACGCCCAAGTGGTTTTAGTATTTGCAATCTTCGTAAATATTTGCATTTGATTTCTTTAACTGAAACTGAACACATGTTTTTATGCTATAATACTCCTGCGGACTTGTGCTGGAGTAGAACATAATTTACAGATGAGCTTTTTTTTTTGCGCGGAGAATCAATGCGCTCTGTCAGTTTGACGCTATGATCACTTTCCATTCTGTGACAGCGGGAGAACATTTTTTACGAGGAAGTCGTTGTATGTTTTTGAGCCGAACAAGTCCTGCTAAATTCAGATTCGGACGAGCGCGTCATACATTGCGAGGTTTTTGTACGAGATAGGCCGCCTTGTGCGCGCTTCGTAGGACTAAGTTGTTGTTCTTCGCAGCTTCATCTGAGATGAAAGTGGAGAACCTCCGAGTGAAAAAGAATGACGGTCAAAGCCACTATTATCTCGATCGGCTTCTCAGACGCGCTGTTTTTGACCCATGATAAACAGACGTCGAGGCTGCAACATGTTTCGGTTTGGTCAACGAGAGATGAGGAGAACAATCTATGAACGCCAATGCGTTTTGTTCGGTCCGCTGAGTGAAAGACTGATGAATACCGTCAATGCGAGTCGATTTTTTTCGGTCATCACGAGTGCTTTCCTTCATCGTCATACATTCTGGCAGTTTTTTTCTGAGTGGGTTAGCACAGCTTTTCTTTCGTAAATAACTAAGTCGATTCAACGAACAAGACAGCGCTTCTATGTACTTATCTATTCCCTTATAGAATTTTCATCACCTCCACCAGGATTCCATTTTCCCCATGCGTCAATTTATTCGTTCCCTCATCAGAGATTGCTTTCTCTCGCCGCTAAAACTAGACTTTCATCAACATCACATATTATATAAAATATGATTACAACATATTTCTGAGTGACCATTTGCTAATAAAGTTGAATTTGGTTGGAAGGACCAAGGAGTGCTTGGTGTAAAGCACTCTACTCAGTTGTATTGGTTTTTCTGTAGAAGCCAAATTTGGTTGATACACCAAATCTATAACTTCTAGTAGATTTAGAGATATCCTCGAAAGAAATAAAGATGACGACGTTTCTTGCTTGCAATCGTGCTATCAGAAGTTTCTGAGGAGGCGTCAGAGATCAACCCAGTTTAGAACAGACACACGACAGCATCTTCTGACGAAGTCGAAAGCTGCTGGTGTACGTAGAAACACTCGCAATGATTAAGTACTCGCCGCTTCTAGTACAAAGCGTGACACAAAGTGGCAGAGAAAGGAGTCGAGCTACAATTTCCAGTCGCAAATTTTCGAAGAACAAACATTAAGGAACTCGTGTGTCAGCAAATGTACTAACTTGAATTCCGTTTTCGACGAGAAAGGCCAGCAGAAAAGATGTCGTGCGCCATCGGTAGCATGGTGTGGGCGCAGGACACGTCACAGGCGTGGCATTTAGCCACTGTACAAGACACGCTAACGCCGGGACCAATCCTGGTGCTGAACTGGAGCCATAACAATCTGTGCGCGGATGTGGCTTCCGCATCGAGTAGTTTTCAAGCGAGCGGATGTCAGAGGCCGTTGAATCAGGCCTGGCCCAACATGGGTGGCCGGAATCTGCAGATCAGCTGTCTTACAATCGCTGGTGGTGATTCCTCCGAAAGGGACCGCAACAGCGACGACAGCGATAGTCTGCTTGCGTTGGACGAAGGGGCGATAGTCGGATTTGTACTCGTCGTTGCTGCGTTCATGTTCCTGGTCGGCATCTACTATGTCAACAAGAACCACCCAGACGCGCTCGCGCGCTACATGCCTTCGAGCCCACTTTCAGGCGGCACTGATGATGGCCCTGCCGGGTTCAGATGGGTCACGACTCCAAAGCGCGCTATAGTTAACATGTTCTCGCCAAAAGGTCGGCGTCCGGCACCAAAGCGCGACGAACCTCCGCGCGACTCGAAGTCCACACTTCTCAGTACCAGCGGTGAGGGCAAGCCGCGACCAATCGCAAATACTAGCCATGATAAAGTAGCACCCGAACAAGCACGGTCGGGCTCAGGGAGTGTCGTTCTTGCAGTCGATGATGGGACAAGCCGTAGCGGATCCAAGAATCGCACCCAAGCATCACAAAATGCGCAAGGTGGAGTGCCAAGCTTTGGCACAGGAGCAGAGGAGGATGCAGACGATAGTGCAAGTGCGCGTGGAGCGAAGCGCAGTGGTTCGCAAATCAATGGCGCAGGTGAACGCGTATACAAAATGTCCGACGCTGAGCGGGCAAAATTGGAGTCCTACGTCGCAAGTAACTTGGGGCCGTTGAAAAGTCATGTAGACACGACTCCAAGGAGGAGTCGAGACGTCTCTCCGAGAACGGGCAGCGTCACTCCGCCAAGAGCGGCAGGAAACGTGACGCCCCCACGAGTGCCATCGCGAAATACCACCCCCCGGACAACTCCCAGAAAGACAACACCGCGAACTACCACCTTGACCTTGGATACATCCGATGCCACTCTAAGCCACGCACCAGCATAAACGTACAGCGAGCATTGAAGCACGACATGGATGGTTTTTGGCTTCTTCCAAGAAAAATAGGAAACCAGAAAACCATTAAGGAGGTAGACGTGGAGTGTGGCGGAGAAGCGCAGCTGTCATGCTTTCTCTCCAAGAACAGCGTGCTTCTGCAAGCGAATTCGGAGGGTAGTACTCGGTGGTGTATGTCGTGTTATACTCGTAAAAGAATGCTACTTCTAGCTAGGAGCATGAGTAAGAGTATTATTAACATCATATTTATTCGTACTAGGATTACTTCATCATAGTACTGCTGTTGTTTTATGGCATAATATCTGAAGTTGATTCCGCGTACTCGTAAATTTGCTTTTTACAACCTAGATCTACGACTACAACTACACACTACTAGGCTACTACTACCTACTACATCAGCGGTTCTTTGAGTTCTCTCCGAGTGTAAATGGTGAAAAATAAGGAAATGATTCGGAAGTGTGATTTTTGTTCCATCTTTTCAGCAACCACTGGTTCATCAGCTTACCGCTCGTTGAGGGTACTTGTAAAGCTACAAGTTGGTGTAATAGTAGGCACCTTCAGCAGAGGAGTGCATGAATTTGAATAGATTCATTGCATAATGTGTATTTATAGTCATCGTCGCAGTTGTGAATTCTTTATTCAGAAAAGCGCGCTTCCTCTTGAGTCGCAAAAGAAGAAGAGATGTCGTAGCATTACCATTATGTTCCAGACGGTCGATTCTGGCATCAATGTCGGCTTATGTGGCTGTTGAGCATGTTGTCCACCCAAAAATCTGTGACATCTGACGTCGGATTTTACTGCATCCAGGTTTGTAGTCAGCCAGCCTTCAAGTCTGTCAATTCCTCGGTTCACTATCTAGTAAGTGTCATATCGGTACATGCACATGTACGAATACCACAAGATGAGAACGAAACGTGGCTGACGGCAACAGGACTTCTCTGTTACAACTTCCGTATCGACGGTATCGACGATCATTGATTCCTGTAGATGTAAGAATATCGGTCAGCATTCCCGTGGTAGTTGATCATGTCAAGATATACCTTCATTAACACGACCATTAAGTAGAAGTACGAGTACCGCCTTTGGGTTTGGCCAAGAACAAGAACACCATCATCGTGTCAGCTTCAAGAAGGCTCCCTGGTCTAGATCTCAGATCACCCTTCACCTTCTCTACTTGTTGATGGATCTCCTGTTCACTGATCAGATAAGCTCACCAGGCTGCTTACTTACCTGTTCTATATTTATAGATATAATAGAGTAGTTTTAGCTTATACTAGAACTAGACGCTGCGTGGCTGGGCGGCCGCGCTGAGCACGCTGGGCGGCCTCGCTGAGCACGCTGGGCGGCAAGGCGGGGCACGCTGGGCGGGCGCTGAGCACGCTGGGCGGCAAGGCGGGGCACGCTGTGCGGGCGCTTGGATATCGCTTAGCGGATTTGAGGGCCACGCCTTGGGCATGCCGAGCACGCGCCGCCGATGGATTTACTTGCGCCGCGGGGACGCGATGCGGCGCGTCCCGTGAGCACAAAAAAAGGCGGCGCGCCGCCCTCAAGGTTCAGGGCAGCGCTGGCGCAGTGCTGGGCCAGTTTGCGCAGTAGCGGGCTGCGCCTGCTCTGTTCAGGTTTGCACTGCGCCGCGCTGCACTGCTGAAATTCTGCGCCGCTCCTGTGCACAACAGTAAACTCGCCAGCGTCGTTGGCCTTGGCCTACGCTAGACTAGCACTGCTGGCGCGGTTCTCAAGCGGGCGCCCGAAGGGCGCCCCGCAATTGGAGACGCCCAGCGTCACGCTGGGTGAAGAATTCAGCAGATCTGGCACATTTGGGGCGCCCAGCGACCCACTGTGCCCAGCGTGCCCAGCCCGGCCATGTTGGGAAACCTTATAAACTGTTCTGATATGATCAGTAAGTAATTTGGACGGGGGCTCAAGGAGCTCAGGTAATATCGATTCTAGTCTCAATCCTGGGAGATTCTATCAAATCATTCCAAGAATAGAGTCTATCACTCAAGCAAATCAATCAATTTATTTGTCAAATAATTCTATCGCAAATCTATTCATTGCAATACTACAAACATGCGTACTTTTACCTTATCCTATCCATATCCTGCAAGAGCATCTTGACTACAATCTTCCAAGCGTCACTACAACAACAAAAGATGGTCTTCTGCGATCCGACTCCCCTCGGAATTGCCCGCGGCGCTGTCTGCTTCCTGGCTGGTTCCTGCGGTTCTTCGTCCTCCTGTGGTGGTGGTGACCCGATGGCGGAGGGATGGGCGAAGTTTGTGAAGGTCACCTTTCGACCTGGCTTTGATGTTAGAACGGGACGTGGACATTTTGAACTTCAATACAACGTTGGCACTCCGCTCAATAAGGCTGGCGAGCCGATGGAGACGGAAAGTGGAGCCGCCAGTTTCGTCAAGGGTTTTGCACTCTCAGATGGAAAGGGCACCTACGTGGAGAAGATCTATGACAATCCAGCCAATGATGCTAACGTCGGGGATTGGCGTTTTGCTACCTTGGAGGATTCCTGCATTGCTTTCACAGATGAAGTCCAACTGCACAACGATGACAAGCTGGCTGCTCTGACTTCGGTCAACGCAGAAGTAGAGAACAAGACACCGAATCTACGAGGTGGGAATCCGAACAAAGGAGGAGAGGGGTGCTGCAGTGACGTAAAAGACGGTGACGGATCCGGAATTCATGCAGTCGGCTTCTGTCGTGGGAATTACGGTGTGGTGAAGCAAATGAAAAAGTGGGGTGTTGTTGGGGTTGGTGGCGTGCTCGTCGGTGCTGCGATTGGGGCAGCAACTGCTGCTGCGGTTATCGGGACTGGTGGTGCCGCTGCCGGCGTTGGAGCGGGAGGAGCGTTGGCGGCCAGCACCCTCGGGCAAATGGCAACAGCAGCGGCGCACTCAGTGTCGGAGTTGGCTGTAAGCGCGCATTCTGGAGTCGTCGATCTCACGGCGAATACGCTGACTCGAGAGCAGGGGCTCTATGCCTTTGCGGGCGCTGCTCTTGCTTCCGCTCTTGCGATAAAACTCAAAAGGTGGGTGAAGAAAACTCCTGTGACACTCGAGACCGACAAATTTTCGTGGAAACAGGAAGGGTCGCCGTGTATCAGAAGAACCTCGAGCATGCTGGGACTCAAAAAGAACAAAGTGGCGGGCACTTGCATGCCGAAGACGTTGTTCGACAAGGAGAAAAAGGAGGCTAAGGTGATGGCATGCGTTCTGCCGAAAGAGGAAGTGGAAGCGGGACCGAAAGAACGCGAGGAAGCCGGGTCATCGTAATTGTTACTTCTAAATGCAATAGAACTAGAAGAAGGGGTGGTGCTGGTGGTGGAGAGCGGCGGTGGTAATTAGGCTGGGATTTTCAGAAGAAGGACAGCGAGTTTGATATTAGGGGAGGCCATCAGAAGAAGGGGAGGTGGTAATTTGGGAAGGAGTTTTAGAAGAACGGGAGGAGGTGTTATTTATTCCTACTGAGTCATGGAAATGAATTATTTATAAGAAGAAAAGACGATCAAGTAAGCTGCTAGAGCAATGGTGTTCTGGAATGTAAAAGTAAGAAAAAAACTGCAGAGGGCGGTCAACGTGACATCCCTGGCCCTCTCTTCGTACCTAACTGTACTTAGGCATGATCGCTCTCGGTCCACTCTTCTTCTCCGATTTGACTACCTCCATACAAACCTCCGCTCCCCACCTCCAGGAACTGCTCTTGTTCACACTGGTTTCAGAGTTACAATATTTCACAATCCTCTATTCTAAAGTGACGATTATCTTGCACTTGCAATAAAGATATTTTATCTTCATATGTCTTCAACATCAACCCATCCAGTTCCAGCATCTTAATATCCTAAACCACATCTTCATGCATTTTGATCAGTTCCTTTTTTTGGTGAACAAGCGCAACGACCAGCTGAAGAAAGGTACTTAAATAGTCAATCGATCATTGTAAGTGTGAGTCAGGAGTGAGTCTACTAGTGCTCCAGCAGGAGTAATATGTGGCGATTAGACCGTCCGCTGGTGCATGATGATGTGGAGATGTTTGTTGCGAAGAAGCCTTTTGTTCCGCTCAACACAGATCAGAGTTCTTTGAAATTTTCCCCTGAAGGCGTTTTTGGTTCGAAGCGTAGGAAAGTTCCAGCTGCGGGAGAGAGGAATTATCCGAGACGAGCTACAGCTACTGCGGGATCAGTTCTTGGAGGAACAAATTGCGACGAACAACGAGACCTCTCGAATAAGAAAGGTGCGGCAGCCGTACATCCAAGCGAGTCATGGGATCTTCGCGATGTTGAAGATGAGCTGAGGTCGTTGAACGCTAGTCGTGAAGACGAAGCGCGTAGTACAACTAGAACCAAGAGGGAGGAGGAGCGGCCAGTGGATCCCCTTTCTAGCACTACAGCCAACGGGGCGCCTGCTATGCTATTTTATCGAAGTGAGGAGGAGGCTACGTCAAAAGCGCCAAGCACACTTCCCCCAGACGAAACCCCTCCACCTCGTGCCTCGTTCTTTGATTCGCGCATGATTCCATCCTTTCTGGGGATAGGTACTTACTTGTTTTCGCAACATCGAGCATGAGCTTGTTTGAGTGCTTTCTTCTTTTTGCTCTGCCCTTTCTGCGTGGTTTGTGCCTGGCTTGGAGGGTTGGGGTTTGGATGCAATCTCCAATAGAGTTAGGTATGGTAAACCGGTACCCTTGGTCTTACCTAACGCGGCGGTCTATTGGAGGTGCGAGCACCCACCCCCCCAGTTGTCCCTCCGCCATTGGGATCTGGGGCGTGGACGCCAAGGGCTGAAGCATCTACTTGGGGTTGTGCTAACTAGCTATTTTAAATAGTTACTCCTTGCTTTATTACTCTATCTAATTACACTATGGATCTACATCTAACTTGTTATTCTTGTTTTTCTCCGAGTTCGTCCCTCCCTTGCTGTGACGAGTGTTGAGAGTGAGCGGAGTACTGTCGGTTCTTCCTCTCGAGTTCAACGTTCTCCTGCTCTTGCCCAAGCTGATACTGATTGGCTAACTACATCCTTATAAATATACATTCATAACATCTTTAATATTTCTCCCATTCTACCTTTTGAGATTGGCTTGTACGAGACAAATATCCAAAAAAACTTGAATGACTGGTAAAGGGAGAATCACTGGCATGATACACAAGCATACGTATGATCATCAATTCATTGTAACACCCATCAACATTTTCAATGACAGGTTCATCAAAGACATCGCAATCTTCAAGATCAAGTCCCACGATCAAGCAGTCGGGCGTGTCATCTCTAGCCGGCCGACGCTTTGCGGAAGAGGGGGAGGCCACTCCTGATCAAGATCCAGGCATCGTTGACGAAGACGACGAGGGGGAAGAAGACACGCTGCCAGAGGAACCACCGAGCGCTAGCGAAGCTCCACCATCTGAAGTAAAAGAGGAACCTAACGACAACTACGACGCCCTAGGCGAAACAATCGGTATAATGAGCGCGCCGGGTCAGAGGATGTCCATGAAGGACTTTCTCGGCGATTCCTCCCCCGGTGGTACCCCACAAGAGGATCACCCGGGACCAGTTGCGAACGTGTTGGGCCAAGCAGAACCGTCAACCGCCGTGCAGCTATTCACAACACAGCCGGCTCGCTCGAATGCCTCGACAGATGGCAGCAGTGCACCTTCGAGCAGTACTCCAGGAGCGTCGGGGGAAGAGACTTCGGAAGTCGATGCTCAGCTTGCCGATAAGGTGGTAGCGGTTGACATCGATAAATTTGAAAAGAGCCCAGAAATGCCCTTTCTGGATCCTAGAGTCGAGAGAGCATTGCGGCCACCTGCTGAGGAAACAACAGCAACACTAGGCAAAGCGATGGCATACATCCAAAACCAAGGGCATCCGGGGTCGTTGTTGGGAACAAGTAATGTAGACGTAGAGGAGCGTGGTGCCTCGTTGTCCTCTCGTCCTGCTGCTGGTGCCGCGACGGCTTCATCACGTGTGTTAGCGGGTGGAGTCACTGGTGGGGCTGCAGCTCCTGGTCCGATAGGAGGCGGTGGCATCGCCAGAAACAGCTTCATCGGTCGACGTGCAAGCAGTATCATCAAGCCTTCGTCGCAATATGAACGGCAACAGCAGGAGCAGGTCGAAGAGCGGCGTAGGAACCAAGGAAGCCACGCGTTCTTTTCGTCGCTCTTCAAGGACCAAAACATGTCTTCAACCAATGGAGCGAATGCTGAAGAAAACGTTGGTGGCAATGTTTCGAACACGCAGAAAGACAGCAAACCGGTATCGTCACCGGGCGGTGGGGCACCATCAGAATCAGTATCCTGTCATGGAGGAGGACAGAGCACCGTCAACCTGACTTCTAATACTTACCCGCCCGAAAATGACAGGCTGAACGAGTTGGAGCGCGCCGTTGCGTCGTTAACGAAGGCACTGACCCCGTCATCGTCTTCATCGGCGTCCTCGAGCGCATCCGAACAAGCTGAATCCCATAGCCGCGGACGCGATAAACCCTCAGCTTCAGCGGCACTCTTGTCAGAGATTGGACTGAGCTCTCCTGAAACACCAGGAAATAAAAAGCTAGCCGCTGCTCTCTCTTATCGTGGCGGACCAGTGGCGAAAGCAAAAGTGTCGTACGGGCCTGAAAAAGTATTGTCGCCTAGCGCTACAAACAGTCCGACGGGGGGGGCGATAGATGCAGCTGTTAGACCGAGCTTGGCCGCGGGCTTACCCGGGAGTCGGTCCACACGGTTTGCGCCTGAAGTGGAAGTACAAACCACGGTGCCTAGCAACAATCGCCAATCGCAAGCTGCGAGAACGCGACAGTCGCAAGCCACGCGTCAATCGAAAGGTGTAGTACTAGAAGATACAGGAGGAGTTGCCGCACAAACTCGTCGAACAAGGAGCAGTTCCCTAGCACGACACGACGCTGCGGCGATACACATAGCTTCGACCAGTACGACTCCTAAACCGCAATTACAAGGCACAGCAGGTTCGCCAGTCCAATGGAAGAGCAACGTTAACCATAACTACGGACTTTACGGCGAAGATGAACGTGAGTTTGATGTTGTCGGATCAGGTCCTACGACTCGTGCGCGTATGCAGGGATCTTCAGGTGCAGCTAGAAGAAGTCAGCAAAAAACCGCAGTTACTGCGCGAGTGGAAGGTGAGGCTATCGAACCCCGTGATGTTGTGGAGATTGAGGAAAACTTTGAGCAGGAGGACGATGGCATGAGTCTTGAGCAATCCGATAACCTCTTGGCGTCCACTGTAGGCGCGGGTGGAACTTCGAGGACGTCAAGGCCGTCAATGAATAAGTCGAGTGCAGCCACTGCCGCGTCGTTCTCTTTGTTCGATGAAGAGACGAATCCACCGGCACCGATCAGGAGTCAGAGCAGCAGTCGCAGTATGGCAATGAAAGGGCCATCTTCAAGTACTAGGACGAGAAGAGATCACGTTGCAGAAGCAGAAGAAAGAGTTGATGAAGATGAAGAAGTCGACTACTACACTTCCTCCAGGCGTGGTCCGTCGGCTCAAACTCGGCCTCGTCAGAGCCAGTCCCAGTCGAATCCGGCTTCACGGGAGTCGCGGCCACGCGGTGAACAAGAAGTTTTAGCCACAGTGCCGCAAGAGGTTCTGGATATAGTGCGCAAAAGCGTGGAGAAATCACTTATAGGGAAAGCTCGTGGCAGTGCACGTGTTGAGGGTAGTGCAATCGATGCAAAAACCAAGAGAAGCGAAAGCAGAAGTAGTGGTCAGGCAACGACTCCAGGAGCCAGAAGTAGTTATAGTATCGAAGAAGGAACAAAAAATCGCAGTGCGTCTTCCAATTCCGCGGCTGTAAACCGATCGAGCAGAAAAAATGCTTCAGTACCCAAGACTGACGAGGGTGAAATGCCGACTTTAGCCGATTCTGCTACGATGCAACACAACAACAACTCGCGAGCGAAACCCAAGGCGACGCCTTCCTTTGTGCAGCCAGCACAGTGGAGTGCGGACCCGTTTTCTTCTGGTGCGCGTTCTGGGAGTCGGGCGGATTTTTCTAAGAGCAACTCGAATGCAAAGGAGCGGTCGAATAGCGTAACGACAAGGAGCAGTTATCTATACAATCAGAGAAATCCGGATGCATCATCCAGTGTGGTTGAGAATGCTGAAGATAGTGTTCTCTCGTTTGTAGAAAAACAAGAAGACAACTCTCCACACCAGCGGCCGGTTGGAACCTCGTCGCACTTGTTTCACTCAGCGGTCTCAACACAACAAGGGAGAGGAGTTGGTAGCCAACCCATCTACGGATCGCAAGTGGCAGCATCAAATCAAGGAGGAGATCAGAATATCGTGGCACAAGTTGTCGCTGCGCAAACTGCACACTACGAGAATTTGGTGGCGGCCGTGCAGCAACAGACGGCCGCAACGGTTGCAGCGAACTTGCAGGAGTTCCGAGCGCAGTTGGACGCCGAGCTGGGCGCATTGCTAAAGGATGTTAGAGGCAATCGCGATGAGAGTACACAAGCACCGCGGACTCAATACTTTTCGACGGAAGAACAACTGCAAGGCTCGCAAAGAGCAGCAATCTCACAGCCGTCGCAGAATGGTCTTCAGTACTCGGACGAGGTGCCACTTCCAGGCGAACTGCAATTTGTTGGACCCGATGGAGTGATATACGCCTCGAACGCACAGCGAATGCAAGTAGAAAGTTGCCTCAGCTACGCGGGCGGCATGATGAATAGCATGCTGCAACGAGACGAGCTGAGCAGAGTAACGGATCAGCCGATGAGAATGTACAGCGCCAACAGCACTATGAGGGCAGGGGGGATGAGGCCGAGCAACATTCGCGAGGAAGAGAGCAGAATGACGGATCAGGCGGTTAGCACGTACAGCGCCAATAATACTATCAGAGCAGGGGGTATGATGCCGAGCAGCATCCGCGAGGAAGTGAGCAGAATGACGGACCAGCCGGGAAGCATTGCGCGCGCCAACACCACTAATATGCGAGCAGGAGGAATGATGAACAACTTCACCATGCGAGAAGATATGAGCAGAATGACGGAGCACGACGGTCGAGCTGGTGGTATGATGCCAAGCAACGTGCGAGACGAGGTTAGTAGGATAACGGATCGAGAGCGAGCTGCTACGTCGGTAAACTACATGAGAGCGGGGGGCATGATGCCGAGCAACGTGCGAGATGAGGTCAGTAGGATGACTAACCAAGAGCAAGCCGGCAGTTCGGGGGTCAGCTACATCGATTCTATGAGAGCGGCTGGTATGATGCCGAGTCACGTGCGAGACGAGGTCAGTAGGATGACTGTGGAACCGGCGCATTCGGCCCCGCCTGGTCGTGGAGCTCCCATAAGCGAAGTTCTTTCGGTCCGTTCCGATGACAGTCAGCGTCTTGGAATGAACAGCAACATCAAGAAGGTGGGAAAGCACCACTATAATCACATGGACACAGCTGCCACGATTTTGCCAGAAGAGCCGCGCTCGTCGATCAGGCCTGACACGGCCTCCAGCTACAACAACAACCCTGTATCCTTTAGGCAGAGTGAGAATTCTGCCGGGAACGTTGAAGCAGCTCGCGGCGCACGTCTTTCACCGCGGGAAAATGATCACAACCCACACGTAAATCCATCGATGGATATGGCTCGGCCGCCACCATTTGCGACGCGTGCGACCAATATACGGAAACTCGGATTGCAGGATGATCTCTCCTTTCAGGCGGCCAGAGGAAACGATCAATCAACGAGACAGGTTACGCAGACGCTGAAGCCTTCGGCATTCCTCGAGTCGCAGCGGCCAGCGGCAGCAACGAATGCGAGCGGACTTCAAAGCGTGTATCCGGAAGAGGCGTATGATGATGAAAAGGAAGACGACGAAGAGGAAGAAGAACAAGAAGAAGAGGTCGCGGACAATCCTCTGGTGGAGGATGGTATAGTTGATTAGTGAATCGTAAAGATGTTGATATTTTTAGTACAGGAGCAAGGATAAAACTAAGTACAACAAGTACTTAGAACAAAGAACTACAACTTCTGCTTCTTTTCCAATTGTCTCCTACTTATCCTTAAAACTACATTCTGATACATCGATAGATTCATGATTAAGATTCTGTTTCTCAGATGCACTGGCATTCAGCATTTTAACTATGATTCATCTTTTGATTCTCCTCTTTCCAGATGATGACCTTGATGGTATTTTAGACGAACACGAAAGAGACGAGGGGGGAATAAACAGCAACAGCCGGCCTCTTGCGCTGATGTCGGGAGTAGGCCCAGCTCTGGAGAGGCAGCGCACGAAGAAAAAGCTTAATAAGATGCTGGCACTCTTTCGAGACGATCTTCCGACAGAAAGACTTGCTATTTATGATGAATCAGTTTTTAACATAGGGAACGATCAGTACAACTTGAATGTCATTCGTCAGTCCTTCCTTTTTCTATGATTATGTCTTCATCTCATCTCTTACTTTTTTTTATCCCTGCACATCTTTGTCTTTCATACCTTCGAGGAGCTGAAAGACGTTGGGAATCGTTTGTACCTTGAGCGAGACTACGAGACGGCTGTCGAGTATTTTTCAAAGGCGATTTTAGTCTTCGAGTCCCGATTCTACGAAAACTGTCCTAGAGATTACGAAAGTAAGCAGATACTTGCGATATTGTACGGAAACCGCGCCCAGTGTTATTTGATGCTTGCGAAAAATGCTCAGGGGACTGAACCCTTTTCGCCAGATAAAATCATTCCGGAAGTCAGGTACAACTCAATTTGTTCCGATCATGAAACAGTCGCTATTTTTACGCTTGACCTGCAGCTGCACGAGTTCCACCCGATGTTAAGTTCTCCTTATCTATGGATAATCGAGTAATTTATAATCAGAATTTCGCGCGCAGATGCGGATTCGGATCAGATTCCGGAAATGACCCTGATCATCACTTTGTTTTCGCCATGATCAGGTACTACGCTCTTCGCGCAAATCGCGATGCCGTGCTGTCTTACACGCTTGATCCCATGAATGCGAAGAGTTTTCACAAACGCGGACAAGCGCTACTTCTCCTGAGCCGGGCACAGGGACGATCTAAATCGGCAATGCTATCCTTTCAGCGCGCTCTGCAGCTTGGTACGTTGCCGCCAGCCACGAAGCGGGAGACTGAGCAGTGGTATCGATTCGCTCGCAAGCGCTGGGACGCAGATACGCCGTTTCCGAGTAATATGCAGGAGACCTGCGCGATGCAGTGAGGAGTCGCATACTAGGGAGTCGCTAGTATCCGCATCCGCAAATCACGAGAGAAAGTTTGTTCATAAAGTATTCATCTGATACAACTTACTCTTACAAAGAAAGAAGTATTGATTATATTTATGGTAGTTGTTCTTGTTGTATGTCTGTGTAGTAAGCCTCACATATTGGGGAAAAGGAGACTGTGCATAAATATACAATCAGGATTTAAAAGTAAAAAATGCTGAGGTGCGGCAGCGCAACAGTAAAAATAGTACGAAGTCGAGGTATTTGTAATTCTACTGCGTTAGTAAGATAAAGTTAAAGCTAAAGCGGAACAATAAAGACGAATCAAATATTTTTGCAATTTCATTACTCTAATACTAACACATTACCAAAAGTTCATCTTCATTCTCATTGTCAGAAAAAAATGTATCTCTCATCTTGATCTTTCAGATATCGATAACATTCTCATTCTCCTATCTAAAAAAGTGGATATAAACCAATATCATTACCTAGTTGTAGTACAAGTTTTTCCGCCAATTAAGATGCTCCTCTAAACTGCGCGACGAGTGTTAAACATGAACGCAATTATCAAAAAAATTTAGAGACTAATCCAAACAAGAACTATCATTGCTATGACGTAAGTGTTAAAGAATGATCCATTGATCTATTGTACATACCAAGCGGAATATGAACGAAGACCTACAACAAGTAGGAGCAGGGTTTCAACTGTCCCCATAATTATCATGAACTTACACCTCCACCAGCTGCACCAGCACGACTAGATAAAGAACCCAACTCATGTAGGAGCAAGGTAGGGACGGGAAATAAAATCAATGTCCCTGCATTGAAACGCAACTCTTTCCTAGAAACATTTCTGAAGAGAACTGCAAGGAAGTAGTTCGTTGCGATGGTTCGTTGGAGGAGTGAAGGTGATAAAGCGATTTAGATTCTTGTATAGCAATAGTGATTTGTACATATTGGTCCTAGTATGAGAGTAGTTGGAGGACCATGAAGATCATCTTCATGATCATATATCACACTAGACGAAAGTGAAAAGCAGGGTGGGTTGTGCTACCAGAGGTACTCCCGAATGACCAGACGATGCAATAGCGTGTGCCCATCCACTGGCTTATCGAGACCTTCCAACTTCCTTTGCGGTTGCACCTTTCGACAAAAATGTTTCCGACAAGGAAATCGCGGCTATTGCGATAAATCTTAATAGTAGACCACTCCTAGTAAGTAGTTGGGAAACCGAAACTGGCTGCTGTGTGATCTTCGAGTGCCGCGGCATCGTTATTAATGCAGATTTGAACATGGTCGGTCGCTCACACTCGTGGTTGCATCTGTCGTGACTGTCTTTCCTCTGTTGCTCCTCAGCAAGTTCTATGTATGAAAATGAACTGCGGCATCATCGGGTCGACCTCGAGTTTTCGGTTGAATAAACTCTTTGTCGAGTCGCAAAAAGGTACTTGATATGCTTATCTACAACAGGGAATGCTGCTAATTCTGGTTAACACACCAACAGCAACAGGACATCATGCGAATCGCAAAGTCGTTATGTTGTATTCTCGGACGCCCCCTGCCACCCTCGCTTTGATAGTAGAAGTTTATTTTTCCCAACCCCTTGACTCGTTTATTTTCGTTCCATATGGGTGGAGGTCAGTCATTAGAGCTACTGGTGTAGAGCGATAAAAATTGAAATGATGTTGTTGAAGAAGATCTTCGTCGCTTTCTTTGGTGGGTAAATTCAGTTATTTTTATGGGTATGGATGTAAAAATGTTAGAACTCCAGCTCCACACGATTCTGCATTCTGCAACTCGTCTCACTCTGTAGAGTCGTAGCTGAGGCTAGGGTAGGCATTGTGACCACGACGGCGGAGCTCTGAGACTCACCGAATCATCATGCGCTGTTTGTTGGTGTTCATATGCGTTGAGGTTGAAGAGACAGGCTCTTTGCCGGGACACGAGCTATAGCTTTTGCCAAAGCGAACGAAAAGGAACATCACCGACGTGACCTTCTTATAGAAGTCGAGGTCCGCTGCTAAGCATCCCGAACCCCACAGCTACCTCCAACATTCCTGGAAGATGCCAGCGCAGGCCGGGCGAAGCGCTGCAACCGCGGAACGCGCGGCCGCAGCGGTTGCGGAGCAAAAAGAGCGTGCGGCAACCGAAACGCGAGAGAAGCTGACCGAGATAAAAGTCATCCCGAAAAAAAAGGATGCTTCGGGATTTTTACGCGCCACACCCTGGGATCCCTGGGACTTGCGAGATTTCGATGCGACTTTAGCTATCGTTTTCCCCCAAGAATACAAGGAAAAGGATGTGCTTGACAATAGGCAGCCAGAGTTCCCTTCGCTCGAAGAGGAATTCGACTACTACCGGCTTATGTCTCACAAAACGCTTCTGCAGGTACAACAAAAGGATGTTAGAACAGCTGTTTGTGATTTTTATGTGCACTAGTACCCGTAGTACTACTAAGAAAGTACAAGTAGTTTGAGCTAGGTGGATTAAGACAAGCAGAATTCTGGGGTGCCACGTGTGTCCTTCTTATTGATAAGTGAGCTGTGTTACTAGCCATAGTTTTTTAGAAGCCCAATCTCAATCAAAAAATCATCCAGATCCTTTTCCTTGATGATACAATTAGTTACAAATACTGCATCCACCGCGGTCAACCTCTGCAATTTCAGTTACGCGAGCACATGTCGCGCGTTTCGGAGCACGATTTCCACAATTTGCTAGGGAGACGTTTTCAGTTCGAACTTGATCAGCAGATGAGCGAGTGCTTTGATAAGTGCTCGAAGTCACTTGTTGGCCTGATGCTCGACCTCGTATATCGCTACCTGGAGGGTCGCATGAGTCGCGACGGCATGAAGAAGGAGTGCGAAGCGAAAATTGCGGCAAATGAAGCGAAAATGGCGGAAGCTATGGCTGACTTTGAGACGAGGCGGAAACAGCTTGAAGAAATCGAAATCAAACAGCGAAAGGGCTTTTTGAAGGAGACTATGGCCCTACGAGAAGCGCTCAAGAAGACCAACACTTCCGCAGACATAAAGGACCAGCAGGTGCCGATGTACTACGAATCTCAGGACCAACTATCGCCGGATATCAAAGAGCTCGTAAACGCCCTCGTGCTAGAACAACTGCAGCTGCAAGAAGGCGCAAACGAATCGGAAAAGCAGAAACTTCGGTACCTACTCTAATCTACTTAATAAAGCATGAGCTTTTTTTGTCTTCTCGCGTACCAATATCAACATCTAGCTAGTCCACTCTTCAAGATCATCGCGACCTAAGGAAGATATTACTCAGTTCTCTTCTTCGTTGGTCCTGCTGCCCAGTCGTTCCTCACTACAATCATGTGTGAATACACAGGGACCAGATGAAAGGAATGGCAACCGGTGGGCAAGGCTCGGATATGGACGTGCAGGAGCTTTTGAAGCAGCTGCAGAAGGCTAAGGAGCAACGAGACCGCGCCCAGCTGCAGGCAGAGACTTTCAAGGACCAGTTGAGTTCAATGCAGGCTCAACGTGCACAAGAGCAATCTGCGGGTGACAAAGAACGCCGTTTGTCGGGTAGCTCTCCCGAAAATCTGAATATGGGCATTCGTGGGCGTGGAAGTCGTGAGGCTACCGCGGCGGAAGCGGAGGCCATCGCGCGCAGTGCCTCGCTGGAAGACGAACTGGCGGCATTGCAGAGAAAACTTGACGAAGTGTCATTGGAGAACGCCGTATTCAAGAAGCAAGCCAAGGCGTCTGCTGGAGGCGGTGGACCAAGCCCGGCAGAAACGGCAGCGATGCAGATGGAACTAGAGAAGCTCAGAATGATGGTCGCAAGGCATGAAGACGAAAAGAAGGAGATACAGAGGAAAGCGGTACTAACTGAAGGACGATGAAAAATGCTAATCTTATGTGGATTGATTGATCGCTCCTGCACGCATAGTCCAGACGAGTTGGCCCTGGGTCTGTTTTCGTTCCCCCGTCAATATCCAGCACCGCCGCTTGTTAGACGGCCGCATACAGTTAATTGGTCGCTCCTTCTAGAAGTGACTGAGATCATCATCTTCTTTAGTGGACAAATCAACTCAGAGCTTTCATTTTGATTTTCTCAATAAACAAAGTCTACAGTGTCTGTGTCAGCGATTTCATTGGCTCAATAAAACCTACAATAGAGCGCCGAGCTGAAGAAGATGAAAGACGCTTTGGGTGACTTGACACCGGAGGAGCTCGAAGCATTGAAGTCCGCCTCCTCGGCCGAGGAGGCCGCGCTGAACGAGAAGAAACGCAAACTGGATGCGCAGAGTGCTGCCTTGGCAGGAAGCGAGGGCTCCATGAGCGCGGAGCTCGAGGAGAAGGATCGGTTGTTAAAGGGCAAGACCGAAGAAGTACAGCAGTTACAGGTCGCCCTGGAGGAATTGCGGTTGCGGGTCGTAAACCTCAACGACCTTCTGAAAAACGCTGGCGCAGACACAGCAGCGTTGCGCGAAGCCGGCCTAGACGATGTTATCCAGGGACAGCGCCTCGGCGGTCAACAGAATTCCGCATACGGAAAATACAAATTCTGGAAAACGTGGGATCGATTATATCAAGACGCTCGCGACCGGATCGTGCGCCTCGAACAGATTCAACGCGAAGCGTGGGGGGAGCGAGAAAAAGTCTTCCTGCAGATTTACTACTCGATTATGGGCGAAGACTACACGAGGGAGAAAGCAGAAATGCTGAGAGGCGACCCATATCCGTCGTCGCCCCACGTTTCACCGAGGACGTCACCGTATTGCAATCACATCAGCGTGTTTTGCCTTATTTGCACGTCGACAACTTCTATATCACTAGGATTGCTAGCGTAGTACTACTAGTAGCTCCTCATAGCCCCTCACTCTTCTATACTTGCTGCTCATGATCATGCTTACTGATCGAAATTCTCAGCACTTCTTCTCAATTTATCAGGCATCGCGCAATGGGCAAACACAAGGCCTTTTCGAGTATGCTGTACAGCAGAATTTCACCCGACCACGCGAGAGCAGACTACGAGGAGTGGAAAGAGAGGGCCGATGGCAAGTCAAAGAGCAGAAATCAGAAATCGCGATCACCAGAGAGCCAGATGATGGCCACTGGCATGTCGCAAGCCACTCATTTAGAACAGGACATCTCGGCGCAAGGTCCCGGAGGCGTTGCGCGCGGACTCGCAGGTGCAACACCAATCAAGTCCAAGATACGGGCCGTACGGTTTTTTCTTGATTTGGAATTCGCTGTAAGTAGTTTATTTTCGCGTCATTTACACGACCATGATTGTTCAATGAAGATGAATCAATATATAATCAAAAATGTGTTTATTTTGCAAGTCAAAGCTCTACTCCTAGGCCTACTTAGTTGTTAATCCACTTCAACATTTCAGGATCCACGCAAGGATTCAAAAGGGCGATGGCTCGGGCCTCCTCCCGACGCTTCTGACTCACCGAACAAAAGTTACTTGTCGCCAAACAAGAGTTTCCTTTTGGAGTCGGCGAAGAAGGGCGCGCCCGGTTTAGTCGGTGTTATGGACTACTCTCAGCGAGGGCATGTCGTCAATATCAATCGACACGAGCAGAGCTATGCAGTGACAAGTTCTTTGTCTCCTCGCGGTGCTTTGCGCAAGTACAGCTTCGACGGCTCGGCGTCGGCATCACCCATGAAATCAACAACAAGCGCTGTAGCAAACCGGTCGCCAGCTGCGCGAATGAACTCACCAAAGCTGTTCCAGCTGAATATCAGACTTCCTGGCGAAGGGCCGCAAGGGCCAGGCGCCGGTCCAGAGTCGCGGTCCGCCAGTGCTGGTGCAAGCAGCAGCGTCTATAACCGCAGCAGTCCTCCAGCTTCAGCGCCGATGGGTGTGCTGCGCGGAGGCTTTCGTACACCAGGGGGACCTAGCAGTCCGACCGGTCGCGCAAGAGGGAGTCGGGGAGAAATTGGAGTGATATCAGAAAACTTGGACATCTCTGCACAAGTCGAACACTTGGAGCAGATCCGAAGCGGGTCAGGCGGTTCTCGCAGTCCTACAGCAACGAAATGGACGAAAGCGCCGCCACACCATGCGAAGGGTATGTCATTCTCATCTATTTTGGAAGTTCAAGTTAGAGTTACGTTATTAGAAGCATGTGCATGACAGCTACAGCTTGCTGTGTTGAACTACAAGTAGAAGAAGATACTCTTCTTCTTGCAAAAGTACTTTTAATTCCTTGTTTGTGGTTGTCATGGCACGGGTACTTGTCGCGAGCGGGACGAGATCTCGTTTTTTCCACTTTCTTGGATTTCAGGCGTTGTTCCGCGAGGTCATGTTGGCATGATGAGTCCACGGTCTCCTGCTGCGCGACGCGACGACACCGCATTAGAGCAGGCGGCTTTCGCACAAAAAACATCGACGCCATTAGTTCGGTCACCTAAGGCGAATAGAGCGAGTTCTCGACGTGGGGAGGCGCAGCAGGGAGGCAGCCCACCGCCGGCAAGCCTAGTCCTAGAGATGGAAAAAACGCCGCCCAGAGACCAGCCGAAACCTCCGAAGAAGAACGACGACCCGCTGGGTTTACGAGAACAAGCAGTGGAACGCGCGATGCGCGAGTACACATACAACGAAGTCGCAGCAGCGATGAGGAAGAACGAGCAAGGCCCCAGCGCCGGCGGACATCCCGACGCATACAGCGAGGCCATGCAGCTTGCTGCTGCGCAACACATGGCTAGGTTAGCAGTTGCGACCTCTCTAGCGGATGGCATGAACCTCAATAGTCCACATCCTTCGACAAAGCCGACGGACCCTCTGCCCATGAGCACGCAAGAAGAAATGAGGATAAAGCAAGATTTTCATTTCCCACAGACGAAGCCCAGCATGGACCGACCTCCAGGACGGCGCGTTCGCACGAAATCCTCCTCCAACTCTGCCGTGGAGAGGGTTAGCCCAACGCGCAATAATGAATTTGCCTTACCGGGACCTGCTGCGGATCCAAACGCGGAGCGCAAAAAGGGCATCATCACGCTGAACAATCCGTTCGACCTGCCGCCTGGCAGCAAGAGCGCCGCGAAGCATGAGAAAACCGGCGGCGCATCGAGTAGCAGTTATCATCCAGCTCACGGCAACAAGGATCATCAGAGCGGCCCTGTACCTAGGACACATTACAAACACAATGCGCCTGGTGGTAGTCACAACGCCGGCACTGAGCACATCTCTCAGCATCACGTGAGCGTCGAGGACGCGGAAGCCTACCAGCAACAACAGCTTGACCGTGTTATGGTTCTGAAGAGAGATCAACTCGGGGGTGGCAATTCGCAGTCGTCTCCGCAAGAGCAACAGTCTTCACCGCCGTCTTTACGTACCCATGAGGGTGCGCCGGACCGATACCGGCCAAGCCGTGGCCTGCCTGCGGCTCCACCTGACGCAGTTCAGCAGCAGCAACAGGCAAAGTGGATCAAGATGGAGGATCGGGTAAACCCGGATGTGGGTGGCGGGCAGTCCCCAATGCGCTCTCCGCGACGCACGAGCTTCATGCCTTTGCGCTCGCAGGCAGAGCCGGCGCCGGAGATAACTATCCGGCTCGACAACCGCAGTCCACAACCAAAGAGGGCAGCGAAGCAACCACTACAGGGAGATATGCAACAGGTCCCTCCATGGAATCAGCAGCCAGACGACGATAAAAAAACTTAGATGGAAGTAGTAGAACAAGAAGTAAAAGTAGCGTCGATCCACGACGAGAAAGTAGACGAACTAATCTTGTTTGTTCATCATCCACGACATAAAAACTTGCCTCATTCACATTCAACAAATGAACTGCTTGATGAACTTTTTTTGTTGGTTGCTGCTGCAGCAGCTTACGATTTCGTGCTTTTCTGAAAAAGTGTGCTAATAAACTCAAATGGAACTACGGTCGAGACGTACAGGATGACCCGAAGTTTAAGTGTTGCTGCAGAGCTGCTTTTGTTTCTCAGACGTTGTAAATCATGACACCAGGATCAATTTCAATTTTGAAATTCTAAATCGCTACTACGTTTGTACTAAGAAAATGCACCTCAATCGTCGCTCGACGAACCTTCCATGTCGACTACGTAGACGGCAATATTGATATTGGCCTGTGTTTAGTCAAAGTCAATTTTACTACGACAAGATTTTGTTGTGGAATCTCATAATAAATACTAATACAATAGAAGAGATGCAGTTGCTGCTACGTAGTTGAGACAAGATTATATCTTCGAATGCTAAAGCTAATTAGTACACGCAAGAGACGAGAGAGTCATAGATATAATCTCCTATTTGTTAAGGTCATGAAGATCAACACGTTCTGGATTGTGTTCAATCTTGAAGTAAAGAGCGCAACAAGAAGTATGGAGATGTGTCGAGAATCATCGAGGTAATTTTAGCTTGTTACTAGTGTGAAACATCGAGTGAACAAAATGGAAGAGCGGGAGAGGCATTTTCTGATATCCTCTGATACTGTTAGGATCCTAGGCAGTATGTGTATGGCTGCGTGAGACTTGTGCCTAAGCCTAGAGTGAGAGCAGGTTCAAGCGGTGTAAATACTGAGAACAGTCAACGAGTCACAATGTCGCGTTCGTTGTACCAATCTGCTGTTAATGGAGATGAATGTATCGAGTCTCGACGGTTGTGTTGTCGGGAGATAGCGTCGGAGTAGTTAAGCGCTCTCGTTCGCAAGAAAGCGAGCTTGTCGTCCACCTAAATTCCCAACCCAAAAATCGCAAACACACCCAGGACCCCAAGGCCATTGACCCATGACACATAAAAAGGTTACTTGATTTAAACAAGGCTTTTGAAAATACTAGTTCCTTTCGTAAAAATGGTGTGAAGTAGTCAACTTCTAGCTGAGCTTCACGAGTCAGTTCGTGAAGATAAGAAAAATTCGGGCTCATACTTCGACTAGCTTTTTCAGGGTAGTCAATCGATCTCACACTACCTCTAACTTTGTTTGATGAAGGAAATGAACTACCTTGTCGAGAGAACTCTAAATTCGTTCGTAGCTCAAGGACTTGGGGTGACCTCCACCCTTTACATTTAATTCTTCCTAGGTAGAAACTTTCCCCTTTTCAACAAAACTTGGGTATCGTTACTGAGGTTGACCTAACAAGATGACGTCGACGTTGCTCGCCGCGCTGCGGGCGCAAAACAGCGCCGGCGCGATGGCTGCCGCGAAGAACTACTCGCCGTTGACAGAGGCTGTTTTCAGCGGGGAGTTGGACCGAGTGCAGAAAGTCTACAAAGAGGAGAAAATGAAGGTAAGTATCACTAACACTAACTCCTATTAAGAAAGAGATAAAGCCACGCCTGAATCAGTTTTATTTCAGTCAGTACACTTGTTCGCATTTTTTGGATACCACTCCCATTGAACGATGTGAGAGAATGCGTTATTCCACTCTCTTTTTCTTGCCTAACCAATGAAAATGAACATTGATTCCGACCCGTTTATTCACGAGTGTAGGTGTACAGCTCGCTGTTTCTGATCTCCCCTTACTACAAGTTCAACATTCTCATCTTGAAGAAATATATCCAACCAAGGACTGCCACTACTCAAGGGTTCGTTACTTCTTCATTGATCACTTATTCTTAAACGACGAACGCCATCAGGTCGACACGAAAGATACAGATGGGTGTAGTCCACTGATGCACGCGGCGGAGCAAGGCTATCTAGACATCGTTGAATATCTGGTCAGCGTTGGCGCGCGTATCAACGGAAAAGATGACATAGGGGAGAACGCCTTCATGAAAGCGGCAAAGGTATTCATACTGATTAGACGTTAGTGCACTAAGTACGGAAGAAGATTCTACAACAGGGACTTTTGTCAGCATATTCGTTGAAGTCAATTAGAATTACCACCATAAAGTGTTTGATATTAAGTATGATCATCATCTTTTTGTGTTGGTCCAATAGTCTTCAGAAATAATGATATAAACATGTAGGCCGGCTCAAGGTTGATATCATGTATGCTTCGTTCTGGTATTTGGTAACCTGAATTTGATCCCAAGGATTCCTTCCTGTTTTCCTTATGATCGAAATCAGGTTGCCAAATACCAGAACCATTCATATCAGGATGGCGTGCCTACTGCTACTTTTCAAACACTCGCCACAGGAGGGGAACATCGATTGCATGCAATTTTTGATAACGTCAGCGCTATCAAATTTGCCAAAAAAGTTGGGAGCATCAGGAGATTCAAATAGTAGAGAAAGGTCAAGAGTAATCGATGCTAAAGATGACGAAGGAATAACAGCTCTGATGAAAGGTACAACATCAGTCGAAGAAACTTAGAGTGTGGTCAATGATATTTTCATTCGGTGCCTTGTCGTTGATGTCGCTTTTTCTATGTCTTTTCATCCTTGTTTTCTTCTCCTAGGGGCAGATTTAACGTGAGAAACAAGTGGAAACAAATGCCAAAGAAATAAAAACCCTTCAGCTGCGGAGGCAGGCGAGTACGATACTGTTCGGTTCCTGTTAGAGCAGGGAGCAAACCACGAGGCAACGGATGACGAGCAGTGGAATACGCTCATGTGGGCATCAGTAGCAGGGCAGTTCGAAATCTGCGACCTTTTGGTATGTTTAATTACAATTTTTCAGCTTGGCTCTCATCGATCGATGTACTCATTGTTCGATGTACTCGTAAGCTTGGTTATTTTCAACATCCATGGACCAGAACTCGGAGGGTGCCGGTACCAGAAGGGGTAGGAATATACGGAACCCGACAAAAAAGGTAGAGACTCCGACAGAAAAGGCACAAACAGGGGAAAGCCAAAAGGTATAAGCCTGCAAAAAGAAGAGCCAAAAAAGCCGAAGAATTGCGAGCAGATCCAAACGCGGAGCGGCCCGAGGGCTCCCGCGGTGGCTGAGCAATGACAACCCCACACGACACACACGAAACAAATCCCAACACTTTCAAGCGGGACCAGACGAGAACCGACGGGGACGGACAGCGCTGGCGACCACGCGCATGACTCCGGCGTGCCACACACGCGACACACAAAGCCGCCGCGCGCCACATCTGAGGAGCAAGCTGTGACTACGCGACACCTGAGGGCTTTCGAAGCCCGCCGCAAAAGGCTGACGCACTTCTAAACGAAAGCGGCCCGCAGAGCGAAAAAGAGACGCATCGCCGGGCGGGAGGCGGGGGGATCGCAAAAGGAGGACGCGCGCCGCGAAGCTCCTGCTGCCTGGCAGTTGCCCGCGCGCCTGCCTCTGGCGGGTGCCTGCGAGGTACTGCGGCCAGAGCTGGAGAACACAGAGAAACGAAAGACGCAGCAGGAGGCGCCTAGCTTGAAGGACCGGCAGCAGCTTGGTGGTAGTCCTTCCAGGACATTGCGCGGCCAAGCGCGCGCGGCTCCCCACCGGGTACGGGCGTGCATAACACGCGCCACCGGGGTGCTGCGCTGGCAGTGGAGTGGGTGGAGCAGCCTACAAGGAGGGCCATGGTCAGGCCTTCTATTTTCTGGGCCCCTTGTGATATTGCGGCCCCAGTATTTCCAGGGATCTTACCAGAAAAATAAGGGACCCCGGCGGAAAATAAGGGCCCGGGATTTTTGCGGTGCTCGTCCGCTTAATAAAAAAGGAAAAACATCGGGACCCTTATAATACAGGGGCCCTAGTTAGTTTTTCCGGTTCATCCATGTCGACTATGTATACTATGCTATCTTATGCTATACTATACTGCACGATGCTACACTATACTATCCTACGCTATGCTATACTATACTAGCTATGCTAGACTAGCTATGCTAGACTAGCTATGCTAGACTAGCTATGCTAGACTAGCTATGCTAGACTAGCTATGCTAGACTAGCTATGCTAGACTAGCTATGCTAGACTAGCTATGCTAGACTAGCTATGCTAGACTAGCTATGCTAGACTAGCTATGCTATACCAGCTATGCTAGACTAGCTATGCTATACCAGCTATGCTAGACTAGCTATGCTAGACTAGCTACTATACTATCTTATCCTATTATTACACTATATATATTATACTATAGTATACTAAACTATACGATACTATGTTATCCTGAACTCTATTACTATACTATGCGAATAAATATGCTATACTAAACTATACTACGCTAACTATACTATAGCTATACTATATTATCCTAGCTATGCCATACTATCCTAGTTATGCTATACTATCCTAGTTATGCTATACTATCCTATGCATACTATGCTAGGGTATGCTATGCTATGCTACCTCCTTTTCGGTAAGAACTCACGCAAGCCCCTTCATTATAATTTATGTTGTACTTGATGGATGTTGATGAACTCACTCAAACTGGACTTCCTTCCATCAATCTCTTTCGCAGATAAAGCAATACGGTGTAGGCGGTGGATATGTTACAGAAAACGGCGAGTCAGCACTTTCAAAGGCAGCAGCAAACGGGCATTCCGAAGTTGTCGAGCTCCTCATCGGAGAGGGTGCCAAAGTGAATCAGACCGACACAAAGTACTGAACTACAACACACTTCGTCTTCGTCAATGATGAAAGTGAAATAGAAACCTGTAGTAGTGATCTATGAACAAGACCTTGTACGTATCATCATGATCTTCTTCAGGAGCAGGAGATGCAGTTGTTTATTCTTTGATCAGATCTACTGCTTCTGCTACTGCTTGAAGATGTTGAATATCTTCCACAAACAAATAACGCACAGTTATCAAACGGCTTTGATGTGGGCGGCATCAGAGGGACACATTGAAACTGTCAAGCTTTTATGCAAGTACGATGCAAAGGTAGATCCAGCAACCCGAACGGGAAAGACAGCTCTCATGCTTGCTTGCAGGACAGGCCGAACAGACGTATCTATTTCTATAGAATACCAATATCATTATCATGATTCACCAAGAACGACCACAACATTCGTATTCCCACATTCGTATCTATTCCACCTCGTTGTCTAGCTTTATTACATGCTTCTGAACACAAAGACAGTCCTTCACCAGATAAGACGGAGAAACAAGTAGTACAGGATGCTAAGCCACTTACAGAATGACAAAATAGCGGGTTACCATGTACTAATGTCTACCATAGTAGATTTCTATCATTTTCTTTCCCCACCAATAATCCCTATCAGGTCGTCGAATTTCTCCTAACAAAAATGGACAAAATCGACCACGCGGATGAGGACGGTAAAACAGCACTATTCGAGGCAGCCACGCTGTCAGATGATGCCCTTTGCGGCATGCTTCTGGACAAGGGAATGGATGTCAAGTATTTCATGCTTAATTTTTTTGCTGCTGTCTAGTAGCGTGTAGTACTTATCGATGCCAAAATGAAATTTCAACTCGACAAAATCTAAATCGAATAAGCGAAGCCAAATATTAAGTGATTCTTGATTGACATGAATAGAGATTTTCAACATCCCCACTTGATAAAACCTTAGCAAAACGACTAAGCGAGGTGAGACAGTTTTGATGCTTTCCGCTGCAGAGTGTCCCGCACCGTTTATCAAATTCCTCATGGAACGAAAAGCAAATTTGAACAGACAAGACGAAAGCGGACGCACAGCCTTGGACCACGCAGAAGGTATATCGATATTCTGTCCCTGGTGTTTCTGAGTTTATTTGAGCTGGAAGTGGATCGATCGGAAGGCAGAAAATTGAGTTGTCATACCGTAGTTGGAACTACTTTCTGTGAGCACTACTTGGAGCTTAGCCTTTAGTTAGAGCAACTACTTGAACGTCATGATGAAGATGTCCTCTATCGCTATCAAGCGCACCTTTTTGCGCAGGTTCCCTGAACGCAGCAGTTGTGACGATGCTGCGTGAAGCTGGTGCGTCCCGTGCTGCCTCTGTTATCTACCGTGAGACTGACGATCTCTAAACTCAAATAAATTCGAGTTAGTTTGGTCTGGCGTCGAACCTCAGGTGATATGTGTTTTTTCAGAAGCCCCCCGCTTGCCTTCTAGTACTCTGTGAGTGTGGGTGGTATGTTCACTTTGTCATTTTGGGTATAACACGGCGGTCGACCAATTTGATTTCCAAGAAACAAATTAACTCTACTACAAATGCGAACTAGTTCAATGAACAATAAGAATATTGCAATACTTGTCCCTAATACAAAAATAAAACAGGATAGCATTCATTGTTAGAATAAGAGCTCAACGTCTTCACCGAGCTCCAGCTGTATAGATGAATTGAAGATCGTTCTCACTTCTCAGTGAAGTACCTCCTAGTTATCCTGAAGCTAAGTAACACTAAATTCGAGTAGCTTGATTGTAACGAAATATCCAAAGTGAGCTAAAAAAAGCTCTGGCAGAAGATAAGAGATTGAAGATGTTATACGATTCCAAACAAAATAACGGCAAAGCCGGCAAACGCGGACCTAGAGGAAGCAATGAACTTTGCCCGGCTAGAACTCGATACAATTTTGACTTGTGCATTATCCCAATTTAGTCATTGTCGTCTGTCTACCAACAGTTTCCGAGAATTGAATTGTCATGAAGCTTATTAATAACTTTAACATATAAAAAATGCGAGGACAGAGACAGAGACAGTCCTCAGAAATTCTTCCTGTACCTCTGGTCATATCCGACTAATTTGGTCTGCTCCAGTATAGTACTATCAATGCAAGGACGCTGCCACAACGATATTAAGTACGATCATGAACACCTACAACAAGCTTAAGCAAGGAGAAATATCGGATGCATATTATACACTACAGGAATAAAAAATTAGTGAATCAATCACACAGAAATGCAATTACGCCTGTGCGGTAGTGGGGGCCCGTCATGCTCGAGCTTTACCATGTCGAGCAACTAGAGAAATTACCGCGGCGTTGGTTGCTCTGCTGCAACCGAGCTAGTCGTTGTGCAGGGACTAGCTGAACAGGAAAGCAACAGAAATAAAGTTATATGGGTGTTACAATCAATGCGTAAGCGAAATGAATGTTGTAAAGCAAGAGCTATGTAACTACACATCAATAATTTATTCGATCTCGCGCTCGTCGTGGTCGAGGACGTCGTCGTCGATGCGTGCTGCTCAACAAGTCGAGCCTCCTGTGTTGCCATTACTTACGGAATTTGCGACTCTCTCGTTTGCGGATAGATTTTGTCGGTGCTGCTCTTTTGCATGAGGTTTGGCATGAATGATATCTGTTTCTTACTCGCCCGAGCGGATCTTCGGTGTCGTTTCAAAATCCGAAGCATGGGCTTACTACATCATGAATCTGTGAGTTATTCTTCGTGCTTCATGCAATGTGGTACAACGAGTACTGGAAGTTGCAAGTCTACGCACCAGGAGTCTTGTATGAGGTATAGGACTACTTCCAGGCTCCCAGCATGATATATCGTCATCGTTTTTGATTTTGTGATCTCCTTTTCCCATGTCGGCCCCCACTCGCAGTCCACTGACTATTGTTCAGACCGTCGTCGAGTTGTACTAGAAGTAGATGAGGACAGCACTGATCAAATTTCGAATTCGGTATTGATATTGAATTGCATAGCTTACTGCTTGGCATACGATTAGGAGTAGGTGTACAGATGGTTCGTGATTAAGTTCTTGGTTCATTTTCATTATATTACGAACAGAAGGACTACGACAGCGACATGCGACAGGCACACAAAAGTACCACAAAGGAAGAATGCTCGGAGCGCTATAGTCCAAGTCGTGTTGTTTCTTTTTGCACTGATATGCCGATTTCTGCGCGAGGAGTAAGTGGAGTCAACTTGAGGGTCCTGCCAAAGGCGCGCCGACTTCGCCACACCACATTGCAGCTGCAATAGAAGCGGACCTCCTAGTTTTTTAGTGCGAGTGGCACCGTGCTTCGGGTGCACCAGGACCAGCGCGTAAATACGCTCTACCTCTAGCACACGTCGCCTACCGATTCCGGCAAGCATCAGGACAGTCTTGCTGTAGCGATCGAAGAGTGCCTTCGCCTTTTTTGGCGCTCCGACACAGGAAGAGGATGAGCATGAGTTCTTCTACTTGCTAAGCCTCTGCCTGCACCTTCAGGCGCTGTGTACAGCTTTAGCACTTGACGCTCACGCTCGTCGTGCTGTTCGGAAAGATCCGCCGGGAGCGCCAGGATGGTCGCACCGGCGAAAATACCTGGCACGGGCGGTGTGCCCGCACCGCCGGCTGACCTTGCGCCATGCGGACACTCAATAGAAGACCAAATCCGCCTGCACTACTTCACGCCGGCGCCAACGGCTTACAATCCAAGCGTAATCTCTTCTTGTGTTATTAGGTGAATAATAGATCTGTAATTTTCTTCATCCTTCGAGCACTGACTTTCCTGCTCAGTGACTTTTCCTTCTCGCGGACTCCTTAGACCTCTCGGAAATAGTACAACGAAGAGTATCAATCAACAACTAGGTCCCATCGAAGAGGCGGCAACTCGACAACGGGCTGATAAAGGAGGGCTTACATGCCAGTCCGGCAAAAGATGAGGGTCCAGGCCCAGGGCAATATTCGGCATTTATTTACGAAGCTGGGGACATACCGCTTCCGCAGGGTGGAAGGATATACCTCAAAGACAAAGAGAAGGTACTCTTGATCCTTTCAGCATTCATAAGTACTCAGTTACCAAGCAGTAGAGAGGTAGGGAACTCTGTTTCTTTTCGCCGAGTTGTAAGTTCATTTTTGCGAAATATATATCATCCACTGATGAATATTTTTCCGCATTTCATCCAACATCGCGACTTAATTCGAAGTAAATTCCTTTATGATCAGCACAACTACAGGTCCTACAATCCAAGGGCGTGATAGGGCCTAAGCTAGCGGCTCGAATGTTGAAGGAGTATGCAGGCTCGAAGTTTCCGGATCCGGGTACCTATTTCCCGGAAGTGAAAGGCGTTCGACCAAATTACATCAAGCTCACAAAATTCGGGAAGAACCCAAGGTTTCCGCGCTCATTTCGCAAGGAGGAGGGTCCTGGAGTTGGGCGATACGACGTCATGGAAAGTCTAGAATTTTTAGACCCATTTCTGCCAGACGGGGGGAAAGGAGTGTTAAATCAGGTATCCATACGTGAACTGATTTGTCCTTTGATGTGTCCTACTTTGTTTTAACGGTATTTTTAGATTAAGTACTAAAAAGATTGAAGATTGATTTTGATGCAAAAGCAAATGTTCGATAATCGATCCGAACAACATAATTTATTAGGAGCTTTACCACTAGTGCATTGGCGCGACCGGCATCCTTGATCATAAAAATGAAACAAAAACTTCAGCCAAAACTTCCAACGTACTTTGACGAGGCGAGCCAAGTGACGCAAGACGTTCCCGGACCTGGCGCTTACAGTCCGAAGATGCTTCCAGGTATTATTTGCCTTTTGGTTATGACCAACTGCAACTGCTGGCTTTTATCTATCCTCCGCATCAGAACCAGAAGATGAAGTAGATACAAGTATTCTTAGTATCATGTATATCTATAACTATATGCATAATTATATGCATAATTATGTCCTCGAAAAGTTTTTACATCCAGATCAAGAAAATCTCAGCCCGGAAAGACTTCTCGCAAGAAATGGTACATCATACGACTGAGACGATGGAGGAATCGAAAGCGCTTGTGAAGAAGAACACTTCTGTCGAAGCGCCTGGGCCAGGTCGTTATTCGTTACCCGAATTGCCACCATTGCACGACGCGCCGAAGATAACCGGTCGGGCACTGCCTCACTCCATGCCGCGGCCGTTCGCCTACAATTCACAGCCTGACATGACGCGGAAATTTCAGCCTGTGAGAAACCAGAATAGCGGAGACCTTATTTTTGGCAGAAATTTCAAAGGAGGTAATTCATTTTTTTTTCCCTCTTGTACTATCCACTTTGTTTCGATCATGATTTGGCTTTCTCTGATGAAAAATAGAAGGCAAAAAATGCGTAAGTAGGTACTGCAGTATGAATTAGCATGTGCCTACTACAAAAGCGATCGATTCGAGTACCTGCAGCTCGTCGTCCACTCATTCCAGGTCAGCAGATGATCAGAAACTATCCTGGTGCATCCACAGTGGGTGCAGGCGCAACCAGTTCCACGGTGCTGGCTCATGAGTCTACTTCGTCAACGCTCTCACAGATGAGGCCGCCAGGCGGTCAAGCATCGACCTACACCCAACGACAGCACGAAATCGCCCGGCAGAAGCGGCAGAAAGAGATGGAAGCCGAGCAGATCGTGTTAGACGAATTTAGGATAGCGAAGAAGGATAAGGAACTATCAGAAAAACCAGGACAGTCGAAGTGGGTAGAAGGAGGATGCGAGGTGTTTGAGGTAGAGCCGCTCTTTGACAACAACGGGAATGCCATAGCAAAATCACCAGGGCGAGCAGCCGGCAGTCCACCACCAGATGGAAGTCCCAAGGTACAAAAATAGACGAGCAGTTTCTGATCACGGAGGAGTTGATATCATTTATTTTTCTTTGCGGTTCCTTCGTGCTACAGCCACTGCTCCACTGGTGATCATGACTTTTTGATTTACTTAGTACAGGAAGCTCGTAATTTCTCGCACTGTTCTCTCCGCTTCAAAACGGATTGTCTTTTGCCATCCATTTCCAATTCCATCGTCGTTTTCCTGCTGATAATTCCTTCATTGATTTTTTTGACTATTGTAAATTTCTCTTCTTCGGTTCAAGCGTAATTTAGGTAAATAGAATGTTGGCGACGAGAGATGTGTTCCACCAATTCGTTGCGACGGGTTTACCTTTCGTTCAAGTAAACAGGGAACGACTCACTGGGTCACACGAGTGACGAGATGAATGTGAATGCAAATCGACTCGTTGATGTTCTCCCATCGCCTCGTCGATGGTTTTCTAACAGCTACAACTCAATCTTGACAAATCCTCATGTGCGAGACTTTCTTCTCAGTTCGCGGTAGCTGGAGCTCCGCAAGACAAGTTTCTGTGTAATAAAGTTCGTATGCAGCTGAGACCTCACTCAGCTGATAACTCGATTGAACAACGACAGCATCGGTGTTCTCAGTTGCCTCAGATCATAACTAAATGAGTCCACAATCTCAAGCAGGAAGCTGAGAATTTCAATGGTAGCGGAGAGTGGTTGCGATAACCGCCGGTAAGTGGATCAGAGGCAACTGAGCAATAATTAAGTCGAGTAAAGTCAGGATGAACAAATATGGGCCAGAAGACGGACTGTCCCGCGAACACTACAATCATTTACGACGACGCGGCCGAGCCGAGTTCTTCAAGGGCGTACAAGGAGACTTGAAGAAGAAAGGCAGCGTGCTGATTGTAGAGGAAGACCAGAAGCTCCTGAGTTACGAGCAGATTGAAAGTCTTGACGCCAAACGACGTAAGAAGTACTTCAAGAGTCCTGAGCTCTTTATGCACAACCTAGTAAGAATTGGTGGCAGGAAGCGCACGCCTGAGGCAGAACGACTACAGGCTATTCGAGTGGTTGCGCCAGACATTGAGAAAGCACTTGGCAATGCAGGACACTACTCGTCGACTGACGGAAGTCACAATACAATCATCGAATTGCGTAACACTTCACATCCGTCCTCTTCCTCAAACGTTACAGCAATCCAATCCGCACAAGAAGCGACAACATGTCACTACAATGGAAACTATAGTAGAGGCGGAGGAGAAGGAAGAAGAGGAGACGGAGGACGAGCACAGCTCGTCAACAAGTAGTGTAAGATCACTAGGAGAAAGCACTGGAGACGTGTGCCTGTCACGTCTGTCGGAGGAGTCAGGCTCGGAATTAGAAGAAGTTCAACATCCAGTCGATCGTCAAGAGAGTTTAATCCAAGCAAGAAAGGAAGGATGGACGGATCTTGGAGAAGCAGATACTGCCAGTGAACTACAGGAAGAGGGAGAGCAGAAGAGGAAACAGTTCAACAAAGGACTCGCTGCTTTTGAGTTCCCAGAACAAGCACTAGTAGAAAGGAGAATAAAAAGTTGGAAGCAGAGTCTAAAGGGAAAAGAAGACCCACTACTACTTCCTCTGCCCAAGCAGATTATGATCTACGACTATGCAGGAATTGTTGTGGCTCTTGGAAAAGGTGATGAGGTTTTGCCTTGGTCTAGATTCTCGCAGATCTTACAGCAGTACAACGGTGGCGACGGAGTAGGCAGAGCGGTTTTCTCGTTTCCGACGTGGGAATTAAACTGTATTAGAAGTGGGAATGGTCCACCCTCCAAGTTAGAGCGACTAGCTGTACTTAACGCGGATGCTCGACTGGAACGCCTTGTGCAGCTACTCTCTACAACGAAAGGTCACGATCTGTTCTGGGACGGAGGGCGAGTGCTGGTAGAAGCGGTACTAAAGAATCTATCCGACCGGCAAAGGTTCTTGAAGGCTGAAAAGAAGAACAACGAATGGGGTAACAGGAATGGGAGGGTCCATCAACGTAATGCCGTCATCGATCATCTCTTGCTCTATTGAGCTACTCAGGGTTGCATGTACTCAGCCGAATTTTGAATGCCCATGCCTTAGCCCAAACCCAAGAAGTGCTCAGTGTGAAGTAACAATATTTACCAACTGAAAGAGACAAGAAGTCTGAAAGAGACAAGAAGTAACCGTTTCTTGGTCGTACCCAACACCTAGCGTAGGCATTAGTTTAAGAGGCAGGAAACCCCCTCAGGAGAAACCTTTTTCATGTTTTGTAACGTGAACAAACAGACTACCAGACTCCTACAGCTAGAACTGTAGCGCAGAACACGAAGTGGTGGACAGACTAATTTAGTCCACCAGTGCGAACAGAGTCTTCGTCTAGTGTCGTTGCTAAAGTTCGGCACGGTGTTGAAATTCCGAATTTATAAAGCTCTCTTCTTTGTGACGCAATAACACGACCAAAGGTCTCAGCGTCACCATCTAGATGTCCGTGCGACACCATAAGACGAATTTGAAAGAATTAGGAATGAAAACCAGGAGTTGACATCTCATGGTCATCACTGGCACATAGCAAGAGTCTCTATTTGGACTAAAGTAGGAGTACCACTCTGTTCCGTCCAGTCCAAACACAGCTGAAGAATTCCTCTGAGGTGAAGGTTCCTGCTGGACGTTGAGCATTGTTGATTCATCATCAGACATTCCCGCGCCGCGAGAGCGTGGAGACGGTAAAGTAGGACGCGTGCCTGTGCGTCACATCTCTGGAAGACTTGAACGTATAGTAGTCATAAATTAAGATTAAGTGTGAAACTGGCTGAGTAGTGTGATAGTGCTGAGCATTCGACATCAAAGGAAATGGAAGTCTGTCTTGATCAGTTTAGATAACTCACCCCGCTAATAACTGTGTTGTACGACATAACTTTTGACAACGAATAAGTAATACCCCGACACAATATTGACGACTTCTTTGCAGCGATAGTAATACTGCAGCATGTCCGGCTTCAATAATCGTGGCCGGTGGGATCAACCCCGATCCCGCAATCGTGGATGGAGAAACAATAATAGTCGTGGTATGAACAACTCCGGATACTACGCCACTACAACTGCTGGGACGAACAACGGCGGTGAACAGCGACGACAGACTCCAGACCAGGTAGTCGACCAGAGCGAAGGCCATCTTTCAAACCAACATCAAGGTGGAGACAGCACAACAAACATCGACGCTGGACCTGGTAACACTTCGACGTCTGCTCCTAATAACTTCACAGAGCAAGTCAACCGCGCGAAAGGTGCAGTGATTGGCGAGATTAAGCGTGTGGAGGAGAAGGCCAGCGATGCCCTGGAGCGGACTGCGATGACAGCAACGGAACTACGGGAGTTCATCACAAATAACGAAGCAGTTGTTCTTCAGCTACAACACAACCTGGAGGCCCAAACTAGCAAGCTAGAGGTCACTCGCGATGCTGTCGACAACGCTTATCATCGCATAGAGTCTGAGTTACGGAAACAGGGGATTCATGATCAGCAGCTAGAGGGTAAGCTTGATGAGCAGTGGAACAACATGGATTACCTTCGCAACTCGATGGCTGGACTGCAAGAAATGCTTCAACAATTTGCAAATGAGCTACTACAGATGAAGAACGACAGGGAACCCGTGATGAATCAGGCCGAACAATTTGAGCTGGAAAGGAGAGTGGCTGCAGAAGTGTCTCACTCAAAAGGCTTGATGGAGGACTTCGCCGCTCGATTTGCGTTCTTGGAGAAAGAAGTGACAAGACTACAGGACAGGATTACGGCACGGAGTCAAAATGCGTCAGCCAGTCTCCATACCCCTCTTGATACTCATGACGTAGATGAACTTGAAAGGCAATGGGACGAGTCAACTCGAGGAGACAAGCCGATTACTGGACGTGGTGCAGGTCTTACCAGTCCGAAGCTGCGTGAATGGCAGACTAATGCTAATGCCTTCAGGGCAGAGCAACGGCAGAGACAAATGAGATTTCATCATCACTTCCGAGCACCAACTCGCTTTGGGCGTCTTCATGGCAACAACATTCCTCGCAGTCGATGTAATTCTGACGGTGCATGGGAGTGGTCTAATATAGCCAAAGGAGAATACTACAATAGTGAGGGTTGGTCAGACTCCAATGCACCGGGAGCGGGTGCCAGCGAGTATGGTTACCGAAGCAGGGAATACCAGCCAAGATCGGCAATTCCTCCGAGGCGCGGAAGAAGTGCGCAGTACTACGTGTTGACTGGCGATGAGGAGCCCCCACGTAGTGCAACTGGTACCACAACTACATACCAAGCTGATACTGGGAACACTACTGGCACTGATCACTCCGTTCCGCATCCGGAAAGGTTAGTCAATAACCCATCTGCAGTTCCTGTTGCCCAACCACGTGGCACAAGGGGTAATCAGAGGCGCCGGAAAATTAGTAGATCACCAACGAAGCATGTCACTGCTGCCACAAATAACCGCACTGGACAAGCGGAGGGTGATCGATCCGGGGATGGTCGTGGTGCAACTGGTGAGAATAGACAAACAGAAGGTCATGGAACTCGGCCAGAAGGTCAAGGGGGTGGTGGCGCCGGCCGTGATGGGCATCGTCTTCGGACGGATGGTCGAGGCGCGGACGATAACGACGATGACGACGATGACGATCGGAAAAAGAAGAAGAAAGATAATGGTGAACACAGTGGTGGAAACGCCGCTGATGGACGGAAGAAGCGTAAGAAGAAGAAGAATAAGAAGAGTAAGAAGGCTAAGAAGCATCTTCGTAGGAAGTCGAGAGCTCGTGGATTTGGTGGTGAGGGTCCTTCGTCCTCCAACTCATCTTCTTCATCATCTTCGAGTGACCAATCTAGTTCGGACAGTATCGAAGGTAACCGAGGGAGTCACCGTGCCAGTCGGAGCAACAAACCGGATCAACCATCGTCATCACCATCTTCCTCATCAACATCCTCAAGCTCCAACTCGAGCTCATCTTCCCCATCTCTTTCGAGCGACAAGTCATCTTCGGACAGCCAAGAACGGCGTGGGAGGTCGAAGAAGAAGACGAAGAAGGGAGGAAGAGGAAAGTCGATCAAAAAGGAGACGAAGCGGCGTTATTTCGAGATGGAGGAAATGTCTATTGGCTGGGAGACTGACATGCGCCAGGGAGGAATGCGCGCAAACCACAGCGAGGGACAGCTACCCTATGCTGTAGTTGATTCTGATGAAGAGTATCAGCCAGATCTCTACTCCAACAAGAGGAACATTGGGGGTGGTGCATACAAGTCCAGCAAGAAGCAGAAGAAGAACATGAGCGGGATTATAAAAATAGGCAAGCATGGTGGGACCATCACCCAACTTGAGCCTTTCCGAATTCCTCTTCAGTCTGAAATCGAGAGACAGGGATATCGCGTGCGCGGTAACCATTTCGGTCGTCTTGATCCAAAGAATCTAGTAGGCTTGAGGAAGTACAACGAGGAGCGGTCCCTGTTCACGTGGAAGGCACACCTCGAGTCCAAAACGATGATGGCAATGTCCAAGCCAGGTGTACTATCAAGGGAGCATGAGCACACTTTGGCGAAAGACTACTGGATGGAACAATGTCACAACGCAGAGGAGCGCCTAACAATCTACGCTCTGAACCACATCGATGATTCAGACCCATCTACGTGGCTTATCGAGAACTACCTTCAATCACTACTTGAGCTTGAGCCAGAGAAGGCAAACCGAACCGCCGAATATATTAAGGAGTGGTCGGTCTCTGGCGGCGGGTGGAAGAAACCAGGCGCTAACCTCTACAGGGAAGTAGTGAAGTTCGCCAACGCAGCAAAGAGCGTCGGTTTTAGTACTGAAACGAAGTACATGTACAAGCGCGTGAAGAAGTTGGATAAGGATGGCAAGACGTACGTCAAGAAAAAGGAAGCCCAGCCAAACTATCCTCTTCTTGTCTTACATGAACTCTTCGAACGTGTCAATGTGTCCGAGGCCATGAAGGAGGACGTTTTGAAGTCGTCTGGAAAGCCGTTTATCACCTTCAAAGACGTTAGAGCTTATGCTGTTCGTCGCCAGAACATCAAGACGGCGAATGCACTGCTAGACATTCGTGATAAGCGCTTGCTTCGAATTCACCAATCGGAACTAGGACCGAACTCAGGGGTGTGTAGTGGTGCCGATGGGGATACGGAACTGGACATCAACTCTGCAGCGTTCGACAAGTTCAAGGACAGACTGAAGCCCGCTCGCGGCAAAGAGGTCTGCTTCCACTGCGCCGAAGTCGGTCATCTGGCCAAGGACTGCCCGGAGCGCAAGGCAGGCAAACCAGCTCGGTGCTGGGTCTGCAAGGAGGCTGGGCACATCAAGAAGAACTGTCCTCTGCGACCTTCTGTGAACGTGCTGGCAGTGGCAATCAGAAAACTGCGTCAAGCGCAAGGTCGTGTGCGTGGGAAATTCGCTGGCGGGGGAGCTAGGCGTCCACGATTCTACGGATCAAACGTGAAGGCAATGCTGACGATATACGACGCCGGTGGCTACGAAGTGCAGCAGCTCGGAGTAGATGTTGACGACTTTGAGCCAGCAAACGTCTTCACTGGTGGCATCTCCGAAAAGGAAACTCTACATCTTATTCCCGAAGAGATGAATGAGGACGATGATGAAGATGACACCAATGAGAATCTTCACTGCTCGGAGGTCGGTCTAAACGGGACTCCCACCAATCAGCCAGAAGCACAATCTCTGTACGCGGGCGCGATGCCATTTACGCCGTCATACGTAAATGCCCCCACCAACAACAACGGTGCGTCTTCGTCGTCTTCTGCTGCAGGAGGTAGCAACAACAACAAGAACAAGAACCCTTTTTAGAGGCCCTTACTGGGTCCGCGAGTAAGGGCCCGGCGTTGAAGCGGACAACCGCCATGCAAGTTTTCCGCATGGAGGTGAGGAAGGGAGTGCAGAAGATAGTAGCTCTAGCAGCACAGCATGATGCACTTGTGGTGAAGAAGTGGCTGGTGGATACAGGTTTCAACGCGTACACGTTTCTTGGTGCGCTTGAGATGAGAAGATACCAGCAACGTTGCAGCATATTTGGTATTAGTTTGAATTTGAAGACCGTGACCTTCTCCGCGAAGACAGCAGGAGGGACAGCAAAAATCTTGGGAATCATCCCCATCATCTTCTTTGTTCCGATCGGATGTCCTGTGATCGCAGGCGCGGTAGAAGGCGTAGTGATTGATGACAGTACATGGGAAAAGGAGGCCAGCAAGCTAATCGGACTGGCTCTCCAAATCGATCTCAAGATTGACATCGTGAACTCACAAGGGAAGTTGAGATGTGGAACGCACGTTGCGAATCAAGTCAAGAATCAGTACTACTTCGACCTATGGGATCGTCTGAACGAAAAATTTCTGTCTGGGGTTGGTCGAATGATGAAGGAGGGAAGATCGTTAACCGCGGCTGTTCGCGAGGTAGCTCTTGTTCTAGACCGTCAGCAGCGTGGGATAAGCAGGGAATTAACCCCGGAATCACCTAGTCGGACAGCGCGACCAGGTGATAACATTTTTCAAGTCACCACTTCCTCGAGTACGATAGGCAGCATTTTAGAGGAAGACATCGGTGCCGACTGGAAGGAACGAAATTGGCACGCTTACATCAAGTTGTACATCGGAGCTAAGGAGATCTCAGTGTCGTCAAGAGAAGACGACAAAGCCAAAGCACGAGTAGTTCGGGATCTGGACAATATTTACCTGCGATACAACATTAACAACGAGTTTAGCAATTTTATGAAGCGCAAACGGCTTCCCGAGCTTCTGCCTCTAGATGGCGAAGACCATATCAACATCATCGAGATTTACTATTTTGAAGAAGAAGCACCACAAGCAATGCCCATCGCGAATTCTGACCTTATCGGAATACCGATCATCGTACACAAGAAGGAGGGCGAAGTGGTACGAAAATTTCTCCGAGCAACAGAGACCCCAACGAGTCTCCAGACTAGGAGGCTTGTCTCTGCCGATACGGGGCGGCAGGTGCCACTGATCATGCGTGGAAGAGCAGTGAGATTTACGGTTCCTCAGATTCTAGAGGACGCGGCGACCACGGGCCTTACCGGCTTGAGCAAGAAAGTGCAAATTAGTATCGCTGGGAATCCAGAGTTTGCACACTTTTCGAAAAAGATTGTTGACTATCTTGCCGCCAACAAGACCGTAGTGGCGGTGATAAGTGGAGTTGGACATGGCGCTGCGGTCGCGTGTGCTGAGCTCATCGGAGACGAGATGAAGCTGAGAGAACACCGCTTGCCGGTGCACTTCTCACTGACCTCGAGTCTAGCCGCCAATGGTGAACGAGTAACCTCGAGCGGCCGTATCAGCAAAACAGGAGCTGGGCTAGTTTCGGAAGCACAAGATTACTTCGACGGCAAGAGCTGGAGTATTCCATCCGATCCGAGAAGGAGTATGTCAGCCAGACAGCGGGAGCTGTTCAATCAGCTCGCGGCTTTTTCGAAAAGACAGTACGGAAGAACTCCGAGGAAACTTCTCTCCGATTATGTTCGTAAACATTTCAAGGGAGTTGATCCTGCAGACACGAAAAAGGCAATTGACGGCGTTGTAAGGCGATCCCTGACGGCGTATCGCTACACGGCGTGGCCCATCCACAAGTCCATTGGGTGCTGGAATGCCGTCGACGTCGCCGCTGTATCCATGTTGGACACGACCTTCGCCAGTGCGAACCTGATGATCTCTCCCGGAGCGATTGTGCAGATTGTCAGGAAGGTATCAAACGATGCCTGGGGTGCGTACGTCGGTGACAAGATGGCGAAGCTGAAGTACGACGGCAAGATTGGCGATGCCGATGCAGTTGACGATGACGAATACACCAAGGATCGAGAATCCGGAGAGATTCAAAAGCGCCTGGAGAAGATGGAAAAGGAGCGCGCTGAAGCAGAGGAGAATAGTAGTGGTAGCGGCACAGCACTCCAAGGACAACCAACAAAGAAGTCAGTACTCATCTTTGTGGCAAATCACCTCGACGTAATCGGGAGAATCCTAGTTATGGATCCGGGTCGCGAGAATGTTTCTATGGACTTGGTGCTCCTATTACTCGGCGCAGGACTGCGTGTGATGATAGTGTCGGTGAACTCCGCCAGAGCTCTCTCCGAGTGCGAAGTTGCAAACCTACATCTAAAGACGGAGCTGACTGTAATGCAGAGGCATCCACTGCTACGCCATCTGCCACTATCTGTCTTGGTGCCTTTGGCTTGTTGGGGAAGAAGGGAGAGGAACCAGTGGCGTTCCTTCCTCGAGAACGGAGAACAGTGGAGAGTGCAACCGAAGTACAGCAACCCAACAACTGATGCTCTCCAGTGGTGGGACATAGAAGCTGCGAAGAACAGTTTAAATCTTCGTGCGGAGCATCGCGAGGCCATGCAGATGTGCCGAAGTGCTGCGATGCTTGAGCCGGATCGTCATGCAGGTCTCAAGGACATTCGGCAGAGAGCAACAGCGGAGACCAGAGGCTTACAGCCAGGATACGGCGATCTTGTTGAATGGAAGGACAAGGATGGACGTCTACGAGCTGCTACGTTCCAGGGATACACGGAGAACGGACAGAAGGCCATCCTTAAGCCGACTGGCGGTACTACCAATCGACAACTCGTTCGACGAGCTCTTGTTTTTCCTGTTGTTGACTCCGAAAGGCTTGTGTGTATGCCGCTGACCACGGAGATAACAACTGCTGACCTACCTCACTTAGATCAGCTCTGTGCGGATGCAAGAGAAGGGCGTTTGGTGCAACGAGTGCACGGAAAGAAAAGTAGTGCGAGCAGCAAACTGGCCACATGCATCGACTGTCAAGAAACGAGATACGTTTGTCCCGAGTTTCCCGGAAGGAACACAAGATGTGTGCATCTTAAGCCAAGTGTCATTTGTGGCGACTACTCCGACGATGCTCTATCACTCGGGGGCACGTGGATTAGTGAAAAGAGGCTCGGGAACGAGTTCGCCGAGCTGCCGATGTACAAGAACGTCGATCCAAATGATGGCGAGGTAGTTGGTGATGAGAACTTAGCTGGCGGTGATGGAGATGAAGAGGAGATGATCGAAGAAGATCCCACAGAGGACGACTCGCCACTTGGAGTTACGTTCGGTGGAGAGGAGGTCACTGAGTTCCCAACTGATTTCGCTGACGAAAGTGAAGGCAGCGAGGAAGGAGCAGCAGTCGACGAGGAGGACGAAATCGAGAACGAAGAACTGCAGGTAGGGACCAATCGTGACAGCATATCAGCGAACAGTGTCGAGAGCTCGAGACCATCCATTCTGAAGAGAAATGGAGTCACCGGTAGCAAGGAAGAAGAACTAAGTGGACAAGGAAATGATAGTGGGACGAAAGAAGAGGCTGATCAAGGTTCGAAGCCATCCTTCTCCAGCTCGTCTGGTGCCTCTGTTGGTCGTCGGAGACGAAAAGTCCATTTCCGATTGCCTGCTACTGTGCCTGCAGCTCGCAGTAAGAAGAAAGGAAAGGCGGATAAGAGGAGAGGCATGATTAAGCTGGACGGCAAGTGGTACAAGATGAACTCTCTCGAGAAACACTGGAAACAGCTTGGAATCAACATCGTTGACATCACGGAGAAGCAGCTGAGTACCATGTGCGATCATGTTGAACACGAGGTCATGAACATGCAGATAAATGAGGCGCGTGCCTCTGTCCGCAAGACCGGGTCATGGAAGGCGACGCAGGACAACGTGCTGGGGATCGAGCTAGAGCACGATAGCAGGTCCCTAGGAAGCATCATGAGAAGATTGCAGGACATCAAGGCGAAGGGCGCGCACGTCGAAACAGCAGAGTTTCATACACTCGTAAATTATCTGCGCGATGAACCCATCGAGGGTCACTGGGTGAAGCCACGCTGGCTCTGTGACGAGATCTCCATTGTCTGGGGATGTGCTGCTAGTAAGCGCTACGACATCGAGAATTCGTTACATGAAGACCGTACTTGCGCCGGCTTCTACATGGAGGATGGCGCGCGGACGGGGTCGGTACGATTCTGCAAGCAATGGTCACCGAAGACGATCGGGGCCGTGAGGTTCGAGTTCGCCAAGACATTTGCGTCTGAGCCGGGAAGTCCGGAGAGCCGCGCGCTTTCTGTGCACAGCGATGGCTTTACAGCAGCAATGAGGAAACGCATCAGGGCAGCGCGCAAACTACCGGATATGACCCCGGGATCAGCCATTTCTCAACTACGTGCGAAGCATCACATCGCGTACGCGATTGCGAAAGAGTTGAAGGGAACGCTGACGCCTCAGAATGGGGAGCTTCTGCCGAACGTTGTGATGGAAAAGAGCAAAGACTGGCAGCGCGGTGGTCGTCTCGAGGAGGATCTACTGTCGAGTAGGTTCATCATAGACGTCAAATACGAGGATGACTATAATGTGATCATCAAGTGCAGATGGGCGCCTGGAGGGCATCTGCAGGAGAAGCCTGTCGAGCGCGCGGAGAATGCGTCGCCGACTTTAGCCCCGCTCGAGCTTCGTATCATGAGCTTGCTATCTGGAGCTTTCTCCCGTTGCTTCGTGGATTTCTTCGACGTGCCTAGAGCTTTCAATATAAGCGAACCGTACAAGGAGGAGGAGATGCCTAGAATGAAGTTCCCGAACTGTGGAGAAGGCGAATTTGGGGAGAGCTTCAGTTTGGCACTTGAGATTCTCAACGGCGTAGAGAAGACGAACTTCTCGAAGGATGACAGGCTCGGGATTCGCGTGCCGCAGTACGGACTTTTGGACGCATCCTACGCATTCTACGCCAAGAGCAGGGGTGAGCTAACAAAGGACAACTGCCCTCCCTGCTCTCTTTCTCCGACTGTCTACAGAGTTCTCGATCAGCAAGGCGCGGCTATCGCCTATCTCGGGTCACACGTGGATGACTTCATCGTAATCGGGGACGCATCTAAGAGCGGCATCCGGGAGAGTATCCGTGCGCGCATGTGTCGTGCCTTTCGTTCGCTCAAGCAGGACAACTTTGTTGCGGTTGGCGAAGATTGGCAAGCCTTCACCGGAAAGATGGTGAGACTGACTACGGATGAAGATGGCCGGCAGGCACTAGACATCAGCTTGCATGAGAAGATACGAGAGGTGAACGAATGGAAGACAGATGAAGAAACGGCTGGAGGCACGACATCCGATGACAAGCGACTGCTGACGAAAACCGAAGTCACCAGGTTGAAAGGCACACGCGGCTCCACAGGGTGGATAGCAGAGTGGGCGTGCGACTTCTTGTATGAGCAGCGCACCCTGAGCAGCGGCAACGACGAAGACCGGAATGTCGAGAACGCCAGGAGGATCAATCATCTAGTACAAGAAATGAAGAAGTTTCAAGATCAAGTCTACATTCGCCTGTGGCTGGGTATTCGGGACCCAATCATCCTACAATTCTCCGACGGCAGCTTCCAGAGCCGACCAATCAAGATAGAGAAGGAGGATGGTACGAGGATCAACAAAGGAATGGCAGAATTCCTCGCAGCCGACAGCGCCGAACTGGCACAAGCAAGGGAAGATGGCATGAGACCCATGGTGTCATGTGTCGTGCTTGTCTGCGATCGAACAGATTTGCGACGCGCAATAGATCGACAAGAATCTCTTCGCACGAGTATGCTCGACTGGTTCGTGGAAGTTGTGAACAGTGCAGCTACTGGATCGTATGGCGCCGAAGCTCTGGGCTATGACAAGGCCGGGCAAAGGACCGAACGAGTGAAGCTGAAAATAGCAGACATGGGAATAGTGGTCTCCGGAGGACTGATAACAGAAGAGATAACCAGGAAAGCAGATGCTATGCCGCAGCGTGACTCTGTGGATAACTCTGGATTGATCGCGCGCCTCCTCACACGATCAGCGAGTCTTGAAACTGACTCGGCGGCATTTAAGGCTGTCGTGCGCAGCCGACAACTACTACAACGCACTGGCAAGAGTCTCATCCACACATCGGACCCATCCAACATGGCGGACACTCTCACAAAGTACTTTGCAGGATGCAACCAAAAGCGAGCGAAGTTTCGCCGACTGATGGGTGGCTACTTTGACTGGGTTACGGGACCAGGGGATAAGAGGGGAGAAGGCATCGGAGTCCTGCGCGAGTTGAAGAAGCGAGATGTAATCTGGGTCGGACAGGGAAGTGAAGGACGAGTAGTTGAGACGCAGCTGCTAGAAGTATTTTTGTCGCTTTATATATAAACGGGTGCTATTTGTTGCGATCTAGAGTTAATTAACTTTTCCTACCCACAACTAGAGCACCAAACTTTTTTTTGTTTCCTATCCACTTCGAGTAGATAGAGAGGGACCTGATGGCAACTACCCTTTTATTTGTTTAGATACTAACGGATGTTTTGACAGCAATGATAGACTAATCGTGTGTTATTTGTAGTATTTACTATGAGACAACATCTAATTATTGCTCATCTCTCGTCGTCTTAAGACCGGGGGATTGTAAATTTCTCTTCTTCGGTTCAAGCGTAATTTAGGTAAATAGAATGTTGGCGACGAGAGATGTGTTCCACCAATTCGTTGCGACGGGTTTACCTTTCGTTCAAGTAAACAGGGAACGACTCACTGGGTCACACGAGTGACGAGATGAATGCGAATGCAAATCGACTCGTTGATGTTCTCCCATCGCCTCGTCGATGGTTTTCTAACAGCTACAACTCAATCTTGACAAATCCTCACGTGCAAGACTTTCTTCTCAGTTCGCGGTAGCTGGAGCTCCGCAAGACAAGTTTCTGTGTAATAAAGTTCGTATGCAGCTGAGACCTCACTCAGCTGATAACTCGATTGAACAACGACAACATCGGTGTTCTCAGTTGCCTCAGATCATAACTAAATGAGTCCACAATCTCAAGCAGGAAGCTGAGAATTTCGCTATGAATATGAATCAACGCACAGTCCGTTCGAAGCGGAGGTAGCCCACGCGTAGACCTGCTAACAGCGAAGCCCGAAGCGATAAGAGATGAGCACCCGGCAGTTCTTCGAGCAGCACAAAGTTATCAGAAAATGGGCGGAAAGTGTTATAAACCGACGAAGGCATTCCTCCCAATGGCAGCGCAGAGGTATCTACCTTCTAATGTATGAGGAGGTCGTGTAAAAAATAAAAAGCAACATTTCCTATCAATCATCACAATGCCCATCAGCAACATTGGATGAATCGACTACACCTAATACTCAAGTGAAACAATAGTAGCACAACCACAATCATAACGCTAACATCAACAGGCCTGTCGCGTTGGATGCGTCGGACGATAGTAATGTATGCTTGAGCTTCGATGTCGGACGAAAGGAGTACATTGGTGTCGCGGATGCTCTAGCAGGGGCAACAGAGGACTTGATCCAGCATATGAAGAATGATCTCACACTAGACGAGCTACTTCATGTGTCTGAAAACGCTTTGCGCAGTAAAGCCAGGAGGAAGATGACCATCGACGGCATCAGGCCGACGGTATTTTTTTTGACTGAACGAAAAATATAAGCTCATCTCGCATGATAATGATTTTTTCGAATCTGGTGGAGTTCCACTAAGTACTTGGTTCTGAACTTTTTTTTTAAGCAGCGGGAACAAGAAGATGAAGACGACGCAACTTTGAGGCTCGTCTGCAAGACTCATCATCATAATGGACGAATCAATCTTCATATACATCACCAGGTGACGAACCGAATCTTATCCGAAATGCCACGTCTTTTCGAAAAACCGAGTGACGCGAAAACGCGCAAGCTTTTCGAGCTGGAAGACCAGATTCGCGCAGCGGCAGAGGCGGAACAGCGCGAAATAACCCGAAGATTGTAAGATGTCGATTCCATGCTTGATCATAACAACCTCATCAAGCCTCTCAGACTGTACTAGATTGTCCTCTTCTTCAACTTCACGCTCTTAGTTCATAATTGTTTTTCTCTTCTTGGTCTTCTTTTTCATGAATATCATCTACTTCAGAATTTCTTTTATCGTACAACATCAGGCAACCTGTGGAGGAAGAGCCCGCGCGGCCGCCAAGCCAGGGGTCAAGCCGAGGTAGTCGTAGCGGAACAAGTAGAGGCGAGAAGCGACCAAAGAGTAGCGAAAAAAAGGAGAAGGCGGCAGAGCCTGAAGTGGCCATTGTTGAGGGCGCACATGAAGACCCGGCAATGACGCAGGAGACGCTGCCGCAGGTGCAAACTGACGCTGCAGAAGATGAGGCACCAGCTGCGAATGAGGACCAGGGGTCAGGTACGCAGGGACCGCTAGAAAACGTCGACATCGTTCCCGAAGATGGCGCTTCTCCTGCCGGTGTAGATGATGATGGAGACGAGGCTGGGGCAGAAACAGAACAAAAGGTGGCATCCGCTAGTGGAATTGCCGACCCGAGAGACTCACCCGCCCTTGAGGCAGACGCTGGTGATACGGAACATGCTAAACCTGAAGGTGAAGGGACTGGAGAGGGCGGCGAGGCAGCAGAGGATAAGACTGACGCCCCTGATCCTAGGTTGAGCGAAGCACCAGGCGCTGACGATGGCCCTCCACCAGGAAAGGATACTGGTGAAGTGCCTGCTGAGCCGCAACAGACGGGTGACGTGGAGGAACCAGAAGAAGCAGTTGCGCCAACAGTAGAACCGCAGCACGAGGTGATGCCGCCTGGTGCGGACGAAGTGGCGACAGCAGTACTAACCGAGGTACCCACTGCGCCAGCAAGTCGGGGCACAGACGCAGTAGTACAGAGTCGTGGAACCGACGGAGGCATTCCTCCTAGTACAACTGATGCCGCGGCAAGTCCACGAGAGGAAGAGAATGCAGCCTCTGAAGTAGCACCTGCACCTGCTCCTGTGGAAGAACAAGAGCAGGGCGCAGCTGGCCCAGGTACAACAGGCGCAGAAACTGTTGCCCCACTATCAGGAGACGCCGCGGATGCAGATGCGGTGAAGGCAAAACCACTGGACAACGCAGCAGGTGTGGAGGGTGCTGCACCTGCCGAGGATAAAACAGGAGAAGACACATCCGCAAGTCATGGAGTCGAACCAATAGACGCTGCAGCAGTTACAAATGACGCAGAGCCAGAATCAGCACCTGCGGGAGATGCGCCCGCGCCAGTGGATCCTGGGACGACCGAGCTTGGCGACACGGAAATGGATGCAGACTAGAAAAATGAAATCCACATCGTTGTCAAGAAATGCACTCGCTGTAGATCTAGATCCATCACTAGGACTTGAGCTAGAAAAAGATGATGATGATGTGATGAGTGTCACTTCTATAACAGAGTAGTTTATAGCACGCATGGTGCATGGAGTAGCATGGAGTGCATGGAGCGCAGAGCTTTAAGGGGCGCAAGAAGCTCCCCCTTTAGCTCCATGCTACTCCATGTGATCCATGCACTCCATGCCATGCGAGCTGTGAAACCTTATAAATTGCTCTGCTATAATTCGCAAATGAAAGAGGGAGGACGAAAGGGCAAGGGGAAGAATTTCCATGCCGGTGGCCGCGAGGACACGGTGACCTCAACATGATATTAAAGCAGAGTTCTCCTTCTCCACCTACAACTAGTACAATTACCCGTCTAAAAATATTATGTTGAACTCTTCTAAACCATCTATAACCTAGTAACTAAATGAACTGTTGAATCATGCATCCAGGGAGATATTGTTATATCAAGAGGTCTGCCCCCCCCGCCCAACGACATGAAGGAACGTTGAAGTAGATGCTGCATAGTCAACTTGTACATATTGACGGATCGCTGTATAGTACATTCTTTTGATGAAATATCAGAAATTAAAAGATTTTTTTCTTCGTGAGGGTGAGGGGGCAGCCAAGTCAAAATCAGTTGAAAGTGAGCATAAAACGTACAAAACTATTCATTGTCCTCGAAATTTTCGTTACTAGCAAATGAGACAAAATATAATAGTAGATTGATATTGTCCTGTTGATGTTTAGCTTGTTACAATTCTGCACTAGCTCCTGCGGGGAGGCGGCCGCTTAATTGCTTGGGGGTCGAGCAATAAAGGATGGAGATCTCAATTCGTTAATCTCCGTCTCAAGGAACAAAGCGGAACCAGGTGCCCACACTTCGTGTAACATACTATTTGATTGATATTCTCGGTGGAGTCCGTGTTAGTGATAGAGGAGCAGACACTCACAAGAATTCCAAAAAATGAACCAACCATTCTGAAATTGTTGCGCAGTCGTCTAAGCATCTTAGAATGTCCGTTCCACTCGTACAAAGATGACTTTTTTGTCGCCGTCTTAGTTTATTTTTACCATTATGTTACTACTTACATCAACGACTATGTTTCGATTGTTTTTGAATAAAGCGGAGCGAAGTTGCCAATGACACAAGTACCAGCAATTCATTCATCACAAATTCCTGTTGTATTCTTTCCGCAACCACCCACAGGATTGTATTGGAGGCATCACGGATTGATCCATGTCCATCGAGGGAAAGAAGTGTTCCGCTTCGCGACCACCACAGTCATAATATGACCTCTAGTCTATTTCTTCCTCCTGCTCATTTCTGATTTTTCTCGCGGTAGACGATCTTCCTCTTCACGTTGTGGATCTCCATGAATGTGGTGCATGATCAAGACGGCGGATGCGTTTCTCTTGAAAAATTTAGTGTGTTAAGTTTGGCATGTTACTGCTCTAGAAATTTATGAGGAGTTATAATGGCTCGGTTTACAACATCCGTTTTGGCACTATTTTTTATCCTTTTTTCAAACGTTTGCTCATTCTGGCCACCCCTTCTTTACTGCTTTGCATTCTAGAAATCACCTCTATTCCTCGGTGGACCGCGAAGTGTGACGTTTTCCTTACCCGTTGCACCTAGGATTCCACCACATCCATCGTCTTTACGTTCGCTGGCTCGAAGGCAGCGGGAGAATAGTCTTCCCTCGCTCCCCGCCCTTGCGCGTTATCGGGCGACTGTGGAGGATCATACCAATGACAACTCGGCGGTCGTGTGCAGAGATGTCAATCAAAGCAGCTTTAGCTATGCAAGAGCGGCGACAACAAGAACTCCGGACAGTCTCGTACAACACCGTCCACCAATAAGTGGCGCTCAAACTAGTAGGATTCACAGGGACATTCATCATGTACAACAAAGCAGTCTGCTCAGTCCACCACAGCAGTTTAATACTGGTGGAGCGTTGGCCTCAGCACGCTCTGCTTGTTGTGAAGACACGGCAATTCGAAGTTTCTCGTGCTGCTCGTGTATTCACCAGCCTGATGAACAGCATGAAAGTAGTACGTCCCTTTTACTCGCATCTTCACGGAGAAATACGCCAAGCAGGTTAAGGCAAAGCACGGCAATTCCACGCGAAAGTACAAGCTGCATATCTTCAACAAGTCAGCAGATGACATCACGTCCACCTCCTGGTGTAATTGTAACTGCACCTCCTACTTCTACCCATGAAACGCCACCGTCGAACGATATCGAACTTGTCGTTCGAAAAATGTCAGGCAATTTTGTGATGCGCCGGCGCTTTGTTCCACAGACTCCGCTGTCCTTTTTAAAGATAGCAGTGTTACACGCTTTGCAACAAGAAAATGAGTCACTTTCAAGCGCCGACGTAAAAATTACTCTGGTCGTTTCGCACGAGGACGATGTACAGATGAACAACGAAAGCACAGATGTGCAGGAGCCTGAGCCGCGTCATGGAGTGTTCTACACGTCACAAACTAAAGCTGCTTGTAAATTACCTGCACGACCACGACAGACCTTCGGCATACTGTTTTCGTCATCGTCTTCGTCCGGCGATTTTCATTTTGCTTGCAAAAGCAGATCTTCAAGTAGATGCGACGAGTTTTCATTTGGCGAACTCTACAAGCCAGAAGTCGTAGATCAAGCAAAAACTCCAATTTAAAATTTTGGCGGACGACCTAGCGGCAGCGCTATCTTTTGCATCTTCCATTGAACATGGTGGACGAGCCGACTGCTCTCATAGGGATGAAATCGTGGATACACATGCTCCGCCAAATAGAAATAATCATAAGCGAACCTTGGAACATCAACAAAAGATATTAAACCCAAAAGAGAGGCAGAGGCTAGTGTGCACTGTCATATTGCAGAGTGCTTACGCCGAGCAGCAGGAGTCCTTCTGTTCCTCGGTGGCACCTTCAGAGATTTTTCAACCAGAATAATAATCACATTCCTATTACTGAAAAGCGTTCCAATGAATAGCGTTCGAACTACCACTACCTTCTTCATATTGTTCTTATCTATGATCCAGGGCTTGGGGCTGCCGGTACCTCCCGTAGCGTGGGGGGGGTACCGGCAGCCCCGGACCCCTTTGGGAGGCGTCTGCCGGGGGTGGAAGGCCTCAAAAGCGGGCCAAGTGGGCGCCTTCGCTCCCTTCCAGGTGCTTGGCTCTCCCTAGAGGCCTCCAACGTAAGGAGGTGGCAGGCCTCTGAAGGCTGCAAAAGCCGAGGGGCTGGACCCCCTGAGCCGTGCAGCTTGTTCCCTCCGGGCCCTTGGTCATTGGCTTGCTTGCTCTTGCGACCGTGGCCGCCCTCGGCGGCCTTTTACCCCGGAGACCTCCCGCCTGCGAGGGTCAGCAAAGGGCAGGAGGTCCCGGAGGAACCGGCTGAGAGGCCCAAGGGGAGACCCGCGCCAAGTTTGGACGCCTTCCCCCACTAGATTCCGCGCCGAAATGCGCGCGGAAAAGCGCGCGCGCGCGCCACCACAGACCAGACCACAGGGGGGGGCACCGTCCAACCCTAAATCATATATGATCCAGGGCGCAGGGGCAGGGCGAGGACGGCGCCCCCCCCTAGCGCAGGGGGGGGCACCGGTAGCCCCAGACACTTTCGGGAGCCGTCTGCCGGGGTGGAAGGCCTCAAAAGGGGCCCGAGGAGCCTTCTCCGCTCCCTTCCAGCTGCCTGGCGGTACCCTACAGATCTCCGAGGAAGGTAGGCTTCAAAAGGGGCCCAAGGGGCCGCCTCCGCTCCCTTCCAGCTGCCTGCCAGTGCCCTACATGCGCCGGATGTGGAAGGCCTCTGAATGCGCCAAAAGGCGGGGGGCTGGACCCCCTGAGCCGTGCGGCCTGTACCCTTCGGCATCGGCTTGCTTGCTCTTGAAACCATGCCCGCCTTCGGCGGCCTTTTATCCCGAAGGCCTCCAGCCTGCGATTGTCAGCAGAGGCCAGGAGGTCCCTGAGCAGGAACATGCAGAGAGGCGCGAGGGGACGCCCGCGCCCAATTTTGACGCCTTCCACCACTAGAATCCGCGAAAATCAGCGCGGAAAAGAGCGCGCGAGCGGCGCCACAGACTCACCACAGGGGGGGGGCACCGTGCAGCCCTAAAACATGCCATCGATGTCTTTCCTGTTATCTCATATAGTGTTGGTCATGGTCTGAATCCTGGAAATGTCACAAAGATCCACCAAGATCCAAAGGATAAAGACCAACGAAATGACCAAGATCGCCAGGCGAACAAGGTACCCACCGGCACCACTTTCAACGCGCTGGCCTTAGTTGGCGCGGGTGTCGGCGGTTTCTCCCTTCTCTCTCTCGTTTGTTGTTTCAAGTCTCTCAAAACAGTCAAGGACAAAGCACCACCGGAAAGATCTCAAGGAAACTCACAGACCTAAACGCATATGGTTCCGAAATCAATGATCAACAAAGCAAACAAAGTGCCCGCAACGTATTCAGATAGCAGAAATAATGGGGGTAGCGTTCGTAGCTGTAGCCAGGTCCGTATCGTCTTGTCAGTTCTGACCAGTTCAAAGTGCATAAAGAACCGTCGCAGGGTATTCTTGTGCTAGGTCTCGTCTGCTGTGATCTGGTGCGTGTCTGTCTATCTAAGGCCAGTAAAATCCAGACGAGTACCGGCGTAGGATGATCATGCAAAGGTGATGACGGTAAGCAGAAGACTCCCATACGAAGCACATGAAACTTCCCCCGTCGTGACATCCCAATGCAACCCCAACGAATATCCACAGGGATCAAACCAGCCAGAGAGCATTAGCCTCAGGCTGTGCGTTCAATTTGCATCAGGCTCAGCGTTTCTCACCGAGAAACTGCGCGTGACTTGCCAGTCTGTGTTCTTGTGGTCCAACATAAATAGCAATCAAGCTAAAAGCACCCCATGTAGTAGCATTTCGTTCGGTTGGGTAAAGCCAAATCAATGGTGATTTTTCAGAAGTAGAGGAGTGATCTCCCACAACAAGTTGTCTTTTGTTGAAGTGACTTTCTGCCTCTCAGAAACACAAACCATCACAATGATGCTTTCCTTAGCTCTTCCTTCTTGTGTTCATTTAGCCGTTTTTATCCGTGGTCAAGAGCTGAAGCTGTACTTCTACTTCTAGAGATCACCACAATGAAGAATACTTTCGGTTTCAAGCTAGAGTGTGTGTGTGATTAATGTTTCTGGTATTGAGCTTCTCATTATGATTTGAAGAGGTCTGATGCAAGCAGGACGAGAGAGAGAGGAAGAGAAAAGCGATTTATCTGTATCTCTCAGCCTCTGGCAATGACGAGTAAAAATATTGGTCTATCATCAAAACGAGCACAGAGACAGTTGAGCGACATCCTGTCGCCGCACCACTAGAATCTGTCGCCGCGTGTCGAAGTAGCATTTTGAGTGTAGCGGTCTTTATGTATCATGAAACTCGGCTGTAGTGGTTGAGTGCCAAGTAATCGCAAATGAGGTGGAGGGACCCACATACCTGCACATACTTTTGTTTTCCATCTTCTGCTGTTGATAATTGTTTTCAATTTTTTATATTGTGAACAGGTACATTGCACTGATAATTGTTTCTCGCTCGATAAGGAGCTCCACCACCACCACGCCTCGTTCGAAGTTCCAGTTGTTCCTGTACGTTTAGCTCAAACAGTAGATTTAGCAAGGTTGCTATGTAAATGGTTCCACCTTCTTCTGGAGGTAGAACTTCTAAGAATTATATCATCGCGTTCTTGTTGATCGCATAAACTAAAATAAAAGCGATCGATTATCGATTTCGGTCAACGTTATCAAAGTTTCAAAACATTTTTCAATTCTTCAATTAATCGAAGACCACATCTCTTGAAAGAAAATGGTATCGCCTTGGTCAGAGGTGTGCTACTATAGTATGGTGGAGCCCGATGAGGCAACCGCAACATGGACAGGGAATGCAAAGAACGTGTGCATGTGCGCTGCTATCGGTGGAAAGGACTTTTCCATGGGCCTGACTGCTCCGCCAAGTGCAGAGGCAGGCTGGTGGGGCTGTGCAGGAATCACGCAAGACCAGAGACAAGGTAACTTATCTTTCACGAATGGAATGAATGTTATTTTTGCGAATTTTTTTACATCTTGCTCTGTCTGGTGCATGCTCCGACCACGTGGTCTTCTTACTGTCTAGTTCTCAGATGTATTTTTCTGGGAAGACGTTCTTCAGGGTGAGTCTCCTGCGCATTTTGTTTCAGTTTGATTGGTCGTTGCAATAAAAAAGACTCACGACATCCACAGCTGGAGCTGGCGAAGCTGAGGGCATTCAGACAGACGCCGCGTGGGAAATGGTGTGGAGTGAGGATCAAAACCGCGATATCATGCAGGATGACGGAAGTGAGGTTCCCACGCCAATATGCGAGTTTCAAACAGTTTTAAGTGCACTCGCGCACGACAACTCAAAGGGACCCCTGCCAAATGTTATGGATACAGGATCTTCGATAAGGATAATGCAAGAATCTTCATCTATCATAACTCTGACTGAGTAGTTGTACTTTTTTTTACTTGGTGAGGTTGATGTTGACATCCCTATAGGTACTCGCCAGCTGCATGTGGTAGTATATTTTTACAAAGGCCCTTTTGGTTGTCGCTGTGCTGCTGAGGCTTAATATAGTAATGAGAATAATAAAGTTGCACATGATCCACATACCATTTTTTGTCAAGACCTAGCACCGTGGTATATCGATGAACAATGCCACGTGCTTATTACAACTACTCACCGTCAAATCTCTAAAAAAGGGGTGTGGATAGGTGGAGTGAAGCACACAGTTACGCGCAAAGAAAAGGAAGAAGGACCAGAAAAAGACCTCAATTTTATGCTCATGAACGCGGCAAGAAAGGGAAAGAAAGGATTCGCAATTATCTGTACTAGTGTCCTCTTTATTGTTAGCGTTCTGATAAAGAGACATAAGTAAATTCTTCCTTGTTCTTCTTTTTTTTTCGACTCTTCTACTGCATGCTGTGGGAAGACTTCCTTGCGTATTCATGATTGCTCCTCTTGATATTGCCTTATTTTTTTTCCAAAACGTCGTGGTCCAGGTACTGACTACGACTTGGCGGGGAAGGCTGGCATAGTGATTGCGGGATACAGCGAAAACGAGAATGTACCTTTTTCGATGGCAGCTGCTGTGGCTTTGGAGGCAGCCAAATGGATGACTTACGACGGGCTCGACAAGAGTGAGGGCATTTACTACTAGAGGATCAGCAGAAGGGATCCACAGAAATGAATAGGGAGAAGTAGGAGATGCCTGGTAAATTACTTTTTTCCGAGATTTTCTAGAACAAGTAGTGAAATTTCTAACGACCACGATTATTTCTTGTGGTGTTGCGCGCTGTTGCCGACTACACCACCTGAGATGCTTACAATTGATTATCACCTAGTAATTCTAATTCCTTAAAAAGGTGAAGAAGTCACAGACATCGGCATGCACGGTTGCATGTCGGTGTGGTTGTGAAGGACCCATGTTTTGAAAAATCCTTGACAAGACCCGGGCAGTTTGTATTCTTTAGCATAATGCAGGAAGTACTTGAACTTTAGTAGCACATCAAATGATGTTGATAAAACTGCAAATTGTAAAGAGATAAGTGAATTAACTTAAGGCGATTTTGCGTCGTGATTGAAATGATTCGTTTGACAACGAGCAATTGAGGACTGCGTCCTGCGTCGCTCCTCAGGTGTTGTAAAAAAGGGCGTGTGAGTTTTGATGGTCGTGTTCCTCGCGGCTGATCTCTTGAAGAAATAATTCACAAGATTCCCATACTTCTGCGACATCAGCAGCGATATCTTCTTGTTCGACAGTTCTAAAGATCCTCTTGTTCTTCGCGTTATTCGGATAAGATTCAAAGATCAACTAGAATTATGGTTGCAAAAAGTGGATTTACACTTACAGCAAAAGATCAACAAGAATCAACGGAGAAGGAAATTATGACAAAGACTCGAGGTCTCACTTGTATAATGATCATGATGTTGATGTTGATGTTGAGAGGATCGCAGCTAGTAATAATGTCTGAAAGAAAGTAGATCATCGCTCGCCTTTCAATCATCTTCCATATAAAATTCCAATTCATGCAGTCCTCCTCCAGGGCTTGCTTCAGAAGTTTTTATCGTAATTTTTTCTCTTTATCGTAAATTCGAATGCTTGTTGAAGTTTTGGGCTCATGATAATATATATAACGAATCTATCACCAGAAGCTTAAGAGTCAATTGTCGTTGTTGTTGCTCTTGAGTACTTGAGAATTTTCCGTTTATTTCATTCTCTTGGTCATCAAGCTCGCAGTCGCACGACACAGAGTCAGACACAGCATCCTCTCAAAGTCTATTCAGAGCACCAAAAAAGCGAAGTGGCTTGTAAAAAGAACTTTCAAGTAGAATAAAACGAACACGACATCGACACTTTCAATCACTGATACTTTTTACCAGAGGACATTCTACTTTTGCTCGGAGTAGCTAGCAGGTAATTTTCTTATCATACTAGCCCTCGTAACGACGCAAAAATGACGACTTGCAGTAGCGGTGTGTCCGCCGCCAAGGGCAAGATTTCCGAGGCGACCCTGGTTGGGCGTGCTAACATGATTCGCCCGGAGGATATCTTCTGTACAACTGAAGCACAACAAAAGCACTTGGCAGCGTTTCAAGCTGGCAGCAAGGATTGGCTCAGCTATCAGCACGAGGCTGAAGACGAAAGCGAGATCGAGGCCTGCGAAGACTTTCTGCGCCACGTGCTCTGCCTTCTGGTCGAGCAGTTGGTGTCTAGGTCAAGCGGCGGAGAAATACCTGGTGGGACAGCGTTGACGACGGAGAACGCACGAGATGCAATCGCGTTGCTACAGCACAAGATGTCTAGACGTGGTGAGCAAAAGCGAGCTGCCAAAGGAGCCGAGGCGAGTACGGCGTCGCATACACCGGCATCCAGTCGCGTAGCGGAAGAGGAAGAGGGGAATGGACCAGTGGACGAAAAGAGAGAAGAACAAACCGTCGATGTGGTCGTGGAAGACATTAGCGCTTTAGCGATGAAAGACAAAGTTGTCGCCGAGATGGAAGCGGTAGACGAGGCCTCAACCAGTGCGACCACTGAGCATGACACAGCTGACGCTCAACAAGAAGAGGAGCGACAGCTGGCTTTGCTTGCACGCTTCCTTGATGAAGTTTCCGAAAAGCAGTGGGAGGACGCCGTTCGCAACACGCGGCGTCACTTTCAATGCGCCCCACCGAAAAGTCGTATGGTCAAGACCTTGTCGCAGCTTGTTTTCGATAGAGTTCTACCCAGAGGAACAGCGGTCGAACGTATTCTCAAGAAAAAAGCTGTGCGCAGTAACTCGGGTGTCGTTGTGATTACCGTCGTGACGGCTCCAGGTAAATTTTCCTGCCCACACGACTGCTACTACTGTCCAGACGAACCGGGACAGCCCCGCTCCTACCTCTCGACCGAGCCAGCGGTTCAGCGCGCGAATCAAAATGACTTTGACCCTGTGAAACAGTTTCTCGATAGGTACTGACTTCACAATTCTCTTCCCCTTTTTTATGTTTTTAAAGCGAAACGTAGTACTAATTTTTTCGATACTTGCGAAAGTCCTCGCAGCTCGAGTGATCCCTCCCTGTCCACGCAAAACAATTTCTTCTCATCCATTCGTCAAGATCAACAATACATTATGGCTTCCAAGTGTGGCATGACACAGTTCACTTACCATTGACTTTCAGGGCTGCGACACTCGCGAAGCAAGGCCATGAGGTTGACAAGGTCGAAATAATTGTGCTCGGAGGAACGTGGAGTGCATACAGCAAGGAGTACCAAGACCAGTTTTGCCGGGATCTCTTCTATGCTGCAAACACATTCACGAACGAGGACGAGCTGCGACGAGGCCTCTCGCGGGCGTCGGATCTAGTTGGTTCGACGAATCATTTCCAAGCCGCATCTAGTGGGTTGCGTGAGCGTCTCGAGCTGGCAGAAGAACAGCGACTCAACGAAGCCTCGGCGTGCAAAATCATCGGCCTCACGTTGGAGACTAGACCCGATCACATCAGCAAGGCAGAGGTACAATGCGCTTGAAATGTTCTTGTATCTACATGGGATGATGTTGAAGTAACTGCAAAAACAAAAAGTTCAAACTGTGTCAAAAATAATCTTGATCTTCATCTTCGGAATCATCGATCATGATTACTTTCTCAGATTACGATCTGCATTTCAATAAGAGACTTACATCAACAAACACATTAAAGGTTCGTCGCTTGCGATTGCTCGGTTGCACGCGTGTGCAGCTTGGTGTGCAGCACACTGACGACGAGATTCTGCGTAAGGTGAACCGAGGCCACAGCACCAAGCGGAGCGAAAAAGCCGTAGCCCTCTTGAAGACCGCAGGATTCAAGGTGGATATTCACTTGATGCCAGATCTTCCCGGAAGCAACCCCGAAAAAGACTGGGAGATGTTCCGTTACGTTTTGAACAGTGACGCCCTGCAGGCGGATCACTGGAAGGTGTACCCTTGCGAAGTGACGCCCTTCACGACGATCGAACAGTGGCACGCACAGGGTCTCTACGTCCCTTACACGGATCTCGAACCGCAGAAGATGATCCACCTCTTGTGCAACGTGAAAGTCAACGTGCACCCGTGGATCCGGCTCAACCGCGTCATCCGAGACATTCCAGAAGTTAGCATTATCGCGGGAAACCAGAACACGAACCTCCGACAGGTGCTCTTTGAGCGGCTCGCAGCGTGCGGGGAGAGCTGCAAGTGCACGCGATGTCGCGAGGTGCGCAAGTATGGGGAGCCACTTGATAAGCTCTTCGTGCGCGTGAGGCGGTACCGGAGCAGCGGCGGTTGGGAGTTCTTCCTCAGCGTCGAAGGCGCCGATAGAGGCTTGGGCGGCGGTGCCGAAAAGCGCAGCAAGAACGGGAACGGAAAGAACAAGGACGGAGGCAAAAGTAACAAGATTACAGGAGATCGTAACGCGAGGGCGACGACATCAAAGGGCGAGGAGGTTATGAACGAAACTACATCTTCAGCCCCACAACCAAAAGGAGCGGAGGACGATGACGAGCAAGTGTTTGATCTGTTCGGCGAGGGAGGGGACTTCGTCGCAGCAGGTGCGGAACAAGATACAACAGTGTCCACCTCCCCCGTTGAAGTTGAAACAGATCCCAAGAGAGCTACACTTACATCCTCACCAGAAGCAGGAAAACAAATGCCTTCGTCGAATGGAACAGCGGGCACGTCTTCTTCGGCACAACCTTCCGCCAAATCTTCATCAACAAGCTTCTTTAGCGTGGCCACCGCAGTAGGGAGTTCTGTTGCACATAGTGTGAGCGGAATCCTTACTGGTGCGGGTCGTGCTGTCTCGTCGTCGACATTTTTTTCCAACGATGCGAGCGCAAATGCGTCTTCTTCGTGCACAACGACAAAAACACTTCTCTGCGATGACACCAACAGCTCGAAGAAGGACGCATCAAGCACAAACCAGAACAAAGGAACTGAGGATCATCCAGCCGCAGCTCAGCGTCATCAGCCCTCCCGTGGCAATCACGGAAATGAGACTCGAACGACTAAGCAGACGAAAATTCGTAGGGCGCTGAAGGGTGCACCACCACCAGGGTCTACCCAGCCGAGCACTGTGCCTTTCAACCTCATGACAGCAGCAGACGAGGATCCCTATCGTTTCATGACAGACTTCGACCCAAGCACGGTTCTGTGCGTCCCGGTGGACAAGAAGATGGCTTCTCGAACTGAGAAGCCAACGGAAGCGCTTCAGGGCGAAGGTACAGCGTCTTCTAGTGCTTCATCGTCTGCATCAACATCCACGACTACAAGTACAAACATAGTTGACGAGGGGCAAGCTGAGGCGGCCTGCTCCTCGACGATTCTCGATCGGTTCAGCACCTGGGTCCGCCAGACTGTTGGCTACGAAAACGAAGCTGCAACATCGACGGGGAACATATCCGCGGCGCTGAAGTCCTCGAAGCAGATGAAGTACAATGGCAACCCCTATGGGTTCCATCAATACAGCGACGCTCGCAGATATGTCTTATCGAAAGCACAGCAACCAGATTACAAGAACTCTTCGGCAAATGCCGCGCCACTTTCACCACTGGCTGTGTCAGGAACAGGACACGCAGACAACTTTGATGACCGGGACAAAGAACCCACGTCGTGCACCCTTAGATCCCGTGATAACGGTACCCTTTACGGCCTATTGCGATTGCGACTGAATGATGATCCGACAGCCGTCAAAGAAATGTTTCCTGAGCTGATAAATTCAGCGCTCATTCGTGAGTTGCACGTCTACGGCGAGGTGCGGCCGGTGTATCGGGAGAACGACAAGGAGAACGGAGTCACGTTGAACGACGATCCCACAGTCGCACCCGAGACGTCAAATGCGGAGGATCCTCCCTCATCAATGTCTAGTACAGCGGAGGGTCTGACGAAGTCATCTTCGGGTAATATGACACACGACAACAGCATTTCAACAGAGGACTCTACAGTTTTCCGTCCACCGCGGTCGTATTATGCAGGTAAGAAGCCAGCAGGAGGAGCCGACGGCAAGCAGGGCTCCGCACAGCATGGTGGTATCGGGAAGTTGCTCATGTGTGTCGCGGAAACCATCGCAGAGCGACACCGATGCGAACAGATCGCCGTGATTTCTGGCGTTGGCGTTCGAAATTACTACAGGAAGTTGGGCTACGAGCAGCGTGGTGTTGGACGATATCTCATCAAGCCCCTCATGTCAGAGGAGGAGAAGAACACCAGCAGACCCACGACCGCTGGTTCGATGGGCACCGCAACATCTTCCTCATCTAACAGCAAAGGAAGTGCGTCTGTTCGTCCAGTGTTTGCTGTGGGAGACGCCGAAGATGACGCTTTCCTGTCTTCTCTCGAGATTCCGTTTAACAACTGGCAGGAGCGCGGAGCCAACGCAATCACACCACCAAGTACGGGCTTCAGAACGCATACAAAACAGAGCAGGGCGAAAGAGAGCGGCTCAGAGGATGATAATGAGCAGCGACAAACGCGGGGACTACTTCATGGAGAAGATGAGAGCATCTTCATCAAGAAGGAGGAGCTTGCACGCTGGATTATGCTTGGCAGTGGGGTCGCTCTAGCATCCATAGTTGCACATCGAGCGCTAAGAGCTCGTAACAACTAAGAGGCAAGAAGGTTCTCTGGGCACGACGGTACATCTTTCATCTCCCGGTAGCCCAGCCCCCAAATTTGAGATTACTAAGATACCCCTGATGTCATGACAAACGTGCGCGTTCATTGTGATGATGTAGTTGTTGACATTCTTATTGTTCAGTCACCCTTACCTTGACAACTATCACTATGATGATCACGACAATTTACAGCGCATGCGCTTGTGCACATTGCTCTTCATGATGAACTTCGGTTCCGGACCCGGACTAAAACTCAAGCTTGCAACTGTATGAATTCAATGAATCATGCGTAATACTGAATGAAAGGAGAATAAACGACTACGAACGAGAACCGCAGCACTTCTTCCATAGAGCGTTCACTACAGTCTAGAGTTAAGCTAGCACTACAAGAATACTTTTGTTGCCTCCAAATATTGATGTCGCAGTCGGTTTTGGACAGCTCAAATTTCAGTGCGTCGTTTGACCATATCGAAAAGAGTCCCCTAGTATCTTCGGTTTCGAATTCGGTATGATGACAGCTGCGTCTGGTGGTTGACGATACAAAAGTCGGTTTTCCACCATAATTTCGATTCGTGCAAGGCCTGACTGTCCAACTCGGTGGTGCTCTGTGATATGGTACTGTACTAAATGTCTGTGTTGAGCTTGAGTAGTAAGTTGTGCAGATTTGCAAGGACAGGCACAGGTGATGGCCCGATTCTCATTTCACTATGTCTACTTAGGCCCATCTCGCAACTTTCTCCCCATAGTAGCTCTCATTTCGTGTAACGGCATGCAGGGACTGCCTCTGACAATAATTTCGATTCATTTCTTAATCACGAAGCTATAGGTGACCAATCTTCAAGTAATATCTATGGGAAAATAATATTGTCGCTTTCATGAACAACAGGATAACGATCAGGGCTCTCATATTTTCAAGTTCAACTCAAACCCCATGACCTAACTCTTCTGCCTTCTCCCTGTGAAGAAAGGCATGTTGAGTGAGATCATTGTACTTAGTCAATTCCGAAGTAGTTCATGGTAGCGATACAACCAGTATCACAACCACTTCCAGAGAAAGGACGATAAAAGGGAACAAGAAAGATGTCTGATCCTGAAGAAGCCCCGCGCCCGTCGCAGGCGTTGCTACCAACAATGGATAGTGGATCGGGAGGACTAGATACGATGGACACGGCAGAGCATGAAGAGGAAAGCACATACGATCCTCTCCTCGAGGCCACCAACCTGCCCGAATCTGCAAACCACGAAGTGCAAGGGAATCTGCAGTCGGCAGCCTTTGAGATGTTTCAAGCAGGCATACACGCCGAGCACAACCTTGAAGTTCCAAGCCTAAAGATGGATTCGAATTTTATGGAACACAAACGCCGTACTGGATGTCGATGATCATGTTTTAGAAAATGACCATTATTTAATCCACCACTTACCACGTTTGTCTTTGTAGATAAAGATGAGGGTCGTGTTTGGTGTTTCTAGAATACATAGATACATATACATGATAATCTTCAGAATCAAGTTCACGCTGCAGCAGGGAGTCGTGGGTGCCGGTCTTCTTCTTCTAATACCGACCTGCCCTCTACTAGCTCTACCGATCCCCCGCAGCACGCGGTCCGCACTGACCTGGACACGAAGCAATTTCTTGCCTTCGCTGACGGAGCGAAAAATGCTATGCGTGCCAGTCAACAAAGGACGAGGTTGGCTGGGGAAAATGCAATTGTAGAAGGACAAGAAACTGTGGCAGGGGCAGCTCAAAAACAGAAAGCAAATTATGGCCATAATTGACGTGATCACGACAACAACTATCTATGTACCTATAACCATTCATTTGATTCGGAGGACTGAAGATTGTGTCTTCATCATGGTTACTGTGTCGATATACATCAAGCATGTGAAGTTTCAAGGAAGTCGTCGCAAAAGTTGAACCATTTCAATTAATGGTAATCTCGAACGAAACGGAAAGTGATAGTGAAGGTGAAACAGTATTTTTAAGTGAAATTATTGATGATATGTGAAAGTTAGCCTTAGTAGGAAAATAATTTTCCTCCTCCGATATCGCTAAGGTCGTCCCAGTAGGGCATCGCCAGTAGCACGGCAGATTGGCGGCTCAGTAGAGGATATCACAGCCCGCGAGGTGATGGACGAAAACCAAGAGGTGGCTGCTAACGTGATTTTGGAGCGGAGATCGAGAGCAGTGGATCATGTTGGAGGAACGGGATTGCTCCTGGAGGACGAGGATGGAGTAGAAGATGTAGATGATTATATTGACGATGGATCTCCTATTGACGATAGAGGTCAGGGGCTATCGTTCCCCGCAATGCATCTCCTACAAATGGAACCATCGCGCAAATGGCAGGAGACAATTAGCCGATTCATTCTTATGACTCGGAGCTGGACGAGGATCTCTACCTCAATCTCAAATTGAATTTCGCTATGCATGATCTGTCCTCGTCGAAATATGAACTAGTACAGGAGGTGATCATACAGTGCGTTATAATTAGAAACTTGAAGAACATTTAGTTTTAGGTGAATTTCGATCACTGAGTAGCCAGGAGTACAACTTCTACTTCATCTCATCTGAAGTAGAATGGTGAAAATTTATTTGTTTATGGAACTGATTTCTAATCCTGCCTCCATAGTGGGCGGAGTAGTGTGTCTGTTGTTGGCCGTGATTCTGATGTGCAGTGGCTGCGGCGACTATCACCATCCTGCGGAGTTTTCCGATGCGTATTCTGCTGCGCGCGCTGCGTCACGTGGCGACGAGGATGCCAGTACCGATGCAGGCCGTTCCTGTGTTGGCGGTCCACCGTGCATAGCTAGTACATCGCCGGATGAACAAACACACGCTGTTGCTCATGAGCAGGAACAGGGGACCAGCGAGGATTCACCCGCAGCGAAGGAACAAGAGGAAGGGGGGGAGACAGCAATCAGCACAGAGTCCACAGACGAGAGCACAAAACAAGACGATGACAGTGTGAAAGAGAAGGCCGATAACGATCACGCAGTGGGGGGAAAAGACTTTCTATTAAGACCTCCGCAAGTGAAGACGACGTCCGCGTATGAGTACTTAATCGTGATCGAATGCTTCGTCGTCATGACAATATTATTCGGTAACGATTGATTCTTCTGTATTCTTTCCTGGATTTTTATGTTTTCTCTGACGAGCGATAGCGGACCCGCTAAGCTTCAGTCTTGAAACTCACTGTGACGGGTATGATTGATTCACAGTCATACATATTATTTGACGATATTCTTGATCCTGGTGGAGCGAGATGTTCATCATGTTGATCGTGCGACTAGATAAACATAAAATATCTCCTAGTCCTAATTTTTACGAACAAAGACAGAGATGGTGAGAAAGCAAATGATCCGCAACCAGAGAAAAGGCCTGCGGATGATGACAGCTTAGAGAAATCTTCCTCCGAAGAGACGCCACCGCCAACGCATTCACCGAAAGAAAGTGCTGATGGAGAGCAGACGAAGCACACGGCAGATGAAGCTGAGGAGAAAAGCGCTACCAAAACCGAAGCTAGGGAGGAGCGCTCACGCACAGCTTAAGACTGGTCTTGGTGTCTCAATGAATCTCATTCTTTTTTCTTCTTCTGCTACTTCTAACTGCTGCTCTGTAAAGTCATTGCCCTCCGCTTAGTAAGTAGATTGGGAGTTGTTGAACCCGTACCCGTAGTTTCAAGTGCAAGGACAATGAAAAAAATAGATAGATGGATAGTTCTTGCACACCTTAGGACTTACATGCAAGAACAGCAATTCAGCACAGAAAAATAGTGAAAAGCCAACACTTCTAATTTTCATTGAAAACGGAGGAGGGGGAGGGATCTCAAGCTCGAATGATCTGCAGGCCTACTCAGGAGAACCTCATGCACAAAATTCCGGGTCCAGAGGAACGAGCCCCAGTCAAGAACATTCAGCTGCCGACCTACGACTTTCGTGTCCACGTGAAAACCGTTGGGGAGTGCCAGTACGAGCTCGATGTCTTCCACAAGGACCGCAAAGACAGAAATGACCATGGTGAGGAGCGCATGCAGGCGCTGAAAACGAAATTCATTGAGCAGATTAAAAAAGATGCGACCGACACGAACATGTACTAGAATATACGACTCCACTGTTCAGATCTTTCTACACCGCAATACAGAATACACTTTCATGATCATACATGTTCTTCATTTTTATAGTCTGTGTTTATCTTCAACGCTAGTAGAGAACCGTATTAATAAATTTTGTAAACCAGTATTAAGTAACCAAAAATAACACATTCTCATTCGAATATAGGGCACACAGCGTGGAACGGAAGAATAATGCTGCAGGTTCAAGGCAGAAGATGAGTCCCAAAGACTGGTGGGAAGCCGAATGGAACTTAATTAATGGCATGATGAAACAGAAACTGGGGAACATTGCCTTTCTCGAACACGCTGCAGAGTACTTACATTCACAAATCAATGTTAATATCGTTTGACATGTGGAGGAGGAGGTCGAGCAGGCGCAGGTCGTGCACAATTCATCTTGAAGATGTTGATGTGAACTGCGACTCACGTGATCGATGAACTTTGTGTATGGTGGACGTTTTCTAGAGGAAGTGTGTCAACTACATCAACATGAAGATCACAAAATCCAAATTTTTCGAATAAGCTATGTTTAGAATAACGTAAAACAATTAGTAGAATGACTCATTATACGTTACCGACAATAACAAAAACTGTAGGTCCTTAGCGCTGGGACCGAACGGCGATGGGATACCGCACACTGCGGTATTTTTCGAGGTTGCGGAAGGTTCGACAGAGCTCAACTGCGAACTCTACTACAAATGCGACTACAAGATTAACTGCAAGGAGATGACCTCCGACCCTCGATGCAAGGCGGGGGCAAAAGTCTTACGAGCAGTGCCGGAGCGGCGGCGGCCGTAACTACTGTCGAAGTGGAATAGTGGTGGAAGATGCAACAAACTGCTGCAAGCAGCTCTAGTTATTTTGTAGCCCGGTTCCGATTCCAAATCCTGTTGAAAATGCTCCGGCTTCAACTGTACTAAGTAGTTAGTTGCAGGTTGGTAGACAAGGATGAAGAATAACCAGGGACTGCTTGTTGTCTTTTGAGGCAGTTTTCACCAGATAGTTGTAGAGGTGCTGACTTTCGTAGAAGTAGGAGAAAAGTAAAGTACTTTTCATGATTAGATAGACTATACGAAATACAATTATAGGAAGTAGGGAGCTACACTGCACGTGCACCGCCAGAACATGTGAAAAACGGATCCGTTGGTTCACAAAAATCTAAATGTACAATCAGTTAACTATCACGAAAAAGAGCATAATTATGTGGACGATCATGAGCATGCCTACTTTCTTCATCGATCCAAGAACACGATACGAGCTTGAAAAGCTGACGTTTGTGCTAAAAAATGCATCATCGGTACGTACAATTATGAATAGCTAGTATACCACTACCACATCACATACTACCTCTACTTCATACATTGACATACTCTGAGTCTACTGATTTCGAACTGCTTCTTTCATCGGTTTCTCAGTCTCATTCTTACAGTTACTGTTACATGCCACTCTTCTAGGAAACGACCGCCATTAACAAAATCGTAGAAACTACCAGCATCGCATCCACAGGATGAAAGAAGTGTGTTGAAGCATCAAGAAGCGTCATCTACCCCGCCAAGAAATGCAAGGCAAAAGAGATGACTGTTTGTTTATCAACTTCAACAGTCGTCTGTTTTTACCTAATTGCAATTCGTCAATTTTGGCAGAATTGGTCGAGCTCCCCTCTTGTGTACTGAAAACCAAGTACTAGCAACATTCACAGTCTTTCACAATCAAGATATGGCACATATCAACAACTGCTTCTTTTGATCTATTTCTCTGCTAACTTCATCCATAAGATGATCTCCACGTTATTGAACAAGAGAGTTCGACCTTCTATCTTCTGCGACCAAGATCATCAAAAAATGACTAGAGCTACCAATATCATAGCTATTCCCGCCTCTGCTCGAGCTCGTTTGATAGTTCTCTGCTTTTATTCTGTATATATCTTATTCTTCGAATCCGATGTGCATTAAGATGAACTCAAAATGTTCCCGAACGCGATTTCAGAACCGACCCACGCCAACGACGTCCCATCCCATCGATCACTGTACCTGATGATATGACCAAGAATTGTATGCGCCTGGACGGTATGAAGAAATCTCCAGCGTTCCCGAGAAGACCAAATTTAGAGCGAAACCGAAACCTCCCACCAACATTCTTCACTGAATAGAATGATTGATCATGTGCTGTACAATTCCTGGATTGTCGCTTTATGTTGTATCGGACAGCACAAGCACATTCCTACGACTGTGTGGTCGTCTTTTGTGTATCCTACGAAAAGCCTACAGCGAATGACGAGAAAAACAATATGTTCATTCGATGATCGGTTTGGGTGTAGCTGATTGTCGTGGCCTTTTTTTCGCGTCTCTTCTTGGTGAGACTAACATCATCCCGCGTGCGCCTGCGGGCTCCCAAGAAACGCAAGGTTATGCGAGGGATGTTTTTTTCAGATTTTTTTGATTGAGATTTTTTGATCGTAGAAGGAGCGCAGCGTTTGCGAATCCAGAAGATTACTTGGCAATAGGGAAAATCCGGAAATTCGAATTTGAATAAAGAGATTCCAGCGTTCATAGTGAGCGCAGGGCGACGCTCAAAGCTTTATTGACAGGATATTTTTCGAGTGTCAGCATTTATTTGTATACGGAGCCATTCGCTCCCCAGTCCACACTGTCATCTCAGGATTTTTCATTGATACGATATTTGACAAAAAATTATAATGAATCACAATCAAGCGGATAATGATAAAAAGTTTGAGTAGAAGAAGACGAACACTATGCGGATCCTGTCGTGTCTGTGTGTGCGCCCACCTGGTGGCTTGGGTACGCGGAGTGTGATATGCTGAGACAGTAGGTACCCAAGTTTTCGCCTGAACGCAGGACTCTCACCCGCGACGATGATCATGATTATTAACGAGTAGTACTTAATATATCGCCGTTCTTCTAAAATCTAATATTGTTTTTACTTTCGTCTAATGTCATGGTCATCGCTCTATGAAAAAATGAACTATCATTGAATTTGAAGAAGTATTGGCGGACGAGTTGTACATTTCGTCCTTAGGCCTGTGCGGCCGATCGGGAGCGCTTTGGACGTCAGCAAGGACACAATCTGACTATGCGTGACTACAACAAGCGACATCTACAATCTTGGTAACAAGGAGTATGAGTCGACGAAGCCGTAGAACAGCATGACAAAGAGTTGGTATTGGAGTTTGTCCAGGATCGTGTAGCACACTCGAGCAAAACTGGAGCCACTCAACTACAAGAAGGACGAGCAGCCACCTTTTCTAGCTGGTTGCGAATCAATCAGGGGCATCGCAGAGTACCTAGAACTATCGACATTGTCCGACCGGTTTATTTAATAGTACCTACCATTCGCGTCGCGACTGCAGCAAGTAGGACAGCGAGTCCGACTGCGACAATCATGGCAACAACGCCAATGCAAACCTCTGCGGCGTCACCCGCCACAAGCCGGTCGGCATCAAAGCGACCAAGCCTGCATGCCGATGCGCTGCAAGCCGGTGATGGCGCATCGATCCAGGATAAGAAATACCTAGCCGGGGAGCGTCGTCTTAGCGTCACTTCCCTAAGGCTTCGCAGTGAAGTTGAAATGTGGCTCATGGAAGAGGTAATCTATTGTTTACGAGGACGAGATCGATGATGTCGATGCACTTCAACTATGTATAATATATAAATATGAATATAAATATCTTGCTTCATCTAGTACTAGTACTAGTACTCGTTGTAGTTGTAGAGTACCTCTAGATCATCTAAAAGCTAAAAACTAAAACTTCTTGCATAAGTGATGAAGACGTTCTTGCTATTTCCTCACTTGCTGAACAACAAGAGCTTGTATTGTTCTGGTATTTAGTCGCCTGACTTTGATCATAAGGGAAAACAAGAAGAGAATCCTTGTGATCAAATTCAGTCTACCAAATAGTACCGGAGCCATTCGGCGCTCCTTCTTTCACGCTTTACAACTATTCGCAGCTGCTCCTACTTCCAGTATTCTGTCGCCTTCTCCAATCCACAAGGTCCCAAAGCTTTTTGGAGTCGAGGATACAGATGAACTTGATCCAAGCGTACAGGAGGACGGACAGTCGCATTTTCTGAATGGCGTGTTATTCTGTGGCGAGTACTACACTATTTCTATTTTTTATTATTAAATTATTTAAGATAGTACATGATGGCTGCTTGCGGATCAGGTACTCTAATGTTAGAAGATCTTCACTTCTTCCAGCACTGTTCTCTTTGCTTCAAGGCTTATTTAAGTTTCATGTTCGTCTAAAAAAAAAAGATTAAGAGCAAGAAGTCTATGCGTTCAGTCCCCAACGAATTCTCTAGGTTCACGTGTCAACATGGTGATCAGAATCGGTTATTATATTCCTCGCCTCTGAAGAAGTATCATTTCTTCAATTTTCACTACTACAGTATTTTGGATACGGGCGCAGTGGCTGAGAAGGTCCGGGAGAGGTTCGGAATAGGCGTCGCGGCTCAGAGTAACATTAAGGCTTGACGAAATCCATCTTCCGCAGTATTTTGCTCTCGTTTTGAAGGGAAGACGAGCACGAAGATGCTCTTGCTCACCAGAATGGATTTCTGCAGATTCTAATCGGAGATTCCGTAGTTTCGTGGACGAGTTAGCTGCCAAGATCGTAGAAGTTAGGGACGCCTTCGCGCAAGCTAGACGAGAATCCAAAGAGATTCCTCGTGATACCCCCCTTCTTTGCGCACAAAATGAATGAAAGGCTTGGATCTAATTCGAAGTGAAATACCTAAGTAGTATCAGTACGGGTGGATTGTCCTTTTTGTTTTGATATGCAATGGTGTTCATGGTGATCTTCTTCTGCGACTTGTTTTGCGTCTACCGCTTTCTTTGAGAGAGTATTTTTTTTTGTAACCGGTGATGTATTCTTTTCTTGTACCGACTATTGATCATGCGTTTACAAGAATTACTCAGTAGTATCTATTTCTATATGTTTGTGTAGAGCGAGAGCTGCCCATCTGTTCACTTTCGCAATCTGAAGGATGAGTCTCTTCAATATGTATCTAGGACTACGCGCTCGTCATGATCTTTCATGTTGTGAATCAATCTTCGACTTGTTTGAGTATATTCCCTCGAGCATGAATTCTTGAATATGCGCGAAGCATCGTTCGACATTCGCAGTAGAGAGGACAATATTCGGCGTGGACGTCTGGGCCTTCAAGTGTACTAAGTATGAATAGGATATACTCAGAAGCAGATACGCCCGCGCGAAACGCGCGAGGGAAAACCCGTTTCCAAGTAGATCCAAAACAGACGCGTGGACATCGAGAATTCCAAAAACATACGTCCTAGTAGCGAAGATTAACGACAACATCAATACTTGTTTTCAGGAGCTCAAGAGCTACACCTAGGTAGTATAAGTGCACACCCAAATAGCAACTACCTTCACCTTGCTTATTACCATTGAAACAAATTAAAGTACTGCATGCTGTATGAAGAAGATCCTCGCCTTGCATCCGCCCGCGCCCCTAATTTTTGTCATTAGTAGGTCTATCTTTGTCTTTCCCCGTCCTCTTGTACTATCGACGCGGCATTGATCTCGATGAATTCGATACAACGGTAGCATCTTGCAAAAAGCAATGATTGAAATCACAACAGCCGTCTGATCCAATTGAATTCACAATTTTTGAAAAAATGATGACAGAATTCGCAAAGTCTAAAAAGTTTGGATTTTAGACAAGCAAGGAAGTAGAAGATGCTTCGGCATCTACGTGAGCGTCGACCGAGAATCGAGGACCGACCCCTTGTAGCGCGACAAGAACTGTGTCTAGACCGAGTAGGTGCAATAGGATTATGCCTATGAGTGCATTGAAAGCGAGGGAGAAACGTTGAGGTGCATTAGGCACGGACGCCCATCCCAAAGTCGTGTGAAAAATAGAAAATAGCGACAATGTTGAAAAAATCGTGCGAATTAATGATGAGCGAAAGCACACACGAACCCGAAACCGAATACTCTGGCTGTGCTGGCTTACTGCGATTAACATCATTAAGTAGATTGGTCCACTACCTAGCTGAAAGTAACTCTGTAAGAGCCGTCAGAAAGTCAATGAGGAACCTTTTTGTTATTGTTTCTCTTTCTCATTGTCTTTCGGCTGATATTTTTTCGATTTCGCGGCACTCTAACTCAGATGATCACCTTCTGTGATGTGCAACCTGATTTTCTATACATGTAAGCATCTGTGTCTGTAGTAAATACACGACCGAGGAAGCACCAGAGAAATAAATAGAAGAACATGCCTAGCAGTCCTGTTTCCGGTGCGCGGTCGCGCGTAGTGGAGGAATTGCCTAAACGAGGGCACCTCCAAAAGAAGCTTGAGGAGTATAAGCAAGCCGTTTCTTCGTCAGTATCATCCGTCAGCGGGTCGCGGAATACAGTCCCCGGGCCAGAGGATATACACTCATCCATAGCAGGAGAAAGCGTGGCAACATCGCGGAGGGGCGGAGAGCAAGGTGGCGGTAGCAGCTCCTCATCGTCGAAAAATCGATACACTTATGAATAATGAGGCAGTTTTCCGAATAGATTCACATCATCATGAATAATGAGACGAAATTCATCACGAGCCTAGAATTTGGATTTTCCTCTTCGCTTGCAAGAACGAAGTGAGTCTGGAGCGCGTCCGTAGTTTTTTGTCGTTCTTGCCCTTTAATAGGACAAAGAACAGATGATGTTCCTGTTGCTGTCCCAGTTCGTCCAGGACGTCAAAGTTGCGTCTAACCTGAAGACAGTACTAGAAGAAATTCGGCAAACAATGGAATGCCAACGAGTAGTGCAAACCCGTCCAAAGAGACGACCGGCAGTGCAAAAGACAAGCAGCAGAAAGCCTTCTGGCGCACGGCGCATAGCTTTTCTGCCGTACAGGGCGAAGAAGACGACGCCAGTCAGCAGCGGCTGAGGCAGGCGGCCGAGGCACATTCGATAGCCGATGGTGGCGGAGGAACGAGTGCAGCTTACGCAGGTGTAGATTGGAAGAAAATCCATAAGTTTGAGGAAGAAGAAGAGAAATTTTACGCAGAGCGGCATAACTCTCTGGCGAAATCGTCCAAGTTCGGTCTGCGGGAAAAGGAGGACGACGCGGATAGTCTAGACAGTTCGCCGAAGTTCGCAGCGCCTGGGGAGAAGAACGACGACGATCTGCTCTTTCAGGTTTGGCTTGATAAAAGCTCACAACGAATTCATGTCGCGTGATGGATGCACTAAGAATATGTACTTAAACAAGTCGTGACGTTTTTCTACCTGGCCATCTTCATCTTCTTGCTTGATCTTGTACTAGCCCTTTCAAAGAATAAATCCAGGTCGAATTGTCCGACAACATCATCGAAAATAGCGCGAAGTATCAGGAGGAGCACAAGAGGATATTGGGTAAAGTAAACCGGCAGTGGGCACGAAAATTCCGAGATTTCCACAAAGATAGTATTTTTAGCAGATAACAATTTTTTTTTTATTTGTCTTACTTTGCCTTTGACGATTTTGATCTTGTTATAAAGAATTTGAATTTGAATTAATTTCGATTATGCTCATTTTTAGAGATACATTTGGCCGGGGCGTTGGTTGAGCATGTCGTTGAAAGCACTTACAATACCTGCTCGGATGCATGTCGTTGCAAGTCAGCAAAACTGCTTAATACGCAACCGAACTGCATACCACAGCTGATATGCGACACTCCGCTCTTCTGGAGCAAATTACGTGTCTTGAAAGCCTGATCGAGACTACAGAAGAATATCGCTGCCGACGAGAGGATATGGTTGCCTTCAAAGACAATGAAGTATCATTGGGCGACTATATTTATCATTCTGATGAACATGATGAATCTAAGAGAAGGACAATGACTTGCTCCACCTCTAGATGAAGGTTTTTTGCCCTCATGAGCAAGAGTAACCAACGCTACCCCGAACAACATGAAAAATGAAAAAAATGCATAGGAGCCGAGAGAAGTACACCTTCCTAATTACCTTCAAGCTGGACTTGTTTTCATCACTCAGATGCTGAAACTCGAAGGCGCATACGAGGAGGCGCTGGAAAAATTAGAACAGCAAAAACGTGTCTGTTCTGCGATGCATGTGGACGTGGAAAAATGGCGGATGCAAGCTGGTCAGGCGGAAGAAGCTTTTGACCAGATCCAGAAGGAGCTCAAGAAAGACCAGCTCAGCATGAAGAAAAAAATGGATCTCAAGTGTGACCACTTAAAAAAGACTGTGCGAGACTTGAAGGAACAAGTAGCCGTCCTGGAGGAAACGGTCACCGAGAGGAACGACGAGGTTTTATTTCCTACTTGGTTGCATAACACTTCTAGATAGATATAACCTGCATCGAGGAACTAAAACTATAACGGAAAATTCGTCGACGCGTCAACATCAACATCCTACTAATTATACCCAAAAAATGATGTTGATTTTGTTCGAAGCCCCCACGTCCTACTTCGAATATCGATAGCGCATCTCACAACCCACCTTGTCTAGCTTTCGAAACTGCGACAAGCAGAGACGACGCTGAAAAAGGAGACCATGTCTCTCCAAAATGAGAAGGAAATGGTTGAAAAAACTGCGAAGAACATCGTCGAGGAATGCGAAGCCAAGTACGGCGCACAGCTCGCAACGGGGAAGGTAACTTTCTTGAGGTTTGATTTCTCTAGATCATGAAGATGAAGCCGAGGAGAATGTGCAGGACGGTCCTGGATCATTCGCCACCTTCTCTGTCCAGAATTGATTCTCTCCGTCTCACCTCCGTTGTCCGATATTTTTCTGGTATTTTTTTTAGCGAAACCGAAGGACAACTTCTACTACTTATTGATTTTCAGACTGAGCTCGAAGTGATAAAGGGTGATAATTACGAGAAAGCGAAGGAGATAGCAGAGCTGCGGTTCCAAGTACAGAAACAGCAACAAGACATGCTTCATATGCAACGTGAGTACGAACTGCAGATGGAAAATGCCCGCATCAAAGGAGCTGTCGAGTCGGTAAAGCTGCATCTGCACGTAAACCAACAGCAAAATGACGACTACGATATTCAAGTGGCTGAGATCAATAGCCAACAGAACAGCCCAGCGAACAAAGCGGAATCCTCGATCGTCGGTGGAATTATGGCACCTGCGGCAGCTGAAAGTGGCGCTCCAGCGCCTCTCTCAAGAGCTAGTAGTCTTTCGAGTCGGGATGGAGCGTCTATGGCTGGTGCCACGGTCGTGCCGAGGCCTTCAGCGAGCAAGGGTACAACAACTTTTGACTTTGCTTTGCTCACGCGCTAGTAGTCAGATGAGTACTGCCTCTTTTTTATGGTTTCCGAGGAGCAAAGAACGATATTTATAAGTAAACGATGTCGAAGTCTTCAAAGCAAAAACTTCTTCATATTAGTTATGTTTTTAGCTAGAAAGAACAAGAAGTTGGAGGCTCATCTCGATCTCGAGTGTGATCATTGGCACAACTAGTACATTATCGACTGCACGACAGCTTCGCAACCTGTTGCGCCGGTGTCGAACCGCTTCGCTCCAAAAGGCGAAACCGATGCCACAAAACGCAAACCGGCCACGAACGCATTCGCAGAGATGTACGCTGCACAGAACTTCTCGACATGAAGGAACCACAACATGTTAAAAAATACTACCGTGAAGGTGAAGGTGATCTTTTTCTGACGTCGTCAATCTTCTACTATCACTTCTAGCGCAAGAACAGTATTCCGATTGTATTACTTACAAGCAGCAATACAAAGAACTGTTATAATTTTTCCTTATTTTCAATATATATTATATATCGTCTACGAAGAATTGTGTAGTATCAAACGAATCGTTTGCATAAAAATTGAAACATGCTCCGCATACACGGGGAAATAGTTTTACGTAGAAGAGAAAATTTATTGCATTCCCGCTTCGTCTTTACAGCTTCGTTCACAAGGCCTCCCACGAATGCACTAACAAGAAGTGGAAGATCTTTTTTTAACTGCGCGGACTACCAATTACCTAGGTATATAATTGTCAGATGGTTTTTTGTAATTATCTGTGTAGTACTAGTACTACTAGTACTATCGAAATCAACCATTCGACAAGATCGTGATCATTACGCAAGATCAAAACGCTCACTGTCGCATACGTAGAAGGTGAGGACATAAACACATTACGCAATGTGCTACAAGGAGTGCAAGAACGTTGACGCACTATTATGAAGTCAGTCATCTTCAGAAAGACATGACGCATCAGTACTTTTACACAACAGCACAAATCGTCATCGCTCGCAAATAAGGAGATGGCAACAAAGTTGTTGAAAGCGAAGCAGACACGATGCCTCCTCGCGATTTGCTGACAAGACGTGGAAAACTTCATCTGCGGCGAGCTTGTTCCTCTTTCGATGCATGGTCAATATTAGATAGACGCCGCCAGCTCCTACACCTACCAGAATGCGCACAAAGTGGTAGTGCAGTGGGTCCTTAGATTACTTGAGGCTAAAAGCGAGGACGACTACCACATTAAAAGTATTCAAAAACATGCCCCCTTCCTTCCTGGCGCAGAGCGCCATCGAGTTTGTTTTGGTGCCGGCCACGTTTCTTCTTCCGGTCGGTGTCTACCTTTTTACCGACTACATCGACGATTTCGTTCAGGCGGTTCCTGGTATCTTGCGGGCTCCTAGTACAGGTGGAGCATTAGAGGAAGTCTCTGCTGGTGTTGATGCAAGACCAATACCACATGGAGAGTCAGAATCTTCCAAAAAGATACTCGATGTTGGAATGCCATCGACAAGCGAAGGACCCCTAAGCTGGTGGACTTTGCCAGCATCGATAGTGCTCTTCGTGGTCTACAGCATCTACTTGCGTGCTGGAAGGGCCGACTATGTCGCACAAAAATGTAGTGGAATCAAAACTGAATAGACGAACAAGTGAGAAATAATTACGAAACTCGCATACTTACTTACAGTCTTACGAATACGATCGATGCCTGGTCGTGTGGTCTTCGACTTATGCTCAATCGCCATGGTCGTTTTCGAGTGAGTCAGTTTATCTTGTTATCGCCGGGGAGCGATGAAATCTCGTTCCGACACTGACACCAAATGTACGTAAAAAGAAACTAGGTCATGGAGAGACTCGTTTTCGACAGCTCAACTACAACTAGAACTCACTGTAGTCGGAAAGGAGATCAAGACTCGCAATAGAAGAAATATTGATTTTCGCTCGAAATAGGGAAAAAATTGGAAGAACAAGGAACCATAGGCATAGAACGTGTTGCCCTGGTCCCCACAAGAAAAATCAACAATTACTAACTTGCCTCTGCTTCTTCGGCTAAAATCAAAAATACAGATATTACTTAGAGGAGAAGAGAAGATGCAGTTGGAGGTGAAAATGAAATACTTGTCCTCTCCGTGAACAAGAAATATCGCAAAAAAATGATTCCCGCTGAGCGACGTGACGCAGAGCGGCCTGATGCCGAGGCCGTCGTAAAAGGTGGTGACGATGATGAGTTCCCTAGACCGGAGACCGCTACAACAGATGCCGGATCGCGGCCCCCGACACAGGGAAACGAAGAGTGTGGTGGAAGCACTGGGAGGTATTTGAATGAGGGTAGTAGCTCTGCCTCGATGTTGATGTTTTTGGAGAAGGACGATCACGCTTTACCAGGGAGGGAGGCACCTCCCTCCCCCTCCTGTGGATGGAGCTGTGGTGGCGCCGGCGCGACCTTTTTTCCGAAATGGTGTGAGGATTCTCGGGCGCAAAGGCCTCAAAAGGCGGGGCCGGGGCCCCCTTGCGGCTCTCCGCGTGTAGCCCACAGGCGTCCCAACTCTTGGACCCTATCAAGGGGGCGAAGGGCTCCAGGGGTAGAAGGCGGCCACGGTCGCGAGGCCTGGCCCCTCTTGCTGGGTTGCCCTCATCCCCCCCCATTGGTGGCAGCGTCAGCCGCCACCAAACGCCTGGGGAGGTTGAGGACCGAAGGCGAGGAGGGGCGGGGGCAAGGCGTGCCCGGCTCGCTTCAGTCGGATACATGCAGCACGGCGAAGGGGGTCAAGCCTGGCCACCTGCTGCCCTCGGAGGCCTTCCACCCCCCGGGGAAGTCGCCCAGTGAGGAGCCAGAATGCTGGAGGCTTGTCGGGTACATGCAACACGGCAAGGGGGCCAAGCCTACTTGCCACCTTTGCCGCTTCCGGAAGCCGTCCATCGCCGGCCGTCGGTGCTTGAACGGCCTCAAGGGAGGGCTTGGGCTCTGTCGGGTACATACAAGAAGCCGCGAGGGAGCGAAGAGGGCGCTTGGAGGCTTTCCCGCCTGGCAGTCCTCCGGAAGAAGGGTCCGGGGCTACCTAGAGCCTTCCCAGATCAGGGAGGGGCCTCTAGCCCTGAGCCTTGAAGCACATTTATATAGTAGAGTAAGGCTCAAGGAAACAAAACAAAAATGACCTCTCAGCAGCCTCGTTTTGTCACCTTGTGACCCTTTCTCTGCGACCTAGACTAATGTTCTGGCTCACTGCTATACTTTTTTGTTTGGAAAGCTGTAATGCCTTGGTCTTCTTCGGTTCAAACATTACGTAGTAGAGTAAGGAAAGCAACGGGCCTCGAGTTCTTGCCACTACGAGTTGCTCGAGTTCTTGCAGAAGCGAAGAGCTCCAATTCTGGAACGAGTTGCCACGAGTTGCCGGGGGAAGCCTGGCCCATCGACATGGGACAAAGCAGGGCGGTGCGGGCGCAGAAGTGCTTGCCCGACATGCGGGGCGCCGTCAGTCTTCGAGACCTCCTTCGCAAAAGAAGGCGGGGGGGGCGCTGCCTCTTTCCGTTCGGGATCGATAGCGGCGCGCCGCCCTCGACTCGGTGGCGGGGGGCAAGTGCCTCGCGCTCGCCCCCCTCTGTGGTTTAGTTAGGGAGTGTCAATCTAGATATATGCTTTCGCCCCGCTGTGTTGCGGTGTGAGGGGTTTCCGCCGGGACGGCTTGCGGCTGGAGGGTGCCGCTCTGAGTGACATGGGGAAACATGCGGCGGGGGTTGATGATGTATAATGTATTGGCGGGGAGCGGTGGGTGTGGTCTGACGTTTGTGGGCAGCTGGGTGGGCACGTGCGGTACATGCCACACCCCCCTGGGCCCCCGCGTTGGACCCTTTGCGGGCATCCGGCTGCCCCTCCTTGGTTGTCCTCCCCTGCCGGATGCCCCTCGCTCCTGCCGGCCCGCAGTCCTCGCTTGGTAAAGCAAGCGCCTCAAGGGCGCACCAAGAAGAAAATCAAGGAGCAGAGACACAACTCGCATTGTCGTCCGCTCTTGTTAAGGTTTCTCATTCTCGATGTCTCATAAAGCAGCGCCCGGAGGGCGCCGCGCAAAAAATTAGGGTGGGCAACTCGAGGAGCCCGAGCATCTCCGCCCGATATGGGTCAAAAAAATCCTTATTCTTATATACTTAGATACACCGCAATGGATACAAAAACTATACACAAAACAGCGCCTTGGCCTTCGTGTTCCACCAAATTTCTTGTTCGTTCACAAAAGTAAGATCTAGCTACATAATCACAAACACAGCAACAGTCGTCCAGGGTCGAGCGAAATCGTGAATGTATATCAACTCATTTCGAATAGCCCACCGCTTGGCATGACAACGCTCGATATAGTTCAGGAAGAGACTGGTGTGGATCTCACAAAAGACGAAGATGCGGGTCAACACGGTGACGACAACATAGACCCCGAGTACGAAAATGCAGCAGTCAAAATTCAAGCTGTCTTTAGAGGAAAGCAAGCACGACAAGGGTACTTGTAGTCGATTTTCGGGTCGTCCTAATAAATTGTGCTGTCTCTGATTATTGATAGGTCATATGACAGATCATAATATGTGTGATTTCTAATTGTTGATGGTAAATATTTTTTTTGTTTGATGCTGGAGGCAATAGCAATTAGTAGTACGTACTTCAGCTTGAGTCCGTTATCGTTTGTCAACACTTTTGCATGATTCCATTCAGGCTTGCTGCATCTAGCCAGGATCAAGATGATGCATCTGTGCCCCGAACACGAGATGATCTCCTAAAAGAGCTAGAGGCGCTTGAGAAGGAGGCGGAAAACAAACACTCGATTGCTCTAGGCATAGGAGAGCGTGGTGCCCTCTCAGACTTGGGGCCAAACAGGCCTGGTTCCTCGGAGCAGCGCTCTGGCGCAAAGGCACGTGCATCGAGCACAGCAGGAGAGGAAGCCTCACGCAATGAAATCCGTGAACTAGAAACCAGCATTGCAACTCTCAAAGACCGGCTGAAGGAGCGAAATATGCAGAAAAGAGGTAGTTGATCTTGGACCGAGCTGACTAGTGCTTTTTATCTATGTATAGAAATTGTAATCACGAAGGAATTTGTATTGAATAGGGCTAAGCATTGATGTTGAAAAATCATGACCTTGAGCTTCTACTTGCAATACCACGAATATCAACACGTCACGGCTACGAATACGATAGCCTCATCTTCGCCACTACAGATCTTCTGAGCGAGCTTATGGAGGCACGTAAGCTTGTTTGGGAGTACAAGCAGGAAGCAACGAAAGCGAAGCAGGGAATTCGTGCTTTGCTTTCAAGTAGTGATAAGACGTGCGAAGAGCTGGGAATTGACATTGAAATCCCCGATTCGGATGCTCCACCGGGCGCAGCTGAAAACGGTGGCAATGGCGGCGGTCGGTCCATGGACATGATGGATCACAGCCCCATGGGCCGACCACCAGCAGGTCGACGTAGCATGGGCGGAACACTCAGCCCGCGCGGCCTCGGAGGAGGACCGAGCCCGTCAGTCGGCGGAAACAGAAAGGGCAGCTTGGGCGGCGGTGGAGGAGCCATGACTAAAAGCAAATCGACAAGCGAGCTGGCGAATGTTGCCGTACTAAGTTTAAACGATCTTCACTCACATTCACGACGTCGTCACGTTTTTAGTTCTTGATTCTGATTCTAACGACTGCTTGTGGCTATGATTTGTGTCTATAAAGTCAAGTGGAAAACTTTCACTTTCTGACAGGTGCAGCACTACATCCAGCTACAGGACGCCGAGTTGAAGAAGTCGATTTCTAAGCTCACGGAAGCGCGCATGGTTGCACACGCGTACATGAAGATGATCGAAGACCGAACCGAAATTATCCACCGCCTAGAGAGCGAACTTGAGAAAGGACGCATGAAGCAGGCGATATCGACGCATCCATGTGGAGAAGTTTTTTTATCCGAGCGCATGGAGGCGATTCGAGCAAGACAGGCTGCCGCGGAAGCAGAAGGTGGAGGTCCCGGAGGACTGCGTAAAAGCGGGCCGCTGTCGATGCCGCCTTTGCGGGAAACAGCGGAAGAACAACAGTCCGACTCCCCCAATAGCGGCGCGTCATCTCCTAGCAAACGAGGGCCACCAGGTCCAGGAGGTCCGCCTTCAGGTGCTCCGCAGCACCTGCCGGTTGGCTTGATTGGCGCGTCGGCTGGTGCCTTCGCAGATGGTTCGGCCAGCGCATCCTCCTCGGCTCCTCCACAGCAAGAACAGCATGGCTCTGGCGGAGCCAAGTATACCTTCCAGCAGTTGTCAATACTGACTAGCGTGCTCGAGGGCGTGCTGCTGCAGCGCGTCTTCCGGGAGTTGAAAAATCACGGAGCCGAGGAGCAAGCGGCGGTGAAGCTGCAGTCACACAGGCGACGGCTAAAATCTCAACGCACAGTCGAGGGAATCCGGAAGTACACACCGCTGCAGGGCGCAGTAGGCACCATAGTGCGGAATCTAGACAAGTGGTCCACTTGTGTGTACCAGAACAGTTTCACTATTGCGGTAGGCCAAGATCCGGAACGCTGTTTGAGGAATGTCGTGCGTCACCTCAAAGGCTACGTCGGAGTGCACTTTGCAACCGAGCTGCTGCAGACCCAAATGAAGGTCCACCTAGCGAGAAAAGATCTCGTCGCCCTCAAATATCCAAAGCCGCTTTTTTACACGGGTACAACGTCCACATCCTCATCGAACAGCACGATGCGCACGAGACCAGGTGGACCAGTAGGAGCACACGGTACTTCGATTTGATGCTTTACTTGATAGAT